AAAAATATTATTAAAATAAGTAATATAATAATTATTAAAGATCTTTTATAGTATTTTATTTATATAAGCCTGGAATATAGAGGGAGTATTATATAGTCTGAATAATATTATTATATACTTGTATTATTTATAATAAGTTTAAAAAGCTATTTTTTATTTGTTTTCTTAGCAGATATATATTTAATAATAAATATCACGCAAGTCTAGCTTCGTGAAAACCTTAGTACTTTTTAATTAATCTATAATTTTATTAATTTACAGGAGTAGATAATAATTCTTAATTATAATTTTATTTAACCCCCGGTAGTCTATATATAATTACAGGCTATTATTAGATTTTTTAATATAAAAAATAAGGGCCGTAACGGGTCTACTAAAGGACTAAATCTATTTTTTTCTGATTATTTTATTTAGATAGTCTCATAGTGTCTTTAATTTAGTATAAGATATATTATACAGAAGTCTATATAAAAGTTTTATATTAAGCTTTAAAAAAATAATATATTTTATTAATCTTATTAGTATAGACACTATCTCTTGCTCAGAAAATACTTTCTTAAACTAGATATATTATTTAGGAAGACTAAAAGTTTCCTAGTCTAATATAATTATTTTAAATAATATTTCTGATTTTCCCGCGCGGTAGTATTATTTAAATTAGTAATAAAATACTAAGCTAATTACAGGTAATCTACTACAGTACCACTAGATTCCTATAATAATACTAAAATTAAAATCTATAGGATCTATCTAGCTCCTGCCGAGTACTATATTATAATTTATTATATTAATAATATAAAATCGTATAATATAATTATATATATTATTATTTAAATTAAAAACCTTTATATTTTTCTATAATATTTTGTATTAAGATATTATCTGATTTCTGATAAAGTAAATAGGGGCTAATATCTAACTAGTGTTAAACTAAAAGCTTTACTTTTTTAACTAGTAATATAATATAAAATTATTATCTGTTTTTATATCTAATAATATATTTACAGCAGCTTATTTTCCTCTTATATATAGTTAAATATCCGCGCGGAGAAGAGAGAATTATAATAAAATATTAAATTTAATTATATTAAGGATTAGAGGCGCGCCTTCTTACTAAAAAAAAAACTGCTTTTTTTTTTTATTATTAAAGGTCCTGCTCTACCAGAGATTATATTTACAGATAGTCTTTTATTCTCCTAGAGATAGTAATTTCGGGAATAATACCCTTTTTTTTTATAAATAAAATAATACTTATTTTTATTTAAATACTCTCTTTTACCTCTAAAAACTTATTATTTAAAATAGCTGCCTTTTTTTTTAGAATACTTATATTTCGCGTGTAATATATTATTACTCTGAGAATTAAGGAAGCTATTTTATAAAATAAAAAAATTATCTTAAAAAAGGTTCCCTTCTTGAGAGGAGTTTCCCTCTTAAGAGGAATATCTATCCTTAGAGAATAATCTATTATATAACTATAATATTTAATAAAACTTCTTGTTTTATTTTACCAGTTATTTATATTATTCTACTAAGGCACCTACTTTAATAAAGTTTTTTAGTTTTTTATTAGTTAGTAGTTTAGGGGCCTGCTTAACATCTTTTTATAGATCTAGCTATAATATTTTAAAAAAATAATTAATAAAAAATTAATTAATATTTTTTTATATAAGCTCTGTAAGAAAAATATATTTACTTAATATAGCTTAAATAGATTAGTTAGAGCCCTACCTTAGTCAAGTAAAATTATAAGCATAGGTTTATTCCTGGTTTCCTTTTTCTTTTATTTATTCTATCAGAAAAATCTTAAAATTTTTAAATATTATTCCCTAGAGATCTTTAAAGCATATTAAATATTATAAGTTTTTAAGAGATTCCGATAGGCATATCTTTATATATAAAACCTTTATTTTTTTTTTTTAAAAAAAGAGCAAAGTTTACTCCTGAAATAATACTCTAAGTTTCGGATAAAGATTATATATTAATACAGATTTTTATTTTTAAAGACCTTTAATTCTTTAAATCTAAAATTTTTTCTTTTTTTATTTTTTTCTAAAATCTTTATTAGTATTACTAGTATATCAGGGATTATTTATACTAGTAGAAAAGCTATAGGCTAACCGCCAGCCTTTTAATAACTAGAGAATTATTCAGAATAATAGTTTTTAAGTATTTAGGTAAAAGAAAGATTATTATTTAATATAAAAGATTAAATTATTTCTTTTAAGATAAAAAGAAGATTATTTAAAAATATTTAATAAATATAATATCTTTATTCACCACAAGATTACCCGCGCGTAAATATAATAATAGTAAAACAGAAAAAAAAATAATTAAAATTATAAAAAATAGCTATAAAGGTTTTGTTCCAGGTACTTAGTTTCCTTAAATAAATATATTAAAAAGTTTAGGATACCTGCGATACGCCTGCGGACTGCCTGCTACATGCTAAGAGATATAAAGAGTTAAAGAACAAATATATAATAAATAAAATTAATTATTTGACCTCCTAGGGGTCAAACAGGTGGTTTTTTTTAATAAGGAGTTTCGCGGGAATTAGTTCCCGAATGCCTCGGCAACCCTACGGACCTCCGGCGGTCCAGTTATTCCGTGTTCCGCGCTGAGATAAGCGCCGGTGACAATTTAAAAAAAAATTAATACTAAAATTTTTTTAGTTTATTTTAATAATTCTTATTAGGTTAACTTTTATCTCTAAGAGATAAAGAATACTAGTAAGAATTATTTTCCGGACTTTTATAAAATATTAAATAAGTTAAATAATCTGTTACTATATAAATCTTATAGTAGGATAGCTATATAATTCTTACAATAAAATTACTAGGATTATTAGTAAAATAATAGGTTAACCTTAAATTAATAATCTAGTTATTTTAGCTTATATAACAGACTTTTTTAATATTAATTTTAATTATTTTTTTTTAAATTACCAGGGCTATCTCTTTTAAAAGCTATATAAATAATATTATTATTAAGTAAAATATTAAAAAACTTTATCTTTTTTCTCTGTTACTTTTACTTTTCTAATTAATTTTTTATTTATTAAGGGACTTTCTCAGAGTATTTTTTCTAATAATTTTTTTTATAGCTTAATTTCTTATAGTGGGAGCACTCCAGGGATAATTTTAGATTATTATTATTTTTTTAGTCCTTAAAGTTTTTTTTTTTTCTTTTTTTATTTTTCTGGTTTTTATCCTTGTTTTTACTAAGCTTTTTACTAGTTCTAGCTTTAATAAGATTTACTAATTCCTGGTTAAATTTTATATATATCTTTTCCTAAATCAGGACCTGAGACACCTCTGTGTAGGTTATAGTATCTTTATTAAAGCGTGAGTTAAAATAAAAGATTAAAAAAGTCTGCTATATTTTTTTTAAATTACAGAAAAAAAATTAAATATAAATTAATTTATTAAGGATAACTCCTTTTTTTAGACTCTTATTAAAATAATCTAGTACTAAGGATATTTTTTTAATATATTTATTTGTATTTTTGTATTACAGATAAATTATTATTATTATTAATTAAAATCTTTTAAAAGACTAAATATTATATATAATTTTATATTTTTTAAATAAGGCCTTCACGAGGTCCACAGCGGTATAAAAATAGATAAACTTATAATAAATAATTTTAGATAATAAGGCGAAAATAATATCTACTGCTTTAATATTATTATTTTTTTATTTAAAAAGCTTATCCTAAGCTCTTTAAGCTATATTAAATAATACTAGTTTTTCTAGGGTTAATATTAGGGTCTTAGGGTAAGAGAACTTATTACTAATTATGTAAAATATACTTTTAATTCGTAGTTCTATATTAAGATCTTTAATCTAATTCTGGTAGTTTTCTGCTAATATAAGTTAAAGTATAGTATATTTTCCGGGTGCTATAACTACTTTATTAAGATATTTTATTTATTTTAAAAATAGTTAATTATTTTAAGATCTATTTTAGAGGCCCTAGATAAGGGTTCTGGGGATCTAAATAAAGGACTTAGTTAATTAAGTTTCCGGGCTTATAATCTGTAGAAATTATAAGGTAAGATACTATATCTATTTTAAATAAAATATTTAATTTTCTGATAATTAAGATAATAATAAAAAAAAGGTCTAGATATACTAGAGGATCCTATTTTATATCTTATAATCTTGCTAGGGGTTCCTATTTAATTTAGGAGGTCTCTGATAAATTGCTGCGGATGACCTTATCTTGGCGGGAATATTCTGGTATGCCTACCTAGGATACCGGGAGTTTTCTATAGTATTCTTGTACAGCATAAGTAGGGATATGGCTTTGGAACCATTCTTTTGTGGCACGGGGCTTTCTTTTCTTTTTCTTTTTTTTTTTTTTTTTTTTTTTTTTTTTTTTTCCTTGGACCCTCTTTCCTTTTTGTCTTTTTTGTATACGAGAATTTTTTATGTCTGTTAGGTCACAATGTCATTGGTTTCACGGAAAATATATAGCTACCAGTTAAAGAACACCCGCTTGACGACAGAAAACCCACTCATTACCTTGCCCGGAAATGTAGTATTCAGGATTCCGCATGGTCTGATCCAAAATTTATGGCGCTAATATCAACCCCAGAGGTAAGTGGTCATTGAGCCCCGCGTTCCGGGACTTTCACGATCTCTAGTGTGGACGGGATCGCTCCTTCTCGCGCCGATCTTTCTGCCTTTCTCACATTGAGTTTTATTGACGTTCCTTAACATGTAGACTTTTATAGCTCCTTCATGATCGATCTCAATGATATTTGGGCGCATCATGTCGATCGGCGGTGCTCCGACATAAACCCAATCGTCTCGTATCATGTCCCACGTTGGCAAGAGCATTACAGTAAGCACTAGCCCAAGTTTGCTTACCCCAAGCTTATCCTCGGACATTTCTTTTATATATATCCTCCCCAATCTTTGTTCTTTCTCTGCCTCCTGAAAGTTTTGCAGTCGCGATCCAGCCCACTTCAAATACCCCATCATCTACAAACATGACTATTCCGGAAGAATGCACTGTTCTAGTCGTCGGCGGGGGCCCTGCAGGGTCCTACGCCTCGTCTGTGTTGGCACGAGAGGGTATTCGCACTGTAATGCTTGAGGCAGACACCTTTCCTCGGTATCATATCGGAGAGAGCATGCTCCCTTCGATGCGCCACTTTCTGCAATTCATCGATCTCGACGAGAAGTTTAATCAGCACGGGTTTAGAATAAAGGTTGCGACTCTCAGAGAAGTGGATCGCTCTCCCACCAAGCTAACTTCTTTGACAGAATGGAGCATTTTTTAAAATCAACTCGAAGCCGGCAGCATGTATTCTCATCCCTCTCTCTTGGCAGAATGACTCATATTTTCCGGCTATCGTGTCTCACCTGCTCGCTTTCTAGATACCGACTTCGTTGCGTCCGGTGGCCCCGGCACTCACTCATGGAACATCGTGCGATCTGAGGCAGACCAGATTCTTTTTGATCACGCTCGAGAAAGTGGTGCGACGGCCTTCGATGGTGTCAAAGTCACGGAAATTCAATTCGCCCCACATCCGTCTAGCGAGCTAGGGAAGCCGGTGTCGGCCTCGTGGTCGAGAAAGGATGGCAGCACGGGGTCCATCCGGTTCGAATATCTTCTCGATGCGAGTGGACGAGCAGGTCTGGTCAGTACCAAGTATATGAAGAACAGGCGCTTTAATCAGGGCCTGAAGAACACAGCCACCTGGGGCTACTGGGAAGGCGCGGGCGTCCATGCAGTTGGGACGACGCGGGAGGGAGACCCGTACTTCGAGGCGATCGCCGGTATGCTTGAATGCTTAAATCCTCTGTGGCCTTTCTTGACAAAACACTAACCGTAAGTTTCTTTTTGCCTTCTTCATAGACGGCAGTGGCTGGGTTTGGACCATTGCGCTGCATAACGGAACGACCTCCGTCGGCGTGGTCATGAACCAGGCCAAATACACCGAGCGCAAAAAACAGAACAGCTCGCTCTGCACCAGCGATCTATACAATCAGATTATTCAGGAAGCACCGGTCACTCGAGACCTACTGGCCAAAGCACGCCTTATCTCGGACCTTAGATCCGTCTCGGACTGGTCGTACAGCGCGTCGGCATACGCCAGTCCATACTTACGAATAGCCGGCGATGCAGGCTGCTTTATCGACCCCTTCTTCTCGTCAGGCGTGCATTTGGCCATGGCGAGTGGTCTTTCTGCCGCTGTGACCATCTGCGCTTCTCTTCGAGGTGACTGCGACGAAGAAGCTGCGGCTAGCTGGCATACCGACAAGGTCTCTGAGGGATATACTCGATTCCTGTTGGTTGTCCTGAGTGTTCTTAAGCAGATCGAGAACCGAGAGGAGCCCGTGATTAATGACTGGGACGAGAAGAGCTTCGATCGCGCTTTTTCTATGTTCAGGCCTAGTACGTTCAGCCCTCCTGTCTACTCCTGCCTTTGTTTTAACTAACCAGTTGTTTGAACGGGATACAGTCATTCAAGGCACGGTCAAAGACAGCAACAGCAAACTCACACAGTTCGAACTTGCACGTACGGTGGATTTCTGTGCTCATGCATTCTCGGATCCCAAAATCCCGCAACAAGTCTCGCTCTTGAAAAAGCTCCGTGGACTGATCAGCCAAGGCGAGAATGCTGACGCCCTTCAAAAGTCGCTGTCTCCCGAGGAGCTGGAGACACTGAATGGAATTCGTTCAAGGCAGATGATCCGCATGGAGGATGTCTTGCGGATTGATAATTTCGGCCACGACGTGATCGATGGGATGAAGCCGAACCTCAAACGGGGTGCTTTGGGACTTAGGAAGGATGTAAAGGACGATGGCGAGGGGAATTCCAACCCAATGGCTGTGTTGGGGCTGGAGGACAGGCCCCATGGGATGCAGTTATTATTCTAATTGCAACACTGTGCACTCATGAGTAATTAATTCATGTCCGATCTAGCAATTGAACCGGTATCAAGTCCGTCTGTCTTAATAGCTATACCTAAAGCCTCTATCCTGCTTATCCGTAACATCTCCCTCGACCCCAGTACTCTCATCCACCTCGCCACGACTCGCCTTCTCATCTCGAGCCTTATTCTCCCTCACACAGAGGCCCCAATATACACCCATGACAACAAAGAGTAAACACCATGTCACCATCGAAGTGACAACGCCCTCAAAATACCGCGGTTTCTTCGTCCACAGCTGCGGCGAGGCAATACATCCGACGCAGTATCCAATGAAGAATAAAGTGTTAACCACAGCTCTCTTCGTATTACCTTTTACATTAGACGCGCTGAGACTGAGGAGAATCGTCATGACGTCTGATATACACGACGACTAGCGTTCGGGTTAGAGTAATAAGCAAAATAGCAGGCGAAGGAATACTTACCAACCATGAGGCCACGATAAGGCCCCATTGTGCTGAAAGCGGCAGCTTCAATAGTAATACATTCCCAACTAGTGGTGGCAAGGCCAAAACCATCACGATCAGCGATCGCCTCCTTGGGAAAATCAGACACGCTATCACCGCTATCCAGATAAAGGCAACCTGGACAGCTCCCGATGGAGCAGTATAGAGCAGAGTATCAAACTTGTCGTAGCCGATATTGTTTATCACCAGCGATGCGAACTGCCACTCCCACATATCGTCAGCTATCTCATTTCTCAACCGTGAAAAGACTAAAGAACATACCGTAAGAACCGGACTCTGCATCGTAACCAACAGCCCGAACCCAAACACCACCCACGACTTTCCATCCCACATAGCCTCCTTGAACTGCGCCCCCGAGAAACGAGCAACGTCTCCGCCCTCATTATCAGCCGTCATGCGCATCCTCAAAACCTCCTTCTCTCGCGGAGTTAGAAACCACGCATCCTGCGGCCCATTCGGCATCAAAACAGTAAACAAGACACCGGAGAGCGTCGTCAGCGCGCCACAGACGAGAAACATGACTCGCCACGGCGCAAGGCCTAGCTGCGAGTTCTTGCCGATGCCGTACATAAGCAGACACCCGATTACCTGGGCGAGACCGTTCATTGTTATCCATAGACTATGGAACATTAGCTTATATGCATACCTGGGGTGGAACAGGAGGATTGTACCCGATTCGCATAGCGTGGTCTTTCTTCTGATACCAGATACTCGTGATGGTTACGAAAGCCGGCGAGACGGCGCCTTCGGCGAATCCGAGCAAGAAGCGAACGGCTGCGAAGCCGGGAAAGGATTTGGGAGCGGCGAGACACATGCAGATGGCGCCCCAGATGATTCTGTAGGGTTAGTTTTCTATTGTTTGGGAGAGAAGGGAACATACATCGTTGCGCCGACGAACTTGGTTAATGGGAGACGGCTCATTAGGTAGATGAAGGGGTACTCGGCGACGAGCTGGCCTGGGGATTGTTAATGACGGCGTTTAGAGAGGGAAGGAGGATGGCTGACCGAAGTAGAATATTGACGAGCACCATGAATACTGGCTGCCTTGGAGGTTGAGGTCTGTGATGAGACCGAAGACTCCGGCATAGCTGAGGCTTTGTTTGTCCAGGTCTGATGTGTTAGTGGATATGTGGACAGAGTCGAGCAGTAGACGCACATTGGAAAAAGAATACGCAACATAGCTGATGATGTTAGACTTGAATGATAGTGAGGACTATTATCGGTGCTTACCATGGGCAAAATTACCATGTCGATCTTTCGCCGGACGCGCTTTTCCTCCTCCACTGTGCATATCTCGCCTTGCATGATGCTTCTTGAGGTGCGATCGGTGGGAGGGCCATCTTTCTTGTCGGGGTTCGCATTGGGCTTTTCGTCCATGATTATGATGCCACTTGCGCTGTATAATCGGCAGTGTTTTAACGATGAAGTTGAAATTAAATAGCCTTCTGCTACGTCAGCATGGGCAACAGGTCTAATCAAATACCTCTGACTTCCCCGAGTGCCAGCGCAGATCATTTATCGCAGATCCCCATGATCGACAGTCCACTGAAGATAATCCTGTTCTAAACTCCAATCGAATTGATCTATTTCTTCTCTGTGCAGATTACCCCCACTCTTGTTCATTCCCCCCTTCCCTCATCCCGTTCGCCCTTGACTCTCATCTCCTCTCTCCATGCATGTCCCCATCGATAGACCACCCACAATATCGGGCTGAATACCGCCCAAACACCAGCTACAAATGTCGCCGTCCATCCAATGCCAATGCGATCGATCAATGGCGTCCCGACAGCCGCAGCGCCTGCTCCCAGCAGACATCGCACCAGATTATTCGCCGCAACAGCAGTCGCAGGACTCTGCCGATGAACATCGACCACCAGCGTGCTGAGCGTCGTGAACGCCCCCGTTGTCAAATGGCCCGTGAAGAATAACATGACCAACGGCCCAGCCAATGAGGTCTGATAGTCCATGACCCAGCCATACGCGATGATGCTCAGACACGCAGCATACACGATCGGAATGGTCACCTTCAGCCGTGCCGCCTCGATATCAAACTCGCGAATATCCTGCTGCTTGTTCTTCGCCACCGACAAACCCTGCCGGTCTGCCTCGCGCTTGAAATTCCAATCCAATGCCCTCCCAACCGTCCACCGCGACGTCAGCGTCCCAACCCCAAACGGCAAATAGCACAGCCCAATCTGGATCGCATTGAAGCCGAACCGGCTCTCCATCTGTGCCGACAACGTACTGATCACGATCATGAACCCGCAGTACAGCAGCGCGCCGTACAGCAGGATCAGGCCTGTTTCCTTCTCCGTCGCAATGCGCACCGAAGTCAACGGATTCGGTCTCCTCCCACCTTTCTGCACGGTCTCATAATCAATTCCTCTCTCATTTCCCTCCCCCTTCCTCCGCAGAATCCCCCAAACCGTCCGATTCCACCGCTGCGCACCCACCGACCCATTCCCCACCACCGCGCGACACGTCTCCGGCACAAACACCACAAACCCAACCAGCAACACACCCCCCAGAATAGTCAAGAACCAGAAGATCCACCGCCAGCCCAGAAACTGGCTCAGCAGACCGCCCACCACCGGTCCCAGCGCCGGTCCCAGCGTCATCCCGATCGTCGCGTACCCGATATACTTCCCTCGCTCGGCGCGCGTCGACAAGTCCGCCACGATGGCGCTGCCGATCGCGATCGTCCCGCTACTGCCGCATGCCTGGAGACATCGGAGGACCATCAGCGCGGCGTAGTTGTTCTGGAGGGCCAGCCCGATGTTGGCGCCCACGTACGTCGTGAAGCTGATTATGTATGCGGGGCGGCGGCCGTAGACGTCGGAGAGGGAGCCGGTGAAGGAGGGCGCGATGCCTTGGAAGATCTGTTCAGTGGTGTTAGCATTGGGGTATTTGAGACTGGGAATGGAGTGGACTGAACCATATAAGTCGTGACTGTTAAGTTGATCAAGGTATTCGACACGTGCATGTCGTTCGCTAGGGTTGGTAGGGCCGGATAGTAGATGCTCGCCGACATGGGTGAGATCATGCCGGCGAAGGAGGCCGCCAGCATTGTGGAGATCTTGGCTCTTTCGGAAAGAACGCAATACGGCGGTTCATAGTTATCGGCTGATTTGACCGTGTTTAGGTCCGTCGTCTTTTCTGGATCTGCGGTCGGTGATGTAGAGATCGGATCTGAGGGACTTTCGGGGGCTTTTGCTTCGTTTGGGGGAGTCATATCGGGCTAGAGAGAAATCCTTTCTCCCATGGACTGATTCGACTTGAAAATATATCAGGAACAGAAAAACAAAGTCCCCTATTTGTGTTTTGAGTCTGCATATAAGCTGTCTTTTTTCTATGCCGTTTCCGGCCCGGGACCGGCCAACACCATCTATCTAGACGGCCCTTGCCGCCGACCGGTCCCGCTTGTTTATCCCGAGTGGGATTTGGACGTGCATATTTACTGCATCTTCTCCTGCGTTGGATCTGCATCGATCGCTGTATTGCGTTTCTCCATTGACCATCATTTCCGGCTTCGACATTTATGAGGCCGTGAAATGTCTAATCGGCCCTACAGAGCCGATAGACAGGATACAGCCTATAGGATCCCTTTCAATTCATCTTATGTCCGCTTAACTCCGAGCCATGCCCGGGACCGGCTTTCTAAACTCCTAAATTCTTGTCGCTTATCGCTATGATAGAGAATATTATAAAGTAGCACTTCCCCTCGCGCGTAATATTCAATTACTCCAATCCAGCCTATCCATCGAAAAAAGAAAACATATCCATCATGACCTGCGAGGCCTGTCGCACGATTCCCCCCGTCATTTCTCAGGGCTACGAGCCCAAGGGTGAGTATAAAAGTATTGGCGGATTGAATACATGTGAGTTTCCTTTCCTCCCCTTCATTTGATAAAACCATCACATGGTCGCGATCCGAGTCAATCCCCAACAAAAAACCCCTAACCCCAAACCAACAGACACAACCGGCCCTCACACCTCCACCACCGCCATCATCGACATCTACGACATCTTCGGCATCTCTTCGCAAACCATCCAAGGCGCTGACCTCCTCGCCGCCCGTCTGAACACCCTCGTTCTCGTGCCAGACTTCTTCAAAGGCAAAGGCGCCCAACATGACTGGATCCCCATGGACACGCCGGAGAAGGAGAAAGCCCTGATGGGTTTCTTTATGGAGTATGCGCAGTTCGAGCCGAATGTGGGGGTTCTGAAGGCTGCGGTGGAGGAGTTTAAGGCGGCTTTTCCGACGGTTGGGAAGTGGGGGGTTTTTGGGCTCTGTTGGGGTGGGAAGGTATGTCTTTTTTGTTTGGTTTATTGTCCAGATATTAGGATGCTAATGAGATAGGTTACGGCTCTGTCATCGGGAGAGGGAACGCCGTTTGTTGCCTCGGGACAGGTTCATCCTGGGTATGTCATTCCTACTTTCTTTCCTATTGCTTTCTGCGCTGACAATTGTAAAGGCGGATGGACAAGGCGGACGCAGAGAAAATCACTATCCCGCATATTGTGCTCGCGTCGAAAGATGAGCCTGCCGATGTGGTGCAGCAGTATAAAGATATTATCGCAAATGGACCCGGCAGCCATGTTGAGACGTACGAGAGTATGTGGCATGGGTGGATGGGCGCGAGAGCAGACTTGGATGGGGAAGAGAGCGTGAAGGAGTATCGACGGGGGTGAGTATATATTCAATGGGCTTGGATTGGTCATTAATGAGATTACTAGGTATGAGCAATTGGCTTCTTTCTTTGAGCAGCATTTCAAATAGATTGGTATGAGGACAGGGAGTTAGGGTTTGGGGTGGTCAGGTGGCCGGCTGTGCGCTATGGTCTGAGATAGTATATATCAGATCCAAGGTGCTATGAAACATCCCTGGAATGAATCATAGAATTGAGATCACTGAGAGTTGAGTTGCCCAACTGATCATTCTATTGCGACTGCTTGTACATATTCGGGGCTTGTTGCTTTGTTATTCTCGAAGTGGCAGAATCTACGTTTCCCCCTTGCAAAATCGACACCCACCTGCAGAATCCAAAGCCAAGATTATTAAGGCCTAGCTTGAGAAAATTATCGGACTCATACTCTATTCTGCAATGGGTGGATCCAACGTCATATCGAGTACGGAGTATGTCCAATTGGCCTTGCCCGCTTCAGATGGTGGATATATTTCTTCTAGAAACGTAGACTGCGCCACTTATCTCCTTCTACATATGGCAACTAATAACGTATCTCGGCTTTCCTTTACCCTTTTCTATTGAAAATATATCTTCTTACTGCTATTTCCCCTATCTACTAATATGCCCGTTTAACCGCCACCTTTCTGACTTTTCCTCTTTTTAGATATTTCTACTCGATATTTTTCGTATCTAGCTATACTTCACTTGGATTCCGTCCTGGAATCGCACACTGATTAAGCATTGTCAGCATGCGCATCCAACAGCCCAGGATCCGGAGTTTACTCCGCTGAACGGCTGGGACTCTGAACACCTGTGCGATTGCCATCGTCCGTTCCCACGTCGGACAGACACTCCCTCCCCATGCTCCGTAAATTTTGTCAATTTGATTATTGAAGACCGCTGCCTAAAAAAACGGGGGCAAAGATGTAAACGGAAATTATCCTTTTTTGGCTTACAAAAATGGAAACGAGAACGAAAGGGGCTAAGATTCTGTCTTATGGAACCTGAAGTCGGCGACATTTTGCGCTAAATACCCGGATGATATCGGATTTAGGAAGCTATAATAAACTAGCGATGATTTCAAATTAGAAACTTCTTCCCAGTCGGAGAATTCCTGGCCATGCCGGTACTTCATACCTGCCGGCAACTATCCGCGAATCAAGGCCACAGCTCAGCCACACTGAAGCTCAAATGCAATTTCTTTAATCATACGGCAATGATCCTAGCAACGTCTAGCAAATATTGAGGTGAAACAAGGGCTTGGCGGGACTTCGACTAGTAGTAAATCACGGTCCGAGCGCCAGGGCCTGGCCGCAGCACATCTTCTTCCATCCTCCCGGTAGCCCATTTGTTGCACTCCTTCTGATTGCCATTGGCACGAATCATTTGAAAGATGGAATAAGCTTTCTGTGTTCCTCCAGATTTTGACTGCAAGCTTTCAATAGTCACTCCTCAAACCAAATTGGCTCGCTATCTTAGGCTGCCATAAGCTGGCCTGTGGAGCCCGAAAAAGTCGAACTCAACGCACCAATCATGACCCAGGAATCCGCACTAATAATTTCCGGTAGTGACCGAGGATGTGAGTTCCACCGTTCTACAGGACGGAGTCGAAGGGTTCAATCTCCGATCGAAGGGTTTGGCATGCTTTTCCCCCTGGCAAACGTCTGGCCTGTGTGGATGCTCGCCAAGGTCCCGAAGGGTGGAGCATTTCCAATAGAACCTGGTCCTCCGGTTCTACTCTGCTGCAACGGTCAACGGTCGGCGCATGGCTCCGGTTCCTGGTTGAATTGGGTAAGATTGTCTCGGTGTGAACAGGGCTTTATTTCCTCGGACTCCACTATGTTGCCAGGATTCTTATTTAAGAGCTGACCAGCATATCTCTTCTGCTCTTCTTGATCGTCAAACCACTTTCCTTTTTCTTTCTTTTTCTCTTCAGTCATTCTTTTCCAACCTTTTACACTCTTTCGATTATGAAGTACACTACTGTTTTCGCCGCTGCCGCGGCGGTTCTCGCGAACACCGTCAGCGCTGGTGTCGTTGGTGCTGCCCAGGGTTTCGCCAAGGGCGTTACTGGTGGTGGCAACGCTGCTGAGGTCTACCCCAAGACGAACGACGAGCTGGTCTCTTACTTGGGTGACAGCGTTCCCCGTGTCATTGTCCTTGACCGAACGTAAGTTGTTTATTCTAACGAGATGCCTTGTGGTGTGGGAACTACATGACTGACACCGCTGGATATAGCTTCGATTTCACCGGAACCGAGGGCACCGAGACTACCAGCGGTTGCTCTCCCTGGGGCACCGACGCCAAGTGCCAGATTGCCATCAACTTGCACGGTTGGTGTGACAACTACCAGCCCAACTCCCCCAAGGTCTCTTCCATCACCTAGTACGTCCATCGATGTCCATCCTTCTCGTCGGTCACATTCTGACTTCATCCGCAGTGACAAGGCCGGTATCCTCGGTATCACTGTCAACTCCAACAAGTCTCTCGTCGGAAAAGGATCGGCCGGAGCCATCAAGGGTAAGGGTATTCGCATGGTCAGCGGAGCCAAGAACATCATCATCCAGAACATTGCCATCACCGATCTCAACCCTCAGTTCGTCTGGGGCGGTGATGCCATCACCCTCAACGATGCCGACCTCGTCTGGATTGACCACGTCACTACTGCCCGCATTGGTCGCCAGCACATTGTCCTCGGTACTAAGGCCGATAACCGCGTGACCATCTCCTACTCCCTGATTGACGGCCGCTCCGACTGGTCTGCTACCTGCAACGGACACCACTACTGGGGTCTGTACCTCGACGGCTCCAACGATATGGTTACTCTTATGGGCAACTACTTCTACAACCTTAGCGGACGTATGCCCAAGGTCCAGGGCAACACTCTCCTCCACGCCGTACGCTTCCTTTATCCCGATCAATTCTCCCCATATCCTCAGCCACGCTAACGAGAAGACACAGGTCAACAACCTCTTCCACAACATCGACGGCCACGCCTTCGAGATCGGCCAGGGTGGCTACGTCCTCGCCGAGGGTAACGTCTTCCAGAACGTTGGCGCCGTTGTCGAGTCTCCCATCCAGGGCGGTCTCTTCAGCTCCCCCGATGCCAACACCAACTCGCAGTGCCGCGCCGTTCTCGGCCGTTCCTGCCAGCTCAACGCTTTCGGTGGCTCCGGCTCCATGAACGGTGCTGACACCAGCATCCTCAGCAAGTTCCAGGGCAAGAACATTGCCTCTGCCCGTGCTCCCAACAACATCGCTTCCTGGACCATGGCCAACGCCGGTGCTGGCCACGTTTAAGGTGCTTGTATGAAGCGTTCGCGTGAGACTGTCGTGTGCAGTCTGTGTACTTCTTCTTTTTCTTTTTCTTCTTCTTCTCCGGGACTAGATCTCGCTTTTTCTATCTTTTTTATTATTTTGTTATATATAGTTCAGCTTGCTGTTCAATCTATAATTTCTTCTTTGCATAGTATACATGAATGATAAACTTGACGTCCAAGTAGAGTTGTAGTCGATAGATTGTGATCATCGGTGGACTTTCTAACAGGGTAACGATGTGCAATTCCATATTAATTGACGGGTATTGTTTTATGCTTGCATCATAAACTGGATGACTCAGCAATGCTGTTCGTTGTGAATCTCTCGGGCTTTTTACCACTTTGGGACTCCCGGAGTCCTGTGCATCTCCACTGCGGTTTCATGTGGAATTGAGTTTGTTTTTGGTTTCTTCTACCGACAAAACCATGGTCGCCAGATTCAAGGACTGTTTCCAGATGGGGAAGGGCTGTCCCAGGCTGGGATTTAGGGCTAGTATTGGCAAAGAAGTAAGGCAATACCGGGAGATCCGTCGTGAAACTGGGATGCTACGTATCACTGGTTTCGAAAGAATGCTCTAGAATTCATGCGGACATCCACATCCTGGATCCCTGGCAGTCTTTTGTTATATGACAGGTGGACCCTTCTTGAGCTCCTGGTTGGTCAAAATGCACGTATGGCGCATTCTGGTGACTTGTTGGTCTCCGGCCCGGGCAACATTGACCTTTAATCGTATAGGCTATTGTTCCAGACAATCTATTCTGGTACATTGATGAGAATGCAGCGAATAAATAAAGTTACTCCATCGGCATTTCTTGATCACTCACGGGAATTGAATTGGCTGGCTGGCGGTTCCTATGGACAAGATATCGCTCGAAGTGAGACGAAACCATCCTTTGACTGGGTATGTATCACAAATACACCATTTCTTCTATGAACTTTTGATTAGCTACTGGATCGTAGGAACGACATGCATTTAATTGTTTTTCGAATCCCTACGCTGAAAAGGGCCGACCATGGTAGTAGATCATGAGTCGTTTCGTGTTCTAGTCACCGATTTAGGGTTCATATGCCCAAGCGTGTACGACTAGAGCAAAAGCCATAGCCAAGGCAATGGTCAGTCCTTGTATGTCCATGATATGGCCTCGTGGTCTTGCGGTATATATCTCGACCGTAACATACTTCTCCTACTGATGCTTAGCCGTGTTTATTTGTTGGTGTGCCAGTCAACCTAGTTATCTGTCGTCAGCTACACCATGCAGTGAGTGGCGCACCCTTCTCTATTTTGCCACTGCTTCATCTTGATACTGCCTCAAGGAGCGTCTCATTGTATGAGTCAATGGATTGCGGGGTTCCGATGGTAGCATCAGGATACCGATCTATTACCATCAATGGGACACGGAGCAAAGATTGCGCCATCTTGTCTACGCTCTGTACGGGTTTTATTTCGCAGTGGTGTATTGCAGCGGGCACAATGATGGCTCAGCCGATGATACCCGGACAGGATCGCAATGTTATCGATGCGATGCGAGAGAGGAGGGAAGGGATGACCCATGACCTGGAGCTGGAAGCCAACCCCTCGATGGACGCAACAAGCGCCTCTCTTATCTTGATTACTTCTGCACGTTCTCCGTGAGCCAAAGTGGTGATGTCTTGCTCGAGTTTGATCTAGTTGGACAATTTGCCGCTTTGGGGCCCATCTCCAGTCTTTCGCTTCAATTTCATGCGGAAAAGGATCCCCTCGTCAAAGATCGCTAAGCCCAGGCAGAGAACGCAGCTCGTGTATCGCTGTAATCCCAGCTATAAACCATACCCGGTTTGTCGAGCTTTGCAGTAGCACGGATGCAGGCAGGTTACAAGGATGGTAGGAGCAAAGTCAATTCGATCCATCGCCACCATCAGCAGCAATATGCAAGCTTGAAACCTGGATGACGTGTCGATTCAAGCCACTTTTGCGACCCTTGGAGACAAGGCGCAGATTCTGCTGCATCGTGTGATGTCACTTCCTGATTCATGTCACACAGGGCTGCGAGTACGCATCATCATCTCTGCGTTCCGTTAAGCAGGATCATCCACAAGGACCATTGTCCACTGTGAAGGCCTGGCTGGGTGCAGTGCGAACACGAAGAAAGGAATTGCGAGAAGCTGAGTACTGCGGAGAAAAGGTGGGAAGTCAAAGTGATCGACAGTCCATCTATCTTGATTAGCCCCACTTAGTGAGAGTAGCTGATTCCAAGGCGATCAAATCAACAATCACGCCTTGCTGACGACCGACCACGCCATAGATAGATCCCTGAAAGGCCAGTTCATCTACAGCGGGTCGACCGACCCAAATAACGATCGAATTACCGATGAAGCTCTCGCAGCTGAAGCCAACCCCCCACCGCACCCTGCAGCTTACATGGATCTCTCCCGGTTCTGCTCCTACACAAAATCCCTTGGTCAATCCAAATAGATTAACTACCCCGCCCCAGCTTCAGGCCGAGGCTTGCCTCGATCCCTCTGTTCTTTCGCCACTGGTGTCACAGAATGATCATTCGTCTGCCCTCCCACGGGACTAGACAAGGTCGGACAAGATCGTTCGAATCGTACCAACCCCGGCGGGAAGATCAGACACAGAAACAGGACGGGCTCCGGATCTGGCGGGCTAGAATGGTATACCCCGCGATGTTCCAACGCCTGCAGTCAGGAGGTCTGCAGGTCTGGTCAAGAGCGAGACGCTGGCTTGGATTTCCAGTTGGATTCGGCGAGAGGAGCCCTCAGACTTGTCGAACTGTGCTGTATAAATAGTTGAGCGACGCTCGCCTGAGTGCTATCCACTCTTAAACTATCCTCATCAGGTCTTATTCCAGTATCCATCCTTTTCGAAATCAGCATGGCTGGTCTTTTCCGTGATGCCACCACCGGTGTGGTCAAGGGGGTAGTGGGAACAGCCAAGGACACCGCCCCGATTGTGAGTTTTTAAACTTTCCGGCTCTCGCGACTCATATTGAAAATCCTCCTTCCGCTAACTCATCTGCAGGCTTTGGAGTACCTTCTGCAACCAGCGGGGTGCCCGAGTCCAAGATACGACTACTTTCAAGACGTACCTCAATATTTTGAATGAAAAGGTGAGTTTTACGGGATTCCTCATTCCCCGAGGGAGTCCGTAAGCATGGTTCAAAACAGGCTCTATGCTGACCCTCACTTGTACGAAGTCGAGTACCATTGGTGTGAGTTCATGCCAAAAAACATTCATACTGTCCTCTTCTACATTATTGAGGCGTGTGCTTACACTCAACAATAGGACGTGACCGAGGATAACGCGGATACCTATCGAGTCTACCTCAAATCGAAGAAGACCATCGAAGATCCCTACCATGGCCTTATCAACCGGGGTATCAAGGTCGACGTGGATGTAAGAGGCTTCAGCGCCTGTGAAAACGACAGATAGTTGGAAGACCAGAAGAGCTGACTTGCCTTGCAGAAGAAGATCGCGGGCCTCCCAGCAACCACCCAGCCGAAAGCGCCAGAAACCCCGACGACATTCAGTCACAACATTTTCTTGAATCCTACGACCACCTTCAACATCGTCCACCCTGCGGATATGAATGAGAAAAACTGGAGTGTGGTCATGCGAAGCAACTCCCTGCTTCATGCTTACCGGGTTCTTGATCTCGGTGAAAAGGGAGGGAAGTTTGTGGAGAGGTCGTTGTACCCAAGTGCGTGGTCAGCCCCCCTAGGTCGAGGAATCTTTGACTAATTGTAACTATGCAGGCTTTGTTCTGAAGCCTCGCAGCTTCTGGAACTATCAAATCAGCGCCACGGCCGAGGTGGACTCAATTGCGGAGCAAAAGGTGAGCATCACGTGGTCCCTCGTGCCCTCGTTCCTGTTCTCGTCTGACAGACATCATAGCAAACGATTCGAGTCCCGCGCTTCCGCATCGACGATGACTCCTATATCCGGCAATACGAGCAGAAAACGTCTGTCTCTCGAGCTATTGCGGAGGCATGTCTATCGGAGACCGACGCCAAGCTTGCCATGTGAGTTCCTATCGGCCTGCCTGTCATTAAGGATCACGTAGGGCTAAATGGGAATCAACAACAGCGAGGGTGGTGCGTTCGGATACAGCGCCAGTGCGTCCGCCAGCTGGGGGGAAAGCAAATCCTCGTCCTCGTCCTCAAGCACCAAGGAGGATACTCGAATCATGACGATCACCTATAATGTGAGATCTCACTTCGCCCAATTGACGTTTTCTCGCTAATACATGCGCGACCGATACAGTTCCCACGGGTCGTCATCGACTTTGAACCTGCGGAGCTTGACCTTTCCGAGGACATGAAGGCTGATCTGGCCAAGGTGGATTCAGCCGATGCGGTCGATGTGTTTAAGAGTAAATACGGTAGGCAGGCCTTCGCCATATACATTCGCCATATACATTACGAAGGGGAGGGGAAGAAGAAGAGAATCTAACATATTTTCAAGGCCGCTTCTTTGCCACCCGAGTGCAACTAGGAGGCAGACTCCATTCCAGTGAAGAGAGCACCAGTACCGATGCCGCTGCCAGCGCGGCGCAAGCCAAGAGCATGCGCGCGGCCGCGGCCTTTTCGTTCTCCTCGCCGTGGGTCCAGGCATCTGGCAGTGTCAGTCACAGCAATTCGTCCAACTCCAGCTCGGAGAGCAAGGATAGCGCGTCGACCAGTACGATCTCCTGGGAGGCCCAGGGAGGTGACACTCTACAGTGCAACAAGTGTGTATTGTCTTTGTCTCATTCTTTCTTGCCTTTGCACACACTAACCATGTCTCCGCAATCTGCAGTCCCCCGGCCTGGGCCTACACTGTCGGCTCTTTCTACAACTGGCGAGTCGTCAAGCAAACCAAAGTTGTCTCTCTCGAAGAAATCATCTCCGCCGTCCCCGGATATCAAGACGTTAAGGAGAATTTCGCGACCCTTCTGGCCGCCCGGGACAAGAAAGACGCCAAACCCGAGCCGAAACCCAAGGCCCCTGCCCAGCAAACCATTAAGTTCAAGATGTCAATTGGCATCGATAACGCCTATCTGGCCCTTCCAACCACTCCCAGTAGCGATAGCTATGGTGCGCCCCAGTCCCTTCCCTTCTTGCTTTCTTTTTTTCTTTTCTTTTTTTTTTTTTTTTTTTTTTTTCTTTTTGAAACGGTTCTGCTGACATCCCTCCCTTCGTCACAGGCCAATTGATCGAGAAGCTGGTGGATGCAGAGGACCCAGTCACAGCTGAGCGATTGAACTTCCTGAGTGAGCTATCGACCGAACGGAGCGAAAGTGTGCCCTTGCAACTCCTGCAAAAAACAGAAGGAGCGATCAAGGAATTCGCTGTCACCACCGACAAGAAGGACCAGCATAAGGTTATTATCACCCAAGCTTTCTTAAAAAAAGAAAACCCAAGCTAACCGTCCACCAATCCAGCTCAAACTCTACCACCCCTACAAAATCCGCACCGCCGGCGGCGGCGACGCCAGCAAGGAACGCTGGCTGGGTGTCAACCCGACCCTCCCGGGCTATCTGACGGAGGCCATAATCTGGGCCGGCAAAGCCGAACACGCCACCCACTTCGCGTTCGTCCCTTACTCTCTTTCTCCCGTGACCGCTTACGTAGAGCCCGGGACGGTCTTACAGCTCGTCTTGTATGACCGGGAGAAGCAGCAGCTCGGCTCCGCCAGCCCCTGGTGGGCCAAGGCCGAGCTCGAAACGGACGAGGACCCTCCCACCTACCCCTCCAAAGTCGGCACGGATACCCGTTGGTTTAACCGCTATTACGCTCCTTTCCTTATCGAGTACAGCTAGGAACAAACTCAGGCGGGATATTTTGCGAGAGAGGAGGTCAGGAGGCGGAACATGTGGGAGGGTAGGGAGACGGGGCCGAAAGGCTGGCTGGCTTGACTTTTTTTTGATTGTCACCTCAACCTTTTTTTTGCTTTTCTTAATAGTTCATTACAGTATTGTAAGTTGTTTTGATCGTGCCTTAAATGATTCCTCTCCCTCTCGTCCATCTATGTAAACACGTAGTATATATAGCGCAACTCAACGCGACTCCAAGGCCACACCAAATGCATCCATAGCAACCCAACTTGCGATGCAACCACGAATAGAAGCATTCCAATCACATCCTTTCTGTAGAAAGAATGACGCACATTACATCAAAATCAACAACATCCACAAACCCCTGACCCTCAAATCCCAGGTCCATGGATGACATCATGGCGGTGACCTCATGTCCCACCCTCTGCGCCGTTCCCATTGGCCACCCGCATTCCAGAGGCGCCCGCCATACCCGATCGGGGGGATTGTATATCAGCATCGACATCAAGATCGACGATCTTTCCTGTTCGGCAACGCTCCTCTCCACTAAACGCCCTACACGCATGGTCCTGAGGGAACTCTGCCCTGTATTACATCATGTTGTTGCAGTCCGGTTCTGGAGGTCGATGGGGTATTTAAATTTGTGTCTCCTGCCCTGCATCTCATTAATCTATCTGCAATCAATCCATCTGCAACTAAACAAACTACTACCCACTCTTCTATTTGATACCAAAGACACATTCTATCTATCCACAATGGGCAAGCTCTCCGAACTCACTTCCAAGGTCACCGGTGGCAGTAGCCACGGCAGCCACGGCCACCACGGCGCCTCGGCCGGCGGTCCCAAGGAAGACTACGTCGACAAGGGTATGTCTACATTCGCTCTCTTCAGATCCTCAACTGATTGATCGGTATATAGGTCTCGACTCGCTCGAAACCAAGTACGGCCACGGCAAGATCAACCCTCACGATCCCAAGACTCGTGCCACCAACGAGAAGATCACCGATGCTGCGCGTCACAAGTTCGAGAGCGCTACTGGGTGGGTTCCCTGTATTTGTTGTGGTGGTATGGGGTATGTTGCTAACAGATGGCAGGAAACATGTTCCGTCTAAGATCTCGAACTAGGTTCATGGACATGGTTATGAGTGTATGATATTTGGTGGGAGGATCTCTTTTTGTTGATACTTGATACCTGATATACCCGATTGATGGTTTAATGGATGCTTTATTTCAACTTTTTATTGGGTGAATGCTTAGTAAAGTGGGACTGGATTTCTGTTTTTGTAGGTTGTATGGTCGATTTAGCTTTTTGGATTGGAGAGCCGGTACAGTGTCGAGCTGGTTCTGGCTCTTCATGACTATTCCCATCCGGAGGTTATGGAAGTGATGGTTACCATTAATAGTACCGCCGAGTCGGCAGAAGCAAGTGCGGCTGTCAGCAAGTCAACTGCTTCTTGACCCGAATAATGCAGTCCGTAATTTTGAATCAATGTGGCTCTCCGTTTTCTCTTCGTCTTGTGAGCCAGAAAGGGGATATTGTTTACTCAGTCCCGGACCGGTACCCAAAAGCTGCCTCAGGCTCCAACTGCTGGACTGACGTCATCGATGCTTCTGCGGTAAACGGAACGTAAATCCAATTCTAGACTGATCGGAAAATCTCCGATGTACCTGAGAACGGAGTGAAAATCAACAAGGTATTGAGTTCCAAGTGACAGAGCGTTGCACCTAATAGCTCGTGGGAGAATATGACCGTGGTGCTTAGCCTTATGCAAAGTATAAATATGCCAATCGACCTGAAAGAGTCAATACTTCTTGCGTGTTGTTTAGATGAGATCAGCCCACTCGTATTAAATGAGAAGTTATGAGTTGACACAAATATAGCAGCCTAGAAATGGCCCCCAGTGGCTGTGCAGCCCTAGAGCTTAGGTCCCCGCCATCCTTCTTATCATCGTTTTCGACTTTTCAACCTCACCATCCTCATCATCGCTCCAGCTTCACCTATCAACTCTACGCCATGTCTTCAGACCCCCAATCCCCTCGCTCCCAAGCCCTCCGCTACATCTCCGATTCCCGATTCCACCGGCTCTTCAAACATGGCGAGCTCACATTCACCTACGCAGATGTCGGCGTCCCATCCGACACGACCATCCTCTTCATGCCCGGCATGTTCGCATCGCGATATCTCGCGGTCTGGATGCACGCCATCGCAAAGACCGTCGGCGTGCGCGTATTAGTGGTTGATCGGTAAGTCCATTCATTTCTCTCTCGGCGTACATATAACTATTCTCGTGCTAAATGACGTGAATTCAGTCCCGGAATGGGCTCCTCCACCCCCGTCCCTCTCGAACAGCGCGTCTCCGCATGGATCGACCTCGTCCCGGCGCTTCTCTCGCATCTCAACATCCCCCACGTCGCGCTGGCTTCGCATAGCGCTGGCATGATATACCTGCTCAACACGCTCCATCACTGTCGAGACTTGCTTCATCCGGAGAGGCCGTATGTTGCGTTTCTAGGTACCTTCGCCCTACCCCATACCATATTACCCTATATCCACACATACTAACATATGATATAAAAAAGCACCCTGGGTAAACCCCACGCACAGCCGCATCACCAGCATGCAACTCGCGCAACACCTCCCCATGCCCGCCTTCAGCATCTGGAACCAGATCCCGCGCTTCCTCCTCCTCACCGCGACCCCGGTGTTCGAGAGCAGCGGCGCCCTCGTCAACAAGATGTCCTCGATAAGTGGGAGCGCGCCGGTGGAGAGCGCGTCCGGCTCTGGCTCTGCGCAGGTCGAACGGGGTCGGAGGCGGATGGAGTCCAAGCATGGGGTTTCGAGAGATGTGCAGAGGGAGTTGGAGACGCTGGTGTTTCGGTTTATGTTTGAGGAGGGGACGCAGGGCGCGAATGATGAGGCTATGCAGTGTCTTTGTAAAGGCGGGGTGGGGTCTTGGGGGGTGGCTGGGGATTATAGGGGGTTTGTGGGGGGGTTGGTTGATAGGGAGAGGGAGAGAGGGAGGGGAGATAGGAATGGGGGAGGGAGGTTGGTGGTGAGAGGGTTTTTCGCGGAGAGTGATAGTATGATCGGGGAGAAGGGGAGGGGGTATGTGGAGAGGTGTTGGACGGGGAGGGAAGGGATGGCTGCAGATACTAACAGTGAGGGAGGGGGGGTTGACGATGTGTGGGATTTTGAAGCGGTTGTGGTTAAAGGAACAGACCATAATAGTGTGATGCAGGAGACTGGGCTGTTTGAGAGGATCTTTCGTGAGGCTGCGGGGCGATCGTGACTATGAAGGGGCAGTGAGAGGAGGGTTTCTCTGGTCTCGTGATGCGACATGTCGCTGGTAGGCGAGTCGGATGCAACGAATAGCTTCATTGTGGCCCAATCGGGAAATGCCATGAACCTGCCGTTGATTGGTTGGTTTGGAATCCACGTGATGGGACCGTCTCGGCCTGGAAGAGCCTCCGCGGAAAGCCATACTCACTCGGGCAAGATCGCCCTTGAGGATAATTTTATTTCAAGATCACCACAACCCAACTCACTCTCCAGCACAGCTATCTATTCCAATCCTAGCCAACCCAACCAGTTGGGACCATCCACCATAAGCGGATCCGACATCCATATCTACCTATAGTCTTGCATTGAGGTTATCATACCAAGACTGCTCATAACTCTACAGCACTAGTCACTCACTTACTACTCCGTATCACGCAATCGATCACCCAATCCAACCTACAAGGTCGCCATACGGCAACAGCCAACATGATAAATGGTATTATGCTATAAACAAAAAAATCCCGCAATCGCTAACTTTTCCATGCAGTCCATGCAGACCAAATCAATAAACCTCAACGCCACGATGCATAACCTGGTAATCCCACACCGCATAGCCCCATTCCCAGCCCTGGAAATTCGCCAGGTCCCGCACGGACAGATCGTCCGCTGCAGGGACCGGTGACGGCGACCGCGACGGAGACGACGCCTCAGCTATCGAGATGTCGTCGCGCGGGAAGATGCCCTTTTCTTGCCAGTGCTGTTTCCAGCCCAGGCTGGGTTCGATGGGGCTGAGACTGCGACTGGGACTGGGGCATGGGCTCGGGCTCGAGGGACCAGCCTCGACGCCGTCACCAACCTGTGCGTCTGCCATCGGCAGAGATGGGTTTGTTACGACCTGCACGAGATCCTGGAAGGAGGATTTCGAGGAGATGGAATTACTGATCACTAGACGCCAGCTGTCCTCGCGGCTGGGCTGGTGCGCCGCCTTGTAGAGGAAGCTGGGTCCTAGCGAGACCAGATGGTTACAGTAAATACTGCAGTCATCAGCGTCGTCGGCTGTTGCGGAGTTAGCGCGTCAAGAAGTTGGATAGCAATGGAGAATCAGGGAGAAGCAGTAGCCTATTTGGAGCATACGCGGCGCAAAAAACACACACAAAACAAAGAAAAGCAACGGAAAAAGAGAAGCATTACCATCTTCACTCGGATACAGCTCCCACGGGTCCACGGGCATTGACTTGGGCCGCATCGCCCGCCAGCGAGGGTCGGACCGGGGGAACTCGCGAGTGATTTGGTCGAAGAGATGGGTGTATTCGTTGCGCATGAACACCCAGACAGACCCGAACTCCTCCACCTCCCACGTCGCCATCCCGCCGAAAAACAGGCTCCACATGCGGTCGATCGTGAAATTCCTGTACCACGTCGACGAGGTCTGTTTGCCCGACGGGGACGCCGCGGAATCCAGTGCGCCGTCTGTGCTGGGGTCCGTCCACTCGCGCGACCCGAAGATGTTGCAGTATGTCTGTAGCCGGCAGAGAGCGCGCAGGATGCGCGCTTTTTCGCTGGCCGAGGGTCGCAAGGGGAGATTCTGCTGCCAGGCCTCCGGATCGGCCCAGGGGGGACACGGTGCGCGCGCGCAGTAGGCGCGCAGCAGGTATCGCAGCTTCTGGTAGAGGTGGAGGAGGCGCATGCTTTCGGGGATGGGTCGGATGCCAGCGGAAGGAGGCAGGGGGGATTCCCGATGGCAGCGAAGACGGTCTAGGAGAGTGGTTATTTGCGACTTGTGCTGGGAGACCTCGGCGTGGAGGCCTTCGGACTCCAGAGCTGCCAAGGGTTCTTCGAGGTCTACTAGGCCATATTGCCGCTGGACAAGCTCGTGGAGAATGTCCTTCTTGGCCAGGCAGTAGGTGTCATGGTACAAGGGGGAAGCATGGATCAGGTCCTCTAGTGTTTGCTCGTTAGGAAGGGACTTGAGAATGATGATGCGCAGCTCTGTTGGTAAGCTTTCAAACGCCATGATGGATTATGGACAAGAATGATGATGTATGTGACATTGGCCAGGCAATTCAGCCCGGCAGGCCATTGGAAGGACCCGGGATACTTATAGGGACAGAGTTTTCAGGCCGCTGGGACCGGTGGTAGCCGGACGGTGCAAAGCGCAAGAACAAAGGCAGGAATTCGTCATTTGGTGAAGCGCTTGGCGGTTTGTCAGAGCATCACTCGTCTGACACGGTGCGTGATTTTTGATAGGCCGGGGGCGCCGAGAACTGGGGTAATGGTGTAAATCTTAGGTAAAAGAACGCAAAATTCCTCCGTGGCCGACCAGTCTAGGTCCAGTTGGCAACGCCTTGTGTGGGGGAGCGACCGGTCCGGTCTGCACGGGGAACGACATCCCTGGTTCACTGGATGAGCACGGCTTCAGTAGTGGTTGCGCGGTGAAAATTTCGATGCGGAATGGGGCCTCCTGCTTTTTGCGGGGGGCGAAGTGATGTCATTCCAGGCTGGATTCCTACTCCGGAGATGAAAATCTCTCACCGCCGTGCATAACCCCCGTCTTATTGCAGGCGGTCTACGTGTCACGTCCTCAAGGTCCCACTGCAGTCCCGGGGGTATGGACTCTGGCCCCTTGCGGTATGGGTCTCATTCAATGGCGTGATCCTGGATGCTGAGGCCAGGTTTTGTTGGGGTGATGCCATTATTCATGTCAGCCTTCTGGCCTGTCGATCCAGGGGTAATCGGCTACTAGTCGCTACTAGCTGCCAATGAATTCGACTGCTATTGCCTGGAGTAATGCCTGGATTAAAGGGGTGAACCTGTTTATTCCCTCATTCATCAACTCGAAAATTTCTACTCAACTCTGGTGGTTTTATTAACTGGTACTCATTAACTCCGAGGATAACCACTCCCCAACTCCTTAGTGAATGCATAAATATATTACCCAGCTGACTCATTCACAGTACCTCGCCTGATTGATGAAGTAGTCTCATTTTCCCTTCCTCTTCTGTAAATAATCCAGTCCTCATTCTACCACTGCATATTGATCGATTTTCATCTTCGAACACCTTTGCGCGATTCTATTGGCTTATAGACTGCTCTTTCAAAGCTTCAAAGTGGAAATAAGCTCATAGCCGTTCAAAATTCGAATATCCAGGTCTCCCATGGTCTGGAAAACACTCCCAACAGGCTAGGTTGTTAATAGTTCGACCTTTCCAGGAAAAGAAGATGTCCAACATCCACAAAAAGTGCCTGATGCACCTGCCTCCTGCGTGGAACGGCCCTCCACCGATGCCTCCGTACTCATCCCGATCCAGAGAAGAGTATTTTGAAGTGGAGGCTTGAAGATGTTCCCCGTTGGATCTTGAAGCCACCGAAAAAAAGATATTGCCAGTCACAAAAGCCTGCTGTCAAACAAGACCAACCGACCTTGAAAGGACAATACAAATCTTGAGTGTTTTTATATCTTTTCGCAAACATGAATGCAAACAATAATTCAGTCAGAAAAGCAGAAAGTCCAAGGATAAGTGAACGAATAGGGCAGTGCAATAATAACCCACACCCGAAGAAAACGGTCCAAGAATGATGATTGCCCAGACCCAGACGAAATATATCAGATGGACTTTTCATACATGCCGCGAAGACTCATCTCTGTCCAAAGCCCGTTGACACCAATCTGAATCAGCGCCTCAACGAGGTGAGAGAATGCATTACAAGGTGACTCACTTGAGAAATACCACGACCAGCCAGTATAAAGGCTTAACTGCCCCCCAGAACTATCGAATCCACAGTCACTTCTCCAGACGACAGTCCCTTCCCGGCTCCCATTTGTCACCGTTCGGGATACGTTTTGAGTCTGATTAATCGCGGTGATTTTCCGACTGAACTAGTCTACACCAGCTTCTCAGTTCCTGATACTGCCGCTATCTGCTGAAACCTCAACAAATTCGAGGATATTAAAAATCTATGTTTACAGTGTGTTTCCCCGCATGTCTACAAATGGTATTGGAATCTAACACGCTCATAGATTCGAGTGTAACTCCAAGACAAAGGAAAAGAACCTAAGGTTGAAAATGCCAACACATCTTCAGCACATATTTCAATGATGTTCCGGGCGCATGATAGCAGTTGGGACCCACGAAAAACGTTTTAAATCCCAGAAGAACACATCTCTACCACAAACCCAACACAAGGAAGTCAATATAGCCTCGAAAATATGGCACCAAGCCCCCCCCAAAGTCGTCTACGTCGTCTTACATCCAGCATGGCCGCACATCGCAGAGAGTCAACATCCTTTCAACTCTATATGAACAAGGAAGGCCGTCCCATTCACACCGCGCTATATCGCACGTTTATACCAAAGTCCGCGAACCATGGAGATTCTCTCAACAGCATAGTCCTTATAGAATCACTGATGATTCTGACAGCAAAGGCTAGTCCTACTCCAATGCATATGTTACAATCCAGTAAGATTCGTCCTTCGAGGAAGCCTCAAATGCGAAGAATGTTGCCCAACAGTGGGAGGTGTTGCGAATCTGCGAGTCAATGCAGATTTGTCAGGACGGTTGAAATGCATAGTCCTAGTCATGTCCTACCTGATTAATTTAGCCGGCCTAACCTGCAATCTCCATAGAGATTGCCGCAACATGCGCCTGACCCAAGATCAAGTTTCTACTTGATTCCAAGTTTTGCATTCCAAAGAAAACAGCGCAATGCCGATCGGATGCGTGCTAACCCGATGGAACCACATCATCCGAGACACATGCGGGGGTCTCCGCTTTCCCCGCATCTGGAATTGCCCAGCCTACTCTGGAGGAGCGAACAAGAGGAACTTCTACCTGCCACTGACTACCGTCTCGGATTCTCAGCAGTCTTAGGCAATTCTTGGTTCTAGGCCTCCTAGCCACGTTCCAAGTTCACTCCCCTCATTGAGTCACACTCATAAGATTAAGCTCAGGCAGCATCTAGTGACAGCCGCCCCTAAAAGCAGACATTGGAGTAATTCGAGGCGACCACTGCGAATGATAACCAGCATACCTGACGGACAACTAGAGGAAATCCGGAAGAAACAAAATATCCTTACGTATCGTTGGCTGTTCTTGCCGATAATATGACCTACGAGTGCCTTCGTCAGTTGGTCGACAAGGTCTTGAAGGGCACCAGTAGGTCACATGATTCTACTGCGTGTTTTCTTGGGTGACCTCCAATAAGAAACTCAGTGCAAACAGGTATTCAGAATGAGCATCCAAGGCCCATTTTTAGACCTGTCTTTTGCCGATTACAAGGCGACATTACACTGATTCATAAACGGCTGTTCTATTATGATTTCAAAATCAGTTAGTTGATGTCTTTTCCATGCCTGCCACCTTCACCATCCTCATGACGGAGTTCAAGGCTGGTTGAGGTCGATAATCGTGGTATGGATAGAGTCCATAAGGATTAAGTCGATAAATTGATGACATCAAAGCGAAGCTTCTTACACAGGAGAACATCTCCGAGGGAGAATAAAGCCTATGTCTGTACCAGGGTAGATGCCATTCTGTTTACGACTCTCGCTAGCAAAAAGAGGGCCGAAATGGTTAAGCAGAACTCCCGGGGTACCCCTCAGTTATATTTCAGCTGGAAACTACGATCAAGCTACCCTGATTCTTAGAGAAGGAAAAGGTCATGCTGTCCGGCCACAACTCCTTTCCCATGGCCGAACGACGGGTTTGTATGCTAATCTGTATGGGGGACAGTCTTTCTGCCAGTCTCGCGCTGTCTCGACCGTTTCTGTCTGCCAACATGCCTCACAAGGAGGCCAAGAAGGTCCGTTTTACGGGCGTCTCCCTGGTCGTCTTGTATTTCGATTTCCTGGTTATACCAGCGGAGCACAGTGTGAAACACGAGAACGGGAGACCTTTTACGAACAGAAACAAACAAGACCCTGGAGAGGGTTCTCAACTCCTTTCGGAATGATTTCCATCAGAGCGATACAAAAGGAATTCGGAAGAATCAAATGTCTCTGGAAAATGTCATATTTCGCCTGCAATGCCAGATTTTAATCGAAGACAGTTTGGTGATTCTCGGAAAGCAAAAAGGCATATGGCTCCCTCTGGATTTTCGGCCTAAAGTTCGACATTGGGATCAGAAACAAAGGGATTTAAGAAATAATATATTTGTCACTGTAGTATTCAAAAAGCAGATTTATTCTATATGGTTCAATCTAGAGAAGATGTCCGCTGAACAGTTGCAGATCCCAGTGTGAAATAAATTCTCTGCGGAGGCCTTCACTAGACAGAATGAGGAGAAAGATCTCGAAAAGAGCCAAGGTCAATCCCCATATGCTCGATAATAGATGAAAACATATCCTCATCACATATATGGCCGTTTATCTATTATCTAAATTGAACAGTAGCGTACTACCACTCAAAGGCCAGTCTATATCCGACCAATTATTTCTCATCCAAGCTCCCCTTCCCCCCAGTCGAACCCTCCACGCATGTTCCATTCCCAAACATCGCCCTAGCAGCCGCACTCCACACACTCTCTTGACGAAGATAGTTCCCCAGCGTGTAGAAAAGCCTACACTCCGCCGCCTCGTACACAAACTGCAGCGGAGTCTCCGTATCACTCTGCACGTACGCATTCCGCAGATTCAGCCCGCCGTCAATCGTGTGGAGAGGGAAGTCTTGCGCAGAAATCGGCAGCGTCTCGTTGTACTGCTTCCATTCCTGACGCGACATGATCGGCTTCGATCCGCGTAGAGACTTGGCGACTAGTTCATGCGCGGTACTAATCCAGCTGTAGATAAAACCGATATCGATCGATTGGCTGCCTTTCACGCCGCCCATGGCTTGCATAGGCTCGTGCCGGGGTCGGCCGCCGAATGCGATTGAGCGCACGCCTTGAGATTTCATGAGCTTGACGAAGGTGGTGCAGGTTGAGGCGCAGAAGCCGTCCGTTATCTAGTTTGATATTAGACTGTGTGAAACGGGTTGGGGAGGGTGCAAAGCACTTACGATTGTGATGTCTTCGGGTGCGAAGAGTGCCTTAGCAGGATTCTGTGGAACAGACCCGTAGCCGTTGATCGGGTACAGGTCCGACGCAGAAGATAGCGCCGTGTAGTTGTAGACACCGGCGAGGCTGGACATGTTTGCGCCGAGTATCTCGTGAGGGCCATACAGCTCTTTCCAAGATGCAAAGGCCTCCTCCTGGTCTGGGGTCACGGCCATCTTGTACGGGAACGGGTTCGACTCGTTTGCCAAAGAGCCCAACTGGGCGGACTCGTTGAGATGACCAAAGCTCCGTCCGATGAAATCAACGGCCGGGTGGGCCCTGAATCGTGATCCGATGTACATTGGCTCGCCGGGGAAGAATACCTGGAACAGATTGATGCCACTGACGATTACACCGCCGGGGTTTCCCGATAGGTCGATGATGATCTTCTTCTTGCCAGCAGCGGTGGCGTTGCGGAGGAAGCTCGCAGCAAACTCCGTGGTGGCTGATGGCAACGCATCAAAGGTTGGAACTGATAGAACTGCTGTATCACGCAGTGCGGTTTCGTTGGAGAAAAACCCGAAGGTCACATTATTTTTGTCACTAAAATTCGGCTTCGGGTACCCGGCGGCGGCACGCATGAAGCGTTTTGATGATGAAGAATTTGACGGCCCGGGCAGAGCCGTGGGGGAGCAGAATCTATTGTAGACTGCCGTTCCGTTTCTATAGCTGAAGTCTACAATGTCTGAAGTAGCCCGTGTCTCGACATTTTTGACGGTACCATTGGTGAACTTGAAATCCGAGGACGGACCGGGCCAGATTTCAGTGCTCGCCCAGAGCCCTTTCGCTGTCTTTGACGATCGAGACAAGGATGGAAAGGCAACATTGTACCTGATCTGGTTAACTTGTGATCCTCGCATAAAATTTAACCTGATGGAGAATATAGAAATCATACCGAGCATCTGGGTCTTGTGACCCCTGAAGGGATGTGTATTTCTCCAAGTATTCGACCACATCAGTCCCATTGATGGATTTAAGGGGAGACACATTCTTGCTTCCCTTTCCTAGAAGTTTCGCATCATCTAACGAGAATTAGTCGCAATACCACCAATTTGGAGGAACTAGCATACTAAGTGTATACACCTGAGGGAGCTGCAAGCCGTCCGAAGATATAGACACAAGTGGCTCCTGGTGAGTGAATTCGAAGTATGAAGTCGAGCATGGTCTGACAGAGAGATGGCCATCATTCGCCGACTGGATGAGACGCTGCAGGTCCTCATCGGCCTCATATTGGCTATGGTACTTCCCATTCCTAATATTGTCCTGGATTTGGTCCAGTCCTCCCATGAGGTCGATCGCAGGCACCATGTACCCGGATGGGGGATCTAGCAGGTCAGTAAGCAGATTACTCAACACATATTTCGATAGACACACCTTTCAGAACGTCAATGGTGGACTGAAATTGAAGGTATTTGCGGTATTCATCGATAACCGACAAAGCCGGAGGAGCTTTGATGGGCATAGACAAGAGGCAGCGATGAGCCAGGTCGCCCGAAACCTCAAAAGATGCTGTATTATGGAACAGTTATTAGCCATTCCAAGCCTCTTTTGGTAACTTTGAGGATACAGTTTGATTTGCTTGATTTGGCGAACAGGTCGCTCACTTGGGCGCATGGTTCTGGCTGCGCATGCGCAGTGCTGGCAGCCGTCAGGGCCGCCAAAGATAAGCCAGTCACTTTAAGCCACATGATAAATTTTCCAAACGGTAAAGCCAGTTGGAATACCAGTGAAGATATTCAATTTTCTCATCTTGTTGTCAAGGCCTGAGACCATTTAAATAACAATCCAGATAGCACTCGGGTCCCGAGAAACAGGCCCGGGAATTCGGATCGTCGTTGAACTTGACTACATGCACTACTTGTCATTGCATCGTGGAGACACTAAAACGTCTGGGGTAAGCATCGTCGTTGCTACAGCTCGGGAGCCTTGTCCAAGTGGACCTTTCGCGGTGCCCGACAGACCCGATTGCCCTTTCTAGAAACTCCACCTGAGCAGAAAGGTCACGGCGAGGATCGGAGGCTATGCTTAACTGCTGCCTTGATCGCACAGGTGTCAATCCTTACCCGAGGATTATACCAAACCATAGAATCAGCCTCGTCTTCCTCTAGGGTATTAAAAGAAACAGTTCTTGGTCAATCTGCATTGGTCGGACCCAGAAAACGTGGGGCGAAATACATCATAGGGAATTGGCGGATAAAAAAGTCGGATAATCTGCCCCATGGCACTTTGAAATGTTGGGATCTTCGCGATAGGTTAACCCTTTGAGCCTTGCGCACAGCCTTCGCCAGTTCATGCTAGATAACGTCAACGTCCACGTCCATGCTTGATGTCCCGCTCTGGTCATTGCTTACCTCCGCATTGATTGTGGTTTCATCAGCCAAATCTCTTATTTCTCTGTCCTATTGCCAGTTCCGCCCCGATCCCTTATTTAACGATCAGGGCTATGCACCGGCTCGGCACCGCCATAGGTAGACACCAGTATTCGAGCTTCATGTATCTTAGGATTGACGCTGAGGAAGTGTATAGCCAGTTCCATTTGAAGTAATATCTTGCCGTGATCAAATGGCCCCCGTTTACTGATCAAGAGGGCTCAAGTGTGATGAAACTGCATCTCTGTACCTGTTTTCAAAATTCCCGAGTAAATCATGAACATTGGCTCAATCGGCGCGTACATATCAGTTCCGTTTAGGGGGTTTAATGGGAATGACAGAAGAAGGATTTTGGTCGGATTCACTCTCAACCGCGTTGTGATGTGCGCTTCTCAGTAGAGAGCTTGCGCACTGCAGTGCCACAAATTCTGTTGGTTTTTGAAACCATGTTGTTTCCTTGGCATTTAGCGACAGCAACTCTCAGTAAGTGTTGACAACAACAGCTTTGGGGGAATTTCCTGTTCTTTTCCATATACTTTTCAGACAAAGAATATTCTATCATATCTTTGATGATGATGATGATGATGATGATAATGTTGTTGCTGATCGTGTGAGGGCGATGGGAAGTGTTGAGGTCTTGAAGATGAAGCTCTCGACAAGGCGAGTGGGTCACTGGACTGGCCAAGCCTAAACAGGAACCGGAGACGAGTTCTGGACTACAGAGCATCAGAGCATATTGACGAGCTTTTATCTTAGTGCACTCTGATCGGTTGTTGCTATTGAGCGGACACTCTCCGACGCCTTTAGCTCTCCAATCCTCAAGTAGACGGTCAGCGTTCAATTGCTCGTACTGAGGGCTCTTCGCCAAATTTTACCTAGATCTTAAAGGAAAGCTTTATGCTTGGTCTCGCGATCTCTACCTATTGATTGGCTTTATTTTTCCATGTCTTGCTTCCATGGTAGTCACATTCCATACTGCAAGCATCAATATCGTGCATAATATATTTGCAATGAAATCGCCCTCAGATCTCCAAGTAGGCACCATCTCAGAGCATATAAGCAAGCAATAATTCCACCAATCTACAGTCTAGACCAAATTCTCCTCATATTCCGCACTCCTTAATAATGCCAGCTGCGGTCACGACGAAACTCTGATTAATTGATTGATATGATAATCTCCTCACCTGACCGGAGGCTGGCCGGGAGCTGGCCGGAATAGTCGATTGGCAACAATAAACTACTGACGGTAAATGCCGCAAACACCATCTTAGATTCGCTCTCGTTTACTCAACCCCTAGTCAGATACTTAATCTTATCGCTTATGTTGCATACAAAACCTGCCGTAGGATCTAGATCTATCGTCGCGACTTGCCGGTGAACATGCACACGGCACATTGTCTCGCAGACCGAGCAATAGGAGTGCATTCCGGATAGTAGAGCCGGGCGTGGTAAGCAGCCACTTGCGGTTTATATTGCATCGTTCTTTTGTCTTGACGATTTTCCTATTTGGGTTAGTGGGTTGTCGGTTTTCGGCTAGAGAGCAGGGAGGGAGTTTTTAAATTGGGCGAAATGAGGCTCTTTTTTGGAGTCAAAGGGGAATGAGTGGAAGGAGATGTCTTGTTGTTAGAGTATCTGGAGTTGTATAGGTAGAAATTAGGGTTGGATAGAGCCACATGACATGCTTATTGACTGTCGCCGTTGAAAGTCAAAGTGAGAATCCCCAACTTTCAACTCCCCGGGGCTCCAGGAAAACTTACCCCAACAACTCAAGCGACACGAAAGGACCGAAAGCGGCTCAAACCCTTATGACCCTAATCTCATCTAAAGTACGGAAAAATCCTCAAGCGAACCCACCCTAGCCTCACCGAGCTTAGCGCTTGCTCCTATTCGCGCAAATAGATTAAGTGCAGACAGCAGGCTGACCGTGCCCTGTCTAACCTGTCACTAATTCCTGACCGAGCATCTGCTAATTCTCTCCTACCCGATGCTGACCGATCGTTCCGGAACACGAACTGCACCGTCAGCTTTTAGTCAATCTATGCTCATCCTGCTAGACAGAGTAGCGCCACCACGTTGCGCTTGCAGCTGCGTGAACCGGGATGACGATTCTTATCTCGGACCTCGTGCGGTCTTTGGGCGTGGTTCTTTGCCACCTTCTTGCAGTCTAGACTGAGAAGTCGCATCTAGCGGTGTACAAGCTGTCAAGTTCGAGTTGCATAATGCTGAGCAATGTCTCCGTCATGTTTGCCACGGTCGTCTTCCGTCTTCGGGGACCCGACTAGTATGGATTGAGGTAGTGAGGTTTCTCGTCTCTGCAGCCAAGGGACGGAGTGGGGTGCTTATAGCATAATAGTAGCATCGGAGTAGTCTATAGCGGCCGGACAAGATAGAGTACGGAGTACGGAGTATGAAGGGTTGATGAGATGAAGCTGACAGAATATTAGACAAAATTGGATAATGGTGGTGAATCTTCCAGCGGAGTCTGTCCGCGAGGATCAAGTCTATCAGATTCGTTGAGCTCGACAAAAGTATAAAAGGGACAGCTCTGTCCTATCCATCCCTCCAGATCAGATCAGACTCAAGCACCACAGCAGCTCTTCTGTCCTCATTCTCCCTGCAAACCATCCTCTCATATTCCGAGACAAACAGCAAGATGCAGTTCAAGACTCTTCTCCCCACCCTCGCCATCCTGGCCTCCACTGCCTCGGCATGGAACAGAATCGACAAGGACAACGCTGTATGCCTTCCCTCCCTCCCCTTCTGATCCAGACTAACAGCACAGGCCCTCCTGGTCATCGACCACCAAGTCGGTCTCGCTCAGCTCGTCCGCGACTACAGCACCAACGACTTCCGCAACAACATGCTGGCGCACTCCGCTCTGGGCCCGCTCTTCGACCTGCCCACCGTCCTGACCACCTCGTCGGACCAGGGCCCCAACGGCCTCATGCTCAAGGAGATCGTGGACATGCACCCCAACGCCACGCTGGTGCAGCGCCAGGGCGAGGTCAACGCCTGGGACAACAAGGCGTTCCGGGAGGCCGTCAAGGCGACTGGCAAGAAGCAGTTGATTATCGGTGGTATTGTTACGGAAGTTTGTAAGTCTGCCTCCTAATGCTCCGAGAGAGTGAGAGATGCTAATCCCACAGGCACCGCCTTCCTGGCCCTCTCGCTCGTCGACGAAGGGTACGAGGTCTTCGCCAACACCGAGGCCAGCGGCACCTTTGACGTGAAGCTGGCGGAGGACGCCAATCGCCGCATGGAGCGCGCCGGCGTCACCCTGATGGGTCTGTTTGGCATCGTGACTGATCTCATGCGCGACTGGCGTGCTAAGCCCGGTCTTGACGAGGTTCTGCCCTACCTGGACAAGTACCAGTTCGCGTACGGACTGGCGGCCCGTCACCACGCCGGAGCGCTGCGCAACGGAACTTTGTTCCCGGTTGAGGAGCTGCTGATCTAGAGGATTTGTGGGGAATATTGGACAGAAGGAAGTGGATAGAGAAGTGTGAGAAACTTGGGGACTAGTGACCTTTGGATATAGTTCTATAAAGACCTCTAGCTATATCAATGCAGCCTCATGTTCCTGATAAGATATCTTGCGAATACATATCTAATCTCGTATCTCCAACGGTTACATCGCTTGCCAACCACCAATCACAACCGCGACAAAACATGGCACGATCTGCCCCACACGCGGTTTTTTCCGATATAAAAAGGCCAAATCCCCGCATTCTTCTCATGTCCAGATCGAAATCTACATACACATCCCCCCGATCTCCCCAATAGACCCCCAAACCACCACAAGCAGAGAGAGAAACCAAAATGACCGGCCTCACCCCCTCCCAACTCGCCTCCTTCCAGGAAAACGGCTACCTCGTGATCCCCTCATACCTCTCCCCCGAGGAAATCACCTCCCTCCTCACCGAAACCAACCACCTCCTAGACACCTTCGACCTCACCACCCACCCCCTCACACAATTCACCACCGGCGACGACGCAAAAGACAACAAGCCCCACGTCGGCGACGACTACTTCCTCACCTCCGGCGACAAAGTGCGCTTCTTCTTCGAACCCGACGCCATCTCCCCAACCCCCGACCCAGCAACCGGCCGCCCCGCCCTCCTCAAACCCAAGCAACAAGCCGTCAATAAAATCGGGCACTCCCTGCACTCGCTGTCCCCACCGTTCGAGGCCGTCTCGCTGTCGGCAAAGAACGCCGCCGTCGCGCGCGATCTCGGCTTCCAAGATCCCCGCGTCCTCCAGAGCATGGTGATCTGCAAGCAGCCGGGGATCGGCGGCGCGGTGCCCCCGCACCGGGACTCGGAATTTCTGTACACGAGTCCGCCGTCGGCGGTGGGGTGGTGGTTTGCGCTGCAGGATGCCGGGCCCGGGAATGCGACGCTGGGGATGTTTCCTGGTTCGCAGAGGGGGAGGGCCGGGGGGGCTGTGAAGAGAAGGTTTGTGAGAAGGGCGGATGGGTTGGGCACGGAGTTTGTGAGTAACGAGGGAGCGAGCTTGCCAAAGGGACAGGAGGAGGCGGAGGTGGAGGGACAGGCGCCCAAGGAGGAGGATGTCCAGGTGTTGGATATCAAGGCCGGTTCGTTGGTCTTGATCCATGGCAATGTGCTGCATCAGAGTGAGAGGAATACGAGCCAGCGGAGTCGGTTTGCGTATACCTTTCATGTTATCGAGGGCGCGGAGGGATGGGAGTATGATGAGAGGAACTGGTTGCAGCCGGCGGAGGGGGGTTTTTCGAAGTTGTATAAGGATTGAGTTGGAGATAGGGAGGAAGGGGTGTATATAGGGAGGCTACGGTTACGAACATATAAGAAGATTCATTCAGTGGTTCATCAAGTGCGCTAAGCTGTTGATTGGATTTGATATACAAATGGAAGTCTTTTGGATCCCGAACCCCAAACTCCATCCCGGTATCCGAATGCGAGAAATGTTCTAGTCAAACAATTGCTTTTTTTTTTCTTTGGTTTTTGGTGTGAAGATCAAGATGCACGCAGCATATCCAGCATCCCCTGCGTCTGCGTCGCCTGGTGCGCCATCTCCACCTCGTCGCGCACGCGTCGGTGTAGCCGCTCCACCATCTTGTCGATCTGCACCGACTGGCCCAGGTTGCCCGAGTAGATGTCCAGCACGTTCATGCCCACCTCCACGCACGTCTTCACCAGTCGCGGCTCGCGGATGTTCTTGTACACCCACTGCAGCACCGGCCGCAGCGTCTCCTCGTCGCGACCCTGCAGCGCCGCTCGCAGCGCCGATCGGTGTCGCAGCGCAGTCAGCAGAGTCAGCTGCGCCGTCTTGTCGGGTCCGTTCAGCACTTGGTCCAGAGCGGCGGAGTACCGAGCCTTGCGCAGATCGTGCTCCCAGCTCTGTTCCTTCTTCCGCTTCTTGCGGTCCTGGCCCTCGATCACAATGTCCACGCCCTCGCCGATGAAGTCGCGACCACGCAGTCGCTTCTCCCATCCAGCTCCCCGCTTTTGCTTGGCCACCTTGCGGTCGTGTTCTTCCACCTTGCCTTCCAGCAGAGCCTGCATTTCCTTCCTCCTCTCGCGCTCGCGCACCTTCTGCTGTCCCGACAGACGCGTCTTGATCGACAGCAGACCGGACTGCATACCGACGGCAATGTGCTTGTCCTCCAGCGCCGGACCCGCGGTGATGGCGCGCAGCGACAGAATCGGCGACGGGTACTTGGATCCGGAGACGACATTCCACCCCGACGTTTCAAACACCTTCATATGACCATCCAAGGCACCACTGAGCAATCGCTCGCCATTCGACGCCAACGACAGCGCCGTGACCGTCTTCTGGTGGCTCTCAATCATGTGCATCGGCTTGCCCGCCACAATATCCAACACCGCGATCTTGTTATCCGCCGACGCCAGCACTGTGGTGCCCGTCGGCATCGGCAGGACGGTTTCGATGGGCGCGCCCATCTTGAACGTCATGGCCGAGCGGCCCTCCACGCGAGGATCCCAGAGTCGGACCGTGCGATCGTAACTGCCGGAGACCACCAGGCCCGAGGAGGCCAGGGAGCCGGGCATGAAGGCGCCGCTTCGCACGTAGTCGGTGTGTCCGACGAAGGTCTTGGCGCTGCTCTCGCTGGGCAGATCCCACAGTCGCACGGTGCGGTCGTCACTGGCACTGAGAAGCGAGGTCGCGTCGCTCGGAGAGAATTTGGCCACCCACACCGGCTGCTTGTGCTCCTTCCATGTCTTCAGAATGGATCGCGATCCCACGTCGAACACCTGCACGGTGCCGGTATCATCACCGGTGACGACCACGCGGCCGTCCGGTCGGACGTCAGTGCCTCGCACGGTGTCATCGAAGCGGGTGATGGTGCGCAGCAGTTTGCGAGTGCGGATGGAGTAGATCTGGACTCGGGCGCCGGTGGTGACGGTGAAGACGTCGGGCGGCTGGGTCAGGGAGGGGAAGGCCGAGGCGGACGAAGGCACGGAAGGCTGGGTGATCAGATTGACGGGGCCATTGGCCGGAGAGGGGATCAGAAGTGGGTTCTTGAAGGTCTTCCAGTATTGCTGCTCCGGAGTCAATTTCGTGGAGGGCAGCGCAGGCAGCTTGACCTGCTGCAGAGGGAGGACGGGGGCAGCCATGGCGGCTGGAGGGAATTGGAATAGTTGACGATGAGGTCTGGCGGGGAATTCTTGACGTAGTCACTCAGCGAAAAGAAGCGAAACTCGACCGGCCAGCTGTGTTGGCGTCGGCGACGGTGCAGAGAAATTTGACGATCTCGAAGTTTTTTTGATAAAAAGTTCGATTCTCCCATTGGCCGGGTGCTGAGTCAGCGATGTCATGTGGTGATAAGATAGTGTTGATGCCTTTCTGCCGTGATGCCTGAGAGCGAGGGCGTAAGCTCAGACATTCAGGCAGAAACTATCTCCAGCATGCCAATGATGTAAAAGATTCAATCCAACAAAGCTAGTTCGAATACGGCATGATTGCATGAGACAGTGTCTGGCCCAGCCCATCTAGACACTGCCATCCCTTGCATCTACATTCCAGCACCACGATGTGAATCATCGTGACATCTATCTCACGTCTAGATCTGTATCACTATGGGGATTCCAGCAAGGGGCACAGTCATAGTCGACACGTGGTGTATTAAACCCCTCCCTTGTCTTTTATTACACCTCCAGGGGTCATGATGGGCATAGTAATCGAGGCAGATTCTCAGTGTTGGCGGTTGCCTTATACTGACGGCTGAGTGGGCAAACTTCAAACTACGAAATTCTCAGAATATATTGTTGGATGCTTTCACTTTACACTTGAGAGCTTCAACATAATAATGTAGTTATATGGTCTTTGCCAGTCCTGTCAAAGGAAGTGCTATATATGTCTTCCACAGCACACAAACGAAGTAATCCAACGGAATCACAAATCACTGTCATTATCAGGAAGCGGCATACTCCCTGCCTTCTTCATTTCTTCCTGGTACATCTGCAACATTTCAGTGTCGACGTGCGGCGCTACTAGTCCCGAACACAAAAGGTTCGTTCCCCATTCCTAGCACCAAAGCCAATTCGCGTAAAGATCACATATTACTAGTTTGCAATATAGAAGCCTGATCCGTACCAGCGTTTGATCACCCAGAAGGGTCCTCGTAAGCCACAAAAAAGGTTCATCGATATTCAAGACCGTCTTGACGGAAGTCTCGCAGTATTGAACGCCACTCATCTCGTCGGGCCAAGAGATATCTTCAGGCATAACCTCACGCTCACGGTCGTCAACTTTGTTTCCGCAGACCACCACAGGAATATCTTTCTGATTGACAGAGACAAGCTCCCCTAATCGGTCTATCAACCTAAATCAGCCAAATGGGAACAAAACATACTGTACCACCCGACCACACTCTCCCAGGTCTTCCGTCTCGACACGTCAAACATAATGATGGCTGCGTCGGTGTCTTTCAAATACTCTCCCAACCTGTTCATCGAGCCTTGGTTGCTGGCGATATCCCATATCTCAAAATACACGCTCCCTCGCCCACGCTGAGATAGCTTTAGCTGGTTTGGCAAGTAGATTCATGGCGAGCACAGACCTCCAATGTAAACGACAGTGGATGAGATATCTCGCAGTAATTTACCGAGTGGTGCTCTTTTATCTCTTCCCCTGTGAAGTGACGGAATTTAAAACTGGTCTTTGCACGGTCATTAGCTGGGAGTTCAGAATGTTGAGTCTCAGTCCGACCTTTCCCACAGCAGCATCGCCAAGCAAAGCAAGCTTGAATGTCGGGTCGTGTACTTCATAAGCTGCCATGATCATAACCGTCCATCTGTGAAGACTCGAGTCTCCAGATGGGCTCATCAGGCTGGGAGATGTGGCGCAGTGCTGACTACGAGCAGATCATTGCCTTAGGCCCCGCCGACCCAACTCCTTCCGGTTGCGCTGGGCGATTATCTGCGATCACCATAACAAGCTGTCTTTACAGAGTACGGAGTACTGAGACAATGCAAGGAAGAGAATATGGTAAAGCCGTTGTCACTAAGACAGCAACACCGCTCAATGCCGGCAACCGGATCCAGCCGAGTGTTTCATGTGTTGTCGGTAGAATACAGACTACAAGCCCTACTAACAACACAGGCTAACGGACATGCACGGAATACTTTTCCCAACCGAATCCAACAATCCAGACCGACGCAAATCCCGGCGAAAGACTCCGTTCTGCACGCCTGGCCGACACGGGATCGACGCGCTAGCTGAGGCTCCATCCGCCAAAAGCTGTTACATGCATGTCGTCACCCACCCAGGACTGATTTCCGAGGTGGGCATCACAACCTGTCAGTGCCCAGAAAACAAGGCGCAGTCCCACTGCTTGAATCAGGCCGCCAGGTTTGTTTACTCCGTACAGCTTTACGGAAGACCCCATAGTTAGGTATGATGTTCCCACTCGTCCCGGATTTTGAAACCTGGCCGAATAATTCCCGAAAGCCTATTTTCTTTATGTTGTTGACTGGTTTCCGTACAGTGCGGACGTCAGTAGGTCGATAATTATAGAACCAAACTTGGCAGACTTTAAAACGCCTTGGGGCTGTGGCGAGAGCTGACACGGTCAGACAGGCAACAGGATTCGCGGGCAAGGATTAATGACTCGGTACGCAATCTTCCTTGTTCTTACCTGCCTACGTAGGTGTAGGTAGACTCTCGATCTTGTGACGATACGGATACTGACAGATTCTCCGTATTCGCATCCGATGGTCAGACCTCCGTGCAACGATGATGCAGTATCAGCCGGTTTTGTAACGCGCCCATTGGCAAGGAACTACGTAGCTTATTCTGCAGGTGGGGACCTCGAGTGGAAATGAAGATGACGGCCGGAGATGAAACGCCAGCTGGAAAGGCGGTCATGACGATAGCTTTAATATAAAGTGGATATTGGCAGGTGCCTCGACGGTGGTTCCGGGCACGAGAAGCCTCTCATTCGAGACATGAGGCAGAGGAAAAAGCGTGGCTGGTCGAATTGATGCCTTAAACCGGGCCGTGGTACGGTATTGTCACGGAGGCAGACGATCGGTAAGGAGGTGGGGCCGGCCACACCTCGCCCATGCAGGAACGCGCGACGCAGCCAATCAGAGGCGCCGACCCCACCCCGCCCAGCCACCCCCCAGCCACCCCATTACCGGGTGCCCGCCCCACCACCACCGGGCCAGCGAATCAGACGGCGGGGCTATGGAACAAGATCTCTTATCGATTGTTTTGCTTGTTTCTTCCGTCTTCCTTTCCTTTTCCCCTCCCGGTCTCTTCTCACTTTCTTTCCTTCTGCTCGCTTTGTTTCCGGTCTTCTTCTCCTCCCTCGATCCTCCGGTCATCCTGCTAAAGTAGCACATTTCTGTCTCGCCTGCTCGTGTTACCGCAGGACTAGATACCCAATCGACAGACCCTTGTCCGGTTCGTTCCTCATCCTCCCCCTCATTCATCCGTCTAAATGATGGCTGACACCATGGATTTAGTGCTCCTAGCTCTCGATCATTTGCATGTCTAGCCTCTCCGTCTGACTGGCTTGCTCTCCCTTGCAACACGACGCATGTGGCTTTGGGCTCACGTTCCCTCCTTTTCTCTTCCCTTCTTGCCCTCCCTCGCTTCTCTTCTTTCTCTCCTTTAGCGCCTGGTTGACTCGGGCAATCTCCTTTCGATATGGTGTCCAAAGCCTCGCGGATGTCCGTGAACCACGCGGCGGGCATCTTTGCCGACATGTCCGTCGACGGTCCTGCTATCGGCACGCTGGTCGCCATCATCGACCGCGCGAAGAACTTGCCGAATCGCAAGACCATGGGCAAGCAGAATCCGTACTGCGCTGCACGACTCGGCAAAGAGGCTAGGAAAACAGAGACGGACCTGCGAGGTGGTCAGACTCCGAAATGGTAATCTCCCTTCCCGTTCGATTGCTCGCCTGCGATTCGTCCGGTTGCTGATGTGACGCAGGGATCAAGAGCTTCGATTCACGGTCCACGAATCCCCCGACTACTTCCGTCTGAAAGTCACGGTGTTCAACGATGATAAGCGAACCGATCTGATCGGCGAGACCTGGGTCGATCTGAAAGACCTGATCATCCCCGGTGGCAGCCAGAGCGACGCATGGCATCCGCTGCAGTACCGCGGACGGTACGCCGGCGACGTGCGCATCGAGATGACTTACTACGACACCAGACCCGAGGATGAGGCGGTCATCGAGCGCCGCACGCAGGCCGCCGAGAAGGTCCACGGCAAGAGCGCTCCGTCCGTGGCGACCTCGTCCAGCATCAGCAGCAACAGCGCGGCTTCCGCGCCGATTCCCGTTGGCAACTCGGCGCTTTCGGGTCCCAGACAGTTGAAGGACGTGAAGCGCCGTCCGCTCCCGACGGATCCAACGGGCTCGGCCCCAGCGCGTCCTGGTCCGCCTGAGAAGGCCCCGTCGGCGCCTCTGCCTCTGCCGGCTCAGGTTACGCCTCCGCGACCGATGCACGAACCGCCGTCTCATTCCTATTCCACTCCACCGGCAGAGTATATGCGTCATGCTCCTCGACATTCGATGGCCTCTGAGCCGGTCTACGATGCACAGCCCATGCCGGTCCAGGCGCCTCCGGCTTCCAGACCGATGAGAACCTACGAAACCCCCGATGACTTCCACCGTGAATGGAGTCATCCTGCTGCGCCTCCCTTGCAACCTCAGGCTCCGCCGAGGCGTCATCCCCAGGAAGCTCAGGCGCAATACTCGGGATATCGAGATGCGTATGACTCGCGCTCCCATGCGCGTCCTCGCTCGGGATACGGCAATCCACCACCGGTGGACTACCGCTCCTCCAGGCAAGAGATCCCAGTCAGTCGACCGGAGCAGTTCCCAGAAATGCATGTCCCCGTGACAGAGCCGCCCCGTCCGAGCAGTCATCACAGCAACTATGCCTTCCCGACGGAAGCGCAACACTATGCTCCGAACGGGGATATGATGGTTGTCCATGGCGCTCCCCCGGCCAGATACACGTCGCGGTCGTCCGGGGCCAGCATGCACGACCACGGTGCCGTGGAATACATACCTGCTGTCCCCAACGGCATGGCTCTAGAGCCCGTGGATCACTACCGTGGCCGTGGTCGCAGTCGCAGCCACAGCAACTCGCTGGTCCATGAGCCCAGCAACAGCGCCATGCGCCATGCAGAATATGCCACGATGCAGCCGCGAGTCGAGGACGAGGACGACGACGGCCCTCCGCCGCCGCCGCCCGTCCATCGCTCGGGCGTGCATTCCAGTCCTAATCATGCCAATAATCATGTCCAACAGTTAGTACCGTCACCAACTCCCTCGTACCAAGCTTACTCCCCAGAGTATGCACCGTCCCCGCGGAACTCCTTCGATCTCACGCACCTCAACCATCCCAACCACCCGCTGGCCGACGCGGATCGCCTCCCCCTGCCTACGAGTACGCCCTCCATGCCCCCCAGTCTAGTCGCGGGCTTTGATCCCGCCATCGCCGACGCCGAGTCAGACCGCGCTGCCAGCGAGCGTGTCGCCGTGCGCCGTCGCAGCGCCATCTTCGACGACGACGACCCTATCTGTCCCCCGTCCAGGGACCCTTCGCCTGGCCCGGCCATGATGCCTCCCTATCCCGTCGAGGCGGCCTCCTCTGCTCCCCATCTTCCTGTCTCTGCACCTGCTCCTCCCATAGAAAACCCTCATCAAGCCCTCGTCACCACCCGGAGATCCTTCCACTCCGACTCGCGCCTCGTGCCCCGTCGCAAATCCGTCAGCCCTCATCCTCATCCCTCGCCTCTTCCTCCCGCCGGCACCATGCCTCTCGACCGTGATCCCTCTGCTCCTATCACTCAAACCCCCTTCTCCCCAGACTCCTACGACCAGTTCAACCCGAACGCTGCCCGCGCCGCCGTCACCCGCGACCTGGCCCCGGCCTACGACACCCCGGCTGAAGCCATGCACGCCGCTCGCCGCAGCGAAGCCGAAGCTGCACGTCCCGGCGGCGACTCCGGGCCCATCATCGGCGACGACGGCCGCGAGATCGACCCCTCCGACCACCTGCCCACAGACACCTGGGCGCCCGAGCCCGAGCGCAAGAAGAAAACCGGCGTCGTCGTCCGCTTCAAGAAGTCGCCTGCCAGCGCCGCCCGCACCAGTCCTCGTCCTGCCACCGCCACCGCCGCCCCGGTCAAAGAGTACCACCGTCCTCCTGCGCCCTCCTCTCGCCCGACCTCCTCCTACGGCGCTGCAGACGTCGACATGCGTGGACGACCGGGCTACGCGCCTCCCGCGCCGGTGTCGCATACTTATTCGTCTGCGCATGCGAGAACGTACAGCACGCCGTCGCCCCGGTCGGTGCGCAGTCGCAGCTCTGTGTCCCCTGCGCCGAGCGGCCATTCGGGCTCCCACTCGCCGTCCAGCTTCTATGCCCCTGCGCCCCACGGTCCGCCTATCCCGGCCAAGGTGCCCATCGCGCAGCCGATGCCCGTGGGGCAGAGTCGCGCACTAGTCTCCAGTGGGGACGCGCTGAGTCGGGAGCTCGGCACGATCGATATCGGCTCGGTGGGGTGTACGACTGGACGGGCGATGAGGCGGTATGTGCCGAGGGTGCAGACGGGGTATGCCATGTAGTCTCTCCCTGCCTTACTTTCATGATCCAGATGAAGGTGGTGGGTTAGTGAGTGGGTGACGTGGTGAGGTACAAAATCTTGACTTTGCATTTCCGTTTCGTTTCTTTGTTGATTGGATGCAAGTATACATCATTCATTCATTCAGTACTTTCTCTTTTCATTTCGGGTATGGTTCGTGGTTGTGGGACTTCTCTTCTCTTGTTCATTGTTCCGCTTTCTTTGTTCCTTATCTCCTTGTGTATACGGTTTTCTACTTTTCTGCATGTGGATTTGGCGTTTGTTGGTTCGGTTGGATGGATGGATGGATGGATGGTATGGAATGATACGGATGGATGTGAATATGTCCTATGCCATGATACATGCTATATGATATGGTGAATATATGCATTAGCTTTTTATACTGGATATAGATGCTGTGCGTACTTAGGTTGAGTGTTCAGTGTTTGTATAGAGTATATCGCATCTCGCAGTAGGAGAGGGCCTATGGTCATGTTCAACAAGCTGGTATGTGGATGTAAGACAATAGAGGCTCTTCTCGTTCTATTGGACACACATCACCCTTCTAGGTTATATTCACATACTCTACGAACTCTGTTCCTTTGTCTATTCCCTATTCCTTATTCTCTCATGATGCTATTGACAAGCTGATCGTATAGTTGGTTATGGGCCTTTAGACTTCAATAAAGAACAGCTAGAATCAATCACTCCACAAGCGACATATATACTGCTCTTCCTCCTATCCTCATCCTATTCTTCATCTTCTTCAATCCATCTATTCTACCTTCCCATCTATCTACACTCACTCTAATCAGTCTCCTCAACTCAACACCACCAACACCAACTAACCCTCCTCTATCCTTAACCAAAACCACCTCCATTTCAACCTAACCTCTCAACAATAACAAAAATGCCTCCTCCTCAACCCATCCCCCCCTGCGAATTCACCAACCCCTGTACCACCCACCTCGAACCCTCCTCCTCCTCCTCAACTTCAACCTCAACCCCAAGTCCAAGTCCAAGTCCAAATACAACCCCACCGCACCCCCGAAAACTCATCTCCCACATCTTCGGCCGCAACAAAACCTCCACAAGACTGGTCCCGACACACATCTGGCCGCACTACTGCCGCAAACACTACCAGCGGGCGCGGTACCGCGCGCCGAACTGGCCCGTCGCGCAGGTCGAGCTGGTCCGCCTGGCGCTGGATCGGATGGAGGTGTGGGGAGGGGTCAGGGGGTTTCAGGTGGTGTTGAGGAAGAGGGCTTTGGTTCATTCTGGATCTACTAGCTCTACTTCTGCTTTTGGGGGAGGGGATGGAGATGGAGATGGAGAGGGAGATGATGGGGAGGGAGAGAAAGAGAAGGGGAAGGGGAAAGGCAAGAAGCTCTCGACGAAGAGGAAGAGCAAGAGCAAGGGCAAGGGCAAAAGACCCCAGAAGAAGCGCAAGGCACCGGCCATCCACCATGCGCCGGTCCCCGACTGGTTGAGGCATCATCTGGGCGAGGGGAGGACATTTGCAGAGGTCCGGAGCATGCTGGATCAGTTGAAGGGGCATCTGCAGGAGGCTCGACGGGGAAAGGAGCTGCGGTTTCCAGATATTGAGATTCTGCCGGCGTTGGAGGAGTGGGTGTATGCCATTCCTACAGAGAAGAGATGAAGAGAATCAATATCGCATTACCATTAATCATGACTCTAGAAAGAGCGCTATATACATGCCCTGAAATCAAGAACAGTCACAAAAGCAGATCACATTAGTCAATCAATAGAACGTAGTGCAGCAGCATTTCGAAAAAATACCCTCAGCCATCGTCCTTCGTCCATCGCATATTCTCCATATCCGAGCTTAAGAATGGTCGGGAATCAATTCGTATCCTCCCTCGGACGGCAGCACGCGCGCCGCAATCACCAGCGCACCGGCACACGCCAGACTGACCACCCAGCTGACGGTGCAGTAGATCCACGATTCGTCCAGGCGCCAGCCGACGAAGAACCGGCCTTCGTTGTCGAACAGATACGCCTATCTTCGTCAGTACCACTTGAAGAGGGAGAAGGTGAAAGGAAACATACGACAATCGACATACTGGCGGCCTGCACCACCGCCGACAACACAATCAGCAAGCTGAGGATCTTCCACCCCGACTCGCGCAGTTGTTTGCCGCCCGCCAGGACGATGACGTAGGCGACGATGCTCATGCCCTCCAGCACGATGGCAAACGACATCAGAAAGCCGACGGAGCGCCACATCGAGCAGAAGTAGCGGTCCTCGCCATGGCAGTCTTCGCGCTGCGGGAAGCTCTCGCAGGTATCGGACAGGGAGGAGCAGCGGCGGTGGAGGCCGTACGAGTAGTGGAAGCGGGGCTGCAGAGCATTGTTAGACCCTGCGAGCTGGGACGACCGGGCGAGAGGAGCCATACATGTTCACTATGATAACTGACCCATTTGGGGATGACGATGGAGGAGATCGACAGTCCGAATGCTGGCGACCGAAGCTTCCGTTAGCGTAGGGACGATGGGACTGAGAGGCGAACTAGGCGCTTACAGGCGATAAATACCACCAAAGTGGCCGTATACACAATGGTCTTGGTCAAAAAGCCCGTGTAGTTGCGATCCTCGCCGCGAGGCACCAGATGGAAATCCATGTTGGTGGTGGGCAGTGATGACGACAGCGGTGGCGGCGGAGTTGCGTCGGACTTGGTCAGGCAACAGGATGTCGGCCACAGACCGGAGGGGATTAAGGATAATGAAGAAAGCAGGCCAACCGCCCAGGATAAGAGAAACAAGTAAAAACCCGACCGAGAAAAAAAGACGCCGTCGGGAGGCAGGAGGGAGAAGAGCCAACCCAGGAGGCGGTCCAGTTGATCAGTCAATCTTACACAAGCAGTTGCCCGTTCAATCGGTCCAGGGGCTGGGAAACCATGGATGGAACGGGAAGATCCGAGGGAAGAAACCCGGGGGAGGAGAGAAGAGAAGAGGCAGCAGAGCAGAAGAGGAGGATGGGATCAGAGGATCCGAGAGCAGACGAGGGGAAGTCGAAGAATGCGCGAAGGAGGGTGACCCCGGCCGATCATTCCAGCGACTTGTCGGCCCATACGGCGGTCGCGCTGGCCGCAGGTACCGTCGATGTCTACACTTGCACGTCCACGCAGGTCAAGGACAATCATTCAATTCCGTCCGAAGATCAAAAAGATACAGAAATATACTCTACACTTCAATCCCGCAACTTGATAATACACTTGGGGGGCAGGCCAAAAGAATAGAAAAAATCACGGCACCCGCCAGAGATCGAGATACAAAGGAAAAGACAAATCAAAGTCAAAGCAAAAAGTCATGTCAATAGAAATAAAAAGCGATCGCAGGGGAAACGCCGGAAGATCTGCCATGCATGCATTCCAATTGTTGCGCCGGATGCTTTCACTCCGCTGGATTCCGCTGGATCATCGCACGGAAGTCATCGTTGCTCTTTTTCGTAGGCCCGCTGTCGGTCGTCATCGTCGTCGTCGTGCTGGTCGTCGTCGTCGTTTTCTCGCCGCGCTTCACTCCTAATCCTCCACGCTTGCCGCCACGCGCCCCGGGCTGCGGCGGTCGTCGGACGGGTGCACTGGCGGCCAGAAATCCCCCGGCCTTGCTTCCTTTCGGCTGGCTGGCAGGAGCGCCGCTGGACTTTCTCTCTGCCGACTGTCGCAACATCTCCGTCACCGTTCCCACGTGCAGCTTCCGACCCGGCGCGATCTCGTGGCCCTCGAGCTCCAAGGACGCCTTGCCGGCATGGTTCACGTCGGCGAACTCCACGATGGCCCCTTGGTGGTCCGGTCGAAGAATGATCTTGACCAGCTTGCCGTAGGGCTCGGCGAGACTCCGGATGCGTGCGTCGTTGACCGTATCCGGGACGTTCATCAGACCGAGCGTGCGTGCTGCGCGTTCATCCACCTCGCCAGACTGCTGTTTCGTGCCGTTGGCCTCGGTGGCGGCGGGTGATTGGGATTTCCCAACGCGAGACACGATAGTCGTCGCACTTCGCTTAGCACCTTGGGGAGCGGATAACTTCACGTGGAGCGGCCGCGATCGAAACTCCTGTTCGTGCATCGCAAGCGCCGCCGTAGCTTCTTCCTGTAAAGCCATCTGGTTAGTACTATTGCCACAGACCTGTCTGCAGGAGTCCTTACCTGAGAGGAGAATACGACATAGCCAAACCCCTTGCTTCCGCCGTCAACCTTGCGCGGAATCCGGACCAGCTCCACGGTCCCGTACTTCGAGAATAGCTCCTTCAAATCACCTTCGCCGGCCTTCCAGTCCACGTTCGACACGTGCACCTCCCGTCCCTCGTACATAGGGCCGGATCGGTCCTGCTTACGCGAGGGGTCGGAGATCTTGGCCACTAGCTGGAGGTTCTTGCCCACCGTCGTCCCGTCCATCCTCGTGGCACGATATGCCTGGTCGGACTCGCGGAACTGCACGTAGCAGAACCGGCGATGGGTGTTATATTTGAGCGACGGGAACCGGATATCGATGATCTCGCCGAACTGTCAAAAAGTTAACCAGCCATTCCGCAGGAAGAATAAAGGGACCCACCTCACAGAACAGATCGCGAATGTATTTCTCGTCGGCAGTCGGCGGGAAGTTGGTGACGAACAGCGTCGAGACGGATCCAACCTGCACTTCAATGGTGTTTTCATCGATCAATTTCTGGTCCCGGGTTTGAGCAACCATGGCCTCATCTTTCGAGTTGAACTCGATTATGGCGACCTCCGAGTTTCCGCCTTCGCCCGGAAACATCTGCAGACCGTTGATTGCTCCGCACTACGAAAACATTAGCTACCCATAAATGTAAATCAATGGACAAAGAACTTACGTGACGGAAGAATTGCCGGACCTTATGCTCCGTGATTCCGCGAGGCAGGTTCTTGACCACCACGGTGGCATTCTCGCGATCCCGCGGCGGTGCTGCGGCGGGCTCCGCCTCGGTGGTGGGAACGACGACCACCGGCGGCTCGTCCGCTCGGGGCTTCTTCGTGGGAAGACCATTGGCGTTGGCTTCATCGTCTCGCTTACGCTTCTCGGCGTGCGTGGCCATCTCGGCAGCCGCAGCCTGCTGGGCTTGTTGCTGCTGAGCGACCACCTCCCGAGCCTCTTTTTCGCGTCGCGCGGTAATGGCGCGCATCGCTTTGCGGGTCTCCAGGATCGCCAGCTGCAATTCGTCCGAGTCCTCGTAGTCTTCGCAATGAGCGATGTAGGTCTGCATGATCTTCTCCGGCCAGTCGAGATCCGTCCGCTTGATCGCCTGCTTCAGCACGGCCGTGGCGTAGCTGGGGTTGGGGGTGCGGCGAGCGGCATCGACGGTCGCCTCGCCCTGGACAAATTTGCTCCAGGAGATCAGCTCCCATTCGTAGTAGGTCAGCCAGAATTCGTAGCTGTTGCCCCGGCGTCCGACCAGGCCCTTGAACGTCTCCCGAGCGCTGTCCCAACTGCCACTTTCGCTCAGATACCGGATGTAGATGCGTTCCAGGCGGAAGAGCGGGTCGCCTTGGTAGGACCGCCCGTACTTCTTCTCCCCAAGCTCCTGCACGCTCTCGATGGCGGAGCGGATGCCGACCTCCGCCACGTCCAGATCCTCGTCGGTCGAGTCCGACATGAAGGCGCGTCGGCGCAGGTAGCTGCACCAGGCGGTGTGCACCTTGAGCACCTCCTCCATGCCACCGACGTCGAGAAGTCCGGTGCTGGTGGCCTTGTGTTTGATGTCCGCGATCTTGGAGAAAGATTGGCCCTCTCGTTCCGAGCTGATCAGGTACTGCGACCAGAGCGTGCCGGAGCAGGGGCAATGGCGAGTGGCCCGGTCGAGCGTGGATATGGTGGTTGTGTTGGTGTTCCCGTGCATGGCCTCGTCAATGAGGAACATGACAAAGTCCTCCCACATGCTGGCGTCGGTGGGGAATCGCAGCACCGCGCGCTGGTAGAGGGCGTTCACCAGATCGAAGTTCGAGTGACGTTTTCGGCGGTTGCGACTGATCTCCCAGTCGATGTATTCGGTGTACATAGTCCACTCGATGCCCATGTTGCCCGACTCGGCGACATTGCGCAGCTTGATTTCGAACTCCTCGCGGGCGGCGTACTTCTCCTTGCTGGGCGTGGCATATCGCTCGGCGGTTTCTGCCATGATGCCCTCGTAGCTGGCGTTGTAGTAGGTCGAAACGAACCCGGAGAAAGCCTGGAAGGTCTGGTCCCAGGTGGCGTGCGGCGTCTGCAGTCGGATGTCGAACAGGCTTCGCACGTGTCCCAGCTTCTCCTGGGAAGGGTTGCGCGCCAAATCCCGCACGCGAAGTTCCAGCAGCCGATCCCAGACGAGTTGGCTGTCATTGATTCTCCACCGAGTCGCCTCGGCGCCTCTTTGGAAGACGTCGAGAACGGACTGCCAAGAGAAGACCTCGCGACCGACGAGCCGATCCTCGTCCGTCCAATGGCTCTGGCTGGCGTCGCCATGGGCAGAGTTATAAAGATACAACACCCATTCCCCGTAGATACTCCACAGTTTTGTGCTGCCATATTCCTCCTCGATGGATCGCTGACAGAGCTCCATCACCGCGATGCGCTCGTCGACGCTTTGGGCCAGCATGCTCTCGTCCTGAATCCACTCAGCCCACAGGTCTTCGCCCATCGCGAAGAGCTTATCCATCTCCTCCCGGGCCGTCCTCATATCCTTCAGTAGGTCATACTTCCGGGGGTCGCCATGAATGTCGGGATTATTGGGCGGATAGACGTGGTTGACGAACCCGGCGTGTAGGAGTCGCACGAAATTGACGTGCGCATCGTAGGACTGCGGGTTCTCTTGGATCTGGACGAATAACTCGGTCGCCAGGCGCTGCGCATTCGGCACCAACGACGTATCGACATAATTCCTCCGGGCACTTTCCCTGGGGCCATCGGCGGACATGGCGATGTCGAACGACGAGCGCGGCGTCGGGGTGTTATGATTGATCGAACCAACATTGGGGTACATCGTCGACGGAGAGAGTTGGCTGACGTAGGATTCGGTGCTTCGCAGCATGGGGGCGTTGGATCGTTGGGGCTGATGGTGTTGCATGGAGGCCAAGTCGGCCAGCGTATCCATGCCCGGGGTCGACGGTTGCCGGGAAGGAGGCAGGTCTGCGGCCGGAGGGGTTCCATTCCCACCACCCATGTTGGGGCCGACGGTGGGACTGACGGAGGGAGGCGAGGGGTCGGGGATATTTGTCGGGGCGTAAACGTGCTGCGCCAACGGCGAGGATGTCATGCCCTGTTTCGACGTGCCGGTGCGATTCTTGCGTAAGGGTTTTTGAGCCGCCGCGGTGGAGGGAACCGACGCAACGGGAGGAGCAACGGAGGGAGTGGAGCGCCCGGATTGCGAATTTGAATCCTGCGGCGAGAGGAGGGAGTTGATGTCCATCATCGAGACTGTTTTTTGCGCGAGTCTAACCAGGGGGGAACGATTAGGTGAAAAATGATCGATCTAAGATTGGCAGCAAGGCGCTGGTCTCGAGAATGAGTCGACAGGAATGTAAAGGGGATAAAAAAGAGGTCCAGATTATAGAACAGCCGTAGATTTCCTCATCAGCGAGTCCATTCCTGCCCCCGGCCGCGCAAGTCTATCCAGACTCTGGAACCGGGGATGTTGTTTGATTCTTTTTCAGGCGCTTGTTCCTGGGAAGAGGAACGCCTCCGACCAGAGAAGGTTAAGATGAGGTCACAGCCGGCACTCCGTATCTCGCGAGTGGAAAGGGCAAAGCAAGAGGGAAGAGAAAAAAAAAATGCGGATGAAAAAAGGAAGAGATCAACAGTTGTTAATCGGGGGATCGAAAAAAAGAAGAGAAAAATTCTTCTAAATAATCAAAAGAAGAGAATTCTTTTTTTTTCTTTTTCTTGAATGAAATCAATCAACCCAACTGAAGAGATGGGTGACGGAGAGACGGAGGGAGACACCGGGCGATGAGAGCACCGGAAAGGAAGAGGAAGAAGAGAAAAATGAGGGGGGCGGAAAACAAGCTATCCAGGTCAACCGGGGTGGGAGCTGCGGAAGCTCGTTAGACGGTGATACAAGAAGCCGGCGACGACGGAGGAAGAAAGAAAGTCGACCTACCAGATGGGGAATGGATAAAAAATGAAATAAAAAACTGACGGGCCAGGAAGGAAGCGCGAAAGTAACACGCGGGAGTCCCTGAAGGGCTGGGAGGGGGAAAGGGAAAAGGGAAGAGGAAAAGGTGAGAGGTTGACGAGATGGCAGTGGATCGACGGTGGAGATGGCAGAAGAGAGGAAGAGAAGAGAGAAGAGAAAGCGACAGAGAAAGCGACAGAGAAAGAGCACCTTCCACTCCGGGGAATGGAAGAGGCTATCAGTCTGGATTACTCGGCTGGATTGTTATATAATATTAATATTCTGCTACTCGACATGAAAACTCTCTGCGCTCCAGCTGTTTTTATTCGTTTTTTCTTTTCTTTTTCCTGCCTCCGGAGTAATCCTCAGAAGTCAAACTGTCCGACGCTCCCCGATGACGCAGTTTTCTTCTGGTCCTTATTGTTCGCCCTGGTACCCGAGTGTCTGCCATCCGTGCCTGGCTCTGCCTGGCGGGTCCGTTACTCCTCCAGGGGCCTCTGCCAGAGCGTGTCGCTGCTCGGCCACGAGAGTCCATGACATCCAGGCGCCTCGCCAGCTTCATTCCGGGTCGCCGACATCCGGTCCGTTCGTCAGACTGTTGCTGTTTCCCTGCTCCCATCGAGGACTGGCGTACAGAGTAGGGCTGGAAAGGGTTTAAGGCGGCCTTCCCGGGCGACAATGAGGTAATCGTGCAGGACCGTCTGCGCCTCTGATTGGCGGGAAGCGGCATGCGGCAGCGGAGCCACCTGATCACGGGACGCAGCCGAGATGGGAAAGCAGGTGATGTCCCTGTGGCGCGTGCTGTGGCGCTCACCTGTGGCTGGTGCAAGGTCGCTGGGTCCGGCGGCCGACAACGACCACCTGCGCAGGGCCAAGTCTTGCCGACACTTTTTTCCTCCTCATCAACAGATCCGCCGAGTTCGTCCCCGTTCCCGACTACAGCCTCGCGCCTGCTGCTCTTTTCGCCATGGCCTCAATGGGTGCTCTGAACCCGTACGGGCACCTGATCCGCTCTGGTAAGCTTCCATTCCCCCTTCCCTTGTCCTTGAAAGGACCGCTGTTGATGCCATCCTGAACAGCCCGCACCGGCGTCACCTACCTCCCTCGCCGCACCCTCACGTATACCGTCCCTCGTCGAGCCCAAGAAGACGGACCCAATGGCTCCAATAACTCCTCCGAACCACCTCAGAAGGGCGGGGCCCTGTCGTCCATCAAGAACTTCTTCTTCGGCGGGAAGTCTGAAAAGCCCAAGATCACCCGCCGCACCAACGCTCCGCCCAAACGCGAGGGTTCGCTGAGTGCCGACTCCATCTTCGCCGAGGACGAAGCCTCGCCCAAGCTGATTGCCACCGGCCGCACGCCGGCTCGCAAGAGGGCAGCCCAGCCCACCGAGGGCGAAGAGGAGGGAGAATACACCTACGCCGTGGACCGCCGGAACCGCGAGAACATGCAGACGGTGTTGGACCCGCGTCCCAACGCCCGCATCCACTGGGAACGCAAGATGGTCATCCGTGAGATCCGCCGCCGGGGCCGCATCAGCAAGACCGAACAGATCATGCGCACGGAGCGCGAGTCCACCTCCAAGTCGCATTGGTTCAAGACCTCCGTCAAGAAGCTGGGCCCCCTGGCCCGGCAGATCGCCGGCAAGAACATCGACGAGGCGATGCTGCAGATGCGCTTCAGCAAGAAGAAGGCCGCCAAGGACGTCCTGGAGCATCTGAAGCACGCGAAAAACGTCGCCGTCGTCCGCTCCGGTATGGGTCTGGGCGCTGAGGCTGAGGCCGAGGCCGAGGCTGCCGGTGCTGCCTCGCCGTCGAAGAAGGGCACCACCATCACCCTCAAGTCGGGCGAGCGCAAGACCATCACCGACCCCACCTCCATCTACATCGAACAGGCCTGGGTGAACCGCGGTCCGTACGGTTACGACTACGACCACCGCGCCCGCGGCCAGATCAACCTGATGCGTCCGCCGTACACCTCCCTGTCCGTGGTGCTGAAGGAAGAGAAGACGCGCATCCGGGAATGGCAAGTCCGCGAGGCCGAGTCGCAGCGCAAGCGCAAGACTCAACTCTGGACTCAGCTTCCGGACCGGAAGATCAGCGCCCAGAACCAGTACTACAGCTGGTAAACCTTCACCTCGATTATCGTCCTTTTCTCCTTCTTCTCTTCCTCGGACCTTAAATGCAGGTCCGAGTTACGGTTAATTTTGTTTCATATCGTTCGGCGTTGTCTATGTATCATCTCTGTTCTTTCTCTTTTGCAAGTTTCCGTCTTTTAGACCGTTCGGAAATTCTCCATCTGGCGAATATCAGCGTCTGTGACCTTTATATTTCTTTGCATCTGATTGGCTTTGGTTTGGAGACTTCAATCGGTCCGTGTCGACTGCTCTCGAGTACGCATGTACTTCCGGACGGTCGGCACGAATGAAAATACTGGATGAAGGGTGAGCGGGCAATGTACAATATCGGAATAACATCACATCATTACCATCTTAAGACAGTAATCCTCCGTCAGGACTCTGACCCCCCTAATATCATACGGGGCAATTTAAACCCCCTGCCCCCACAACCCCCTATCCATCGGATCCCCCTTACACTCCGGCTTCCCCGTCCAATCGTCAACCTCCCACACTGGCAGGGGACCAGCCACCCTCTCCGCCCTCACCAACACCGGAATAACGCCCCCGGTAGCCAGCGCAAACTTCCGATGCCGCACAACCTGCAACATACTCGTGATGGCCCCCGAGTGCGCCGTCAGCGAGAGATACGTGTTCCCGTCGTGGCTGAAGATGTCCTGGAAGAGGTCCCGGAAGCGGACGTCGCGCGCCGAATCGCTCTCCCGCAGCGAGGACGAGTACAGGGGGTCTTCTTCGGCGAAGCCCTCCTCGAATCGGACTAGCGGGTATTCGGCCGCTATGGCGGATTTGCTGGATCGCGAGTCGCAGGTGTGCAGGCCAATGGTTTCGCGGAGGAGCTGGATGACTCGTTAGTTGTTTCTTTCTTTGTGGCTCATCCCGAGCAGGGGGTCAGAGAAGAGAGGAGAGCACGAGGTGCCAAACATAACGTACCTCTTTAAGCAGCGGCCGGAACGGCTCCGTCAGCGGCAACCCGGTCCCCTTGAACGTGATGCTCGCCGTCGCGAGGCACCGGTTCAACGGACTCGCGTAGTACGACTGTGGCGACGGGATGCCGGCCTCGATCTGCGTGATCCAAGCGCGGTGGGCGGTCTCGGCTTGCGACTCGCCCAGCTTGGTGAGTCTCGAGTCGACCCAGGTGCCGTTTTCGTCGCCGTCTTGGAGAGACCAGTAGCACTTTGTTTGTTAGCATGGCATACAGAAAGGAGGATAGGGGAGAGATGAAGGGAAGAAGGCACATACATCCCATAACTCCGTCCCGTACTTCTGTTCCGCAACGTTATGAAACCCCTCGCCGTGCCGTCCGAGGAAGAGAAGCTTGTAGCTTGTCTCGGGCCCGCTGTTCTCGTTGAGCACGTCAATGTGGTGGGCGAGACGCTGCCATTGCGTCTTTTGGCCCTCCGGGTCAAACTCCGGGTCTGTGTCGTAGGCTCTATTTATGAGGCCGAAATTGGATGCGACCTTTACTGGTTATCAATACCCTGTATGCAATCGCGAGCATGTTTATATGTGCGGAGGGGACGGAGCAACTCACATAGTCAAACGTATCCGGGTCGGTCTCCGGATCATCCTGCAAGAAGAACCCCGGAACCGTGGAAAACTCGAGATGAGACTCGGCTGAACGAGCTTCGGCCATGATGAATAGACCGGCCACGAGGATGGTGAGTACGAGGAGGATGGGACTTCGGCTTGGTGTCAGCTAACTTGGTCTTTTGTAGCATTGTGCAGGTATCCTACTCAATCAAGGATAGAAAGGCTTACATGACAACGGTGATTCGGAGAAATCGGTTACAGTAGTGGACTACAAGGTGAGAACGATCTCTCGAGCCAGAGTCGAGAACTCGATAGCGAGGTCGTTGCGAGGAAAAGGGGAATGTCGCCATGTTGGGCCTTGATTGGTGGAGGGGCACAGGTGGGGTCGGTCGGAGGAACTCGAAGCAATATTAATTATTCGATGCACTGCTCAGACATCGTAAAGGGATGGAAGTGTAGATAGGATGGATAGATAAATGACAGAGTTAAAAAAAGTGTTTGGTTTTGCGTCGCGGGGTTGTCCAGATGGTGGCTGCTGCTTGCGGTGATCTCGCGGGTCTGGTTATCCGCTGTTATGGAGGGATTTGTATACGCCCGAGGTATGTTGTGCTACTAATAGAGCCAGAGATCTTATAATCAAATCATATAGTATACCAAATGAATTATCACTACCTAAATCAAACATTCTTTTCGCAAGGATATTGATAACAGAAAATTTGAAACACGCTAAATAACAGGACAAATCAAACAGCCATGAACACAGCAGAGAGCACGCTCAAATACACTAGACCTAAACTCAGACCAGAACGCCGGGCTAATTCAGTCCCCATCCCTTCCGTACATGCCAAAATTGCTTGGAAGAGACGACAAGAAATCTTTCGAGAAGATTTCCTGCCCATGAGGTGACCGATGCCGACTTTTGCCAGAACTGGGAGAATGCAAGGACGGTGTTGTATAGTCCCGCGCAGACAGATAGGACGGGCAGACGCCATTGAACAGCCAGTCCATCGTTGCTCGAAACTCTCGAACCTGGCGTGTGCTGTACAGTCTGTGGTTGCACCGACTCTTGGCCCGTTCTGGTTGTTGGTCGTGTACGCCATCTCTGCAGGAGTCCTTGGCTGAGAAGCTGGTCGTGGTCGTGTCCATGTATAACCGCGCCTAACTCGGGAGACCCGCGGTTGGCAAGTCGTCGGATCCGGCTCGTGTGCTGGCTGAAGCTTGCCGTGGGTGATTCTTGTACCGTTTGGGTTGCCGGTAGTCCCGTCGACGAGACATGTCCAACGTTGCGCCTGGGTATAATTTCCAGGACGGGCGACCGTACCTGCAGCGTTCTTCCTAGGTCGGAAGAGCTAACAGGGCGCTGTGCATGGCATGGCGAGTGTCTCGTGGTGCTAGATTCCGGTGACGAGACGACGGGGCTAGGATCATTGCGATCCACGAGAGATGCCGACTGTACACTCTGTTGAGTGTTGCTCTGCCTCATTCTCGTTTGCAGAACAAGTCTGTCGTGGTCCTGGCCGCGAACGTGAAGCTGTTGAGCGTACTTGGCCGGTCGAAGCACTTCAGGTGTAGTAGAAAGAAGTGACCCAGCCATATCGACACGGGAAATATTGACTTCAAGGCAGTTGCACTATAACCAGGTTAGCGAATCTATCGACACGCTGCCTCAACATACGAGACATACTCTTTTGTGTTGTTTTCTATGCTTCTCGCAAGCGCCATACTTCCGCGCCTTGATGTAGTTCTCTTTCTGGGCCCGCGACCGAGGCTTTTGCTTCTTAGGAACGTTTGCCGCTGTGTTCATATTCAAGTCCAATACAAGCTCCATCCCTCCAGCGGCGGCATCTGATGTCGAGGGAGGTGTAGGGGATTTGCTGGTCGGCTCGGACAGGAGGGTGGTCGCCGGGCTCCCGTCAACAGAAGCATTTGGTCGAGCAGTCTCCGACCAGCATGGAGAAGGGAATGACGTGTTCGAGTCCGAGAATAGATCTAGGTCGGGCAGAGACACATCTTGAAGACGCTGCATATGCAGCGCTATGGATGCCTCTATGCGCTTCTCCTTTTTGGAGGAGTAGCCCGCATCCGTCGCGGCCTGGGACTCTACCATCTGGCGAATGGTCGAGTAGAACTGCTCATCGTGGCCTGGGAAATCAGGCGACCACGTGGAATCGTAGGTTGATCCCACGAGCCCTTCGGCCTCTGATGACGAGGGCAGTTGCAGGATCTCGTTAGGGTTCGCAATGGGTTCGGTGCCGAGGGTGTACTCTCCGAATGGGTTCTCGTAATCAACCAACTCCGGGAATGGCGCCTGGGAGCAGGCGCCGAGGTTGGAGTTCCAATTGGTTGCATCCGCCTCGGAGTAACCCAGCTCGAAGTCCTTGGGGGAGACCGAGTCGACGGAGGTGGAATTACTATCGAGATCACCGGACGGGAACTCGAAAAAGTTGTCAAAGTCGTACCATTCGTTCTGGTGCGACGAGAGATCCATCTGATACAGCAATTTGTCGGCGGACATGATATAAAAAGAGCGATTGGGTTTCACCGAACGAAAAATGTATATATATAAGGGTAGAGTATCGAGGGGAAGTGATCTGGAGCCAACGGTGCTATTCCGGATCAGGGACTAGTAGAGTCGAGGGTTGTCTTTGGAATTTGTAAGACAATCTAGTCGAATCCAGCCGAGAAGGAACGGGAGTATCTTGACAAGCGTTGAGCCCGAGGCCAGACGTTGGAAGCAGGCACAGAAGTGACTAAGGAGAGCGACGAGATCAGGCAGTCCTGGGGAAGAAAAAGGAGGAAGAGACAACGATAGATCGAGAGATGCCTGAATCTGACGGGGTTGAACGAGCCCTCCTCCGCGCTTTTCCCCAAGCGGATCCCGACGCTCGCCGCTAAGCCTCTTTGGGTCCCCGACGCCCCGTTGAGTCACATGTTTCGGCCCCAATACGAGGGTCGGTCCGTTGATCTGATTGGCTGCCGGCGGTCGGCCTCGAAGATCAGGCTCTCGCGGTAGCTGCCTTGACCGCCAGGTTTCTCAGGTCCATCTTTCTACGGAGTACGGAGTATACCTCCTTGCTCAGGCAGTATCGAGGTTAAGGAGTAGCCAGTACCAGGCCGAACTATGAACATATGAGGCTCTGCAAAGCTTAGCCAAGTCTAACATATAATAACCTCTTGGGTATACTCACATGCGGAATATATATAAACAGATTTTGACTCCCTCTTAGCGATAAACTAAGTCATAGGTCTCTGCTGAATGTTGACATACAAGGTCAGACTATAGACCTGGCTCAACTAGACACCATAAGCCTGGCAACTATCACTTGCCAACTATTGCTAAATTGGTAATTTGAAAGCACCTTCGAGCAACCAGATAGACCCCAAAGACTTTCTAGTTCTCAAAGATCATTGCCCCAATACCAAAAAGAGTATCTTTTTGAACGGAATTGCCATTGTTTCCCTTTTCGTTGTTCTGGCTAGCGCAAACATAGGTGTTTGTTATCCAAACCATGAAACATGTCAAAGGCGCGTTGTATAGCAATATGACTGCCCCCAGACAAAGAGGATACCGATATCTTCAATCCATGGGTTATACACATGCTCTTTGAATCTTCCCCATTATCAGCCCTTCTACAATGAAGACCCTTCTCTTGGCGTAAGGAATGCACAAAAGAGACGATCAAAGGGCTTTGTGTTCATTGAATGAAACAATCAAAACCGTTTACCACCCTCTCAGTTTCCTAGTAAGATAGGAAACGTAGATGCAAAATATATAACCCAGGTCTCGTAACTTGACAAAAACCACACCAAGCTTCATCTTCCGGAGACATTTCCTAACGAACACAAAGTTGACTCTATACCCCTACTACAGCAACCATGGAACCCCAGAATTCGGAAGGCGAGGAGTCCAGCAGCAAGTCCAGCAGCAAACGCAGTGCCAGTGAGTTGTCAGAGTTGCCAGACATCGCCGAGCTGATGCCCAGGGTCAAAAGGCCGAAGATCTATCTCAATTTGAGGATTGAGAAGCCGAAAATCAAGCTTTCTCGGCGCGCTTCCGACATCGTCGCTGCGATCTACTGGGATATCAATAATCTATGCTTTCTTCAAGGTGTTATGTGGCAGAACAATGACATGAGGTATCTCCCATACTACCAATCCCAGTGTGACGAGGCACGGAACCTGGTGCGCATGGCGGTCGACTACAAGATGAACGCGCTGAGTCCCGCCGAGAAGCAAGTGCGTGAGGTGAGGAACATCGCGCGTTTTGTCCACAATGTCGGGTGGAGGGTTCTGGCGATCTGTGCGTATACGGAAGCTTTTCGCAGAGCCTGCTTGTTAGAGATGGATCGCGACCTGTGGAAAAAGTTAATTGCTTTAACTCAGGATAATTCTGAAAGTCTGGTCTTCTTCGCTCGGACGCGGAATCTGGACTGGCGTGGTCTGTTGCTTCGGTACTCGAACCACCCCATCAATGAGCTCACACAACACTTGACGTGGTTCAATAATAAGCGTATTGGAAGAGAGCATCCCCACCACTTTGTGCGGACGATGGGCGGTGTACTGCGCAGGCCAACTTATCAAGGTCGACTGCAAGAAAACATTGAGGAGTGTATATTTGACCCGGAGGGTTGGATCAGGGACGGTCAATACATGGAAGACCCCAGTGTCCGCGAGGAGGAACATGGCGATTGCAAAATATGCGGGTCGAGCGAGCGCTGTAAATGCTCACCGGGTTCTCTTGTAGCAGGCCTGGTCGAGCTGGTCGAGTATCCCGGCAAGGGAGTCGGAGTTCGAGCGTTGGCTAACTTCAAGAAAGGGGAGCTTCTGGCGGAGTACGTGGGAGATATCGTGCGCGCTGAATGCGGTGACGACACTTATGGTCTCTATCTTCAAGACATCCCCAGCGAAAAGGTGACCGCATCTATATCGAGCCAGTTGAAAGGGAATTGGACTCGATTCATCAATCACTCCTGTAACCCCAGTACCGAGTTCGCGACTCGGACTATTGGGAATCGACTGCGGATGACGGTAGAAGCGCTCCGGGACATCTCCATCTTCGAGGAAATCACCATCCATTATGGAGAAGGCTATTGGCTAAACGCTGACCGGGACTGCGTGTGCGGGGAGGTCGACTGCGTTTCAGTAAAAAAGGCACGCAAGGCAGCGAGGGCAGCAAAGGCAAGGGAAAGGGCAGAGAAGGCAAGGACAGAGAAGGCAGAGAAGGCAAAGGCAAAGGAAGAGAAGGCAAAGAAAAGAAAAGAGGCAAAGGAAGCAAAGGAAGCAAAGAACGCAAAGAATGCAAAGCATGCAAAGAACGCAAAGGACGCAAAGGAAGCCCGGGGAGGGATGAGAGCCAAGCCCAAAGGCGACAATGGCAGGCAGGCTAACGGGAACCCAGTGAGAAGAAGCGCTCGGAACCAAACGAGGGAAAGGACCTACTACGGTAGGTATAGATAACTTAGTTAAGGCACCATCGAGTAGGAATGCAAGTAATGTCGATCGAGATGAAGTTAATCGAGGAAAGAAGAGAAGAGAAACTCGGCAATGCAACACCCCCGCACCGCTGCACGTGCGGGGAAGCCAAACAGGGCATTTTCTTCGGCGCAGCTCAACGCAATTCAATTCAGACTTGTTCTCTCCCTGTTGCCTCCAATTCCATTCCAATTTCCGTACGACCCTCAGCCAGGCTCGATCTTCCCTGCGTGTGGCCGAGCATTGGCAGTTCCCCGGCATCTATACCGCCCATCCCTGTCCTCTGACGCCATCGGATATACATGGGAAGCAAGGGATAGCATCCCACTCGACCTCATCAAGCTGCAAACAATCTCTACTTGAACTCATGACAGCGTGACTGTCCTGGTGCATGTGGCACAATATTCCAACACACGTCCCTCACACATATCAATTGGGAATGCTCCCTGTACAACGCCAATTGGGGAGATGTCGAGGTGGAGGCCACTTGGTGAGGCCTTTACTCGCTCCCAGCCGGCGCAGCTTATTGACACAGAGCTATGCTCGGGGACCGTCAGAGGTATTCTCTAAGGACTATTCAACTCAATCTATCCTCGCTGACCCTTGAATGTTACCCGTGAAACAAGCCCCCATTGTTGGAATCTACAGTCGGGGAGCATTTCTCCAACATTGTCCGGTCGTTTGGCGATAGAACAGCGTCGGTTCCTCCGCTTCAATTAAGCTCAACGCGTAGCTAATCCCGTCGCCCAGTGTCATTTCAAAGCATCAAAATGACAGAGCAACCTACGCAGCTCTAGATGCCAGGAGCAATGCCCTTGCGCGAGGCCTAGAGTCCGTGGGCGTCCGCAAAGGGCACCGCGTTGCAGTAATGTTAGGGAATTCCATGGAACATGCTATTGTATGATCAAACCTAGCTCTCGCTAGCCTCTCAGATATGTCTAACCACCGTGACATAGGCAACTTATGCACTCTTCAAACTTGGAGCCATTCTCGTAAGTCTTGTGCACGTGTAAATCTTCCACACGCTTCCTAATCTTCTATTATAGGTCCCCATAAATCCTTCTTTCAACTCGACACAAGTAGCATCGGCGTTGAATCACCTTGATACAAGCCATTTCATAGTCAGCGCTGAATCCAATCTCCCACGGAAACAACCACGAAGCAACATCCCCCTTCTCGAGCACCTAGTTCGAGATCTCAACTCGGCAAAGCTAGAGTCCGAGGTAATCCCCTCGCTCCAACATGTCATCTTCGTGAACAACTCCGACGGTCGAGTCGACGGCTCCGAATATAGGTCCCTCACTCCCTACTCATCCATCGTATCCTCCGCTACTGCAGACATCAGACCCCTCCCGCCTCAGAACCTCTCGCCCCACGACATCGTCAACATACAATTCACATCCGGCACCACCGCCATGCCCAAAGCAGCCTGTCTTACCCACCGCTCCATCCTCAACAACGGATCCCAGATTGGCGATCGAATGCGCCTGACCCCCCAGGACGTCGTCTGCTGTCCTCCACCACTCTTCCACTGCTTCGGATCCGTCCTAGGATACATGGCCACCGCGACGCATGGGTCCGCAATCGTCTTTCCCACCGAATCCTTCAACGCAAGGGCTGCCCTCACTGCCGTCCAAGAGGAGAAATGCACCGCGCTCTACGGCGTTCCGACCATGTTTCTCGAGGAACTCAAACTCCTCGAAGACGGGGAAGTATCCTCTGAAGGATTCGAGTATCTTCGCACCGGTATCGCCGCCGGCAGCAGCATCCCCGCCGAGCTTATGAAGAAGCTACACCGAGTCCTCAATCTCACCGAGCTGACCATCTGCTACGGAATGACGGAGACCAGCCCCGTCTCGGCCATGACTACAACGGACGACCCCATCGACAAACGCATCAACACGGTCGGTCGACTCATGCCGCATGTCGAAGCCAAAGTCACAAGCCCTACGGACCCCAACCAAACCCTTCCCGTCAACGTGCCCGGCCAGTTAGCCGTCAGCGGATACCTCCTGATGAAAGGGTACTGGAACGATGCGCAACGAACGTCCGAGGTGATGGTTAAAGACGAGCAGGGGAAGACATGGATGCTGGTGAGTTCCTGATGCTTTGATCCTGCCCACCCCCCAACAGGAAAATCTACTAACACCCCCAAGACCGGCGACGAAGCCACCCTCTCGGAAGACGGCTACATCGCCATCACCGGGCGAATCAAAGACCTGATCATCCGTGGCGGCGAGAACATCCACCCCCTGGAAGTCGAGAACTGCCTGCTCACGTACCCCGAGGTACTAGATGTATCGGTGGTGGGGGTTCCCGACGAGCGATACGGCGAGGCCGTAGCGGCATTCATCATCCCGCGCAGCCAAACCGACGAGGCGACGTCCGGCGAGAAAATCAAGAAATGGGTTGGCGAGCGTCTGAGCAATCATCTGGGTAAGCTGCCCTGCCTTTCCGAAATTGGATTCACTCTCGGACTTTCAGACGCTCGGAACTAGAACTGAAAAAGCTAATAATCCAACTTTACCTCCGTCGATCCTAGTCCCGAAATACATCTTCTTCCTTGCTCCATCGGACACATTCCCCAAGACAGCAAGCGGGAAGGTCCAGAAATTCAAGCTAAAAGAAAACGCCATCGAGATCCTGAAGGGCATGAATGTCACGAACTGAACGGAGCTGGTCGGATCTGGTCGGATCTGACATTGGCCGTATTCCGGGGGATCTACCCAGAACCTTATCTTCAATGTTTTGTTTTTTAATTTGGTGTTAAGACTTGTTTTAAACCTTATTCTGTGAGTCATCGTCGATATAGCACAACCCTGAGACTCCGTCATTTCGACGGATTTCTTTTGTAATGGAGCATCATCGCACCTTGCACCTCAGCGAATTACCCCGCTATCGAGGCCCTGTGTAGATGTAGATGTGGGTTGCTTTGTTTCTACCTGAACTACGTGATTGGGTAACTAATAGAAATTAATGTGTTTTTATTTTCCTAAAAAAAAAAAAAAAAGAAAAAAAAAAGTCGACCAAGGACAAGATACAAAGCAAATCCACGGGGTGTGGAACAAAAAAAGATTGTCCTTGAGTCATGAAATATTGGCCTGCTGGCTTGCTTGCTTTAGATGTTTGTAGTGAATGAGAAGTGCAAGTCAGTCAGTGCCGGTCCAAGAATCCTCCCAAAACTCCATAGATGTCATATAGTCGGAAATCCAAGTGTCGTATCCAAGCTCTTGAAATAAGCCAAAATGAATATAAAACGCCATATATCATGGCTCATGTAAAGACCCCTCGAGGGGCACAAAAAGTCTAGTCCAAATCCTCCCAAGGGAGGCATAAAAAAAACCTCTCTTTCTCCTTTTTTCGAGAAAGAAAGGACAAAAAAAAGCCCACCCTTACACATTCTCACCTTCTCTGGTCCTTCCCCATCCGTTCCAGCGGATATTTAACGGAAACCGCACCGGGCTCGGCGAGGGGGCAGGGGAGGGGCTCGGCGAGCGCGCAGGCGGTCCGTGATAATGTCGAGCAGGGGGGCACTGGTCTCTGCTATTTGGCACGCGGCAGCAGCACTCTATTCCGCGGACGAAGGGGTGGTCCAACGCCTGGGAGATAGTGAGGCGTTTGGCAGGGTCCGGGTGCAGCATTTTGAGCAGGAGACGTCGAAGGTGCCGGTCCGGAATGGCGTAGAAGTTGGGGCCGAAATGTCGAGTTTCGGCGTCCGACACCCAGTCGGGAAGGGTGTCCCAAAAGGATTTATTGTAAGGGGCCCATTTCTTCATGTAATGAGCGTAAAATCTGTCGCTGGGGGTGGCGGTTTCCCATTGCCCGATGGTAGGGGAAAGCATGATCAGCAGGGTCATGGCACACGACCAGACGTCGTATGCCCGACCGTCATAGAACCCTGCTGGAAGAAAGTCAGCATCGTGATGGGTAGATGGATGGATGGATGGATGGATGGGGTTGGACTTACCTGTCTTTCTCATGACCTCGGGCGGTGTAATATGCGGCGTGCCACATCGGGTCACGCATCTGGTGAGGGCGCTGGTACCGTAAGCGCGATTCCCAGTCGTCGAAAGTCCGAAGTCGGCGATTTTGAGATGTCCGGCTTCGTTGAGGAGGAGGTTCTCCATCTTGATGTCGCGGTGGGCGACGCCCTGGCTGTGCAGGTACTCCACACCGTGAAGAAGCTGCTTGAAGAGGCATAGCTTCTCGCTCTCCGTGAGATGCTCGCCCTCGACTTGATCGAAGACCTCGCCGTTGGCACAGTGCTCCATGACGATGCACAAGCGACGGCTGCGAGAACAGAGCCGGAGGGTTTCGACCACGTTGGGATGATGCAACTTGCTGGCGAGCTCGAACTCCTTGTAGACTCGGGTTGCGTAATCCTCCCTCGTTTCGTCGCTGTCCTTACCTACCTCCTTTACTGCGCGAGGCTTCTGGCTGTGTCTCTCGTACATGAGGTAGACTGTGCCGGAGGCCCCGTGGCCGAGCTTTATCGAAGAACTAAACTCATCCTTGAGTTTTGGAGTGTTGCGGATAGAGGTTCGTTGCTTTGGGGTTGAAGGCCGTAGCCTCTTGAGGTGAAGCTTGTGAGCCATTCTGGCAAAGCTGCTGCTAGACTTGGCAGCTGCAGAAGGCATTTGGATAAGTTAAAGTAAAAGAGGTATAAAGAGGTGCGAAAGGATATAACAAATGTTCTTATAAGCGAACGCAAATTCCAGCTGGATGCTGGGATTGATTAAAATGAAGAAAAGAAGACTTTGTGAATGGTCGAGAGGCAGCTGGATGAATGAAGAAGAGAGGGAGGGAGAGACTGGGCAGGCGAAATGCGTGGAGTTAGGGTGCAAGATTTCAATGACCACAGTCACTCATCATACCCTATACAAACTTGAGTCATGGTGAATTAAGCCGCAGCCTTTCGGAATGGCGGCTTGTAAGGCCCGAGATTCCGTGACGATATCAAGGACGCCTGAGGCCATATGGATTGGCAATGTTTTCATGCTGTAGAAAGGGCTTTACCTATATGCACTTACGATCGAGCAGAAAGTCCTATGAATGTATTGTAAGACATGATGTTCTATTAATAGCTGTGGCACGACACTTATCCAAACTATACCCAAGCACCTCGTCCTTCTTTGTTGGTCTCCGGATTGATATAGACTCCTTAGATATTTCCCTAAAGATAGGACAATGGAATTGTCGCCATCCCTGGTCTTTCTGGCCCCACAGCAGAACAGCAGGAACATATTGCGAAGGTATGGTAGGCATGACATTCGGTTGTTCGGTGCCAGCTGTCATATTGGTAATGCACCACATAAACCTGCAGGCATGGTCCGTAAGCCAGCATGGTGTTTCTCCATGGCATTCCACGGAGATGACGTATCCGACACAGTGTAGGTCCCCTCAGTAGGGCTCCGTCGAGATACAGCGCATGCTGTCAATTCCTAACCGCAAGTAAGACGGTGGAACAAAAACAGGGGCCCTGAATACATTACTGAGTGGCAATGAAATTCCGGCACGCCTTGTCGAGCCCAATTCTTAGTAATCGCCAACAGCAGCATGCTCAAAGCGACTTGCGCTGGATTAGGAGCTTGCGGCTATGAGAAACATAGGCTGTTGTCACTCCTATGAAGCCGTGGTAGAAGCAGTGTAAGGCAGAAGGGAGTATCTCTGCATTCCACTGACTTCAGAAATCCTGGATGCCTGTCTCTCCCTGGAGCTGGGACCTGACATCCCCTTCATTGGCCCGGTCCACCATCCATTCCGGTTCCTCGTCCTCGAAGTATCGCTCCTGCTCCTCATTCCAATCGTCATATTCATCGTTATCGTCGACAGTTGCATAGTCGAAATCTTCGTCCTCCCCACGAAGGAACCGCAATGTCATCTCCCATTGCCACAGCTTCTGCCCCTCTTCTTGGCTCGAGGGAATCTCGTCCCGCTCCTCAGCAAGGATCTCCCCGTTCGGTCCGCGGGTATAGCTGAACATGGCATGGGGGTCTGGATGTGATAGGGCATCGAACTTGGCCTCGGAGCGACACAAGTCCGCTTGAAGCACCCCCGAGAACCCTTTGGCGCGTCCTTCGGCCTCTCTCTCGGCCGGGGTCTGGAATCGGCGGATTAGGCGATCGTACAGCAACGGGTCTGCAAAGCTGGGAGATTAGCCTGAGAAGCTCTACTTCCTTGCAACTGACAGCTCGATCAGTTGCCAAGGAAAGAAACTAGGAGAGAGCGAGCGGACCAGCAAGCTCGAGATCAGCCGAGAAATACTCGGGATGCGCGTCTAGGTATCGTTTGCGACGATTCTTCACCTGCATCTCTCGCGATGGAGACACGATGCTCGCCGCGGCAGTTGAATCGGGTTGGACTCCCATCTCGGCCTGTAACCCCGTTCCTTCGGGGAATAGTGGCATGATGCAATGTGTGAACAGCAATGAGAGGAAGCGCCGCACGAGGCCATCTCGATGAGCCCGCGACACAGGGCGGAGAGGCACGGCAGAATGGGGCGTGATCCCGCGTTCCCGTGACTAAGAATGAATTAAATGAATTATCCAAACTTATCCACTTCATCCTGCATTCCTCTGGTCGTTCTCATTGGCAGCAGACGGTGAAACGGGCGGTTTCACTCCTTTGCCCACTGGGTCTTCTGGTGAGTCCTACTAATGTCAATCTAGTTTAGTTCAAACAATTTCCCTCGACCCTGTCATATCCCTCTCCCTATCAAACACATATTAAAAAATAATAGTCCCGATGCTTGCGATGATTGCTCTATATTGACCACCTTCTATCAGCCAGAAAGAGAGCTTCCATCACACCTGTGGTAGCTTCACATCGTGACGCCATGGCTTTTGCAGATATGCTGCAGCGGCGCAACCAGAAGCAGTTGTCGTCCGCCGCCGCTTTGCTGGCTCTTACGGCCTTTTCTTCATATGTGTTCTTGTTGAACTTGGCTCCTGTCTACGGCTCGGCTCCGTCTCACATCTTCCACGGCTATGGAGTCGCCATTGTTGCCGCAGCCGGTTGGTTCTTGAAGGACCGTATCCAGCAGCTGTCGGCTCGCCGCGCCGTTTACTTGCTGCCCGTTATGGCCGCCTGGATTCCCACCATCCAGTACTTGCTGTTCCAGCAGAGCTCCCAGCTCGGCAACCCCACGGGACCTATTGTTACCACGGCCATTGCTTTCTATCCGTTCCTGCTGCTCTCCGTGGCCTGCGCCGGGAAATTGATGCAATCCGGTCTGAACCTTGACCGTCATGGTGAACTGGTTGCGGAACATGGTCCTCTGCTGGCCTCATATGTCGTTTACTCCGCCGGCGAGCACCTGGCCAAGGCATTCACCTCCGCCACCCTGGGAGTGACGTTCTTTCTCTCCCGGACTGGTCTGCAACTTCTCATTGCAGGCTTGTATTCCGCCGTCGTGCCCTCCAAGCTGCTGGTCCTGGCCATCCCGTCTATCCTCTTCTCGTTCACCTCGAACGTGCATCTGCCCATGGGCCGCACCACCACGGCCATGGACTCGGCTATCCGGACTGAAGGCTTCGGCCTTGTCGCCCGTCAGGACTCCTCCACCGGATACATCTCCGTCCTGGACAACCTGGAAGACGGCTTCCGCGTGATGCGATGCGATCACAGCCTTCTCGGCGGCCAGTGGACCAAGGTCTACCGCAACTACAAGCCCGCCGTCAAGGACCCCATCTACGCCGTCTTCACGATGCTGGAGGCCGTTCGACTTGTGGAACCCGACAGCGGCGTGCCCCGCGTTGACGCAGACAGCAAAGCTCTGGTTATGTATGCGCTCTCGTCCTTTGTATCCCAGTCGCTCGAACCATAAAGCGAATTAACTCTAGACCTCTCGCTAATTGATACCAGTGGTCTCGGCGTTGGCACCACCCCTGCCGCGCTCATCACGCACGGCATCGAAACCACCGTCGTGGAAATCGACCCCATCGTACACAAGTTCGCCCTGGAGTACTTCGACCTTCCGACCAACCACATCGCCGCCATCGAAGACGCCACGGTCTTCGTGCGTCGTGCCCAGGAATCCTCGCCCGCCCAGTACGACTACATCGTGCACGACGTCTTCACCGGCGGTGCGGAGCCCGTCGACCTCTTCACCATCGAGTTCCTGCAGGGTCTGAACGCCCTCCTGAAAGACGACGGCGTTATTGCCATCGTATGTTCCCCTCTCCCTCTCCCTCCCACCACCATCTCCTCCCCAACTAACAACCACAGAACTACGCCGGCGATGTCTCCGAATACCCCGCCGCGCTGACCGTGCGCACCATCGAAGCCGTCTTCCCCTCGTGCCGCATCTTCCGCGAAGAAGTCGGCAACTCCGAAACCGCCGACTTCACCAACATGGTCATCTTCTGCAAGAAGTCCCCTGCGCCCTTGACCTTCCGCGACCCCGTGCCCGGCGACTACCTGCGCAGCAAGTTCCGCGAGACCTACCTGATGCCGAAGCACGAGGTCGACCCGTCAGCGTTCATGTCTGTCCGCGAGGGCGGTCGCGCGGTCCTCCGCGCCAAGGAGACCGGGAGGCTGCACAAGTGGCAGGATCAGGGGGCGTTGCAGCACTGGGCGATTATGAGGAAGGTGTTGCCTGATGCGGTGTGGGAGAATTGGTGATCTTTCTTTTTAGGTAGGATGTTGGGGTTGGGGATAGAGGGAAATCAATGTGTACTATAGAGTTGAAATTGTTTTTGTTTGGTGGTGTGAGATATCTATCTACCAATTTGAGATGATCGTAGAAATACGAAAAGTTCTATTAAATGATCCATCAGATGCAACAGCAAAGAACAGACCCGATGTCCTATCCTAGAAGAAATCGATTCGATTCAAATATGCTATCCCTCTTTTCTCGACTCCTGCTCCAGCCTAAAATCCATTCTGGTATCAAAAACAAAAAGAGCGTCTCGCCAAGCCAGTATTTCAAATATGTACTGTGCGCAAGGTAGGGGCATAAAAAATAAAACGTAAAGTTACAATCCAAAAAGAAAAGAAAAAAATTGAAATGAAAGTTGGATAAAAAGAAGTCCACACCACACACACATGCACACTCCACACTTATCCTCCTCACCATCGCTCCTGGACTCCTACTACGCCGATGGACTACCTCGCGGACTTTGGGATGGTTTCTTGACCAGGCCGGCGAAGAAGTTGGCCAGGGCTTGGTTGTGAGCTTTTTCGTTACCGGGAGCTGGGGGCGATGAAACTGTTTCCTTCCTTTGGCCTTGAGTGCGACTGGCTTCTCTCTCCTGGAGGTAATGAAAAAAAGAAAGGATCGTTAATGTTTCATGTTTGAGGGCATGGGGGGTTAGGAGGAGGAAGAAGACTTTTGTCTGTTGGCATGGATACGGACCTTGAGTTTTCGTAACATATCATCGGCGTCGACCTGGATTCCACCCATGTTGAACTGCACGGGGCCGATGTGCTCGTTGACACGGCCGTTGTCCTCCAGCGGTGACATCTCCAGCTGCGGAGGCATTTTGTTGACGGCGCGGTCCTTCTCGTCCTCGATCTTGAGTTGCTCGAGGAGTTCTTGTTGCTTGCCGAAGAAGGTCTGCATGTCAGTGGTCTCGACCTCGATCTTCTTCTTGCTTTGTTGGTTGGCGAGCGCCAGGGACGTGTCGCGCTTGGGATCGTTGATCGTGTGCTCGAAGATGGCCACGGCGCTGGTCCCGTCCTCCATTGCAGCGGATGTGTCGTCCTTGGGCTCCTCCTCCTCGACTGGTCCGTGGGTTAGTGGCTCCGGCGGTTCCTGGATCTCGATCGACCATGCGGTGGATACTCCCTCCATGTCGAATCCATCTCGGATGATCCGGATCTTTCCCCATGAGTCCCAGTTCGATGGCACCAGGATCTTATCCCGGTCGATCACATTGTGTTTGAGTGATTGTCTCTTCAGGAGCGAGTGTATCCCAAGGGACGAATGGAGGAGACTCTGAAGGGAGTTGGCAAGGAATGGTGTCGTGTAGATAAGAGACGCGCCATCTGTCAATGATTAGAGCGCCATTCGCAAGACATCGGGACGGATCAAGAAATAGGCACTCACGTTTGAGAAGAATGGTTCGCAGGAACTGAAGGATAAAGTCAAACTCTTCCTCGTGCCAGCCGTGGTCTTTTTCCAGTTTTTCGATCTTATCCGCCTATAGTGATGCGAAGCCAGCAGCGTTAATAGTCAAGTTCTCCAACCCGGACGGCAAAGTTCACGTACCCCCTGGCAAACCACACACATGGGGATCCCTAGTCCCTCGTCCCATTCGCCTGGACCTAAGGGTATCGTCACCGGCCCACCAGAGCTGGTCAGACCCTGCGTTCCCGCCGAGTTGGCGTCCATCCCCCTTTTTCGGTCTCTCCATTCCGCCATGGTTTCCTCCATCACGATCTTTGTCTCGTCGTCGAGAGAAATGAGCACGTGTCGGAGGAGACGAACCCATTCCCTCAGCTGCCGGATCCAAGTCCATGGTTCCGACCAATCGAGAAGTACCACTACCAGTGTTTCCGGGACCGAGTTGGGAGTCAGGAGAGGTTTAAGGAGGGGCGCGAAGGACAGCGAAGGTTCGGAAAGCAGATATGCAGACACGCGTGCCAACGTATCTGGTCGAGACGATTAGCTCCACCCAGTTCCTATGGTTAAAAGAGAGCGCCGGCTATGCTCACCTTCCTGGTCAGCGTCCAGTACATCCTGGTATGTGTATCCCAACGCGAACTGGTTGGCGACAGGTGGGACTTTTCCCTTCCGTTTCTCGTTTGACGGGCTGGGATCCGACGTATCGGCCGCAAAGGTCTCTAGAAATTCTCTCTGGCTCTCCGGCGTACCTCCTATGCTCCAGATAGACACCGTTAGCTACGCCAGACCCCCGAAAAGGAGCGCATCGACTCCGACAAGTTGCCCAAAATTCGGGGTGAGGGACGAGGTGACGAACCGAGAATCAGGAGGTTCTTCTCAGGCAAGCGCTTTCCATTCGCGACGCTGTCCAGCATCGACGACCAGATATTCTTCTTGGGTCCATCTTTGCTCGACGGCCGACTGTTGTTCCCCCCGTGAAATTGACTCGACGTAGCCATTGTCTGTCTCCAAATTCGACTTCTCAGCCGGCGCAAACCATTCCAAGTGCCTACCAGAGGATTGAAATTCACGCTCCGACCGATATGACGCGTTAATCACGTAAATCTCTCTTTCTCAAATTTTTTTCGGAATTTATTTGGTTTTGTTCTTCGGTTCCGACTATCGTGGTTATCGGGCGGACAGGGTCAGGGGATATCGATGGCCGATAGACGGGGACCAGATCGCACACTTAAACTTCCCCTCCCAGCAAAGGAAGGTTCCGACAAAGCAGCCGGTGTTTCGAGGAGAAGTAAGGGGGGTCTTGTCGTCGTTTGTTTGCGGAGGTCGAATGAAAGGGACAGGGTGTAGAGGGGAAGGTCGGTCTCCCCGTAAACAATCACCGTAGAGTTGAGTTAAGTGACTTGCGGGTGGGACCTCCCGCGGAGCAGCTTTTTGCAGCTTAGTCCTCTCCCGCCCGTCCCGACCTGCTCCTCTTCCACCTCTCGTCCTGGGGAACTGCGCCGGCGTCTAGTAATTGATCTTCTGGTTTGTCACAGGCTGACCACACCGTCGCCATGAATACAATCCGTCAGATCCAGGCGCTCAACAAACGCGAGCTGGAAAATGCCATGTGAGTCGCCTTCGTCCCGTCGTCTCTGTCACAGGCGACAAAGAAGAAAGGAAGGAAGGAAGAAACAGCTTACTGACTTTCAATCTACGAATCCAGCCCTCCAGAAGCTTCATGGCACGCTGATTACCGAGATACGGCCTACATCTACATCGGCGGCCTTCCCTTCGACCTGTCCGAGGGTGACATCGTAACCATCTTTTCGCAATACGGCGAGCCCGTGCACGTGAACCTTGCGCGCGACAAAGAAACCGGCAAGAGTCGTGGATTCGCCTGGCTGAAATACGAAGATCAGCGGAGCACAGACTTAGCTGTGGACAACATGGGTGGTGCGACGGTCATGGGTCGGATGCTGCGTGTCGACCATACCAGATACAAGCGGCGGGACGACGAGGAGGAAGGAGACAACGTCGCGAGACTAATGGGTGATGAGGAGAAGAAGAATGACCGCGGGGGCGACTCAGATGATGAGCGACGGAGGCGCCGCAAGAGAAGAGGCAGTGAAGATGATGAGCCGCGACAACGACCTTTGCTTAAGGAGGAGAAAGAACTGGAGGAGCTGATCCGAACCCACGACGAAGAGGACCCCATGAAGGAGTTCTTGATCGAAGAAAAGAAGGAGGAGGTTGCACGCGCGCTAGAGAGGGAAAATGCTGGGAAATCGTCGCGAAAACGAGACTCCAGCCGCGACCGATCTCGTCGCCATCACCGCCATCACCGACACCATCGCCGCCGACATGACGACGATCGCTCGCGTTCGAGAGAAAAGAGTCGGCGTGACTACCGGTCGCCGTCGAGAGAAGAGCGGTCGCATAGGACACGATCGCCGTCACGAAGAGAGAGGGCCTACAGAGACAGGACGCCAGTGGGATCTCGGTCACCGGAACCACGGAGGACTCGAGACAGACATGATCGACGTCGATAAGGGTTATGAAAATGGTCAATTATTAATTATTGCTAAGTTTATATAACCTTGGCATCTATCGATCGTTAAAGAACAAAACTTTAGTCCCTCAAGAAAGGACAATCCGCGACGGTCACCAACAGCCGAGAAGCATCAGCCGTCAAGTTGAATGCTTCTGGGACTTGACCTCTGCGTCTGGTCGAAGACGAGCACAGCATTTCTGCCAGACCCCACGCCGCGACGTCACCAATCAACCTCGCTGGGCACAAGCAAGTGACCCGGGACAAGAACCATCATCGCTAATCAAGATGGAAAGAGCAACTAGATAGCACTCTAGAAATCATAATTCATCGTCAGGAACCATCGGCGAGTTATCTCTTCAGCCTCCCCCTAGATATCTTTTCCATCCTTCTCTTACACAAATGCGTTTTCCATCGTCGGCTTCGTGCAGCGCGAATTTCTCCCAACGCCCGTCGCGGCCCGAGCCAAGCACGAGGATCGTTCGGTCATCGGCCCAGCCTATAACGCCTTTCAAGGGTCGACCAAACGATGTCCCAAGAGGTGGAACATATAGCGAGCCCGGGGCTCCTTCATCGCCAATCTCAAAAGGAGCATTTGCGAATGAGTAGATATCAGAGAATACTCGAGGCAGCAAAGGAATCTTCCCCAGTATGCCCCATTTTAGGTTGGTTCCTTCTTCGGGCGGTGGGGATGTGCTCTGAGGACGATTGGAAGGATTCCGTGGGTGAGGCAGGTCGAAGACGTGTAAAGTGGACTTGTCAGATGTAACCGCCAGCATGTTATTTGACGGCGAGATGGCGAGCGAGAAGATGACCGCCTGGTCAACTCCACGTCGAAGTTCAGCCATCTTCGTGCAATTACTGGTCGAGAACACCCTGACCAGGGTTCCCTGCAAATCATTCAGTCAACGTTCTAGAGCCGAGGTCAGAAACAGAACACCAGGGATAGCTTACCATTTCGCTTGCCGTCGCCAATATCTCCCCATCGGGACTCAATGCCATCGCTCGAAGGGGGGAACTATGCGCAGGAATAATGCTCACGTTCCCCGTCTCCAATTCCACGATTTGTACCTGTCCGGGAGAGCGCCCCGGGAAAGCCAACAACTTCTGTCCTAAACAGGCCAGTCCCATGGGGTTATCCGTTGTCTCGAACACCGACAGTTTCTTGGGCGGGTTCGAAAAGGCGAAGATGTGAATGCTATTCAGCAGAGCGACGACAATGCGCGACTTCGACAAGCGGACGCCGAGGACTGAGGTGCGGAATTCTAGCGTGATGACGGCCTTCTGCTTCGCATCATCCCAGATCACCAACTATACAGGGCGGCTGTCAGTCACAGTTGACAGCCTTGGGGAGCAAATGAAATCACCTACACACCTTGTTTTGCGGGAACTTAGGCTGTCTTCCTCCCCCGACGATAGCCAGGTAGTTTGACTGACCCAGCATCACTGCGACGCCGATTCCAGCGTTGAAATCTAGAGCCATAGGACAGACGGATCAGCAATGCGCACCGCGGTCTACTTGCATGGGCAGCAGTATACGGCATATACATACCCCGTGACACCTTGAGCTCACATGGATCGGCATTAAACACTACAGATGACAGTCTATTCTCAGCTTGGTGATTGCCAACCACGGACCGCCAGCCGTATGGAACCAGCAGTAGAGGCCTTACCGCAGAACCCGGTATCTAGGCCGACCGAGAAGCAGCTATTTTCATTATTGAAAGTGGCCGAGAGAGAGAAGGGCCCGACCGACTCATCAATAACCTGGCGCGTATTCATACTGACGGCGTGAACGGAGAGCCATCCGAACAAGAGCCCAGGCAGATGCAGTCCAGTTGAAGCTTGGTCTTCCGCGGTCCAGAAAGCAAGGCGTCAACGGAGATCGACAAGAAGCCGCTCAGGTGGCGCCAAGGACGCTAGGCCCGTTGGGGGTAGTCAGGTGATTTGGTTTCACAGGAAGAGCTCAGAGCATTGGATACTCCCTCCACTCCAGTACCTACCTACTGCGTATGCTCAGGAATGATGCACGCAGACCGTTTACCCATGATAAACCCCTACCACCCTTCCAATCAAACCACAGTCGATCGCCATTCACCCCAGCATCCAGGTGACTTCCCGGGAAGTGCTGCCTCAGGCCATAATGTCTTACATAACCGACGGTACCGTACGGCGGTAACCAATACGGGCTACGGCGGCCCGCAGCGACCCACGGCCGCGGAGGAAACGCCTATTGCTGCCCCCAACCCCTGAAAAGACCCCAGCTACTCCGAGGGCTTCGAGCAGTAAATACTACGTAGTCTTTCATGTAGCCACTTCTTGTATTGCCCAATGTAGACGAAGGGGAGACAGGTCCAGCGAATATTCTCAGTCCGGATATATCAGACAATAGTCCACTTCCGATCGTCAATCGCTCGATCGCCAGAGTCCCTTTTTGGGAAGCACAGGAATTGCGGCCTGAGGGATCCAATGCCCCGGATTGGACAGGTAATTTACAGCGTGACCGTCCCAGGTACGGTACCGTCTGTGCCACGGCGGGAGGTCCCTGTACCTGTACCTGCGGCGGTGTACCAGGGCCACACATCCACGGGTACCGATACCTGGTCGGTAACGATACGGCAGCCGGAGGTGTAATAATACGTGCCTACCCCCTAACTGCCAGATCAGATTAACGCTCACTCGCTCGCCCTCTAACGCACCTCAGGAGAGAGCAGTCCACCTCCGTCCATCCTTCCTATCTCTCCTTCACCTCTCTCTTCCCTCATTCCCTTCCTTCAATCCCTCCCTCCAGGTTCTTCGATCCGCCTGTCGCTCGCTATCTCGACCCTTTTCCTTCTCGACTTCAATTCTCGCTTCGTTGTTTTCTCTTCCCCCCCTTTCTTTAGCCCACCATGTCGGCGGCCCTTAACGCGGTATGTCCCTCGCTTCCCCTTTCTATCTGGCTACCTCAAGATGAGAAACTTCCCCTCCGACTCTTCGCCACTCCCAATGGTTCCTCCAGCGGTTCGATTGGGAGCAAATCTCTACTTTCCATCGGGGCTCAGTTTCTTACCATGATAAATCCTATCTTATACTCCAGATCAAGCTCCGTCGCAAGAAAAATGTCAAGAAGGGAATCCAGTTCTGTCTGATGGTCTGTGGTGCCAGCGGAACCGGTACGTATTGGAATCTTTGGGCTTTGGGCTCCCCTGGTTGCTGCACGAGAACTGACCGGGTTCCCCTTTTTCGGGCAGGACGTACCACCTTTGTCAACACCCTTTGCGGAAAGCAGGTCCTCGAGGGCAAGGACGCCGACGACGCTGCCAACGCTCACATCGAGGAAGGTGTCCGCATTAAGCCGGTCACGGTTGGTAAGTTGGTCCCAAAAAAAGCATGGGTTTCACAATACAGTACCAGACTTGACTAACGCGGGGTGGCGGTGATCCTCAGAGCTGGAATTGGACGACGAAGGCACTCGAATCTCCCTCACCATCGTTGATACCCCGGGCTTCGGTGACCAGATTGACAATGAAGCCAGGCAGGTGGCCCCGCCAGCTTTTTCAGACGTCCTGAGACTGACCGATCTTCCTGCAGCTTCGGTGAGATTGTTGGATACCTTGAGCGCCAGTACGACGATATCCTTGCCGAAGAATCACGAATCAAGCGAAACCCCCGCTTCAGGGACAACCGTGTCCACGTTCTCCTGTATTTCATCACACCGACCGGTCACGGGCTGCGTGAATTGGACATCGAATTGATGAAGCGCCTCTCGCCCCGTGTCAACGTTATCCCCGTCATCGGAAAGGCCGACTCCCTCACCCCCGCCGAATTGGCCGAGTCGAAGAAGCTGATCATGGAGGACATCGAGCACTACCGTATCCCCGTCTACAACTTCCCCTACGACATCGAGGAGGATGACGAGGACACCGTGGAGGAAAATGCCGAACTACGTGGGCTGATGCCCTTTGCCATTGTTGGCTCCGAAGACTTTGTGGAAATCGACGGTCGGAAAGTACGAGCCCGGCAATATCCCTGGGGTGTGGTCGACGTTGAGAACCCTCGGCACTCGGATTTCTTGGCCATCCGCAGCGCTCTTCTCCACAGCCACCTGGCTGATCTGAAGGAAATCACGCATGACTTCCTCTACGAGAACTACCGTACCGAGAAGCTTAGCAAGAGCGTGGACGGAGCTCCTTCGTACGTAACCCCTTGGTCTCCTTGCCACCTGCAACCTCCCACTAACCCCCTTCAGCAGTAGCACCCAAGATTCATCAATGAACCCCGAAGACCTAGCAAACCAATCCGTCAGACTGAAGGAGGAGCAGCTCCGTCGTGAGGAAGAGAAGCTTCGCGAGATTGAGCTCAAGGTGCAGCGTGAGATTGCCGAGAAACGCCAGGAACTGTTGGCTCGCGAGAGCCAACTGAGGGAGATCGAGGCTCGCATGGCGCGCGAGTCGAGCCAGCCGGAAGGCGCCAACGGGGATGCTTAATCATTTCTTTACCAGAGGAAACCTGTCTTGTTGCGCGGCGGCACCCAGTCGGTGTCAACGTAATGGAATTAGCGGCATGGCGGTTGTAATTGTTTTATGGGGATAATATTGACAGTTTATTCACGTTAATAGCTTTTCATGTGAAAGGGAGGGAAGTTCCAATGACAACGTTTCCCTTTGATTTCGATGAAACTGGCCGCTTCTTTCCTCTTGTTCTTCCCCGTCATGACACCGGAGGATCGGAATTCTGGCTGCCGCTTCCCTTTGCTCTCTTTCTCTCCTTCGCCTTCTTTTTTTTTTCTTCTTGGCTTCTTCCATGTCTTCCATTTAATTCGGCTGAAGATTATTTATTTCCTTTCCTCTTGTTTCGCAATGCCCGTGTTGTGGAATGCTCGAGGGGGTCAAAGATAGCATTGTTTTAATCGTTTGACAATTTGTCATTGGCAATTCTCCTTCCTTGATTATCTATCTTTACTTTTACTTTTTTTACTTTCCTTCGATCCTGTCTCCTTATTCTTATCCATTTATGTCATCCTCTCTTTGGCCATTCCTCTCTTCTCAATGACTTGACCACCTTGTCTGTCACCTTTCAAATCTCGAGCAACGCAGCAAGATTCCCTCTTTTGTCTCTTTTTTTCCTCGTCTGTTATGGTTTGTTTGTTTTTCTGGTTTTCCTTTTTTTTTTGTGTGTGTGTGTGTTATTGTTATTGTTTCTGTTTGGTCGTGTGGTTGTTGGTGTTCTATTGTTCATTCTATCTTGTTATCTTGAATGGTAGTTCGGTGGAAAGGCAGTTCCTAAATAAATAAATAAATATCTACATAGGAACAATGGAATATGTATATGTGAATGTGATTGTCTTTTCTTTTCTTGAGAATACAGAGGGATCATTAGATACTGCGTTGTAATTTGACCTGCTAAGCTCGGCATATGATCACCCCCTTAGCATGCATTTACCTGCTTTATACGTTTCGGGTCAAGCCTTGCTCCTTGCACAACCCCAAATTAAATCCTAACTACCCAGTCTGTCTATCTTATATGTAAATATACCTACGCAAGACGAGGTGAAGAGTAGAGGAACAAATCCTTAGATAACAAATGGGTTCAGCACCAGCTCTCCCCCAGCGTTATTATGAAGTAAGATGCAGTCAGATGCAGGGCAGTTTCAAGAAAAAAACATACAAATGGTTGTGACGCAGACAACCAGAATGACAATTATACGACAAGTGAGAACAGAGAAACAAGAAAAAGAGGGAGTCAAGGGATCAATAGAAAGAGGTAGTGGAGGGAAGAGAAGGAAACCATGACAGAAACAATAAACATGTGGTATTTGCGCTTCATTGTACACAGCGGGAAAATGAGCAAACGATGATATGATGGGTGACCTCGAGTAAAGATCAAAGCAACCATATTCAGGTATTAAACGAGGAAAAGAGAAGGGAGAAAAGGGGGGAATAAATGGTGTGAACAGGCTCGAGATGACAAATGCAGAGCGACTGTGTCAAAAAGAAGAAAAATCCGAGGTTGCCTTTCCGGTCTAAAACGCGATCAACAAAGCAAAACATCAGAGAACACATGCTGCTCTTGGTATCCATTTGACCCCTATTTGCCATCACCATTGGCCTAGTGCTGTGGCTTGTTCCAGAAATCCAAGCTGGCTACGACGTCTTCGCCTGATTCATCTTCATATGCGTAGAGGATCTAATGTCAAGTTAGCTATCAACAGCCCGCAATCGGTCCGGGGAGCTTCTCGATTCCAACATACCTCTCTGGTGGACGAGTGCAACATGCGGATATTCTTCCCCGTCATGATGTGAATCAATTCACTCGTCTCAATGTGCCGGATCTCTATAAAATTGGGTTCAAATGCGAGGATGTAAGGATAGGATAGGGCAAACGCGTTGGGGTTACCCTCCCACGAGATCCTCCAATCCGGGCGGGCACGCCAGCCATTTCGGTTGACAAAGAACGAAAAGTCACTGTAGTTCAGAAGGAACTCTCCGTTCATTCGCTCGATGTGAATGGGCTTCACGTTCTCCTTCCGGGCAACAAAGTCAAGCGACGTGTCGGCTTGGTCCAAAAGAGACTGGGTTTCCGTAGTCTCAAGACTGACAACCTCGAATCCACGAGCACATCCAACGCACAATGTTGAACGAAGGAAATGGATCGAGGATGATTCCGCAGGAATGTAATATTCCTAGAGTGTGCTGTCAGAAAAAAACACTCGTCATCGCATGAGCAAGCATGTACAAACCTTGAAAGGCTTCAGCGTATCCTGACCGCTCTGGAACATCTTGCTGACGGCAGACTTCTTCTTTCCCTTTGCCAGGTTATCCATGGGCTCGTACACCTTGATAGTGGTAGAGAGAGCCGAAGTCTTGACCGAGCAGACTAAATGCCGCCCCAACCCAATGCCGGCCTTGAAAAAGTTTGCATGGCCCTGAATCTTCTTGGGTCGCTTGGCCATTGTGTTTTGGCCCTCGTTGATCTCCAGTGCCTCCATAGGATATGAAGATAGGGTCTTATTCGACAGCACCAAAAGTAGTTGATACTCTTCGAGCGTGTCGATTTGAGTGACCTGACTAACGTCGAGGACCCGTCGGGGCTTCGCCGACTTATCCTTGGGCCAACGCTCCGAAAGGTAGATACCGCTGTCAGTTCCATAGACCAGCTTTCGGCCACCATCTATATTGAGTGTGAGCAATTGCGCTTCGTATAAATCGAAAGGAGATTACTCGGATATTAGTGACAACATACCAACAGGAACAAGACAGTTGACGCGATTGATAGCTGAGAAGAAATTCTCGCAAAGGACAGTCTTGTTGTAAAAGTTGCTGTTTCGCTCCCTGAGTTTCCTCTGCTGTTCTTCCACCATCTCGATGAATTTTCTTCTTTGAGTGGGTGACGTGGCATATAGCGTCTGCTCGTAACCACCTTTTCCTAGATGCCGGAAGGTAATTGGCAGTCCGTCCTTGGTGGTGGGCGGAGGCGGCGTCGGCTTGTTCGAGAGTAAACTAGACGATGGACGCTTAGAGACTCCCGCCCTGGGGATGACTTCGTCCATCTGCGCAATCACGAGAAGTTCCAACGGGATGGGCTTCCTGTACACTCGGTATTCCTCGCGCTTGTTGACGACCTTGATTCTCACCAGCAAGACAGCATGGTCAAAGAGATAGGCGGTAACCTCCGAGGTGTCGGAAGTCGTCTTCTTGAATGCCATCTTGGTCAGCATCTGCCGGTTCTCCTCGGTCAACTTTAGGTCGACATAGTCCCCGGGGGCAAACTTGAGCGCGGAATTCAACTGCACCAAGTTGAAATGGTTCTCGGCTCTTCCACTTTCAGCGTTGACGCGCGACAAGAAATCCTTGATCAGTTTGATGGCATTAGGAATGTCCTGCTTGTCCGGGTTGTCCTCGGCCGTGTTCTTGTTGACCTGTTCGAGAAGCAGCGGGTATCGGGCTAAACGGGTTGTCGGCTTGGTGAGGTATCCGTTCAATTCCAATTTCCGGGACTCCTTTAGACGTTCGGTGTCTTCGACAAATTTTGCGAAGGCGGGATTGGAGGCCTTTTCCTTTTCGAATTCATACTTTCCGTACAGCTGGTTCGCGCCGTACTTGATGAAGGGATCGAACCGTGGCACGTGCTGCAGGAATATATCGCCGACGGTTTGCACCACATGGTTTTCTTTCTGTCTGGCATTGAGGGCCTCACAGAGACCGCCATTGACTTTCAGCACCTCCAAGCAGTTGCCGAACACCGTGCGAATGAATTTCTCCCGCCGGTGTTCCGGGATCGGAGAGGTGTTTGTACTGCCGGCCGCGCGCAACGGCCTCATCCAGAAATCACGCAGGTACTCCAAGTCCTTGACGAAGTCACGTTCAGTGTACATGATTTCAAAAATGATCTCTTGACGTTTCTTTTCCCGGTCATCAATGCCATCAGATATTTCCTTGGGGACCATATTAATCCAGAGTTTCTGGTTGTCATTATCGTCGTCATCACCGTGCAAACTTCCTTTCGAGGCAGATGATCGCAATCCCGGCTGCGGCTTCAGGTTCAGGCGCGCCTGTTGTTCCAGTCGTCGGGGGCAAGCAATCGAGTAACACAAGCTATCGCGAGTGCAGGTGGGCGAGTAGCATTCGGTGAGCAGAGTAAAAACTCCGTTGACCTCGAAGCCGGGCGTCTCTTCTCCCATGGTTTCCTTGAACTGGTAGAGCTCGCCAGGAGCATCTCGGAGACGATGGTCGTAGGTTACATCGTGAAAGAACTTTTGTGCGTCCAGAGCGCGACCGAGCAGGAGGGCCAGGTTGCGATCGTTGGTCTTGATGATGTACCCGATCAAATCCACGGCATCGGCGCCGGAGAAGGAATTCTGGTAGGATAGCCCGTTTTTCTGCCGCTCGGCCAGGGGGATTCTCTCCCGGAAGTTGTCGGCTACCCGCGAGAGCAAAGCCGGGTAGACCAAAGGCACCTTGCTGCGGCGCGAATTGCTCGCAGTCACGGTCGCCTGGGTGCTCGGCTTGTGCGTCAGCTGGCTTTGCATGCTCATGGTCCGATCGGGGACCACGGTGGAGGCCATCGACATCGACCGCGAGTTCGTCGAACCGTCGCTCGGCGGTCGAGGCTTGCCATTGACAGGCGGAGGATGCGTCGGCTCCGCCTCGTAGGGCTTAGCCGGAGGCTGGCTCGGGCCTGACGGCTGCCTTCGGCTGGGAATAACCCGCCCCGTGCTGGTAGTGTGCATGGGTTCACGATCCGCCGAGTAGGAGGTCATCGACATCGCCCGCTCATTTCCATGTCGTTCCGGTACCACTCGGCCTTGCGCGGTCATCGGGGCGGCCGCGTTGTACGGCTGTTGGCGGAACGCGGTCGCGGAGGTGTGGTTGAAGCTGTTCGGCTGAGGGGGATAATTCGCCGGTCCCCCCATTCTCGCCATTGATCGTGACCTATAGGTGTCGGAATTCAAGGCAGGCGGGGGCATCGGGCGACCGTATCCCTTCGCGTCCGGATACTGCGGGCCCGGGGCGGGGCGTGAATCCAACCGTTGGGGCTGCGGATAGGCGAAGCGTCCGGCATAGGGTCGGGGAGCGCTTTGCGGAGGGGGCTGAGAAGGCGCGCCTGCGGACCCGGGATAGGCCTGGTAATAACCGTTCGAAGAAGGAGCTCCGTATCCATTCTGCATCTGGCGTTGCGGCGGCGGCGGGCCCCTCTGCATCTGAGGATGTGGCACGTGTGAAGTCATTGTGTGAGCTCGATCCTGGGAGAACATGGGAGTCTGCGATGTCATGGTTTGGGAACGACCGGGTGGCGGAGCCCCGCCGAAGATCTCAGAGAAAGCAGCATCCCGCTGAAAGGATGATGGATGTCCGTAGGGCCGGTAGTTCCGGCCCTGCTGGCCCCCCAGATCAGCCATGGTGTTTGTACTGTCCCCTCTTCTTTTTTTCGGACCGGGAATTGGCGTTCTATCGTCCGGAACGGATCAAGGATACGACGATGACCAGGGCGTTTTTAGTCTGGGGCGAAAAAGGGCGCTGACACTGGTGCAAAAATTAAAGGGTATCGAAACCGGTCGTGGGGAGGGCGTGCAGAACGTTGCAAGAAGATCGTGGAAAATCGTGGAGAAAGGAGACGGACAAGGGGAGCGAGGAAAAAGAAAAAGTAAAAACGACAGTCCACGGGCAACGATGTATAAGGGGCGAAAAGAAAAGGGAATAAGCAAGTCCGACGTATACTCAGAAAAAGAAAGAAAAGAAAAGAAAAGAAAATTTTCTAGGCCGGGGAATTGGCAGAGCGTATCATGCCTCAATGGAGAGGGAGGTTGAAGTGAGTTGAGTGCCTGGCGAAAGGCGTCGAGACCTATGCCAATGATGGAAGAGCGCTAGCCGTGAGCGCAACCGCAAGCCAGGGCCCCAGTAAGTTCATACCCTCAGCATCCTCCCTCGGAGCTGTTTCCGATCGATTTCAGGTCCCGAACACAAGGGGGAGGGGGGAGGGGGGGAGAGAGAGGGAAGGAGAGAGAAAGACAGTGAAGGATGAAGGGGGGTGGGAGGAGAGTGAATTCGCGAGAGGGAGAGAGAGAGCGAGAGAGAAGAGGTGAGGAATCGGGGGGAGGAGAGGAGCAGGAGTGGGTGGGTGGGGGGAGAGGTGAAGAGGTTTTGATTAGGAGGGAAGGTAGACGGGGAGTCGGCGAGGGAGGGAGAGTCGCCTAGACCGGGGGGGATGGAATTGGGGCCAGGGACGGGGAGGGAACTGTCAGTCCAGGGCAACAATGCAACCAGACCGCGGCAGCATCGACGGGAGGACGACGACGGACGAGGGAGAAGCAGAGGAAAACAAACGAAGCGATGAAGCCGATAATAAGAATCCCGACGCAACGCAACGCAAAGCAACGCAAAGCCAAAAGCACGGGGGCCTTCGGGCACATGTCACGCCTTGCCCCTTTCGGCGCTACGGTGGCCCGCGCGAGCCACTTTTCGTTCTTTCTTTCTCTTCCTCAGAATATGCTCTCCTTCTCTACGATTCTATCGGTTTTATTTGCTTTGTCTGTTCTATCGGTTGCATCCATCTCCTGTCTCTCCAAATATAATTATTGTGATTGATGGACTATCCAGTCTCCCCGTACTACCCTCAGTTCTACTCCGTAGGAACTACACAACTCCTATACCGGATGTCCCCGTGAATATCCCAGGAGGAATGGCAGATCTGTGGGGAGACAATTGCAATCTAACGAGAGATCGACATCCAGCTATCATTCGCCATCGGTTCCGTCTCCCCAAGCATTGGATCTCCCCGTCGTACCTGTCGAAGTAGAAACACCCTCACCAACCAACCATCTTGTCACTTGCGTCGGAATGTTGATCCCATCCCGTATCTCAATCCCACGTAGAGTGTACGCAGTAGAGCCTCGTCAATGGCACGCAAGGAAGCATTGGTAAGTCTGACTTGCCGGGACATTGGCGGTCAATTTCTCAATCCTCCTGTTGGCCCTCGGTTCATTGTTTGGGTGACCACTACTTGCTACTACCTGCTGCGGAGTAATACCGAGCGATATATACTTACTTGTACGAGTCTTTGTGTGGTGCCAGTTGTCACCTTCTGATTCTTCAAGTTGCTCCTGATTTGTGTAGTTTGACTCCTCGGCGAGATGCCGAAATATATCTTCTCCTTCTGCACCTCCCTCGCTCTTCGTTCTGCTCACTCACTCCGTTTGACCATGCTAGGGGTCTTCGAATTATCCATTCAGACAAGCCATATGACTAGACTTAGCTGGACTATTGACTAGCATGACCGTTTCCCGCCGAATCGGTCCGGTGGAATGGGCAAGTCCCCGTATTAACGGAGATCTCCTCGTACCCCTTGGCTTCGATGCGACGCAGGTCCTTCGAACAGGAACTCTCATGATCACGAACTGCACGGTAGAATGCCTATCCAACTGGCGATTCCTGCATCCCTGTCCGACCAGGGACCGTTTGAGTGACTGAGTTGGGAACTGCGCCCATGTCGATCATTGGACGCGCATGCAACGATGGCACCAGATGGGATAGCATTACCAACTTCTGCAGCGGATGGAAATAGCAACAGAATAAGTTCATCCCATGATGGTCAACCATGGGAACCGGGAGGGTTTGCCCCGCCAACGCGGTAACGTCAGAGGCCGAGACGGCAGGGAGCGACTTCTGGCAAGGCCGAATCCTTCCTTTTCCTCTCCCCCGCGCTTTGCCCCTCGCCCCTTATCTGCTCGACTGTCCCGGTTGCTTGTTCGATCTCTCCGTTCCCTGTACGATCGATTGATCTAGACGTTCCATGACGATTCACGACCCCGTCGCTACGATTGAGCCTTAGCTTGCTTCTCCGACCTCCCGTCCAATTGCTCCCGCGCCCTTATATATTTTTTATTTTTTACTTTTTTTTCTCTTCCATCCTCCCCTCCCCGCCTCGCTGTCTTGCCTCCCCGCCGTCCTCCGAGACATGATCTCTGGCCATCCCGATGGCTACAGGAACGGTCGACCCTTCCTCTACTAACGAGGCCCAGGGTTCCTCGATCCCTTCGGACGATCTCCATGAGAGGGAAAAACAGATGGTGGCGTCGGTCCGACCGCCCAACCAGCGACAGATGAGCCCTTTCGTCATCACCGAGCGGCCGGAGGAGAAGCACCTCGGGATATCTACCCGCAGCCTGACGGTGGACGACTTTGCTCTGCTGAAAACTCTGGGGACCGGTAAGCTTCGATGACTCGCCTGCCCATGCATCTGGGGGCTCACATGCCACGTTGCCAATCACAGGCACTTTCGCTCGGGTATGGCTGGTCCGAATGAAGGACGAAGTGCAGCGGAGGGACAAGGTTTACGCGCTCAAGATTCTACGCAAGGCGGATGGTAGGGGTGACTCGACAATCGATGTTCGTGCCATGCAAGGCTAATGTTGGGTCTAGTGATCAAATTGAAGCAGGTTGAGCATGTGCGCAACGAACGAAAAACACTCGTGGCGGTTTCCGGCCATCCCTTCATCACGACGCTAATAGCCACGTTCTCGGATGACCAAAGCCTGTATATGCTGGTATGTATCTGTTCCAAAGCGAATTCGGTATATTATCAATGCTTACATCTCTCTAGCTTGATTACTGCCCCGGAGGCGAAATATTTAGTTACCTACGACGAGCGCGACGATTCAACGAAAACACCTCCAAGTTTTATGCGGCCGAAATCGCCCTGACGATCGAGTTCCTCCACGATGCCGAAGGGGTCGTTTACCGCGATTTGAAACCCGAAAATATCCTCCTGGACGCCGATGGACATATCAAACTGGTCGACTTCGGCTTTGCCAAACAAGTATGCGATCGCGAAACGTACACGTTATGCGGAACACCGGAATATCTCGCCCCGGAGGTTATTCACAATAGTGGTCATGGGCTCGCGGTGGATTGGTGGGCCCTAGGTATCTTGATTTATGAGTTCCTGGTTGGGCAACCCCCTTTCTGGGACCAGAATCCAATGCGCATCTACGAGCAGATCGTTGAAGGCCGACTGCGCTTTCCTCAAGGCATGTCGCCGGCCGCCCAAAACATCATCTCCTTACTCTGCAAGACGAATCCGACGGAACGACTCGGATACATATCCGGCGGGTCTGCTCGCGTCAAAGCCCATCCTTTCTTCGAAGACATCAACTGGGATGACCTGTTCTACCGTCGAATCAAGGGGCCTATCATTCCGAGAGTCGATCATCCGGCAGATACAGGCAACTTCGAGGAGTATCCCGACCCGGATTCCAAGGGCATGGGAGTCTACACCGATGATTTGAGGAAAAAATACGAAGCTTTGTTTAGCGACTTTTGATGACAGAAGTTCCGGACCAGACACTTCCCGCAGCCCAATCCGATGACTTCTTATCCGCCACTCGGACGGTTCAGAGGGCTAGACCTTCAAATAGAAGCCCGCGAACGCCGCACAGGATATTACTCTTTTTTTTTTTTTCTTCCAGACTCGGTGATTGGCGGCTGGATATCGTCTAAAGAACCGAGAATCACCCAATACATGCCTGTCTATGAACGGCAGCCTAATCACTCTGATATTCAACATTTCCGCCAGGCCCAGAGGGCCGTCCATCCTGTTTTGCCCACCAATTCGCTCACCTGATTGTTTGATATATAAATATAATGTGCTTGAAAATCCTTGCCGCCGATCTTACCACCTTTAAAATCCATCTGCCGTCTGTCGTGTCTGTTTCAAGTTTGCCAGCGTGGATATTTCTGGGAGTACCTACGGAGTCGTGATGCCTTCTTGGTCTGCAACAACAATGGGATTTTGACGAGCCACCTAGCACCGCATTCGACGATGAAGTTACGACGCCAAAAGTGAATTTGTTTTCTCGGCTCCATCGCTTACAGCTGGCATGGCTGGAGGCAACCTGACGGATCCAACGCTGATTTATGAGCGTGTGTTTTTAACGTCTTACCGTGACAATGGGTATATCTACATGAATTTATGAGATCATCTTACTTTGTATTATCTATTTCGTTCGTCCTCTATCTATTACTCCTGCTATTATACGCTTTTCGTTCATGTACTGTACAGCCGATCTTGTATGCATTTAATGCTTTACGCTAGGTTCGGACGAAATCAAAGTGCGAAAAAGTTAGTCAACCATGAAAAAATAGTCAAATATAATTAAACTGAAAAGATATGGAAAAAGTCTATACAATACAACAAAAACACATCTACACCAAATCCCGATTCCACGTAAGAATAATCAATTAATAGACATCGAAGAGGTTCCGAGGAACAAATTGGGAAACGTAGGGAGAAGGAGAAAGGGAGGGAGGGAGGGGATAGATATTCCAAAACATGGACAGGATGAATAGGACTGCTTGGTGGGGGCAATTCAATCCATTCCTTTCCAGTTCCCCTCTGGATGTAGATGGGGGGATAGGGCTGGGAGGAAGATGTGGGGGAAGTCATGCGCGGCATGAATGGGACATGGCTCATCGTCTCATGTGGGCTGCGTAGAGAGGTAAAAGGAATGGGGAGAAAGGGTGCATGGACGGCGTCCAAATGTCGTGGGGGGGGGGGGATTCAGGGTGGAAATCGGTCGGACGATGAGAAGTCGAAACAGTCCCTCGACAAGGTTTAGGCCCGAGGAAAGGATAAAGGAGAGCCTGGTTGACATCTCTCTTCCCCGCTCGGCCGAGGCAAGCCGTCCTGTCGAGCAGGGGTGGGAATAGTAGTCGCTGTTATAAAGAGAGCCCCTCCTCCGATCAAGCTTATAGAGAAGGATCGGATTTCCATGTTCCTGACGAGACAAACGGGTCAGTATTTGAAGAATAAATTGGACGCCAAATCATGAAAACTCACCTCCAAAGTCATGCTTGACAAAGGCCATCGGATCATCGACATCCTGGGCGCCCATCTGCTGCACGCCGGGACTGAAGCTGGTGATGGGCAGAACCACCACGTCGCCGACCTTCTTGTACCCCTCCTGGTAGGTGAAATCCTCATAGGTGACATTGAGGTCGAACCCCGGCTCGATGTTGAAATAGTCTGGGTTGTTGAAGTACCGGAAGATGGCGTCCGTCCAGGCAGCGGGTCCGGTGAACTCGACGATGGTCTTGTCCATCTTGCCCGTCTTGAGGATGCCCGCCTTCTTCATGCGCAACGCCTCCTCGGTAATGTACGCCACGATATCGCGGAGAATCGGGTGGCCCGGTTTGGCCTGGATGGTCCATTGACAGAACTGGATGCGGCGCGAGTACCAATCGTGCCAGTCGGGGCGATCGGGGTCGGCTTCGATGCCGACGACGAACCCGACGGTCGACAGGTCAAACTTCGACGGCAACCACTCGTGAGCGGGCTTCAAGGCCGTCGTATCGATGTCGCTGTAGATGCCGCCGCGCGCCAGCAGGATCAGGTAGCGGAAGAAGTCGGCCTTGAGGACGGGCAGCGGCATTGAGTCGTACGCCTCGAACACGTCCGGAACCGACCCGTACAGATGCTTGATCAGATGGCGCTGCGTGTCATCCGGGATGACCTCGTGCACGAAACCCGGGTGTAGCTCGGACCAGCTGGCTTCGGGATCGCGCAGCTCCGGAGTGAACCATATCGAGCCCGGGGTGTATTTCCATGTCTGCCAGATATAGGCGGGAAATTTGCCGTCCAGATCGTAGGGGAATTGATATCGCAACCGGTCGCGTAAGGGAGCGCTGGGGGGCGGCTCGAGGGGCTGTTGTTGGACCTGATCCTTCTTCTGGGACGGGGTGCGTTCTGCCGCTGCAGAACTCTCGTCGTGATCGGACTCTGCGGAGACGGGGATCGGAGACGGCGCGGGGGAGGTAGAGGAATGCGACGACCGGAGGAGGGCGATGAAGGTGATCAAGAGGACGGCCGCGACGAAGGCTTTCCGGAAGGTGAGCATGGTTGCTAAGGGGGCGACCAGACGGCGAAGGGGAGGGTGGCAAGAGGGATTTGATCGACACGCAGTCGCAAAGGGCTGGCACGCAGGTCGAGGGACAGCCACGAGCTTCTCCGCAAGCTCCGCCGACGATCCGTCTTCACCACGACCGTTGGTTGGAATTGAAGGTTGCCTTGCAAAAGAGATGTTCCGTTCCACCGCAGAAGCAGCTACGATCCAAACATCTCTGCCTGGGAAGGGCAACGGGGTGCTGGTGAAGGCGGGAGATTTGCTCCGCTCAGAGAATCTTTGGAATATTCCGAGGTGACACGGGACGGCAGATTGCGATGCAGACACCGAAAGGAGTTCCAACGATGGGAACGAGAACTCAAAAAAAAAAAAAAAAAAAAAAAAAAAGAGAGAGAGAGAAAAAATGGAGGCCGAAGGAATTGACCAGGATGCGAGTCGGCAGTCGCTGGCGGCGATAGAAGATGACGGGGAATGCAGTTGACGGGCACAACCCACGACGTGATGCTGACCCAACGACCAGATGGCAGAGATCGCGAAGAACGAGGAAGCGAGAAATTGCGACGACGGTGGAGCCAAGTTTTGGTGGCGTCTGCAGTCCGCGCGGATGGGCGGCGATGACGACAGCTGCAGGCCCTACGGAGGTTAACTCTGTTCTGTGTTAGACTGTTCACGGTTACGGAGGACCGAGGAGACTTTATAAACGATTTTATCGGAGAAATCTTCAAATCACAAGTTGCCTGCAACGGTGTCCATCCCAATCAAAAGTCTCCGCAAGGGACCAGGATCGACTCCGTCACGGAGTTGGATCGTGGCGCGATAGCTTCATGTTGATTCCCTGGATCGCGCCCAGAGGATAGTCCACTCGGACAGTCTACATGGCCGAACGTCACGTTGAAGATGGCTCCATTCTGGATCTCGTTGACTTCAGTCATGGCGATGGCCGTTTCCGGCGAGAACTGGCCGGTCGGCAGTCTGGACTCTTCTGTCTTCTTGATGCCGACCCCGTCCGTTCATTTGACCTGCCGCGTCACATTCTTGTCGCTTGCTGTCGCGCATTAATTAATCCCCCTGTCAATTCGTCCGTGGAACCCAGGAAGCCCAAGCACAGGCACAGGCACACTTCTGCCGTACTCCGCAAGGTACAGAGTTCTGAATCGTGAATCATGAGCATCGCCAGCCACTGAAACACGTGGATCTCGCCGGTCGCTGGTTGGCCCATTGATCTGCCTCTCCACCGTCGTTGCAACCCTTGAGCATCACCAGAAGCCATCCATGGATGCTGGACTGCGGGTGGACTCCCGCGGGATACTACCACAGTCTCTGCCATCAATAGCCTCCTAGGGCCGGATGGAACTTCCGTCCGTTCATCTGTGCAAGACTATCTGGACTGAGTCAAGTCACAATTCCTGAGTAGGATGACGCCACTCGTTTATCCTAGACTCCATCGGCTGTACGAACTGTAGATTGCATCGATGGAGACCTCGAACTCCGGATCTGTCTGAAATCCACTGGTACTAAACATGATTTGTTCCAGACCGTGCATCCGTGGGGCTGCTGTGATCTTCTGCAGTCCCCGTTATCCACTCGAGATTGGCGCTCACTGCCTCGCTGCTCCCTGACAGCCCGCGTTTTAGACTGGCCTGCGTGCTTGCGGAGTACCGATAATGCTTATGCTTTAATCCAGCCCACTCCGTCGGCACTTTGGGATACTGACACTGACAGTCGCACGCTAACACTGCCCTGCTATTTAAGTCTCAACTGTCCCGGTTGCGACCAATGCTGTCCTTGCGATCTTCGTTAAGAGAGGATGGAAGTCAAGGTCCCCTCAGTGTCTCAGAACAATGATGCTGCAAGTGGACTCGATATGAACTCCGAGCAGGACCCGCCATCCGCCCAAAAATCCCCCAGGACATGGACGAAGCGAAAACGCATATGGGTACTCGCTCTCAGCTTCCTGGCCCTGGCCATCGTTGTCATTGTCATCACCGTCCCGGTCGAGCTCATAAGGAGACGGAAATCGGATGACCCCAGCTATAGCGACATGTCAAACCGCCCTATCCTCGCCGTGAACAATTTCCCCGACCCGGGTCTTCTCCATGCCAACGGCACCTGGTTTGCTTACGGAACAAACGCAGCGATCAACGACACTCAGGTTCCGCATGCCCCTGTGGCCACTTCCACGAATTTCAAGAATTGGACCCGCGTCGAAGAGTACGATGCGCTGCCCACGATCGCGGACTGGGAAACCAACGTCAAACACTGGGCTCCAGACGTCATTCAACGGGTAAGCAACATCTCAGCTAAGCGAGGTTGTACAGACGATTGACCCAACTGGTAGGACGACAGGAGATATGTGTTGTACTACTCCGGTGAGCTGAAAGATTGGAGACGCCATCATTGCATTGGGGCCGCTGTCTCCGAGAGCAAAGACCCCCTGGGACCGTATAGTCCCCGTCAGGAACCTCTCGCCTGTCCACGCGACCAGGGCGGCGCCATTGACCCTTCTCCGTTTCGAGATGCGGACGGGAAGCTTTACGTTGTCTATAAGGTTGACGGCAACAGTATCGGACATGGCGGCGACTGCAACAATGGCATCGAACCATTGGTGCCGGTTCCGATCATGCTCCAGGAGCTGGAGGATGACGGCGTAACGTCCGTTGGCGACCCCGTCCAAATCCTCATGAATGAAAAGAGTGACGGGCCACTTGTGGAGGCTCCGAATATTGTTCGGACAGAGGACGGAGTCTACTATCTGTTTTTCTCCTCCCACTGCTTTACCTCGCCGAAATACGACGTCAAATATGCCCACTCGACGTCGCTGAAGGGACCGTATACGAGGGCTGCCAGGGCTTTGCTGAAGAAGGGCGATTTTGGCCTGGAGTCCCCAGGGGGTGCCACCGTTTCCCCGGATGGGACACGAATGGTCTTTCATGCAAACTGCGAGAGCAGCCGTCGATGCATGTACGTTGCGGGAATCAACATCACCGTAGACTCTCCGATCACCCTAACGCAACTCTGAGGTCCGATGTCGGCTGGATCTGCCAACCTCATTCGGCGTGAAGACTTGTTGAAGAGATAGATATCTTATTCAATTCGTCCAAGTAGATGATCTCAACCAGACAGCTACCGAGCATTAAACCACCCTCTTTGAAGTGCTGAGAGTAAGGGATATAGTAGGCCATCCACCAATCACAGCCCGCGCAGATGACGCCATGAGCTTCCCGGCGGATGCTGCCTCAGGCGCCGGTCTCCGCCTGCGGAATCGGGCATTTCAATCCGTCGGTGACTCTTTTCTGAAGACCAACTCTCCGCTCTCCAACATTCTGATTTTCCTGACTGACCAGAAGTTGATTTTTCGGTTGCCATCAGCTTGTCAGTCATGGGCCCTATGCAGGGTGTAGCACGCTCCGCTCCCCGCTGCCTGCGAGCCGTGGGACTATTCCGCCAAAACGAGAGTATCTGCAGCTTCGCCGGCAGGAATCGATTCCCGACCTCCGCCGGCCGCAGGACGTTGTCCAGCATCTCCGCCCGCAATTCTCAGTCCGCCACCGCGCAAACTCCCTCCTCGAAAGACTCCTCCAATCCCGCTCTCTCCTTCCCTTGTCTTGACGCCCAAGAAGCCAAGTCCGCCCTCCTCTCTGCCCGGTCGCTCGAATCCGGACCCGAACCCTCCTACACGACCGGCCACCACGAACAATACCGCTGCCAGGACCCGTTGCTGCTGGACTGGGGCGGCGTGCTGCCGGAATTCGACGTCGCGTACGAAACCTGGGGCCAGCTGAACGCGGACAAGAGCAATGCCATCCTCCTGCACACCGGTCTGTCGGCGTCGAGCCATGCGCACAGCACCGAGGCGAATCCGAAGCCCGGCTGGTGGGAGAAGTTCATCGGCCCGGACAAGCCCATCGACACGAACAAGTACTTCGTCATCTGCACCAACGTGATCGGCGGATGCTACGGAAGCACGGGGCCGTCGTCGTTTGACCCCTCCGACGGCAAGCGATACGCCACGCGATTCCCCATCCTGACGATCGACGACATGGTGCGCGCCCAGTTCCGCCTGCTCGACTCGCTGGGCATCCGGAAGCTGTATGCCTCCGTCGGCTCGAGCATGGGTGGCATGCAGAGTCTGGCGGCGGGTGTCCTCTTCCCCGAGCGCATCGAGAAGATCGTCAGCATCAGCGGCTGCGCGCGCAGCCACCCCTACAGCATCGCCATGCGCCACACCCAGCGCCAGGTGCTGATGATGGACCCGAAATGGGCCCGCGGGTTCTACTACGACTCCATCCCGCCGCACTCGGGCATGAAGCTGGCCCGCGAAATCGCCACGGTGACCTACCGCAGCGGACCCGAGTGGGAGATGCGGTTCGGCCGCAAGCGCGCCGACCCCAGCAAGCAGCCGGCCCTGTGCGCCGATTTCCTCATCGAGACCTACCTCGACCACGCGGGCGAGAAGTTCTGCCTGGAATACGACCCCAACAGCCTCCTCTACGTCTCCAAGGCCATGGACCTGTTTGACCTCGGCCGCGCCCACCAGCAGGAGACCACGACCCGCCGAGCCGAGTACGAGGCCAAGATCGCCCAGGGCGGCAAGGACCTGAACCAGAGCGACATCGCCTGCAGCCTCACCCTGCCCGAGAAGCCCTACGAGGAGCAGCCCTCCGTGACGGCGTCCACGCCGTCCATGAACCAGTCCGTCACCGGCGCGGCCGCGGACTCGGACGCTCCGCCGCAGGATCTCGTTGCGGGCCTCGCGCCCCTGAAGAACCACCCCGTCCTGGTCATGGGCGTGGCCAGCGACATCCTTTTCCCGGCCTGGCAGCAGCGCGAGATCGCGCAGACGCTGCGGGCCGGTGGAAACCAGACCGTTCAGCACGTGGAACTCGGCGAGGACGTGTCCATGTTCGGACACGATACGTTCCTGCTGGATCTGAAGAACATCGGCGGTGCTTTGCAGAAGTTCCTACAGTAGACCTCCCCTGGTGTATCTTTTCCCCTTATTCTTTCCCTTTTTATGAATATGAAGCGAGTCAGCGATGAGATCCAAAAAGGTGCTTTTGTTCATATGTGCGTTGTGTTGTGTTGTATATAGGTCCAGTTTCTCTGGGGTGTTAGTATCAGCCTTAATTCTGTATTAATTAGCCCAAGATTGTTTCCCAAGATTGTTTCCGCCTGAATACTCCCCTCTTTCATTATTAAAATTATATAGACCCTACATCTCCATGAGTTATGATATCAAACATACTTTTAATTATTTCCATCTATCCAACCCCTTAACATACCTGGCTCAAGCCCCCTCTCAACAATGCGATAGATTAAAAGAAAAGGCAATGAAAATGAGGCAGGAGTAAACAAGAAAAGATCAATCCCAGCCCTCAGATTAGCTCTCAGGTTCTCATTGATTTCCAGGCATGAAAAATCGTGCGCAGAGGGAATCCACATGCATGCACTGTAGTTGCCGGATATCATACAATTTTGGCTTTTGGTAATTACCTCGTCACTGGGCTGGGATGATAGACAAGAGAACAGAAATAAAATCAAAGACAAAAGAAAAAGAGAGAGAGAGAATAGAGAAGGATTTCCTGTCTTCTAAGGGATTAGTTGAGATCGATATATTTGGACGTGGTTCAGTTCAAAGTTCGATACACGAGATTCTGTTGGTCTGTATGTACATGTACATCCATGCAGTACTTCACTTGACAAATGAAACTATCCCTGTGATTAGCATCTGCCATATAATTAGTCACTAGCAAATCCAGGAAATTTCCCCCTCAAGACATGAACTCTTCAGATATCCGAAGACAAAAGACACAAATGATAATAGTTAGGGCAAAAGAAAAGTGCATTCACAAAGCCACCGAGTCAGATTGAAAACTACCTTTGGTTTTTTTCACTCTTCATCGGTATGCTCGACATCGTTACTGCGAGGAAACAGACGGAGCAATGAAGAAACCATCCTCGGAGTGTTGAGATAATGTTTGTCATCATGGTGGAGGCTTTGGCTTGGATGGAGATGTGTTGGTGTAAGGTCTGTATGTTTGAGGGTGGATATTCAGGAGAGGATCTTGATCAAGAGGTAATAGGGGGGATGACCGCCTTCATATAGACAGTGTTATGTAGCCCCGAGTGTTCCTTAGCGGATTTTCCTGGGTTTTCCCAATAATTCTCGAGAGGAAAGGAGTAAGGAAAGAAAAAAAAATAGAAATAAACGACAAGCTGGATGTCAGTGCATAATTTCTACCAGTGTTGAGGAAGCATCTGATCCCCTCCAACATCAAAGAATAAGACCAGACATGAGCTCTTGCGGAATCCCTTAGATCTCTGTTCTTGTCTCAATCACCCACCCCGCGCCAATGTCTCCTTCCATTCGACGCAAGCGCCAAGGATGGAGTCCATCGGCTGTATTCGTCCTGTCGGATGCGATACAGGGAGGTGTCATGAGTTGCTCATGTGTTTGATTATCATCATTGAGATATCGCAAGAGGGTCTTCATCAGACTAGACAGACAGAGTTAGACATTGACTTGATAATCGCGTCGTGAGAGAGAGGGCAACGTACCTGATGAACTCTTGTGTTGACGAAGACGCCGTGGGAATGACGCGACGAGAAAAGACCGACCGGTCCACGTGACCTCTGGCAGTTCCGCCCGCCGTGAACTTTGGACCTTTCGAAGAATGTCAATGAACAAGTCAATCGCCAGTCTAAGGTTGAATATGGTAAGTGGACTCTTTTTTCCAGGTTTCAGGATAGTGTGATTTAGTTCGGCCACGTCCGTCGGTGACCACGTCAGTGAAAAAAAAAAAAAAAAAAAAAAAAAAAAAGAGGATCGGGCATGTATTTCTAACGGACCGTCGTAGAGATCGTGAATCAAAGACTTTAAAAGTCGCCCGCCGCCGGAGTACTTGTGACGAACACACCACCGGAGCAATTCCTGACGAGAATGTCATCCCATAAGTCGCAGCTTGCTGCCACCGCTGTGCTATCGGGAGCTGCAGTCGCAGGCGCTATATTCGGCTACCAGGCATACAAGCGAAAAGAGGCGGTGTCGGAGCTCAAGGATTCCATCCCGGACATTAACGAGCGACACCATGCAGAGAAGGTATAATTCCCACCGCACGACGCAATGCGCAACGGGGCCGGCCAGCTAACGGGGGAAATTCTACACAGCTGACAGAGTTCGGGGGGGCTTCGATCCCGTCGCATCTGAGCCAGGAAGATCAGCGCAGTGCAGCTCTTGCGCGCAGGGCGCAACAAGGCGATTACGACGATGGTACCATCCCTCCTCTTTGCGATTGTCTAGAACACCGCTAACTTCTTATCATCTAGACCTGATCCTCGAACAACTTGCCCGAAACCGCGTTTTCCTCAACGATGAAGGCCTTGCGAAACTCCGCTCCTCGTTCGTGATAGTGGTTGGATGTGGTGGTGTTGGATCGCACGCGGCCGCCTCCCTCGCTCGCTCGGGCGTGGCCAAACTCCGTCTGATTGACTTCGACCAGGCGACGCTTTCCTCGCTGAACCGACACGCCCTCGCCACCCTGGCCGACGTGGGAACCCCCAAGGTGCACTGCATCCGCCGGCGGCTCGAGCAGATCACGCCCTGGACGCAATTCGACTGCCGCAACGAACTCTTCGGTGGAGACGTCGCCGACAACCTGCTGGCCCCGTGGACCTTCGAGGGTCCCGACAAGGGCCGCAAACCCGACTACGTCCTCGACTGCATCGACAACATCACCTCGAAGGTCGAACTCCTGCACTACTGCCACGCGCACTCCATCCCCGTCATCTCATCCATGGGCGCCGGATGCAAGTCCGATCCCACGCGCGTGACCGTCGGCGACATCTCCGAGAGCACGGACGACCGGCTCTCGCGCAGCACCCGCCGCCGCCTAAAACTGCTCGGCGTGAACTCCGGCATCCCCGTGGTCTTCTCGACCGAGCGCCCGGGCCCTGGCAAAGCGACGCTCCTGCCCCTCGCGGAGGACGAGTTCTCCAAGGGCGAGGTCGGCGAGCTCAGCGTGCTGCCTGACTTCCGGGCCCGCATCCTCCCCGTGCTGGGCACCATGCCGGCCGTCTTCGGCTACACCGTCGCCAACCACGTCATCTGCGACATCGCGGGCTACCCCATCGACTACAGCCTCGGGGGCGGCGGCAAGGGCCGCGAGAAGCTCTACGACGGCATCCAGACGGCCCTGCAGGGGTTCATGGAGCGGTTGACGCGCGTCGACGCCGGGCGGCAGATCGTCGGTCTGCGCCTCCCCATCAGCAAAGAGGACGTCGGGTACATCGTGGACGAGATCTGGCGCGGGAAGAGCGCCGTCAGCGGCCTTCCCAGCCGGCTGGTGCTGGCGCCGTGGACGCGCCCGGCCGAGGGCTTTGCGCCTGACGCGCAGTGGGAGAAGGAAGGCCAGCGATTCATCCGGCTGCCGCTGGCTGACCTGGTCTGCATGACCAAGGAGGAGGCGGCGGTGCATGAGAAACAGGTGCTTTCGGGTGCGAAGACGCTAGAGGAGGTGTACGATGCCAGCATCATTGAGAAGGTGAACCGGCGACGAGCGGAGGTGGAGTACTACGAGCAGTTTCGGTAATAACCTTTCTTTTTCCTCTGGCTGACGGAGCTTGCGTCCCTGCGACCATTTCTCATGATATTGATGTGTTATCTTTGTTGTATATTAGAAAGACAGGTTCTTAAAATTCAGTGCACAATACTTTTCTACTGGATTCAGCTGGGGTTAGGGCTAGGCTAGGTAGACCTACCCATGTTATACAAGACAGCCTGGATATAGCAAGAAGAAGGGCAACCAGTATGATTCATACTCAAAAGCTGACACCAAGTGCCAGTCAGCAAGTAGTCCTGGAAAGAAAAGAAAAGACCAAGAAAAAGCAAGCATCCGGAACGACGGAACAATGAATTGTCCTATCCATACAATCCATATGATCCGTACAATACAAAAAGAACGAACGTGCACCCATTGTACATTGTATGTATACCAGACCATGTCGGCATAGGTATTCTATTGACCCGTCCAATGTTCATTGTTCAGTTGTTATCTCTTGTACTACCTCCAACACCCAATAACAATAATAAACCAACCAATGGTCAAATGGCTACGCTCCACCCCATCGTTGGCCAAGCAATCACATCATCTTATGAAAGGATTCATCTCAATCCACCATGCATAGACATTAGACAGTCCTAGTCCCGAACAACTCATCCCCCGTAGACCTACATACCTACCTGCATCGACATGCGGACCAACTAGGGCTGAAGGTCTAACCGACTGCAGGCAGAAGTCAACAGCCAAGAAAAAGCTCGAATAGGGGAAGACGGATCGTATATCTGGCCCGTCGAGTTTCAGCTAAACGAGAGCACTGCCTCGTCGGGTTAAACACCGCCCCCTGTGGACCAAACCTAGCAGGGCCTAGTTTAGCCTCGTGTAGCCCTACGGGGCCGGGGACGCTGGAACTAGGAGGTTAGGAGTTGGGTTGTGCACAGCATAAGGACAATGCAGTTACCTCGTAGTACTTACTACTACTAGTACTGCGTAGGAAGAGGAACTCCGTAGCCGACGGATTCTTGTATTCGGGCAACTTACGGTACCGGGTGGATTAGCTAATCTAAAATTAGGCCGCCGCGCTAAACCCCACCGGGGAAGGCGCATTCCGGATCGGCGATGGGATTCGTCGGTGGCGACAATACGGGGTTAGTCAGCGGTAAGCGGACGGAGGTGTCACATCGAGAGGGCGAACAGGCATTGCATTCGCGCTGTCTTTCTCTCGCTCGCTCGGTTCCCTTCGTTCCATGGGAATGCTCATCGTTCGTTGCCTCTGCCGCCTCACGTTCCTGGTCCCTTGACGACCCTTTCCTCCCCGTCGTCTTCTCGGATCCCCCTAGATCGGGAATATCAGAAAACCAACCCTCAGAAAAAAAAAAGGGAAAAATACCATACCGACCCAACGACCACCTGAGCCAGAGGGAGAGACAAGAGATAAGAGACCTGGTGTCTACAAACCGTCCCCTCCCTCTCTCTCCACCACCGCAACATGACCAATTATACAAGTCACGAGAACATCGACATGTCCGACGACACCTCCGATGATGGGTTGTACCATCAGTCCGGTCCCTCCTACCGACTCGCCCGATTTACTCGTCCCCTGATCGACTACGTGCGGAACGAATGGCAGACGGGCACCAAATACTCGCACCTTCCGACCTCCTCCTCCGAACGCCCGGAATCGCCTCGCTGGATCCAGATGGTCACGTCCATCGTGACGGCGCCGCGATTCCGTCGATATGTCGTCGTCTACCTGACCCTGCTCGTCTCGTGTTTCGTCGGCTGGCATTTTGTCCTGTCGCCGCGCCTGCAGGAACATTCGGCGCTTCTGCGATCGCTCGACCCGCAGGTCAAGGACGAGGTCGGAGGCTGGTTCGGATCGAACGCCCTGCCGACCTTCGATAATATCGTGCAGCTGAGAGATTTGGATCCGTCCTATCTGCCCGCGGAGAAGGCCGCTGAACCGAACCAACTCAATCAACGGCGGCTGATCATGATCGGCGACGTGCATGGGTGCAAGGAAGAGTGTGCGTACAGCCTTTACTCCGGACCTGGATCCCCCTTTCTCTCTTATTTTATCATCCAAGCACCATGGCTTACTCTCCTTTCTCGCATCAGTGGAAACCCTCCTCGAGCAAATTGAATTTGACGAAGACTCCGACCACCTCGTTTTCACCGGTAACTTGATCGACAAGGGCCCCGACAGTTTGGGTGTTGTCGATCTCGTCCGCAAATACTCCGCCTCGTGTGTCCGCGGCAACCACGAGGATCGCATCCTGGTTCTTCGGCACGACCTGATCGCGGCCAAAATCCTCGAGGATCTTTCGCAGGACGATGAAGACGACTTCGGACAGGACCCGAGCGGCCGGAAATTGGCCCGGGAAATGAGCGATGAGCAGGCGAAATGGCTGGACACCTGCCCGGTGATCCTGAACATCGGCCAGATCAAGGGTCTGGGACAAACGGTTGTGGTCCACGGCGGTCTCGTGCCGGGTGTCGATCTCGAGAAGCAGGACCCGTTCAGTGCCATGAACATGATCACCATTGACCTGGAGCGTCACGTCCCTAGCTCGTCGCAGGTCGGCACGCACTGGACAAAGGTGAACTCCCCTCACTAGCCCCTTTTCGCCCACAGATTACTAACAACCCGCTCCAGTTATACAACAAACAACAGTCACTCCTTTACTCCAGCGTGGAGAAGACCGTCGAGGACCCGAAATCCATGCTGACCACTGTCATCTATGGACACGATTCGTACAGCTCCCTTTCCTTGAAAACGTACACCAAAGGCCTCGACACCGGGTGCGTCGAGGGCGGCAAATTGACGGCCCTGGTCATTTCCGACGGCGGAGAGCAGAAGGTCGTCCAAGTGGGGTGTAATGATTATAGTAAGAACTGGACATAAATGCCGGCTGTTTAGAGGGTCTCTTTCTTTTCTGATCTGACTTTTTCGTTCTTTGGGTTCTCGGATCTCCACTGGTTTGGAGTATATTGGTGATTTCCCTGTATAAGCATGTCTCGTCTATGCTTGGTGTCATGGCGTTTCGGTGACTCTGGGTTGCATTCACGAGGTTGACTTCAGTCTGCGCCGACATATATGTACCTCTATATATCAGAATATCTAACACAACAGAGAATACCCTCTTCTAGGTGCTGTTGCCTTAAGAGTACTCAGGACCTTATTTAATAAATAATACTAAAAATCATTACTTACTAAGTTATTAATATGCGTCCCGGCCGAGCAGATGTTATACCCACAAAGTCATACTAATCCCGTCTAGTATGTGCCAAAATATTCCCTGGCAATAATTGGGTTAGAAGCACATACAGCCTAGCTGTTGCTACCACTACCTTAGTTTATATGGGCGTGAGAAATATCCGCCGATGCCAGAAACTGACAATACAGATCAGTATGTTCTGTTACTTCTACAAGAACGGCTAATAGGCTCCCCTGTGCTTTCTCGTAGGTATGTCTAAGAGATTTGGAGAGTAAAGTGGCACAGGTGAATAAAACGCTTATTACTCTACACCTAATAACTTAATTATACCAACAAGTATGCTTCACTGTGTTTTGAACAGCCGAAAGGTCTGCTTGCTTGAATGAAGATGCTAACCCATCGTTCCTAATGATAACATGCAGCTATTGAAGAAAAACAAGGTTTGTATACAAAAGGTATTCAAACAAAACAAGAAACGCAACATACAGCAAGCTTAGATAGATGTTGGCAATCACTGTCAAGATCTAAATCAAGGACCGGGGGTCCAACGCGTTCTTAGACTTTTCACTCTCAAATATAGTTTCAAGGCCAAAGGCACGTTGCTCTTGCGCACAGGCTTGCTTCGCAGTTTTGACAAGGCCATCAAACACAGCTCGATCATGGGTCATGCCGTATATGGCCTTCCCCCTGCCCCAGTGGATCAACCCCTCGGTGTTGCGAACCTTTTCAGTATACCCAGATGCACCATGCGTTGAAAGATGATCACACGTGAATCTCAGAGTCTGTACCAGATCGTCATGGTGACCCTGAGATACGGCACTGCTGCGTACCAAATTCACAACGAAGCTTATTGTCTCATCGCCAGACCCATACTTGGGCAGGTCGACGCTATCATCGATTGAACAAACCCCAGCCGTGCTGACATATCTTACAGGCTGGCCCATGTCTTGGAGGGTGCAGATCTTTTCCTCTGTCTTCACAGGACCATCGCAAAGTTGTCGTGCACGCCTGCAAAATGACACCCTAGTTGAGTGGTATTCGTCACAATCGTGCTTGTTTCTGGTGCACAACTCCGCATCACATTGCTTTTGCTCAGCATCGTTGCAATCCCTTTGGCAAAATAGCACTGGGGTATGGTGTGCTATGTTGATCATCCTTTTTGGTAACCGTCCTTACATCCCCAGGCAGGATTCTCTTCATAACTGATGCACTTTGCGTCATCGACGCACCTGATCTTTGGACCGGCGATGGCAGCAGTCCAGATTAGACTACTGGTTGCTAAAACGAGGGAAAGGCGGCTTTTCATGCTGCCTGCTCAGTTGACGCAAAGTACAATTGTGGGAAGTGATTTGGTCGGGGTAACTAGCGTCTCGATGCTGTGGCGTAGTGGTAACCGATCAGGATGAAAAAGGTAGAGCGAAGGGTGACGGATGTATAGAAGTAGAGCAGGGGGGGGAGTTTGGAAAATTGAACAAGACGTATGATATTTCTCTTATAATGTTTGCAGGGTAAATGGCATTTGTTTACTTCACCACGGAGCCTTACTTAGATACCAATAAGGAATAGCGGCACCAGCTAACTATAAGGTTTGCAGAGTCTTCCAAATTCCTAACCCATACAGAGGAAAGGTCTTCACAGCGCACTCCACTGAACGCAGGGGGCGCAGGGGCGGAGCCTAAACCTGTACCCCTTGCATATGTAGTGGCTGGGTACCCCCTTCGATCCTTCCGGTCATCGAATGACTAACTGCCACATTATTGATTCCAAGCCGGATGGAACCCACCCAAACCCGCAGGATACCCCTGGGCCCTGGGCAAGGACATAAAAATAGAGATAGGGAGACCTCGGGGGAGTGCCAGTGGGGACTAAGCTGACTTAAGTGGATCAATCAAGGCCTGTCTCACGCAAGGACCGGTTACACTGACGACAGTGATAACTTAAGCTTCATGTAGGTATTATAAAGAAGAAGGATTTGTTTCCCGCCGACTCGTATCATTAGGCTATATATACCTGTCAGACCAAAATGACCACGTTATCAAAATTCAACCACCCTCGGTATCAGGATATCGGAAGTTAACGGTATCGCTACGAGGACTCAGGTAGGAATACCCTGGGGGCCACAGATTCCAGATACTTCAGCAATTCAGACCTTCATTCATGATGTGTATGAGAAATACGGATTTCCGTTGTCATGGTATATAAAGAATATTAGGAAATATACACACTCAACCGAACTTACTCTTCAGCAGACAGTAGTGGATGATCCCCAGGGGGCCGGGCAGGGATGCGCCGTGGGAGCTTTGTATTACGCATAGCCCCAAGATTTTTGGAGCGATGAGCTTTGGAGGTTGGTTGTGGGTTGTGCGGGTGAAAGAGATATTGTTTTATATTGCTTAGATCAAGTTAATCCCCCGGGCTACGTGTTCCTTCCGCCATATTCTAGGCGAAGGCAACAGGTAGGTTGGCTAGAGACCCTGGTCTGTCGGAGGGCGGCGCAAATACATCGCAATCAAAACCTGATAACCCGTAGAAATCCAGCCCATCGCTGTAGTTAAGATCGAATAAAGAGTCATCTGAGACATGGATCCCCCATTCACGGTTTATATGATTCCAAGAGGATATGGCTTGAGAAGATGTCTTACGGCTCTTCTCACACAGGGGTTGACGCAAGCTAGCTAACTAAAAACATGCGGTTACATGCCCGACCCTGAATGCCAGGTAAGCAACACTGGGATGGATTTGCTTCAAGTAAATACTGTACCACTCAGACAGTTTGTGGACTAACCCACCCCGTTTAACCAGATGAATTATTCCAGTCCTATTTATTTGGCGAGGTATTTGGTCGTTTAAACTTGAATCGTCCTGAGGGCAAATATGATGTTGGCAGTAGAACTGCCAGTGCACACGGCTAGTGGAGGGACACACCAAAGGCCCGAAGGGCCAGGACCTGAAATTTGGATTTCATGGATACTTGGCAAATGGCACGAAATTGTACATGTTAAGAAAGACTCAATTCCTCTGCATTCGCATGATGACATCGGGAAAACCGGCGTTTGACGCGGAAAACCGATGTCGAGGCTATAGATACGCATAGCTAAGTTGTAAAGACGGCAATACCAACCAGCACATAGCATCATTTGAAGTATAGAAACATGACAGACAGGAGTACAATGCGTACTAGGTAGGTATCATGAATCTATCTCTGACGCATAGATGCAAACACCAATCACCGACACCAGTTGCCGCCACACACACAACCTGTAGCTTCCTTTCCACGCCGATGCATATCAGTACGGGCTGTAGCCACTCTAATGCTAATGTAAGGTCACTCACAACACAAGCTCTAGCTTCAATATGGCATTTCTTGGTACTGTAACCTCCGTTGAGTTGGAAACAAGTCAACCACTTGTCGCCGTGGGCGTCTCCACACTCATCGTGGACTTTCTGGGTAGCCTTGTTCTTTTCGGCCTTTTCGCATGCAGTGGATCGCTCACCACATGTCCATTAAGCGTCTTGGTTACATTCTCTTGCGGCCAGCGTATCGGACGCCCTGTTCCCAATAGAGGAAGCCATGGCGAAAGGTACAAAGACCACAAGGAGACTGTGGATCCGCATGTTGGGTGGCGAAGATAGAGGTTCAGAGAAAGAAAGGTTTGAACTGGTTTGTTGTACGGCAATGAGAAGAGGTTGCTATGGCTTAGAAGCCAGAGTATTCCGAAGCTGACTTTATAGTTGCGCCTAATGAAAATACCTCGGGGGCAGTACATAATGCCCGCATAGGATCTACATGTATCAGCGCCATTTATGGACTCGAGTGACGCAAGGTTCCAAGTCCAGCTCATCGCCCTTCTCAGCCGCTATGAGACCTCGCAAATTTTGGCCAACGAAATGGACCGGTATGTGAACAAACTATCGAATCAATGGAAATGGAATGAGTCCAAATCGGATGGGTCGACCAAGCTTTATAGCGAAAAATAGTCGCCCTGAGTCATGAGCACAAGCTGACGATTCGGATAAGAAACATTGAAAAGGCAAGAAAGAAACCCATTTCTAGCCTTACAGTATGACCTGTGATTTATCGTATTCAAGATACAGTGTTATGCCCCTCGCGTACATGAGGATCCCGATCAGGGAATGTAGGACAAGGCATACGATTTGAATGTGGGGAGAGGCAAGATTCAATAAACTCGGTGAATCTGTGAGGAGGCTGGCTGTGCTGTCTTCAATGCTGAGGTGGAATGTTGGCCAATTCTGTTTTATCTCGCCTTGTCCAATAGGAAGGGCAAACTGTTGTCGATCTGGAGAGGCTCCACACAACCATTGATCAGTATCTCCGAAGAGAACTAGTGAAGTTATGATCTCGCGACCATGCAGCTTATCGACGATGCTCCTAGTCTGACACGTTCGCTTGCACCCCCCAGTCAGGTCAGGCTGAGGCCGTCACCTGGCTAGCACCATAACATGCATCTATACTACAAAGTACCTTCATACCTACTTGTCGTATACAGGAATACTTAATAAAGGCAAGGTTATATTTTTATTAATAACCTTAATCATAATCCTACTAATAGCCCTACCAAGGCACAGCCTAAGCTAAAGTATATCAATTTTATTTGCTTTCTCTACCCCTTACTTTTGTTTTACAGTTGTTTAAATTAACCGTATTGAATATCCTTTAATATATCTAATGATCTGGTATTATGTTTAATTGTGCCTCTTCTTTTGCTAGGTCTCCTAGATCGCCGAATTGAAGCGTTTCGCCGGCCTCGTTCTGTAGGTTCGAGAGGAAGAATAGAGAATGCACACTGCTAATTCAACAAGCGATGTACCCCAGATCAATAGATTGCTAACACTATTCTAGCTAAACAAAACCAAGATCGCCCAGCCCCACAACATCCCCGGATGACATGAAAGCACCAGAAACACTGAAACATCTTTCTTCCTTGGCGACACAGCGCGCTTTCATGCCAGTTTCACCACGAACGACCGTATACATCGAGCATATTTGACACTTCAAGGTCAGATTTGTCAAATTTCACTAGCCCCCCTGAGCTTTGTCTTACTCAGGGCAGTCCACTTCATGATACCAGAGCAAGACCGTGCTCTCATCCGGAGTTGAAACAGGCCACTGCTCATTGTGATCGGCAATACCTTTGGCCAAATCGCCGTTATGGCCGCCGGTGCGAATAGCACAAGGCTTGGTATCGAAGCCACAGTCCTCTTGGCCTTGGAAGTGCCAGATGTACTTGGCCCAACCGCCGTAAGCGGCGTAGAACCATCCATTGGGATTTCTTCCCGCCAGGAGATTCGGTTCCTGGCCAAGGCTGCCGATGAAGCTCCAGAGGAAGAAGTCCTCTTCGCTCTGGACAACACGTACAGAATCATATTCGCAAGATCCGTCGATACGATGCTGGCAGACCTTGTAGATGTCGGAGTCAGACAAAGCGAAGTGCCATCCTTGATAGCCAGTGCTCCTTCTGGCCATCCACTGGCGATCCTTGGTTTGGATACGGTAGCATTTGCCGTAGCTGATGGGTAGAGGGCCATTAGTCGCGGCGCTGTCGGCCCCCTTGTCGGCGATTGCCATACCGGCAAGAGAGACCGCAGAAAGTGCTTAGATAACGCGTTCGAAAAGCATTGTAGAGGGATGAAAATTCAAGAGTAAAAGTAGAGTATTTTGATCAACGAGATGATTGTGGTAGAAGTTCAAACTCTCGACGTAGTCTTGGACTTTTGGTGACTCCTGCCGGTTTGAAACGGGGCTTATGGGCTCGGATTTATACTTCTCTTTCGCCCACGGTTTCGTGAAAGATGTCTACTATCTCTACTGTAGTCTTGAACTACATGTCCAGTAAGGGATGCTCTAAGGATAATGGAAAATGTAGTTTGGCAGTGTGAGGGTTTGATTTTTGACAGGCAACATGCTTGTATTGTCGTTTCTCTCGTTTGTTTATGTGTTTTCTTTTTTGTATCGTTTCCCCCCCCCCTCTTAATTATGGGATTGCCTTTTTTTATTTTACAGGCTAACACTGATACTGGACGCTTATTCCAGTATTAATCAAGAGCATTCAGCATTGGCTCAAATTGAGCTCTCCGATGATATGTATCTCTCACTCCTATTTTGGCTCACAGTAGTGAATTATCACCTTGACGGTAACCGTATCAGAATGCGGAACCATTGATCAAGTCTGACAATCCCGAGTCGTGTACACTAAGCCTCTACGATATGATCCTCGCACGTCATTTTCAAGGCACAAGGACACAATGAGGAACACAATACCCAGAAGTCCAAATAGCAGTGGGAGCGATGAAGCCGAGCTATGGCCATCACCCGCCATTCACCGCTACATATCAGCCACAGACGAGGAAACATTACCCCCTTACACCTTAGCAACCCTGCGAACCTCTGGTACATATGCATGAATATAGTTATATCATCTAAAATAATTGATATCGAGTAATCATCCAAAATGCTTCGCAGATCAGGTGCAGATAAAGTAGAGCCGGGCGAGAGTTGCTTTCCAATTGAGCGGCCGTCAATGTAAAAATACTGTACACTCGGCGCCTTCAGTCAAAGACACCAATGATCCGTCTAAGAGTGGTATATATAGGTGTATCCAGAATCACCAAAAGAAGGTCTTCAAGTCCGGTCCGATTGATTCCAACGTCCATCGGCCTCCCAGGTTACCGGTTTAGTGAAGTCCTCATACCAAATGCCGCCCAACGCTTTGGTGTTGACGTATCCAAATCGAAAGTACTCGGGCTCGTCGGCCCTGTGGCGCGTCCAATTGAACATACCTCCCGAGCCATTGTCTGCCTTGAAGGAGTGGAATCGCTCGACATCGTTAACCAAGACGCTGATTCCATCGGCTTCAGGCTTCAGACCGGCAAGATCGAACGCGATGTTCTGCGAGGTGAGGACAAGAGGTGGGCCAATCTCGGGAAGTATACTACCCAACTGAGCACCATCAAGCAAGGCGCCTGGTGTCTGAAGGATGCTGTCGAAGCCCCATCGTGCGATCCCATTGATGAAGAAGCCTACAAGAAGTCCCTGATACAGCAAGCTAGGACGTGTCTGGAGCGTGGTACCGGGAATAAAGAGGAGACTGAGGATATAATGGTGGATTCGCAGGTTCATGTTCGGCACAAGAAGCAGAGCGATTATGCCGGCCACCAGAATTCCGTATAGCGCGAGCATCCGGGGCATCCTTCCCTCGTTGCGGAAGGCAATGGCTTGGGTGATCACGATCGCCACAAGAACACCGACAATGATTATGAGTGCAGGGATGGCCCCAGGCTGCTGCTCAATATCATGAGGAGTGAGTCGAGAAATCGGGATTTTGTCGAACGTGTCTGTGTTGAGCGCTCCAACCCAGCAGGTTCCCAGCCAAAGGACTGTCTTGTCCCAATGAGCGTCCAGATCTTTCAACGTATGCCGAACACAGAAATAGTACATCGCCCATCCCCCGAAAGCACAAGGAATCAACCGTCCTAGTGCAGTGGACACTATTTCGTAATAGTCGGGAGAGTAAGGCGGATCGGACGAGAGGGCCACCTGGAAATATACTATAAAGTAGATCACGCTGTAGAAGGCCGCAGGCGACGTGATGAAGAGCGACAGCACCGTCGTTACAACCAGAGAGAATGCAAACAACGACCACCGAATATCCTGGCATTTGAGTTCGGGGTCGTCGTCTGAGCTTTCGCTTCCAAACGTGAACGATAAGGGGAAGTTTGACGGGAAACCAACGCTCGAGATGCCATTTTTCTCAACGGGCTCAAAGCCGGATCGTTCGCCGGTGCGACGGAGAATGCCGCACCCACCCTTTTGGTCGCTGACGAAGCCTGCGTGTACCGCTGCTGGACAGATAGCAGAGTCACCACGATAGATCCCCGGCTCGGCGTTATTCTCAGAAGCCCCTCCGATGACCAGGCTCCGATAGTTGATCTCTTCCGGGCCTATAACATACGGTTCGAGCACCATCGCTGCTGCGCAGCTGGACGGACACCGGAATGCAAATGCGCCATTCTCGAAAGGGCGACAACTATCACCATTGATACCGCAGTTGGTAGCGTTGGACCTATGACTGTCAGTTGCGCCCATCCAACACAGATATCCATGCAAAGGAAATATAACACTAGATCATACATACCACAACCGAGCCTGACATGAAAGCTTCACAGGTTTCCCATACCCCGGGACCTCCTGACCGGCAATCGACGCATGCAGGAAACTGAGAAAAATGACCCCCCAAGCCCCCAAGCAGCCCAGAAGAAGCCACACTTTCCTCGCCCTGGTCGGAAAGTACCGATCCACGAGACGACCAGGGGCCGCCTGGGCGCGAGAGAACCACGGCGTAATGCGATATTTCCGCGGAGGCGAGGGTCCTTTCATCCACGCGCCGACAATCGAGATCATGGAGGAGAACCGACCTCGCGCCTTTCCCGGGGAAGCAAGAGGCGGCATTGACGTTGGGAGCAGGGGCTCACTCGTGCCCTGTCCATGCCGCGCGGAGTCGGAACTCCCCCGCGAAAGGCTCACAAACGGACTGCTTCCCGAATCCTCATCCCCCGGGTCGAGGGGTTGCAGGGCAATTCCCTGGGGATCCCGCGAGATGTTCTCGAAGGAAGTGGCTCGGGAACCGGAACTCTCGGGGGTGTCGAGTTCCGAAGGCATAATTGATGCATCTTCCAGGGTCCCGGAGAGGAAGCCACGAGGCGCTTTCCGGCTGTCGGTGCCAAGCCCTTAGTTATCTAATGGCCTTACTAAGTCCATCTATAGTTGAGTTATAGAATGCCATTTTTTTTGACTGGAATACTTTAGCTAACCAGTATTGAGAATACTTGAAATTAATAATCTAGAAGATAGGTATTGTAAAGCCATATGGGACTAGTTTTTGCTTCTGAGTAATCTGAATCATATTTATAGAATATAGCTCGATATTTTTAGAACTCCTAGTATTCCGGTTATAAAAAAAATTAGTATCAATAGAGACCTAAATAATCAGCACGAAAGGCAGAATATTAATGGAAAACTCCGGACGGTCATAAATTTCAAAAAAATGAGACTAGTCCTCCCAATGATACCTGGTCGTCCCATTGCCAGCTCTCCGCATAAAGGGTCCAGTCAACAGACGAGAGCACCGCCCCTAGAACTCTGCATTTTCTGCTTCCACTTGGATTCCGAATAGAATGACTCAAATCAAGAGAGTGTAATATTCGGAACCTCAGTCTCGATATTCTAGTAACCGTCAGCATACCCAGAACCGATAAATGTACCAATTTTATTACTCACCGAGCGATAAACACCCTGGAATCTCATGCCCAAAAAGCACTTGAGCTTCATGGTTTCCCTGGTCAGATAGTCATACAAGACCTTGCTGTTAGGATGATCGATTCCATTCAACACCTCAAAGAGCGATACGCGAACAAGTTCCCATCCGTTATACAGATCCAGTCCTAGTGCATAAAGAAGACCCGCTACATGGCATTGAATGAGAGTGTGGCTGACCAGGTCCCATACGTAGGTAATGTCATCCGTCACAGCTCCACTGTCAGGGACTTCCCATTCGAGAGATACCCCTTCGCTTCGAAGAGTAGGACCATGTAGTCTGATGCCGCCAAAGTCGCGAATAGCGAACCCACTTACTTTCCCGGTCTGCAGGTTAATCCGCACCGCTGTGTTCTGGGGGTGCAGTTCCAAGCCGATGCCATGTAGGATAGCTGGTGGGAGGGAGACGTTAAACAAAGTCCTGATATAGCTGTGGATTTCGTTAGAGTGTGCATTGTATGTGGTTTGAAAACAACGTACTGGCCAAACCATTCTAACTTTTGATCTACGGTCTTGAGACCCATCAGCAGTTCGGGATATGTAGAGTCTTTCCCAAAAACTCGTTCTTGCAATGCAGCAGCAACTGCAAGTGTTTCTCCGTTGGCCTTTGCCCGAGGCTCCAGGTCTTCTCGAATCACACAAGAGATGTGACGTGCAATGTCAAAATCCTTCTGACTTCCAGTCACTGATGCTACCTCTTTGAACACCCAGAAGTTGCTAGGGAGCAGTGTCGCTAGAATGTCTGAGATGAATGGCCCCCCACAGGCAGTCCAGGGTGTTACAGTCCGAATGGCAGATGTTATTTGACAAGCGAGAGCCATTTTCAGATTGTATGGAAATTCAAGCTCAGGGTCCAAGGTCAATGTTCTTGTTGACGCCTGGGCATTTGCACAATCTTCAACTATCTGCAAGAGGGCCATGTTGGGAAAGTGGCTTTCTATGATTGGTAATTGCTGCTCCAAGCAGGGAATGAGGACCCTCCCACTTTGGTCATGTTGTATCCCAAGTCGTTCGAATAGTGGCTGCATCAGTCCTTGGAAATCTCTAGTGACGCGGACATCTGCTGGAGGCACTGAGATGATAGCTATCTTAGGCCTCTGCATTTGATGTATATCTGCTGGCGTCACAGGCTTAATTGGTGGAAGAGGGATGCAAGTGCGATGAAGTTATTAGAAGATGATTGTGTTAGTCTGCAAGGTTTATGGGAAAATACAGGCTCAACGAACTGGATGTGTCGGATGTCCATAAATTATGGATTGCTCCCATTCAAGCATTGTGGAATCGAGAGATTTCAAATGACGCTTTTGGCTCATCTGAAGCCATACTTCTGTTGTTACAGTCAGTTTACACAACGATATTCTCTAGGATGCTTCATGGATATCGCTAGGGCCGAACTGACCTTGGTTATCTGCGGCGCTCCGTAGCTCTTCTTTGAATCTTTTGAAGCTAGCATCATCCCCCATAAATGCTATCCAAGGGCGAACATGTTCAAGTAAATCAATAGGATCAAAAGTTTGAGATTGAGTACTAGATGATTCAAGGATCGCTGGGGGGAGAATGATTTCCGGGCGCACGATGGAAGTCAGACTCCCACCCTTCACAGCAATTTCAGCGCTCTTTCAGATGAGCACTTTGACGGCGTGGTTCTTGTCCATGAAGGGGCCTTTTCCCTTCAAATGGATGAGCCCGCTGCTGTTCGAGTCCTCATGTTGTTCGATAGCTATAACTCCCACCACATTTTCATTGATGAGCTGGGCTAGGAAGCGCTTGGTAGTCTCAAAAGTCGCTTTCTGCTTAAGCGATAGAGGCATTTTTCGATGCTGTTGGGACGGATTGAATGAAAACCGAAAGACTTGCTCGGCTCCTTGAAATACTAGGATAGTAAAATGAAAGTAGGCATTGGTAAAACCCTATCGGTAGGCCTGACGTAGATCGAAGCACGTCAAGTGAAACTATTTACAATTATGCGGGTCGTGCATGGAAAATCCAGAAGATTCGAAGCTGCTCTGTTTCTCGGTGGTACCTACCGCTCACGAATTGATATATAAATCTTATTTGGTATTTGATTGGTATTTGGCTCATGCATGCGCTCTGCGAAAAGAATGGCCATAGTGCTGTGTTATTGGCATATGAAACGGCCCATTGTGGTACTGCTCTCAATTGTCTGTATGATATCATTCTGCAGTCTGCTCGATGGAAAGTGAAAGAGCTGATGCTGAATATCTGCTCTCGCGACCTACATCCAAGCCATAGTAGTATGAAGCAATGTTACTGAGACCCCAGGAGAGATAAGTGTAAAAGAGATCCAGCGACCGACACGCTTGACCAAGGATCTTTAATCTGTAAAACAAATGACTACTAGAACATAGCAGTCGGCTTTGAGAATCTGCTATCATACATGCAAGAGGAATATTAGTCAATTTAATACTGCTCAAATGCAGCATAAGCGAGAGAAAAAAGATATATGGTTTGAGCAATCAATTCTCCTCGGCGCATGCCCTCTTTAAATTAATTGTAGCCTCCTAAGTCCACCGTAAGGCATCGTTCCTGGACAGACACCAGATGCAATACCTCTACCCAATCTAGGACTATCAATATCCTCTCTCACCACCGACCAACCATGTCGGTGAGAAGAACACGTGCTTCCACGTCATCCCAGACTGCTGTACTTAGACTTTCACTCTGCGCAGTGGAGAGGTCGGCATATCAGCCTGCAGCTAGATCCATCCGGCACCTCTGAGCTGTCCTAGTGAGGTGGGGGTGCAGTGTGGCTTGTGGTGGGTGACTGAAAGTGCCGCTAGGGGTGGTGGGTGATCTTGTGACAGCTGGAATCATGAATTCCACATAGGATTGTTCGGGGTGTTCTAGAGATCTACGATACTTGGTTTGCTACAGCTGCAACCAACTGGTGGAATCCGTAAGCCATCCGAATCGGATACATCAACCGCCCTCTCAAGCCCAGCCTGACACCTCATCAACCGGATAATCATGACTTCATCATCACAAAGTTGACCTCGGAAAAGCTCCCTGAAGAAAACACCTCTTTCCATCTCAAAGTAAGCCCCCAGATCTCAGCGACAAGTGATCCATCACCTCTGAATGGCCATCCAGCCGCTCGGGCTCAGATCACCCGCAGATTTCGACCTCCGCTGAAGTGGGGAATTTAGGAGCTAAGGCTGTCGGTCAGGGGGTTATTTATTGTCTGGGTCTGCTTGGATCTCCGATCCAGAGTACCGGCTCTCTAGCAGTTGCATTGCATTTGGGGTGATTTTGAGCGGCCAAGATGGGCGGTGACACGGTGAGATGCATTTCGCTCTGAAATCAGGGTAACGCTGGCTGATGGACTGGATCGTGCAGGCGCCGACAACAGCATCTGCTGAATTCTCCAACTCAACCAACAATGGCCTCCAAATGGGCCAGAACTATGGCTCCATGGAAGCCTCGTTCCACAGCGATTCCATTCAGCAGGTGACCATCGCCGCCGGTGCTTCTGTCTACATGGGTAGGAAGCAGTTCACCCATGCTATAGATATACCTGTATCTAACACCATCCAGGCGAGAGAAAAACAATCGAATATAAAATCCTTAACGCACTCATCGCCAACGACCCAGGCAATAGACATGACGTCGCGCGCGCAGACCCCGGAACTTGCAAGTGGATTCTTGAGAGCGAGGCCTTTCGCTCCTGGATCAAGACTACTCCGCCCACTGCGTCGCCGCTGTATATCCAGGGGATCCCAGGGAGTGGGAAGACCGTTTTGCTGAAGTTTCTGGTGAAGGTGATCCAGGCGAGTCAGCGGTCGAGTGGGAATGCGGTGTCGCCTGCGCTGACGGAGGAGATGATTATTGCGCCGGAGCTGGGTGTTCCTGGCAAGACGATTGCGGCCGCGTGCTTTTGTGATGATAAAAAGGAGCGACGACGGACGCCGGTTTGGATTCTCCGGACGCTGTTGTATCGGATGTTGTTGCAGAACCGCAATCTGGTGAAGTATGTGCTGCAGCATGTGCAGCGTCCGGAGGATTTGCAGGACGCCGGTGGTTTTGGGCCCGACGCGGAGGAGTTTCAGTCTCTTGATGTTTTGCAACGAATTATGGAGGATATGGCCGCTGATCCGGATCTCGAGGTGTTGTATTTTGTCATCGATGGGTTGGATCAATGTGGGCCGCATATGGCTTCTGTTGTCCGGTTGATCGAGGAATTGTCTGCGAGGGTGAGCAGGAAGGCTCATGCCGCCGGACAGGAATTTACCTTTCGGTGGATTCTCTCAGATAGAGGGAGCAGGATTGTCAGCGACAAGATGCGGCCTGAGTTCACGGTTATCATGCCCGTAGGCAACCAGCGCGATATCGGGGAGGTCGCGGACAGACGCGTCCGTAATATCCAGGAGTATCGCAATTTCTCGGAGGGATTGCGTGAAGATATTACGGCGCAGCTGAAGGAGAGCGCGAAGGGGATGTTCATGTGGTTGACGCTTGTTCTGGACGACTTGTCAACGTGGGAGGGAGTCTGGACGGAGGCGCGGGTCAAGGAGAGACTGCATAATATTCCGCGCGATGTGGAGGCCTTTTATAGAGCTATTCTGGAGCGACAGGCCAAAGACATGATTGGCAGATTGAGGACGCTGCTGACGTGGGTGTATCTGGCGTGTCGGCCGCTGACTCTCGCGGAGCTGGATGTGATTCTGAATCTCCACGAGGGAAGATCCTATACTGGCGTCAGCTCGGAGGAAGACCTCCAAGCCCTGCGCCATACCATCGAGAATAGCTGGGGCACGCTATTCGTCGTCTGCGGCGACACTGTCCACCTGAGCCACCAGTCCGTCAAGGACTTCATGAACCACGTCTTCAGCGACGAGGGTGTGCACGATTATCCCCGGTTTGGCATGAGAAGGGCAGATGCCCACCGTGTCATGGCCTCGACATGTCTGACATACCTGCAATTCGACGACATCCAGCGCCGTCAGGTCCCCAGGCCCCCCGTCAACGACGATGGCATGCTCGAGGAGTCGCAGCTCGTGGCCACCAGACAGGAGTATCTCCAGGGCTATCCACTCCTGCATTACTCAGTTGAGTTTCTGGGCGAACATCTTCGCGAGAGTCAAATTCAAGAAGAAAACGACGTTCTGGGCATGGAGCAGTTCTTCGCGGCGGACTCGACAGCCCTACAGAACTGGGTTCGCTCATACGATCTCCTACAGCGATGGACGCATGGCAAATGTAAGCCCTTCTCTTTATCCCTATACGCAATTCTAACAGCACAGACTCGGGCTTCTCAACAGGCACCAGCCTCCTTTTCGTCGCAGCCCGCATGAACCTCCCCTGGCTCGCCGACAAAGCCACAACATGGAACAAATCCATCTTCTCGCTCCCCTCCGCCGTCGCAGCCCCTGACACCTCCGGCTGGAGCGCAATCCACATTGCAGCGGACTCTGAAGCCGTCGAAATGCTCTCCTGGCTGCTCCACAACGGCGCCATCGTCGACGCCGACACCATCGGCCTGCTCCACCCCGGCCGTACAGCCCTCCATCTAGCAGCCACGAAACACTCCGACGCAGGCCCTCGCATGGTCGAGGAACTCTTAAAGGGCGGCGCAAGGGCCACAGCCTACACCAGACACGGGGGAAACACACCCCTCCACTACGCGATCGACAGCCGCCGCGTCGAAACAGTCGAGACCCTCCTCGCGCACCACGCAGACGCAAACGCCACAAACGGGACAGGCATCACACCCCTCCACAAGGCATGCGCTATCCCGGGCACGGAGGAACTAGTCTCAGCCCTACTCAAGGGCGGCGCCGAGCCTGACAAAAAGACCACCATCGGGAAAGGCGCCACAGCGCGAGGCCTGGCCGCATTCAAAGCCTCACGAACCCTCGTCAAGACCTTCCACGCCATCAATGCGGCCCAAAGCGCCCTCCACATCGCGGCGAAGGTCAAAGACGCCGAACGCACCGTCGAAGTCCTCCTCGACCACGGCGCGGATGTGAACTGTCGGGATAGCGCGGACCGCACGCCGCTGCACGTCGCGGTCGTGGGGATGGACCGCGAGGTCATGGCTAGAGTGCTGATTGAGCGAGGGGCGGATGTCAATGCACGAGATGAGGAGCACAGGACGCCGTTGTTGTTGCTCCTGCAGACTGTCGGCGCTATGGCGAGCGAGATGGATTCGCAGAGTCACGCGCAGCTATTATCGGATCTGAACGGACAGCCTTCATGGGAAAGAACGGTTGAGCTTCTTATTTCTGCTGGGGCGGATCCATCTGCGAAGGGGAAACACGACGTCTCGCCGATTAGTTATGCGAAAGCGCAGCTCCAGTGGGCTGTTGAGAGGATGCAGCCGAGTCTCACAGCGGGCGAGAAACCGCCGCAGGTTGTGACGAAGGAGGTTGCGGAGGAACATCATCATGGCCATGTGCATGATTATCTTGCGAAGGGGCTTCTGCATGGCCAGGCGACGAAATGGCTTCCTAAGAGGCCTCAGTGGTGATTTCTTTTTGGCTGGTTGTATGTATTTGGCTAGTATCCACACCAATTGACGCAAAACATATGTCCTCAGAGCTCCTCCAAGCCCTTGGGTACATTCTGCAGTCAAACCCAATCCCAGAAATACAACAAAATAGTCAAAAACTCAGCGACGCATGGTGCACGCTTACTGAGGAGCCTGACACCGATTTCAAGCGAACCCGACTATCATTCAAACCACATTTGATCTCACACTGGAAATCACAAATGATTCAAACCCAAACAACGATCTAGAGCCGTTCAGACATACCACACTAGTTTCAAGAAGAGGTGCGAGGAGGGTCAGAACTACTATCATGCGACGGTGTCACGTTCGCATGTAGGAAAGACATGTCCTATATTCTGAGCTAGACACAACCAACATATATTTCAAAACTATATTAAGATAAAGGAATTTAGACAACAACGATTTATTGCAGACAAGCCCGAATATGTGAAGAGTCTACTCTACTCGTCGAGCTTAACCCTCAATGGTTTCGCAGCAATGGTGCTCCTAAGGATAATTAGAACTATTGTTTGACTGGCCGATGACATTAATCAGTATTCTGCAGTTGTCAGCGAGTTAAATGCCATGATTGTATTCCATAGATGATCATCACATCCCATTATGCAAGGGCCTACAACCCTTACTGGCATGAACGAATCTGGTCATGAATTGTGGGAGGTCATATCTCATCGACCCTTATATCTTCCGAAGTCACTGACCAAAAAGTATTCCCTCATTTTCTCATCGCGAGCTGTTTTCTCACGAACCAAGATGAAGCCTCCAAAGCCCGTACTGACTGACACAGTCATTCCACTTCATCTAAGGGACAATGCCTTGATTTACCGCAATTTTATCGCCGACGTTACCTTTATTTTCGACGATGTGCTAGATGCGGATCTTGTTCGCAACTCTTTGGAAGATTTGATTGCTTTTGGAGAATGGAGAAAGCTTGGTGCTCGCCTGCGACTGAGAGTTAGGAGCCACTCTACTTTATCCTCCCAGAAATCACCAGCTAACCTTAGGTAGGACGACAATGGGCTTGAATACCACATTCCCCAGAGATTCGACGCTAAAAGACCGGGAGTCACATTCAACATCTCCGATTACAACATGAGAATGCATGAGCACCCGATTGCTAGCAAAGTTCCTCGTGCAAGTAACAAGCTTCAACTGTTCTCTTCGCCCGACGAATTTGATGGGCTGTTGCGCCAGCCAAACACACCTTGTCGGCTGGAAGACTGGATCTATTCGGACCGCCCTCAGCTCGAAGTTTACATGATTCGATTTGAGGATGCGACGCTGATTAGGATGACTTCACTCCATACCTTGATGGATGCCGTGGGACGATCCGGTCTTCTCCAAGCCTGGACAGCCAAGCTCAGGGGTCGCGATGATCAAATCCCAGCCTTTCACGGGTTCTCCGAAGATCCAATGGCCTCTTATACCACAGACGCATTGCCACGGAGACCTGGCAACTCTCAGAACGGCAACCCATTTCTAGGCTGGCTTCGCGAGCCAATTCGTCTTGCCACTGCACTCTTCAGTTCTTTTTGGGCACCGGTGCTGGAGACTCGGTTTCTTTGCGTACCGGGGCACTATCTTGATTCCATGAGAGAGCTCGCCAGGAAGCAGCTCGAAGGTGGGACAAACGATGAAGACAAGGAACCACAGTTTGTTAGTGAAGGCGACGTCCTGCTCGCATGGTGGATACGGACTTGGGTTTCTGCCATAAATCCGCCGCCCAGCAAGACCATCACGATCGTGAACATGTTCAACTTTCGTCCCGCATTGCCAGAGCTATTTCCTAAAGGAGCAATGTTCCTTGGAAACACAATTATGACGATAGGAACTCGTGTGCCTGTGGGCGAGATGCTTCAAAAGCCACTTGGATATCTCGCTCGTCGGATTCGAGAATCAATTATGAGTCAAAGTACCAGAGATCATGTTGAGCTGCAAGCTGCTATCCAGGCAAGAGGGATTCAAGATATGGGAGTTCGTGAGCCGTTTCAAGAACCGGACCCGCTGGTTCTTGCTTGCACCAATCGTCATAAAGCAAGGTATTTTGATGTGGACTTTTCGGCGGCGGTTTCGAAGGAAGGCGCACCCAAAGCGCATAGATCAAGCGCGCCAGGCAAGCCGTTCTTCGTACTGTCCCGCAACTTTTGGTTGGGGAGCAATAGACCATCTAATTCTGTAAACATTGCAGGAAAAGGCCCGGATGATTGCTGGTGGATATCGCAGACCTTGCCGCGGAATGCATGGGGAGGGATTGAGAGGCAGCTGGCGGATGCTAACTGTAACGAGTCTATCCCTTAGGAGGTGAACAGACTAACAACCTACTATGCCTCTAACGGCCGCTTGCTTGATTTATTGGTCTATTTCTTTTCTTTTCTTTTCTTTTCTTTTCTTTTCTTTTCTTTTCTTTTCTTTTCTTTTCTTTTCTTTGAGAACTGATACTCTTCCTTATATGCCTTTATATGTATCCGCGGCTCCTTCATAGCTCCTATAATACCGCCGTCATGAGAGGTAGACTACGTCCACCATGTAGTTCCATTCGTATTGCAGATGCTCGGCTGACATAGAGTTGCACACCGTCCTTTAATGTAGTAGTGACGCAGCAAGATATTCCGTAGGTTCTCTCAGACTACCGGAAGCTTACCAACCCAGTCCCTTGCTTAGATGGAGCACCTGTTTGAAACAATCTTTGATCTAGGACAGCTGCAACTTCGATGGAACCCTCCAGGTATTGTTTCTTTCAGCGACAAGGAAGATAGTATGGAGTGGTGAGAGTGTTGACTGTGGTAGTATACAAGCATGATGAGTCATCGTGTCTTTTTCTTATTTCCACTGCTCCTAGTTATCGCACATCAACAAAGGTTGGCTTCTTCTCTTTCCCGTGCTCATGATGGCTACCCTCATGAGACGGGCCACAAGGGTGCTTCGAAGGACTCCATCTCCTCCCATGAGCTTTCCCACCTCCGGCTTCGAAATTGTTCGTTCCTCAGAGGTGCTTGACGAGGAACGGTTTGACCACTTCAAACAAGGGCAATATTACCCTGCTAATACTGGCGACGTGCTTAGTTCCAAATATCAGATTTTTGGTAAAGTTGGGTTTGGAACAACTTCCACAGTATGGCTTGCTCATGATCTTGAGTACGTTAGGGCAGATCTACCAGCACTTGTTTTAACTGAACACCGACCCACTGACACAACTAGGGGCCATCAATACGTGACGCTCAAAGTCTACACACGAGATGAAGGTAATTAAGAAGAATTCCAGATTTACAAGCAATTAGGCCGCGGAAGTTCATGGCACCCTGGCCATGCTCATATACGGAAAGCACTAGATCTCTTCACGATTCCCCGTGCTGTCCGTGCCTTGTTCAAAAGCCAATGTGGGAGAGCTTCAGGGATCTACTATATCGTAATCCCAGCCATTGATTCACCGAAGATCTGCTCAAAGCTGGCCTGATGCAGATCTTTCTTGCTCTTGACTATCTGCACACCGAGTGCAAGCTTGTTCACACCGGTAAGGCTTCTCTGTATGGCGCTGTCAAAACCACTGCCCTAATCTGCATCCATATAGACATCAAAAGCGACAACATCCTCCAAGAAATAGAGGACATGCCGATCCTTGAAAGTTTCACGCAAGCTGAGCTGAAGAAGCCGTCGCCCCGCAAAATCGTCAATGGTATGCCGGTATACGCTTCATGACGCTTTGACCTGCCAAGGGTGTTTGGAAAAGCAGTGTTAAGTGATTTTGGCTCTGCCGTACGAGGCGACGAGAGGCGGAATCACGATGCACAGCCAAATGTCTATCGATCGCCGGAAGTGATGCTGAAGACCGATTGGAGCTACCCCGTCGACATATGGAACGTCGGTGTTATGGTACGGTTTGCCTGTGCATGCTCAATCCCATGCATATACTAACTCGCCGGCAATAATAGGTGTGGGATTTGTTCGAGGGGAGACACCTTTTCCACGGGAATGACCCTGATGGTAAGGGGTATTCGACTCGGGCGCATCTCGCGGAAGCCATGAGTCTTCTGGGGCCGCCGCCTTTAGATATGCTCCAGCGTGGAAAACGAAGCCATGAGTTCTACACAGATGATGGTAAGTACATTTTCTCGCTCGGTGTACTTTGCAAAGACTTATGGAGACAAAATTGCAGGCAAATGGAAGCAAGACATTGAGATCCCGACAGGAGTCAGTCTGGAATCATCAGAGCAGTTCCTTGAGGGAAGAAATAAGGAGATGTTTATGGCTTTCATGAGAGGAATGCTTCAGTGGCGGCCTGAAGATAGGAAGACAGCGAAGGATCTACTCCAGGACCCGTGGCTGAATGGTCAGATAGAGTAGCTTGTGGTATATTAGCAAGGGACGGCAACCATCCTCTCTTCATGAACCAGCGAATGAAGTTGAAGTAGTTTCAATGCAGAATCCATTACTCAGGAGTAGATATTATTAAGTACTGTTAACAAAACGAGTGACACATAAAACCTGAACACGCCGGCAGGGTGGGTATCTGAAAAACTAATAAACACAAAATCATCACGTCATTTCCGGCGTCGGTTGTCATTTTTCTTTTTTTTCTGTTTTTTGGTCTTTGATTAAGCGGCGGGGCGACCCGGAAATTAAACATTTGCGAGACTTCGTACGTAAGGATCGTGGCGTGAATTATGGTTTCTAATGCTGAAGCAGAGTCGCAGAGAGCGGCTTCTGGCAACTTGTAGCGACATGACAAGAGCCAGTATCAGAGATGCCTAAGCTTAGACGGCGGATCGCCTGAAAAAGCCACGGCGACGGCCAGTGCTGGATGGATGTAAGCATCATGTATTCGAATGGAGTCACAGTCAAATACTTACTAGGCAGCATCGGTGGTGGATCTTCTGACGCGGAAAGTAAACCAGATTCCCTGTACGTCACAGTCAGCACCCGTGTTAGACAAGTAGATAATAAAATTCCAATACGAACCACGATGCCGGAAACAAGCCAGACAATGGCGGAGATAAAGCTGAAGGCTTCCGCGGCCTTCCATCGGCTGCAGCTGTTGTTGTGGGTGATGCCGCCCCAGTGCCAGATGCTGCCGCAGCTGAACTTGTGGATCGCATCGACGAGGATACCGAACGCGGCGAACCAAGCCAACGAGATGACGATATCAACTGTACGAATGCTTATTAGCTGCTGGTGAACATTGTTAGGACGGTATGGATCAGCTTACATGGCCAGGAGAAGAACGAGGAAGAGAACGGTATCAGCCATATCAGGCCGAGAATTATGGATAATCCGGCGACGACTTCGGTATAGATCCATCGGGCTTGCGGCCACGGGTCGATGTCGTTGAAGGAGGCGAGGTAGTGACCGATGATACCTGCAACGACCTATGGAGATTCTGTTAGTGCCTTTGTTTATTGAGGATTTTTCATTCTCGGAAAAGACGTACAGCAGCGCAGATGATCTCCGCGACACGGAGCACGATGGACACAAGTCGCGACACGACGGGCATGATGGATAAGTTGGCTAACAGTTTACGGAAGGAAAGGTTTCTGGAAGAGCTGGTGTAGGTCAAGTAGTGGCAGGAGCAGTAGGTGGTGACGATCGCAGCAGACGGAAGAAAAAGGAACCAAACGAATCAAGAGGGAGGGGGATAGAGCTTAAGTAGAAGAAATGGGCAGCGACCCGATGATCTGCAGGCGTATTTTTCTTGGATCAACCCTTGCACGGCAATGACATCGCCAGGCCGGCGATCATTGGCTGTGTGGCACAGTAGCCTCTGCCCAACGTCTAGGCGGAACCATAAGTTTTCCCACGGAGGGAAATGGGTTGGCAGACGGTGCTGGACGGCGTGATTCATTCATTAATTGGCATCCCGTTCTAGACCCATAGCTGCGGTGACATGTTGACTGCCAGGAGTCCTCGGTCTTCTTCACCCGATGTACACGTTGTTGTATTCTATTGATTTTATTTCATTTTACTCTACTGTATTTTAGTTCTCCTACAATCCCCTGAGCCCAAAAATCAAAAGAACAAACCATCGACAGTCTTCCATGGCTCCAGTCAACACTCAACAGCGCTAACTAAAGGTTAAAGTGAGCTCCACCGCCCCGTCCCTAGGCACAATAGGGCTATGAGCCCACTCTGCATCATCCACACCACCCGCCCGAATCAATAGTCCGATGGGTTGAAGAACTTTTTCAAGCGAATGCGACCAGATGGGGGTTCCGCGAGACCATCCGATTTTTCAGACGTCCTGTGATGCGGTCCCTGGCATTCCGGACATCCTCTGGTGTGGCCCTCAGTACGTCCTCCGTGGAGGTGACGTCATTCTGCAGACGGAATTACGGCAGCCTAATCATCTGACTGGTCCCTCAGCCCTACCGTCATTGCATCATTTTCTACGGAGTAAAGTAGGTGACTTATTCTTGAATGGAGTATGTTCATTTTTGTTCGGTTTTTTTTTTTTTTTTTTTTTTTCAGTCTACGATTGGCTCGCTTGCAGTGGAAGAACCCTTAATCTACTTCATATGGAGCATCCCTCGGATGACAGACACCAAGACAAGATTCAAGCAGATGCATCCTTGCTCCGCTTCTTAAGCAATTCCAATACATTCTATGCTTCTGGAAATGGGTTCGCCACCGGTTCAATTCCTACACTTCATTACATTCCGTACAGAGGCCCAGGGGCTAAAAGATATGCATCATGCACGATTCCCTATCTCCGACAGGACCCACAAATAGACTGAATCAGACCCTGCGGAGAGTAGGCCTGGATGGTATTCTAGAACACGAGGCCCTCACGGGAACGGAGAGGTTGGATATGGCATTTAAAATAAGCCGATCTTGATGCTCGTATCGGCTTACAGGTCTTAGCCTCGAAGATTCCGTGATCGCATCAGGCGATGATACCTCCATCGCCTCTTCTATATCCCAAATCTAAATTCCTTATAGCACAAATTCTTGCGAAAGCCTCGAGAACAGTCACTATTACAAATACGACCTCTTTTGATACCCAGAGGAATAGGAAACTTATTACGGTAGTCAGGAACAGTGACGTTGACACGAAATGCCCAAAGCGTAGAGCTGGGCTCCCAAAGTAGTACAAGTGACAACACTCTGTGTTACCATTCCAGTCGATGAGTTTTAAACACAAAATCCTTTTTTGTCTTTTTTTTGGAGTCTGTTTTCTTTTCCTATTTTCTTCTCAATGTTTTTAAGTGAGAATTGAATGGGTTTGATGATGTATGCATGCTAGTCCCCCAAGAAATTACCTAGGCAACAGGACATAGAATGGAAAGAGTAAGACCATATAGAAACCAACAGATCTTCTACACTCTAAATCTTGACACTATCTTATCCAGCAATAGCCCCGCATCCTCGAGCATCATTGGACTACCATCCGCGTCAGCACTTACTAGCAGAAAACAACATGCCAAGGATCACGCCTTTCTCATTGTAGCACATTACAAATCCTTCAATCCTTCCGGGAGTTAGAAATCAACCATGCATCCTTATAAATCAATCACGAAGATGGACCATAAATATAACCCCTGCATACTTCTCATGGACTACAATCTGAAATAATCTTCACAATTAAACTCCCTCTATCATAAACTAGCCCATTGCAATGTCATCCCCAAACATCGATCTCTATACGGCAGGCACCGCCAACGGATTCAAAGTCAGCATTCTCCTCGAGGAGCTGGGTCTCCCCTACAAAACCCATGCGTTGGATCTTGGTGCCAATCAGCAAAAAGAAGAGTATGCCACCTTTGACCTTTCTTCAGCCTAAATCCCAATGCCAACCACACACTAACCACCCCCTAGATGGTTCCTCAAAATCAACCCCAACGGCCGCATCCCCGCCATCACAGACGGCGAGACCCGGGTCTTTGAAAGCGCTGCCATCCTGCTCTACCTCGCCGACAAGTACGACACCGAGCGAAAATTCAGCTACGCCCCGGGGACCGCGGAATACGCCGAACAATTGAGCTGGCTGATGTGGCAGATGGGAGGGCTGGGGCCTATGCAAGGTACATACATTTTCGTCTTTTCTCTGGTCATCGCATGTCTTCGATCAGACAGACGATATCCAACAACAGGAACAGAGACCTAGCTAACCATGAACAACGTACAGGACAAGCGAACCACTTCGCAGCCTTTGCCACGGTGCGCTCCGACTACGGCATCCAAAGGTATACAGACGAGACGAAGCGGCTGTACTCTGTTCTGGAATTGCGACTGCAGGAATCGCCGTATCTAGCCGGCGACAAGCTCACCATCGCTGACCTGGCCAGTTACCCGTGGGTGATGGCTGGTCCGTTGGTTTTGGACTTGGATCTAGCGGAGTGGCCGGCGTTGAAGAAATGGAGTGATTCGATTGCTGAGAGAGAGGCCGTTCAGAAGGGGTTGAAGATTCCGCCTCCGAGGGTGCCCCTGGATCAGATGGCTGAGTTTCTAGCGGGGAAGAAGAGGGAGATTTTGGCGAGGGAGAATACGGATAAGCATTGATTTCGGATGATATGATTATGGTTTGATGGGGTATTAAATTGGTTAAAACCGACGAAGACACTTTTGTCGTGGTATGAAATGCACAGACAGAGCAAAGGGCAGAGAGATAATCATATGTCCGCCAGCAGATTGACATCAACTTCACGCCTTGCAACACTGATAATTAGTACACTTAATGCCTGCATCAATAAAGCCCAGTGAAAGAGATCGACGTAGAATAAACACAAAGCGACCGATCGAGGAGATTAAAGAGGAGATAAAGACTAAGTGGTCTTCTTATCATTCTCCAGGTGCCACTCCATCACCGTCCGAAAGACCCCCTTCGCACCGCTCTCAATCACATCTCCATGGCACGGAATCAAGCGATTAAAGTCCCAGTGATTAATACGACGCACCGACTCGGTGAACGCCGACCGATCCGCCGTCGACAGGACATACCAGACAAACCTCTTCTGCCAGGTGGCCGGGGCAGCAGTCGACAAGGCCGGACAAATCAAATTGGTCAGGAAGTTCTTGGCGCTCTCGTTCGACTTGGAGTACTGCTCTCTCGCCGGGAGATTGAACAGCAGGTCGGCCTCGATGAGGGTGCGCGATCGCTTATGCAGGAATACGAGCTCCCGTGACGGATGGCCGTACACGTACTCGGTCTCGAACTCGGCGTCGAACTCGTCGGAGATTTTGCGCCGCGGGTCCTCCTTGCGGAACACGTGGTGGAATGCCGTATCTTTGAACTCGGGGTTGGATTGGCGCTTCTCCCACAGGCCCTCGGGCGCGATGATCTCCGCCTCGGGGTATGCGTTTTTCCACGATGTCAGATGCAGGTGGTGCTCTAGATCCAGCGCCGCGATATACTTGACGTTTCCGCCGAGTGAGGTCACGGCGGCCTGCACCTCTGGAGTCAGGCTGACGGGCGAGAAGACGGCGATAGAGCCCGATTCCATTTTGACTGTTCTCGTGATGAGGTAAGTAGGGGGGACGTTTTTATCGCACGATCTGCTTGATGCAAGGAGTTTGGGATGTGCACTACTGACCTAGAGTTCCTCGACCTCCGAACTTCAAGCGTCCAAACCGTGCAAAGGGCAGGCTCATGGTGACCACGTCGGAGGTGACATTGCGAATCACCATGCTCTCGCTGGGGTTCTTGGGGAAGAGCTGCGGAGCCATAGTGGCGATCTGTCGGGTATGATTGTACTCGCGTATTTGGTACTTGCAGTGTATCGAATCTGCAGCTGCAAGGATGAAAGGACCTTGGGGATTTTGTGAAACAATAAATAGTCCGTCACAAGGCGATCAGGTGGTGGTTGCATTCGAGCAGGCAAAAGGTGGCTTGAATCGAGAGCCCATGACGTCAGGAATACTGACGTGCTTACTAACCCGGGCCTGGCCCCCGCCGATCGATACTCCAATGAGCACGAGGTGTGCCTGGAATTTCTGGAGACGGCCGGAGTTAATAATCTACGCAGTAAGCTATGATTAGACATTGGGGATAAATCTTCGTCGTTATGCTCAGATGCTCGCACACAATGGTCACGGCTTACAAATTGCATTCGGCAAATCGATGAGAACGCTCGAGAACAACAGACTGGGTATCATGTACATCTACCACCAAACAAGGACCAAAACCTCTACTCCCGAATATTCGCTTCCAAGTCAATCATCACGCATCCAACAAGCTAACTCTAGCCGTACCAGCCCTGTGCGGTCGTCTGAGATTCCTCTTCCTGGCGATGGGGGATGATGCACTCTTTGATGTCATAAACATCAATCAAGTCTCGCCATGTTTCGAAGTCAAGACTAAAGATGGCCTGATGCTTCTGAATGCCCCTTTTCTGCGCTTCACTTGGTGCCCATGGTTTACCAGGATCTATCAAGCAACGTTAGTTCAGTATATACAAAAGATCAGATAGCCAAAGGAGGACTTACGCAGGGTTGGCAACTGGCGACTGTCCCGCGATAAACCCGCCGTGCCATCTCTTACTAAGAAACTGACATAGAACAGGTTTTCCACGCTTTGCCCAAAGGACCTGGGGTTGATGCAGAAGTTGAAAAATGGCACACCCGCATCATCGGCGACATTATGCTGGGCCATGACCTTCTGGACCATCTCATTGCTAGGTTCTCCCCCTTCTTCCACCATCCGCGACAAGACCTGCGTCACGGCGGCTTCGCCGGAAATCTGTGTCTCCGCCAAGAGTTTGTTGATATTCGAGCAGATAGTTGTAAGATTCGACGTTTCTTGTCGATCGAGGTCCTCATTCTCGAGCTCTTGCGGTCGGACTGCTTGCGACGGATCGATCTGTTCTCGTGCTCTTCGTTGCGTCAGTTGTCGCGTTCGTTTCTGAACCGATAGGGGCCCAAGAAGGAACCCCGAAACAGCCGGTCGCGCATTGCTGCGAACACAGGCAGCGCGTCCAAGCCAGTCCCAGTTCAAGGCATCTCCCTGTTCTTCGTCGCTATCATTGGGGTCTGCTTGACTTCTGCCGTGTGTGCGCCGACGTTGTGTACTGCTGGGAATTGCTGCCTGCGAATCGTCCGGGCCATGGCGCATAAATGAGATACACTTGGAGACAAACTCGTCGACATCGACCCCCGCGGAAGCGTCGCCCAGAACTAGCTGTGCTGTCTTTTTATACGATAAATCAGCGGCACTGACGAGGAGACGGGCGTCGATCGTCGCGTCCGACGTCTGCTTGACATCTCGGAAAAATTCATTGGCCTTCTTGATGGTTTGTCGGATCCCGTCGTTGCCCGCTTGCATAAATTCACTCCTAGAGTCTAAGCCACAATTAGAAGTTGGTCAACAGGAATCATACTGGGTCAGGCATCCATACCATGTAGTTCGCGTGACAAATCCCTAAGTCCCTTCCGAATCCGCCGTCTTTCCTTTTCATCTTGATCTGGGTCGTAATATTGTTTATTGGGATCCTGCTGCGAAGGCGGTATTTGGGACTGGCTGCCATCCTGGTTATTGACATTTCGGTTCGCTAATCGCTGTCGCTTTGCGCTGGCACTGGAAGAGGCCATCGTCCCCTGGGTTCTCTTTCGAATCCGAGCTGAGTTTTGATGATTTTCCTTGTCGGAATGGGCCCCTGGTGACGATTGTTGACTTGAATGTCTGGCTGCATGGGGAGTGCGCGCCATCCTCTTTGTCTGGAGGTTTGCGACAAACGGGAACGGAACGCGCTTGCGATTGGGTCGATAGGAGGGTCGGACGAGGGAATGCAGGGGAAGCGGTAGAGCGAGGAGTGGAATCAAGAAGGCAGTTACAAGGCGAGAAGTATGGCGTAAAGTGAAGCCACCCTCGTCAAAAATGACTCTGCCTGGCCAGACTCACTAAATCAATTCTCCTGATGGATTCATCAATTTCTCGCGTCCACGCGCCGCCTCGGTCACGTGGGCTCAGCTGACCCCGCGTCTCCGTGGAGCGCCGTGCGGCCAATCAGCGATGGCTCCTGTTAACCCCGGATGGAGCTCTCTGACTTCACTATTCTTGGATCTAGGGAGAATCGCGCAATGAACCGCTGCTCACCCCGCTAGAAGCAGCTGCGATATCCTTGGGTCAAACATGGAGGCATTCACATTTGCGGTCTCCACCCAGGTAGACTTTCCAATCTGTGTTAAAATGTAATGTCAGTCATTTCCAACCCCTGCTTCTAACCGGCTAACCCATACGGTCGTCCAGTGGATCATTGGAAGGGAAGCAGAAAGAGATCCCGTACTCCGTGCTATTGAAACGACCCGACCTACGACATCTAGGATCCACGCAAAGTCCTATCTCCGATCTCTTCGTGACGACCCAGCTATGGTCGGATTCGAAACCCCTGGGGGTACCTTTACAGACTTCATACAAGACGTTCAAGGCGGCTAGGTCATGGGGCGAATGGCTAGAGATGCCACTGTCCATGAGGGATGCTCCACTCAGGTGTCAGCTGGCGATAACGGTCTGGGATCTATCACCGCTGGGGAACGATGGAACGCAGGCGCATCAGGTCCCCTTTGGCGGCACGACGATCCCGTTGTTTGACGGGGATGGCAAATTAAAGATGGGCAGACAAAAATGCAAGATTTATCGCCACAAAGCTGCGGATGGCCTCTCATCAACAACGACTCCCTCGACCCCACGTCCGAAGCGACGCCGAGCCAACGTCGCCGATCCGTTAGGCCCTTCGGCCGATGAGTTGGAACTAGAGCGAGTGGAGGTTCTTATAAAGAAGCACGAAATGGGGGAAATACCGCGGATCGACTGGATGGATCAGATGGTGTTTCGACAATTGGAGAAGCTCAAGCTGAATGCTGAGGAAGCCGCCAGGAAGCGTGCGACCCGGCGAAAAGCAACCAAAGAAAAGCTTCGGGGTGAAGGAAAGGCAGACGACGACTCGGATGAAGAGGAGTTCGATGAGGAAAATTTCACGCTTCACGTCGAGTTTCCGCGATTCGATCACCCCATCGTTTGGTCGGACCACGAATACGCTGCGCCTCCCCTTTCGTCCTACCACCAGAACACGACTGCAAATGCAAACCAGACTTTGAAACCAGTGCCGGAAGTTCGGTTTGGTCCCGGGATAGAAGGCGCAGATGAGGACGGGGTGATACGAATATACGACCCGGAAGTCGGTCAAGCAGGCAACCCGTGCGAGGACAAGCATAGGAGGCTGATACGTAGCCATCGCACCGGTATCATGGACCGAGATTTGAAGCCAAACCCCAAGATCCGTGATGAGCTGAACGTGATCCTGTCGTACGAGCCCACGCAAGACCTCACCGCTGAGGAAAAGGATGTTGTTTGGCGCTTCCGGTACTACTTGACTCGTGAGAAGAGGGCGCTTACCAAGTTTGTCAAGTCGGTGAACTGGCGAGATGCAGGTGAAGCGCATCAAGCTGTGGAAATCCTTCCGAAGTGGACCGAAATCGACGTCGATGATGCGCTGGAACTTCTTGGTCCAACATTTGATAATCCCGCCGTTCGTTCGTATGCGGTGGACCGGCTTCGAAAGGCTGATGACGAAGAGCTTCTTCTCTATCTCTTGCAACTGGTGCAGGCGCTCAAGTATGAGGACCACTCCGATGGAACTACGGAAGATGTAGCTCATGATTCATCTCTGGCCAATTTCCTCGTCACTCGTGCTGCCAACAACTTCCAACTCGGAAACTATCTGCATTGGTACCTCATGGTTGAATGCGATGATAACGGCCCTGGCACTCTGGCGTCGCAACGTCGAGTGTTTGCCCGTGTGGAGTACTATTTCATGACCGAGTTGGAACGAATCCACCCCGAACACCGAAAGACGCTACTACGGCAGGGTGAATTGATCACTGTGCTCTCCAAGATTTCCAAAGACATCCGGTTTTCTCGAGAGAACCGCATCCTCAAGATCGAAAAGTTGAAAAAGTGCCTGAAGGATCCTAAGAATGACATTGTGCACATTGACCCGCCTTTGCCGCTACCGTTGGATCCTGAGGTCCTCGTCACTGGCTGTTACCCAGACGAGTCCAATGTCTTCAAGTCTACTCTGTCGCCTCTACACATTACCTTCAAAACCGTCGAGGGGCAGAAATACCCTCTGCTGTTCAAAGTCGGAGACGACCTTCGGCAAGATCAACTTGTCATCCAAATCATCATCCTTATGGATCGTCTTCTACAGAAGGAGAACCTAGACCTCAAATTGACACCATACCGGATCCTTGCCACCAATGCCACGGCAGGCGCCGTCCAGTTCATCCCTTCCACCTCCCTCTCCGCAGTGTCGGCGAAATACAAGTCCGTCCTCGCCTACCTCCGAGCCAACAACCCCGACGAGAACGAACCTCTTGGAATCCGCAAGGAAACGATGGACACGTACATCAAATCCTGCGCTGGGTATTGCGTGATCACCTACCTCCTCGGCGTCGGCGACCGACACCTGGAGAACCTTCTCCTGGCACCAGACGGGCATTTCTTCCACGCCGATTTCGGCTTCATCCTCGGCCGCGACCCCAAGCCTTTCGCGCCCATGATGAAGCTCTGCAAGGAGATGGTCGAAGGCATGGGCGGCACCACCTCGCCCCTCTACCTCCAATTCAAGCAGTACTGCTTCACGGCCTATACGACGCTCCGCAAATCCGCCAACCTCATCCTGAATCTCTTCAGTCTCATGGTCGATGCCAATATTCCGGATATCCGCGTCGAGCCGGACAAGGCGGTCTTGAAGGTCAAAGAGCGGTTCAATCTCGAGATGACGGAGGAAGAGGCCATTCGCCACTTTGAGCAGCTCATCAGTGACAGCGTCAATGCCATCTTCGGTGTCGTTATCGATTACCTTCATGAGATTGTGCAGGGGTGGAGGGCATAATTGATTTTCGGTCCTTTGTTTTTTCTTTTACGAGAGGAGGAGGTCTAATTGTATTAGCGTGGTAGTTATTTGGTTCGATTTAGGGTGTTGCCTTGCCTGCCGGTTTCATTTATAGATCATATTTTGCACCGGTGCTTCTCACTCAGGAGTCATGGATGGATGCATTGGCGCATTGATTTATCTTCAACGATGTCATGATACCCCGTGATCGGAGCGAATGAATTCTGGGTTCTTCTCTATAGTCCGTGGTGTCTGGAATATGAACACCCACGGAGCATACATATACTAGGTATATAGAGGACATTGAGACTATCCATCTAACACCCATCCAACGACCTCCCCAACTCCTCATCCACCCTCGTCCGAAAGTCCACCTCCACCCAATCTTGCCCTGCATATCTGCTCTCTACCTTTCCATTCCCGACTCCTTCAGTCGAAGAAACCCCCGGATCCATCACCGGCCGCAAATCCGACAACTCCACGGCATCATCCAACCGAGTCGAAAAGATCCCCCCTCCTTCACCGTCGGGGCGACCCCGACCCTCTTCATCCCCTCGAGCCTTCTCCTCCGCGTCCTCGTCATCCTCGGGCGTTCCCTCGCGACAGGCCCACGCGTCCACGAACCGGAGGACCTCGCGCGGCCACCACCGGTTCATGACGAGCAGGCGGAACGGGACCAGCGCGACGACGAGGACGGGAAAGGCCGGGGCGCCGCGCGTCAGGGTCACGATGAAGATGATCACCGTGGTGATGATCTGGAGGAGGGTGTAGAGGTGGATGGGGAGATAGGAGGGGTTGTTGCGAGGGGCAGCGGTGGCGCTGGTGCTGGTACTCGTGCTGGGGTCGTTTGAATCCTGGGGCTTTTCGCGCTGGGCGAGAGATGCAGGGAGAGGAGGGAGCTCGGATGGCGGGGTGAGGAGGTAGAAGGTGCGGTAGAGGATTGGACTTTGGGGGGTGGCTTGGTTAGTTTGTTTGGTTGGAGATGGATATGATATGGTATGATATGGTGGGTTGTAGGGTGGTAAAGGGAGAAGTATATGGACTTACTTGACTGAAAGACTCTGCTCTCCCATGAACAGGAACAGACCTGCAAGAACGCTCGTCGGAGTCAAGCCGAGGACTTTCATGAATGGCGGGCTAACGAAGACCAGAATGGCCCCGGCATGCAGAAACGACGACCACCGCTGCTCATAGACGCGCTTGACCTCGTGCGTCTCGACTTTCTCGTCGCCGTCTACGATGACCGTCCGCTGTTCGAACTCTGAGTGCATCAATGACTCCGAGTGCAGGGGAGCTTGCGGCAGGAGGCCATTCGCTGGCGGGATTCCCAGGATGCCACACAGCGCGGTCGTGGTGCCGAGGAGAATGATATCCCACGCGAAGCCGCCGGGCTTCTTGGTCCCGTAGCGATCGATGGTGCAGATGATGGAGCTCACTTCGTGGTCGAAGAAGAAAAGGATCGTAATGATCATGCCCGGGATGATGGCGGCGAAGACCCAGCCGACGGGAAGGGTCCAGAATTCGACGATGAATTTGTCGCGATCTGGCGAGGTGGGCTTGAAGGAGTGGCTGACGGGGAGCGTCATTTTGTCCAGGTGAGCTAATTCGCCGACATACGGTAGCCCGATGAAGACGATGATGGAAATCGCCGCGGCGTATTCGGCCAGACCCATCCGGATGTATCGGTGGAATAGCGGTCGCCAGCTCTCCGCGGTAGAGAGGAAAATGGCAAGAAGCATAGTCCCTACGGCGCCGATGACGGCATATAAGAAGGCGGCAAAAGAGAGGTTGTCGTGGGCTCTCTCCAGCTCTTGGATGGCCTTGTGGAAGTAGATTATGCTATTCAAGAGCGAGAAGATCTCGGTCGCGAATGTCGTCACATATCGCATCGTCCAGTCATGGGCGTTGATGATCGCCAACACATAGTGCAACCACGCAGCATGGATGAGAGACCAGGCCATGAAAGGTAGGAAAGGCACCTGGTGATGTGTGAATCATAAGACAGCGGTGAGAGGGATCTGGGGACGTACCTTGAAATCCTCTTCGCATAAGGCGTAGATATTCTCTGCCAGCACCGAGAAAGGACCAGTGACTCCAAGGATGTTCAAGGGCTGGATAGACAAGCTACTCAAGTCATTTTAACTGCCATTTCCGGCTTCCGGTTCGTCACTTACAAGGAGAAGACGATGCCACAAAGCCCCGTGCTGAAAACCACCTCGATCGTTCCCCAGCTTTTACCCGTCAAAACGTACAAGTCGCTCGCAAAGGTTATACCCGGCAGAAGATTCGTGAAGAAGACATAGACGGCACTGGCGAAGACCAACTGATTGAACAGTGTCCAATCCGAAACATATCGTCGGCGCAGATTGACGATATCCTGCTTCACCAGCCGAAAAGGACGCAGAGGACCACCGGCCGAGATCGACCCGCGCAAGACACGAAACGCCTTAGGAGTATGTTTGGAAGGAGTAATGATTGAATGCGCATCCTCATCGCCTTCTCGTCCATGATCTGGTTGGGGGGCAGCTCGTCGCTGTCTCGCCGGAGGTCGATGGCGGAGAGAGCTGGACCGTGCAGATCGAGGTCGAAATGCAGAAATCAGCGACATGGTTCTCCACGATGGCTGGCGATGTTCTCCATGGCGGTAAACAGATGGACTAGGATCTCAGGATATACAAAGAGCAGATGGACGGATTTCACTGGCGAAGGAGGGGCTCGCTAGTCCTCTTGGCTGCGTATGACGTAGCCCGTCCACTGGCCTCGTGGGATCAACACGACTGTTCACTGGTCCAGCACGTACTGCAGCTACTATTTAAGATTGAATCGACCCAGCTGATTGCAACCGTAGTATTCGTGGGCGGTACATTGGTCTACTACATTTGGCACGATTATTAGACCGGAGAACAGAGCGGTGCCAAGCTCACTGGGCTTTGGCTGCGAATTGAGTTTTTGGGATAGTAGAAAACGAAAAGAAAACGAGTTGAAAATTCTGGTCTATATGTAAATGAAGGCTATATCTAAACGGATTCGCACACAAGAAAAAAAAAAGTCTATCCAAAGAGTGACACATGCGAAATTGAAGCCGACCAGCCCTGCTGATGCTCACCGCGAGGCGAAAATATCCCCAATCTGAGGAGGGTCATCAGGAGCTCGAACTAGCGTGCGAATTGACTGTGATGAGACTCGACATCCTTGAGTCGCAGGATGTTCGATGAGCTGTCATAACGCGGCTCGTTTCAGTCCTCACGTCTACTGTTTGCCCACCCCCATCGTCGTTGTCTCCTCGGACCACCGAAGCCCGGGTTTCCATCTCAGTTCTTTCTTCCTGGGTTTCGCCTTCGGGTTTAGGTGGTGCACCGGTTCCAGCGAGCAACCGGTTCATGAAAGCGTCGGCCTCGGCGGCATAGTGGCATCGTTCTCGAATCTTAGGGCCATATTTGTAGAACAAGAACGGCATCGGAAGACACGCCAAAGCGAGAAACGCCGGGATCGAGGACGCCCAGTGTATACCGAGTCGTTGATACATATAGCCGGTGAACAGTGGAAAGACGGCGCCGAATATAGACCGCAGCAGAGAGTTTGCTGCTGACACTGACGCGGCGTATATGGTGTAGGAGTCAATCAGGTAGTTCAAAACAGCCATGAACACCGTGATCATTCCATAGCCGAATGGAACTCCGGCGGCAATCGGTGCCATCCAATGCGTTGAAGGTGAATTCGTCCAGGCAAACCAGAAAAGACCAATAGGCAGAGTAAAGCTTCCTATGAAGCTGGACGGTAGGCGCTCCTCGGGAGGAAGACGCCGCCCTTGTGCTGCCAAAGCCTTCTTCTTGTATTGGAAAAATGTGACGAATGTGTGGACCCCTGCAAGCAGGATTCCGACCAGAATGCCTAAGAAAGCCAATCCACCGGTACTCTCACTCCAGCCGCGAACCTGCTGGAAAACGATTGGATAGGCAGTAAAGAACATATATAGCGTGCCATAAATAATGGCAAGGTATAAAGACATCAGCAGCACAATAGGCTCGCAGAAGAGTAAAACAAATGGCCGAGAAAGGGCTGTTTTAAACATTTGGCCGGCGTGAGAGCTTCCGCCATCAACGTCAAGCTTACTCCGGTACACATGACCGGTGATTTTTGATAGCCTCTTTGCTCGTTTGCGCAGGAGCACGGGGCTATACGTCTCGGGCAGTAAAATGGCCGTCAATAGAAGCATAGCCCCAGAAAGGATTGCTAAAAAGCCTTGTACCCAGCGCCAACCCCCTGCGGCGGCCAGAAATCCTCCAACAACGGGCCCAATCGTTGGGCCCATGAAGGGTGCGATGGCATAAAGTCCGCTTGCTAGTCCTCTACTGATTGCAGGAAAAGTGTCGGCGAGGGTACCTCCTGCAACAGCCAGGGGGGCGGACCCAAGACTACCCGCAAAGAAGCGAAGGATAACCAGCGTCTCCATGTTTCGGGCCCCTGCCGTTCCGGCTGTGAAAGCTGTCAATGTCGCTGCGCTAAAGATGAATATCGGACGACGTCCGTAGAGCTCACTCATTGGTGCCAACAACAGAGGACCCAGTGCAAAGCCCAAGACATAGAACGAAATTCCCAGGACGGCAATTTCTTCATCTACTTGGAAGTACTCGACAATCTCCTCCAAGCCTCCTGAATAGCCAGAAGAGACCAGCGAAACCGTGAAGGTGGAAATGGAAACAAGTGCTGCAAGTGCCCATTTTGAAGGTTCACGAAAGTCCATAGGATTCCGAGGGTCATTCGGTATCCATGAAACCTCAAACGGGTTCCCTTCGGTTCCAGAACCAGAGTATTGGTGGTTTATGACTTCCTGAGTGACAGCACCCTCGTCAAACACCATTCGCCAAGCGGGAAGTTTGGAAGACGTTGGAATTTCGCCCTTCGAATCTGCCATTTTCGTGTTGGCCTAGGGTTTTAATCTCCGGTTAGCCAGTCCATTGAAGATCTTTCGTAAACCGGAGGACTCACATTTGAAAGGGAATAGTCACTTAAATCGTACCCAAATATATTGAAACTCTGAGGATCTCGGGAAATACGAACCTGACTGAAGGGCTGTCAAATAGGAACGTTTTTCGAGAGTGCACCTCGAGCATAACTTGAGGAAGGAGTGCCTCATGGCCTTTTAAATTATTTTTTCTCACGCTGGCAATTACCCATAATTGGCAGTAATAATTCAAGATCTGAGGGAGCAAGGGATCTTCCACCCAAGAGCGAGGGCCCAGGGGTACAGTAAGCTCCTTAGTTTTCTCCACACTTGCTGATGCACCGCGATATCAGCGCTGAGTGGCCTTCCTCTTGCCATTACATCTGTGACCCCTGAAGGGAGTCCTTAGTTAAAGATCTGTGCTAAGTTAGTCCTATACATGTGGTTTCCATGTGATATATTATACCAAGGACGAAAATGGTAAATGGTAATTGTGAGGGGTCATACGAAGCAACAATTTCAAATCAAGCTGGCAGTCATGAAGATCTTTGGGAATACCCACCCATAAGCTGATTCGATTTGAGTCCATCTTTACCCGATCCGTCATTCGAATGGGTGGGCACTAGGAACAGTAGTTCCCCCGAGTCTGTTCTAGTGACCCGGGTTGCATGCTCCTTACATGGCACATTGGGTAAATATGCAGCCACACACAGTCTTATCACCGAGTGTGGGAGCAACATGGACCAAGCAGGAAGAAGCATCGTGAATTTGTCAAGGTAGACGGGGATAGTTGATGTGTCCGCAACAGAAATAGAGTAGCGTCGCATATTCAACCTTCCGCACCACCCGCAATGCGAGTACTACAGGTTGGTGGTACCATGTGTCGTAGCCATGTGTGCTCCGTATGCAGTACTGCCTTACTGAATCTGTTCAGAATGAGTGTCGAGAGACAATTACTCAGAGTATGGAGTAGAATCTCAATCTATGTATAGATCAAGTCTTGAAAGAGCCCTTGTGGGCGCTGTTTGCCCATCTGTGCAAGTATGGAAGAGAATTTGTATCTGCCACGGCATTAGTATATCTCAGTAAGTTCCGAGAGCCTTCTGCATCTCGTAGGAGCAAGTCATGTTGAATCATCGACGCATTTGAGGAGGGAAGTTGTGTTGACACTCTCTCATTATTCGCTCGGGGCAGAAGATGTCAGCCCTGGTACCGCCTTTCTCACCGCCTCAAAACTTCGAAACACCGGCAGATCGGGGAAAGTGGTCGCTTCATCTCCATCCAAAGAGCCATGTTTTCCCTCTCAAATTAAGCTCGTTATCGGCATTGGACTATGTGTCGAGGGACAAATACTAAACGCTCTCTCCAGTCACTTTTTTTGACAGTTTGTCTGGCAGACGCCTCATGATGGCAGCCAAATTTTTCCCACGCCGGGTCTTTCCTAATTATGCGTCCATCCCAAGGTCGTATTTCTTGGGCCACCACAGGGCCGGCCTGAAGAAGATGCAAGACATGCTGTCATCTATAGACTATGTTGTCGAATGTCGCGACTACAGAGTCCCCGTCACGTCGATCAATCCCATGTTTGAAGAAGCATTGGGGAAAACCAGAAGACTGATCGTGTATACCAAGAGGGACTTGGGCTCAAAACCCGCGTCAAAGGGGCGGCGACGGGTAAGTCATGCTTTATATATAGCCCTTGACTCTTTCGAGAGCAGTTACTTACGCCTTTCTTTTATCTTTCATAGACAGAGGAAACCGTTCAAGGGCTCGATAAAAGTAGCGCCACATTCTTTGTAAGCTCGTCATCTCATCAAGATGTGGGTGCCATCCTGAAACATTTGCGAGAAGATGCAGAAGGGCCGGACAGGCTCGTTGGATGTCGTGTTATGGTGGTCGGTATGCCGAATGTCGGCAAATCGACACTGATCAACAACTTGCGCAATCAAGGCGTGGGTAAGGGCAAGGCCGTACAGACGGGTGGTCAACCCGGTATCACACGGAAGATTGGAACGCCAGTGAAAGTTATAGAGAGAGAGAATGGCTCCCATGTCTACGTGCTGGACACGCCGGGTGTCTTCATGCCCTACGTTCCCAATGCAGAGAACATGCTGAAACTGGCGCTCTGTGGATGCGTCAAGGACTCGGTCATTTCACCGGTCACTCTCGCCGACTACCTATTATATCATATAAATCTGCATCATAAGGATGCATATCAACGTTGGTCTGCGCCGACGAATGAGATCATGCCCCTGCTGGACAAATTTGCTCGACATACAGGTCTTCTTGCCAAAGGTGGCATCCCTAATATTGACCTTGCCGCGCAAAACTTTATTCAGAAATGGCGCGCGGGCGATCTGGGCCGGTTCTGCCTCGATGACCTAAAAGCTGAGCAGAGGAAGCATTTGGAAGGGAGCAAAGAAGAAGTGCGCCCTAGTATCTCATCAGTCTTACGGGCTGAAAAGACGGCGAAGAAGCAGGAAAGTTCGAAGCTGTAAATAATAGATTTAGATAATATCATCCAATGTACAGTACAAAAAGAACGAATCGTGTTGGTATCGTCAATGAGCCTTTTGCTCAAGATGCATGGTTTAAACGACAAGTTAAAAGAAGAAAATAATAAGATAAAACCGGAAAATAGCAATGCAGAGAGGTACACCCCGAACGCCTCATGAAACGGATTTTGAAGAGGGAAGAAAGATTGGAGCGAGAAAAGATAAAAAGAAAGCCATGACAGACTCAGGTGATCTTATCCAAGAGTCTTCTCCTTCTCCGATCCACCAACTCTTCTTGTACTTCATCCAGAGTCGGCAATCGCCACTCGACGCCGTCACCAGCATCTCCCGGTAGAGGCTCCCAGCCATCTTCGACATCGTCTTCCTTTTTGTTGCGTAAGCGTTCACCGGCTTCCTTCTCCTTCTGTCGCTCGTACGCCAGCAGCGTCCCATCCTCCTCGTCCAGACCGTAGCCGAAATAATTGGCATCCACCTTCCTCGTAGCGATATCACCGCCGCGTCCCCGAGTGCCCTCGTCGTCCTCCTCCGCCGGCTTCCGACCGCGACGAGCCGCAGCCTCAAACATCTCCTTGACACCAGGCAGCTCCCTCGCTCGCCCGAAATACCGATATCCTTTGCCGCCGCCGGGGATCTCCTTGCCCTCGTCGTCGTACACACGGCCCGAGCCACGCATGTAGTTGGGGCCGCCGAGGTTCCGTATCTGCATCTCCCAGGTCCATTTCTCGCGCATCAGCTTGTTGATTTCGTCGTTCAGGTCGCGGATCTGGTAGTCGCTGAGGCTGAGCTCCTGGATGCGCGAGACTTTGCGCGAAATTTCCTTGAGGACTTGGCCGCGCCATTTCTCGCACATGGGGATCGAGTCCACCGACGTGATGGCCTTGGGGCGACGGGTGCGTCCGATGTCGATGATTCCGAGGTCCGCCGCTTGCTGCGCGCGGAATCGAAACAGCATCGACTGCGCCTTTTCGCTGTTGCGGGCCTGGTGGACATCGAAGGTCAGTGTTGTGAACTCGGTCGAGTTTTGGGAGACATTGGACGAGGTGATCCTTTCTCTGCTGTGTGTATTGGAATGCACTTACCATGATGAAGGGCGGCGCGGGAGCCTTTGGGTCGGTACGGGCGCTATGGGAGAGAAAATGGTGAAGAAAGCTACCTCATGGCCGGCAGCGAACATTGATCCAAGCTCGGGTGGATTCAAGAAACGTTCGTGGCGGGCGCTAATCCTAAGCGCGCGGCTAGTTTATCCGATGCCCGACGGGAAGCGGCCGGTACACTGCAGTTTTTCTTCTGGTTTAAAACCTCCTATTTGGTTGTTATTCCAATCTTAAGGCGGTGCTGGAGGGACTACATATAAATAGCACGTGCTCGATTTGATGTGGATTGGAATACCAGTTATAGTACTTATGATAACTTCTAGTGTCGATTAAATGAAGGTCTCACCAAACTATATATCTAGAACAGAAGCTCAACTAAAATCATGCAGCAAACAAAAGCATAAGTTGAAGAAATTATTCGTAAAAATTAGGAACAGGAGCGAGTTCGTATTCCGAACTGCTTAGACGTCAATCCATAGTACAGCATAAACAAATGTCTGCCTCGTCCCACCCAAACATGATACCTGAAAACAAAACTCGAATGCATATAAATCGTCATAACCAATGGGGCATATACACATAGGAAAAAGAAGAAAGCAGTCAACGTCACGTTAGTTGCTGCATATCCTTGAGTATGCAGAAAGTCGCCATCATTTCATGCTCGTAATCCGTCGCTCAGGCCCTGGATAAATGTTTAGCGCCTGAATTATTGAATGCGGTTGTGTTGAGCAGGACCGTCCTGCTAGATTATCGTGTTCCTTACAAGAAGCCTTTCGTGTTGCTAGGCATCCGCTGTGGTATATCGCCTGAGCCATATACGCCGCTTCCCCGTCTGCTCCCTGCATCGCTCAGTCGTCCTAGATTGCTGCCGCGCTCAACGCGAAGCCCCTTCCATCCTTCCAGCTCACGCGCCAATCGCAGTGATTTTTCCTTTTCTTCTCGGAGCTCCCGCTCCGCTCGGCGCGCCTGCAATTGGGTTTGTGAGTCGGCTTCCTGAAGCTCTTGGATGTTTCGAAGGAGGCGGTCGATCTTGTCTCGAGACTTGTTGATGTCTTCGTTGAGTTGGTCATTCATCTTTTCGCGTCGGTCTATCTGGGACTGAAGGTCTTTCACAGTGCGATCCACGTTGCGCAGAGATCGTTGCTCGGAGCCGTGCTTGGTCTCTTGCTCCTCAAGGTGGGTTTCCAGCTGAAAGTCCAGATGTTAGTACCTTGACATAACAAGGATGTGTTCAATTTAGCTTACCTCCTTGATTCTCTTGTGCAGGAACCTAACGTCCTGGCTTCCTGATGAGTAGCTCTTAGTTTCCAAATCGACGCACCGCAGCTGGGCTTCTTTGAGTTGCTTCTCCAGAGCAGCTTTATCCTTGAAAAGCTGAGCATTGGTTTCCCTCTCGGCGGTGACTTCCTTCTGCATCTCCGTGGCCAAGGCTTCGGCTCGTCTCATTTTGCCGACAGCAGCAGCAGAAACGTCTTCTTGCTGAGCAAGGTTGGATTTAAGCTCCAGCAGCTCACGATCCATGCTTGCTGCGTTGCGCATGGATGGACTTTCTCCTTTAGCAAGATCTTCCAGTCTGTCGCCTGCTTCAGTCAAACGGGTTTCAAGCATCTTCTTCTCTTTCAGAAGCATATCCCGTTCGGCGGTCACGTCATCAACTGAAGTTCGTAGGCTTCTGACCTGGGACAATAGAGTCACAACTCTTCCCTGGGCTTCATTATGGGCGTTCACGGCTTCGTCGCGAATTGAAGTAACATCCTGAAGCATGACATCCATTCGCGCTTTCTCCTTAGCCCATGTAGAGCTGTTCAGTACTTCGTTGTCCCATTTGCTGCGGAGATCCTCCAGTTCTTCGCGAAGGCGGGAGTTCTCGCCACGGACGTTGAGAACTCGCTCCCGTTCCACTTCGAGCTCGTTGTTCAGAGTCAAGAACTCGCGCTGATACTTCTGTCTCGTTTGCTCCATAGAGGTCTCTTTGTCTTCGATATCGATGGCGCGTTGGTTCCTGTAGTCCTCGAGCTCATTCTGAAGGCGCTGTTTGGACTGCAGAGCAGCCTGAAGTTCGGCGGCTTGATCCTCCATTCGGGCCTCTAGAGACTGCGCTTGTCGCTGAAGATCTTCCACAAGAGAATCAATGTGCTTGCGCTCCGCCATGATTTGTGCACAAGTATCCTCTGCTTCTTGAGCCTGTGACTTGGCAAACTGCTCAGCCCGAGAGGCTTTCAGAACCGAGATTTCTGCTTGCTCGAGTTTGCTGAAATATTCATCCGCGCGAGTCTTATAGAGGCTGAGACTAGACGCGAGATCCGCGGATTTAGAAGTCTCCGCATCCAGGCGGATCTGCAGGTCGGAAAACTCCTGGAGCAGCTGGTTTCTGCTTACAGCATCTTGATCTCTAGCCACCTGCAGCTCCTGTGCTTCTGAGCGAGAATCACGAAGCTCGACCTCGGTAGCAGCCTTCGCTCGTTTGAGCTTTTCGAACTGGGCCTTGGCATCACTGAATTCAGCAACTGCCTCGTTGTGGACCTTGAGTAGAGACCTCCTAGACTGTTCCTGAGAATTTATGAGGTCATAGAGTTCCTCGTGCGACTTAGCTTGCACATCCCGGAGCGACAGGTCTCCAGATCGGATGCTTCGCTCGAGCGCCGAGACCTTCTTTGCAGAGTCGTCGAGTTGGTCGTGCAGGCGACCATTCTCTCGCTCTAAGAGATGCATACGACGGACCGAGGGACTTTCGTCTTGCCATTGGTCTTGGTGTGAGCCGCCCTGAAGTTGACTTTGAAGATGCTTGTTCTGCATTTCAGTCATTTGCAGCTTGTTCTGAAGCTCTTCGATCTCGGCCGCCAGATCCATTCGCTTCTGATACCCGACAGTATCCACTGTCTTATCAGACCGGGCAGAGTCATTCGCAGCTTCGTTAAAGTTGAGTCTTCGGTTGGGTGTTGTTGGGGTGCCGAATCTCTTTGCGATGCTATTTTCGGAGTTCTTGCGTAGATGGGTGGGCGTGCGGTTTCCGGCAACTTGGTTCTGGTCAATCTCCTCCAAGAGTGCACGTTTGGAGGAGGAGTAGCGGGCATCGAGTTCCTTCATTTCATCGCCATGACGACGGCGCATTTCCGCGAGCTGAGCTTCTGCTCTGCTATATTTCTCCTCCGATACCTGCAACTGGCTTTGCACGGTATCCAGAAGCTGGGCGAGATCCACCTTCTTTGATATGTCAGGACGAACCGTCTCCCATGACTCAGAGGATACCTCGGTCTCAGGTTCCACAACCTTATGCAGCAGCATCAGCTGGCGGTGCAAGTCCTCAATTTCCTTGTTTGCAGTGTCAAGAGAGCCCTGAAGCTTGCGAGTATTAGCCTGAGCTTGTGTACGTAGCTGCCGTTCAGTTTCCAAATTTCGGTTCGCTTCTGCTAGTTGGATACCAGCAGTAGATGCTGCCTTTTCGGCATTGCGGCTTGCTTTGTGCTCTCTATTGACTTCATGGTTCAGGTCCTCCAGACTCAACGACAGCTTCTCTTTTTGTTTCTCCAGGGAAGTGATCGACAGTTGAAGATCTCCCAGCTGGCGGGTCAGATTCTTGTTGTCATCTTCAAGCTTCGCTTTTTCTCTCTGGAGCGTTGTAACGCGGTGGCGTTGGCTGTCGCTCGCCTTGGAGTTGGATCTGGCAATGTCGAGGTTCTTTTGTTGAATCTTTGTTAATAGAGCTCGATTGTCATTTTCCGAGGCCGTGAGTCTGCCTTTGAGGGTCACTAGTTCCCTTTCCATGCGCTGCTTTTGCTGATCATGGCGGATTCGGAAGTTATCAGAGTCTGCAATTGCGTTGTCCAACTCCTGGATTCTAGTTGAAAGTCGTGTTCTTTCAGCTTCGACCTCCTCCAATTGGTGAGACTTTGCGTCTAGATCCTTTCGAACGCTTTCAAGCCGTTGATTGGCCTGGTTGTTAATGCTCCGTTCAATTTCAGCCTCTGCATTCAGCCGGGCATTCTCAACATTAGTGAAACGATCACGAAGCTTGATGAGCTCTGTCTGCAGATCCTTGCGCGAGTTCTCGGCAGAAACTCGGGCCTCAGTAGCGCGTCGAAGAGTGTCCTGCTGGATATACATCTCCTTTTCAATAGTAATCTTAGACTCGTTCAAGGTGGTGTATTTGTCACGCAATTCCGCAAGATTGTGCTCTGCAAGCATCTGGACATCATCTCTAGACTGTCGTTCTCTGCTCAAGTCCGCTTGTGCCTGGAATAGTTGGCTTTTGAGGTCCTGGATTTGCTGCTCCAGCAACTTTCGGCTTTCTCCCGCTTCAGCATCCTCGGAGATTTTGTCTTCGAGCAGCTTTTTCACGTCGGCGACTTCTCGATCTAGCTGGGCTTTTTCGACCATCATGGCATCAGACTCAGCTTGTAGTTCCCGCAAGCGTTTCTGCATGTTGCTATGGCGAGTAGACAAGGAGGCTTTTTCGGTTTGCAGTTGCCTCATCTCTTCGTCGTGTCTTTTAGCATCATTACGCAGAATGGCCATTTCGCTTTCTTTCTTCCTCAGCATCTCTTCGTACCCAGTCGATGTTGAAGAAAGATCTGAGATCTGCTGCCGGACCGAGCGATTCTCCTCCACCAAATCCCTAACTTGCTGTTTCGACTGGTCCAGTTCCTTGGCCGTCTTTGCCAGTTTAATATCGAGATCCTGGTCTGTCTTCAATAGTTTGGCCTCAAGATCTTCCAGTTTACGATCTTTCAAGCTGAGGTGACTTTGAAGCATTTTGGTCTCCTGGCCGAGTTCGTTGATCTGGTTTTCCTTCTCAGAGGCGGACGTCTCAGCTTCCACCATCCTGCGGTCAATTTCCTCGAGACGTGCCTGCATCTCTCGCTTCTCATTTTCGAAACGCTGGATAATTTCACCGGCTTGCTCCAGCTGAGTCATGCGGGATTGAAGCTCCTCTTCGACCTTCTTCTTCGCTGCGATCAGTTCATCCAATTGGTCCTCGAGGCTTTCTTGGTCTGCAATCGCCCCGGCCAGTTTGTCACTCAGCTCGACCTCCCGAAGTTGAAGTCTCTTGAAGATTTCCTCTTTATCAAGCGCGAGAGCTCTTTCGCTTTCCAAAGTTTGCTGGATCTTTTGCATTTCGATCTCTGTGCGTCGCTTCTCCTCGTCTATTTTGTGACGGTCGGCCAAGTCTGTCTTCATTTTGGACTCCAATTGCTGAATCTTTTCGTCCCTTCTCTTCACTTCGTTGGCTGTTCGTGTCTCCCCGAGGAGCGGCTTCATTCTCGAGAACAACCGCCACCAAGGGCTGGCCTTTAGATCTAAGTAGGTTCTGAAATTGTGCTGGATGATTCTGGTTGCCTCCGCACGGTATAGACGTTTGTTCGAGATCCGGCGCTGAACGAATCCTCTTGCCAGTGACTGGAAACGTGTCATGATGGAGCGGATGAGATCGTCTCGTTTCTCCTCCAGTTCAGCGAGGACACCGGCCCTGAAGAAGACCTTTGTCCGACCAACTCGGTACCAAGCAGAATCCAGCCCAAGCTTTTGCAGCATCATGTGAGCAGCGTTCTGGCCATCCATGTATCCCTTGGGCATGTTTCGGCAGAGCACCTCGTACCGTTGACGGAATTCGGCAAATGATAACCTGTTAGGGAATCCAGTACGCGCGATTCGAATTCCCTCAAGGACACCGTTACACCGTAGTTGATCAAGAACTAATGGGGCATTGAGCATCTTCGGGCGCTTCTTGTGGTTTGGTATAATGCAGCGCACAAAGTGAGGATGCGTGGAATTCAACTGGGTCATCAGACTCGACAGTTGCTCCTTATGTCTTTGGGCCACTGTACGGAATAAGCCCTTCTTGACTCGACTTTTTGGGTAGTCTGCCTGATCATCCGGGCTGCCACAGTCAGCAAATAGCTTGGTGACGTGTTTTTCTCGCGATGTCGCTAGAAGGCGAGTTATATTATCGTTGAGCGGATCTTTATTCTTCTCAAGCCATCCTTCAGTACCATATTCGACTTCGGAAGCATAGTGAGTTAGAACAAAACCCTGACTCAGCCGAGCAGCACGATACTTCGGGGATTTTCGATCCCACAGGGAGTGAAGCTTTTCGGTAAATGATTTATCGGTCGCTTTAGGCATCACACAGTCCTCATCCAAGCAAGAAAAGATACCGATGGGATTGGTCAACTCAATCAGATCAATGGTCGGCTGCAAATCCTTTCCAAAGTCGATGAATTGCCACTCGATCTGTTCCCTCGCATATTCTTCCTGTTCCAGAACAAACATATGGTGGTTGAAGAACTGCTGTAGCTTCTCATTGGTGTAGTTGATGCACAATTGTTCGAAACTGTTGTTCTGGAAGATCTCGAAACCTGCAATATCCAGAACACCAATAAAGTAGCTGTCGTCTCCCGTCACAGTGCTGCGGTCTAACTGATCATTAATGCGGTTCACGAGATCACCAAAGCCACGCTCGTAGATTCCTTTGGCGAGCGCATCGAGCGCCAGCCTAACTTGTTCTGGTGTTTGGACTTTCTCCACCCACTCGCGGCCTGCCTTCACCCTTGGATGCAACAGGCCTTTGACAAATGGTTCTGGTTCAATCCCCAGCAGTTGACACGCTCTCTCTATACTGTTGAGCGAGTCAGGACCCAATGCGGCCTGATCCGCTCGCAAGCTCTCCTTGATGACTGTCACATTTCCAAGGTGCAGAACGGCGGCGATCGTGCGGAGAATACACATTTGGTCTTCTGCAGAAAAGTTCATGACGTGGAATGCCTCAATCAATGAATTCCACTCGTCGTCATCAGACACCCCGGCAATGCTAGCATTGCCGTCTCTCGTGTAGGCGAAGTCTTCGATTCGAAGGTTGGACAACAGCAGCTTCTCTCTCATTTTTGGATCCGCACCCCGAAGTAACTGGTAGAAGATGTGATAATTCCGTTCTTGCTGATTCGGTTTCACTACTCGCGACTTTTCAAGAAGGTACCAGTCGATATAGGCGCCCGAAATCTGGCCAGACCTAGAGAACTCAATGCGAATGAATTTTCCAAATCGAGAAGAATTGTTGTTTCTAACAGTCTGGGCATTGCCAAACGCTTCGAGGATGGGGTTCGCTCGCAGTATTTGCTGAGAGAGACTGGACATTTGCTTGGTCGCCGAACGAACGTATGGGGTATCGGATGTCGCAACAGCAGCCAGATATTGAATGACCTTCTTCGTATTCTCCGTCTTTCCCGCACCAGACTCTCCTCTGTACCTTGTTAGTCCAGTTTCCTGAGTTTCACCAGTTGACGAGCAACTTACGTTACCAGGATACTCTGATTTTGCCCTTCTTCAACCAAATTCCGAAACGCTTTATCGGCCATTGCGAAAATGTGGGGTCGTGTTTCCTCTCTGCTTCTGCCTTTGTACATCTTCACATACTCATTTGAGTAGATGGGCAACGGACAATACGGATTGACTGTCACCAAAAACAGTCCAGAGTATGTCTAGGGATATCATTATTAGCTGAGTTCAGAGTTTGCTTCTTGCCAACAGGCTTGGGACTTACATATATCAAGTCCGCCTGGTAGCGCGAAAGCAGATTGTGCACCACGGAAGCTTCATTCAGGTGTGTAAGCTCAGCCATGTCATCGGCCTTGTCGAACTTTGCCGGGTTGACTTTATCCACTTGATCCGCATCGACCTCCTTCTGCTGTATCGGTTGTGAGAAAAGGGTCTACACCCCTCAGTATTGTCTTCGGTTCATACCTCGCCATCATCACTCTGGACCAACAGCCTTCCATTTTCGCCCTCTTCCAACACAAGTCCCCGGACAAAGGCCTTTTCGGGGTCACGTAGCCAGACGTATTTGTTACCCGAAAAGTCATTGTCGCCCTCCAATCCTCGGATCTGATCTGCACCTCGCCGAAGCTCTTCGGATTTGATGAACCCTGGAGCGAATGTTCCGCCTGCGGCGTCAACCCTTAACGAGTTCGATCTTTGGTGAGTCGAGGTTCGTCCTAATGGCGTCGGCGATGCTTGGGAGATCGAGGCCGAATTCCGAAAATGACCTTTGGCTTCTTCGAATTTACCCGGCGACGTCACGATGGCTGATTTCGGTCGGGGACCTTTCGTTGGTGACCCGGACGACGGGGATGAGGAGGGAGAGGCACGGCCAAATGGGTTGGCACGCTTTGGCGAGCCATTTAGTTGAGAGGGCAGCATATCTTCGTTAATACAGTCGAAACATTATTCAAATGGGGAATCAAGTCATCAGAACTGGATAGCACGAATCATGCAGGTGAGTAGGGTGGTCCAGAATATGAGGGGGGAATTGGACTGGTCATACACAAAAGAACAAGCCCGAGATGGATGGACTGAGATGCAGACGTAATAGCAACTTGCAGAGAACTGACCACCTGCTCGGTGACATACCCGCATCCACTGTTTGTTTACATCCTGCGTTCCTTAGGCTGCGGATGCCGATCTGGCCCTAGTCCCGATCTGTCACGGCCGCATCACGTGGGACTGCTGCACGGGACCCTCCGCCCGGTTTTCGAATTATGCAACTCCTGATATTTTTATCCTCCGCCCTTTGTCTCGTCCCATCCTCACCTTCTCTTCACCCCCTCTCTTCTGTTGTTTCCAATAAAATCCTTATTCTTTATCGTCTATATAGCTGCTTCTGCGGGACTCTTGACTCTATTTTTTTTGCGTTCCAAAACCATCCGTTCGGCATCAGGTGCATGATTTGGCTTGGAATTCCATCTCTATTCTGGCTTGAATGATGTGCGACACCTGAACTGACATCGCTTTTGACGAGCTTTCCTTTTACTCACATTATCTAGAAAGCACCATCTCACTTCTCTTTCGTCGACCTCTTTGCGCCTCTTCTCTGGATCATGTCGAACTATCCTCTAGCTCCAGCATCGGGGCTACCATCCAACTATCCACAATGGCCTTCGTCGAATTCCCAGTCATCCGCCATTCCGCCATTAGTGTCGCCAAATCCCTCCTTCCACCAGACTTCTCTGCCGCCGCATCAACAACCACAGGGTTCGATGGGTCGTTCGTTTGACTATAACAATGAGCTCAATTTCAATGCGAATGCGCGTCTCCCAGGGCCCGGTGCAGCTGGGCCCTTACCAACGCCGCCGTTTCCGTTCATGGGGACTTTCACACCTCCGCAATTTCCACCTGGCGCCTTTTCTCCTGCTCAAATGCCTCAGATGCCCCCTTTGGGTTATCCGCCCATGCCCCTGCCAACCGCGTTCCATGCGCCGCCGAGCCGTCCCTCAACCGGTGACTTCCAGACGAATCATTTCCACCCCCAGCCTACAACTACATCCAACTCCTTGCAAGATATTGATCGGGAAGAAGGCGAGCTCACCGATAGGGAGGGCGGGTTGCCAGCACAGCAGAAGCCCGCGTTCAATAGTGGACCCAGAGCTGCTCCGCCGGCATCTCTAGGCGGTCAGCAAAGACCTTCCGCTCACGCGTCTAAAATATCAGCGGTTGACGGGGCGCATGATCCAGCAATGGCAGGGCTTCCTGCACTCGACAGCTCTAAAGATTCCGGTTCGAAAATGTCATACAAGCCAGCTTCTCGCGATTCGATGGACCTTGAAGAGGGCGAGACGTCTTCCTCCCAATCTTCATCGTCAAGCCGAGACAGTGGATCGCGTAATGCTCTCCCTCTACTGAAAAGACCAATTTGCTTACTAACATTTTGCAGCTTACAATCCCCCAGTTTCCATGAATACCGAAGCATTAGACAGAATGGACGTCGAGCCAGCAGTTTCACCCAATTTGACCACTGAGACGTTCACCGAGAAACAACCTGCCAAGTCGCCAGCACAACTTCGAATTCAGGCGCAAGGTGCTCTGCTAGGATTAGCTCCTCACAACATCCGCTACAATGAACTCGTTGGAGAAGGAATCAATCCCAATGTTCTCAAACAGCTATACGAAGAAGTTGGAATCAAGATTTCTACACCGCAACCAGACGCTGCACCAACCACAGGATCCAACTTGCTGCCAGATACCCAGCAGCGCGGAGGAGAGGCTCAAATGGCAGAAACATCGAAATCTCAAAAGACTTGCGTACAGGTTGCTTTGCCTGGAGAGAACGCCACGTCACCTGTCTCCACCCCAGCGCCACCGAAGGATATGGCCAAGCCCATGGAAAGAAAAGAGGTCATTGCGCGTATGCTTGCAGCCAAGGCTGCTAAGACTTCTGGGGCTTCTGAGTCCCCTCAAGCCGATGAGCTTAAAGAAAGTCCAACGCAAGAAAGCTCCAGTGCTTCGCGCATAGACAATACGGATCCAGCACCTCTAGGGGTACCTACCAAGGAGAAAGAGGTACGGGCCAAAGAGAAAAACAAGGCACAGACGGAGCTCGCCAGGCAGCGAATCGAGCAGCTCAAAAAACAGGGTCTTATGAGAAACCAGCAAAAGTCTCAACCAGAATCTAAACCCCTGGAAAACGGACCATCAAACGGCGAAAATCAGAATTCAGATACAGCTGATGAGGTTGCTGCAATCCAGCACTCGCTTCCTGAACGACCTCCAGATCCGGAGTCTGATATTTCCGCTCGTATCCCTGGATTATTCATGACCGAATCAAAAGAAGATCAGTCGCAAGACGCCTATGTCACTCCTGTTCAAGGTCTTGTAATCGACTCTACACCACAGCCCCGCGCCAATCAACGCAAACGTCCTCGTGCATCTGACTTCGACGAGCCTATTTACCTCGCCAAAAACGAGCTCAACAACGGAGGGCATTACACCGCTCCCGAACCAAGACTCATTATCGACATCAGCGATGATGAGTTTTACGATGATAACGACGACGACGACGACGACAGCATGGATATTGAGACATCTACTGGATACATGTCCCGAGATAATGGCTCGACAGCTCCGGAAACGTCACTGCGAGCGTTAGAATCACTCCCGTCTAGGCCATTATCAGCAAGCCAAGGCTTTTCCACCCCCCAGTCGAATTCAAGGGGCGGTGACCAAGACCATCTGCGAAGAAAAAATCTCGAGATTCAGGCAATGCACCGACGTATTGCTGAGCTCGAGCAACGAAAAAAGGCGAAACTCACCGTTAGCCGTACACAATCTCCTCGCTCAGTAGAGCTACCATTACCAACGCCTCCGGAACCTTCTGCTGCACAAGACACGGAGTCTTACAGCATCGACCTTGCCGGTCCAGATGAAGAATTTACCTGTCCTGCCACTCAAAACGGACATTCTCCTGGACAAGTTTCTTCTTCTACCATGGATATCGCATACTTTGAGAAGATGAGATCTAGAATTTTACGGAAAAGAGAGATTGAGTCTGGTGTCCCCGCATTGGATGCTGAAATCCATAAATCTGAAACTAGGCTGGCGGACTTGAAAAGCGAAGAAGGAAAGGTTCTTCTCGAGATTTCAAGAGGCAAAGAAGGACGCAAGCAGCTCCAGGATGAATTGAACAACATCAACATGGAACTGAATGGTCTCACGCTGGACGAGGTTGATGCGGCCTTGGTCCGGCTGAAGACAAACCCACCACAAGACAACACCACTCTTGAAGGTAAGCTTTTCTATCACATGGCTGTCACAAATCGTTTATTGCGAATCACCACACCCGAATCGTTAGGCAACTGTGTCCGAAATAGCGATCGGTGCTCATTTTATATCTTAGTCCCATCACACGAACCGGCTACGTCCAATGGAAATGACCCGTCAGGCGTTGGATCCACCAACGTTGGAGATTCGAGTCAAGGGGAGAGCGTCGTCGATCAATTGTCTGGCAAGTCTGATCAAGCTCTGTCGACTGTTTCGGCATCCAATGAAGTGCCCAGCATGCCTATGGAGACGCAAAGTCGAGTCGACTCCAGCCACGAATCGTCTGCTGTGTCTTCATCCGAGTCCGAAGGATCCGCCATGGACGAATCCAGTGATAGTGACAGCGAAGATTCCATGTCTATTGACGAAGATGAATCTGAGGGACCGGAACCAGAACCTGTCTCGGAGTCGATTCCACCCAATGCGGCAAGCGAACCTCAAGATAGCCAAGAGGGCGCAGATCAACCGAGCGCAAAATCCCAGCATTCACCGCGCGAAGTATCACCCGTCGTAAACACAGAAAACCGAACCAGTGTGGCTTCCGAATCGGGCGAGGAGGTCGAAATGTCCAAGGACGATGATTCCAGCGAGTCTTCGGGCTCTGATGGATACGAACCCCCCGAGCCCGAAACGACTGCCAGCCCTGCTAACTCCGTTTATTCACCCCCTTTCAGCCCACCTCCTCCCGGCCCGATAGAACCTAGTGAGGCTTCCATGCCCACAGTGGATCAGAGCAACCAAGCCGGTGAGCTGCTAACCACAAACGATCAGGAAGTGGATGTTGAGCCGCCAAAGGAACATGTTCAAGTTGGGCTTCTGGATGTGCGATAATCCTTTTATCAACTGAGGAGGGTTTGACGCTGACAACTGCACTAGAATACGCGAGGAGCCGAGGTTCCGCAACGTAAATTTTCACCGTATGACAGTCCGTTGAAGCATTTCAACGCCTATCGATATCACCCCAACTACTCTGGTGACACTACACAAGGCTACCGTTCTTTAACATACAGCCACAACATTGACCCTATGAAATATCTTTGTCCTTTCGAGGCCGCAGGGGGTGTCTGCAACGACCGATCTTGTGAATTCCAACATTTCCGGGACATGACTCTTAGCGGTGCGTCGACAACTTGAGCAAGCTACATTCAACACCTTCCAGCCATCTACCAGATCTGACCCCCTTCTTTTCTTTGCCTTGCGCATTTTGTTTCAGCATTGATGCTCGTCTTTTTCTTTGCTCCTCCTCCCTTTTTTCAATTTCCCCGCTTTCCTTTCTCCCTAAAAATCTCTGACTTTCACCACTCGCTTGTTACTTTGCTCTTTTCGGATGCTGACGCACAGGATTATTAACATGGACAGATGACAAGATCTTGGTCCAGATGGGCTCCCTCCGCGAAGGCAAAACTCCTGAAGAAAAAGACCACTATATCGCTGGACTGAAACAGATCATCAACGACATGCGGCGCGATAAGGTGAAAGACTTCAATACTGTGGCCACCGAGATTGCCGCATACCGTAGACGCTTCCTACAGGACCCTTCGCGAATCTTGCCCTTGTAACAGCCTTTGAACCGCCATCCTTCACTCTCCTAACAGAAAAGGGCTCCCTTTTCATTGATCAAGGTGAGCTGCCGATTCAAGAGTCAGCGGAGCACATAAACTGTGCCGGACATATCAGGCTGCACGGTCGTCTTTTGGGGACTGGCCATGGCAGTAACATCTTTTCACTCTTCTTTTTCTCTCACACTACCTCTTTTTTGATACCCGCATTTCGCTTGTTCTCTGCTTGGTCAGGGAGCTCCATTATCTCTTTCTTTTGAAGTCTTTTATTCCACATTAGGAAGCTTCTTTCTAATACTTACGGGATCTCATGATCTTCTTTTGGCCTGACCCACTGGGTATTGCCATTCTACTTGGTGCATCTATCGCTACTTGGCTTAAAAAAAGAACCGACAACAAAAACGCATGACGTTGGCAGGAGACAGCGTTTTGATCCCGTTTCCTCATTCCTCCCATTTCCCTTCGGAGGTGGGCGTAATCGGAATATCCCAGACTTCGGCAACATTGAATGATCTTGAGAAAATCAGGACAGGGTTCAACGTTCACTCAGTTCCATCCAGGGTATATTTGCCAGGGAGGACATGGGCTGTGAATTGATTTGCCGGAGCCAAGAAAAAGAAGAAAGAACAAGAAAGAAAGAACAAGTGGATCCAATACAACTGTACAGCCGGGCGTTTGATTTCTTAGGAGTACATAGCCATAGCAATTATTCTCAACATGCTTTTAATCATTCCAACAAATCTTCCCATTTCCTTTAATCTTCACTTCCCATACCTCTGCATCCAACCAACGCCAACCAACCCCGCTAAACGGTTAGCGGCTAACGCACGGGGCGGGGAGGGGGGCGCCTAGCGCCTACGAAGGGAGGGGAGGGGAGGGCGTGCGGGTGAAGGTGAAGGGTGAAAGCAAGGCACCAAGGCGCAGACGGGCGGTTAGCGGGGGTTCTCCCATTCGCCCAACGCCCGGGGCGCGGAAGTGGGGGGAGGGAACTTCTTACCTACCTAGAGGTGGGCACCTGGGCTGTAGAGAGAGAGGGCGGAGGAAGGGTAAATTGCGGATGGGGGACTTTTTCCAGGCCGAGTACGCCCGCCGATGCCGCCAAGATGAGTGACTCAGGCTCAAAGGCACTTACCTACCTAGCTAACTGGGTACTACTAACCTAAGGCAGGCAGGGAGAGGTAGGTAGGTAGGTAGATAGGTAGGGGGAGGTCGGCACAGCCCGGTAACCCAACCAAACCAACCAACCAACCACGCTAGCAGCCAAATCACGGGATAGATAGCTGCGTCTGCATCCCATCCAAGAGCCAAAAAGCGCCTTCTCTTTGTCTCTCTGGCCGTGGTTGAATGGCTCCGATTGACTGGGGAAGTGAAGCGAATGACGGGCAAGCTAAAGAGGCAGTGCAGCAGCTATCGGCCTGCATGCTAAGGTATCTAGGCTGTCTTTGTTTTGAGTCATCGAAATCGAAGAGTTGGGTTGATGAGTGGCTGGTAGTTGTCCGAGGTAGTGGTATTGAGTTCGAGATGTTATTTGTCCGTCAGCATGTTGGGATCTCCTGCGTAGGTGTAGTACGTAGGTAGGTAGGTAGGTCTGCGTATGTGGATGCGTGCGTTTACCTTTATCGGGGACGTTGATTTCGTCATTGACTTGGTTAGTTCGTGAGTGAGTTAGTTACCTGCCCGGGTTGAGTCACTCAGATCGCATGACCGTCTGACTCAGGCATCGGCGTTACAGGCTGTGTGTAGTTCAGCAAGTCAAAGTTCACGGTGTACGTTGACATCGGGATCGATCATAGCGGAATTGAATAGGCGACTAGATAAGTTAAGCCCTGCGGAGTTAGGAAGTAGTAGACATCAGATCGAAGTTGTACCTGAGTCGGCCCGGGGTGCGCACCGTACTACCCACCCAGGTTTAGTCGTAGGAAGCAAGGAAGTAGACAAGAATAGATACATGCGATTGGACCGAGCCGTGCGCGATATGCGATGGCACAATTCCACCAATCAGCCCATGCGAAACAAGAAAAAGAAAAGAGAGAAAGTCGCTTGCACCGATCAGGAAGGTTGTTAACCTCAGGCGCCCCTGTACAGTCAGCAAGGGGAGGAACGGACTTCGGAGTCGACTGTCGACCGTCGACGCCAAAAAATGAAACGGGCCAAATAAACTACACTGCCGATCGATCAGCACATCCAGAACGGAAGGATGGTGGAAGAGGTGGGGGAGAAAGAAAAGGAGAGGGAATGAAACATGATCAGCAGCTGAATTGTGGGGAGTGTCTAGTTTAGTCTACAGACACAGGACCAGTCTAGTGACATCTAGCGTCGCATTGTCGCGTCGCGAAATGTACGGAGGACGGAGTAGACAGATGGCAGGATAAGAGTTCGGATAGGTCGTCTCAGCGTCGAGCTGAAACAGCCGGGGAAAATACCGGCGATCACGGACAGCGCGGGACGAACGGGATGGATTCAAACGATCAACACTAAACAACCATAAAACTCCATTGACAGCTGAAAGGCGAGGGGGGCCTTACGGCCTCAAGCCCCTAGACTACGGCAGAATGGGAAGTAACTGCAGTCCGAAAGAAAAAAGAAAATGAGAAAAAAGGAAAAAGGAAAAAGGAAAAAATCTAGGGCTGAGTGATCTTTTTTTTTTCTTTGTCTAAACTCCGAACCATTATCATTATTCTTTCCCATTTGTTGTACTCCGGACGGAGTACAAACGTTGATATATTTAGATTTAAATTGGGTTTGGACCGTTTGCGCCGGTTCGGTCGGGTATCTGTGCGACGTTGCCCTACTCCGTCCGGTCTGTCAAGTACTCTCCGAAGCATACATTGGACAGTATCACGTCCCTTTTTTAATGTCTGATTGTTACACCCATGGCTGTGGCACGTCATGCAGGAGAGAATCATGAATACACGCATCCCGTCACCCATCAGCGAAAATGCCCCCAAAAAGGGGGTCTAGAAGGAAAAAAGAACAAGCCACAATGTGAGACTCGGCACGTGGCATGGGCCAGGACCATTCGGCTCCTTCGCAATTAACGATATTATCTCCCGCCTCGCCAGTCTGACCATGCATGCATTCCGACCGCGTGGCCTCGGGGATAGGTACTATCGAGTCTCAGCAAGCTTTGGCTTCACGTTTCAGGGGCTGGGAATGATATTAAAAAAAAAAAAAATTCTACCGCCTGCATAGGAGGTCAGACACACCCACCCTTCCGCCCCCTTGCGTCCGGCTGTCTGCCTGTCTGATCTAGCACGGCGTCAGAAACATGACGCTCGGGATTCTTCAGAGTGATGACCCCAAGGACGGCGACGGTAATATCACGGGTGATTAGGGAGAAGGATCAGTAAAGCGGGTTTCAGGCTATGCAGATGACATCATATCGCTCGTCACAGCCTGCCTGACACTGGGAACTCCAGGCTGTTAAGCAGGAATCGTAACTCCGCACAAGTCCGTCCGATTGTCCATGTCCGTCTCTCCATGTCCGCTCGACTACCCGTGAATTAAGGGATTTGTCCAGGGGTCCCTAGCCTCCCCGAATCACCAAACCATGTGTTCGGGTCGAGGGCCCGAACATCTAGTGCCTGTACGCAGTATGTACCTCCATGAGACGTACTCTGTAAATGGAAGGGGAACATTGTCGGGTGAACGAAACAGCGCTTATTCGCTCAGCTGGGTCTTGAGTGTCCTGTGTAAGGATTTAATCTATGCAGGAGAGTCGTTGTCGTTGATCCGGTCTGCCAATTAATTAGTTAATTAATTTTTTTACTCGATAGTTGATCATGGCACGGGTCAAGTGATCAAGGGAGAATAACGCCTTGCGAAAGACCATCTCCATCGCAATATGGGCCGGCTCCATTCTGGAAATTGAAGAAGAAGGAAGAGTAGGGTCCGTTCGGGGCGAGCCAGCGACTATGGAGAATGGAGGTAAACGATGCGCCGGTGGGCCGTCAGCTCAGCCGTTGCCCGTTGGAGAGTCCGACAAGTGGGTCGCGGTCTGGATGGTGTCTGTCCATTCAGACTGCATTCCATTCAATCCAATTCATCCATCGCATCGACCATCATTGTTTAAATATAGCCAGCTGGAAAGTCAAAAAAAGAAGGTCGGACGGCGTTCTGCACGGTTGGTGACACGGGCGCCCGTTATTGGCGATTCCCCTCCATGTGGCTGTTGGCGACCAGGATTTGGCGAGGAACCATGGGAATTTGGGTGACGGGGACGGGGTGGTTCTACCAGGGTACTCCGATAGACTAGCGACTGGCTACTACGAAGAGGGAAGGAGAGAAAAGACGAATGGCCTGATACGGACGCTTTCTGCCCCCAAATAACAAAGTCTAGTGTTTCCATCTCCAGCTGATGACGGCTTAGTCAAGGGCGGTGCTATCGTCCCGGGGGGGCTATAATGCCGCTATGCCCGATCGCGTAATTATTGCGTCGCAAGGAACTCCTCTCCTTTCGAGTCCGACGGAGTACGCAGTAGTAGACCGACTGAGCTCCATGGAAGGTCGCTCGTAATTCCAGAACATTGTCCTACCCCTCGCGAGTCGCAGTCGCAAAAAATAACTAAACCGATCACGACCTGCCCTCCCAAACACAGCCTCCCCTGCATATCATGCCGACCGATCGTATTCATTCCAGATCCGGTCTGTCATTTCCGGCTGGCAGGGGACGGAGAAGCCGGTGATTAGGGAAAAAAAAAGAAAAGAAAAAGAAAAAAACATCTATAGAGGATACCAGGGGAGGGAAGGAACCGGGCCCCGCGATGCATCCGGAAGTTTAAAAAAAAAGAGAGAGGATGTTGTCAGAAAGCATAGAAGCAACCGACCGCTCTTTGCCCCGGTCACAGTATGCAATCAACCCTAAGTTGCCGGGGAAAATAGCGGTGATGAGAGAAACCGCGACCAGACAGAGAGCCTAAGAGTGGCTTGCATGATCTGCATAAGTCTGACACGCCCGGGACTCGAGTTGCGATTCGAGCATGGCAGGACCAAGACTTTGCGGCTCGCGGCACCGTGCAATCTAACAGGCCGATTCGAGTCTCCAAGTCTCGAGGAAGGATGGGGCAGGGCAACTCCGTTTCGGTCAATTGTTCATCTCGTTGGTGATCGACGCACGTGTTGTAATCTGCTAGGCCGGGGCTAGTCGATGGGCGCGTAATTATCCTACTGGCCAGTCGACCCTCGGATGCGATACTCCTGGTCCTACTCCTGGCCCTGGTCATCTGTGATTTATTATTATCTCTATTATTATTATTTTTTATTTTTTATTTCTTTGGGTCGGCGTGGGATGACCGGGTAACTCACTACGTGCCAGATCTGATGCAATCAATCCCTGCGAGAGTGACGATGATCGGAATAATCCTCCTAGCACGAAGCCATTATTAATGCTGTACACCCATTATTAATATACGGAAAGGAGCTTCTGGATGCCTCTGGATACACAGATGTTGGCTATCGTTAGTTTAATCAGCAGCTATTATTCATTATTGGTAATGGAGGAGGATATTTCAAAGCCATGATCCGTGAGAGCCCGATGCAGTCTAGCGCGTGAACCATGTGGCCTGCAGTGGGTCGGCCCCGGTATCGTGTCCAATACCGCTCGTGACGGCCCAGGCAGCAAGGCTGCACCTACAAGCTCTCGATCTATGGGACTTGCTCGAGCTGAGGTCCCAGTCAAGTCGAATAGATGGGAGGGAAGAGACGAAAAATGGGGATGATAAAATCAAACACTTGTTAAACTCATAGCTATAGTAGTAGAACAACCACAACGCAAAGACAGAAAAACAAACTAGTAGCACAGCAAAAATGCCCGGCCCCACGACCCATAATCTAAACTCCAAGGCACTCTGCGCGGCTGCAAGACTAAGCAGGAAACCAGCTCGACTGATGGTCCTGCAGCTGCCCCATCTAAACCACAAGAAGGAAAAACAGAACAAGCACAGCAACCCAATGATCCTCAATGTCTATAGTGTTCCCTCGCCATGCAAAAACTGAACCAGAGAAAAGAAACAAAAAAAAAAAAAAAAAAAGGAAAAAAGAAAGAAAAAAAGGCGAAGCAAAGGGAAAAAAAGAAATGAAACCAAAAATAAAAATAAAACCCAGACTCCTCTTATCCGTATCCGTCCGTTACATGTATCCAGTCATGCTCATAATGTTTCCGCTGAAAAAAAGAAAGAAAAAAGTATTCAAACATCGACCCCGGAGAAAAGCACCGATTGAAGGTGACTGGAGATAAGATTAGCTTTGGCTCGTACCAAGGAACCCGTTCGAAGCTTCTCACCTCAATTATTTCACGTGCTGGCAGTTGGAGCAAACAACGTGGTTGCAAATCACACATCGGGGTTGCATGTTGTAGGTTTTTGGGCCATCCTGGCAGTTGCAGCAGATGTACAGAAAGGTGCTGCCGTGCATTCTGGCACCCTCGGTGCTGTAGCTGGCGAGGTTGGAAGTAGGGCGATCGTGAATGTCCCCGCCAAATAACGAGGGCTGTGGGATGGAAGAGCCGTGCTTGATGACCGGTGATGAGCCCTTCAATGGGCTGGACGAGAGCTCGTGGTTGTGTACTGGAGCGGGATACGGAGACATGGCGTTGCACATGTGTAGACCGTGGTGCGAGTGCATGTCTTCGGACGATGAGTTGCCAGTGCGAGGAGAGCCACAGCGCATGCAGGATTTGTGAAGCTCAACGCTGTGAGGGCCGAAGTTGCAGGATTCACAGTTCCAGTGAGAAGACATGGTTGCGGTTGAGAAAGTTTTGGAAGTGCGAGATTGATCGAGGTCCAGGTTGGCGTTTGGTGATCGAAGGCTTGAAGCAGAGGAGAGAGACAGTACTATTATATCGAACGATCAAAGATGAGAGAAGAGTGGTCTGTAGATCGAAGAGTGTCAAGATTGTAGAGATTGTGGTTGAAGTCTGGATGTCAAAGAGGTGTCGAGGCTTTTATAAAAACGAGATGAGGGCATTGTAGCAAGCACTATGATTCAGAGACAAGGCACCCTCCCAAGGGCTAAGTGTGGCTTGAGAGTAGGCAAAAAGCCCTGTGCCCCCCAATCGGGCTAAACCGTCTAATCGTAGTCATCCTTTAAGGTGATCTCTCTTCAAGAAACGGGGCGGTTTGAGAAGTAGATCATACCTCACGAGTCTGTGGCTTGGCGGGCTTATTGCCCTGGCCCTGAGGGGTCCGAAATTGGTCGTCTAGATCGTCCCTCATTCCCCATAGTAGGGGCCTCTGAATCATATTGCTGCTGCATCTTAGTAGTATCACCGCTAGAACATGCACGTATGTTGACTCAAGGCCGTTGGATGGGTCCTCGAACTGGCGGGTTTGACAAGGCTTGGACGCTCGTTTTGGGCCCAGGATGCCTTTGGTTCCCGCCATTTTGCCCTTGACGACCTACTATTGTTTTGCCTTTGCCTTTTTATTATTATTATTCTTTGTTTATTTTTAATTAAAATAACATAAAATAAATCTGGAAAGCCAAATAAAAGAAAAGAAAAAACAAAATCGAATAAAATCATTTTTAATTCCCCTTTTGTCACATCTGTCCCTTTTTTTTTTTAATTTCTTATTTTTAAAGATATTTTTTTAATGATTATATTAGTTTACGAGTCCGATTACCGTCCCTGCCTGGTAGAACGCCTGAATGATTGGAGCAGCGACTGCTCACTAGCCCTCGAACCGACTAACAGTCGATGCTTTGGTGTCTCCACCCACGTAAAATCGTTCCATTTTTCCCAGGCTTTCAGGCAACGATAGCAGCTGATACTAGGCCCCCTGATGCGTTGGAACTTTTGGTCGCGGCCGGTCAGAGCTCGAGAACCTTCTGCTTCTGACCGTTACTTTGGCGTGGATTTGGCAGCGCAGTCGTCATGTAGTTAGACGGTCTGTCGGTCTGCGAGAATACGACTAAGCAGGCAGCAACAGGGATGCCTGCGCCCTCCAGGTTCGGTCGGTCACCTGCGCATGAGGCTCTTCGATTCCGATGACTGTTCGATCGTTTAGCGGTTGATTCTTTGTTTCTGTGCTGCCGCTTATCCCGATCCCTCTTTTTCCCTAGAAAATATCCCGTGGAGACCAAAAAAAAAAAATGTCACCATAATCACTATCCATAATCAAATAAAAAAAGCCTGCCTGAGAGATCAGGTAAGCGCCGGCCTACTTGTCCCCATCACCAACAGCGCTTATGATCGATGTATTACCACCATTACTAAATCGTTTTCTCGTCCTTTCTGTCCCTCAAGGGCGACATTACGCGGACCTGACAGGACGTTAGACCGGACCCCCCTCGTGTCCTGGCCCTCCGGGGCGGGAACATTACACTCAGTAGCTTGACAGTATAAAGTTGTTTCATTCTAATTAAAGACAATATTTACCATTGGGGGCCGTCTGAGTATTCAGCTGCGTCCAACTCACTCGATCACACGATAAACCTAATTCCGTCTCGAAGTTCGCCTAAGTTGGCAGACCCATGCCGACTTGTTTTCAAGTGCGACTAGGCAAGCGCACCAAAGCTCCGCAAAGGGGAAACTCGGATGTTGAAGCTAGACCCATCATCCACGCGCTGATGTCGTGGAATCCGACAGGGAAGTGCATCCTAAGCTAGGGGAGGCAGACATGGCATTCCTGCAACTGCCAGGGAGGCATTGAGTAAAATCAATTAGGAAACCAAAATTAAAAAAATAATAAAAAACAAAAGTCCGGCGGATTCGGCACATGGCGACTAATGGGGTAATCTCCAATGGGGATGACGCCAAAAATATCTCCATCCAAGTCTCGGGATGAGGATGGTTACCTTTGAGTTTACCTTTGTCTCAGTCGAGAGGACGGAGATCCTCGAACATCCTCCGTACGGCGCCAACCGAACCAACCGAACCAACAGAGAAGAATACAATGGTCGACCGCCGTCACGTGCCCTACGTCATCCTCGGGTTTGTCCTGTTTGTCCTGTTTGTCCTGTTTGCCGGCCTGTCACGTTCCTGGTTCGACTGACTGCAACATCGTTGCCTCATCATCGTCACCTCGTTCCAGGCAGACATCATCTAGATCGGGCCTGGGCCTAATCCTATAATCCTTCGTCACGGTGGATGTACATAATTACCGGTTTCAACTAATATGGACGCGGCCGGTTCCTTCGTCAGCTGATCTTCTCCTACCTGCCCCCTCAATGCGGAGATAGGCGCAAGTCTCCTCCGACCTCCATCTCATGGCGCGCCCGGACAGGCGCGTGAATTTAGCAATCGCTAGAATTATTCCGGTGATCTTGCTGGGTGCAGTGATCTATGCCTGCTATGCTATCACCAAACCACTATGCAGTGAGTCCCTCCCCGACCTGCCCTCCTTTTCTCTCGGTTCCCTATCTAAAGCAAGCTCTTCACATCCAGTCGACTATCTCATTCATCCTCGTCCGAAATATAATCGTCGCCCTCGATCTGGCGCTGGTGTCGCCATCATCGTGATCTTTTACGTGCTTTTATTTCCGGTCGTCGCGACATACATTCGACTCCTATACAATGTCATCTGGAACCCTGGGTTACTGCCTCGGAACTCCCCACCTGCTGAAATTTCGCAAAACACCGAACGACCTCATAGCAATCGACGCGGTAGCCACGGGAGGAGGCGGAGCCATGGACAAACTCGGACGACCGAGAAATCCGAAGGGGCCGAAGCCGACGTTGAACAGGGGATGGAGTACAATGCCAGCAGTCCTGCGTTCCAGATAGACCCAGCGGGGCTGGAGAAATTTTACACCAAAGATGCTTTCATCTGCCAGCCGGATGGACGGCCCTTATATTGCTCTACGTGTTGCAGCTATAAACCAGACCGCGCGCATCATTGTCGAGAGGTAGACCGGTGTGTCCGGAAGATGGATCACTTCTGCCCATGGTGAGTCGCATCTGATCATTCAGTGACCAACTAAAACTGACAATTCAAAGGGTTGGAGGTGTCGTCTCGGAAACATCATTCAAATTCTTCATTCAATTCGTCTTTTACACTATGGTTTTTTGCCTGTTTTGTTTAATCGTTTGCGCGTACTTTGTCGCTGAATTAAAACGAGACGTGAGCTTGTTCTTCCTTGCATGCAGTTCCTGCATCTGTACTAACATGGAATTTTACAGAGCGGCTCTGTCAATCCCCACTGGGCTGTTGGTATCGGATTGTAAGTCACGCGGCATGGTTCTTGTTACCATGTACCATGTCTGGTTTACGCTGTTGCTGACTGCCTATAGGAGTGGCCTTTTTGGACTATTCACTTTTGGAATGACCTTAAGCTCCTTACAGCTGGCCATGTTTAACCTCTCGACAATCGAGAACATCAACCGCCAATCAGTCGTCTGGACCCTTGCCATCCGCGTGCCCAACCACGTCCTGGCCAAATTCAATCCGGACACGCAATGGGCTCCGACATTTCGCACTATCACCTATCCTCTTCCACCCATGCCTCCTCCTAATCTACAACCCGGCGCAGAATACCAACACTTCCCGCCGCCTGCAGAGCAGCACGTCTTCGCCATTCTTCAAACCCTACCGGGCGAAAATCCCTTCGACCTCGGCAGTCCCTTCAAAAACCTTCAACAGATAATGGGCTTCTCACTATTCGACTGGATCCTCCCTCTTAAGCACAGTCCTTGTGCAGACCACAACGACCAAGAGACCACCTTTGCATTTGGCCCTGTGGTTTCGAGACTCAAACTGGACGCGGGTCTCGAATCTTCTGTCGAGACAGAGGACGAGTCAGCAGATCGAAAATCGTCGAAAAATAAACGAAAACGACGAAAGCATAGACGTCGGGACTAATGCACTACGATTTATTTCGTTTTTGTTTACTTCAAAAAGCTCTTTGGAAATCCCTTCATTGCCATTATCACCTCACCTACTCTATCCATCACAGGCAAAAGGACTTGACTATGGGGGGATTTTCGTCCCGGTCCCCTTTCCACCATTCTTGGGTACTGTTTTGAGAAACTTAATTCTTTATTTTATTATATTTTTTTTGTTTACTATTGGGAGTTATATTTATAATATGGTTAGGTTACATCCCCTGGTTGGAAGTTAATAGACAAGTTTTCATCTTTTACGTTAATATTAGTCTAGTAAACCAATTCGATATATTAAGAGCCATAGATGCATCTTAGGATTTTTTCAACAAACTCGTAACCCATTGTTGCTGTCATTTGTATGCAGCAGGATAAAGTAATTTTTATATATATTTGCGCAGTACCGCAATAATATGTATCCTGAATATTCTCAGGGTGACAGACCACAATCTGCTCGAATAATCTATATATTTACACGGTATAACACATAAACGGACTCTCTTCTGATTATACAAGACAACTTCTATTCCAGAAACCCATCCGAACCGTCCACCAACGGAGCACATTCAACCGCTCGATTGTCCGAAACGAACGCGCATCGAAATTTATCTTGTCTAGTATTGATAAGTCACGCTCTACTCTTCTGCCTCTACTTCTCGAAGAAGAAGCTTGCTCACCAAAGCTCAATCAGCTGAAGATCAAATAGATAGACCAAAAAATAGATGTACATACATTCCAATCGTAAATCGTCTCAAAGATCAAGGTGAGAGGTACATCAAGATGAAATCATGAGAACACATAGGAATAAAAATACAAATAAGAAAGAAACGAACTAATAAAGCAGAGTATAAAAACCGGAATGAGAGCGGACAAGCCATCGCGATATCCACTCTCTTCTAGAGAACACGAGCAAAAAGTTGGAGAACAATGGTATCAAGACACAGGATGAGAAGGCAAGGAAAAGATCTATCAAACCAAAAGGCCAGTAAAAAATGGCCTTGCGAGAATGTGAAAAAAAAGGCGGAATAAACATCATGAGTTAAAATGGATACAAGGGAGCCAGGCGCAACCAGGAGAAAGAAGAATGGAGGGGAATCGAATACCCGCAGACTCGGGGCAAGGGAGGGAAGATAGATCAGAGAACCCGAGGGGTAGATAATAGGCGTGTTTTGGAGCTTGTTTCGGGTTGAACATCCACTCTCCTGTAATTATGCATGGAAGCGAGTGTGTGGATACAGCTCATCGTCTCACGGTGCGACAGTCCGGGCATTGTCTGTGACCACAGACCGTGCACTTCCCTGAGTTCAAAGCCGGATTGTTTTCATTTCTGCATGAGCAACAAAACCACCAGCCGACCATTGAGGGCCGAGCCGAGTCTTGGGGGTCCTGACGGGAGATTTGCGAGATCTGAGACATGGTGTGCGTGTCGAGACGGCGCTTTGACAGAAGACAGGAGGCGAGGTTATGTGGAGTATCAGATGCTGGAATTACCAGTACAGCCCGGTAGGTCTAGGAGTGGAGAGTTTCAATGGATAGATAGGCTTGTGTGTATCAAATTTGAATCAGATCAATCTAGTGGTAGGCACACCCGTTGATTGAATCACAATTATCTAGAGAATGAACAGCCAGATAGATGAACCGTAAGATCAAAAGTAAAATGATTCCACTTGAATCGTTTTATACTCTACTATCTTGGCAAGAGGAGAATGTTGTCCCCTATGTGCCCCGGATCAATTTCACAGTGGGCGATGAAGGGCACAGGGAATAGGGTCTGCTACCCATTTTGCCCTTACTATGGTACACTGGTGATGCAAGTTGCCCAAGCTCGTATAAGAGGGGGGAAACGGTCGATGCCGAGAAAATTCATTTTTGATGTGGCTAAGCCAGAATTGCGCGAACCAATGATGTATGTGAGCATCAAGTCAAAAAAGAGTTTTGCGGGCGAGAAGCCATGGCTTTGGGGTGACGCAGAATATTGGCCTGTCCCGCAATAAAGTATGAGCTAAGCCAGGGGTAAAGGGCTTCTTTGCATCCGTGGCAGTGACTGGTATATCCCCAGAGTTGGGAACCATATCCTCGAGGATGAATCATTGCTTGCACGTGCACTACGCATATGCAGCAAATGCCCATTGCCCGGTTTGAGCCCTAGTGGGAACCGGGCTGTGTCTTTGTCACTGACCGAATCGTTCACTAGATTCATAGATTATGACAGGGGCAATTCCAGGAATGAAGTCATTTCGGGTTAAGGGTGCAATATGGCCAGATCAAGGAGAAATTATCTCAATGAACTAACCTTTCTGTAGCTCTTGGAAGCATGTGAATAAAATGGGACTTGCGAGATACCCGCAAGAAACCGCAAGGTATCAATGCTGGGAATATCGAATTCGATTCTTCCGGCGAAGTCCGTATCATCAGCATGGTCCTGTAGTCCTTGCCGTGGAATCAGGCAGACGCTATGAAGAATTGTAATTCCCCAAACAACATTTAGGACGTTTCATGGCGATTCCCATGCTAATTCAAGATTGCTCAAGATGATACAGGAGCCGGCTCAGCAATGTGCCTTGATTGCACTAAGCGTCTCCAAGATGAGCGATAAATGAGCACCTCGGTTAGGAGACGAGGTCTTTTGCCCATGGAGAGGGGGTTGAGGTTAAAGGGAAAAAATCCCGCAACCCCTTTCTGAAGTGCAATGCATGACGGCCAGAGTCGCATGAGTGATGTAGACAAGGTGGGGTGACGAGAGACGCAAGGGGCCTTTGAGATCCAACATCGTCGATCTTTGTTTCAAGGCGACCTTTAGGGCCCGAGACTGTTTTGCCTATCATTCTGGAAGGAAAATGAAATGGGGCAATTGTTCTCCACTACCAATCAGACGCCTGGCCATGGGGCAAAGTGTGCCCGACTGCCCTCGGTGTATGTATCGGGCGAGGCAAATCACCTCCACGTTCCAGTTGGTCGGGCGGCCAGAAACCAGTTTCTGGGTTCTTTGAGGGAAGAATCACAGGGCATCCATCGCCCTTTCAACGAAGACCTTGGATGACATGTCAGGATCGTAGCTTGGTACTCCGTAGATCGACGGGGGTTGGCGGGTGTCTGCATGCGATCATGCACTTACTGCTCCTAGGGAGGACTTCTAGTCTTCTAGAAGATCCCAACCCCGCTGGTGGTGTGCGGGTTCCTTAATTTTACTCGAGCTGGATGTTGGATCCAGTCCAAGCCGCCGGGAGAATGCCGAGGGTAAGATATTCGTTCAACGGGATTGGATGATGTCATGGTCTCAGATTCCACACCCCCACCGGCATTGTTCCCAAAGTCCAAACCTGACGCCGAAGGTGGATCCGGAAGACCGGGTACTTTGCCCCTTAGGCCTTGGATAGCCGGAGCTCAGCCTTTTTTGTCCGGACCAGTGACAACGGACGAGATGGCAAGCGAAGAGAATCGGATGGGAAGTCGACGCTACATCATTGCCCCAAACATTATTACAAAGCGGCCACTAGCATGAAGTGGAGGAGCGGTGGAGACCGACGCGGTTTGCAGGAAGCCCGTCAGCCGTGGGATGGCTGGTTAGCGTTGGGCAGAAGAGCGACGCTAGACCGGAACGAGGGGGCAAACCAAACACCGGGGGGAGCCTCGTGATGCTGGGAATGCGAGTCAAAAGAAGCTCGGGATGGTGGCAGGCATCCGAATGGATGGGATGAAGAGCAGCGATTGAGTTGCGGCTTCGACGAGAGACACGAGGGGGCGTGACTGCGGGGGTCACCTGATCATCCATCAGTACTCCGAAAAACACTCCGTCGCAGCCCGTGGATACCTCAGGACAAGGACTCGGGACTCGGCTCCAGACGGTTGTCGTCCAGACGGAGACCATCCATGGTTGGCAGTCCTCAACCCAGTATAATCGCAGTCAACCAAAAGTCCAAAACCCCTATACTCCGTACCCACCGTCCACCTCATCCAACCTTCGGCCGACCAGCTCGGGCAATTCATGAATCAATCGACGGAGCCCTACTGGGGCGGACGTGTCTCCCTTGGGCGCTGATTGGACAGGACGCCGTGATTATTGCCTCTTTCCACTCTGTTCTCCGCCGCTCTTTGTCATCCGTCTTTCGTCACTGAGAAAAGCCGTTGTTGCAGTTGCGAGTTTCATCCATCCAGATTTCAATGTTCAATTAGACTCCTTGTCCTCCAAAGCTTCGTGTCTCTCATCTCTTGACCCTCCGTCCCCTGAAATCCACCCTCTCATCTCCGATCTCTCGAGTCTGGAGCTTCTTAAATCGCTGCTCCCCTCATCGCTCCGTCGGTCGGCCTGTAGGATCAGGCATCCTTTCTCGCGGCGTTCAATTCCCTTTTCATCTTTGCCCCTCAAGTCTATTTTTATTTGGTTTCACTTTTCGCCTTCGTCATTCTGGCCTGGTGCCCGACGAACATCCCCAGACTGCAGTTTTCTTTTTTATTCTTATTTTTGTATTTTCTATTCCCCTCCCCTTTTCCTTTGGGTGAAATCTTCTGGGCCCCTACTTTTTTTTTTTTTTTTTTACCCACTCCATCCTTCCGGACATATCACCGGGCACCCTCTCCATCTGCCATCTTATCTTCCTTGGAAACCCGCCTGTACTGTCAGTGACCTCCTCGCCGCATCTTATCGCAATACTGCTCAACGAAACGTTGCGCATCAATTCGATCGGAACCCGTGCTTAATACCCTTGCCGTCAACAAGTAAGGGTTCGGGATGGGCTCGGCTGCACGTTACCGACCCATGTCTCCAAGTGGTTCGCGTATGATGGATCCCATGCGAGCTTCCACCGGCACGGTGCAGCTCAGCTCCTCTTACGATGCGCCTACCAGCCGCCATGGATATCCGAGTTACCCTTCCGATGTCCCTTATATGAACGCCTACGAGCCCCGGCTGGCAAGAGAACCGAGGTTGGAAGCCCAACCGGTGTCGTCCAAGGCCTATCGTGACTCCGGTCACTCTACCAAGTTGAGAACTGAGTACGCTATTCGTCCGAGACAACGCAGCAGCACCACCTCCGTCGCAGACATCCACTACACTCCGGCCAGGCTGGATGCGCCCGTCTCGAGAACCTCTCCGGTAGTCATGTCCGATTATCGCCGTTCTCCCAGCCCTCTTCACACTCAGGATCGCTATCTGGTCCCCGCGTCTTCTCCCCGACAGCATCGACGTCATCCCCTCTCGCATACGGATTATGCTAGCGATACTGGGCGGTTGGACCCGAACGAACGGGCGATCAGAGCTCGAATGGCTCACGGTGCCTATCGTGGCTATGAACCGAATGACAGATGGCGATATCCACCCACTGGAGGCCTTCGAAAGGGCGAGGATATCGATGATTATGACGCCTACTCCTATACCAACCCTCGTGAGCAGTTTGAAAAGGATTCCGCTGCGAGGCTGCGTCACGACCGGCCCGCATACCGCAGGGATCGACCCTTGAGTCTGACTGGGATTGACGATCCTCAATTGCTTCCCAGGAAAGAGCCTCGGGCCCTGGGACCCCCTCCCTCTCAAAGAGGGTTCGACAAACTTGCTCCCGATAGGCGCATTCGACACTCTGCCCAGAGCTCTGTTGGCAGCGACGTTGAACTGTCGAGGCCACGCCGACGGTCGCGCCACCGAGCCCCGGTCTCCTTGCACCAGGAACATGATGAAGGATACTCTTCTTACAGAGATGATTACGAGGAAGGTCACCGCCGTCACCGCCGTCATAGAAGACCGGACGACGATCGAAGCAGCCGTCAATCATATGATGACCATTCGCCCCGGGTTCCTTCCAGCAAAGATTCGGCGGTTTCGGGGGCCGGGACTGGCCTGGGAACGGCAGTCCTGGCCAGTGGATATTCAGACGACTTTGACTATGATCCCTCCCCGCGGACTGACCGCCATCCTCGTGAGATTGATGACCGGGCGCACAGGCGTCGCAGTCGATCTCGCAGACCGTCTCGGCGCCGCGTGGAGACCGATTCGGATGCGTACTCGTCCGATGAAGACCTGAAAAAATACCGGCGAGAGCCATCGGCGCGTCGAAAGCCAAGTTCAGAAACCTCGGGCAGTAGTAGTGACCGACATTCGCCGTACTTGACGGTCGACCATCCGCGACGACGACGATCGCATTCGCGTCATCGCAAACTGGAAGCTCCTTCCGCACACGAATCTAGCTCCAAAGAGTTTCCCGGCCGCCAGGATGATCCCAAGAGGCCTGAATCTACGACGTCGAAGGAAACAGACGCTCCGCCCAAGGGAATACTAAAACGTCCCAAGGAGAAATTCCCTGAAGAGCCTAATCCGGTCAGAGAAGGTGTAGCGCCCTTGAAAGACGCCCACAAGAAGGGAATCCCTCCTGGTGCCCGATGGACCAAGGTTGATCGTCGGTTGGTCAACCCTGCAGCTTTGGAAGCGGGACAAGAACGATTTGAAGAACGATCGGACTATGTCATTGTCTTACGCGTCTTGAGTAAAGAAGAAATTCAGGCGTATGCGGTCAAGACCCAGGAGATTCGCGGTATGTTCTCCCCAACCCTCCCCCCATCTCCTAGGAGCAAACATTTGAGGGACCAAGCAGATGCTAATTGGCACAGATGCCCGTTACCACGAGTATGTCCGTGAGCGCCGCCAGCGTCGTGAGGAGGATCGCCGACGAGGGCGCAAAGTGGATGATTTCTCTAGTGACGACGAAGAGGACGATGCCGATTCTCCGTTAGCTATCGAGGGCCCGGCTGAGCCGAAATCTACCTCTCGAGCATCAAACACGGGAGTAGAGCCCGCCAAAGCGGCGGCATGAGCCATGATGTGTGAATTATTACCCATGTTATTATTATTTGCTTTTTGCTTTTTTTCTCTTTTTCCTTTCTTTTCTTTTCTGTCTTTCTCTTTCTCTACTGTGTCAGTGACTCAGTACTATCCTGTACATGTGATACCCCACAAACAATGAGGTCAATCGTCAGGAAAGAGCCAGTTGAATGTATGTACAATCAGGGGGGGAGCAGATGACTTTGGGGCGGGAATACCCAGATGCGTTGTTGATATCGATATCCAATTGAGCAATGAACCACTTCAGCAAACAATGGCTGGACCTCTTATGTGCGAGATTGCCCGGGTGCAGGCTACATCACCGTATACTTTAAACTGGATGAAGGATAGCAAACAAACCTCCAAGGGAACCACAGATTCCAATGAACCGGAATCACGGAGGCAAAAGAAAAAAACAAAAACGAAAAAAAAAAGAGGAAAAGGCAAATGGAAACGAGGAGGTTGGTCTCCTGACAGAGAAAGGTTACACCATTCAGACCCTGCTGGTCACTTGACTGGCTGATCTGATAGGAAGCGAAGGCAAAAAAAGAAGAAAAGAAGAAAAAAAAAAAGCATACCATCAAAACAGTTTCAAGCATGCCTTGTTCACGGTGTTGTCAAGGGCTTTCTGTGCAACATTGGACCAAATTGGGTATGCCTACAGAGCGCCTAGTGACTTGTTGTCATTCCTATTGCGCGTGCTCATTTCATTCAGCACCGATGCTTTCCATCCAGCACCACGCAGGACCGAACCATATTGTGATGGAGATTTGTCACTTAGCAAGGCTGTCTTCAAACCCCGAAAGGATAAATAAATAAAACAAAATAAAAGGGAAAGGAAAAAAGAAAAATAGAAATAATCTCAAACCGAACGAAATCAGAACCCCCCCATCTCTTCCATCTTTCTCCCGTACTACCATCCGTCCCAAAATTTAGGGATTCTTGAATCTGGCCCGATAGTAGGACCAGAACCATACTCCGTAATCAAAACCGCAGCGTAATAATCCCCAGGACTTTTTTTTTATTTATTTTAATTTTTATTTTTGGGCCCGTGTTTTAAGTAGGTGGTGCTGCGAAAAGTCTCGATTGTCCGAATTCCACCGACGCGATTCGATTCATAATCATGACGGACTTGTCCTTCACCAACATGCACCGTGATTTGTCCTGGGCCGCTGTCGCTAAGGGAAATCCCCAGCCTACGGGCTTAGAGAAAAATGTACTTGTTATCCCGCAGAGTCGTATCGAGGAGATTATCTGGACCTTCGTCGTCCTGGCTTGGCCCGGCACAGCAGCAGGGATTCCCATAGGCATATCTTGACGCAACTCTCCCGCGGCGGAGGCGGATGAACTCCGTTGCCATGTTTTATCCAACGCACGTCTAAAGCAGCAGGGAATCGACGGGAGAGCATGGGTCCCTTGATCCTTTCTTTCATCTATTAACCGTTTTTTTTTTTTTTTTTTCCCTTGCCAGAAATTACTGCATACATGCGAATAGTGTTTAGTCCGGAGGTATGGAGTGTTTGTTTTTCTTATCATCAGTGCATTCTATTCCTAACAATCAGGGCAGTAATAACCACAGTAATAATAAGATGAGGTATAATCCCGCCTCGCGGACAGGGTAGGACAAGAGCTTTGTTTTGGTTGTATTTGGTTTCCGGACAGACTTGTCCATCGACCTCGTGGATTTCCCTCTCCTCCCAGATGCATTTTATTTGATCCTCGTTCTAGCAGGCTCGTATACTAACATTTTTTCCCTCTATAAATTGAAATCGAGATCGAATAATCAAATAACGATATAATGATAGTAATAAAAAAAACCAAGTAACAATCCACCCCCAATTAGCCGCTAATCCCAAGGCGAAATCCGGCCGAAAGAGAGAGAAAAAAAATAAAATAGAAAGTATCCGCGGAGATCTGGACTGGATGCCATCCACCTACTTCATCGTCACCTCTTCTCCTCCATAACTACCGACCTACCATCTCGGAGCAAGTAGGTACTGCCCGCCGTGCACCTGTAATAATAAGCACAGAAACCAAATGGAACTTACGAGCGACCTTTCTTAACCTCCGAGCATTCGTAGCGAAAGGGAAGAAAGGAAGAAAAAAAAAGAAAAAGAGAAAGAGACCAGAAAAAAAAAAAAAAAAAAAGGTTCCAAGACCGCTAGTTTCCCGGTATGACGAAAAGCGGCCGCTATTCTCCCCCAATCATCGACGGTAGTTTGCGACGATGGGTGTTGGATTTCATTCCTTTCGGGTTCTCGGAAGGAATACATACTAAGTCGTTACCCAGTTTTTTATTTCTGTTTTTATTTCTTTTTTATTATTGTTGTTGTTTTTTTTTTTTTTTTTTTTTTTTTTTTTTTTTTTTTTGGCTCGGTCAGCTCAATTCAGGTAAGGGTATTTACGAAGACGCGTCGGGAAATACATCCACCTACGACATAGTACTTCGGACAGAGTACACAACGACAATGATCTTGTTGACTAGGATGAATGGACAGGTAGATGCTAGCTATCGCTGAGGATAGATGCGACAAAGAAGTGTCGCGTACCGGTAAGTATGCAGAATAGAGAACTGTGGATGTATCGACCCGGTCAATAGACGGATAAAATAGCATGTCCATGCTCCAAGTCCTCGAAGAAAAGCGCGTTATCGCCTACCCACCACCGTACTACATGGGTAATGGATGTACTCCGAGGTAGCACACGTTATACTACGTTGATACGATGCCGATCTGCTGTGACCACATTTTCTGCACCGTGTAGACTGTGGGCATTTTGAACACAATACGTAGATAGACCCTACATCCCGTGGCGAATGTGCACGGCATTAGACTTTCTGATGAGTTCATCATGCCTATTCTTTTTACATATTTCCACTTTTCGATCCCGCTAAAAGAGAGGTATGCATAGGTACTCCGATGGAAGCAGGATATACGCAGTACGGAGTCCGGCAGTGCATAAAATACCATTCGGTCGGAAGGTGCAGTACCATACACATACAAAGTAGAATAAGCAAAATCGCCGAGGCTTGGTGCTCCGGAGGGAGATTGCTTGCTTGCTGTTTTCATACAAAATATGGAGGTCGCGGCAGTCCAGACCAGCTTCTAGACTTCCGAAAATTGAAAGCCGTTTACCAAATAAGTCCTACCTACTCCGTACATACCGCGTAGTAGGTAGTGACTCCGTAGTGGGCAAGAAAAAATGTGCACGGTAATTTAAAACAGCGCCTCGGGTCGCCCGCAATCCACTATTGGAGAGGGCCGATAATCACCCGCTGTTAGTTCAGGTTGGTTGTGTCAGTGCTTGGGAAATAAACGAACGTAGACATGGCTTTAATCCAGACTTAATCTATTTGACTTCCCTTTTTTTTTTTTTTTTTTCTCCGAATGTCCGGTGCTGCCACTGGCAGTCGCCCACTTGCTGGACCTTCCATACGTCATTTTGAAACGATCAAAAGACAGATACGCCGTAGATGATCGATTGATAGGTAGGCAATTCAAGCAGAAAGACAGGTTTCGGGCCCTCCTTTAGGTTTTCTGCCACCTTGACCTTGCATAAGCATCACCGTAAGGATTAAGGAAAAGGGAAAAGAAGGTTAGTACCAACGTCCCTTCATGCAGAGAGGAAGTGATCAGTCGCCTCTCTTCTGCTTCAAGGAGGAAGGTATTCTCGGTATTGATAACGGTATCGACATGACCGGTGCAGCGAGTCAGTTATATTAAGACCGGCAGCCCCCTATGTAAGTCTTGCGCATGTGTACTACCTGTGTGCCGCCAGCTGGTGCGTGATATCTGCAGTCGCACGACCTAGTTTCTCATTCTCAGAAAAATCCCCTTTCCCCCAAATTGGAGACCGGCTGGCCGTTGTTTCTGCTGCCCCTCCGTGCGTGCGGATTCGAGGACGTTGGTAGGCTTGGCGGTTATCAGCTGGAGAACTTCAGTCTAGTGCCACCATTAGTAAGAGAAAAAACAAAACCCTCCATTCTTCCTACCCCATCTGTCATTCCCTCTACGGTAAAAAGTCCCCTCCATATTTCCTCGGCGTCGGATGGTGGGGCCGGAGTGCCGGCTGGCTTTTAGTGCTTGCCCTAGGGCTCAGATCACATGTTCTCCGAATGCTAAAATCTGACTGGTGATTGGAAGGAATGGCTGAGTATTCTTAGGTCACGTAGGGTCTGCCGAAGAGAAAAGCTGTTCGAAGTTCCTGGGCCAAGTAGGGTAGTATTCGGTTTTAGTGAGCTGAGGACGGTCCCAACAAGATAAACCTGTCGGCGGGCGGAGAGTCGGGATACCCAAGTAGGTAAGTAGTTGAATGTTCCAAGGTTGGCCTACGTATACCTACTTCACTTAGTCGTAAGATTTCCCTCCCCTCCCAAGGCAACTTGAGGCAATCTACCCAGCCATGGATGCGACGTGATTGGTGGCGAAGCAAGCAAATTCGCATTGCCCAATCCTCATTCGGCGAATTCCGTAACGGAGAGTGACAGCAGCACGAATAATTGTGACCAAATGACCGTCGCGTATCTGGTCGTACTCGACCGAAGCTAAGGTGGTCTAACGGACCTTAGTAGTTGCTACCGGCGGTGCTAACAGCTAAACTGCTACTCCGTAGTGATGGGGTTTGACCGGGTAACCCGGCGCGCACCTATTTTTCCCTGCCGCTAAGGCAAACTTGGTAAGCGGCTCTTTGGCCCGTGTTCCAATTCCTGGCCTGGGACTGGATCGGCTCCAGTGCGGAGAAAAATGCCCCTCCTCGGGCGTCTTTTTTATTTTTATTTTTTTTTCTCTCTCCCCTTCGGTCTTTGGATCACGATGGGGGTGTGGTTGGCGATTATTGGGTTCGGCCCCGGGGACCTCTAGCTGCCTTGGTGTGTGTAAGGTAGTATATGGGATGTAATTATAATATCGGTTGGTCATGAGCCTCTCCTGCTTGGTAGCTCGTTGAGATGATCTGATTGTTTCGAGTATAGATCGTCATGCGATAGAATCGTCGTCTTGACTCGCAGCACTCGTAGACTAGGGAGGATGTGGTAACTGGTGAGTTGTAAAAGTACGAAGTGCTGAGGTGCTCCTGCGTAGAGGACAAGTAAACAGTGAAACTAGCAGCGGGAACGTGAGTAGTCCCGGTTCTGGCTTGTGGAGAGTGCTCCGTACAGCTGCTGGGTGCTAACCCGCCTGTGCACTGTGGTACAAGTGGAGATTGATCAAGACCCAAGAACATCTATTAGATCATTAGTCGTGTGCTTCCACGATGGGGTCGACCTTAATCGACCCGAGTCTCGACCGTCCAGCACTGACAAAGGACGCAGAGTAAACCAACCCCTTGCGAGCGATCATACCTAATAATCTCCGACCGAGAGATAGAGACGGTAACTCGCCAGACAATTATCTTCTTTACGGAGTAGCTTCAATAACGACGCGTTTTAGTACCATGGGTTCAGAGATTCCAAATCAAGTTCCATGGTTGGCAGATGACAAGAGTCAGTCGATGGCTGAAATTAAAAACGGGAGAAAAAAGAAAATAAAAACGCACATTCTTTGTCTACGAACCGTTGGGACGCTCAAGGCGTTCTTCCGTCGAAAGTTCGGGCGAAACGACCAAAAGGAAAGAGCAGCCACTGGTATCAGACGGGCTATTTCGTTTTCCACTTAGCGGCGGCCGCTCTCCTGCCAAGACGGCCAAGACGATCAAGATTTCTCCTGGACTCTCTCAGCGATGGGATGTTGGACAATTTGCATTTGCTTACGGAACATTTTAGTTTCGCGGATGTGGTTGGTGTGCGTCCATCTTTTTTTCCGCTGCCCACCACCCCCTCCCTCTCTTAGACTCGTAGACTCTCAGCCCGTAATCGGTACGACGCTGCGTTGAAGGCCTTAGAATCCGTCTTCAAGGTGACTCGAGTTGAGTTGGTCTTGGTGATAGACCCACCCGCCCATATTACACAACGGTCAAATTACGATAATCACTGCCCTTAGTAGAGAACGCTCACAGCCTATCGGCCAGTCTCGCCGACTCGGTAGGTTAGCGTTTAGTTCATTCTTGGGCTGTGTTTGGATGTGCAGTAGTAGCTGATGATGAGGATGAGCATGCTGTTATTATTACTGTGGCGCAACTGGAGTATAATGAGAGTGGAGCCAACTGCGGGGCAGTCAACTCCATAGTACAACGCTGGCCCCGATTATCTCGAGGATGGCTTGGCTGGAGATCTCAAGCCGGAAATACGGCGTCCCGGCGGTTGGTTGTGGTTGATTCGGTCGTTACGATGATGGCATTACATCGACATTACATCGAAAGCGAAGATCTGCGCTAGAGGAGCTGAGACAAAGAAAACGTACCTGGGTGGGTGGAGCGGAAAGAGAGACTGGAATCGGATTTCATTTCTGCTTACATGGCAAGAAGCACATCCTCGCTACAGACAGGGGGTATACGTTCTCGATCCATAGAATCTGTCTATCTACAGCGTAAATACCTACTGAACCGGAAGGTGGCAATCGCGCACGAATGACATGCTCGGCCATCCTCTCTTTATTTTCCGAATGCAATCAGCTCTCGTGACAAGGATTGTTACCATTAATATCGTCGCTAAAGGCCGGGTACTGCCTGATGTGCATGACATCCCCAGCTGCTGATCACCTCCTAAAGCATGCTAGTATCAGAGTGCTGGCACGGGAAAAGTCAAATATATTTAGAATGAAAAAGGCAGAAAGACAAAATGAAAAATGAAAAAAAGAAAAGAAAAAAAAAAAGAAATAAAATAAAATTGAAATTAAACGGCCGCCAGGTACAATAAGATTGGACAAGGAGAGCAACAACTGAAAAGTCTAGTATGTTCGGCTGGGGTTGCATGGACAGATTCTATACTGCGTATTTTTTTTTCTTTTGCCATGAATGCCCGAAACCCGACTGCTCATCCCATGCACGATTGTCAGGACCTCGAACCGAGTCGCAGAACCGAAAAGCAAATCAAAAGGCCAGAACAACGAGACGCTACCGCAAGGCTGTGCCTTAGAGATGCAATTTGCATCGCCCGGTTAGATTTGAAGCTAGTGCCCCCCTGGAACGCGGGTAGGGAGACGGTTAAGTTGCTATTAGGACGAATCATCTACGGAGGTGGTCTCCGTCATCACCATGGGAAAGTCTCCGGGCCAAACCTGACCCTCAAAGTCTCGATCCGACGATATCGAGAGACTTGTCGAGATTGGGCTGATCCGCCCAGGGGTTTGATTCAACCCCCCCTCCCCGGTCGGCCTCGGGACCTTAGCCCCCGTGGTTCGTTTTGAACGGTGTCAATTAGCGTGTTTAAGCCATACCGTTCCACTATTCCCTGTCATGATGAGCGCCTTTTTCTTTTTCTTTTGTTTTTTTGGTCTGGGTCGTTTTTTGGGAACCTTCTTCTTTAATTAAATTTAATTGGTAAGAATAGCACCCCTTAGTTAAATAATTCTAGCGTTATTAATTGCTAACTCTTAGTTAACTAAATATCATTAGCATAGCCATCAACAGGTGGTATTGACTATTGAGAATGGGAGCGGAAATTGGAGTCTGCTGTACTGCGTACGCCGTACGGGAGTAGCCCTCCCAGACATGGCTCCATAGCCCACATCATGACTGCTAGGTAAACTACGGAGTACGGAGTACTGTCTAGTTATCCACTTGATCCGAGAATGTGTATGGATAATAAGATGGTGCCCCCGTACGGCGCCTTCCTTCGCTACCTAATCTATCAGAAGTTAATCGACACGCCTGATCGTTTCCGAGCACGGCCTCCCGAAACAATGGACATAAGGGTCGAGGAGCAATAAGCCTCAACGATTTGGTTATTTGGTTATGCTTTTCATTTTATTCTTATTTTTATTTATAATTCATGGATTGTTTAAATTAGGAGAATCCATGGTCGCGTTCGAAGATTATCGTGCACTAGCGACATTCCATTGAACTCGACCCTCGGTACGAGCCTGCCTGCTATACTGTTCGTGCCTTGTGCTTTTCTTGGAGGGATAAGAGCATGTAACCCTGGACATAATTGACAGGTGCTAAGTGAAAGAAAAATAAATCATGGCTCGGCTCCGTCATTCACTCGCTCGCCGAAGCTTCGCTCGACAATTGCCCCTCTTTTGAGAGTTTCCAAGAGCACGGCTTTCTTTCTCTTTGCGTTCAGTAGTCTCGTACGAGCCTTCTCTTAACTGACGTTCTGTATTTGCTTTTTCCTTTCCTTCCTTTTTTTTTTTAAAAAAAAAAAATTCTCTTCTCCAAAATGGGTCCAAAATCTTCTGGAACTAACCATCTGAGGAAGACCGGTTTCGGATGACAAAGAAGGATAATTAAAACGTACTACTCCGTATGGAGACTGGAACTGGAGGGCTACCTAATTTTCACTAATCCGCTTGTCGTAGAAAGGTACTAAGCGGTGGGAATACTAGATGAAATAACAAAGACAAGTGTGAATGAATCTGAAGGAGACCCGGCCGGTGAGCGGCAAGCGACCGGGGAGGGGGGCGGGGGGCCGTAACGGAATCTAGAGAGGCGGAAGATGGGCAAGTCTTGAACACCCTGCATCGATCACAAAGGGCTTTTTTGGTCGTTACCAATAGTCAGCCCGAAAGGGAGGTCTAACACCGTTGCTTGCGTCCAGCCCAAGTAGGCTAGGGCTCCACCGAGCCGACGCTAAAAGACAGCCAAGGTGGTGGGCAAAGAGGCACACACCACACACACATGGCCTACCTATGATCTCTTCGAGACTTTCTGCTGCTGATGCTAGCTTAAGCGGCGTTGGTTAGGAACTTGCTGAAAAGGGTGCTCCGATTACGACGACCCACGCTAGGCTCGGTTGGGAGTCCTTCCAAATGGTCCCTCTTTTTGCATTGTTACTCCCTGCAATGAAGGAGTATTAGGTACTCCGTAGTATCACCTACGATTGTCGTGGTGCTGGGCTCCGAATTTTGATGGGATTAAATCATTAAACCCATGATGGAGACGTTGAGCTACCTGGAAGTGTCTGAGCTCGACGAAGGTCTGGAGCTCCCCACAGCCCACCTCCAAATTAAAAATGGCCCCTTCCCGGCCGCTGTTTATTTTTGATAGACAGCGGCAGACTGCAATGCGTACATTACAGTACATACTTCGATGCATGGTGACATCGTAAACTCCGGGTGCCTGAGTACGGAGAAATTGCCCACCTATTCTGCCGGGCTCTGTGTGCCTTGTGCCCTTGTCCCATCGCCCTTTTCTCACCACCTCATGCATGAAATGAGCGTCTCAACCTATCAGCAGTACTGGCATGAATGGAGATCTTACGCCGCCAGATATAGTTTCACATGGGAGGGATGCACGAGGGCCATTTCCATGCTTATCTTGAACGGGTAAGGAACGAGGAGGCAGGGAAAGAGTCAAGGGTAACCTTAGAATTTGGAATAATCTCAAACAAAATCGATTTGCGAGTTAAGCAGCAAGAGAGAGGGAGAGGGGGGAAAATGCCTCTGTTGCAGTGTGGCTGGACTGATCTTATCACATTGCCCTTCGTCAGGACTGTCCTCAAGAAGGGCTCGAAGAGTCGAAGCACCACTTTTATCGAGTCCTAAAAGGCCAAGACTCACTAAGCGCTGGAACGAAGGGCTGATTGCACGGAAGGGTGGGTGGAGCCGCCCCATGAGTCCTGACGGGCTGAATGACTTGCCCCATTGAGTCCGGAGTCGAGTCGAGGTCGTGAGCAGGGTGGTGGTTGGGAATCCCGATTTTGCTGGTTTAATCTGGGGCAGCGTCGGATCATCCAGGTTTAGTCCAACCATTATTCAAGGGGGGGAGGGGACGCGATGGTCCATGGGTAGGTAACGTAGGTTCATCATCCTCAGTGTGGTGGACGCACGATGCAGGAGACTAGTCGCCGGGAAGCAGCAGGAGCAAAAGCCCACCAAGATGGCTGTGATTGATCAGCAGTCCTGCGCCCACGGCCTGGGGTTACACAGACATTTTCTTTCCAGTAATGGCATCCGCATGGAGGGAGGGGGGAAGCCAGAGGGGGGTGGTTGAATCATCCGGCCGGACACCGTTAGGCTGTTTCGAGTTTATTTGGACGGGTCTGAGGAGGGGGCGTACGGCGTACTTGGACTGCAGCGTTGAATTGGTGGCATCATTGTTCTTGTCAACAACCGTAGTATGTGTGTGTGTGCGTGTGTGTGCTCAGAGACCGGACTTGGAGCTTGCATTCTTCGCCCTCATCCGACGACGGATCATGATTAGTGGATGGCGGCCTCGGGAGGGGTGGATTTGGCGTGTGGCGCCTGTGGGAGTGGGAACAAGGCTGACGGCAGCAAGTCAGATCGGTTGTTTCCATACCGGAATGTAACAAGATCGAGTCGTGGTAATTTTGAGTTTGCCAGGGCGAGCAAATAATAATAATAATAATAATATCATAAAATAACAAAATAAAAAGTGTGGCAGCCTGATGATTGCCCCCCGCCCATTCCGAATAGATTTGATTTGGAAAAAAAAAAAAAAAAAAAAAAAAAAAGAATCACGTAAAATCCAAAATATTTGATAGCAATTGTCTCAAGCGCAAGTCGTGGCAAATTCAGTAGAAAAAACATGTATTCAACCCTCCATTCTTCTGTTAATCAAGCCTATCGAGACCGGGCACCCACCACCATCGTCATATGGATGGTTAAGGTAGTAAACCTGGACGATCCATGGACACACAATCACAGGCCCATGCACACTAAGTGGAGGCATACCTGTAAGTAGGCTGTCAGGGCACGGCGCTGCTTTGGATTATCAACGAGGGGTATCTCGATATATTTTATTTTTATCGTCGACCTTGACATTCATGCTGGCTGTTGTCTCTTCCTAGCCATTAACAGAGAATGCCCATGGCTATGCATCGATTATGCCAGCCATTCTTGGGCTTGTAATTGCTGGAGAAAGAGGGGCAGGGCAGCCTCGAAAACTGCTCGTGTGAGTGAAACAAGCTGACTGTGTGGTACCTGAGTTCGGGCTCTGCCAGATCCAACCTAGAACATAACGTTGGCCCTCTAAACTTCGACCATTCCCTGTTATGAAGATAGATAGCACTGCTAGAAGAATTGAAGGCCCTTTCACACTAAAAAACTAGCTAATTACTACTGTAATATGCCTATTCCTCCCGGCGCCAATCTTTATTCTTCCAGGCCACCCACCCTCCCCTCAAACCTAAAAAGAACTCGGGTGTCGGATTTCTAGATGCCAATGGGGGGTTTAATTCCATATGATTTTCAATTAGGGGTATTCCTCTGGATAAATTTTTACATGATCATCAACCACCTCGGTAATACGGAGAATAGGGATTTTAGGTCGCAATTTGAAATGAAATGGCCCTAGCTTGGCCAACTATGGCCACACCCCGAATCGTACACCCACAGACACCCGAACGCATATTCTTTTTGCTGTTGGCGATTCCATGAGATATTTAAAAATAAACGACAGATGTAGTTCTCTAGCTGCATAGTGCACATTCTAACTGGCCTCATTTTATCATGATTATCATTGTACATACTTAATTGCGGGATTATTACCAGTAGCAGCTTTCTGGGGTGGGCTAGACTGGCGTCTATCAACAGTCCGCCGTATGCGTACATGTATCCATTTGGGTTATTACTTATACCAACTAAGGTAGTCCAATATACCGTCAGTGCTTGTGGGGGTGCTTTTTTATAATAATGGCTATCTAGCCCTGTGGTAGTACTCCTAGGCGACTCTTGTTCTCTGCTCCATCCGTGGCATTCCTTCTGTTCTGCGTAAAGTGACCTCTATCCTCCACGTCCTGGGACAAGAAACAAAAGCAAACCAGCATAATCGGACTAACGCTGGCTTGGTTTCCCTTAGGACCATAACCTGTTGTCAGCTCACTGGCGGCTTACTCCGATTTCTTTCTTTGTCTTTGTCTGCAAATTAATTTTTTGCCTTTTTTATTTTTGATTTTATTTTATTTTTGATTTTTTACGATTATTCATTTTCCTGCTGATTATTTTATTCTTTTCTTTTTCTTGGTTTGTTTTTTATTTTATTTTTGTCCGATTTTTGATTTTATTTCATCGTTCGGATTTATTTTATTTTCTAAAGCTTCCCCAATTCCAATAAGACTTGGGCCAGTCTTTCAATTTCAAGGAAGCACATCTTTCTCTCTTTGCCAATCATCTGCCTGTCCTTCTTCTGCCTCGCGAATTTTCTTTACCCGCGCAATCCAGACGGAGAGAAGAAAGAAAGGAGCGACGCACAACGACTGATCGGCCTGCAGTCCAATTGGGTGCAACTGCCATTTCCCAGATCGAGGCTTTGAGGACTGGATTTGAAGAAAGTCCCCTGTACTCGGAGGTATGTAGGTTCGTTCGGGTTGAATCAGTTCTGGGTCCCTTTCGCCTTGCCCCGTCTCTCCTTTCCACCCACCGTCGCTGCACGCTGCAAATCATTCTTCCCAAACATCTAATCGGGAACGGCGCAGTCAAAGCTCTGGGCTTGATCTTCTTCTAGTAGTCTAGCCTACATGCTACTCCGTTGCTGTCACATTCGCGTCGTTTCTCCTGCGTCCTGCATCCATCCTGGTCAATATTACACCACCTTCCCGCTAGTTACAAGCTCATTCTGATATCCCCACCACTCAGTGAATCCCTCTGACGCTGTCCTGCCCTCCCCCTCCCCATTGTTTCTTGCCTTTCTTTTCTTTTTTTTCTCCATTTTTCTTTTTATTTCGCATTTGATTTTCCCCTTCTCGCACTTCCTCAACCCCTCCATTCCCCATCCGGCATGGTTCCCTTCATCTCTGGATGTCTGTCTGCCTGAAGGATGGGTCTCCGGTGCAGCTAAATAACGACCCTGGACCCTCCACATTACACTGGCACTCGCATCGCACCGTTAACAAGGTCCATCTTCATGACACTATCCTTCCCCCCCAGCCCTGAACCACAGACCAACGAACCACGATAATTCTTGTTCAGCCTCTCTTCCGCTTTGACCCTCTCACCTTGTCAACTTTGATATTCCCTTTCAAAAGCTGCTGCTCTTTTCCGTGTCGTACCTTCATCCTTCACATTTTATCTTCTGCAGATATAGCTCCATCCGAACCGGTTTTAATTGATATCCTTACAGTGGATGGACTAGATCGCTGGAAGGAGGGACCGAAGCTCGAATCCGAACCATTCGAGGTCAGTTATGACCGGCATGGTTCAGACTGACCTAGCTCATCCAACAGCGTCAAAATACAAAGACGAGCCGATTGACGATCCCGTGAGTTCATTTGAACAGCATTTCCTTCAAAAGCCATTTCGCCTTTTCTTTCATGTTTTATTTTTGCTTTTTCTTTTAAAAAAATTTATCTCTCGTCCCCCTTCTCTGTTTTCTTCCCCATCATCTTGTGCTGGGATTGTCCCAGGGATACCCAGTTGCTTCGGCATGGTTGTTACCAGGAGAAACCTGGAAATAAAGAACCCGTTTTCCCCTTTGAAACACAGCAAACAGGCATCGTTGATTACTCTCCCGGGGTCTTTCTCTCTATGGGCATGAATGCTTGTTCGCTGCCCGAGGAGTAGGGTCCTAGCCTTTGTCTTCGTTCCCGATGTCAGTCATTCTAGACTCCACTGAGAAAACACCTGGCGTTGTTGCGCAGCAGCCACTGCAAATCCTGAAAGAAAACCTGATCATTGCTTGTCACCTGGGACATCGCGTGTCATGCCAATTCATTACCATTCTTGGTCACTTGCATGAGTACCAATCTGGGAGTGAACATACGAGAGTGAACGGATGCCCCACGATGAAAATGGGGAGGAGACAGATTTGCTGCTTTCTCATTTCGTTGGGATCAAGTCATTTGAGTTGCACCACATGCACCACTCACTGCAAAGTCCCATGCTTGACAGAAACAATTCTCGTTGAACGTGTCTGATGCCCTTTATTTATCACTGTGTTTGCTGCAATCGCACCACGTGTTTCATATGCGGAGTTGCTTTGCGCGAGAACTGCATCGAAGCCAGACAATGCCTGTAACGAGAATTGAACTGTCACCTCGTGGCTAGTTCTAAGACAGACGGCTGCCCTCGAAATAGCTTCGAAGGCCTCCCCAACGCAAAATACGCACCTCCTTTGTTGAAGAGGCTTAGGCCCTCCCTGTCTTGTTTTCTTTCGTGGTGGAAAAAGGTTGGCGAAACTAATCATATCTTTCTTTCAGCTTCGACACCCAGCTGCGCATCACGGTCCACAACACCCCCAACTTCAACTCCCGAGGACAGCGAACCTTATACAGCATCACAAGCAACCGGCTTCTCCGCATCAGCCGAGTAGCAGTATTTCGCCAGGGTCATACCCGCCTCACACCCTAGGAAACGGCATTCTTCATCAGCCGCATCAATACGGGCCACCCTCGCAAGAGCCACAGTATTACTCGTCTCATTCTTCCTACAGTACGGCAAGCACGTCAGGTCAATACCCCTCAAGTGGTACGTAAAATCCAATGAAGCAGAGCCTCTAAATCTGGTCGCTCCGAGTTGGATGACCAATGGGTAGTCACTAACTCGATGTTTAGGACCCCCTGAAATGATGGCGACAACAACACAGATGCAGAGGCCTTATCCTCCGATTTATCATACACCACAATCCAGTTCCCCTGCATCGGTAGCCTCTCAATCGCACGAACACAGCAGAAGTCTTTATACCCAATCTCCCCAAGTACCGCATCAGATGTATCCGTACCAGTCTTATCAGCCCATCAACCCGGTCCAGCCTTCACCCTACACAGCGCATACGTCTCCACAGCACCCGATTACATCGCAGTCGTTGATGCTGCCTCACCAGACAAGCAGTGCGCAAATCCCGCACCAGTCTGCTCAGGCACCAACGAGCGCCATGACCAGTCCGAGTACGACTACCACACAGCAGCACACCCCTCCGCAAAGGGCAGTTCTGAACCCACCGATTCCTGCGTCAACCGGAGCTCCCCTTTCTGCCAGCAACGTTCATCATCAGAATTCGGCCGTCGGAGCAAGTTCCAGTGCCGCACCGGGCCCGATTCCAGCAACAACCCCTCTCGTTGTACGGCAGGATAGCAATGGAGTCCAGTGGATTGCCTTCGAGTACTCTCGTGATCGCGTCAAAATGGAGTATACCATCCGTTGTGATGTTGAGTCTGTTAACGTGGATAACCTTAGCCAAGAATTCAAGACCGAAAACTGCGTCTACCCTCGGGCCTGTTGCAGCAAAGATCAGTATAGAGGCAACCGTTTAGTTTATGAGACGGAGTGCAATGCTGTCGGCTGGGCCCTGGCAGAGCTCAATCCCGCCCTCAGAGGCAAACGCGGGCTGATTCAACGCGCCGTTGATAGTTGGCGAAACAGCAACCAAGACCCAAGGCTTCGAAGCAGACGCGTGAGAAGAATGGCCAAGATCAACAGACGGCAGGGCATGCCACCACCTCAACCGAGCCATATGGCCACCGGACCGCCCGTTGGCCCCGGAATCCCCGGGCCTAGTATGGCAGCACCGGCCCCTCGCCCTCCTCCACTGGGACCCTTAGCTATGGGGCCCCCGCAACTACACCATCATCACGCACAGCCCGAGGGCCCTCCAGGCAGTGAGGAAGTTAGCGGTATGTTCCACCATATATGATGTGCCCAATCCTGCCGCACTTTCTATTCGTTATGGCAGCTGTTCTCCATATCATATTACATATGCTTTTCGGCTTGTTGCTATTTTGCTCGGAGGATAGCACAGCAATGGCCGGAAGTCTATTTTTTTCTTCTTTTTTGGTTTGGTGGTCATTGTATTCCATGTACATTTATCTTATTTGGAGAGGTCTTTGTGCTTTTTGACTTCTGATTTCATCTTTCTTTATTTTTGTTGGCAACTTTATCATACCCTATCATGTTCTTTTTGTTATGTTATCATTGTCGTACCCTTTCCACATCTGAATCGTGACGTCCTTTTTTGTTCAGTGTAGGCTAATTCAAGATATTGGCATATCTCCCATACAATAGGCACCACTGACTTCACGAACGGTGCCAATCGCCCAGGTCCGGAAGTCCATTCGTCTGCGGGACCAACACCAACCGACATCCGCGGCGCGCAGGTGTTCCACGGCTACCCTGCATTCCCCCCTCCTGCAGATATTTCTGGAAGCTCCAGAGGCCCATCGATACCGCCCCTCATTCGAGACAACGGAATAGCAACCCTCGGACGGCATCCAACGATCGCAACCTCAACAAGCAAGCTGGAAGAAGACGAGGATGATGAGGACCATGACCCCAGCAGCGACGCACTCTTTGGGACGTTCCCCGAGGGCAAGCGTCGCAAATTCATACTGGTGGACGATACTCAACGAGGCTGTCGCGTTCGGGTTAAGGTTATGCTCGATCAAGTAGACATGGATGAGATCCCCGATTCTTATCGGAACTCCAATGCAGTCTACCCGCGAACCTACTTCCCTGTGCAGATGAAGAACCCTCCGGGCCGCGTGGTACCGGGGAGGCGATACATTAAGGACGATGCCGACGCCGAAGACGACGAGGACAGCGCGACCGTGGGACGGATCCTCGTGCCAACACCCCAGATTGACGGAGAAAGCGACATTGCCGTGCCCAAGCTATCCCGAAGTCGGCGCCAGAAAGAAGTGTTGCTGAATGACTTGGGTTATCGCATGAGCTGGAGCCAAAGTCGGGTGTTTGCGGGGAGGATGCTATTCCTCCAGCGATCTCGTACGTGCCCTAGAACCCCCTTGCATCTCACATGGACCATGGACACCGTGGCAGCCACCATGACATCGTTTCCCGCCAGGGATAGAAACAATGCTAACCTCCACCCCCTTCCGGAACTATAGTTGACGCGTATCGAAATAAAATGCGCAGCACGATGCTGGCGACGGGACAGGAACAATCGTCCATCCCGCAACACTTCGAGACACGAGCCGGGAAACGACGATTCCTGGAGCGGCCAAGACGGGCGGCAGCTGTTTCGGGGCGGGGCGGCGGGGCGCATCGGCTCTCTGCATCGCAGCGTAGCGTCGAAGAAGTTGAAGCTTGACGGATCGCAAGTCAGTCGAGACCCTGATCGCGATTCGATGTCTGAATCACAGAAGCCGCGTCTCCCCGTCAATCCTCCTTTCTTTTCTCGCCTTTTTGTCTTTTCTCTTCTTTTTTCTTTTTCTTTTCTTTTCCCCTTGTCTCTTTTTCTTTCTCCCTAATTGGCAAGGCACCATGATCTGATCCGATGTTAAATCTCAGTTACGAATACGGCCGCTATGTAAAGTATATAGAAACTACTAAAGAGACGGACTCCGGGCAGGCAACATGGCGGTTGGGGACTTTGGATTTGGTGTTGGAGGGCTGGTCTTGTGCTTTTTCTCTTTTGTCTGTCTTTCTTTCTTTCTTTCTTATTGTTTTGGTTTATGATGATTACGATGATAACGCTGGTTGAGAGAAATGAGGAATGAAATCACGATTGGAACTGGAATAGTCCGAACGAATTTGGACGAATGCGACTCTAATATAATATCAAAACACGGGTCAGCAGGTCGGATGATTTGAATAGAGTTGGGGGATCCAGACCCATTGCGAGACTCGCGAGATATTTATAGATCCCGTCTCTGGAGGCCAACGGGAATGATTCGTTCGTGTCGGCTGTTTCAGACCGTTTTGGAGGACCAGGCCATACCAGGTAGCATGAACGTCGTAAGCAGCATCGAGGGTGGTCAAATCACACGGAGGAAATGATCCAAGCTCGGACGGGTCTGTGCCTAGTGGTATCCAGTACGGAGTCGGTCCAGCGCTACCCGGCTACCCAGGCGATCGAGGAGTGGAGAGAGAGGGCGCGTCGCCCATGTGAAATATCCAATGTGAATCCTCCGAAACCTACGGCAGGGAGAGCCGGAAAGGAGAATATTCTGCCAAGCCCAGGAGCGAAAAGCTTACGCGTGTGCCAACATGAACAATCGAGAGCGCATCTTCCGCACGCAGAGAAAGACGGCGGCCGCGTTCAGGGTCTGCCGGAACAACTCGTGGTTCCGCACCGAGTGGGGTTTAGCGCCGTAACGAGGCGGGTCAGACCCTGAGCAGGCTTACACACTTACACACTTACGGCGTACAATACAGTCAGGACTGGACGGTTGTCGGGGTCACAGCCGCCACCGATTGATTGTCTCCGGATGCAGTCAGTCTGGTCGCCCGATATTCTTTGACTTCCCCTCTTCTTCTACTGCTCCGTCGCTTGTTCTTTTTCTTTTGTGTCGTCCTCGCAGTCGTCACTTTTCCCCCATCCCTCTGGTCTTCCTTTAATTCGCTTCCCTCCGTCCCTCGACTCGCTTCCCTTTCTAGAAGAGATCGTCTTGCATACTTAGTGCGGCGCATTGCATTTGTACAGTACATCCATCCCTCTTGTCTTAAGATTCTGTCTCCCTCGCATCGCTTCCCCGCTAAGCATTCATCGTCATCGCAAATTCCCATTATGCTGTCTCTCTAACCCTTCCCTTAGTACTGTCTTGTCTCTGGAAAAAGAAACCCGCCCAACGGTGTACCTGAGTGATACAACCCTTTTCCGGGTCAAGTTTTTGGGAACCGTGGGTCGAGATCGTCTGCGTCCCCTGCGTTTCAGGACCGCCTGCCATCTTTCTCGAATTAATTCATCCGTCTGCCGTCCTCTGTTCCTCTTTTCTTCCTTCTGCTCCCAACCATCTTCACTTCTCCGTGCCTTCTTCGACTCCCACCTTCAGCGCATCCGTTCATTCTCCACCATAGAGCGAAACCCTAAGAACCGCCAGCGAATAATCTCCCCGTCTAATCGACCAGCATGTCTGGTGATCACCGGGCATTCAGCTTTAATCAAGGCGATGACAACACGGTAGGAGCAGAGCATCGAGGCGACGTTTCGCCCATCCACTCGCCAGACGAAGCCCAGCGCGGTGACATTTCGCCCATGTCACCTCCGGGTCAAACCTACGGCAACGACCATGACCGAGGTCTTGCGTCAGTGCCGGAACACGGCCAGGGCCTCGGACACACCCACTCGATGAGGACGCATTCAACGGCCACCCCGGGCATGGATAATCTGGGTCCCGCCGCCGTGGGCGGTGGTATAAGCGGTATCGCCCTTGGCGTTGCCAATACCCATGACCGTCAGAGTGGAGTTGACGCTTTCAGGGACACAGACGGGCCGGCGCACAATATACCCGCCGAACGAGGATACCACACGACTGGGTCGGATAACCCTTACATCCCGGCACCGCCCGAAGGTGCCTACGGAAGTTCGGACAATCTACGGCCTCGTGAATCCTACGGCTCCAATGTCGCTCTGGGCGCCGCTGCCGCTTCCGCCGGCCAGCTGACTCCCGGTGCCTCGAACCCGTCCCAACGCAGCCTGTTCGACGGTCCTTACCAAGGTGTTGGTCCGCTGAACGAGGGCCCTTATCAGCGAACGTCTACGTACAGCACCAACAACTATCCTCTCGTGATCAATCCGGATGAAATTATTGACGACGGTGACGATGGTTTTGTTCCGCCCAACACCAAATCGGCCGGCCAAACGTCGAGGGCGGTTCCTGCAGCAAGTGGAGCCGCCGCCGGAGGATTTTTGGGAGGCCTTGGCGGTTTATTCGGAGGGAAGAAATCGACAGGTCCGTCCTATGACCCCGTGCCCGGCGCAGGGCTGGAGGCTGGCGACAAGGCCAGGCCAAAGCCCGACGGGGGTAGTCGGAAACGGGGATGGATAGTTGGACTCATTCTGGGCTTCATCGTGGTCGGTGCCATTGTCGGAGGTGCCGTTGGCGGAACGATAGGGCATCGGGAGAACCAAAAAGAAGACCCGTCATCCTCCACGAAGTCGGCGTCTAGCGATTCGAAAAAGAACGGTGACCTTGACAAGGACTCGGACGAAATCAAGTCCTTGATGGGCAATGAAAATCTCCACAAGGTGTTCCCCGGTGTCGACTATACCCCGTGGGGCGTCCAGTACCCGCTCTGTCAAAAATACCCTCCGTCTCAAAATAACGTCACTCGCGACATGGCAGTGATCTCGCAATTGACCAATACCGTTCGGCTGTATGGCACTGATTGCAACCAGACGGAAATGGTCTTGCATGCCATCGACCGACTTGAACTCACGAAAATGAAAATCTGGCTGGGTGTGTGGATCGATACCAACGACACCACCGCCGATCGACAGATCAACCACCTGTACAAGATTCTCGACAACGCGAAGGACACGTCCATCTTCAAAGGCGCCATTGTCGGTAACGAGGCGCTCTTCCGAGCCGGCAAAGACACCTCGAGCGCGAAGAAGAAGTTGACTGGCTACATGGATGACGTGAGGGAGCACTTCAAGAAACACAACATTGACCTGCCGATAGCGACTTCAGACTTGGGTGACAATTGGGATAGCGACCTTGTGAAGGCATCGGACGTTGTAATGTCCAACGTCCACCCGTTCTTTGCAGGTGTCGATGTCGATGATGCGGCGAGCTGGACCTGGTCTTTCTGGCAAAATAACGACGTGGTGCTGACCAAGGACACCGACAAAAAACAAGTCATATCCGAGGTGGGATGGCCGAGCGGTGGGGGCAACGACTGCGGCCAAGGTCACAGCAACTGCAAGAGCAAGACAGATGGATCTGTTGCGGGTGTGGATGAGATGAACAAGTTCATGTCTGACTGGGTTTGCCAGGCAATGTCCAATGGCACGGAATACTTCTGGTATGCTTCATTTGTTGTCCTTTGTTTTGTTATAATGAATTCTAACAGTATAACTAGGTTCGAGGCGTTCGATGAACCATGGAAGGAGCAGTACAACACCAAGGACGAGCAATGGGAAGACAAATGGGGTCTCATGGATGCCGCTCGGAAACTCAAGCCCGGCATCAAGATTCCCGACTGCGACGGCAAGGAGGTTGATTAATCGACAGTCGGCACTCGACCGGAATCACCACCCATCTACGCTTTTGCTTTCTTTCCCATGATCCCCACGACTCTCCTTTCTTTTCCCCCACCATCTCTTGACGATGCATGATCGGGCCGTTTTTGTTCTCTGTGCGGTTTATTAATGATTGATTCCCGACGCTACAGCTGTTTGATGCTCTCGCGCATCTTAATGTTTGTCTTTCAAACAGGTGCTCCGGGTGTTCGACTGGTTCTCCTTGGATTGTATTCTAATAATAGGGCAATTTGTTCGGTCGCAATCTGGGTTGCAGGTCTTCTTTTCTTTTTCACATGATTGTTGATGGTGGTTTTATATTGCGCACTTATTACTGAGCCCAATTTCTGTGATGGTTGTATATATCGTGTCAGCATGTCAAATCCATATCTTTATTTTCATGATGCAAGAACTGTGCCGTGGCGTAGACAGACACCTTACCTTTTCCCAACCAGTATTCCCCGCACCATGGTCCGGCCATTCGGTTTCATGATGCATTAAACACATCGATAGGCTGGAGCATCTCTAGCTCCAGTTACCATCGTTATGACAGGTTCTAGTCGTCATCCTCTTCTGTGTCCTCGGGATAGTAAATCCGCATATTCCAAAAAGCATGTTCATGTTCCTGAAACCGGGGCAGTCGCACCGATCCTCTCGCTCCGACAAACTGTCTGACCACTTCGGAATCGTTGTCCTCCAACGGGCCTCCGAAAAGGAAGCCTGGATTTAGGGCTAGTAACTGCGACAGATGCGCTTGCTCCGCGCCAGGACAGTAGAGGAAGGTAGCGGGGGTAACCTTTTCGAAGGCATGAGGGTGCTCGAGGACGACAACGCCGAGGGAGGAGAGAAGAGATTTGTCGAGCTCGTTGAACACGGGGTCTTGAGCGTAGACGCTGACGTTTGGATTCGTCTGTTCTATTCGATGGGTGGACATACCCGTTAGCCCTCATGCGAACATAGAATCAATCAACCCTTTGGATTGGGGATACGGGCCGGGGGGAAAGGGCAGGGATCCAAACTCACTCATCCAATCCACCACGCTCACCAACCCAGCAAGCTGATACATCGACACGCTCCTCCGATCCACCCACCCCCCTCGCAGAAACCCACTCGGGCTTCCCAATCCAATGCACACGATCGCATCCTGAGCGGCGACGGCGGCGGGCGTCGTGTGCGCGCGTAACGCCTCCCTCACCACTTGACAAGCGTCCGAGGTCTCCCACCGCCGGCGATAGCTTTCGAATTGCCGTCCCAGGTCCTCCGCGGTCAGTTTGGACGGCGCCTCTGCGGGGACGAAAGATCCCGGTTGCGCCGGGTCGTCTTGTTGGTGGGCTGCGGTGGTACGGAGAACTTGTCGCGCAGTTTTCCCGCTCGTGCTAACGTGCGTCCAGCCGCTGTCGTCGGTGACTTGGAGTCGCTTGTGTTGGTGATGAGGGGTCTTTTTGCGACTGCTGTGGGGCATGCTGTAGGTCGGAACAGGGGAGGGAGAGCGAATCGGTTGGGGTTTTTGGTTTCGGGGATTGAGACCGGGGGGGGGGGGGGGGGGGGGTTTTTTGGGCGGAGAGAAGATGCGACGAGGGAATTGCGGTGATAAGATAAGGAGGGGAGGGGATGTTTGGTTGGTTTGCTCCAGCCCCGTGACTTTTACGAAGTATGTTTTTTGAATGTCTTTCTTTTTTCTTCTTTCTCCTACGGATACTGGCAGCTGCAATTGTTCGAGAGAGATACGATTGCACTGACTCCGTACTATTCCTGCTTTCAGTTGTCCATGAGGTATATTTGAGCACGATGGGAGCCCTGCATGACTCGGCACTCTCGGTCAACTAACTACTGTCCACTACCAACGTGCTCCCAGTCTAGGGTTACAATGATGAGATTCTCCGAAAATCCAAGGCCTGGAAGTCCACAATATACCAGACTTCGCCTCCGTTAACCGGTGACATGACCCATCATCACACTCGGATCAGCACTCGGTGGCCCTTCTCAGTCGATCTCTAAGCGCCGGGCCCTGGATAGCGGACGTGAATCCCCTCTCTTAGCGTCCGATCGGGGCGCTTCCAAGACAGCTGTCTCCACGAATGAAATCGCCTGTCACTCCGGACAAGGTGATACCTCTTGCAGCAGACTTCGGCCTCGAGCCAATCCTCTCTCTCGGTCGGGAATTCTGCTGCCCTCTGTGCCATGCTAAATGGCTGGTCTTGGTCGTTCGTCGCTATCGACAGTCCCCCCCTTGTCAACCGCTCTCCCACCTGCGGGTGTGGTCACATCGCTCTCCTGCATGCTCACTCGTCCGTGGCTGTCGGTCAGTCCCCGCTACTGTCTGTATGCGAGCGCTGGTGCAGCACCTGGGACATGGCTTGCTCCCCTCAAAAAGTCTTGTCAACCCTCCCGTCCTGGGAAGCTTGTTTCGATGATGATCATTCATGCGGACGGGTGCAGCGTTCGTGAGATTCGCAAGTTGTGAGACCTGAAACGACCCTCTGGATGAGTTGCTAAGACACAAGAGGATAAACGAGGCGCTTGCATCTCTCGTGTTCCTGTTTCTTTTCATCGCCCGCTCTTCTGTTTATAATAACCCCCTTCGGCTGGTCTCTGTTTCGGGCTGTGTTCGACAAGTCATCTTGGCCAGTATGAAATCCTTCCAAGCCTCGTTATCGAAATGGATGGCCCTTGTTGCACTCCTGTGCGTGGGCCTATCGCAGGCTCACACGGTCATCGTCTATCCCGGATACCGAGGGAATAATCTGCATACCAACGGCACTGTCGAGGCTACGGACGGTCTCGGAGCAGCGTATAGCAATGGGTCCTACTCTTACCCATACGGAATGCAATGGATCTATCCTTGTACGATAGCCAAATATTCCCGAACCTCCTCATCCACGAAGACTTAGTGCTAATGTTCTATTTCTCACATAGGTGGTGGAATGCCTACGTCAACAAACCGAACCAAATGGCCAGTCGGTGGCGGCGCCGTGTCTCTTCAACCTGGCTGGTTCCAGGGTCATGCCACGGCGTTCATCTATATGAACCTCGGCCTCGGAGAAAACCCGCCCAACATGAGCCATCCGATGATCTCTCCGTTCCAGATCTCAGGCCCGACCAACGATCCCTACCCGGGTACGATCTGTCTCCCGCAGGTCCCATTGCCGGCCAACATCAGCGTCAGCCCCGGTGACAAAGCGACAATTCAAGTCATCGAGTTGGCCAAACACGGAGCGGCTCTATACAATGTAAGTGTCGAAGCCTCCACGGCTCCCAAATCAGCGCTGATCTGTCATATCTAGTGCGTGGATATCGAATTCGCCGAACCGGAGGACGTCGCCGAGGTTACTCGCGAAAACTGCTTCAACTCCAGCGCCATCACCTTCCAGTCGGTGTTTACAACGGAATCTCTCAAATCGGCGGCTATTTCTTTGGACCCGACGAGACAGGCTATCCGGAACGTGATTCCCTTCCTGATGGCCGCGGTGATCGGGTGGATGATGGTGTAGATACACAACACTTTCCCTCCTCTTTAGTCATGCTTGTGCTTTGGTTTTCCACTTCAGCATCACATACCCAATATAGTTACCCCCCTTTTCATGGACGGCATGCGACGATGAATCTGGCCAACCGGTTCCCGGCAGGTTGGCACTGTGTGGGCTTCTGGCGTCGATGGAGCATATATGCTTAACGTACATAATTCATATCACTGCTTTTCTAAATCATGCGGCCACGTTTTCTGCCAAGTCGATGCTTTGTTCTCGCGTAGGTAGGGGTAAAATGAGTCTGGTTCATGATAATCATGACTGGCTACGTACATCTCATATCTCATTCAATCTAATATATATAGCAGGAAAACCGACCGGCAGCTTGAACCCATTCGGATATGGCAGCATCTACAGACTTCGCACCAAGTCCAGAACGACCTGGACCACCTCATCGGGGCATTCCTGTGGTGCCCAATGACCAACGCCATCGACCAACTTCATCGCCCGGAAATCACTGCACACCGTGCCATTGGCCATCTTCTCCAGCGCGCCAGGCTCCTGGTAGATGCCCCAGTCCGACTTACCGGACACAAACGCACACGGCACCTCAATCTTCTTGCCGGCAAACATCTCGAAATCCTTAGTATACTTCCCTCCGGCCGCCGTGCGCACCCGATACCAGTTCAACCCGCCCTGGAAGCCCGTCCGGCCGTACTCGGCCACATACACGGCGAGATCCTCGTCGGGCAGCCAGGCATGCGAGGCGCGCTCCCCGGCCTCGGTTTCCTCGCCCATATGCCGTGCCACGGCCTGCGGCATCGTGTCGTCCAGCGGCATGACATAGTAATACGGCAGCTGCGCCAGATCGGACGCCGTCCACCCGGATAACGGATAGGTCTGGTTTCCCGCCCACGATCCGCTCTTCAGATGGAAGTAGCCTCGCAGGAACGCGTGCAGACCCTCCGCGGGCGCCGTCATGTCCCCGTTGGCCGGCGCCGTCGAATAATACCACTTATAGTGTTTCCTGCCCAACGCAGCCAGCTCGGCGTGGACGTGGTCGCCGGCCGCGGACTCGGCGCCGCCGCTGGCTGCCGTTGTCGCGCTTCCATCACCATCATCATCGTTGGCCGTGTTGAACGGCAGCCCCGGCGACCCGTTGAACGGATGACTGAGCAGCACGAGGCTGTGGAAGAAGTCGGGCCGCGCGAGCGCACACATGGCGGCCGTCACGGCGCCGCAGTCATGGCCGACGATGCAGCGCACGGATCGATACCCCAGCGCGTGCACGAGCACCAGCATGTCCCGCACGAATGTGGTCAGCGAGAAGCTGCTCAGGTCGACGGCGTCGAACCCGCGCGTGTCCCAGCCGACGGTGCGCCCGAACCCGCGCTGATCCGGCGCGACCACATAGTACCCGGCGTCGGCCAGTGGGGGGATCACCTTGCGCCAGGAGTAGGCCAGCTCGGGGAATCCGTGCAGCAGCAGCAGAAGGGGGCGATCGCGCGACGGGGTGAAACCGGCTTCGAGGATGTGGAAGTTGAGAGTGGAGGTGGCGATGGAGCGGGTGGAGATGGAAGGGGGGAGGGGCATGGTTGGGCTTTGTAGATCTGGGGATAATTTTAGATCGGCTGATGTTTATCAAGGGGAGTAGTAATAGTGGTAGTGGGCAATAATTGATATGCAAGAGAGGATATTGGTTCTGAATCCGACGCAGAGAGATGGGGAGCAGCACGATATATAGGATGATCGCAATAGGGCCAACGGAGTCGAATACAATCAGGCAGATCGATCAACCGAGGCAACGGTCGGAGAATAATTCCCTCCTTGCAGGCTGTTCATGTGGAGGAGGCACCATGAGTATGGATTCTACTCCGTAGAGTCCTGGTCAATGATGCCTGATCCAGTTGGCGGCGATTCCTGAGGACTTCCGGCATGACGCAAAGCAAAAGGTCTGGACTCTTTTCTTCTTTTCTTCCTCTCCTTCAACTCTCATCCGGTCAACACATCTTCATTCCTTTCCTTCTCTCCTTCGTTTCCCTTGTCCCTCGTCCTGCATTCCTCTCCTTTTCTTTCCTTGTTCTCTCTCACTCGCTCTCCCTGGGCAGCCCCTCGAACCTCCTTGTTTTCCGCCCTCTCGCTCTCTTCGATTTAACTTTTTCTCTCGCCATTAGTTTCAAACACCACAAATCCCTTTTCTCCGGTCGATCACTGTCCATAATTTTCTCACCGTCGGAGCCATTCGCAACTCCAATCAATTGCTGAGGGTGTCGAAATTCTCCGTGTCTGCCTGACGACGGTGTCCACCTCCGACATAAACATGTTCCGCCGACGAAGGAGCTCGTCGCAACATCATCAGGTCCGTGAGACCCCTTGGCCTTCCCCGGTTCACGCTTAACATACTAATCTCTATCTCATTCAACAGCCACTGTCCTCGTCATCCGCTCAATCCGCTCAGTCCGCCGCCAGCCATGCCTTCCTCAAATCCCGACCCTCCTCGTCGAGCCTCTCCTCTGCCGCCGCTGCGACAGCCCTGCGGAACCTCACGCCCCCTCCCACCGACGTCGAGAATGTCCAGACGAAGCGCATGATCCAGCGACAGTCGTCGGTCTCTTCCCAGCCGAGCGCTTCCGCAACCCTACGCTCCTCCAGCCGCAATGGCCTTCGTCGAAGCAATAGCTCGAATTCCATGAGTACGCGGACCTTTCGGGAACAATCCCCTCGTCGTCCGGTCTCCAGCTCCGGCCCTGGTCCGGTGAAGAACGCGCCGCCTATCCCGTCAATCCCGAAGGAGTATACAGGGCGAAGCACTCCCGCCCGACGGTCGGTCAGCGTTGGGGGTTCCATGCGGTCGTCGCCCCCTGTGAAGCATCCGTCGGGACGCGGAGGGAGCGTGGACCGTGAAAATATGCGGACGGTGAGTCCTAGCTTATATACGGTACCTGAAGCCCAGAGGACGGGGAGTTCCATCAATTTCTCTTACCCGATAAACTCGCGCCCAAACTCCCCGTCTCAGCCACCCGAAGCCTCCGATGGGCGCGATGTGTCGACAGGCGCATTGCTCGCCGACCGCTTGGCAGGACTGAGTGCCCCCAAGGCCCAGAATATCCCGTCGCAGCCAGCAAACACGTCCGCCCGGAGAAGGACCCGGAATTCCAGCCCTGGAAGCCCCGGAAAGGGTACGCCGCCCGTGACCACAGCTATTGCTGCAGCGCAGGCTGCCATCATTCCCTCTTCGCCGTCGGTCACGACGGAGCACCGTGAACCAGAAGTTCGGGAATCGCTCCCTGCCTCGATCCCGGCGTCTCCGGAATCGAAACCATCCCCCTCCCGTCACGCCCTGATGAAACGGCCGTCTACCGTGCGCGAGGACTACCAGGGCGAAGAAAAAGCGGAGGCCAGTGCCCCTGTGAAGATCAATCCTACCCCGCGAACCGGGAGGGTGACCCCAGAGGGCCCGTCGGTAGCCAGGATACCCCAGACCCCGGACACGGGAAGAGACTCGCTACAGAGTTCGGTCATGAGTTCTCCGGAATCAACCGGCTCCGCCGAGTTTGGTCGTGGACTACAGCCGTCGCCCTTGCGGCAGGCCAGCAGCAGCCCCGGCAGATCGACCCGGTTTTCCACGCAATTGTCCGTGACCGGTCTCCCGGGAGATTTGTTGCACAAACCGCCGCCTCGATCGGTGTCTCCCGTTAAGTCAGCGATGAAAAGCTCGAGGGTGAGCTCGCTGTCACCCGACGGCCGGACTGGAGTCGTGTTACGACCAGGCCCTCCACTCAGCGAAATCTCGGACGGTACTTCCGTCGGATCTGACGACGGTTCCAAGCAAGGGTTTCGCAAGAAGGCAGCTAAGGTCAGCTTCGATGACGAGGCGGAGGTTGTTGGCGTGGCTGCAAGCCCGCCGACGTCGCCTGAATCCGTTGTCCCTGACTCACCCCCAGGTACCTCTAAAGCCAAGTCTAAATCGAATTGGTTTGGACTTGGTAAAAAGAAATTTCACCCACGGGATACGGCGATATCGGATGAGTTCGATGAAGTACTCAGACCGCGCCCCGTCCTGCCGTCGTTTGGGAGTATACGCGGCGCGAGAGACGGTGAACACGCGGAGCCAATCCGGCATGAATTTAGTGATAACGATTCGACGACCTCGTCGGAGCCCAATCTGGGAGCCCCGGACTGGTCTTTCTCTAATGATCATAAAATCGGAGCGATTCTTTCTAATAACGAGCACAATGATACTCGGGCGAGTTCCGAACATCATGAACTGGCTATGTCCCCTGAAACTACTGCAAAGAGCAGCCGACCAGATCCACCGAGTCATCCTGCATCTATGGACGAATCGACAGAACAGGGTCATACCCAAGACACACCTAGTGCACATGACGACGTTTTGAATCATCCAAACTCCAGCCCTGCCCTTGGCGTGCCTGGGATCGCGGTCCAACCAGCGACACCTGAACTGGAGAAGGAAAGGTCTAGTCTCGATTGGTGCACAGTGCCAGGGGGTTTTCCAAGGGCATCACTAGAGTCCAAGACTTCGAGTCGGCGTAAGGGCAAGAAGGCCGTTGATAACTCTGCTGCCCATACAGTCGAGGATCAGGACACCGATGACGATTCGGGCGAGAGTATCTATAGTGATGCCGAAGAGGGATTTGATGGCGACAATTTTGGCTTTGGCTCTATCAATGCTATTGTGGACAGCAGCACAGGACCGATCCAGGACGAACTTGTCGACGCAACCCGGGAGTCAACGAAAAACGATGGAGCTGGTGATCGAGCTTCTGATGCCCCGTCCGACATGCCTGAAACCTGCCAGATCGCTCGTGTGGAAACCCCTGTCCGAAGTTCCTCTCCTCCGCCACCTGCAAGATCTCCTGCTTCTCCTCAAGAGCCGCTTCCATTCTCTTCCCCCTACCCTCCTTTCCCTACGCGGCCAAGTGCGAAGAAGAGCAATACGCAAGAACAAGTCCCACGAGAATCGATGGTGGCAAACTCAGCCAGACGGTCCATGTCGACCGACGCCTACGAGGGCCCTGCAACGCAAGATGTAGTGGCCCGCCAGAATGGCGACACCCGCACACCGTCCGCGGCCGGGCAGAAGCCAGTGAAAACCAGGCCTGCTTCGTGGGGCGGAGGCCTTCTGAAGAGTAAAGAAGCCATCTCTGAGGAGGCACAGCAAGCGAATGGCCATGGTGCTCATCATCCTCAGAGGCGGCTGTCAAACGGGAGCGATTCGTCCAGCAGCTTCGTACGATCCAACCGCCCAGCTCGCGCGAGTCCGCAGTATACCATGCGACGTACTATGCGGGGGATACCCCCTCCACGCATGCAAACTGCTTCCCCGAATCGACAGAAGTCGCCCCCTCCGGATATGAGGCCCCAGTCGTCGGGTTCTGGCACTGCCGGCGCTCTCCGCACAACTCTACGAGGAAATGAGAACCGGCGCGAGAAACCGTCCTTCTTCTCTACGGGAAAGATGCAAAAGGCCAAGATTGCCAAAGCACCTGGGTCTCGGTTCACGTCCCGGTATCCTGATTCCGACGAGGAACACGGTAGCAAGGATGCACGTCCGTGGCAAAGCCGCTACGAGAATTCGAGCGACGACGAGCCAGAGATGAACAATCTTCGCCCGGTCCGCGGCATCCCCCGTCGGGCGGGCAAAGATGATGGGGACTCGACCGAGCTGGAAGACAGCTCGGACGGCGAACGACATCGGCCGGCAGCCTCTCCAGCTGCCCGGAAACCGAGCGAGCCCGCCTCACCCAAGAACCCGGCGCTCGCCGCGGTTGCCAAATCCCGCGGGATGACCGAGAAGGAGGCAGAGGACTTCCTCCGCCGGCCCAATATCGAACGGCGACCTAGTCTGTTTCACCGGTTTACCATTAGAAAACCCAAGCCCTCGGCCGAACGCGGAAGCTCCGCCAAGTTGGGACAGCTGGATGCCGACCAGGTGCGCGAGCAACCTGTCCTGGATCCGAACCAGGGCAATATCGTCACAACCATCACGGCGAACCCCGGCACCCCTTCATCACCCCGGCTCCTCAAGAGAGGCGCCTACCGATCTACCGGCGGAGAGAGCTGGCCGCTGCGAGGCCCTCCCAAAGAATTGATCAATGGCAATCATGCCTCCGAACGACCCCAAACAGCCGACGGAGCCGGTCAAAACGGCAGCACGGCCGTTGGCGACGATGCGATCTCCGTGTCCAAGGAGAACCAGAATCCTCTGGGCATCTCCGGCATCAAAGCTGACGGTCAGCAATCCACGGTAGACAATCATTCCACGCCTCGCAAAAAACGATTCCCCAAGATCCGGAAAGCATTTGGTCTCCGGAGCTAGATGCAGCCTTCTTCTTCCACTCTTTCTTTTTTCCCCACCACACTTCGGATCTGTCTTCGTCTTTTGACTGTTTCGATATATACTCGATGTATTTGTTGTAATTTTTTTTCTGTGACTGATTCATGACCATTTATTTTTATTTTACCATTAACATAGCTGCTGTCCGCGATAGCAGGGCCAATTGTGACGGAACCGGGGGATTTTCACGAGATATGGATACTGTTTAATATGTTTGATTTTGGACAACCGCCGGCAGGCTCATCATTAATTATACGGGGTTTAACTCGGTGGCGCTTAAGGGGTTGAGATCATGGAGTTGGAAGATGGGTTGAGGTCTCGTTCATCTTCGTGTATTTGATTCTGAATTTTATTTTTTGATTGAGACACCAGTCCCAGGGGGAGACCAGACAACCGCAGACAATCGAAGAACCAAATGACGTTTGATACTACGGAGCCTGACCAATCGGGCACGCAGGACGCGGCCATCATAATCACCAGAAAAGTTGGGTGAGACGGGAAGAAACCACGGACGGGCAGGATTCTTTCCATGTCTCGGGTGTTTAGGAGCTCTCCACTCGGATCCTTGGGACTCTCCGAGCTATCTAGACTACAGGGCAAGTTCAAATGAGAAAAAGGGAAAAAACCGAAGCCTATTCCGCCAGCCACCCAGCCGACCTATTTTTTTCCAAGGCCCGAATGAACGGGGAACGGGGGAACGGGGGGAGAGGGGCCTGGACTCAGCAAGTCTGCACGATTCCCCAGTTTACGAACGAGCCGAAATCGTGTGGCAAATTTCGTTGCACCTTGGCTGCCTCGCATGAGCGAGTTAGTCTGGCACGGGCGGGTTAGTGGCTGGTAAGGCGAGAGCGGATCAGCAATCAGCAATCAGCGCAGAATCCGGAATCGAGCACGCCCCAAAGCAATCAGACTCGGACTCTGAAAAGAGGGCAAGTACCACCGGTGGGGCGCAAGGGTCTCCAATGACGAAGAACCACGATGGCTGGGCGGTTTTGGCCGGTGGGAAAAGGGAAAGCTGCAGGAGGAGAGCTCGTGTTTTTCTTTTTCTTTCTTTCTTTTTTCTTTGCTTTTTTGGTGACCTCAGGTGTGCAGGATACTCCGTATAATTATGTCCGATAGAGATTGAGATCGAACAGGAGAAATTGACAATTTCCCCCGACCGACATGTCTCCGGAAAAGGCCAGGAAACTCCGGAGTGTAGCCGGCACGGGCACGGCAAGGGTCAATACTCAATGGTAAAGAATCAGGCAGCTTCGTAAGAAAAAAGCAAAAAAACTCAATTCTCAAGCGATGATCATCTGGAGCTCTCAGCTCCTGAGTAGACTGATCACGCCAAGGGATCCAGATTTCCGATTCGACCCGGGGAGACTAACGGGTTGCCATGGCGATTTGAGGGGACAGGTTGCTGGCCAACCTCGTTTCGATCGGGGGTTTCGGGAGGAGAAGAGGAAGAAGAGGGGGAGAAACGAAGAGGGACCCATCGAGGCTGCCGGTCAAGGGATCGCTGGTCGAACTTGAGCAAATCATGAATCTGCATGTGAAGAAGCCTCATCTGCAGGCGCTTCGGTCAGGAAAATGGAGCCCAGCCCTTGGAGGCTAGCACGGAGCACCGATTGCGGTGAACGCATCGATTTGAATGGAGGGGGGATCCATCGATATGTATATCTATCGATGGGGTTTCCTCCAGTCTGCAGATTTGGACTGCGCCGGATGGTTTCTAGACCAGGGGAAATGAGAATGCGAATCGAGATGCGTACACAGTAGGATCACTCCGTAGTTACGGCGTAGACGAGAGAGCAGCAACAGCCTCGGGAAGGGAGAGCGCGAGTCAGCCCCGTGACTTTCAGGTCGAGAGGCTGGAGGCCCCCGAATAGGCAAGGCGTGGTAAACAAAGCAAAACACCGCGCGGACGGGGTTTGTGCAGTAAGTATTATTACCGCTGCTCGTCTCTTTCCTCTCTTCTACTTCCTCCTCTCTCTTCTTCTTCCTCTTCCTCCATCCCTCTTCTTTCCATTCTCCATCCCCCTCCATTCCCACATTCCCCTGGATACAGCTTGTTTTCAATAAGCTTATCATCCCATCCCATTTCCCCCCACCCCCCATTCCAATTCATATATCTTACATTCCATTCCCCGAATTATAGATCGATCAGATCTATCATTCTCCCCCCTCAAACCCCACCTCTTCACGAGAAAGACTTCCCCCGAGTAAAAAGTCTTTTCTTGTCTAGCCTTTCGAGTTGTTCTTCAACAGTTCGAAAGGCATTCGAGAAAAGACGCTCAAAGGACAGCCAATCTGGACTTTGACGCCCGCGTCCCCATCCCCTTCAGTGTCTTCCCGTCGTCGTACCGGAGTGACGCTGTTCCTGAGACTACTCTTGAGACTGAAAGAGTAGAGGGAGAAGTCAATCTCGATCGCACTTCGCACGTCGAACGGGAAGATACTCGAACCTCTGCTCCTCTTCCAGACCCCCGTGCCCACGGACAGGAAGAAGTCGACTTTCATTTCCAGCGCGACACTCGTACCACTCACGGTGGTCACGACCAGCACCAGCACGCCCACGCCCACGCCGGCCAGAACCAGAACAACTTCGTCTACGAGGAGCGCCGTGAGACCACTCGGTATCCCGAGGTTGACCTAGCTCGTGAACGGTCAGTACTTTTGTTGTTATTTTTTTTGTTACTGTTTTTTTGTTTTCAGCCTGTGTCTCTGCCGAAAGAAAGAGGAGAAACCACCGGGCGTTGCTCTTGCACCCAAAAATACCCACAGTGGAGAGCACAACAAGCGGTGTCACCCCAAACCGCCTGCCGCCAGTGGCTTTTCAGCTGCTCCGGGGCTAGCATGATCTAGTCCCCAAACTAATTACGTGGCACCAAAACAAATCAAATCAAAACAATCCGTCCCCAACCACTCCCCATATATCACACCAATCATCGGGCCCCCAACCCACTTCTCGTCCTTGTTTGTTTTGTTTTATCTAGCTTCTTGCTTCCCTTACCCGGCCGCTCACCCGCTCACCCCCCTTTAGCTACCGTGAACCTTCGGTCCGCTTCCAAGACCGCCCTCAAGTCTACGATAAGGCTCTTGAGTCCCAGCTCGACATCACCGAGCGTGAATATCGTCGTCGTACCGACCCCACCTACGACGTCAACGTCGCCTACGACCGCCGCTCCCAGGGTCCCGCCGTAGAGACTTACGAACAACGCTTCCCGGCCGCCGACGTCTCTTACGACCGATCTTCCCGTTCGCAGGTTGATCACTCTTTCGACCGTACCGCCTACGACCGCACCGCCGAGTCCCAGGTCTACGACCGATCTTCCCGCCGCCCCCAACAGACCAACGTCTCGTACGACCGCGGCTTCCAGCCCCAGCCTGTCGACTCCTACCGCGGAGACTCCTTCAGCCGCCGCGACCTGAACGTAGAGTCCGTTGCTCCCGCTCCGGCCCCTGCCACCAACCTCAAGGTTTACAAGACCAAGACTGTGATTGATCACCCCCCTGCTCGCAAGATGGGCTACTACGACGACGACGGTAACTACCACTCCTTCCGTCGTGGTGTGGAACGCGCTGCCGACCGCATCATGCACCCTTTCCATCACCATGACCATCACCACCACCATGACCATCATGATCACCACGACCGTGAGGATGTTGTCGTCGCTGCTGACGATCGCGGACCAGTTCGTTTCCGGGACGGTGTTCGTGAGGATGTGCGCATTGTCGAGCCCCGCTCCGGCGGTGGCGGCGGCGGCGCCTCCACCGAGTCCGTGCCCATCCCCTGCCACTTCGTGCGCATTGGCGACATCCTGATCCTCCAGGGCCGTCCCTGCCAGGTGATCCGTATCTCCGTCTCCCCCCAGACCGGCCAGCACCGCTACCTGGGTGTCGACCTGTTCACCCGCCAGCTGCACGAGGAGTCCAGTTTCATCTCCAACCCCTCGCCTTCCGTCGTGGTCCAGACCATGCTCGGCCCCGTCTACAAGACCTACCGCATCTTGGACCTGCGTGACGATGGCCGCATCGTCGCCATGACCGAGTCCGGTGACGTCAAGCAGGGTCTGCCCGTCGTGCCCCAGGGTCACCTCTTCCGTCGCATCCGTGAGGCGTTCGAGGATGGCCGTGGCAGCGTCCGCGCCCTGGTCATCAACGACGGTGGTCGCGAGCTGGTCGTGGACTACAAGGTGATCCACGCTTCCCGTCTGTAAATCTTTTACCGTGAACGGTTTAGCCTCGGGAATCGGTAAGTGTCTGACCCAATCTTCCCGTCCCAATGGTCCCGCGTGGCATTCCAGCTGACGTCACGCCGCAGTCCTGTTTCCACCCGCGCGACGAATCTTCTATTGTGCAGCAAATGATCCTTGACGACCTGCGAATTTTTGTGTACCTGACCTTGGATTTATGGATGATGGGAATGGCCTTGGAAAATGTTCAATTTGCTTCAATCTGTATCATGGGCCTCTCCTTGTAACTAGCAAACGTAATGTTGGAATCTGATTATGTAGACTGACCTGTCTTTCCTACTGTGCCCCTGTGCCATTGTAAGACCAAACCTTGTATCTCAATGGGATATGAACGTCTTGTAATAATATATCGGCCTTGGATTGTGCAGCGTGTGTTCGGAGTCAACTCTGCTGGCTCGAAGTTGAAGGTTTACCTTCTGCAATGACTATAACCAGTCTTTTCAATGGTGAGTAAGACTGTCAATATCAGCTCGAAGGGATATGGACCATTTTGGGGGTATATCAAACCATGTACCTACCTACCTGAAGCATCTGGGAAATATCAGTGTAAATAACGTCGATGTCTGATGGAAAGGGCAAGATTGAATGATAGTCAGGGCCACCAACCACATGTACCAGGCTTTATGAAGCAATCAAAACCGAAGAAAAATTTGACAAGAGAAGCAAAAGTCAGAAGAAGAATAAATAAAAGCAACGGACTTGATCAGAGCTGGATTTGGTGTTGATTTCATTTGGTGGTCAGGCAGCCAATAGACAGCGGAGACCCAACCTTTTCCGGCCCACCGTTGAATTTTGGAACGGCACCACTTTTTTGATCGGATATCCCAATCATACTTCTCGCAAAAGACAGCAAAAATTCAAAAAGAATTGACCGACGCAGGGGTCGAACCTGCAATCTCTTGATTCGTAGTCAAGCGCCTTGCCATTGGGCCAGCCGGCCTGGTACTTGTTGAAGATGGTTGAAAGTTGAGTACATAAAGCAAATATCAGTTTTAGGCACATAAAAGCAAGTACTGGACCAACAATATGGCGGAAACAGCAAGTGCTTGTAGTTTGACCAGCCTCTGTGGTGTCTTTTTTCCAATGCCTCAAATGCTGGAACTGACTCAATCTTGTCCAACAAATTGTTAAATTTATCACAAGGACAGCGGCAGGAGTGAATTCAACCACGGCGAGAATAGTCTCAACGAGCGCGCACTTGGAGATCTGGAAGTAGAGAACACAAGAAGTAGCATTCGAGGTCTAAACCAAGAACGTTCTTCTTTCAAAGCGCGGTGAAGTCCGTGGAATAAAGGCAGGTAGCTCACCGCGCTGCAAAGATCGCATTCATATCAGATTCTTGTGCCCTATCGCCAACAGAGGAAGAGGCCTAAAGGGGGGGGATTCGACCTTCGTGGTCGATGATGTTGTCTCCAGTACAGGCTGATATTCTAAATAAGAGAAAAAGCAGGCCAGGAACGGCATGTCGATCACCAAACATCAATGGCCATGAATGATCTGGAGACTGCATAAACGTGACTCATCGTCAGTAAAATGACTTGATTTGGCCAACTATTACGGAGTACATTGGTGGCATCCAGAACCGTAAGAGCACTCGCGTTTTGCTTCGATCCATGATCTGATAAAGGTGAGGCAGTGGTACAGCTGTGGAGAACAAGCAAGCTTGTCACAGAAGTCAGGATAATTGCCTTCGCTCGGAATCCCGGCTTTGCTTCCCCGGGTCAGGAGGATAATATGCAGCGTAGCTCAGAAAGAGGGGAAAACTAGATGATGTTCGCGATATGGAGGGCACCCTGGTGGCTGGCTGATTCCTGATCGTAATCTGTTTCTTCCATGATCAGTCTCCTGTAACTGGTAGGGATGACTGCGATAAACCATTGAAGGCAACTTACAAAGCATCGATGATCTGACGTACTGCCGAGGATCTTCAATTAGAGTGAATCGGAGGAATACCCCGCAGGCCAAGACATCGACCACATTGGGGCACGCATACAAAGCACAATTGATCGAGTGTGATTGGAAGAGAAGAGAAGAGAGAGAGCCAGCCTTCTGTCAGGGATCCGATCCTCCAGCGAGGTGCTTGCCTCTTCGGGCGGACACGTGAGGGCTCCAGGGCTGACCCCGCACCTTCCTTTTCTGCAGCAGAACCGATGATATCATTTATTCGGGGGAAGGAGCGTTGGGTTGGTACCTAGAGAGGAAGGAGCAAGTCGTGTTTATTGAGAGATCAAACGCATTGGAAGATCCCGCAACAATGGAGCCCTCAACGCCATATATGTTTAAGACCAAAACGGCAAGATCAGACAGGAGATAATAATGATAATCTGCATGAGAAGAGCCATGACTACCTATAAATATAGAAACAAAGAAGATAAAGAAACAAATTCAAACAGAGAGCCAGAGCCATGCAAGTTCTTGATCAATATACTCCTGATCACACCAAGCGAGAAAAGAAGGAAGGCAAGAGATTGGATATAACGCCGGCATGCCGGATCAATATGAGAAGAAAAGATCATCCGAAGAAAAAATCAGAAGGCCGGTTGCCATAAGAACTCATGTAAAAACGCCACGACCGGATCCGGTTCAAGATGCTGCTCCAGTAGCCATATTATACATATCCACATTGTGAAGAGAAGAGACAAACAGGGTATCGTGCGTATCAAAAGCCCCTCCCGCTATGGGATGAGGCTGCCCAGGAAGAAGGTATAGATAAATCTCGGAAATGGAGGCGATAAAGAGGAGTCACAAGAGGAGAACAATCCGGACGGTGAGGTCACCGTTCTCCAAATTTACCGTACTCCTGTTGCCATTTTAACAAATGCCGTGTGAGAACATCCATCATCTCAACACTAGTAAGATCCTTGAAATCTTTCTCCGCAGGTTGCCCGACGCCAGCGTCACTGTCGGCGGTGCCGGTAGCGGACTCGCCCTCACTTGCTGTCGATAGCAGCACATTTTCGAGTTGATCGCCCACGGCCTTCAAGATGATGCCATTGGGTCGTTCCCCGTTACCGGGTGGCGTGGTGGAACTCTCGCCGGCGACAGCCATTTCCACTTGCATTCGTGATATAAATTCCAGTATTGCCGCAACCCGTCTCTTCATTTCATTCAAAGTCGTCCGCTGATTCACGTAGCGAGGCCGACTGGGTTTTCCCGTCTCTCCCCCGTTTATATGCGCCCCATTTGCGCCGCCCACTCTCGGCGAATCCCCGCCTGTGTCATGCGACTGGCCGCGCCGCGGAGAGTTTGCCATAATGCTCGAATCGCCCCCATTGGTATGGACGTCGCGGTCTCTGGTATATTGATTACGTCCCACTCGAGTTCGGCGTGCAGGCGGTCGACCGGATTTGCGGGTGGAGGGACGCGGAGGCGCAGGTTCTTGAACAGGGGCGGGCGGCTCTGGACTGGGCTGCGGAGGCGCAGGGTCGTTCGCAGGCGGCTTGGTTGGTGACCCCGGTTCGTGGTCGGAATCGGTCCCTTGTGTCCTCGTTAGCGTTGACTTCCAACCGATTATGACGCAATAAGATTCTCATAAACATACCGTCGCCTTTCCTTTTATCGGTCTTCCCTTTCCGTCGAGTTGTCGTCTCCGGATTTTCCGCCTCGGGCTCTTCGGCATCTTTTGTCTCCTTGTCACGTTGACTTCGAGATGCAGCCCTTTGCCTTCGGACCCCATTTGTGACTGCCTTTGTTTTCTCATCGTCCGAGGCAGGTTGGGAACCGGGAATGCTCTGCTTCGAGGTGGCCCCGGGGGAAGGGGAGCTTGTACGCTGTCGTTTTGGGGCCTGCTTTTGACTATACGCGCACCGTTAGCGGCAATTCTCGGCCATCTCCGCAAATTTCTCCCGCAATCTTGTCCGAGGGGTTGGTCTACTTACGCTTCGCTATCACTGCGACTCCGTTTAGGCCTCCGAACGGCTGCATCTTCCGCAGCTGGACTAGTGTCTTCCTTGCTCTCCTCGATTGCACGGCGGATCAGCTCCTCTTCGTCATATGCAGCGTCACGGCTGTTCATGGTCGAGCGACGTTTAGGATTGGCGGCTGAGTCGCTCCCGCGAGATTTTGGATCCTTGGAGCGCTTCGCATTATCTCGTGAGGATTCCCGAGATGATGCTGCCGTCGAGGGGGGTACAACAGGGAGGTATGTGGATGAATGTTGTCTGCATGATTGTAAGCAAAATTGTCACAAGGGGCAAGTCAATGGCGTTGACAGGTAGGAAGAAGTAAAAAAAAAAAGGTATCGGGAAAAAAGAAATCGCAAGGAAAAGAGCGGCAGCAGAGTATTGCACTGGTTTTCCAGGTCTGGAAGACACGCAGTCGAATAACCCCAAGAGAAAACAATCCAGGGAAAAAAAAATCGAATTTTTTTTCTTCCTTCGAATGCAACGAGCGACATCTCTGAAGAAGTCTCTGGAACCAGAGGTAGGGGTAATATTCAAACTTACCCATTGGGTTCGTTTTTAATTCTGTGGAGGTCTTTCCGACACTCCTCACAGAAATATTCGTCGGGGCTCATCGCTTCATCCATAATGCCCACGCAGCCACCGTGCTGCCAAACTTTGCAGGAATCACACTGGATGAACATGCTGCCAATCTCATCGGACATCAGGTCCGACGAATCTGCGGACAAGTTCAGAGTCGACTCATCCTTGAGTCTGCCATGAACCCCGTTGCGACCGAGAGCCTCTCGACGAGAAGGGGGCAGACCCGGATATTCCTGCTGACCACAAAGGCACCGAGTCACCTCTTCTTCGTCGTCTTCTTCCGGTTCTTCCTCCTCGCCATCACCGTTTATACCATTGTCCTCCTCGCCTCTGGTGCGCTGGCGCTGGCGCGTTTGTGGGAAGTCATTCTTGGAGCCCTCATCTGCATCGTCGATGGACTGAGACCGGTTGGGAGAAGGGATTTTGTGGTTCGACCTAGTGCTCCTTTCTCGAGTCAAGGAGTTGGAGGAACTAGACGAATTTGTGTGTTGAAAAACGGCGGGCGAGGGTTGGGAGGTGCGAGCACGAGAGGAGCGACGAGGAGTCATGATCGATGCGGGTAGCTAAGGATATAGAGGAATCCGACAAAAACAAAAGAAAAGAGGATATAGAGGGAAAGGGAGAGAGGAGAAAATTTTATAAAACAATAAATATAGAGGAGAGCCGATCCAGCTCACGACGCAGACGAACAAAAGCTAGCCGTGGGCAAGCTGTCGCACGCGGGTGGAGAGCTGGGATTCGACAGCGACTGGTACAAGGGACACAAGAGGGGGAGGAGAAAAGAGAGAGAAAAGGCAGTGTAGGATTCCGCGGCAATTGAGAGCAAAGACATATACGATCCAAAAACTGCGTCGGGAAGCCCACGGCGAGAGCGAGGGCTACATAGTCTGGAGATTGAGGGAGAGCGAGAGAGAGGGTGGGGAGCAGAAAAGAGAGGAGGAGAGGACGAGCGAGCGAGAGAGAGAAAGCAAAAGGAACGCCGGGAACGGGACGCGGTTTGCGGTCAACCGGCGGCGGCTTTTCCCCGCTTCTCCCTCAACGCGACCATCTCGCTCGTCTCTTTCCCTCTTTCTTGCTCTCGTTTCGCTGATCGCTTTCTGCTGCTTTTTCTCTCTTCGGCTCGACGTCCGGCAGAGTGTGTTTCCCTCGCGGTCTGTCGCACTTTTGACATGGCCGTGTCGGTTCAACCGATGACGATGAAGAATCCCTCACCCATTCCAACCAGAGAGAAAGAAAACCCCGCTTCCCACCTTCGTCGAAGCCCCCTTTCAACTTGCATTCCTCCCCTTGGTTTTTCACCTGGGAGTTTTGCTCAAACTCTGCTTACTAGATTTCGGTTTCCCTATCCTCAGAACGATTACAGTCTCGGGCCAGAAAACCCGAAGAGCGTCGCAACGAAGGCCGATCCGTTCCCTCTAGTCGAAATGCCTCTACGAGAGTACCAATTTCCCCCCAGTGAGCGTCGGAGAAACACCTAAATCCCAATAGTCATGGCATGATGGTATGATGGTATGATGGTATAATGGTATACATATCCAATCCCCGGTTCGATGGGCAACGTCATACAGACTGGGGCCGAGGGGATAAGCTCTCTCGGTCTTCAGAAACACCGGGACTGCCACCCATCGCGCGGCAGGATGGCCAAGCTCACCTAATCCCGGAATTGTGTCGCGCGCAAGAATGACTGCGGAGAATGTCTAATGGACGGGTCTAATCTCTCGACGAAGCAAGAACACCATATATGACGAGTGAGATCATTATGCCCTGAAGGGAGGGAGAATTGCTCCTATTCTAGCTTTTTGTAGAACTTGGTATAACCCGGGACTTGCTGGCTACCGAACGGCAAAGGAGGTGATCCACGCAAGGTGCGCTGCTCAGTCCTGCGGCTTGCAGGGTGCCTGGGATTAGTTCTGAGGGGAGACGGAAGGGAGGGACGGTGATGGCGGGAGGACGTCGAGATTGTCGGGGTGGGGGTGAGGTGGGAATTCAATCTTTTGGGTTAGAGATGGGAGTGATAGCACGAAAAATGAGAGACGAGAAGAGAGACGAGAAGAGAGACGACAGATTATTGTCGGTGACGATGAATGAACCGTTGATGTCAGGCAGAGGGCAGACACCCGAATCGGGCCTAGCGGCAGACGCAGGCCTCAGGCACTCCAGGCCGGGCCAGCGGCCAATCAGCGGGCGGGAATCGCGGAGCCGGCGAGCAGGAATTATTAACGGACATTCGCTCGATTCCCCTCCGCCTTTTTCCTCCTGGATATCGACGGGACGGTCTAAGACCTATACTTCCCCTCCCCTCCGCCTCGCTCGCGCCTTTCGTACTTGTGTTTGGCCTGTCTGTCGTCGGACTTCGGTCCTGCTCGTGGCCTCTTCCTCTTTCTGCCTTCTTGCTGCGTCTCGGCGTCGATTGGTTTACCCCCCTTTTATGGAGTAGCTCGTTCGCTCCGAACGGTCGGTCGGTTCTCGTTTTCTTGGTTCCTTGGGATTCTTTTACCGAACAACAAAAGTCTGCAACCGTTGGCTGCAGTTCAACCACCGCTACTTTCTTTTGGGCACCTGGTAAGACCTCTCTACTGTCCCTTCGCCGGATCTCGGTCTTGCTGCGGGCTGTGGAAGACCGGCAGAATCCCTTGGCCACATTAGGCACCGAATGTGTGGGCGGCGGAATTGCCAGCGTTGCTGTTCGAACCTGACAACTGACGGTGGGTAGTGCGGTCTAGGAACTTCTCCATATTTCCTCCATCCCTCCCACTTTCCTCCATAATTCCCCCGTCCAATTTCGGGATCGAGAAGGAAGTCTGAAAGAAAACCAGCCCAGAAAAAAAAAGTATCGGTGGCTATAGATAATCCGGTGGTCAATCTGGAAGAAGGAAAAATTAAAGGAACCTCAACCAAAATCATAAAAGGAAAACAAAAAGCGAGGGAGAGAGGCTCACACCTTCCTTCTCCGCCCGGCATAGGATTGGAATATAAGGACACAGCAGAAGCCGTTCGGCTGCGGTCGTGGAGGTCGCGAGAGCCGAGATTCTGGCATGATGACTGCTACGTTGAGTATGTGCTTCTTCACCCAGAATGTTTGCTCCTCTTGGGAAGACATCGTCTGGCCTGAGCGTGTGCAACCTGCTTAGAATCGGATGGCCAACTCCCGCGAGAAAGAGAGAGAGCAAGCGAAGGAGAGGATCTGCTGTTGCTCAGGTGCTGATATTGTCCCCTTCTTCGCAGATGGGATGTATAATACGGCCCCCGATACTCCGTCCCCAGTCTATCCGGACAGGCTGATTCGTCCCCTTCCCAAACGTACCCTGCGCTCGCGCTTGTCGTCCGATGCGGCCGATACGATCTTGTATCCCCCGACCCCTCCGGCCACGCAGCTCTTCTACGGGAGTGGAGCGGACAGCGGGGAGGCCGTGAATGAATCCAAGATATACGTGCAGCAGAGCGACGGCCCGGATCAGACGCTCGAGCGGGATCCCCATCTCCTGTACGAGAACGGCGTCGACTTTGAGAGCGGGGACGAGGACGGTCCGGTGGTGGTTCGTCGCAGTGCCGGCTTCCGCGGGTCGTCCTTGTCGCCGTCTGCACCACCCCAACCGCTCCCCAGCAACGGGGAAGGGCCACCGACCAAGTCGGCAGGTCCTGACGGGTATGATGCCTTCGAGAACACTAACAATAAGAAGAAGCGCAAGATCCCCACCCCGGGCAGTTTGGGAAGCCACCACTCCACCCTCTCGCCGGAATTCTCCAACATGGGCCTGACGAGCTCTGCCCAAACACCTCCCGCACAGATGGATGGAAGCCATGTGAGTACCTTCTATGGAACGGGGAGCCCGGCATCTCCCGTCGCCAGTGGGAACTCGGGGTCGGGACGGGGCCGACTGGCGCGTCACCCGCCTCGCAACGGTCCGGGGAGAGCTCCTCCAACGGCCGTTCACGCGCAGGCAGGCATGCCTCAGGGCCGAGTAGCGGGTCGTCGGGACGGTCAGATGTCCTCGCCAGGACCGGCAGGTATGTTGGACAGTGCTGCCTCGGGGGATCATCCCACTCATCCGGATTCAGGTGATCCGGCTCCCAAGTCGGAGCAGGGAATCATCTCCGCCGCCATAGCCAATGCTGCCGCTGCCGCGTTTTCGTCGCCGCCTCGCCCGGACAACGCCAGTATGCTCGAGCAGCGTCAGCCCACCACCCCCACCAAAACCCAGTTCACCTTCACCTGCGAATCGGACTCGTCCAAGGGAATGGCAATGCAAGCGCAGAACACGTACCCAGCTCAGAATCGCTCTCCCCGCTCTCCCCGCTCCCTCACCCCCACGGCATCGAATTCGCGAGCCTTCTCCACGCAAGGAACACAAACCAGCCCGCCCGTCGCCTCGCACATGAACCCGCCCGCTGCAAACGCCGAACCGCCGCCGGCCGATCGGAAGAAGAAGCGGTCCCCGGGTAGTATATACGCCTTGGCTGCGCGAGGGCGGAAGGTTCAGCAGCAGTACACCAATCTCCAGCACCCGCCCGGCCTGGAAGACATTTGGATCTGCGAGTTCTGCGAGTACGAGAGTATCTTTGGGCGCCCTCCCGAGGCACTGATCCGACAGTACGAGATCAAGGACCGCAAGGAACGCAAGCGCTTAGCGGAGAAGAAGCGACTCCTGGAGAAGGCGAAGATGAAAGGACGCAAGAACAAGAAAGCGACGAAGAACGCCGCCAAGAACTCAAGCGCCCAGCCCGCGGCGTACGAGCCGGGGTACGACCGAACCTCCGCCGACCATTCTTCCATGGGGCCGCACGGAGGGCACGAAGACGACGAATCGTTAGCCAACGACCCCGAGGACGAAAGCATCGCCGCGCCGCCGCCGGGACCGCCTCCAGCCGCGTTCAAGTCGCCGGTGCCGCCGGGACCCCCGAAGCTGGCGTCGGGCGTCAAAGGCGCGGCGGACGGAGGGACCAATCGACCGCCCTGACAGTGGTGCTTTGTCGTGAGCGACCTTTGTTTCGGTTTCTTGTTCTTGGTTCCCTGCGCCTATCTCGTCCTTCTTGTCCACTGCGCCGTATTCCTTTTCCATTGTGTCTTTCTGTTTTGCAGTACTGATTAGCCTTTCTTTTCTCTTTCTTTCTTACTTCCCATCCTTTATGGTTGTCTTTTGCAGACGATTTTGCATCAATGAATCCCCACTCCGGTTTGACGAGGATCACGCCAGCCGCATAATGAATGTGCATTGAAACGTTTCTGTCCTTGGCTTTTTTCTTTTAGGTCAGGAACATGGTATTTGTGGAGCAATATTTGATTTTTATTTTTTATTTTTGTCTTGGGGCCTTTCTGCCTCAGGAGGGTCTACAAATGAGCATCGATAATTTTAGCAGGAGCTGAGTCTGAGAGGGGAGGGAGAGCGTGAGAAGAGGAGGAAGGAGTTTCGCCGATGAAACGATCCAGTTCGGGTTTGAATAGGACTGTTGCATACTTAGTTTGATTGGAAGACTGTCACTTGGCATCTGCCTGATTTTTGTTACTCCGAAGGTGTGCATTGTAGACGTGAAGTCCCGCCGGTAGATCCAATCGCAGGCCCTGGTTGTGCAGGAGTTAAATATAGCTCAACCCTGGAGATCGTAGCTTGTTTCCTTTCTCTTCCCGGCGCCTGGCCTCCTCCAGTCAGATCACTCGTCCAGTTCTTCAGAGTCCCTCCATTCTGCACGACCCGCTGGGCGCTTGCGGATGTCGCTGAATGAAACTCGACGGCCGTTTGCCTGCAGCCCTTGGCGCGCGCGTATCTCTGACGGCGGGTTTCGGACGCAGCAGTCGACGCCGAGATCAATGGACGAGAGGCGCCGAGGGAGGTGAGTGGTCTGTGGGCGGTTATTATTAGGTCGGGCAGTTTGGAGGACCTACCTAGACAGGGATGGGATGGGATGGGATAGGGCAGGGAAGAGGAGACTGGGGATCTAGACAGGACTGCGTGAATAGGCATATAAAGGGATGAGGTTCTCGCCTTTATTGAACCATTCATTCCATCATTCATTCGATTCATTGACTCTTTCACTTCGGCTTTCCTTTGTTCCTCTCTCTTTCGGCGCATTGTTCTGCTCCTTCTTTCATACTGCATCCATCCCATCCTGAGACTCGTATACCGAATACTTTAATTGACTGCGCTGGCGCATCCTCTGTCTTTTTTGACTTGATCTTCATTACTTTGGTCTTTCCTTCGGACTATACTCACACATACACTACTCTACCACCTATCATTTGCCGAATCGACCCAAGTGTCTCAATTCACAACATCTCATTCCAACCCTACTTAATCAAACCCTCACCACCCACCACCCAAAACAAAAGCGAAAAAAAGAAAGAAAATGTGGTTCATCCTCCTCAAAATCTTCAAATTCGGCTTCAACCAAGCCAAAAAGCACAACGCGAACAAAAAAGGCCAACACCCCGACGACCTCTCGAACCCCAGCTCCTTCAACATGGCGGCCCGCTCCTTCGGCCAGCCCTCGCCCCCTCCGCCCAAGAAACCACTCAAGCACTACCTCGCGCTGACCCTGCACACCCTCCAACTCATCTTCGGCATCACCGTCCTCGCCCTCTACGGGTCTGAGATCCACAACGCGCACGAACGCAACGACTCCGCCGCCCCGGAGGCCGTGTATGCGGTGATCACGGCGCTGCTGGCGCTTGTCACGGCTGCGGGGCTGCTGGTGTATGTGGCGTTTGTGAAGGCACGGGCGGTGGGCGGTAAGGCGGGGGTGTTGATGGGGCTGTTTGCGTGGCAGGGCATTCTGGTGATTTTGTGGCTGGTCGTGTTTGGCGTCTTCGCGGCGAAGTATCTGGGCAGCGAGAAGAAGAAGATGCGCAGGGCTGTGTGGATCGATTTGGTCTGTCTGGTCATGGCGGTTGGGGCGGCGGCGTGGGCGGGTTTGAGGTGGTGGAGGGGGAATCGCGCGGAGGGAGATGGGGAGGAGAGTTTTAAGGGGGTGCAGCATCAGCAGCAGGAGGAGGAGAAGGAGGTTGTTTAGTGGGTTGGTTCAGGTTGGGTCTTTGGTTTGGGTGGTTGGGTTGTGAAGGGGAGATGGGGTGGGATGTGTTGTTATTGCATGAGTTGATGTTGCATGGGTTTGTTATTCTGTTCTTTCTGGAGTTGGGTGATTTTACTAGAAAACGGAAGATGTACTCAAACAGAGCGGTTGCATTGATCTTTCCTGATAATACCAATTCATCAGCGTGTACTACAGTTCCTCCAATCCATGATCGGTTCTCCAGATGTAGGATCCTAGTCCTGATAACCAGCCTATCCTAGTCTTCTGTCATGTCATGCTATCATTCTGCCGAATTCAACGCGTCCTCGGGGATGCTCACAACCTGGGTGTCAGCTTGTTTATTGCGGCTCTCTTCAATCAATACGCTCAGTTGACTCCGTCCTTTCGGTGCAGACATCGATGTCTGAGGCGATGGAGTCGCGTCGCCGGTCATGCGCCCTGCACTTGACATGGACCCCGTGGCCGGCGTCATGATTGGAATCCCAGAGCTGGCAGAGGTGGGGGACACCCACTCGTCAGGTGAGGGTCCGGGCTTTGAATATGGTGTGTAAACGGCGTCGCTGGGGAGAACAACCTCTGAGACGTTAGTTGTGGCTTGAGGTGCGGCATTGGTGGCGTCTGCATCTGCAGCTTCTCCGAGCGACGGGACTAGCTCCTCGTATTCCTGCCGTTTTCTCTCTGCGAAGCGCGTGCGGAAGTCCTTGTCGACGAGTGACGACGACGAGGGCTGGGGCGCGTAGTTCTCTGCCGAGAGGAAGTTAACATCATAGTGGGTGAAGTCGTCGCGGGTCACGTAGCCCCATTTGGGGGGTGTCGACTTGGTCCCCTGCGAGGGGACCCATTTGTCGCCCAGAATGCCTTTAAGACTGGTTAGAAATGATGCGGGGAGTTCATTTGTGCCGGCCGTTGTCTCCTTGGCCTCTTTACCAGGCTCGGGAGGTTCTAGTGATAAATTAGATGTCAAGAACGTTTGCTGTTGCTAAGATCGATGACTTGGTATAAAACTCACCCTCCACTGATGGCTCCTCCATCTCCGTCGTGCTGCCGCTGTCCTGTTCCGAAATTTGAACCGGGGATGTGGAGGTCAGCGGAGTTGGGATCCGTTGCGGACTATGGGTACGGGTACTTGCCCCGGAAGATGTTTGGGAGGACTTGCGTCGCATGAGCACGGGTCGCCGCTTGTTACTTTTTGCCTTGCCTGCTACAAAATAGGCCTTCCGGCTGGGGGGAGGGACTGGAGTGGGAGGGGTGGATGGTTTGCGAGTGATACTCTGTCCTCCAACTCCAGTGAGCAGCAGTCGCGTGGTCTTCTGCGTTTCGCCGTGCGAGGTATTTGATTTCTTTAAGATGGGTGGGGGCATAGGCGTGCGACTGGACCCGTTGCTGGATGGCGATTTATCGTCATTAGGGGCTATGTTAGTGTGAGATCGTGCTTGGGGTGCCTGATAACGCTGGTCAGTGTCCCTACTGAAATGGCTCTATGATCTTCCGCTCGCACCTTGGTGGTTGTCGGCTGCGGAGTGGCGAGAGATAATGGACTAGCCTCTGATATGCGTAGAAACAGCTTGGCGAGTCTAGACCCATCTATCGATCTGCAGAGGTCCTCGCTGCTCCAGATTCGCCAGAAGAAATTCTCCAGTCTGTGACCCATGTCACCCTCGTGGACCGAGGCATTCGCACTATAGGCTACGTTGTGTGAGTCAGGCAGGCCCCCCCGTACTGATAGCAATCGAGGGCACTCACCCTTCCACAACTGCACAATGTCACCGACATCCACTGCAGTCTCATCCTCCAGAGTCGACGGCACCTGTCCTGTTGACGACACCAACCCTTTAGGAAGCTCATCCATTGTAGAAGAGCAAGGCGACATTGAACCGAATACTAGGTGGGCAGCAGAGTTCCGGTAACTACATGATCAGAGGGGGGAGAGCGGGGAGTAAAAGCGATCAAAACATCAGAGAACGGGAAACAAAAGGAGTGAAGAAAGGAGTTGGAAGAGAAAGAAGGGCGGGGAGAAGGCCCCAGCTAGCAAATATATGGCAATGACGGGGTTTCTGGCGGTGAATTCGCGAGGCAACAAATACTGATTTAGCAAAGCAGGGAGGCAGGCAATATAAGATAGGGCCAATGAGTAACGCGTGAAGACCGGGGAAAAAGCAGGCTGCGGCGACTGGGTGAGGGATTCGATGGCCAGTCTGGGGTAACAGCTGCAAGGGCCGATGGTTGTCAGTGGCCAACGAAAAAGAAACGAAAACAAGCACCCAGCAGGTTAGCACCAATAAATGGGTGCAGCCATGTCGGCACCAGATACTTGCTTTCTGATTTATTATTTCAGCCGCAGGGTGCAGAGAAAGAAGCGACCAAGCCCTTCTGCGTAGTTTCACCTTCGGATCAGTCGATCGATCTTTTAGGCACCTGCTGCCTTAATCTATCCAGCCGGAGCGTTCCGATAAACTAAGGAGTAAACAGCCGGAGGAAGAGGGATCGTCTTATTGACGTGGTGATTTCTCTGACAAAAGAAAAACCACGTCAGTCCTTGCCAGCCGAATTTTTTTCTTCTTCTCCTCCTTCTCCTCCTTCTCCTTCCTCTCGTATACGAGCAAACGAGGGACAAAGAACCGCCGTCGACAGCCGCGGATAATCGGAGCAATGCAGGGCCGGGCGAAAAGTCGGGTGTATTTTTACCCCAGGATGTGGATGTGATGAAGAAGTGAGCGATGCATGGAATATATCAAATCGACAGTGGCCGCCCTTCCCCCATCGGAAACGATCATGCGAGGTCATGATATCCAGCAACTCGGCGAATTAAGCGGGCCCCAGGGAGGGAGGATCTGCCGTCAACTGACCCGGAAGATGCCTGGTTCCTTGGTCTTATTGGCGATGGTCAGCCCAGACTCGGTGCCAGTTCCAGAGATCCATCGCGCATTCCCACGGTCTTTGTCAGACCTAAATCAAGACTAACTGCGTCGATCCAGCCGGGAGTTCGGGGTTTATTGGCCCACCACCTTCCTTTCGCTGATGGCGAGACCCCCACGGCCCATCAGTCATTTGGCCAGGCACTGGTCTTGGGACGTGGTACCAAGTGGGTAATCAGAATGATGACAATCCTCTCTCTCCGTCCAAGGCCCTTCTTACGGCGGGGACTGGATTGATCCCCATCGATCCTACGGAGGAATCCAGAAGGTCAACTTCCTCGGCGCCGGCGACGCCCTCACGCGTGCGGATCACCTGATGCCATCATTCGGACGCCCCATCGGGTCTAGCGCTGGGCTTAGTCAGTCCAGAGTATAGTTACATGGCCAATTCTCTACAGGTCAACTCGATTCATTTCCTCTGCTCCAGGATGCATATGATACAGAACAACCCCGCGGGGAGGCAGACCGAGCCATGGGCGGTGCACGTCTTGCTACTGTCTCAAATGATGTTAGCAGAATAGTCTCCTTAGAACAGTCCCCTTCAATACTGTTCAATGTAAGCTGCATTTATTCGGTAGTCTATTTTCCACAGGTGCTGCTCATAAGGATATCAGGAACCATTAACTCCCTAGGAAAATAGGGTATGACTCCAACAACTTCCACAGCTCACAATGGAAATCATCCACCAGTAGAACAACAGAATAATATACTTGATATAAGCAACCAAAGCGCGAGAACCGAGGCGTAAATGTCCTGCTCTTACGTACACCCTATATATCCAGAGCTCTATGCATATCGCCCTGGTCACGCCAACCCAGTGGCAGACTTTTGAACAATGACCCCAGTATACAAATCAAATTGATAGGCTATAGTTGCACTCGGTAAATAAATGACCAAAGGCAAAATAAATTCAACGTCATGACAACAATTGCTTCCCCCGGTGCGAAGAAAAATCAAAATAAAAAAGGAACCCCTGGCGGCAGGGTCGGCTGCAGACAATTACTTAATTCATGGCTTCAGGGGGGACAAACACACTTCTAGAGTGTTGCACGAGTTTCCATCGCCCGTCAATTTCGGACGCCGATATAATCCTGCACTGTGGCGGCCTGTGCGATTACCCTGCTATCTGGCCAGGGAGAGAAATCAGTCAGCATTTCCTGTCTTCCATGTTACTCTTGTTGCGGAGGAGTCCTTGATACAGATTAGACTACTGTGGGCACTGGGACTCCCGACTCATACTTCGCAATTAAAGCTGACCCACAGCTCCACAGATCTGAATCGAAACATGACATCATGCTAAAGATAATGCGACAAGAGATCTATTGCAAACAAATTCCAACCGTTATTTTTTGAGTACTCCATAACAAGAATTACCGCCCTGCTCTCGCTTGTAATATCAAAACATACACCTGATTCCTCGGGAGTCGCTCCCCCAACATAACGCAGAAGCAATCGGAATGCAGCTCAATGGGTATATCGCCTCGTCAAGAAAACAAGAGGCGTAAAGAGCTGATCCGAGCACCAGAAAAGTACCATGCCCAGAACAAAACAAAAGAAGCTGGTCTATCACGATCCATGATTAAGTCCGTACATCATACTGTATACTTAAGACAGTAGTATCGATCGCCCATGGCGACCAAAACAAAAGGGTATGCTACACACTTAGGTAAGAGTGTAGCCACCGTCAACGCGGAGGTCGGCGCCGGTGATGTACTTGGCGGCGTCACTCAAGAGGAACGTAACGGCACCCATCAGATCCTCAGGAGTACCCATCTTGCCGGCGGGGATGAGGGAGATCCACTTGTCTCGCAGTTCGGGGTTCTCGTCCAGAATTTTGCGAGTCCTAAAGGAACGTCCATGTTAGCAAAGCTGCACTTGATGCGTCATATGGAAGCAAAACATACAGAGCAGTCAGCATATATCCAGGACTGATGCAGTTGACTCGGATGTCATGACCGGCCCATTCGACAGCAAGCGAGGCGGCCAGATGGCGAACGGCAGCCTTCGCGGCATTGTAGGGGGCTTGGGGTTGAGGAACGTTGACAATGGCACCGGACATGCTGCCAATCATGACAATGCTGCCCGGGACTTTACGCTCCATGAGGTGCTTGGCAACACCCGTCGCAAACAAGTATGTGCCGTCCACGTTGACTCCCCAGAGCTTCTGGATGCGGTCATGGGGGTAAGAGATGGCGTCGAAGTTCTCGGTAAACCCAGCGGAAGTGACCAGACTGTCGATGCGGCCGTGCTTGGAAATAACCTCGGCGATGGCTGCGTTCACGGAGTCGGGGTTGGCCACGTCGGCGTAATGAGCGGTAACGTTGGGCATTCTAGGAAGACGAGTGTGGTTAGCCATGTGCAAGGATTGAACAGGATCAATTGATGACTTACTGCTCCAACCCAGGGTTTTCCTTGCGGAATTGCTCCACCAGTTTAAGTGCCTGTTCCTCAGCTTCTTCCTCTACAGGAAACAATTAGGATAAATCGCTCCCTGGTCAATACGGGTATACGTACTGTTCAAATCAACAATTGCAAGATCGGATCCCGACGCGACGAGGGCCTGAGACATGACCAGCCCCAGACCTCGAGCTCCTCCCGTGACCAGTGTGACCTTGTTCTCCAAAGAGAATTGTGCTAGGGTTCGCTTGAAGTGCATTCCACCGCGTCCTTGGACAACGGGTGAACGAGGCATATGTTCGTCATCAGGATATTCGATCTGCAGGCTCTCGTCTGTACGGGCAAAGCGACCCTCCGTTTCCCCCAGAGTACCCTCAGGAGCCTTTGTGGTTGCTGTCAAGAAGGGGTCGTTCTTGATCTTGTCTTCTTCGTCATTTTTGGCACGCGGCGCGGTGGAGGAGATGGAACGGAAGGAGTTCGTCACCGCTGGCCGCGATGTAGCGGTCAATACAGCCGAACGAGAGGCATGGTTAAGAGCCTTGCAGGCCTGACGAGCGACCGTGGGCCTGAACATTTCGAATCGTATGGATGCAGGAATGAGTCAATGACAGCAATGAGATTATTATCTCGGGGAATTGGGTTTCTCAATGGAAGAAGTGTTCTTGGTCACAAAACAAAACAGAAATTATGGGGATGAGAGAGAAACAGAAGTAGAAAAGGAGGACGCTGGGGGGGCTGAATCAGTATATGTAGTAGTAGCTCTACCTACGTAATGGGGAAAGAATGTGGGCAAAGGAGGGTTTGGGAGGAATTAGTGATTTTTCTTTTGGTAAAGGGGCAACGAAGAGCTGTTTACTAGAGGCAAACAGTGGAGAAGGTACAAGTGGTCTACAGGGTGAGCGGTGGAACAACAAAATAGATTTTTTTTTTTTTTTTAATAATAAAAAAAGAAAATACGAAAAAAGAAAAAACCTTGAGCTACTGCGTAGACAAGGAGCTGCCGCGGAATGTAAGAAGTAGCTAGGGAGCGCAATTGCGGTGAAACCAGCCGCCAAGGAGCATAACAAAGTAACGAGGACTGGCTGTCAGGGTACAGACCACAGAGGCTACAGGGTACGAGAACCCCGGAAAAGGGTGATGTCAGGCGGTGATCCTCCCCGGGCCAGGCCCCAACCGCCATGCAGCGATCGGCCCCGCTGGAGCGCCTTTTCGCCTCCCGCGTGACCGCCGCCGTCCTCACCGAGCCTTCCAACGCCTTCTGGATCTTCTCCATTCCTCTTGGCCGTTCCTTTCTGGTCGGGATCAGTCTCCTGTATCCCACGGAGTACATAAACTATAAGTATTCCTACCTTATCTGCTCCCCAATCATTACTCATTCCATGACACACAGCTCCTACCATCATCTCTGGTTGTACTCTGCAGTCTATGTAATCGGCAAAGCACAGTGCGCAGCATGCAGCAAATAACCCCATGCAATATTGAAGACAATACCTTAAGTCCTACCTCGATCCTCGATCTGGCAAGTAGTCCATCTTTGGGTGACCCGAGTCCGGCTGATTCGTGTCAATGTATTGAACCAGCCTGGCAGCTCATGGTGAGTTCCCTGCTCTGTAAATTGCAATGTCTTAGAAACCGCGAAACCCCGACCCATGTAACCCAAAAGGAACATAGCCTCGATGCAAGTCCTAATGATTTTACAACTCTGGGTAGCTATATGCACGCATGTACGCAGTACAAGCACAGATCTTCGATGGCAAAAAACACCCTGGGACTCTGGGAGTTACTCGCCCTCCCTTCCGGCACGTACTTTCAGATCAGCGCATCAGATTTCATCACAATGACCCCCACCCCTCCCCCTTCAGCCAACTAAGTGCACCCCGGACTAAATTGTGGAAAGGATCGTCATGCCTGGGCTGAGCCAATGTGCACGCTCCAGAGAGATATATAACGGCGAGTCACTGTGTACTACCTAACGTGTACAAGTGGCCAACCTCAGCAGGCATTCTATTTTGCCACACGTAACCTCAACCTTCAGCCCACTCTTTCTGAGCTCTGCCCTCTGAAAAGGGCTACGATCGAGGGTCGAGTACAGCGTAACTGTTTCCTTTGCCAGGCATCCCGTGCGCTAATGACGAGTGGGGCCAACGGTAAGGTAATCCGGGCCTTGAAACTAGGGCTTGTTTGGGTCTTCCCGCAGGTGGACTCCCGACCAGTAGTCCAGTACCCGGCGTTCTTCGGTTCCTTGGGGATTCAGGATTCTCCATGCATTTCTCTTTCTCTCTCTGGCCGTCGTTGGAATTATTAATCAATCCTCCTGTCAGCTCATTCTACTCATTTCCTCCACCGTCAGATTCGGGATCCGCTCCCCGGTAAGCTTACCTGATGTGTAGACAGGTCCCTATGTACGGTGTCTAAGCAGATCGCCATGGCTGAGGCGATGGCCGGGATGTATGTGTCGGGCAAGCCGGGAGCCGTCCTGTGGTGACCACATGACAGCGCCTCGGACCGTACTATACAGAAGGAAAAGTCAATTGATTCTCTTCGGTACTTTTTGAGTTTGCTGGAACTTGGTCAGATCGGAGTTTGCTGGTGTATTTTTGGCTTTGGCTTTGGCTTCATTTATCGACTTGCTTTAAGAAAAGTTTAAGAAAAGATTATGTATGCTTTCGATCGCGTTACTCCGTATCCAATACCCCGGATTGTTTAGCTCTGGTTCCTGCCGTCTCTGTTCGCCGTCGTAGGCCTTCGTCCCTAGGTCCACCTACGTCGTAGCTCTGTACGTGGCCTCCCTTGCAAGCTGCAACGCCCTTCTTGGCAACCATCTAGCTTTCACCGCCCTCGTCTGCGAATTCAACAAGCGGTGTTCCGCTCTTGCATTGGTCCTGCAAGGTACACGTTAGTCATGAGAGTGAATTTCATTGGGCCCGCGGTGGAGAATTTCGAATCCCAGGGGAATGGCTGTGGAAGCTTGACCCGGGGTCCGTGCAGATTGCCAATGGTACCCGGGAAAAAGCCTGGAGGCAATGAAGAGAAAAAAGGAGGTCTGGTCTCGTCCAGGCCCGTTTCAAGTCCGTCCGTGTCCTGGTCACCCGACCCGGCGTTGAATTCCCAGCCGGGCCGAGATCCAACCCACGGAGCCACTGGGCGGCAGATGAAATGAATAGTAACCCGCCTATGTTTCCGATGGGTTTTATGGTGCAGGGGTGTTGTAGGGGAAGACAAAGAGGGTGAGGGAAAAAGTCCAAAAATAAAGAAAGCGCGTGACCTACTCCTTTTTGATGTACCACTTTGGAAATGGTCCCCTTCTGCGGGCTGCGGATGACCGTTTCCATTTTCATACTCTCAATCACCACCAGCGGCTGGTCTTTCTCCACCACGTCGCCGGCCTGGACCTCCACCCGCAGCACTTTGCATGGCATCGGCGCTAGAACGCTGTTCGTGACATCTTTCATGCCCAATGCCTTTTCCATCCACTTGGCCCGCGGGATCGTGAGCCGGTATTGTGTCCCTTTTTGGAACGCAATGATCGAGTCCTCGTCACGGATCACCGTGGTGTCGAGACGGGTGTGAGGGAAGAACGACGTGATGACCTGCGATGTCGAATCCCGATGGCTTTCAATCTGTTCAAAAACACGCTCGCCAACTTGCACGTTGAACGTGGTATCACCCGTTTGTTGGACACGAACATTAAACGGGGTGTTTTCCTTGGTTCCAGGCGTAGAATCTGCCAGAGTTATCTGTCGAGCCTGGTAGCCTGGGCTGAAGCCAACAGCGGAGCCTTCAAAAGTCGCCTGCTTCCGAGTGACTGGGGTAGAATCGTGGTGTAGGCAGGCTAGAGCTACCTGTGCTAGGAGCTCGGGCTCTACTGGGTTCCTGCCGAACAGCTCCTCGCGGTGCTTTTCAATGTAACCCGTTTCTACTTCTCCGGCGATGAAGTCGGGGCTCTTGCAGATTGTTTTCAAAAACTCGATGTTGGTGATTGGCCCGGCAACTTCATACTCCTCCAAAGCAGCGGCAAGCTTGCGAATGGCCTCTTCACGAGTGCTTCCTCGCACGATGAGCTTCGAGATCATTGGGTCATAGTGGGCGGAAACTTCATCTCCGGCAACAAAGCCCGCGTCGATTCTGACGTCTTCGGTTACGGCAGGTGTGCGAACATGGAGAAGAGTGCCGGAGTCCGGGATGAATCCTTGCTCAGGATTCTCTGCGTAGATTCTCGCCTCAATTGCATGTCCACTGCTGGCCATATACGTCTCAACTTCTTCCTGAGTCAAAGGAAGCTTTCCGCCCTCGGCCACCTTGAGCTGCCAGTAGACAAGATCCTGGCCGGTGACCATTTCCGTCACCGGATGTTCAACCTGCAGTCTGGTGTTCATCTCCATGAAGAAAAACTCGCCCGTGTCGTTGTCGAAAATGAACTCGACAGTACCAGCGCCTTCGTAGCCAACGGCCAAAGCAGCCGACCGGGCCTTGGCCCAGATGTCTTTCCTTGTGATATCAGGCAGATGAGGAGCGGGAGATTCCTCGAGGATCTTCTGGTGTCGCCTTTGGATACTGCAGTCTCGCTCACCGAGCGCAACGCAGTTCCCATGCTTGTCCGCAAATACCTGTACTTCGATATGCCGCGGTGTGGTAATGAATTTCTCGACCAGGACATGGTCGTCCCCGAACGAATTCATAGCTTCAGATTTGGCAGACTGTAATTGAGCCTGGAATTCCTCCTTTGAGTTGGCAATCCGCATGCCCTTTCCACCGCCACCTTTGATTGCCTTGATAAGCACCGGGTATTTGATCTTGTCGGCTTCGGCTTCAAGATGGTTGACATCTTGGTTCTGACCGTGGTAGCCAGGAACGCAAGGCACTCCTGCGGCCGTCATGATCTTTTTGGACTGACTTCAAGGATTTTAGCGATTGAAAATTGCCCAGACAACGCAAGCTAGCCTACCTCTTGTCTCCCATGTCTTCAATTGCTTTCCAGGGTGGGCCAATGAAGACCAATCCAGCTTCAGTGCATTTCCGGGCAAAGGCAGAATTCTCGCTCAACTAATACACCACCAAATTATTAGTCGGGTCAGCTGCCACCGATTGGGTTAAAAACGTACAAAGCCATAACCCGGATGTATCCCTTGGCAGCCTTCTTTCTTTGCGATCTCAATTATACGGTCGCCATCGAGGTAAGCCGACACCGATCCCAAGTTGAAGGCAAACGGAGTGCTAAGCGCATGCTGGGCCCGGCTGTCTGGATCTGTATATAGCGTAGTTACTCGGATACCGTGCTCTGCAGCCGTCCGACCGACTCGTCTTGGGGAATCACATTAGCACCGGTACCGACATGACCTTTGGTACGATATGCAAACTTACAACGCAATCTCTCCTCGATTTGCGATAAGAATCGAATCCAGCGAGGTCCGGGGTTTCGAAGCGCCCGAGGCAATCGTGGATGCCACTCTTCTCGACCTCCGAGCAACCGTCGGCCCCAGGCGGGTCGTGGTGCGGAGAAGCGCCGGCAGAGGCATTGTATGGAGCTATGGGTATGTATTGAGGGCCGATCAAAGCGTGGAGATGGACACAACACCAGCAAAGATCAGGTATAGACAGACAAATCAGTGCATTCTCAGGTCTCCTCGCAAGGAAGCAGGAAGAGCTGCGGACCAGATTCGCCTTAAAGCAAGACGAGGAAAACAGCACCCCGGACTCCCTTTGCCGACGCAAAGCGAGCCTGCGGGGAAACTGCACGTGACCCGCGATCCACCGCGGCCGGCCTCAGGCTGCGCTTTTTGGGTCTAATCAATTTTCACCGAACGCGATCGCTGCGACGTCATCCTTCAGCCTCCTTTCCCCTGCTCGGTGTTCGCCTGGGCGGTTCTTTGATTGTTTCTTCTGGTTGTTTTTCGAGATTGTCTCTTCTACCTGCCTGGTTTTTTTCTATTTCTTGCTTTCTTTCTGCCCCATTCGAATCCTGCCAATTACTCATCCGTCAACCAATTCATCATGTCGGACGACGAAGACTACTACGACGAGTTCGACGAGATCTTCTGGATCGAGGAGCCTGAGCCTGAGATCGCCGTATGTCTAAGCCTTTCGACCCTTCACCATTCAGTTCCAATGAGCCATAAAACTCAGACGGTGCCAATCGAGTCCCCTCAACTGAAACTGACCAAAAATGCCAGGACGACCTCGCCGCGACCGCCACCTACGACGCCATCTTCTACGAAGACCCCTCCCTCGAAGTCGAAGACTTCTGGAGCGACTGGGACGAGATGTCCGACGATTACTACGACGAAGACCCCACCGCTGTCCGCATCCAACGGGTCATGGCCAACTGGCCCAACCGAGACCGGGACCTCAAGCAAGCCGCTGCTGCACCTGCGCCGAAGAAACGGAAGCCGGATCCGCAATCGAAGTCGAAGTCGAAACCCGCCGAGGGCCCCAAGACCGACGTCGCTTCGTTCCGGGGCACCGTGTGGCGCACCGCGACTGACGAGAACAATCGCGCCAAGTTGTACGAGCCCGGCGACGGCGAGAAAGTGGCCCTGCTGAAGAACTGGCGCGAGGTGTTTCGCACCTCGCATCCGGCGAACGAGAGGGCGCGGATACGCAAAGGCACGGTCGCGGCGCCCGGAAAGTCGGCTGTTGAGAACGGTGCGGGGCCCAATGGGCGCGCGAGAGCTGGCAATGGTGCGGCGAGGAAAGACAACGATGAGGATCGCATGGTGGAGGATTGGGATGTCGATGGGGGAGTCGAGGACTCGACGGCGCCGGTTAAGGCGTTTTCGCCGCCGCCGGTGCACACGCCGCCGCCGGTGCACACGAGTCGTGTGATTGACTCGGCGGCCGATATGCCGGTCAATTCGAAAATGATTGAGCACGAGTATCCGATGGAAGGGCATGAGGATTACAAGCACACGCTGGAACTGGAGGCACGGGAGCCGAAGGAGGCGGATCGGACGCGGAGCAAGAAGTCCCAGATGAACGGGGTTGCTGCTAGCAAGGCGAGTAAGAATACGTCGGCTGCGGAGCCTGTGGCGAGAGGGAGGAAACGCAAGGCGTCGGTGTCTCATGAGTCGCAAGGCACTACGGACAAGAACGGCTCGGACACGGGACCTCGGTCTAAAAGAATTGCATCGAAGAAGGTTGGGGAGACAACGGAAAAGCCGGCAGAGTCAACGGGGCCAGTGCGGAGGTCGACAAGAAACAGGGACAAGAAATAGATGGCAGAGCATGTTTACTTTTTATATATAACAGACGTGAATCATCTAAGAAAATTCCGTGAATACAAACGCAGCCGGATATTCTCGAACATGTATTAATGAGACGCAATATTACGCAAATTCCTTGTTGAATGCACGCCCAATGACCATTCGTCTGATCTCACTCGTACCAGCGCCAATTTCATACAGTTTCGCATCCCGAAGTAGTCGGCCAGCCGGGATCTCGTTGATATATCCATTGCCGCCCATGAGCTGGATAGCGTCAAGAGCGCATTCGGTAGCCCGCTCTGCAGCATAGAGGATAGCACCGGCACAGTCTTGCGTGCGAATCGTCATATCGGGTGATGATGCCGAATTATCGATTTGCCGCGCCGTGTTGTAAGTGTAGGCACGAGATGCCGCGAGTTTGGTGTACATATCTGCCAGCTTACCCTGGATCAACTGGTTATGAGCGATGGGCGTTCCGAACTGCTTGCGGATATGAGTATATGGAAGGACAAGGTCGAGGGCGGCCTGCATTATTCTGCAGCTGGTTAGCATCACCGCTGACTCCTTGGGTGTATGTTATATCAAGCCCACTTACCCCAGCGGACCAGCGCTGAGCACGAGACGTTCCAGGTCGAGACCCTCCATCAAGACTCTGACGCCTCGGTTAAGCTCTCCCAATACATTTGCCTGGGGAACAAACACATTGTCGAAAATGAGCTCTCCGGTGTTAGAGCCGCGCATTCCCAGTTTGTCCAGTTTCCGCGCGCACGAGAAGCCATCGAAATTCTTTTCGACAATGAACGCTGTGATTCCCTTGGAGCCTTGTTCTGGTTCTGTCTTGGCGTAGACGACAATGTAATCGGCGTCAGGTCCCTAAAACACAGGTAGATTTGGTCAGACGGGGGTCAGATTGTTGTCACGGGGTTGAAAGCATTTACATTCGTGATCCACATCTTCGTTCCATTCAACAAGTATCCACCGTCAACTGCCTTGGCCGTTGTCTTCATGCTGACAACATCGGAGCCTGCTGAGTGCTCTGACATGGCAAGGGCACCGACTTTGTCACCAGAAAGAAGGCCAGGAAGAATGCGCTCCTTCTGTTCGGTGGATCCGTTCAGCGAGAGCTGGTTCACACAGAGCTGCGAATGGGCTGCATAGGACAGTGCAATGCTTCCTGTGATCCACGTTAGAATTATAACACGCACTCCCGAAATATGAAAGTACCCGATGCACGGCTGATCTCTTCCATGACCACACAATGAGCTTGGTAGCCCATTCCAAGACCGCCATACTCTTCATTGGCAGTCACCCCAAGGAATCTAGAGACACGTTAGACGCATTGAGTGCACAAAGATGGGAGACCAATCCATACCCAGCATCTCCGAGCTTCTTCCACATCTCAGCTGGGAACTCATTCTGGACGTCTGTTTGTGCGGCAACCTCTTCGGGAATCTCACGCCCTTAATTGGAATATGTAAGTCAGAATCAACAATACTAGTAGCCCAAATCATCAAAGTAGACAGCAAGACGTACTGGTAAACTCTTGCACTCTTTCCCGCAGTTCCAGAAGGTCGTCCTCGGTGGGCGCAACGAAGCCCTTGGGATGTTTGGTTGCCAACGTTCGGAATGCGGGGATCTGGACCAGCGGTTTCCTGACGGCCCCTAGAGACCGGGAGGAGGTGCGTAGGAGGCACGGAAGACGATGTAGCGTGGCCATAGTATAGGTGAGCGAGAAAGGGGAATACTGAGTAGGTCACCAAGGGAGAATGACGAGGAAGAAAGAAGAGACGCTTTAAAGCGCAAGGATGGCAGGCCGAGGCCAGCCGCGGCTAAACGCGGCCCGCATCGACTTCTCCGCAGTCGATCTGGGGTTCCTCGTCTGCTCGTCTCTTCCTCTTCTACGCACTTCATCTTCTCTGTCCAGGTCTTCCTGTCTCGCCCAAACTCGATGATTTACTGGTGATTCCCTCGCCATTCGACATCCAGGGCATGTTATAGTCGCGTCTTGGGGTTTCCAGATCAACATCCACCAAGTTGTCCGCTCCCCCACAATAAACCTCCCCGCAATGCGCGCTCCATCTCCGCTCCTTCGGAGTCTGAGCTCCAAACCAACATCCCTTTCTTCTCTCCGACGACTGCCTACACGCCATTTCCCTTTGATCCGCTCCAGTCCGCTCTCCCGGTCCGTTGCCAGTTACACCCATCCCCATCATGCGTCCGCCATATCTGTCCTCCCTTCGGCGGTGGATACATCCTCGTCGGATTTCAAGGAGAACCATCAGCAAATGACCGAGCTTGTCGACCGAATGACCAATCTACACAGTACAATCTCCCAGGGTGGGCCACAAAAAGCGAAGGACAAGCACATCGCCCGCGGGAAAATGCTTCCTCGAGACCGAGTCACGGCTCTCATTGATCCGGGCACCTCATTCCTCGAACTGTCTGCATTGGCGGGCCACGAAGTATACCCCGGCGAGGATGTTCCCGCAGGAGGCATAATCACGGGGATTGGAACCGTCGAAGGGGTGACCTGCATGATTGTCGCCAATGATAGCACCGTCAAGGGCGGCACATACTACCCCATCACGGTGAAGAAACACCTGCGGGCCCAGGCAATCGCCCAGGAGAACAAGCTACCCTGTCTCTATCTCGTCGATTCCGGCGGTGCAAATCTCCCTCACCAAGCCGATGTCTTCCCGGACAAGGAGCATTTCGGCCGCATCTTCTTCAACCAGGCCCGCATGAGCTCCCTGGGTATCCCGCAGATCTCGGTGGTCATGGGTCCCTGCACCGCCGGTGGTGCCTACGTGCCCGCTATGAGCGACGAGACCATTATCGTCGAGAACCAGGGCACCATCTTCCTGGCCGGTCCTCCCCTCGTCAAGGCTGCCACCGGCGAAGAGGTCTCCGCTGAAGACCTCGGCGGCGGTCAGCTACACAGTACTATCTCTGGTGTCACCGACTACCTCGCTGTAGATGACGCGCACGCCCTCGTCCTGGCCCGCCGCTCCGTCGCCAACCTCAATTACCCAGCCACCAGCATCCCGAAACAGCTCTCCGACCAAGCCATCAAGGAGCCCCTCTACGATCCGGCAGAACTCAACGGCATCGTCGGCACCAACCTCCGCCGACAGATCCCCGCCCACGAGGTCATCGCGCGCATCGTCGACGGCAGCGAATTCGCCGAGTTCAAGCGCGACTACGGCACCACGCTGGTCACCGGCTTCGCGCGCATCTTCGGCCACCAGGTCGGCATCGTCGCCAACAACGGCATCCTCTTCTCCGAGTCCTCGCTCAAGGGCGCCCATTTCATCGAGCTCTGCGCCCAGCGCAGCATCCCGCTCATCTTCCTCCAGAACATCTCGGGCTTCATGGTCGGCGCCGACGCCGAGAAGGGCGGCATCGCGAAGAACGGCGCCAAGTTGGTGACGGCCGTCGCTTGCGCTGACGTCCCCAAGTTCACGGTGGTCTTTGGTTCCAGCGCCGGCGCGGGCAATTACGGCATGTGGTAAGTCCAATCCTACCCCCTATCTCTCTGATGATCTCTCGTCAATCATTCCCTAATCCAAACAATACTAACAAAACATTCAACCAGCGGCCGTGCCTACTCCCCCCGCCTTATGTTCATGTGGCCCAACGCCAAGATCGGCGTCATGGGCTCGGAGCAGCTCTCCGCCGTCATGGAAGCCGTCGGCCGCACGGCAGACCCGGCCCTCAAGGATCGAATCGACCGGGAATCCGAGGCCGTGTTCTCGTCCGCCCGACTATGGGACGACGGGGTGATCCCGCCGGCTCAGACGAGACGCGTCCTGGGCCTGAGTCTGGCGGCCGCGTTGGGAGGCCGGAGCGATGGGGACGTGAAGACGAAGTTCGGCGTGTTTAGGATGTGATTGACTGATTGCTTGTCATTCTTTTTTCTTCGTGGTGTTCAGCGAGGTTAATTATAATAAACAAAAAAGGAATGTAAAAGAGAGGAGAGGCTAGTTAGCAGATACTATATACGCATGAGTACGGAACATTTGACATTAATTATTTGAGCTGATCTCTCCAAGCAAGTAATTGATGTCGGAAGTTTTTATCTAATATTTGAACATCCGTATAACCAAGTCGAAAGTGTATAGGAGTAAGAAATCTAATTTATATTATCTTGCCTGCAATATCAAGAAGTCGTCATATCATACCCATGCATCCATCCATTTGACCGTGGATAAAAAACGAAACAAAAGTCGCGAGACAGAAAGTTTATGAGCACGACGCAGCGAATTGAACTAAGAATACAAAATCAAACAATAGCCACCCCGGGACGAGCGACATGGAGGTCAAGAGAAGGAACATGGATGTCCGCTTGTTTTTATGCTCGTTTGGCAAATCGTCCAAGTGATAGGTAGACCAGAAAAAAGCATCGGTCCTCTCCTTAGAACTTGAGATAATCATATAAAAGACGAGCATTAAGGTCGTGAGACATCAGATCAAGACATGCAACTTTTCCATTCCTTAACCGTGCGATAACAAGGTTGCAAGACGTATCAATGAGTGGTGGCATAAAAAAAAAACAGAAAGGGTACATATATCTATCGTTGGAACACGTGGACGTTGACAGCGTATGATAACATGGCCAGAGAAGGCAAGAAATATGATATTATAATCTGACAGGATTGGGTATGTGCAGAGGTAGGAGTGGGAAACCCTTGTTCTCGTGGCCGCAGCCAAAGGGGGATCAAAGGCAGACCCTCCTGATCATGAAATGTGGAGGCGAAAGTAGATGCGCGTCGCTCGATTCACATCTTGGTCGCTTTTTTTCCTTCGTCGTTGGACTTTCTCTTCATCGAAGACCGTTCAAATCTAGAGGATCACGCACGGTCCCCTCCGTCGAGCTGGACGTTTTCTGTCCTTCTTTTTCTCGGGTCGGTTGGTTCCTTCCCGCTTGCGTGGTTGGCTGTCGCCGCCGCTCTTCGACGAGCTGCCCTGCAGATCTTTTCGAATGATTTGTCGGCAGAGGTCGATGAACACCTCGTTGACGTTGGCTCGGCGGCGGGCCGAGGTCTCGTAGTAGGGGGCGTTTCCCCAGCTCTGCGAGAGGGCGAATGCGCGAGCACGAGGCACCGCACGGTCCTCTTCTAGATCCGACTTGTTTCCCACAATGACAATGGGGACTTTCTCGTCGTCCTTGATGCGAATGATTTGTTCTCGTAGTTCAGATAACTCGTTCAGTGACGACATGCTGGTGATGGAGAATACGAGGAGAAACCCTTGGCCTTGTTTCATGTACAATTCTCTAGATTGAACGTCAGTGTGTTGTTGCAAGGGGCGTGGTTGAGACTGTGCAACTCGCTCATGGTTCGAGTCGATGGGATGGCGGGCGGAAAAGACAACTGGGAGCTATTTACCTCATGGCCGCTGTTGAACTGTTAATGATGCGACAACGGCGCGTTTAGGGAGGTGGGAAACTTACTGAACTGTTCCGTTCCTGCGGTATCCAGACTGGAAGAAAAGCAAGATTAGCGAATATGATACAACAATCGCAAGTTCTAGAATCCAACTGTGTATGACTCGATGGGTATAGCTGATCAGGCATACATTTCTAGGATGCATTGTCGGCCCTGGTAACATTAGCGACAGCCCTCCGATTTCTGACTAGGACAGGGAGCCAACTTACGTCCACCTCGATTTGTTTCCGGTATGAATCTTCAATTGTGGGATCGTAGCTCTCAATCCAGACATTTTGGACGAATTGAGCTGCCAAATTGTGAGCAACAACCACGGAGAGGGCCAATGGAAAGGGGATGGGCGGTGGAAGGTCAAGTACCAGTCAGACAGCTCTTTCCCACACCTCCAGCGCCTAACACGACGATATGGTATTCCCGTCTAACGACGTTATTAGCATCCATGATGCGACAGACCCAAGCCGAGACAACCGGGTCGCAAGACTTACTGCGGCCGCATTGGAATGACGAGCGAGAAGCGTTGTTTCCTTCGATGGTATGTATTCCGAAAGCTTGGGGTCGAGTCAAGACGAGTCCCTAGCTAAGTTGACAATTCAATCCCGATATGTATTCGCCTTAGCGTTCCGGACAGAGGCTGGTGTAATCGGCGGTATGACCCCCAATCGACAACTCCGGGCCGAAATGTCGGAGGTTGGGCGAGGCAGGCAAGAAAAAAAAAGATAGAAGAAAAGAAAGACCAGCGGATCAATTCCTCCGACAGATTCCGACCAGATGGTTCCGAGAGGCCAATTGAAGCAGTTCACGGTGGGTGGGAGGACGGATGGTCTGATAAACGGGGGAATCGTTCTTTTTCCTTTTGTCGGGGAGAAGGCGGGGTGCGCTGGAGGAGCAAGGGCAGCGAACGGTTACATAGATAGGTCTCGAGACCGACAGCCGACCGAATCGCAGGCAGGCAGGCAGGGAGGGACGGGGGAGAAGGCGAAGGCCCGTCGGGGAGTCAAGCAGGGGACGGGATGGAATTGGGGGCAGGAGAAGAAGAGGAGAGGATTGATGTCAAGCGATGAATTCTGGGCGGGTGGATTTCCGGAAACTAAGTTAAGTTTCGCAACTAGGCCGGGCTAAGTCAGCAACCAGCAGGAAGAGCAGCAGCGGTGAATGGGAGAAGAAGAAGAAGAAGGACAGACGATGGATTGTGCGACTGAAGGCCGATCCCGCAGCCAAACCTTAACGGAAAGCCGCGTGAGGGCAGGCAAGGCGTTGGGCAATTATTTATCGTTCCCTGACAATACTTCCGACGTTGCAGCGTGATATCATGGCGTTCTATCCCCTCCATGCCAACTCGTCCCTCCCCTCGACACTCCCAGTTTCCAGTCTCCCTGCCTGAATCCCCCTCGATTGTTACCTGTCACCTCCAGCTCTATCCATAACGCCCGTCCCAAGGAGCAGCAGAAAGGGCAGGGGAAGTGGAGGAGCCCAAATCCCCACCGACGATCGGCTGCCCTTTCGTTCCCTTTCGATGGACGGATGGATGGACGGATTGAACCGAGTCGAATGGGGCTCGACGGACTCGATTCGATTCGATTCGATGGACCAGGCCAAAAGTTTAAGCCCGGCACGCCTCGCATTTCCAGGAACCGGATGAGAAGCCGGCTCACTCGCGCTGTCAGGCACCGCCAATGATGCGCGCGACATCCCAAAGTACCCGGTTGACTGGTCGAATGGGCGTTTGGTGCGCTATAATGCCGGCTTCTATGGCCAGGTCGCTATGACACATGCGATGTGTCGTCACTATCACATACATCCTGGTGGGCATGCATGTCAGGACGGCAGAAGTACTATTGTTATTGTTATCGTTGACGATTGTGGTCCGGTGTCGTGGCCCAGTTGATTCATCCATGGATGTTCGGGATTGCTTCCCCTCCTGCAGGCATCGGTCAAATCCTCGGAATCCAAGCGTTTACATTACTAAACTATACTATGTGGATAGATGGCTGTACAAACTGGTGACAAACGACAGTCCGGAGGCTTCACATCAAACAGACCACACCGGACAGGCAGGATGCATCAATGCTTGGCATAACGGCGTCGTCATCGAACCTTGTCCTGTGCTCTCTTTACTTCCCCGATGCATGATCCTCTCTATAGGATGATGATATGTATCTACGCTGTGCGAAACACCCCAACATTCCTCCTTCCCACCCTACATCGGCGGGTTCAGGCCGCAATGGCGTGTTCAATGTGGCCATTCACCTGCTCCACCTTCACGGGATTGTTGAATGGTCGATTCGAGTCGTACAGCTCCAGCGCCTCGAAGACATGGCCGAATACCAACTGATCCACGTCCGACGCCCACAGGAAGTCCAGATGTTCGTATTTGGCAATCTTCTTCGCCACGGTCCCGCGCGGCAGCTCCTTCAGCATGATGTTGATGTCGACGAGACTGTCGCTGCCGCCGTATAGTAGCACAATCGGCGTCTTGATGTTCTTCGTGGGGTATTTCACGGGCTTGTAGAATCGTTCGCTGGCCACGACGCTGAAGGGCGCGTGGATTTCGTCGTCGTAGAACTGGAAGTTTTTGTGCCGGATGATCTGGAACCAATGGACCACGGACTTGGTGCTGGTGAAGGAGAACAGATGCAGGTACCCCGCGAGCTTTTGCCAGCGGCTGATGTTGCTGCACTTCCAATTGAACAGCATGGCGACACAGGTGTCGATGATCCGCACGTAGATGGGAGGGTAGAGAATCGTCTGCCACATCGTTGTCGAACTAAGGATGCTGCGGCGCCCAAACAGGAGAAACAGAAAGTTCGGCGAGGCTTTCATGAGCGAATCGACGAGCGGGTTCGGCAAGCCTGTCGGCGCCATCGCCGGCGCCAGAGCCACAAAAACATCGATCTTCTCATTCAACGTCGGGTGGATCGAGAGCGTCGCGAACGCCTGAGCCGTGCCTTGCGAGAACCCCACATATGACAGGGACGGTTGCCCTGTCACCTCCAGGATGTAGTTGATGCTGTCCGGGATGTCGTGGAAGGCAAACTGATCGATCGAGAAGTCCCAGAACTCGTTGGACAGCGGGGAATGTTTGACGGACTTCTTCGAGTACTTGTTGCCGCGATTGTTCCCAAGCCACACGTCATAACCCCTTTCTACCAATTGGAAGGGCAGGCACCGCTGCTCCTCCGTCAAGCAGACCCAGACCTCGCTGCACATGAGCAGTCCATGGTGGAGGTAGACCACTTTCTTTTTCACGCTGTCCTTCCCCTGGTTGACGCGCAAGCCCTCCTCCCCTTTCCGGTAGGCCAAGCGGTGGAGGCCGAGCAGATAGCCATCCCCCGTCTGGACGATGTGCTCTTCCGGCTCGTACCCGAACAGGGAACAGATGTCGACGAAATCCGACGCTTGTGCAACCGCCGTGGCCTGGCGCTCTTCCTTGCCGCGCTTGCCCGCATTCTCCGGGCTGATAAAAAGGTTGAATATCGTTTTGGACCGATCGTAACAGAACGTGATTATCGGGTCCGCTGTCGCAAACTCGTCAGTCGAGGCTCCCCACGCATCATTCTGACCTGTCCGCTGCTGGCTCTGGATAGATACTCACGGAGACAAAAAGTGATGATGTGAATAATATATTCCAGCAGAACCAGGATCAAGGAGGCAAAGAGAGCCAAGTACTCGAACCAGAACAATCTTCCGATCACTGGGACACGCGCCATGATGGGAAATCGGACGAAAGCTCACTGCAACGCCAAAGGTAAAATCGGTCGCTAGTCGTCAAATCCCCGTTCCATCGTGTAAGCGCAGGGATGATGCAGTGCAATGCGCCCGTATTTAAGCAGACGCTTTGGCTTTTGTCGCAGGGGGAAACTCGCCCCAGACGTCATGCGCCGTCGCTTTCATGTGATGCTTATCTAATCCGGGGATCCTCGTCCGTTTTTCGCTGTCAAACCAAACGTCTCAACGCTCCCCAGCATCCCACGGCTTCCAGCGTTCCGTCAATCCGGTGGCCAACATGCCCAGCTCTTGCAGGGATATCAGTGCGTACTCAACATCCAGTCGTTGTGCAAGCAGGCCGCATGGGAAAATGCGCCCATGCCGATCCTCAAGCCATGCTTACCAATGATCACTGATTTGTGCAAGATGATGCTAACGGCGCTTTGCTATAAATCAGGAGATGCGCTGGCCCAGTGCCTGCAAGAATCGGACTGTATTATGGTCCAACGCCGCACACCCCGAGAATGCATGAGCTCCCCCTATGCCGAGGAGTTGCCGACGAAATGCCAGCAGTTGCGGAAAGGATACGGCGAGTGCAAGTAGGTCATCTGGTTTCTGGAGATGAGATCAGCCGTGTTTGAATCCTCATGCTAATTTGGAGCATCTATCTAGGCGCGGTATGATCGATATGCGTAAACGTTTCCGCGGCAATCAACCCATTGCGGTCAACAAGGAGCTCGAGGGGCAGTCCACCAAGTCCGAGCAATTGTATGCGGGCAAGCCGGCGTTCGAGTCCGTCAAGGAGATCAGCGGAGATGAGGTCAAGATGGATCCGGAGAAGACGAGAGGTCTGTGAGCGGAATGAAGCGAAAGGCCGAGAAGCCGAAGGACACCGGTGAACGTGGTTGCAAAAGGTGGCCGTTTTGAGGCCCGCCGCGAAGGTGTACGGAAGCTGTTCCTCCATCCCCCTCGCTCTTTTCCTTTTCTCTCTTGAAATTTCCTCAGCATGAACCGGAGTTATATTGGTTGATTTGGCAAGCCCCCTGATGTACTTCTAAGATCGGATATTCGCCTGTCGGGCGACACTACAGCTGTACATATTGAATAGACTTCCCTCCATCTATTCCCCTATATACCTTACGTATCCAAGGCATCTACAGACCCAGTGGAAAGTTACATTCAAACAATCATTGATAAATACATTACTTACTGCGTCTTCTTGGAAGATTGCGCAGCAGTCGCGGCAGGGGCCGAGTAGAGCCACACGACCACAAAGGCCAGGAAACCGCCGATGACGGACCACAGGCCCGCAATCCAGACCCATCCTCCGCTGATCTTCCAGCTGCGGGGGTACTCGTCGTGGGCGTAGTGGCGCACAGTCACCTCGTGCTTCTCTTCGATGTTGGTGAAGAAAGGGCGCTTGTAGTTGACGCGGAACGAGAAGATTCCATGCTGGTCGGGAACGACGAAGCGGGCGCTATAGATGGTGCTGTTCGCCGTTCGGCGAGCGGGTTGGAGATCGAGACGGTGGAAAGGCGACAGCATCGTGAATTCGAGCTGCAGAGCGTCGTTCGCGGGGACCTCGAACGGCACAAACGAGTCGTAATCGTACTCGGAAACCTCAATGTTGAAGACCTGGAGAAAATCATGTTAGAGGGGTTTGGTTAAGTCCCCGTTGATGGATGCTGCTTACTGTCTCGTTCTTGATACGGTAGAGACTGGGGTTCAGCTCATCGGCCGTGATCTCTCCATCCTTAGCCAGGTAGTGTTCAACCTTGCCAACTTTGAGGACTCCAGTTTCCTTAAAAGCCCACGCGGTCAGCTGCTTGGCAAATTCCTGGTTGGCAGTCTTGGTTTCCTTTCCACTGCCAGGGGTCTTAACAGTCGCAGAGAACCACTTGTCCTGGAGACTGTCTACGGAGCCCAGCAAGGTAAAGCGGGCGGAGTTTCTGGCCTGCATGGCGGAGACGAGCGCCAACTGAGAACCGGTAGCCTGGACATCCTCAGCCGTCGGCGCGTCCTCCTTGGGGTTGTAGCTGTAGGCGGTTGTCGGGGCGCGCAGGATAGGGGCGACGAGTTGGCTGGAATCGCCCAGGGTGTGGGGAGAAGCGCTGGGGAATGCGAGAACACCTTCGCCGTCGAAGAAGGCCTTGGTATCGGGCCTCAGCTGACCGGGGCGCTGGAGTAGCAGGACGTCGTGCTTTTCGGCAGCGGACAAAACATCGTAGTTGAAGTGGTCGACGGCGATGGAGGAACGGTCCGCGGAGAGATGGAAATCCAGCTCCAGAAGAAGTGAGCTGATCGCGCTAGGCGTGGTGGACTTTCCGGAGAGAGCGAGCAAGACATTGCCATCCTTGTTCATGAAATCAACGATGTTCTTGGGGGTCAACGAAGGCCCGAAACCTATCCCATGCGGTCAATTGAGCTGCACGCCACGGATTTTCCCACAAGTCGTTGGATGAACGAACCTTTCGACCGGGGAGGAAGAATGAGGAGATGGTCGTAGGCTCTCTCGCCATACTCGAACAGGGAGAACCGCTCGTTCTTGGGGGACTCGAAGAAGATGTTGTAGCCGCGAGCTGTAGTAACACTCCATCAGTATCGATTGGCTCATGCCATTGAAGTCAAACCAACCTTGTAGATCCCCCCAGAAGGTCGAGTATAGCTCCTTGTCTGCAGCGTCCTCCAGAATAACTGCGAGACGGTTCCCCGAGCTACTCAACGCATGTGCGACGGCCACAAAGCCGAGCACCAGAAGGGACAGGCACCACCGCATCTTGAGAAAACCGCACGGCGGGGCGGAAGGGTGACTGAGGGGAGATCAAAGAGACGGGGAGAGAAAAAGGAACGACAGACAAGCCAATGTCGGAGTTGTCGAGAGGTCGGAGGGAGGGAGAGTCGAGTAGATTGGCATATGGAACTAACGGGCGACGTGTTTGGACGGGCCGCCAAGACCCGGGCGGCTTTCGTCACTTTCAACCTCCATTCTTTCCCCTCTCCGTCGCATCTCCGGTCTTTTGCTGCTCGTCTCCCCCGTCGTTGCAGTCCGGCACCGTGTTAAATTGTGTGACCTCCTGGTTTCAATTGGTACGCTCCATACTCGTCAATCATTAGAAATTCCGGACGTTTATTCCACGACCGTCGTTCCTTACTGACCTCGGCAAAAAAAGTTTCTTCCTATCACGCAACACCCCGTTCTTCCTCGCCTGTCGCAACCATGACCACTCCTCAATTCTGGTCGACGCCTCTCCGGTACCTCCGCTGGGCCTCTCACGAAAAGCCCGCTATCTTCTATGCCATCATCACGGGCGCCATGGGCCCGATCGCCCTGGTGACTCTGCCTCCGATCAGACACTACTTCGGCGACGTTGACCCGGCACCTATCCCCCTGACATATCCCAGTAAGAGCTCTTCACCTGTGCTTCTGCTCGACGGACTTCAGACTTTGGCAAAGCTCCGGCTCCGGCTCTACCGTGCTATTACTGACAGCTCTGCTTCGCATTTCTAGTTCCCCAGGGACGCCGGGTGATCCCGCAAGGCTACGACGACGAGTAAACCGCTTCGTGGGTCTTTCATGCATTGGGTCGATTTTCCGTTCAGATTTGACTTGTTTTGGTGTATTTAGCTGGGAAATTTAAAGACAATTCAAGAACCATTCAGGTCGAATACCTACAAGCTGCAATATGTGATGCGGAGGGCCGATTCGGTCCACCGGATATTGGCGCCTTCAAATCAACCTGTCTCCCCAGGGGCGTCTCTATACCTATACGTCTGTTGAGATTCATTCGGATGGCACCAGTCGTGCAGTGTATTGCGTATGGAAGCGGAGAATGCTAGCTCAATTTGTTCATGCTATCTGCAGTACAGACGATTCTTGCGAAATACATGGGTAAAGTTTGAATGGAAGCGGCACTACTCCAGCGGGCTTTTCTCCAGTGAAATTCAGGTCATGAAGTGAAATGTAAATGATGAAGCGCTCGATGATCCCAGCCGTCAAATGATTAAACCACATGATCGAGAGGTCATGATTAGAGAAAGGCAGGGGGGTAATTGAAACCAAACAAGGCTATCAAGATGCGAACGCTGTGAAAAGAGAAGATGCACCGTATAAACAAAACGGGCTCCTTGATCATGAAAAGTACGAACAAGAGAGAGAAAAAAGTGAAATGAAAAAGAAATGAGCCGAGTCCTCCGATGATGCAAGGTGCAAGTAGAGGTAAAGATCGAGATCGATTTCCTCTGGACAACCTTACTTACGCCTCATCGGGTTCAACCGAGTTGGACACGACCTTGGCCTGACGAAGATGATGGAACCGCTCAACTTTCTCACTCGATTCGTCAGCCATAGCGTCGTCTGAGGATTCCAAGTCCGCCCAAGAGATCCAACTATCATCACTACCGGCCTCAGATCCCAAAAGTCCAGTATCGGAATTGTTGCCATCTTCGATAGCCCACTCATTCCAAGGCAGGGCATCGTCGTCAATCTTGGCGCAGGTCAGATAGGGGAGCTGGCCAAACCGCTGAGGGTCGAAACGGCTCTCGTTCACCAAAAGAGGCGCAACAAACTGCTTCACGTCGTCTTTGACTTGGGCCAGTCTGTCTAGGATCTCACGGGCTTCCAACTCCCCCACTGAGGGGCTGTAGACATAGCGGAATTGATCCCCCGGAAGGTATGCCTGTCCACCGGAAGCTATGGTGCGATACAGTCTGGCTCCTCCATCCCAGCTGACAATATTGTTACCTAGTGCCTTGTGCTGGGCAATCCATTGACGGAAGAGGCCGACGGCCTTCATCATGGGAGAATCAGGACCATCGTTGAGGTCAGAACCGTAGCCCCAGAGCAGTGCCTCGGCGGCCTTCTTGGCATCACACACAGTCCTGTAGGAATCGAGCAAAAGGTCACGAGTGTATTGTGGAAGAAAGACGAGCCGTTCAAGGTCTTCGGGGGTGAGCCCAGGCAATCGACCTACCAGGTGCACGACAGCCTCACGATAGATTGTTTTGGAGCGGATGCGACTCCCGAAGTAAAGCCAGGAAATAGGGTCGCTGACAATCAGGAGGAACAGGCCTTGGCCTAAGTCCTGGAGTGCCAGATCGATACCCTCGTCGACAATGGCCTTTGATCCGATGAAATCACCCAGGTTGGCCAGTCCGGAGGCAACGGCTGTAAGCTGACGGCCAGGGAGATGCAAGTTGGGCTTGATCTTGTACAGGGCGCGAAGAATATTCTCCCAATACGCACGAACTTTGGCGGGATCATCAAATTGAGACTCAAACGCGAGAGGGGAAGATACCGATTCCTTATTGCCAACAGGTTAATACTCCGGTTCGGCTTTTGCCTCGTCATATGCTCACCTGAAGAGTCAAAGCTCCAACTTCAGTCAGCTGCGAAGGGACCACGTGGAAATGAGCGAAGCCTTCAAATCGTGGAGCTTCGCGAAGAGCATATCTAAAATAGCGCGAATGGTGCTCAAGGACCCCAGAGTGCAGTTGATAGACTTTCAGACCGATCCACACTCTGACATCCCCATCACTGAACACAGGGAAATTCGAGTCGTCCATGCCGAAGCGACCCAGGCTATAAAGCCATTCAAAGCATTAAAAGCGGACTAGAGTGTGGACAGAATAGGAAGACACAAAGACTGAGAAGTAAAGAATGGGAACAACGTGATGGTAGATGAAGTCAAACTCTCCGACAACAAATACCAGGGAGGATGGGAGGAAGGGGCCCTGGAGGAAAAGGTCACATCTCAGAACAGGTTGGGCTGTTGCAGAACGAGTGAAGACCAATTCAGAAAAGTCTCGGCGGCCTTCAATCCTTCACAGTGGTAATCAAACACCTTGATGATGTCGTTCTGCGTCGACATAACCCAAACAAGCTAACACTAGGGCTTGCGGCTGCGCAGTGCGGCTGCGCGCATGGTGAATGCCACCAATGCAGAGAGCTTGCTGTGAGTAGAGGGAACACATGGATCATGTATAATAATTTTCATGAGATAAAAGCAGAGATCATGGTTGATGGCAGCTGTGGTGTGCAATAGAATGCATTGGAATAGTTCGGTGGCACAAAGAACGGTTAATATGGTTTGGGTAGACCGGTAAACATCAATTATTGAACAAGTCTTGGAGCCCTAAGCAGCATTAGAGTGAAAAAAGAGAGAAAACAAAGATTGAAAGCAGAAGAATAACGCCATATAATGCTCATATCTACATAGAAATCATAACCAACATAACTGGATGTCATCAAAGCCCATAGCTAATAAATTCCAGGATCAGTTGGATGCCTCCATCAGACTCCACATGAAGAAAAAGTCGGAAATACCTCTCGAATAGACTGACGGAGGTGACAAGCGAAACAGAATACCACAACCAAGGTAACCATGAGATAGCTCAAAGCGGGAACGACTTTCCGAAGAGAAGAGAGAGAGAAGAGGATAAGGAAAATGAGAAAGGAAAGTGGAAAAATAGAAAAGGAACCCAGGACCGACGATACAGTAAAAAGCCAAAAAGCCACCCTTTCATAACCCCATCACCAGGTATCACCAAGACGGTCATTCTCCATTAAAACGCTATGATAAGTTCGCGCGAGAATGAGAGCAAGTCAGCTCAAAAGAAGACTGGGCAGCCGACGCCAGTGGAAAAAGATTTCCCAGGTTCAAGTATAGTCCAGGATAACTTGGACGGCATCCAGAACAGGTGATGTCCAGGTTTTCCAAGGATCTAACTCCGAAAAGGTTGCAATTTAGGTTCCCATAAATTAGACATGGTTTATCCGGGTTGGCGTCCAAAAGGCTTAGACAGAAAAGAAAAATAATGGCGGTTTTGTGAGGAATTTCCGAGGCGAAATTTTATGGAAAATTGCGCGGAATAGTTCATCATTTCCGAAGTCTTCACAGAAGACGGGCGCAAATGCGTCTAAAACCTTGGGACTCACACGAAATGAAAAAAACTCCTTTTTTGTTTTTGAGATTTTTTGGTTTTTTGGTTCTTTTCTCTTTTACCGGGGTCGGCGCGTGGCATCTCTTTCCCTGGCGGGCTGTGGCCTACTGCGGTCCGAGTAAGCCGACTCCGGGGTATATCTTGGGTCCATTCCTATCCGGGGGTCCGGGGCTGTGGTGGCAGGATAAGCCATTCCGGAAGTAACCGGGGAATAATCCGATTCGGTTTCATAGCCAGGACCAGGGTATCTGGGGGCATTGTTTCTCCCATTCTCGTAAGCATAACCAGCAGTGCTCGTGTACGTATACGTTGGGTGCATCTCAGTAGACACGGGGGGTTGGCTGGGAGCAGAGTAAGGAATCTGCGCGGGATACGGGTTTTGGCCAGTTCCAAAGGGTGAGTGGTTGGAAGGGTATGACGAAGGGGTTGGATAAGGAGGGCTCTGAGTCTGTGCGAACCCCGCCTGGTATGGGTCCACGTATGGCTGAGCAGGTGGTGCCGAGTAGGCAGGTGGAGGAGATGGGCCCTGCTGTTGGCGGCCTTCATGAATTGAAGAGGTCGCATAGTTCGCTGGAACCATGTTAGGCGCCTGTGACATGCTGTAGTCTTGAATGTAACTACCTCTCGGATAGCCTTGGTCAGCCCGACGGATCACATCAGCCTCCCACCGAGAAGAGTCAGCCTTGAGATCAGCAATCATTTCCTAAGGCACACGACAGTCAGTTCTGCACTCCAAGATAAACGAGACGAGGCAAGTCAGCACGAGAGCCAGGTCCAACAACTTACAGAGGTGAGATTCCGGTAGGCACGGATGAAATAACCCTGGCGACCCTGTTCGCACGAAAGTCAGTAAGAGAACTCAGCAAGAGAGCACAACAGAATTTCGTCGTTCGACAGAGAAATTCATCATCGGTACTGGTAAGGAAACATCGGTAGACAGACATTGTGGTTTCCGGGTCTTACGAGCGCATCATTTCCAAGGTAACGGCAAATGTCTGCTTGGATGACCTCCCGGCTGATACCATCGCCAGGGATAAAGTATTCGTTCTGACGCTCCGGGCGTACATCATATCCATGGCGTCCAGTCATTGTGTCCAGGGAGAAAGGTCCAGTATTAAGGTAGTCTAGTAAATGGGTCCAAGTGGCCTCCACGTAAATCCTAGGAAGAAGAGCCGAAAGGGTCCAGAAGTGGGAAGATGGTTGGATGTATCTCTCTTAGGCTTGGTTGCAAGAAGAAATAGCAGAAGTACAGTTCTAAAACGACTGCGTCCCGGGAACTCCAAAGGCTGAAAATCAAGGCTAATCCGAATTTTGTTCGACCGTGAACAGAGGAAAGGCGACGAGGTTGAAACCAAGAAAACTGTTCTCTCTCTTTCTCGCTGGGGTTTCACCAGTGAGCAAAGAAAAATGAAGAAATCCCGGAAAACACGTTATGGTCCAGAGGTTGTCAACCGGCAATAGGTTCAAGATCCTCGGGAAATTTCCTCCAGTAGAAACCAGGGCGGCAACGACACGACGGAGCAGAAATCAAGATATTGAAATAAAAAAAGGTCCAGTCCTAGACGGAGAGAAAAGAGGAGAGAGAGGAAGAGCGGTAGGAGAGGCGAGAAAATCTCAAGGATTTGAAGAGGGGAGGGGCTTCAGGGGAGATTCTTTCGAGGGGGGGGAAACAATCCGCCTTTAACAGTGGTGTCACTGTCACTGTTCAGCACTCCTTTTTGGCCTCTTTTAATTTTGGCGGATGATGCCAGGATGAGATATGGAGAAGAAAGGGAAGAAAGGAGAGGAGGGAGGGAGAGAGAGAGGAAGAGGTAGAGAAAAGAAGCGGGCGAGAAGGCACGGGAAGATAAGAAGAGGAAAAGAGTGGAGCGGGGGGGAGGGAGTGGGTGTGGGTGGCAGAAAGATGGGAACGAGGGCTGTGGGTTGTTTGTGCTGATTGAGTGAACGCTTGATTAATTGATTGAGGAAAAGAATCAGAAAAGGCTACTGGACGACGCGCGGTTGGCCAGTCTTTGGGGAGGGGGGCTGTTGGGCCGGCTTTGGGCTGCCGGGCTTTTGTCTGGTGCCACGACTGACTCCACTCGTCGAGGCCGACTGAGGATGATTAGACCTCCGCCGGGAAGCACAATGAAGATGACTGCAAGCATGCATGGACGAATAGGGCTTAGGCGCCGGGGTTGTGTGCGACGCCGTGTGAGACTGCGATGCGTCCTCCCTCGCCGTCTGCTGTTTTACGCAGTACATGATTGGGATGCCGAGGACTTTACGGAGGTTTCAGTAGTATTCATTGTAGTTGGCAGGTAATAAAAAAATAAATAGTAGATCAAAATAAAAACGAAGTAAATCCATCTCAACCAATGGAATCATTATGAGGACCACGGAACACACTGTGGCGTCATGGGATAACCGCCGTGTCTGTTGATCATAATAGAATAAAAATCCAGAAAAAAATAAGAAAAAGAAAAAGACCGGTAGGGCAGTCAAAGACAGGACGAGTGATTCTTGCCTGTCCTCACAACTCCGTCAGTAGCATGAAATCATCTGATTCTTACCCGGGAAGGAGGAGCAAATCCGAAAATCTTCAGCCTAATCTGTCAATCACGCCCCGTTATTGACCGTTGAAGCCTCACTGCGCAGGATTGCCTCCCATCCTCTCCACCATTCATACCCAGATGAGGCCGACGTCTCAAATTGCGGTGGCAAGAACAGGGGAGAATAGGAGTCCTGCCCGAGCCTTTTCGGCACCACATGTTGTCATTGCACCTGCTTCGCCTTGCCTTGCCCCGATGACTCAGTCGGTCACTCGCAGCAGAATGAGCCATGTCGAAGATCTTCTACTCCGGAGTGGTGAGGTAACACAGGAGCTGCTACCCGTACGGCGTATGTAGGTGTGGTGCATGGATTATTGATGGATGATGGGGGATGGGGATAGGGATGGGGATGGGGATGGTGGTGTCGGGGCTAAAAGAGAATCAGAAAAGAAACTCCCCCCGTTCTTTGGATAAATACTTCCGATGGTGATGGGCATATTCTAATAATATTCTTATTAGTTGAGCTAGAAGGAGCGTTGCGCAGAACCGATTCGACCAGCTTCCAGCGAGGGACATGGGCTCGGTCTGAAGGTACACGGGCTGACTAGCGGGGGTGCCGCAGTTTCAAGGTACCTCTCTGCAAGCGAGGAAGTACCTTGGATACCCAAGGTACTCCTGCGTCGTGGGCCTTGATTTGTTCTGGAGGTCGAAGCGACCTCAGCCAGTCAGGTTCCCAATGGCTCTGACGGTGGCAGGTTGGGCAGACATGCGTGGCGGGTTTGGGCATTCATCCACAGCCCGGGAAGAAGGTACCGGTACGAGCTCTCGGGACTTAGTCAGCTGCCGGCCCTCCATCCAGGGCATTCGTCCAGGTACCTGATACTTGACTCCGGGTATCACCACCGCCTGACACACTCGGCCACCTGCATGATCGCCGATGTCTTTTTCTTTCGGATTCTTGACCTTCCATGCAGCTTCTCGATAGACCCTCGAGTCGCCGGTGTTCTATTTGGCCAGTGGCTCCCAACGCATTGGGAGCACGGGGACCTACAAAAAGGCCTTGTGCATCATTGCAGCGTTTACAGCCATCTCTCATCATATCCGGATCCAATGACGCTGACCTTCACCTGTGAAATTTAATGATATCACAGTACTCCGCACATCCCCTTTCAACGCCCGCCTGCATTCAATCTGCATTATTGTTCTCGAGTCTCGACGGCCGTCCAGCGGTGAGAGTCCTTACCGGTGGATCCATCCTTCGCTCGAATGACATCGATACAGGTGTCGCCCTTACGCTGCATGGGCTTCATTAGTATCTGTATCTAATCCGTGTAGTCGCCCTGCTAGACCGGCTAATGAAATTACGGCTGCATTCCGATGGAATCGACCGTTTTCATTTGCTCAACGCCCCCATTTCTAGACCCCCTTCCGTCATGCCTCACCGGGAGATCCCCCGGTGACAAATGGGTGGGATGGAAATATTCTCCAACGACAAAAGGAATCCGCGGTCTAACACAGGATTGCTTGGTGTCTCACGCCAGTCTCCACTCAGGAATAATAGGACAGGAATCCATCGGCGATCCAGCAGCCACTCGTCCAGTCCAGTCCAGTCCGGATGAGAGTGCCCGTCGCCTCGCCCTGAAACTGTCCATCATTAAGGATGAGCCGTTTGCCTTCAGCGCAAGTCTCAGACTGTGTGGCCAGCTCAACCCGGAAATGGGTTGATGGCGAGTGCTCAAGTGACAGCCTTCTGGCTTTTCATCTGATCCGATCGAAAGTCCAATCCAAGCATAGAAGAGGGCTGACTTCAAGCCCAGCCGCCCAATTGGCCACTTCCAGCTTTGCTTTGGTCCTGAACACGCCGGTTTTCGGGTTGGTTGTTATCTGATCTACGGTGTAATGGCTTCTGTTCTCAAATTGCGACCTTCTAGAAGCTCTTATTCTTCTAGATTTGTAATTGACCTTTGAAATCGTATTGCAATATCGCATGATTTGCTCGGCCCTCTTTCGATGTGCTCTGGGCTGTTCCTTATTCCATGTTCTCTTTGGAATACAGCTTAAAAAAGGAAAGTCGTGCTATAATATCATTTCCAGAGAATACTTGCATGAGCAGAGAAGAAAGAATAGTCTGGGGGGAAAGAACTCCGTAGCGTAAAACGCCCAAGCAAAAGCATCTGGGTTGTTTGCCTGAAGGACGAAATGTCATTGCATGCCAGTTGCGCTAAACCCCTTTCGAGTGGCATCTCAGACGTTCCCGAACTTCAGATCTTCGATCGCGACCAGCGAAGACCGAAAAGCCAACGATCCAACCTTTGCATCCTGGAAGGGCCACAATATCCAGAGTCTATGGCCAGCAGTTGGATTCCGTCATGACGAGCGTATCATTTGTGTCGACATGTCTCACTCCTCCCCGGAACCGTTCGTCGCATCGCCTTCGTCTCCCAATAATTCCTTGAAGCAATATTCCCGCTATACCTACCGCCAGTTACAGCTTCTCCGCCAGGGCTCGACTGCCTCCCCCCTTCGCGCGATTGCGCACATCGATCTAGATGCATTCTACGCCCAATGTGAGATGGTGCGGCTTCAGACGCCGCGGGAGACACCCCTCGCCGTACGGCAGTGGGATTCTCTCATCGCAATCAACTACCCTGCGCGATCTTTCGGGATCACTCGAATGATCAACGCAAATGAGGCGAAGAAACTCTGTCCCGATATTGTTTTGCAGCACGTCGCAACTTTCCGAGAAGGGGAAGGTGGGAAATGGGCCTACAGGGATGACGCCTTCCATAAAATAAGTACGGATAAAGTGTGTCTGGATCCATATCGGGCAGAATCTCGGAAGATTCTGAAAGTGATGAAGGAGGAGTTGACCCGATGGTACGAGAGTTTGGTTGATGCTGAAACTGGGTTAGGGCCCCTGTTTCAGATCCAGCCAGCCGCACTCGAAAAAGCCAGCGTCGATGAAGTGTTCGTTGACTTGTCACCGTTAATCTATGGTCTTCTACTTCAAAGGTATCCCGAATTGCGGACTGAAGTTCAGAGCGATGACCGCATCACGCCTTTGCCTCGGCCCCCGACAACGGCATTGGAGTGGGATCCCCAAGACGGCTTGATAGATCTGGATAAAAACGAGACAGAATTCGACGATCCCGACTGGGACGATATTGCAATGCTTATCGGTGCCGAGTTGGTCCGATCGCTACGGAATGCCGTTTGGAACAAGCTCAGTTACACTTGCTCCGCGGGCGTTGCCAGAAACAAGATGATGGCAAAGCTGGGAAGTTCCACTCATAAGCCCAACAAGCAAACTGTTGTACGCAATCGTGCTGTCCAGAACTTCCTTGGCGGGTTCAAGTTTACCAAAATCAGGATGCTTGGTGGTAAGCTAGGGGATCAAGTCTCTGCTCAGTTTGGCACGGAGCAAGTAAGCGATCTGCTAGCAGTTTCTCTCGAGCAATTTCGAGCCAAGCTTGACGATGATACTGCTGCGTGGTTGTACAATATTATTCGAGGGGATGACAGAAGTGAAGTCAATCCGCGAACGCAGATCAAGTCGATGTTGTCGGCGAAATCATTTAGACCGAGTATCAACTCCGTCGATCAGGCTGACAGGTGGTTGAGAATCTTCGCCGCCGACATATATGGACGTCTCGTTGAAGACGGCGTGCTTGAGAATAGACGCCGCCCGAAGACCATTACGTTGCATCACCGGCAGGGCGCACAAGTTTACTCGCGCCAAAATCCCATCCCCGGATCGTCTCCGATCGACGAAAACCTTCTTTTCGACCTTGGTAAAACACTGCTGCGACAGGTTGTGGTGGATGGACGGGCCTGGCCCTGTGCAAATCTGTCTTTGAGCGTTGGCAGTTTCGAAGACGGGGTCGCAAAGAACCAAGCGATCGAGTCCTTTCTTCTCCGTGGGGAACAGGCTAAACGCATCAGACATGATGCAAAAGAGCTCGATGCAAATGAGCCAAGTGAGCCTCAGCCACCGACAGAAAAGCGGCGCAAGATAGATGACAACGGAATAAGGCGCTTCTTTGTCCAACCCACGGATATCGCCAATAAATCTCAGGCGGATGAGCATGAAGCAACGAAGGAAGACCCTCCAGGTCCGTCTTCACCGGTGCCGCAGTCGCCACAGATAATACCTGGGCTTTACACATGCGATAGATGCAGCAAGTCCATTCCCGAGACCGAAAAGGATGAACACGACGATTGGCACTTTGCCAAGGATCTAGAGAATCAAGAAATCCAAGCAGCAAGAAACTCTAATCAAGTACCGCAACCACCAAGCAACACAGGGTCGTCCAATTCTCGGGGCAAGAATAGCCGTAACAATCGTGATAAACCGGAAAAGGGACAGATGCGACTCAAGTTCGGATAGCCATGGGTTACCTACCTTGTGGCCTTGTCTGGCTGAATTCTGTGCTCTCTATAAACATGGGCAGAAGGCAACGCCGCTTCTTAGCCTTATGTTTCGCTGGTCTATCCATGCGCCATGGTTCTCTTGGTGTAGATACCAAGACTAGATCTGCGCCAGGCACATGGGTTTGACATGAAATGAAAAGGCTCTTGTCTTGCTTAAACTAGCCTGAGAACGAGTGACTCAACTAAGACGAGCCATGCCTCCAGCGAGTTGATAAAAGTTTCGCCGTGCTGTTCCTGGGAATAGTCCTACCATCACATGAATGATACTATGTAACAGCCGCTCATAAGCTGCAATATGCGACTCAGCAGCTTCTTTCTGGATATTCAGCGAACAACCAAATTAGTTGTTGATCAGTAAAACTGTGATATTGCTCATAGTTGAAAATATATTAAAAAAATCTTAAGATTAATCCCTTTGCTGCGATATATATAAGGCTCGGCTAGCCCACCAGGGAAACGTGATCGGACCATGGTTCGAGTCCCCCGAGCTTATCTCACAACCAAATATTGATCTTCCAGAGACTTTACCAGTACCTGGATATGAGATTTCAGTAAACCAATAGCATACTAATTAACACATCAGGCTGACGAGTCATCAATTATATCATCAGGTTGCCAGCACAACCACGCCGACAAATCGCCGCGGTGGCAGCGCTTCGGCAGGACTGCAGCGTGACATCAGCAGGCACAGCCGCGGGGTCATTCTGACTCGACACTTGCCAGGCACTCGTTGGCGCAAATGCGGTCGCACAACCTTATGACTTGATTCTTTCATTCTCTCTTCCGGGGGCCATTATCACATTGCCCTGACGAAACTACCCAAAGAAAAAGAGCAGGCGTATCTTCCGGTGCTCTTTGTCCCTTAAAAAGTACCCCGCGGAAGACGATTGTGGCGGCGATTTCAGCCTCTAATGGAGCCTACACAGTAGAAGGAATACCTACCTATCTCTATTTCGCGTCCATCTCTCGATTGCTCTGATGAGCCAATTGATCGTGGTCAACATATCTATCTAGACGCCGCAAAAATCCAACATGCCTCGACGCTCTCATGTGCGCGAATACGACGAGGAGGATTTATTCGACGACGACGACCGAGAGCCAATACCACCTCCGCGGTCGAGGCGCGGCCGTCGCCATGAACCCGACCTGAGATATAACATGCGAGCACCGAGCCCCCCGACGCCCATGGAAGAATTCGAACGCATGGAGCTGCGCGACCGCTCCGCGCCCGAGTTTCTCCCCGAGGACTTCGAGCCACCTAGGGAGCGCCGGCCGCTGCCGGTCCGTCGCGAGCACAATGGAATCGGGGTCCCGCCGCGTGAACTCGTGCGGAATTTCGAACGGGCGAGGGGCGAGGCTCGGCGCCGCGGACATCCAAGTCGACAGGTCTTTATGGATGAGGAGTATGGCTCTCCTGTGGAACCGGAGTCGGGCCCGGAGCCGGAAAAGATCTATGTGGACAGTGACTCGGAGGGGGAGCTGCCTCCCGTTTCTAGGAGAGAGCGGTCATTGCCTCGACATCGTCGGGAGATTAGGGAGGAGCTGGTGCCGCGCAGTAAAAGCCAGAAGGACGGGCGGAGAGTGCGGCGATCAAGAGTGGAGAGAGAAGATGTTCACCCGAGACCCAGTGAGATCAGAGACGAGATACGGGATGCTCGAGGCCATCACCGTCATCATAGGGCTTCTCGTTCACACCCTGCATCTGGATATCAGACCGATGTTTATGAATCCACCGATGATATCCCCGAGGAAGATTTTATGATGAAGAAGGGACGAAGAAGAAGACGGGATTTAGACCGGGATAGGCTTGAGGAGGAAGAGTTCATACAGGATCGGGGTATGTCGTCTTCTGAGATGGATGATCCTAGAATGCCTTCGCCCGTTCGCATGCCCCCAAATCCTCGTGACTATGATGCCGAACATCTGCATATCCGTGAAGGTGAGGAATCTGGACAGCCATGTTTTTTTGTCAGGGATGCTCATTCACAACTAGAATATGGAGTTCCTCGTGCACCCCGTCCACCCAGCCCGGAAGTCAGCTTCGAGAAGCCAAAAAGTCGCCATCAGTAAGACTCCAGGAGCTCTAAATGTATCCTGAGCTCGTTGTGCTAATAGCCATCCAGCAAAGGGAGCGGACGAGCATCCCGTGAAGAGGTAGTTCTCGAAACAAGGGAAAAGGATATCACACCAATTCCAGTTCGCGCTCTATCGCCAGAGCCTCCAATTCGACGAAAGGAGGAGATTGCCATACCCATTTCCAGACCACGGTCTTTGGAACGCGAAAAGGATGTACTCATCCGTGAGCGGGGCCTCCCTAAGGGGGATCTAGTTGAAGAACGAGAGGTCATCGAAGAAGCCTACAATGAAGGAATGCCGGAACGCGCCCCAAAGGAAATCGTTACCAAAGACATGGCCGAGGATTGGGCAATTGTGAATGCCTCGGCCAAGCCGAGAGAGGGCCCCAGGGAAAACCAAGGTAAAAAGCTACCACAGTTGGGAGATCGGAGGTCCAAGTTCATTATGAGCGACGAAACGATCTCTGATGGAGATACAGATTTTGACCGTGGTAAGATAGGACGACGATACGTCGGGGTCAAGGACCGACGAGACCGTCTTTGGACAGAAATTACAAAGGACCTTGTCGTGAAGGAGGCAATCGAAAGGATGGGCTTCGAGTACGAGGAGACGGTTTCATCCTACTATGTGTTTTCATATCTTCAATACGTGAGTCGATCCATCCATGCTTCTCGGTTTAGTCACCGGTCTCCTCACTGACAGCCCCTGGGCACAGGACGACGTCTCTTCCCTCGTCGAACTTTCCGAGGACATTCGGCGTGCTCGTCGTCGTCGGATACACGAAATGGAACGCGAACGAGCCTCAAAGAACCCGCCGCCCGTGGCCGTTCCCGAGAAAGGGCCTCCATTATTACTAGATCGACCGATGTCCCCTCCGCGTCGGTCGAGGGAAGGCCGAAAAATGAAAGAACGAGAGTTGGTGGTCGAGGATCGTGGACGACCTCGATCCGGGAGGCGATGAAACGCCTCTGACATTGGAGACCCTCCAGCATACGAATCCTCTCATGAAATCGTGCGGTTATGATTTTGACGAATACGGAAACGACAGGGTAAATATATCAGAGTCAGCATATAGCTCTGGGCATCCTCTAGGCAGACGGTACTACACTTTGAATGAATGATCTAGCCACGGCGATTTTTCCATCATCCATGACCATTAACATGACTTCTATACTCATTTGAATCATGCAAACAGCCCCGAGCGCACGCCACCAGCAGCCTCCCCGTCGTAAACCAACGGCCAGAACCCACGCAGCTTTGACAACCCGGTACGCCTATGGCGTTTAGCCCCTCAAATCGACTGTAAAGCACCGCTGTAAACACAGACAGACTTCACGTATGTACCTGGCGCATCATATCATCGACCCCCCCTAACAAACCACATCCGCAAACTCACCTCCAGAGTACCGCGTAGGAGTACGGTAGAGCCGGACCTCGACCCGATCAATACAATCGAGTACGGTATGCAGGTGAGTGGGCATGGAAACTCACACGCCAAGTCAGCAAGCCAGGCAGCCCACATGATCCATCGACCATCAACGAAATGTCTCACCAACCGATCGGATCCCGAAAGTGATTGGTCACCCGGGGGTCAGTTCAGCTGAGAGCCTGAGAGGCCAAGTAGGGTAGCTATACCGACAGCGACTCGATTTGTACGGAGGATGATCTCGCGCCTCTGTATGTCCGAAAATAACTGCTTGTCTCGGCTGGGGATTCTTGATGGTGGAGAGCTAGCTTCATTCCAGGTCTGAAAGTATGTCCGAGGTAAATCGAACTAGACCTTGGCTTGATGTGGCCGGGTGTGAATACCAACCGATGATGGAGGTAGAGAATCTTCATAGTGAATTCTGTTTCCTGTGGCTGATATGCTTCGGTCGTAGTTCGAGACATGAAACCTGAGGCTGTTGGCTGTATACTAAATTACTAACTGAGGCGTCCGGTAGGCGAGTATTGAGATTACGACGGTAATACCTCATACGACGCCCCCAATGCAACGGTGAGCATGGAGCAGAATAAAAATGACATTACTACGTACGATCGATGACATCAAAAAAGAAACGAGAAAAAAAAAAAAAAAAAAAAAAAAAAAAAAAAAAAAACAGCGCCACAGCAGTAAATTAAAACCCCCACATAAAACCGGGTCACAACACGGGATGAGACCTATATATAAGCCACGATTTTTATTGATTCTATTTTTACGGGGGGGAGATCGGGGGCAGGAGACCCGACTATTCTGTATAGTCCGGCACTGACGCTGTTCTATTCCTGTGATCCGGGGTCTTTTTTTATACCACAGTCCAGACGATATTATTGATATCATCAGATCTTCAGACTAGATGCGGCGTGAGGTGAATTGCTTTGTGTCCCGAGGTGCAGCGATTCGTTTGATACGCAGTAAGGGATCGATCGGCATTTGATTGAAATTCCATCCCACTTTTTATCCTTTCAAGCCACAACACAAACTTTTCTTTTCTTTTTTTTTCTGGTCTCGCTTTTCGCTTCGCCCCGAAGGTGCTCGTCGGAGTTAAGAGAGATCAGGCCGATTTTTTTTTGGTCGATTCCGGTCGAGGAACAATTGAGCAGAATTAAGACGATCGATAGCTAGACAGGGGTAATTGGCAAGAAAAGCAACAAAATAAGGCGCGCATGTACACCGAGCAATTGTATAGTCCAGGTTCCATTTAATAGGTTCTTTTTCGAGGGGAAATACAATGTACTGTCAGGTCCTGCCCTGCATTAATTAGCCCCGTGCTTGGCTTTCATCAAACGCACTCTAGATGGGGTGCGATTGTATCATTCAAACAACGGAGCAAATTTAAATTCTACAGTTTGCTGGACAGATGTGATCCGTCCAATATTATTAAATCTTGTCGTGGATTTGGTTCAGGTACCATATCAGCCAAAGATTGTGTGATTGTGTGGCCAATGAGAACTAAGGCGCAGTATCTGCCAATTATGCAATACATGTGAAGTAATGAAGGGAAATTTGTCGATAGCATGAAAATTCCAATTTCTTCACTGCCTACAGCGCAGCTGCCTCAAGTCTTTCCCTGCGTTATCTCGGTGCTGCGCAGATACGATTGGGTGCCTGCGCAGGTAAGATGAGGTGGAGAGATCTGCTGGATTAGGCCAGAATAAAATAAAATAAAGTATTCAAGCACATGAAGCAGGTCAGCATAGGAATGTGAACATTCAAATGATAAACAAAGAATCTTGCTTCAATGCTTTGACTGGGCTGGTGAGAGCTGCTGATCCGGCGCAACAGCCACAGAATTTGGGCTGTTTTTGGCGATCGTCATTCTGATAGCAGAGATAAGCAAGAACCCCTCCATGGCGACTGCATGGTGAAGACGCAGGATGAGATGCAGTTTGCCGAAGCAAAGCGCCCGATAAGACTGAAAAACAACTCATATTGAAGAGCCAAACCTATGGCGACACTTTATGAGATTTGTGTGTATCTCAGTAACGGCACCGAGAAGCGGGGATTAGCGGGAATTCCTCGGTCGTAAAACATTGCCATACGATGCGTCCTTTGCGTCGCTACTGCGCATTTGGTCTAATGGCATTCTTTGGCGAGGTGGAAATAGGACTCCGTTGAGACTGGAGATAAGCCGAGAGAATGGTCTACCAATCGCATGCTCTTCGCGTCAAGGACAACAAACAACCTTGGAAGAACAAGGGCGGGGTTGTCGGTTCTCGATCAAGACCGAAGTCCATGATGTTTCTGGGTTGGCGTCATCGTTCGTCTTAGCTCGGAGTCAGTTCTGAGACTAGTGGATCGTGCTGGCTTGATTGGTTCAGAATTTCCAATCTTTGCATCTTCCAGTTCCATGATGAAGTGGTACAGTAGCATGGCGCAACTCCAGGGATGAAGTGTGTAGACGCACATGCAGATCGGATTGACAGGTCAGTCAAGTCAGTATCTTGTTGTCATCCGACCGACCATGTGTTTTGGTGAACTTTGAGAAACAATGCGACCGAGGGGCAGGTATGCGCATTGGCATGTCGGCTTGGAGGTTAAACCTCGATTCTCTTCCGCTTCGGGCCGTTTGAATATTGATTGGCACGTTGGTCATTGCTTCCAGCAGAAAATATGCCGGAATCCGCATCACGTTTGAATGTGCTGAGGAGGTGGCTGGCCTGCATGCCATTTTGGCTATCTTTCTGTTGACAAACAGAGTTGAACCGGCATCGTTGGATCATGGATCATGTCCAGTCCGATCCGGTCCTAGTCCCTGAAAGGTAGGTGCTGGAGGAATTGACGATCATTTCTTTCTCGCCCACGCCCTTGCGGATAGCAGGCATGTTGAATTATATACCGTGGGGACTTTCCGTCCAGGGAATGACTCGGGATTGCTGCTTTGGAAGATCCAGATCTGGGTAGCACAGAGCCACGATTCCAATGTCTGGCAAGTGAGGTCTAGATCTATGATTCAGCCGGACCACGTAAACATGATGTATGATTGCTCATACATCGGAAAAACAGCCAGGATTACGCGCACCGGACGGAGTGGACAGGTAAAAAAAAAAAAAACGAAAAAGAAAAACCATTCGACATGCCTCGTCTGGCCGTGGATCCTTTGGCGTTGCTATCCTTGGATTCTGGGACGGGCGGCCGGGCTGAAACCGCCGGATCCACCGCCGTGGTTTTGCTTACCGTACAGTACCGGCTTGGCCGGCAAAAAAAGAAAGTATACCTGCTCGAGTAGCGATCGAGTGATCCATGACTCCGAGGGTGAATAATCTACTCCGGACATCCCACAGAGGCTCATCTATCATCCTTCGAGCCCTTCTGCCGGGCCAAAACATTGGTATCTTGCTGACTGAGCCCTCGCACTCCACTCCACTTGTCAGAATCTCTCCCCGATCAGAGGTTGTCCTGTGCGACCGCGGGTCCGAATCCTCACAACGCAGCCTTACTCCGTACTACTCCGTAGATAGGTATTTGTTTACTTCTTACTACTCCGTACTTGTTCGTAGCTATAGGAGTATCTGAGCTGGACGGACTGGATAGGTACCGTATACAGTCACTCGATCTGTGTACGTCACCTACAACTGTACTCTATCCAGCCGTCGTATGGTATGTGAATCCCAGTAATATTTGGAATCTTTCGGACCCGCCCCAGCCAAGACCAATTAAAGGGCTGGGATCTGCGTCCATGGCATTGTTTCAAATGCTGGAAGACTCGGGTATCGAGTGGCTGAACCGGAAGATCCCTTTCTTTGGGTAGCATTAATTCGCCTGGGCTGTTGGTCGTTGCTGCGGTCGGTTGGTGGAGGGATGCGAGAAGTGGCTTGGTCAGCGGTCCTTTCCATCAAAGTCCAAACGAGCGGTGGTACTCGTCCTCGCCGTACGGCGTGATACGTGGGCTTGCCGTGTGTTAGATAGAGTGACGCGGTCTTGGGTTTGGATTATTGTCTGGACCAGTCGACGATGGGGACGTTGCAGAATGGCAGGCAAGGTTGAGTCTTCATATGTACCAGTGCGATTAAAGTTGCCTGCTCCTTTTACGAAGTGTAGAAAAAATGTACCGTACGTGCGCAACTTCAATCCCCTCCCTGAGCATATTCTGTTTTGATCGTAGCCATCGCCTGGTTTCATGGTCTGATATGAAGAAGTCCGCAAATATTTTCCTTAGGTGGCGCCACATCGTCAGCATATGCTGACTAGGTAAAAGCTCCTGGCAGATCGGAATTGGTATTGTGGCCAGGTATGGATGGGTACGGTATGGATCACTGTGTGGACGTATTACCGGATGGGTTACGATCAAAACAATGGATGGGGTCCGCTTTTGCTGCAGCAGCATACCCCTTAAGTTCTGAACCGACTGTCGTCGTTTACTCCGTACTCTGGACAGAAGACGTCCGACGAAGGCTTTCCAGCTACTCGGTCGAACTAGAGTGACAGCGTGCGGCCAACGGTCAAGGTTTCAAAAGATCAAGCTTCTTGCCTCAAAAATCCATACAACCCAGCGAGAGCGTCTGGTGCGACCGCAAAGTGACAGCTAGTTCAAGGGTGAAATCAACGGGCCTCGCAAGACTCCACGGCGCTAGGCCCGATGCGGAGGGCGAGCCCCCACTGCAGCGCGGGTATGCCGGTATTTTTGGCTTTTCGTCCAGGATAGCAGGTACTACGGAGTACCTAACTAGTACTACTGCGTAGGTACTGCGTATGCGTACCTCCATCGTACATTAGCATACCGCATCCCGAATTAAATTTCTTGGTGCGGGTTTCTAGAACGGTCACTGGCCGTGCTCGGTGGAACGCCGGGACTGCTCCATTACTATTACTATTAGCCCAGTCCTGCCAATCCAACTCTGACCAACCTTACCACTCTCCTCCCCCATCTTGCTCTTGCCCACCGGAGGAGGAGTCCTTCTCCATCGCTTTCTTTTTTCTTTCCTCTCTTTGTCATCTCTTCGATCCCTTCGCTTGCTTCCTTTGTCACCCGGGTGGTTGTTGATACTACATTTAACCTTCGTCCCCCTTGTTACTCTGACCAGCCCTCGTTCTGCGGTCAGAAGTGACGATGCATTGATCCTTTCTCAGTCTTGCTCTCGTCCTTCGTTCTCCTCCAAAGCTTCGACTCTATCTGGATTAGCGATTCAAATCTGCGTGGTTGAGCGATTGGGGAAACACCCGCTCGACTTAGTTGTGCCTAGTATGTTGTGCTCTCCTCGAATCCTCGGACCGATTTGCATGCGTCGCTAGGTTCGTGGCTGATCGGCATCAAAGATTCACTGACCCCCGTTTAAGTATAAGAAGATCGTCTATCGCCGAACTCCTGCCCGACTTTTTTTTGAAGCTGGCCTCGAAACCTGCCGGATATTCCCCTGATCGATGAAGCGGGCGATTCGTCTGTTTACTCGACTATTTTGATCGTTGACGATCCCGTCCGACCACCCCGCCGACCGACCGGCCGAACTATTGAAGACTCGACCGGTGAATTTCTGAAGTACTCGAGACTGGGCCCGGATCTGTGAATGTGTAGTCCGCCATCGACGAGTGCCGGACGGATTGTCCCTGAACGCGGAATTTGGTTGCGCTACCCTTAATCGAACCATCGAAAGACGACCCGATGGCCAAGTTTTTCGCCATGCACTTGAGCCTAGCTATTTCGCTGCTCGCCTTGTTTTCGTGGCCGAATCTCGTCCTTTCGTCCTCGGACATCTATTACTGTGCTACGGTCAATACCGGGGCCTCGAATTCGCCAAGTAAGCAGTCCCGTCCTACGATACGTGGCCCTTGCTAACTGTGATGCAGATAGCAGCACATTCCAATCAAACGGTCTCTGCTCAGATCATTGCGCGAAATTCGCATTCGGGGTCCTGCAAGGCAAGTCGTGCTGGTGTTCTAACGAGGCTCCCAATAAAGCGACCACTGTCGACGACAAGAAATGCAACAAGGGTTGCCCAGGTTATCCAGATGACAGCTGCGGAGACGCGTCCAAGGGAGTGTTCGCCTATCTGGAGATGCTGTCTGGCCAAATGCCAACGGGAACAGCAGCTGCGCCCACAACAGCAACAAGTACTACTGGAAAAGAAACCTCGGTCAGTATTATCTCGACATGAATGCGTCCCTTTTGCATCTCTTTCGCGCCAAGCCACCAGGTCCACGGTTCGAGCAATCGTCTGTCGTTTGCGTTCTGCAGTATGGGCCCAATGCTGGAGGCACGGTGCTTTCCTGCAGTTGGGGGTTGTGGCTGGTGTTGGCTTGGACGCAAAAAGATCCCCTCCCCGGGGTTTTGTTCATGTGTCTTGAGTGTGAATCGCTTTGTCATTATACTGACTTTCCTGCAGACAAGCTCTGATAGCTCCACAAAAACCACCTCAGGAACGTCTACCACCACTGGACATACCGTTGCCGTTGAGACCAATGCCGGCGGTGAAGTCAAAACAGTCACCGTAGGAGGATCTGGCCCGACGTCCACGCCAACTCCAACTCCCACCGATGATGATGACGATGACTCCGGCCTTGCTGGAGGAACTATTGCCGGCGTTGTGGTGGGCTCTGTCGGTGGGGTCGCTGCCATCATAGCAGTCATCTTCATGATCATTTTAGCGAAGCGTCGATCGCGGTCGCCAAGCCCTGACCCAAGTGTCCAAAACATATTGCTGGATGGAAGAGCGAGCAAGGGCTCGCAAATGAGCTTCATGAAGGGCATGTTCTCCGACAATCATAGCCACACCTTGTCCGCTGGGTCATCGATAGCGCCTGGCCGCATGCCGCCTCAAAACTTCACTGACAACCGCATGAAAGATGCGGCGATTTGGCCTACCGGCCGTCGTAACAGCAGTGTGTCACTGCAGGATGACCAAGATTATTCGCGACCGGTCTTGAGAGTAAGCTCTGGTTGGAACCCATCGAAAGTACATGCATTGCTAACAGCTCACAATAGTTAACAAACCCTGACTGATCGGTCGGCCTCCTTGACACATTGTCTTCTCTACACCTTGCATTCTCCTATCTCGATTTGCGTGTTTCGGCGAAAACAGCGGTTTTATGATACCCATTTGTCTCATGATCTTTCGTATTATCTTGACCTATTGGACTCAGCGGCGTGATACGCGCGAGGTCTTGCCTCCGTTATCATCTCCCGTGGGACTTGCGTCGCGCTCTGCTCCCACTCTTGCGCCGACCCTCCCGAATCCTAGGCCCGAAAGATAATTCTTTGTTTTGTATTCACCTCGGAGAAAGACGAATCTCTCGAAAACTCCGCGACAAAGGTAGCTACATACAAGTACTACTGCGTTATCGGCTCGGTGTCATCATGACCAGCTTCTTTTGCGGAAATTATTCGTGTACATCAACACACTACTGGCAGCAGCCACCGTACATACACTAATTTCATCAGCGTGTTAGGCATATTGTTTCTTCTTTTTCTTTTGTTTCTTTTCCTCTATCTTCCTACTTTACTATCATTTTTCTTTCTTTATTTCCTTAGTCTTGTTACATATCTGTGTCTGATTATTTTGTTGGGTCGGGCGGCGCTTTTGAACGGTGTTTTGTGTAATCTCCCATGCTAGAACTACCAGGAGGGATATTTCAGCTTGCAGTCTTAGCTAGGTGCATTTCGTGATTACTCGCATGAATCTACAAGGCCGTTTTGCAAGGCTCTGTTAGCAACCTGACATTACATGAGAATCCACAGCGCGTATACATTGAGCCATGGCTTGAACCTATGCTCAAGTTTTGACAAAGTTAATTCCTCGAGTGCCATCTTTCTTCCTTTCAACTTAATGCATGGAAGGTCCAGGCTCGACGGCACGGCCCTTGCAATCGTATCCACCCGCCGTAATTGCGTGGTCCAAACGTTTGTCCTGGCCGTGCCATAGCGCCGACATGACGACGCTTCTCCACTATTGAACAATTTAACCTGTGCGTGTCCGGACATAGCGTGTGCTATTGTCCCCGTACCATCAACGCCGGTCAATCTAGAGCTTTCTAGAACGGCGAACGGTACGGAGTATGCACAACACGGATACGCGTCTGTCCACAGTATCATCCAGTCGGCCCAGGTATCCTTGAATTTGGAACGCGAGATAGTTCCCCGCTTTTCGTTTTGCTTTGGGAGGACAACGCATGCAGACAGGGTTGGCTCTGCAGCGTGTAGCTAAGTAGAGCGCTCGTTTCCCTCGTGTCATGGGTATATTAAGAGCGTGTCTGCGTCTGACGTGCAGAAACGCCTCGCCTCGTGGGTTGACTTTTCATCAAGCCATGCGTTCGAGGAGCTGTGGCTCAAGGCTGCTGGGCTTGGGATTTAGTAAGAACTGCCGTTTCATTGAAGGACCTGCGAGAGCAACTTTTGTCTGCAAGAGTTAGCATGGGTGTCAATTCTTGGGCCTCTCCGAGTCAGAATGATCGCTCCATTTGATAACAATAGTAGGTTTTGCTCTTGAATAGATCCCACGGATCTTTGATAACGTGAAGCACCATACCGGGGCAGCTGGTGCTGTCTGTAGAGCCTGAGGCTGGAGGTTTATGACTAAAAGAGCAGCATGTGACCGTCTTATAGAAGCAGGGACAATTTTACCCTTTCGGGCAACACGAACACACTTTTCCCTTTTCCTCTTCAGTTAAGCAGATCCTCGCATGTCCCTTGCTATCTGTAACTGCTGAGCATCGAACAAATCACAATCAGTGTTGACTTGCTGTGGGTTATGCAATGGTAGGTGAATTCCCCTCATTTCCTGCGTGGCACGACATCGCCCTGGGAGTACGTTCGGCTACTAATGAAATGTAGTCGAGCTCGTATACTATTTAGAAGCAAAGAAGGAGCTCCCTGAGCGGCAAAATCTCTACCAAAAATGAACAGTTGGTCGTCTTTACGGTCTTTTTTACGGACTATGCCATGCTACAGCAGAATAATGATGTCGAATGGGAAGAAAGGCTACCAGCCACTCTCCAATGCTGGGCAAATGCAGTACAACCAACGCTTCACCTGCACTATCCGCTGACCCTGAGATACTGCCTTACTATAGGTCTATGAAGCCGATGCACGACACCAATCAGCGAGCCAACCTCTTCCTCCATGCCGTCCTTGCACCTTAAACTTGACCTCGGGAGGTCGATCACTGGTTCACCCATAACAAGGCACCCAAGATAAGGACAGTGGCCGTATCAGGGAGCTTCTTCTCTTATCGTCATATCTGCATCGCCGACCCGAACTTAGCTAATGCGTTCGTGTCACTGCTGCCTTGAAGGGACGTTTTATGCGATTGAATCAGATGGCTTTCTCTGCAGTCCCTCTACGGTTACTTGATGCGAGGGTTACTCTTGGCTTCTTTTTCCTTGCCTAATATTTAGAAACTGGCGGTACCAGTTCTTTTCGACTTTCAATTCTTTCTGATCGTGTTTCTGAATGACACTGATTACTTTGAACACTCGCGTCCCCTGATATTTTCTCTGCACTGCGTCTCTCTCGCCAAACCATCCATAAGCCTTCAATAGTCCATTTTATCACTCCATGGAATGACTGGCCATGTATTCCCTGAATCTGCCGGATGACGTCTGGTTCCTGGGCTTTATTGTGCTTGGACTGACAGGACTGTGCATTGCCGTTGATCGAATCCAGGGCAAACCATTTTGGCATCGAATCAACCTCCACCGTCGTCGAAGATCGTCTAGCGGAACTCCACCACGGACATTGTCGTCAGATAGCAAATCGTCTGCCAACACCACATCACAATCAAGCCATGAGGATGTCCTCCCTCCTCAGCGCCGACACGTTCTGGCCAACATGAAGATGGACGGCGTATCGTACAAGGAAGTGAACGAAAAGGAGGTTCGCGAACAACTTTTACCGATGACAATGGATTACCGGGCGTGTGAAGATGAAAAATACACTCCAGCGGGGTTCTCAGTATCCGAGATCAAAGCCTTGGGTGAATTCCCAGACTATGCGGAGCTCAGCGGCGTGCCTTTACCCCAGCCATACCCTGAATTCAACATCGACAGAGCGTTGCCTAGACCATACCGTCCGTTCCGATGGGCCTATCATCAGACCATGTGTACGCTTTCTTCCTTCACTCCCTCCGGGGTTCGACCGGCATGATTCCCTAAAGATAAAGGAAGCGTTAACTGATCTTGCACATACTGCAGCACTTACCAAACTGGAAACGGACTGGTGGATTGAGCTCGAGAATACCTACAAGAAACGCATATCACAGCGCAAGGAGCTGTACGCGAAACACGGTAGTGACGTCTTGGGCGCTCTCCCCGGCTCCGAGCTGGCCTGCAAGGAACTCATGGAAATGGTCTTACAATTCACCTGCGCTCGCTATCCCCAGTATTTCTCCCTGATCGACAAGCGCTACCTCCATAACAGAATCCTGGGCACGGAGCAAGATGTCCGATCGAAACACCCACTAGAGATCCTACTTGATAACATTCCCGAAGACTTCGGTATCATGTTGCGAGACGAAAGGGCCGGGAACTACTTCCTACGCGCGGGAATCATCTGCTCTGCCTTGGGGTGGAACGTAGGCACCAAGATCGGTCTTCAGCTTCATGAAATCCACCAGCCAATCCCGGACTATAAAGAGAAAATGCAATTCTCGATGGATCGGTAAGTCTGTCTTCGCAGGATCACCTTCAGCTGAGGACGTTATCCATCCGTACTGAGACACAGATAGATTCTTCACGAAAATGCCAACCGACAAGCCGATCCAAAGAGGGTCCTGGGGTCTAGAAGTCGGACAGCCGTTGTATATGCCGAAAGGCGATCCGCACGAGGCGCTCCGGCTGTCCCAAGACCCGAGCCTCCGCTTCGAAGATTGTCATCTGCGAGTTGACTGGCAGACGCTTCGGCGGCTGCCCCTCTCGTCTGCTATCATCTTTAACTTCAAGGCGCTCTTCACACCGGTGACGGAGTTTCGCGATGAACCGGGCCTTCCGGCGCTGGTTGCGGAGATACTGAAGAACGGCAAGAGGAATTTGATGGAATATAAGAGTACATGGCACGTGCAGCATGTCATTCTTCCGAAGCTGGAAGAATGGGCCAGGGAGCAGGAAGAGGATGGGCTGGTACCTGGGACCTGGGAGGTGGCTACGTTGGATGATAGCCCGTGGTTTAAGGGCTGGCAAGAGAAATGGCATCGGCAGCAAGGGTTCTGAATGAATTATTGAGAGTATGATACATAGAGTCCTTGATGGAATTGGTGGAGCGAGTGCTTTCAAGAAGGGAATCTGATTTGTAAATGAAACATAACGCAAATGGCATCACAAGATAAAGCGCATAAATTCCAAATTGATAAGAATCCAGCAATAAGCTGGAGTTAGATATCCATGTATTGTAGTACACTTGTCGTGCCACAACGTTGAAAAGCTCCAACGTGCCTTTCCAATGTGAATCACTATCTGAAAGACAAGACCCCAATGTGATATCGTGCGCCCAATGCTGGAACGCTTTGAGCCCAACCGACAATCGCAGGTAGGTAGACCCACGGGGTGCTGGTGGTGGTAGCCGCAGCCTACTCGGAGGCGTGCAAATATTTGGCCACTGAGAGCCTGTCCCCAAAAAGAGAACGTCTCATTGAGTTCGTAGCCTGAGATTCGAAAGCGAAACAACTCATAGTCAAGTCCCGACTTGACATTGCAGAGCCAAGAAGTTGATACCGGCGAAACCGCGCCAGATTGTCGCAATCAATCATCGCCCGCACTTCTCGCAGACTTTGTCTCACTGGCCTCGCCATCTTCGCTCTCGCGGTCCATCTCCTCCAGCTCCGCCGCCAACGGACTCTCGCGCTCATCCAGCAGATCCAAGTCCTCCAATTGTTGCCGCGACGGCAGCTTCCACAGACTAGTACCACACACACGCTCTTTCGTCAGCAGGTCATCGACAAACTGGTCCATGTACGTCAACACCACGGTGTCGCCCATCCGTCTCTTCAGCTTCCGGTAGTCGAGAAGGAGCGGCTCCAGCGCCTTGTACACGTCGACCGCGTCAAACGTCAGTCGGATGTAGAAGGCCGCCAGGGCGCGCAGGTACTTGAAGTCGCCCTTCTGCTTCACGACACTGCTCTGCGCGTGTTCCTCCGCGGTGGCGTTCGTCTCGTCGTCTTCGTCGCCCAGCGGGTCGGTGAAATTCAGGTACTCGAGCACTATGTGGCGGTCCGGGTTCAGTTGGAGGAGCTTGAACGCGAGGCACAGGAACGGGGTCGGCTTCTCGGCGACCCCGTGCGTTCCTCCGATCGCGGTCAGCTCGACCGCCCGGTCGCATAGTGTCGCGGCGTTTAACCCGAAGCATTGCTCTTTCCAGTAGTAGGAGTCGGTGATGCGGTCGCGGACGGCCTTTTCGAAGAGTGTGGCGGGGTTGACGCCGCGGATGAGTGGGCCTTTGTAGCCGCGATTGTCGAGGAGAGTGCTGGCATCGGCGCGGTGGGATGCCATGGTGATGGGGAGGAGGGAGGGAGGTGGAGAGAGAGAGAGAGAGAGAGCGAAAGGAACGAAGGCGAGAGAAGGTGAAAGTGAAAGTGAACGTGACGATCAGGAAATGATTGGTGCCAAGACGCGGCTTATCGATAGTCGCGCCGACAACCGTCGAGTAAACGAAGCCTGAAACATCCCTCTCGATGACCCTCGTCCCTCTTGTTTGTTTGCCGGATGACATTGTTGCATGAGTTACGAATTTACGAGTCCTGATCTGTCGGAATTGAAAGGAATTTGCAGTTGAACGGGGATCTGCATATCTGCGCTGTTTTCCCACGCCAAGAGAGACGTGCCATCGACTACTTCGTACATACTTGCGACCTCGACTAGACACATGCCGATGCAGACGCCCTAGAATCGTCTCTCTAATCATGGTGCTTCTGACATCCTCCACTGTCTCAGTCATTCTGTCGACAGGGGTGATCTCCATCTTCACCGTCCTCCTCTTTCTCTCCGGATACACGCTGCAGCAGCAATCCGTCCGAAACATCCAGCATGCGCTTCGCCCTCCTGCACCCCTCGAGCCCAAGATAGGCCACGGATCAGCAGGATCGTCATTCCAGGGCACAAAGCGAAGCCTCTTGTTCGATCTAGTCTCCGACGACGACGCAGACGATGCTTCCTCCGCGCCGCACTCCCCCACCGGCGGGAACTACGCCTATCTCCAACTTCTATCAACCCCAGATCCATCCAACATCTGCTCCGCCATTCTGTTCTTCAAGCAGCTCGCATCCAACGGCACCACCGTCCAAGATCGCCTCTTCATGTACCCACAGGAATGGGACATGATGTCAGCCAGCCAGCTCTCCGAGCCCGTCTCGACAGCGCTGTCCCTGCTGCGCGACGCCAGCCTCAAATACGGCATCTGGCTGCTCCCCATCGACATGACGGCCGCCTCCTCCGCCGGATACGCCACCACAGACACGAAGCTGCTGCGTCTCGGCCAGATCCAGTTCATGCAGTATGACAGCGTCCTGTACGTCCAGACCCCCGGGATGCTGCTCGACACGGGGAAACTGGACGACGTGCTGCTCTCGAGACCCCTCCCCTTGCGCCATGACAAGTCCCGCCCCGAGTCGTTCAACAACGACGCCTGGATCCCCATGCCGTTGCGGGCCGACCGCGACGCCACCCTCCCGCCTGTGTACCTGATCACCGTCAATAATGTCGGCAGCGGGCATATCGAGGCGCGCGGCCATGTGCCTAACGTTGCGCTGTCGGGCTTTGGCGAGTTGGTCACGGGTCCCTGGGGAGCGCAGTCTGCGCAGGAAGACGACTATGATGTGGAGAAGCAGCCGGGGTATGTCTTCTTCGAGCATGACGATGATGGCCATGTGAAGTGGGCGAAGAACCCGCTGTTTGGATCCTGGAGGGCCGGGCAGTATGAAGTATGCGAGGGGCTGGATTTTGACGATGTGCATGATGATGATTTGTAGCCTTTTTTTTCCTTTTTCCTTTTTTTTCTTTTTCGTGTTTTTATTTTCTGGGGCTTCACTTTGGTTTCTGGTGTTTTTGCTTTTGTTTGGTTCCTTCGGCTTTCTGGCTTGGGTTGATGAAGTCAACGGTCTTTGATGATGTACATGCTTCTTGATGTCTGGTTGGTGTTGATGGTGTAACATATTCTCTGCTTTTATGTCGTATGTATCAAGAGCTTATAAATGCATATATGATATCGGATCTCCTCGATGGCTCGCAGTTCGATCGAAACATTATCAAGAAGTTATTCCTCATCGCGGCAGACGAGTCGACCCGAGTCGTCCAAGATAGAATTCATCAAATCATATCCTCTAATTGTATTGCCCTAATCCAGTGAGAACGCTATCGTCAAGATAACAGTGATACATGTAGGAAGAAAAGCAAAGCCACGGTGGGTATCGTCCATCTCGTAGATAGTAGTGACGGAGCACTAGCCGTGAGGGAAACCACACAGCCAGGTCTAGAAGAAGATCGTAGAAAGAAATAGCCAGCGAACGCGCAACTTGCACCAGGTATATAGTGATAGTAGTGTACAGTGAGTGCAATTGGCGTCGAAAACTACCGAGGGACGCCGATCTCGTATCCCAGGAGGACTTCGGTGGTGTTGCCCTCCCAGCCTCTGTTGCCGCTGGTTGAGACCATAAAGCGACAGGCTTGATCGACGTAGAGCTGCGAGACAGTTCCTGTGCGGTGGCCGGGGATGATGAGAAACGGAACGGTCGAGTGGCGAGCAACCTGTTCGTGTTTGAGATCGTACAATCGAAGAATATCGTGGGACGCGCTGGATGAGGAAAGCAAGTTAATGGCGTGTCGTAGGCTTGGAGGGCGTATTCTGCAGGAAAACTTACCACATGATGTGTCGTCCGTTGGGCATCGCTTGCAGTGCGGTGACCGGCCCGCTTCCTTGAGGGAACTTGAAGATTCGCTCGGCATCCCGGAAACCTTTGTGAAGACTGAATTCCTCGACAGTTCCGTTTCGACGACCGGCGTAGATGTAGTTTCCATCAGGAGACCAGCATGCATTCATACACCATGGCGGAGAGTTGCGAGAGATGATGCGTGAAATGGGGTCCGGTTGTCGTCGGTCCCAAACGCGAATCATGCCGTCGATCGAGGCAGCTAGGAAGATGTTGTCCGGGCCAATATTGGAGTCCGATGGTGTTTGTTGAGAGGTATCTTGGGTTTGCGGGGGGTGTTCCAAATCTTCGGCGTGAGGTAGCCCGTTAACCAAGTGCTCCGAGGTGCCATTGGGAAGCATATTGTCCTGGGACTCCGAGGGGTGGCCGGATGCGTTGGCATTGTCTACATTCGAATCGCCGGTGTTTGTGGGATTTGCAGATGGTCCAGCAACGCCATTTTGCTGCTCCGTCGTGTCGGGTTCACCTTGCGCATCTGCATCCGGAAGAACGCCATTCGCGAGAGCTTTACCAAACTCATCATCCTCATCGATGCCAAAGGCATTTCCCGATGTGTCTGCACCTTCTCCGCTCGCGCCGTCCGCGTCACCGAATAATGAATCAGCTCCGCCAAATAACGAGTCCGCTGGCGAGCCTGCCTGCTGGTTCGAAGGATCACCCCCGTCGCCTTGGTCGTTTGAGGTATCCATGAAGTTGAAGCTATCGCCCCCGCTGGCCTGATTGTTGGACGAGTAGGTACCGTTAGGTTGTGAATTGTCCGATGTTTCTTTAGGCACCGGGAGGCTGGATTCTGGCCGTATGTCAAGAGAAGAGATCTGCCCGGCGCTGGACCCGAACGCGCGCCTTGTTTGCCCGGTGTTTAGGTCCCAATCGAATACCCGTTTGTCCCAGCTCCCAGACAGCAACGACTTTTCATCGGAGGTCAAATTCAACACCGAGACCGCTGAGGTGTGCTGCTGAAGTAGCGCTATTTCCTTGCCCTCGTCATGGCGCACGGACTGTAGCCGGATGGCGCCCGACTCCAGACCAGATAACAGCCAGAGGCCTTCGCTTTGACTTGCCAGAGAATAGACCGGTGAAAGACTATTCCCGTCCATGTTCTCCCAGTATGTCATGAGCACCCCCGCCTTTACCACACTGTCAACGAACGGATGTCTTTGCGCCACGGTCAGCATCAATTTGCTGTTGATCGAGTCAACCCAGTTGAACTTCCGAACATATCCATCTGATCCTCCGCTGAACACCCATCTCATGTCTGCCGTGGCGGTTACCGCATTGATTGAAGTACTATGGGGTGCCGCTGTCGTGGGCACGATGTCGTACGTAGAGGCAGTCAGGCATTCGGGACGCACGCTGGGATGTAGCGCAGATATCGGATCGGACGTAATATTTGTCGGACCGACGGTGGTCATTTCAACGTCGGGGTTCGGTTGCGCGGTCACCCCTGCGCTCTCAGATACATGGCTGGCGTTGGACGGGCTTTCTGCGTCTTGATCGGCGTCTTGGTCGGCATCGGCATCGTTATCATTCCCGCCATCATCTGCATCCCTTAGTGTGTCCTCCATTTCATTGTCCGAGCTTCCATCTTGCGAGCCTATTCGAATAACACTTGTCAACACTCAATGCCACAAAGCCGGAACTTTCGAGGAGCACCCGCCTGCAAGATCGCGGTCGTCGTCTTCCTCCAGCGAAGCCATCGTTCGAAGAGGGATCTGTTGAAATTTGGTATTGGTTTGAGTCGCAGAATTGAAGATATAGTGGTGCAATATATATGAAGGAGTATAATGTGTCGCGATTAATAGCAACCCTGAATTGGCTCGAATTTGGCGAACGACCAGCCTTTGCAATATATGCGCACGGTATAATAACTATTGTTGGCTAGGGGTACATTTCGAATAGCAGCCGTCCTTGCGGATAGGACAATGAAGGTGAATGATAAGATCCAAGTGTCTGGTATATAAGAGAATGAGGGCGCATAAAGGTCAAAGGAGCAGTGAATGCATACCTCCGCCCGCGTCTTTTCCCCGACGTCAGTCACGTTGCCCGCTGAATGCCTGAGGCAGAGACACCGTCTCCTTCCGGTTAGCGTCAGCGTTGTCAACTTCGCCTGGAGGCACTGGTTGTTCCTCCTTGGCTCTGGATCTATTTATTCTTCAAGAACACTCAATAAAGCCGTCGGGTTGACTGTCAGTTCATTTGAAAACTACCCAATGGGTTGCCACAGCTCAACAAAGGTCCTCATTGACCCAACGCAAATTATCCAACATCAATCAGACGAAACAAAGCACCGAATAGCAGCAAAAGTGAAAGAAAACCGGGAATTCCAAAATCATAGCGATTCTAGATTGCTTTTATAGGCTGTAATACTAATAATTTTGTCAAATTATGCTCATCTTGAGTATATGAGCCTACTCTGGATGTACTGACGCACGAGGGGCATGTACGCCAAGGTACGCAATTATTTTCTAGAGATCTACAATATATCTGACTACTCCTTCACTCCAGAGCTGAATCTAATCAGCAGGGTAATATAATTACAAAGTCTTGTTTGAGCTCTTATTTAAGCTACTAAGGGAGGAGGAGGAGTGACAAATCAGTACAAGGCTCTTCTTCCATCAGCTTTGACATAAGTTTGATTTTCTGGGGAAATCCTCAGTCAGTGCTATTTTGTCAAATGGGTAGTTCTAGCGTATGGGGAAAGACAAGAACCAGATGACAACGAAATCCAGTTTTGCTGGGCGATTGAAATCCGCGGTGAATATTGTCTCAAACATTAATGTATGAATCCGTGACTGCAAACGCACGCACTGCCTCCCCCTCTCTTTTCCCTCTTATTCTTTTCTCACCTTTCCTTCCCTTCAAGTGAATGGTATTTCTCAAGTTTCCCTTCGCTCCCATTTGCGCTATTTTCATCTCTTTCCTTCGCTATTCTTGTCAGCTATTCTTCATCATTGAATGATCTCCCATCATAGAATTTGAATCTGAACCACCCCTCTCTTTCACCTTTTCCCATCCGTGAACTGTCCTGATCGTCTAGCCTGACGAGCAAGAATAATGGACTCATCCAATGGATTCCCACCCATTTTGCCTTCTGAGCGTCTCCATGATCATTTTTCACGGATTGGAGTAGGTTCGACCGTTCCCGTCAACCTCGACGTCAGAGCCTATTTCAATCAACCCGAGCTCGTAGAGCCTGAGCCGTGGCTTCAGAAGCCCGAGATTCCGTTCAGAGAGGAAATCCTGGGCATTGATGACACAGACGACGAATTCATTGAGCTTGCACCTAATCGGGTCGTTGGCCCCTGGAAATCAAAGAGTGCGTATTTGAAGGCCCATTATGAATTACTCAGAGAGGATGCCGTTGCTCCTTTGAGGGATGCGGTGGCGTTTGTGAGAGATGACCCAAATATGTCGGACTCTCAGATGGTAGCGATTTATGAGAAGGTCAGTCTCCTTTGCGTGGCTTGAAGCGGGGACAATACAATCTAATTAATTCCCTTCTTCCGTCCAGGTCTACATCGCCGGAATCACGTTTGCCCACAAAGATCTGGCTTTTCGGATAAAATTCTCGACAAGCAGGGCGGGTAGAAACATTGCTTGGGAGTACTCTTCACGGCTCAGGAGTGGCTCAATTGTTGCCTTGTCATCTGTGAACGACTCGTTCAAAAGTGAATGTGTTGTCGCTATTGTTGCAGCAAGGCCATTGGAAGGGGTCAAGCAACACCCACCCGAGATTGACATCTTTTTCGCCCGGCCAGAAGACGCAGATTTTGATCCTCAAAAAGAATGGATCATGGTCCAAGCAAAAAACGGATACTATGAATCGGTGAGGCACACGATGAAAGTCCTCCAGAAGATGAATCAGGAAAAGTAGGCGAAACAATCCACTGCGAATATATTCCTCTAGTCTCTGGGCTCACGGCTCATATTATCAGGTTCCCCCTAGCCGAGCATATTTGCTTTCTTGAACCAAATGCCGATGCCCCCTCTTATGTGGAAGAGGGTCCAATTCTTGATATACAACCAGCTATTGGCATTTCCGGCGAAGAGGGACGGATTGATATCCTCAGAGATTGGCCGGAAACGCCAACCGGAGAGCTCGACGCTACCCAGTGGAAAGCATTGCGGCACATGCTCACAAAACGCCTCTCCATCATTCAGGGTCCTCCTGGTACTGGGAAGACACACGTATCAGTTGTGGCCTTAAGGATAATGCTGGCAAACATGAAGCCCGATGACCCTCCGATTATTGTTTCGTCTCAGACAAATCATGCACTGGATCAGCTCCTGAAGTATATTTCTCTCTTCGAAAAGCAATACATTCGGGTTGGGGCTCGAAGCAGCGACCTTGAGATCAAGAAGAGAACTTTATATTCTATCCGACAGAATCAGCCGGCAGCAAATCTGCAAGGAGGCTTATTGGGACCAGCGAGGAAGAAGCTGAGGAACATGATCCAGCCGATGATAGAATTCCTGCAAGCATTCAATTCAGAAAACGCAGATAGACCACTCCCATCTTCCGCGTTCGTTGGACTCGGAGTTCTAAGCCGAGAGCAATCTGACGCGCTGATCCAAGGAGCCAAGGGCTGGATTCGTTCTGACCAGAAGGATGACATCGACCCGCTGGTCGCTTGGCTTGGAGAAAAAGTGATCAAATTCGAGGTGAATTATGCGGCAGAAAACTTCGGCTTCGTCGAAGATGAGGTCGACCTTGAATACGAGCAACTGAAAGAACTTGAAGCCGAGCAAGGAATAGACGAAGATGACTACGAGATTCTCAAGGGCCAATTCATATTCCTGAAAGAAGGATTTTGCGGCCAGGGCAGCTCTCTGCCCGACGCAGTTTGTCAAGAGTATCTAAAGGCTCGTGACCTCTGGAAGGTGCCCGTTAGAGCGCGCGGTGCAGTCTACAATGCTCTAAGGAAAGCAGCCAAGATCAAGATGTTGGAAGTATTCCGCAACCTAGCCGCCATTTACACACAGACCACGGGAGATCTCCAGATTGGCAAATTCGAGAGAGACGCTCACATTCTTCAGAACGCCCGGGTAATTGGGGTGACAGCCACGGGACTTAGCAAGTACCGGGGTCTCCTTTCGACAGTAAACCCTAAGGTGGTTCTTGTCGAAGAAGCAGCCGAGGCGATCGAGGCACCCATAGCGGCAGCCTGTTTTCCGTCCGTCCAACAGCTGATCCTTGTTGGCGACCACCAACAGCTCAAGGGCCATTGTTCAGTCCAAGATCTTGAGGGCGAGCCATTCTTTTTGGACATATCGATGTTCGAGCGTCTGCTTCACAATGGCTTAGATTATATTACGTTGAGAAGACAAAGGCGTATGGCGCCTGAAATACGCGCGCTGTTGGAACCGATCTATAGTGACCTGCAAGACCATGCGTCTGTACAGAATCGCCCCGCCATTCCTGGAATTGGTGATGTGCGGTCGTTTTTCTTTTCTCACAAGTGGCCAGAAAGCAGCGATAGCTTGTCATCTAAGTTCAACGAGATGGAAGCGAAGATGATCGTGGGGCTCTTCGTTCACCTGGTGCTCAGCGGGACACGGGTGGAGGACATTACCATCCTGACATTTTATAACGGGCAAAGGAAAAAGCTTCTCAAATTATTGAGGAGCAACTCATATCTCCAAGGTCATTATGTGAACGTCGTGACGGTTGATTCGTATCAAGGAGAAGAGAACGAAGTGGTTCTGCTTTCCCTCGTGCGCAGTGGCGACTCGGGAGTCGGGTTCTTGTCTATCGACAACAGGGTCTGCGTGGCTCTTTCGCGCGCGAAAAGGGGATTTTATCTCTTCGGGAATGCCATGTCGCTTGCTTGTGCGGATCCGTTGTGGTGGAGAGTCATCAACATCATGGGTACCGACCAACCGCGGCGGCGACTGGGATTTTATCTGCCGCTAACATGTGTCAAACACGGAAACAAAGTATTTCTCAGGGGTGTGTGCTCGATCGTGCTCGCAACTTGGCGTTTGAATGGATTTTGCTAACATCTCGATAGAGCCGTCTGAATGGGATAGGATAAATGGCGGGTGCAGTCTCGAATGCGACGAGCTGCTCGAGTGTGGGCACAAGTGTACTCTGCGATGTCACAAGTAAGTCTGAAAACCAAAAGAGTGCCCTATCCACTGCATGGGCCCGGTTATTAAGCCAGTAAATTCTCTAGCTTTCCGCATGACCGGGTTATATGCGACCGAGACTGCGAGAGATTGTTGTGCGGCCACCCGTGTGGTCAACCGTGCTCAGCAACTCATACCTGCTCTTGCGAGTGTCTTCAAGGGTCGGTCAGACCCGCAGCCAGGTCGACACGTCCGGTCCCTCCTCCGGTTGCCAATCGTTCCAGCCGAGTTGTCGATGCCGAGAGCCATCGAAAACAAGCCTTGAGACAGTACCAAGAATTCGCCAACGGGGGTGCTCAGGTGCTCGATGAGGAACTGCTGAGAATAGCCGAGTCCAATGCGAGAGCCAACCAAGCTCCCTTGAAGCCACCGGTCAACCTGCTGGATGATTGAGATTGAAGGCAACGTTTCCGGCGGATAGAAAGGTCGAGGAGTGATGTCGAGTAGACGGATGGAAGATGAATGAAGTGAAACCGAAAGGAAAGAAGCTTTTCCGAGAGAGCCAAGGGCCAGCAGAACCAAGATTCGCCAGGAATGGGAACCTCCGATCCATTTAATTATTACTCCGTAGGGCTCCGTAGTCAATGGCCGAATGGGCTGGACTCCACCCCTTTTTATTGACCGTGTGCAAGGCCGGTATGGTATCTGAGATCTGCCTGAGGCATGCAGAGTAGGCGAGGGCACAGCACGGCATCGCACGCACCAATGGACATCCACCTACCGACATCTAAGGTCGTACATCCGTGGATGTCAATGGAAGGACTTCCACCAATGGGCCGGCGCAACAGTCACGGTGGATCCGGCGAAAAGCCTAAGGGGGTTACGCTGCCAGGTTAAACTTGGTTCAGCAACCGCTGGCTGGCATCTCATCCCGCCAATCAGCGGCCGGCCTGGGCGAGCTTGATCTATACCGGCCACTCGCCAGTCCACCTGGGCAGTCTCTTTATCGGCCAGCCCACCTGGCCAGAGCCACTTTAGCCAACCCTCCGGCCCTCTCCAGGCTGGCTCGCAGGCTGCAAGGCCTCCCCCCCACCTCTTCTCCCTTTCCCTTTCCATTCCTTTCCCCCTTCCTTTCCCTCCCCCCCCCCGAAGCCCGTGCGCTCCGGCTGACTGAAGCCCTCGCAATCTTCCGGGCCTATGATGGTTCCAGGTACACACACCGCGGAGCATACTTCCTAACCAAAACTCTGCCTGTTTCATCATTATCATCTCATAGTGCTTTGTTTCCTCATTCAAGCATCCTGGCGTTCGTTTGCATTACACTAGCCCACTTGTTTTACATCATCAGCCTTCCTTCAGTTGATTTAGCACCATGGCAGAATTCAGTCGATCGGAGATCCTGGGCACGAACTTCGAGACCACTACCAGGTATGCTTCCCTCTGGCTTACGTGCTACCCAAATGATCTCCACGGGTAACAGTTGAGTAGATATGCAAACGTCCAACCCGTGGGCCTGGGTGCCTTTGGCCTTGTCTGGTATTCTCACCCCCGTCCCACCCCTGAGGGTTGACTCGCCTCGTTGATCAAATCCTCCCTGGGCCATACTTACCTGGCCGTGTTAGCTCCGCATATGATTTAATCGGCCAGCAAAATGTGGCCATTAAGAAAATGATGACCCCGTTCGCCAGTACCGCCCTGGCTAAGCGCACTTACCGAGAGGTCAAGCTGTTAAAACAACTACGACATGAGAACGTACGTACCCTGTACGCCTGGAAAAAAGGGGGCCTCAGATCGGTGGTCTTGCTAACTACGAATAGCTCATATGCTTATCTGATATCTTCATCTCGCCACTAGAAGACGTGTATGGTTGACGAGATTCATCTTGCCCTTCTTTTGGGCAGTATCTGTGGCTCGCTAACACGGGAGTGCAGATACCTAGTCACGGAGCTTCTCGGGACAGATCTCAATCAGCTGATGAGAGCAAAACCGCTGGACGCCAGATTTGCACAGTTCTTCATGTATCAGATAATGGTATGGTTTCCAGTGGCGACAGACCAATGTTGGCTTCTTTTTCTAACATCTGCAGCGAGGGTTGAAATACATCCACTCGGCCGGTGTGATCCACCGAGATCTCAAGCCAAGCAACCTCTTGGTCAACGAAAATTGTGATCTGAAAATCTGCGACTTCGGCTTGGCTCGCGTGAGAGAACCACAAATGACGGGCTATGTTTCCACGCGATATTACCGGGCACCCGAGATTATGCTGACATGGCAACGATATGACGATGCGGTCGATATTTGGAGTGCCGGTTGCATCTTTGCCGAGATGCTACGGGGTGAACCATTGTTTCCTGGAAAGGATCACATCAACCAGTTCTATCTAATCACCGACATCATTGGCAATCCCCCCGACGAGGTCATAAACAGGATTACGAGCGCAAATGTGAGTTTGGACGAGGTGGATATCGAACTCTTATCTAGAAAGCTGACTGGAGGCGCCAGACGCGACGGCTTGTCAATTCATTGCCAAAGAAAGGATCCCACCAGTTGAAATCCGTGTTTGCGGGATTTGATGATAATGGTAAGAGCGTCCCCCCGTTTTGAGGTATATACGGTATATGTGGCTCATTTTGCATACCAAACAGCCATTGATCTTCTCGAAAAGACACTGGTATTTGACCCCGAAAGGCGAATATCTGCCGAGAATTCTTTGCAGCATCCCTATCTAGCGCCTTATCATGATCCGAATGATGAACCCGCAGCAGAAAAGCCATTTGACTGGTCATTCAACGATGCTGATCTACCCAAAGACACGTGGAAATTCATGATGTTGGTGTGACTGAATCTACCCTGCAAAGCACTCAACTGACTTGATATTGCAGATACTCCGAAGTTTTAGACTACCATAGTCTCGGTGGCACTGCACAACCAGAATTAGACCAAGATGACATCTCCAGCAACATAGACCTTTTTCTACAAGAAATCGGCCGCGAATGAGACGAATACCAGCATCGCCCAGCCGGCCATTGAAATGCGGTTATGTTGAAACCTACGCCCTACCTACTTCTCGGCGCTAGGGTCCGTACAGAATCAGGGAACCCAAAACCGAGGATGGTTTCTTTGGGTGAGTGGGAAATTACATTAGTAGGTAGGGGTCATGCCCCTTGCCTGTGGTCATTTCACAAATCTGCATTTAAGTAGCCCAATTCAGCTTCCTTTCTTTTTCACTCCGGAGGCTTTATTTGGTGCAGTTCTGTCTGGTTTACGCATGAATAACTCCAAAACCCAAGTCGGCTACTCAGGGATCGATTTTCTCGTCATTGCGCAGGTCGGCTGTCAGTTCCCTTGAACTTAATACGGCATCGAAACACGTACTAAGAAAACCTAGTAGATCGGATCACATTGTTCTCTCAGCCTCGAACTCAACGAATCAACACATCTGCCCCTCCATCGAACGAATAGAGTTGAAAGTCCAGCCAAATCTTTGCGATCGCCATGAAACCCAACTACGCCATTTCTTCTGTCCTTCTGTCTTTTCTACAGACTATCGGTGCCACTCCCTTGAACACCCAACAGCAACAACACAAACCAAATGCCTTATGGGAGTTCAACATATTCCAGAACAAACAATGCACAGGCGAAATGACCACCTTTTCGGGAAATGGGAGCACAGTTTGCCGGGGCGCTATCCTCAACGGTGGAGGCTTAGCATACATTCCTGGGGGATTTGCACAACCCTTGTGTACGGTGACGCTCTTCCAGGACGATTCTTGTGCCCGCAACCAGACTGTCGGAGTGTTTGGGGACAGCGACTCGGAAGCCTGTCGTATTCCGCACACAGAAAGCAGCGTGGGGACTGAGATCCGAAGTTATATCGTCCGATGCTGAAAGGGCACATTTTTCGGCCTATCACACGAAGTTGTGCAATGAACATTAGGTTAAGACGAACTAGGTCATGCGCTACATAAATCATGAATACAATTGGATTGGGTTATGAGGAATCACTTACTCCGTTCCATTCTGTCTGGTTCGCGTAAGAAAACACCCTGGTCTGTTAATTGCAGCGTACCGCTTGTTGAACTAACCTGCAGGAGAAGTAAGCAAGGGAGTCTGTGTGACTTGTTCCACCATCATCCCTACGCTCTCTATGGCTAGATACAGGTCAACATGTCTGTCTCGGTTTAGTCACATAGTCTATGTGCATGATGCAAGGTGGCATGTCGTACAAATTATATAATATCACAGGTACTTGAAATCATCAACCATGGCGTCGAAATCGCTAACCCCAGTCCCATCTAGACCGATCCGCTGTTGTCAGCGCAGGAAAACACCTTGTCGATCTTCCCGCTATGATAAGCATCCATGATCTGAACAATCACCCCGTACGTCCCACCCACAGTCATAAAGGCTCCCAGCAGAACAAGTGCACAATGAAGACCATACACCACCGTTCGCATCACACTCCCTCGTCGATAATGATCATGGCTATATAGCCACAACAACCCGGGCAAACTGATCGCCAGCGGGGCAAAGCAGAGACTTCCCACAAGGGCCAATACGTACGTGAAGATTGGAATCGCGCAAGCCAGCACAAATGAGATTGCTGCAAGGACAATTGTACACCCCAACCACGTACCCCAATGCGTCGGACTGTTCGACTGCAGGTGTCTCGAGTTGCGCAGGATTCGCACAAAGAGATACTTGGCGGCAACATGCACATACAAGGACCCACTGACGATGAGACCTGGTAATGCGATGCCGTACGCGACTCGCTTGACGGTTTCGCCGGCACTACCAAGAGACGGAGAGGCGATCCATTTCCCACACCAGCGGTAGATCACAAGGGCGAAACTGAGGTAGGAGGCTGTCACAAAACCCATGCTGAGATACACCGCTTTGGGGTAGTCTTTGGGATTGCGCATCTCCGATATCACAGGGAGGAAAGCGGATGTGGCTGAGCTGGAGACGAAGATCGTGGCTGCAGCCGTAATACCAGCTGCAAAGGTAGGATGGCCAATGGCACGGTAGCCGAGGTCGAAGTCGCCAGTTTGAGGAGCAACTGCCGGTCGATCTCGAGTGGTTACGCCGATTCTGGAGGATGAGTATGTCAATCATTCATGTTGCACATGATCTCATGATGAGGAGGATTCATCATGCTTACACGATGATAAAAACGGCTACGAGAACGCTGAAGAAGCCAACCCACGTGAGCCATCCAATGTGGGAGAATTTCCGGACGCTGGCAAACGCAGCGATGATGACCGTCGCGACGACTGACCACCATACCGTACACATGGCGTGGAGTGATAAAGCATTGAAGGCAGCCGAGACACCGATGATGCCAGATGAGGCCGTAATCACATAGGTCACGATGAACATGAATCCCACGATCTCCCGGAGGATAGGCCCACCGATTAAGTGTGCCATATCAGCCACCGAGTGGCACTGCGGATACATATTGCGGAAGTTTCCGAGGATGATAGCTCCGTATGCATTGATGAGGCACCAGGCCACTAGATTCACGGCACCCGGAAAGGCACCGAGATCGTACATGACCGACGGAATGGAAAGTATGCCAGTAGCAAAGAGCACTATGATGCGTTAGGATTTTACAACGCAATTCATACCACAGGTGAGGATCTCACTCTTGAGAAAGATAGCTGATGCGCGAATCCAGCTCACCGTCCGGAAGTCCACCTGGCCATCTCCTCTCTTGAAAACTTCATACTGGTCATCTCCGCCTTTGATTTCTTCGGAGTTGGCAATGCCGATGTCATCGGCGGGCGGGTTAGCCGCTGCGATCTTCACGTCCTTAACCTCATCGGAAACGGTCGCCATGGTAGGCCGAAATGGGTTCAAGGGCAGTCGGTTTTAGAAAGAAGCGCTCCTGCAGAAACCAGGATCACTGGCGTGAAATGCCCTATATTTTAAATATGCTCTTGAGATCGGCCTTTGGCCTCCTTGGCTTCCCTGCAAGCGGCAACCAAGCCTGACTGTCATCGATAAGGAACCGTCTCTCTGGCTCGTACAGCACGATTTACTGATAACAGCCTTGGAGCACAGGATCCACTCGACGAGCTGATAACGCTCACGAACTAATCAGCAATCACCCAGGACAGGCTATTTCCGTACTCCGTGTCTATAGGAGCTCGAGAATCCCCCAGAGATACCGCGTTGGAGTAAGCAGTCGGGGTCAATCGAACGCAGCAATTGGAGTACTTGATGCGTGATGGGGGTTTCCCTGCCGCAGTCGAAAATCCGGGGTTATCACCGAGGACGGAGTACGGAACAGCTAGTAGGATGGTGTTCAAGTGGGATTAAAAAGAAGCTTACTTTAAGTCAACATACTACCAATGCCTTTTGATCGTTGCTCCCGGTGAATGGACACGTACTCTTGGGAGGTCGTGATGTCAGTGGCAAATGGGAATTTTTTCCGCATGAGACGGGAAAATAACAGCTGTTCGCATATGCTGAACTGTCTCAAGATGACGATTTTATATCTCAGCTGAGGGAGTATTGTGATCCGGAATGACAAGGAGGCAGAAATCAGACTATTCATTCCCCCTTGCGTCTTCCAGTCATGAGGCCAGGCGAACCCTAAAAGCTTTCGGACGGCTCTTCGTTGCAGCACCGAGCATTCCTTGGCGATGTGATATATATGAAAAAGGTCTATTCATCTGTTAAAAATTGTCTTCAATAATGGATACGTGCATTGCCGTGCAAATTACAGTCCCTTTCCCTCGTGGATGGGATGACAGCGGACTCGTTATCAACTCGGACGTTGGAGAATCGCCCTGAGATAGGAGCGGGGTTCAACCATGTCTAGCTTGACATCCACCGGACGGTGTCCGACTAGTTTAGCTACGGGCACTAGACTAAACCGCTGGAATCCTGATATTCCTCGCCGATCGTGTCCTGCCACGTTGGAGTCGCCTCATCGCTACTCCAACGGCGGTGATAAGAGCCCGTGGGCTTGGCAGTTGGAGTTGGAGAAGCGGCGGGAGAAAAATGGCGACAGCGATGGAGATGATCGATTTTTAGGTAAATGCCTCTCTAATGATATTGGAGACCCAATGGGCTCTCCGATCGACAAAATGCCACTTATCTCCCTCGATCTCTTTTCCTGATAACCCGTGCGAACGTCCACGCCCACAGCCCGCCTGCCACGATACTTCACTCGCTCGCCGGATCACCATGTCGGTGCTGTTTACGTCGATTTCTCCGTAAGTCCGAGGCCCTTGTGCTATTGGATGTGCTCTACTTACATGTCGCAAAAGGAACAACCCGGTCAAAAAGGGTGATGTTCAGGATCTTCTGCAAAACGTAGGCCTGTCCGTCGCGCCGGACGAAGAAGATGACTTCCAGACGCTGCTCGCAGCGGTGCATGACTGTGCCGAGACAGTCTCCAATCTACCGGACTACCAACCCGTGCCTGATTTGGAGCGGTATCCCCGTCAAGATGTACGGCGTCCGTCCCCCGAGGAGCAGGTCTTCGGCCAAGCCTGGGCCCATAAGTTCCTGATCAAGGGCAATGCGAACGGTGGGCCCCTGGCCGGAAAGACCTTCAGTCTGAAAGACTGCATTGCTGTTGCCGGCGTGCCGCAGCTTCTGGGAAGCGATATCATTCCGTCTTGGACCCCGGCCTCGGATGCCACCGTGGTGACTCGCGTTTTGGATGCTGGGGCCGATATTCTGGGCACTTCGACTTGCGAGAATTATTGTCACTCGACCTCCTCGTTTACGAGTGCGCAGGGGACGGTTGAGAATCCCTTCGCCGCTGGGTATTCTTCCGGGGGTAGCACTTCGGGAGGCGCTGCTTTGGTTGCTGCCGGGTTGGTAGATATCACTATTGGTGGCGATCAAGGGGGGAGTATCCGAGTGCCTTCTTCGTTCTGTGGCTGTATGTGAACGACTGATATGCGTCTTCTCCTGCATCAAATCAATGCTAATCATCTACTACAGGTGTCGGGCTTAAACCCACATATGGTCTGGTACCCTACAGCGGGATCAGCAGCGGGGATGCTATCAATGATCACACTGGGCCTCTAGCCAGGAATGTCCTCGACGTGGCCACCTGTCTGGACTCGATCAGCGGCTACGACGGAATGGACGATAGGTGCCTGGGAAGTCCCAAGCACGGATCAACACTATACGCCAACGCCCTCCAAACGGAGCCTACGAGGCTCGATGGTTTCAAAATTGCCGTTCTCACAGAAGGATTCGAACACAGCATGGTCGACCCAGCCGTGAAGAAGACGGTGCAGAGCGCAATCCAAAAATACACCGAGCTCGGCGCCACGATCGAAGAAGTGTCGATCCCAGAACACCTCAACGGGCCCGCCATCTGGACCATCCAGCAGCGCATCGCCGGCGCTCAAACCCTCCTCGGCCACGCCCACGGCCGACGCGGTCTCTCCATGACCGAGATGGAGCGCGAGCGACTCCCCTGGACAAACGAGGGCTTCCAGAGAGCGTTCCCGGCGACGAAAAACGTCATCATCAACGGGCTGTATCTCTCCTCGCGGTTCCCGGATCTGTACAGCAAGACCAACAACATTGGGAGGAAGCTGCGAGATCTGTATGAGGAGGTGTTCACGAAATATGACCTTGTGGTCATGCCCACGACGCCTGTCGTTGCGCCTCGGAATGGTAAACGCGGTCTGCCGATTGAGTCTGTCACGCCGAGCATGGGGTTGACGATCAATACCGCTATCTTTAATGTGACTGGGCACCCTGCGATGTCGATCCCGGTGGGATTTGCGCCCTCGAAGGATGACCCGCAGGTGCAGTTGCCTGTGGGGATGCAGATTGTCGGGGGCTTGTGGGAGGAGTCGAAGATTCTGAAGGCTGGGCACGCGTGGGAGACACATTTCAACTGGAAGGAGGGTGTATGATGTCCTGTCCAGAGGAAACAGATGGTACGGATAGACTGCATTATGTCTGGATAGTTTATAGATGACGAATAAGGAATGTAATTATGTTTGCTATTGCTAGTTGCCGGTTCAATTAAGCCACCTCCGTCTGACAGGAGCGCAAGGTTCTACAAATTTTTGTAAAAAGAGTAACTCAAATGGAAAGACTAAATTATGGACATTTTGGAAACCTGAAAAGCTATGCAGAACGTAAAGAGAATTTCGTTACATCATGTACTTCCTTAATTGATGACATACCCTCCATCGACAACAAGCGCATGACCCTGCACAAAGGATGCAAAAGTAGAACAGAGGAACAGGATTGTATCCGCAACCTCCGTCGGCTTTCCCATTCTCTTCATCGGGGCAATATCCACGGCAGGCTTTAATCGCTCTCGAACCTCCTCGCTGTACGTGGTCATAGGCGTCTCGATCACCCCGGGACAGACGCAATTCACTCGAATATCGTCCTTGGAGTAATCTATGGCATCGGATCGAGTCATGGCAATGATGGCAGCTTTGGAGGCACAGTATGCGGCTGTGTCGTTAGCTCGAGATTCGTCTTTTAAAAGGAAGTTTACACTTACGAGCGCTAGGACGTCCCACAATTCCCAATTGACTGGCAACGTTGACTACGGATCCTCGTTGGGGTGCACGTTCGGAGTCGTGGCTAGGCAGGGGCTCTTGCTTCAGCATCTGTTTCAACTCGGCTCGAGAGCATAGGAAGGTCCCTCGGTAGTTGACGTTGTTGATGTGGTCGAAGATTTCTGTGGTTGTCTCTGTGGATCGCTGGGCTTCTCCAAGGATCCCGGCGCAGTTGACTGCGTAGTCGATGCGACCAAATGTCTCGACGACGTTGTGAATGAAGGACTCGACGAATTGTTCGTCGGCGACATTTCCTGCTTGAGCCAGGAGCTGGGTGTTGGGGTGTACCCTGAGGATTGATTTTAGGGTTTGGTCGAGAGAGTCGGGGTTGAGATCTGTGATTGCAATTTTGGGACATCCTGCCTGGGCGAACGCTCGAGCGGTGGCAGCACCGATGCCTGGATAATGTTAACTTATGAATACTAGTAGTATATGTGGTTGAAGTATATATCGGGACATACCTGTGCCGCCAGCACCGGTGACGAGGGCCACTCCGGGGAAGGAATAGGCGAGAGGCATTCTGATGATGGATCGAGATTGATGTCGACCAGTAGATATACTCCGTAGATGTTCTCAACAGTATAGATGCTGGTGATATATCAAGTAGAGAAAAAGTTGGAGGAAGTGGGGACGTGGCGTTGGAGCACGTGTTGGAGTCACGGGCTCCGTTCCCCTCCCGCCTCGACTCTCTCGTCCGATCGTCTCCGGCTCTCGTCCTGCCCCTGCGCTGTCTCCAAAAGTGGAGAGTCTTCCCCTGTTTGTTTAGCATCATCGTGTGATCCCCAAATGACTTGATGTTGTCCCAGTCTTCCAATCCCCGAGCCCGTCGCCGCTCAAGTGTTGGAGCAAAACCCCGGGTGTGCAGCCACTGTGGTCGGAGCTTTAGGAGAACCGAGCATCTCGATAGGCATGTCCGCACTCGTATGAACCACTAACCGCCATGCCACATGACGCTAGCTGCTCTCTGCAGGATCGCTCGCTGATGCCCGTCTGCAGATACCAAGGAAAAGCCCTACGTTTGCTTCTGCGGCGCCGCCTTTACTCGACGGGATCTCCTGAAACGCCACTCTCGCATCACGCACGATAATAATGGTTTGATATCGCCCAACTCCCAACCAGACCGAGATGCGTCGGATCAACACCCCCAGGCGGCTGCACGTCGCACGTCGGACCTGTCGACATCGACATCCCACCCGCAGCAGCCGCCGCCTCAGCCTCAGCAGCAACCGTACAATGTCCAACCTACCCCGCGATCCGAGATGCCCCCGCCGGTGCAGTCTACTACAATGGAGCAATGGCCTGGACCACAGCAGCCGCCACCGCAGGTCCCATATATGGAACAGAACGTTCCAGGTATGCTGCATCCAAGCAGCAGCCATGCAGTTCTAGATCCGCATCCTGCCGTTACCCACGATGCCGACATCCTGCAGGCCGCTCAGCTCCTACTGCCCGGCAACTTTCGGGATCCCCAACCCCCTGGTAATTCGAGCATCTGGCGCTATCATACCTACTGGCTAACGGCCTGCTAGCTCAACCGATGCCATATCTACCGGAGGACTTGAATCATTTCCAGGATTTCACCCATTTCTTGGACTCGATCGGACTTCCCTCCGAATGGGTTCCTGCGATGGGCGATGTCCCTCAAGTACAGAGTGCAATCCCCGCCGACGTCCCGGACCCTAGTCGGACTACAAGAGACGCACCGGGATCGTCTCGTCGGGGCCAGAGGGAGGGCTCGCGGGGTGATTCTCCATTCCGGTCCTGGTTGCCATCCGTACCACCCGGTGATCAAAGCTTGGGAACGGTCTCTGATTATGGTAGGCCATTGTCTTTTAGAGGTGTGTAGACAAGTTTACAGTTGCTAATTATTCCATTAGAACCACCTCAAATCTCCACGAAGTCTACTCCGCTCAAGGTGAGCGAAGAGCAAAGGCTGCGCCTTGCCACTTCTCTAGAAGAGTTCCGGCATCTTATACCGGATTTTGTCTTGCCCTCTCGACACACGTTGACGAGATACTTGACCTCGTTCTTTGACGGATTCCATCCTCACCTACCCTTCCTTCATGTCCCGACTCTTCGAATCAACGAGCGCGCTCCGGAGCTTATTCTGGCGCTTTTGACAGTGGGTGCACAGTACCGCTTTGAGCATCGCAATGCGGAGAGGATTTTCCATGCCGCGAAGGCCATTGCCCTTCACAGAATCTCGAAAGAGTCTAGTCAGCCCCCAACAGGAGCCTACAACACGGTTATTCAAATACCATTGGAAAATCTGCGTGACCCGTCCCAGCAGCCCGGTCAACCCCCGATACTCGCACCGGCTGAAAATGCGATAGGGATGAGCGCGTGGAGGCAAATTGAAAACATCCGAACGTTGCTTTCCCTGATGGCGTATTCTACTTGGGAAGGTGCTGAGTTGGTGCAAGAGTCTTTTGGTATTCAGAATCTGCTTGTGCGATGTCTCCGCGATTTTGGTATGACAGAGAATATCACTGTGGCCCCAAGACATGCACCTCTTCAGTGGCACGAGTGGGCGGAAGAGGAGTCTATCCGACGGACACGTTTCATCGCCTTCTGCTTTGTTCACGTCCATAGCATAGCATACAATATCTACCCAGTGCTCCGCAGCAGCGAAGTACATCTGCGCTTGCCATGCTCGACGAAGGAGTGGAAGGCAGGCTCAGCCCAAGAATGGGAGGCGGCTCAAAAGGAAGTCGGCTCGCAGCAATTATTTTTCCAAGATGCATTGGCACTTCTTCTACAACAGTCGCGGTCCACAATCATGTTGGATCCAATCCCAGCCCCATTGGGTAACTATATATTGCTCCATGGCCTTCTTCAGCGCATCCACCTGGTGAGTGAGCTTTCTTTGCCGACAGGCGACCAGATGCTCTCATTGCCGACGGAGGAGTTGAATAAACTTGAGTAAGTCTTTGTGACACTAACTTTGGGTGATACGAATGGTTGCTAATAGTGATTACTAGGCGAGCATTGCGATCTTGGACTTCGGTTTGGCAACAAGCCCCTGAGTCAAGCCTTGACCCTCATAATGAAAACGGGCCTATACCATTTACGTCGAGCTCACTCCTAGGCCTCGCCTACGTTCGACTATCCCTTAATTTGGGTCCTTTCCGTCAACTTGAGACACGAGACCCGTACAGAATTGCCACTGCATTGCACAGATCTCCACGACCCGGACGAAGCTACCGGTTGACCCCTGCACTTATCTATTCGGCGCATGCATTGAGCATTCCCGTGCGGCTTGGAATTGACCATGTCGCACGCAGCCAGGCCTTCTTCTGGAGTGTCCGGCATTCAATTGCCAGTCTGGAATGTGCCGTTCTTCTCAGTAAATGGCTACTATCGTTGGCAGAAACCGGCAATGACCAAAAATTGAGCGGTATGAACTATGCAACTAAACCAATGATCTACATGAACTTTTGCTGACATTGCTCGCTGCAGATAACGAAAGTCGCATCCTGCATTGGACACGCTGCATCGTCGAGGAAGCATACACCTCGATGGACTTGGATGAGGGAGAAGTTCTCCCTGGCCAGGACCCTGCCAGCCTTGGAGGGGCTGTGATCAAACTGTGGGCCCGTCTCTTCCGCAAAAACACGCAATGGCCATTTATAAATACACTTGGAGAGAGTCTAGAGAAATACCTGGCCTTGGTTCGGCCGGCATGAGGAACACGAATAGAATTTATGCACGCAACGAGACACGCAATGACCGTTCTTTGAATTGGTCGTTAGGGCCGTAGCAACGCCTTTCACTGGTTTAGGTATCACTACTTGCTGTTTTCAGGATTCCAAGTGATGAATCGTGACCTACGCCTCCACAATCTCTCGCAGAACGTTGGGATAGGAACTCTTTTTTTGCTCGGTTTCTTCTCAACCAACCGGGCCGGCAGTTGTGGATACGATCCTTTGTTGCAAGTGATCGGTTGAATGATGCGCATTTCATCGACATCAAACTTTGAAGCCAAGTGCGTGGGTACTTAGCTTTCTGGCATCGAGGCTCGGTTACATAGCCTCGATGTCACTACTCTCAGCTGGAACCCACCCTCGCATTGGGAAGCCATGCGATCTTGGCTGATGTCGTATATCGAATGCCGCTTATCGACCTGATCGTCTCTACGCGCCTATGCCGCCCACTCCGAAAACTACTATGGGATAGATGTATAGGTTCAGAAGTCTTGTACATTAGTCATTACATGACACGATCTCCTAACTGGCATTACATTAATCAACATGCGGAGACAATTCCAAATATTACAGCGTTCGTTAAAAAACAAATAGGAAATCGAATCGTCATTCCTCCAACAGGACTAGATGTCGTTTTGCAATTTCACTTGAGTGCCTTGTGTCGTTGACTGGGCAAGTTACACTCGAATCAACCCAATCCGCAGCCTAGAACACCCTTGCGAACAGCGAAGACGCCGACGCCGACGCCGACGAGGACGAGTTGGTCGCGTTCGCTCCGAACGTGCCCACCAGCGGCCCGATGTTCAGCTTCTCGCCGCACGGCGACGACGGAGGCGAGACGCAGTTCTTGATGTACGAGCCCAGCTTTCCAGGCTGAGTACCGTTCTGCAGGACCCAGTCGGGCGTGTAGGCCGGGACCAGCGAGGAGCTGTTCGTGGGGAAGACGACGCCCTGCTGCTGGCTGGCGATGTAGTACGCATGACCACAGTGCTCAGCGGACAGACGGGCCAGCAGGAGCGACACCTCCGGCGACTGGGTGTATCCCGCCAGCCCGACCAGGGCACCGGTGATGCTCTGCTCCAGCTTGAGGGCGTTCTTCACCCAAGTCTCGCCGTCCGACGCGGACGGGAAACTGTAGTTGCAGCGGGGGGCGCTGAACCCGGACACCTTGGAGCCCAGCTGCTGCACGGCGCGCACGCCCAGCCGGTTCTGGCGCTGGATGCCCTGGAAGTTGGTGTAGTAGTTGGCGCGCGTGCTGTTGGTCACGCTGTTCAGGAAGGTCTGGTTCAAGGGCTGCGCCGAGTAGTAGCGCTCCGCGAGGTACTGCAGGGCCCAGCCGAATTGCACGACTTGCACGTCGCCGGACTTGGGCGAGCAGGACGAGCTGGTGTTCTGGGCGAAGGCGGCGCCGGCCAGGAGGAGGCCGCTCAGGGCTGAGAAGATACGCATGTTGTAGTTGTATGTACTCGACAGTAGTCGTGGTCTTTTCCGATGAGGGTTTCTGACAGCAACAATGGAAAAGTCAAGCAGAGGAAAGCAAATCACAAACCCGATCCTAGAATCCAGGGAGAAAATTGCAGAAGGAATCAAAAATCCAAACCCCCCATCCGGTACACACCACCCTTATTATAACTCCGCTCCCCCCAACCCAACCCTCACCTACAATCTAGTGGCCCGGAAGTCATGAAAAGAAAATGCAACGCTATGATGAAATCATGTCTAATATTAGTCCGGAGAACGAACCAGCTTTTTTTTCTTCAACCCTCCGGAGACTCCGACCCTACCTACCTTCTGGGATCGACCTTGCATCATGATCCTATAAGGCAGCCCGTTTTCTCCCCCATCGATCGCCCGGTCGTCGGTACTGTGAGCCTAACGGGCTGTTCTGCACCCTGGAAACAATGAACCTTATTACCGACGTTTCATCCATTGAAGGGCTCGAAAGCCCGGGTCTTACGCGGCTTTTCCAGACCAACACCGGGTGGGAAGCAGGATTCTTTCGGCGCAGAACGAGGGAGGGAACGGGGATGGGAGTGGTAATGTGTGGGGAATTATCCATGAGAAAATCATGAACGAAAGAAAAAAAGAATGCCAAATGGGGACCTCCGCCACCTCTCGATTGGTCCATCTGTGATATCATGCGCTGCTCGTGATATCATTTCCGGGTCCCGACTTTCCCTGCGGCCGGGGACGAGGGAGGCAGAGTTCGAGAGCCCCGATGGACCGAGCCATGAATTTTTTTTTTTTCTTGAAGGATTATGATTTTCTGCAACGGCGCATGACTCGGGACTTGCCAGATCGGACGGTGGTGGATCCGTTGGATTGGGAGATTGGGCGAGGCGGTTCGTTGGGAAGTGGATGCTGTCATACTTTCGGATCTGCGCGGGTTCGCCGTTTAAACGCGGTGGAGACTGTCGATCGAGACCCGCGGAGGTGGGAAGCTACGGGGATCAGGCTATTTCGATTTTCTCTCGATTCGCATCTTAACGATCATCTTCAATGGTCTATCAGGTCATCTGCGCATGTCGACAAGTTTTTCATCCACTTATTTATGCTTGCAACCCATGCAACGCAGGACATGAAACGAACACTATTCCAATGAACAGGGAGACAAAAAAGACTTGAAACGCCAACGATCGTAGTAACGATATACCCTGGAGCAGGTGGTAAGAGTAAGAATACGGTCATCTTCGGATTCACAACTTTTTGTTTTTCAAGTCGCCTTTTTTCGCATCCTCTCGCGCTCATCCATCTAAACCAGGAGAGCCAGAGGGAGAAAGAAAGACGGAGTATAGATGAAACATGAACAAGAATAATAAGACAATTATGTATAATTAAGAAAGGGGATAATGTTTTTTCGCGGTCTAAGAATCATCCACGAGACGTTTGTTTTCCCATGCTTTCTTCGCGCCCTCTTCGAGAACCTCCATGTTCCCGCTATTTTCACACATGCTTCGGAAGAGTCCGTCCTCCTTGGTGATCAGCGTCCAGGGGTGATCGTACTCAATAACCCGGCCGTGATCTAACACAAGAACCTTGTCGTAATCGATGATGGTCTGGAGACGATGCGCGATGGTGATGATAGTGCTCTCACGGAGCTCACGGAGCGTCTCCTGGATCTTGCCATCCGTGTTGTAGTCGATGGAAGCCGTGGCTTCGTCCATCATGAGAACCTTGGGGTTCTTGAGAAGGGCACGCGCAAGACACAGGAGCTGTCTTTGGCCTTGCGAGAGGTTCGAGCCGGATTCGGATACCGCAGTCTCCAGATTCAGGAAGACGTTCTTGTTATCCAGGACCAGAGATCCGTTTACGTTGATCGCGCCTGGCTCGGTCCCGGTGCTCGTGCTGCCTGCCACGGGAGTCGCAGTCCCCGAAGTGCCGGGCCCAATCAAATGCACCCTTCGAAGCGCCGTGAAGATCTCCTCGTCGGTGAACAGGTTGAACGGATCAAGATTGCTCCTGATCGTTCCGGTGAAGAGAGTGGGGTCTTGAGGCACAATGGTGATGGCCTCTCGCAAGTCACGCAAACCAATGGCATCGATTTTTACGCCGTCGATTTCGATGTGTCCCTTTTCTGCCTCGAGGCCGCGGAACAGGGCAAGAGCCAGAGAGCTCTTACCGGCGCCAGTGCGACCAACAATGCCAACCTTCTCACCGGCCTGCACCGTGAAAGAGACTCCGCGCAGAACGGGATCGAGGTCAGGGCGATACCGGGTGGTATAGTTGCTGAAGTCAACAGCACCGGCGCTGGGCCAGTTTGCCGGAGGCCTCGAGTCGGCAATGACTGCCTCAGCCTCCTGCTCGACGCCGAGGTACTCGTTGACTCGCTCAACGGAGTTCATGTTCTGTTGAACCTCAGAGTAGAGTCGGACCAGCCACAGTATGTTCTCGGTGAAGGTGACCGCGTACGTCAATGAAAGACCGGCAGCACCGGCGTCGACCTTGCCAATGTTCGTGATGATGAAAACGGCAGTGAAAAAGGAGACCAAAGCACCTGTGATGTCGACACGGAGTGCCAGCCAGCGATTGCTCGCCCAGAGGTAAATGTGAGGCCGGTTGTAGTTGTTGATCCGGCGATGGTTGTCCACGATAAATCTGGGCCCGTCGCCATAGGCACGAATAGTGACAATACCGTTAAGAGTCTCGCCAAATTGCTGGTACAACGGACTGCGCTGGACAGACTCCAGCCTCTTGAGATCACGAGATGAGTTCAAGTAGACCGCACCCAGCGCGAAATATACGAGCGTAATGAAGACGCCCGCAATCAAGAATCCAGGCGTGATAACCGAAATAAGCACGACAATCATGATGACCGATGCGAGACAGTGGAGCGCACCGATTGCCACCGGAGCAACCTCTTGATCGACTGCTTCAACATCCTTGGAGAATCGGTTCATCAATTGACCAAGGGGTGTCGAGTCGAAGAACTTGAACTTTGCGTGCATCACGGTCTTGAGAAGACGCTGGTGGATCTTGAACGATGCGTGCAGGGAGCCCCAGAAAAGGACTGCTTCTCTGGTCAAAGATATCATAAGGTAAACGACACCAAGAAGCGCGTAGACGCCAAGGTAGTACGAAACGTTCACATTCGATGACGAAGTCGTGGCGGCCTGCGCATTGATGTGAGGAGAGCCTACGGGCGAGCTCCGTGGGACACTTCCAACGTTGAAGGATGGGAATTTCAAATTTGCCATCGCGGCGTAATTGCCCGCATCTTCCGTTCCGAGCTCTTCGGTACGATAGGAATTCGCCCACTGTCTGATCCAGACGTTGGTGGAGACAGATCCCAATTGCTGCAGAGAAAAGACAAGCACGGCACAGACCCAGTAGTACCAGGAACCCATGGACTTGAGATACATCTTGACAGTGGACCATTGGACACTGCCAACCGCCTTCGACTCCACCAGCTTGGGACGGGCATCCTCCTGCTTTGTACCCTTGGCGGCAGAGCCATTAGTGGCAGTACCATTGGCGTGGGAATCCTCATCGCCTTGTTCTTCCAAACCAGTCTGTCCGCGGGACGGGCGCTGTGAGCTAGATCTGGAGGTCGGTCGGGATTTGAGAAGATCTTCACCCAGGGAGCCCGAAGCTGCAACCTCATCCGGTTCGCCCTGGGCGACAATTTTACCGTTGTCCAGAACGACCACGTGGTGTGCCTGTGGAACAGTCAAGGCAATATTGTGTGTGACGAGGATGCAAGTGCGGTTCATCATCAAAGGTCCTGTAAGAGCTTCCCTGAAGATGTGTTTGGCTGTGTGGGAATCAACGGCACTCAAGCAATCATCCAACAGAATATGCCGAGCCCTGCTGTAGATAGCACGTGCAAGAGAAATCCTCTGCTTCTGACCTCCGGAAAGACTGATGCCCTTCTCGCCGACCATTGTCTGGTCACCAGCATCAAGAATGGTCAAATCTCGCTCCAAGGCACATGCCTTGAGCACGGCGTTATAGCGGCGCTGGTCGAAGGGAGACGCAAAGACAATGTTTTCTTTGACCGTGTCATTCACGAGCCAAGCCTCTTGTGCACAGTACGCGACACTTTCGATAAGCCCTGTCTGAGGGTCCACGGGAAGTTCCACTCGGCTGACTGTGCCACCGGGCAGGTGAACCCGTCCTTCCAAGAGCTTCATTTCTCCAAGCAAGGCCATCAAAACCGATGTCTTTCCAGATCCCGTGGGACCCGCAATGATATTGAGACCTCCGATCCGGAAGGAGACATTGAGGTTGATCAAACGGAATGCTTCTGCGGTCTCATCCGAGGTCTCATCCTGGTTCTGTCCCTTGGAGGATCCCCAGGTCAGCGTGGCGTTGTCCAGTGCGATTCTGGGGGGTTGCCCGTCGTCTTCCTCGGGCTCCAGCTGATGGTACTTGTCGGTCTCCTCCTCGTTGAGGTATTTATCAACACGATCCAGGGAGACTTTAGACTCTTGCACGTGAGCCAGCATGTCGGCAAGTTGATCCAGAGGGATCCGGAGCAGAGAAAACATGGACAAAGCAGGGAATGCAACCGACGGAGTCAGATCCTTCTTCTCAACCACGGTGTAAAGGAAGAACGAGGCGAAGGTAATAAGAATCGGCGTCCCATACCAGACCGTTGCCGCCGTTGACCAGATAATGTAACGGAAGCGCAAGGCTTTGAGTTCCGCCTTTCGCTTTTCGTTCACAATGTCTTCGAACCGCTGCTCCCAAGCGAAATACTTGATGATCCGGATATTCTGGAGAATCTCGTTGGTGGCGTGAATGCGAGCATCGGTACCGGCCAGAATTTGGTTCTGGACCTTGGTGAATTGTTTGGCGATGAAGATGTTGACGGGTAGCATGAGAACCATAATGACGATACCAGCGAACGAGCTGAATCCAAGCAGTCGATACAAGAGGGTTACGGCGATGATAACCTGCACTGGCACGCTAGCCCACAGGAAATGGAGGTAAGCACCGACTTCGCTGACTTTGAAGGAATCGATTGCCATCAGGTTGATGATTGTACCAATATTGGCCAGATGAGTGTCGTCTTCTGCTTCTGGCTTCTTCGCATCCTCGGGATCCGTTTCGGGGTCGTTGGCTGCCTTCTTTTTCTTGCGACCGAAGGAAAAGATGCTCTTCTTTTTGTTATCAGCCGGAGGTTCATCTGCCGTCTTCTTCTTCGAAGAATCAGTCGAGGCGCTGGCTTTACGTCTGAGCGCCTTGGCATAAATCTCGCCGATAATGATAGCGCGGAGTTTCACACTCAGTTTGCGCCCGATAAAGAGGCCTTGTCCGTCGGCAACACCTTGAATCGCGCCGGAGCAAAACAACAAGAAAGCGTACAACCAGGCGGCGTTCGGCGTGGTGGACCGGGGATCCTCGACGTACTGCAAGATTGCCCTCAGAAGAATGGTGGGCAGGTAGGTAAAACAGTTCGCAAACACGGCCCATGCGCCTTGCACCAGAAGCGTGCCCTTGAAGTAGCGCAGGAGCTTCCAAGTCAAGGAACCCTTGTACTGTCTCCGACGGAAGTCCTCAAGCACAGTGGCGGCCTTCTGTGGGCCCGTCAAATTCCAAACATCCTCAAGCTCCAGAGTCTGTCTACAGGCTTTGAAGATGAGAGGATCAAGCCAGCTGAAAGTTAGAAGGGATAGCAAGCTTGCAGTCGGATGTCTTGCCGGTTCGAGGCCGTCCTCATGCGGAACCAAGACCGCCTTATTTCCTCTACGAGTGGTCATAGCAAGAAGCAGGAGGAAGGTAGACAGCGAGAACTCGATCGCGCTCAAAGTCACGGCACGTCCCGAAATCGGGTGAATGACCGCGGAGCGGAAGACAAACACGGCGAACAGCCATTGCAGGCCATACAATGTAGCGGTGTGGTTCCATAGTCTGGGGAAGGAATGCAGCTCAAGAGTCGAAAGAAGCAGTCGCACGGACGCGAGGAACAGGATGTAGCTCCAGGAGATCAACTTCGCCACGGCAGGGAGTTTACCCTGGTGGCCCCAGCCATCGGTTAACAGAATGGCAATAAATACCGCCACTTCTCCCACCAACGCCGCTAACTCCAGGGCAATGACAAGAATTTCGCCTCGAGGACGATCGACTTCAAACTCCAGTTGTTCGGCCTGTGCCGCCTTGGATAACATAGGGTCGGTTTCCTCGCCCTGCTCTTCTTCCACGCACCCAGCATCTCGAGTGTCGGCTGCGGCGGGATCATCGTTTAGGATTTTGTAGGAAGCACCCTTCCGGGAAACCGCATAACGATAGGCAATACGAAGGAGGATGAACAATAGAGAGACGCCGCATGCTGTAAGTGGAAAGATAACTTGTAGATAACTGCGATGCAAGGGCCAATGGTTAGCAAATGATCCTGATATCCGATGGAAAATTGAAGACAAAACATCGAAGAGAACGAGAAAGAACAGAGGATGGAGGCACTCACTTTCGTTGGAAGCAACGAGACAGGTCGTCGATCGCCCAAACCGGGCCATGACATTCCGGTATCATTTCCGGCAGTAGGATAGGAAAACGCCGGGATTGCAACGAGGACTTTGGAAACTCATTCGTTTGCTTTTATGTTTAATTTCAAGATATAGTAGATCTGCAAGGGGGGGGGGGGGGGGGATGAACAGCGACTCTGTCCACGGTTTAGAAGTGCCTTAACATTGATATGCAGGGCAAGCCTAGCATTGCACGACTCTAACGGGAACGGGACTCGACCAGACGGAAAAAAGGAAAAAGTGTACAAAGAAGAAGAGAAGGGGAGGGGAGACAGGATAAGAGATGAGAGCAAAGATGGCGAAGAATAAATTTATCACGCACCACGTCCTCCGTTCGACAGCTGAGGGAAGAGAGGAGAGAGGGAGAGAGAGAGAACTGGAGGGAGAGAAATGACGGAGGGAAGGCGGAAGCAGGTTAGTTCGGATTAGTTGGAGGACCCACGGGCGAGTCCCACCGCCTCCGTCTGTACGAAAAGCTGAGATCCAGGCCAACGGCTCGAGGGTAATTGGCTGGCGGCCCTTAATTGTTTCCATATCGCCAGGAACTAACGGTGAGCGACGGGGGCCATCCCATTTTCACTTACTCCGTATGGCATGCAGCGTATGCCTTACGGATCTCACAGGCGGGCTGGAATGATGGAAACCACGAGAATGGCCGGATTTATCTGATGGCTGCAGCCCTTAGTCATCGCCATGCCGTCTTCGCATGAAGTACTCGGTCCCTGCGCTGATAGTGATGCGACTCTGTACTCCCTAGATGGTACTGACGCGGATGTCGTGATGCGACCGAGTTTTTACGTAAGGATTTTAGGGTAATTAGCAGGCAATGGATGCTACGCAGGATGGAGCCTATACTCCTATGTCCCTAGTCCATCGCTAAGGTACACTGCTGCTATGCGTACTGATGCTTAACCGTCTGTGCGCCCGTCACACCGGTTTGCCTCGATTGAGTCCCCGACTTTCTCGTCGGTCTGACTCAATCTGCGCTCGGGTTCTGCAGGAGCAGATCAGTTGACAAGAATGTTCCCCGCTGAATGTAACCCTGGCGGGAGCTCTGACTCAACCTTCCCATCCCCTTCGTGATAAGAAGTCGCCTAGGACCGAATAGGCTTCATTGTCGGACGACGAAAGCCTAGCCCGACGCTATCCCGTAGGCACGGCAAAGGACAAGACATTTGGATGATAGTACCAGGCAGTATTAGCAGGTCCCCCCACTCGACCGGCCCTTATCGCCTGCTCCCCCCACCAGTCGATCGGTCAGGATGATGGCAGCTACATTCATCTCGGCGTCCCGCGGACTCCTCCTTACCAACTCCCTATTCACCTCTCACTCCACTCTGCAGAAGAATGCTATAAAAAATGTCGCCCACGTCGCTCGTCAGTACATTCTCTCAGGCTGCAAACCCCGAGTGGCCACTTCGAGGGATCGTACCGGCCCACAGCTACGCCCTCCAACACATGCTCATCCTGAGCCAACTTTTGCCGCATTGACATTCGCACCTGGGAATTCTAGACATGGATCTAGGCACTATGCGACATAGCACCGTTCAGCCTTTGAGATGGCGAGTCGAAGACTTTTCAATTTCCAACTACTCACGAAAGTCAATGGATTTTCAACACCTTTAGCGCCGTGTCTGTCGAGTTTCCCTGGCCCAGGGTCATTATCGAGACAGCCACTCCATCATCACCAGTGTCGCTGACCGTCGCGTGTATTGCTGCCGTGTTCATCCCTGTCAATTCTGAATACCCACCTGTCGTCACCAACGCAAGTTATAGCGATCCCAGGATGGCCGACCCGATACAAACCCAATATCATTGGCCAAAATGGGATCGGCCAACCAAGAAGCAGTGCCAAATGGTATGGGAAAGTCTTGCCCTACTAGTGAATGTTCAGGCCTTAAACTTCATACCTCCAATAATTGTTGTTGAGCTTGAACACACCGATGGAAGAGTGTACAGGAAGAGATCCCTGCCGGGCAAGGTTGTCGGTCGGGTTACGCTGTACCATCATGGCGTACCATCATTCTGGGGAACAATCCCACAGGCAAGCGAACGGGTTGGGGGTTAGTATAAACTGACTCGTGTAGGGGGATGCAAACTAGCTGTCTACTTGAAGGCGTGGCGAAAAACTGATTAAATTTGAGATTGAATAATACCTAATTATCTCATTGCCATTCCGACTGCCGGCAGCTTGAAGTTGGACATTGGGTCATAAACTCCGATAAGGTAATTATCTAGTACTACATACAACACTTTAGGCTGGACCATTCAAGACTACGTTCTTATTCTCCTCAGTAGCAGTCATTGACAAGCCATACCACTTCCGCAGACTACGGAGTATAAGATTAGATTACTCCGCGAGCATTCATCGAGACATCGCCCTTTCACTGTCGAGAGTGAAGGAATAGACTTTTTTTTTTTGGTGTCTCTTCACTCCACCCGAAGAGCCGCCGAAAAGGTTCATTCCCGAACGAAAGAAAATCCAGGGGAAACGTCCTTTACTGTTAGCGCCACCCCGGAACTTTCCGCCTGGATTGCCACGCTATAAAAAGGCGGAATCCAATGGGCCTCAAGCCGGTCTTCCCGCCAGTCAGAGATCGCGCCCGGTTGACCTCCTCCGCCACCCTCTCGTCCGTTCAACACTCTCGTCTACCCCTCTTCCTCCTCTGCGATCGTCTATCCGAGTCACCCCGCGTCATTCTCTCCTGTCCCCTGCTCCCCCCCTCTCATCATGGCGGAACGAATCCTCATGAACGAGTACAAGACCTTGGCCAAGGAGCCATGGGTCAACATCGAGGTATGTTTGCTTCCTATTCATCCGACATGGATTACCCCTTCCTGGTCGCTTAATATGCCATCTTAATGGCGTACGCGTGCCCTGTATAATAACATCGCTAACTTGTCTGTCGTGGTCTAGTTGAACGAAGAAGATATTTTTAACTGGACGATCGGGCTCATTGTTCTCAACCCGGACTCGTCCTATTACGGAGGCTACTTCAAAGCCCTCATGAAATTCCCCAAAAACTATCCCTATTCCCCCCCAGGTGAGTTTTCTTTCGTTTCCCCTTCCTTCCCTTGTCAAAGACAGGGTTCTTTGAAAATGAGACTAACGATCGCGAAATACTAGAATTCCGGTTCCTCCGGCCCCTTTACCACCCCAACATCTACGAAGATGGCAAACTCTGCATCTCCATTCTCCACGCGCCGGGCGAGGACGAGATGTCCGGCGAATTGGCCTCCGAGAGATGGTCGCCCGCCCAGCGTGTCGAGTCCGTCCTTATCTCCATCCTGTCGCTGCTCGACGACGCCGAGGTGTCTTCCCCCGCCAACGTCGACGCCGGAGTCATGCTGCGGAAAGACCCCGAGCAGTACAAATCGATCGTCCAGATCAACGTGGAGGACTCCAAGAACGACATCCCCGAGGGGTTCGTGATGCCCACCCACCAAACAACCGCGGCGGCAAAGCCCGTGGAGAAGGACGACTCGGACTTCTGGGCGGAGAGCGACGCCGACGACGACGTTTTTGGCGGAAGCGACTCGGACGAGGACCTGAACGTCGACGACCAGGACACTGGCACGGAAGAGGAAGACGAGAAGCCCCGCCGCTAGCGGCCATTCGGTACACCGTACATACCCCGGGAAGACGTTTGACACGATTTCTTCTCCGATTTACAGGAATATTTTTTGGCGCCTCGGAGCTTTCATCTACTCTTATTTTCATGGCATAGCGCAGGCGTACGAGGTGCTAGGCGCAGAGTCTCTTACGATGCATTAGACGGTTGACCTGCGTCTGGCGATTATGGTTACATAGTATGCATTTCTTAACATATTTTAGAAATGGAGTTTTTTTTTTTTTTCTTAGCTATTTTAAGGTGTTCAGTACGCAGTACATATATATATATTAGTGCTTATCCCTCGCTGTTTTTACCGAGTAACTTCAGCCTGAGGCGATCACTCAATACAGCCTGGAGGGTGCGTGGAAGAGTAAGTAGGTATTCTGAATCTATCCCAGCTAGTAATCTTCTTCCTGCATGTTTTTTATTTCTAGTTTTTCTAAAAGCCCGGTTTTACTATCACAAAATAATAAATAAGTAAACTTATTATTCCTTGTAAAGCCCATGGTCTTTTTTCTAGTAAGGAAATACTGTCATTGGTAGTTACCGCGCGATACAAACATGGTGAGTGTTTATGAGCGTTCTCTGATAAAAGATACTCCAAGCCTAGAAAAGTATAGGAGCAGCCTTAAACACCCCCACAGGTCAGCAATCCTCGGAGTATTAAATGGTGCGAACTATTATAGAGATGTTCTGAATTTCCATCCGGAATGCCCACCGGGTAAAATACCATACCATTATTTCCCTATTCCAACGCCCAATGCTGAACAACAATACTGGAATACTACAAGAACTGGCGGGGAGCTCTCCATAGTCTCGATGCGCATCAAGATTGCCCGGGCTCGGAGGCATGGTACAAAGCGGACAGCGCCGAGTCCCGATTCAACAGCTCCTCGGGGGAGCCGTCTTCGACCAGGCGTCCTTGACGCAGCACCACGACGCGATCGAACTGGCGGATTGTCCGCAGTCGATGGACCACGGCGACGACCGTCTGAGAGGCGAAATGGCGGTCGATGAGACGTTGCATCAGGTCCTCCGTTTGGTAGTCCATGCTAGTTCAACGGTAAACACGTGCTGTCTATGCTTCGGGGCAACCGGAAACTCACTTGCTCAGGGCTTCATCCAGGAGGAGGATGGACCGGCGCTGCAGAAGGGCGCGGGTGAGGCAGAGAATCTGCCTTTCGCCCATCGAGAGAGAGGACACGGCGACGCAGGCGTCCAGGTCGCCGTCGGGACAGAGTCGGTCCCACAATTCCGCGGCGCGGAGGGCCGCCTCCATCTCTTCGTCGGTCGTCTGTCCCGTTGGGTCGAGCGTGAACCGCAGCGGACCAGGCATCAGGAAAGGCTCCTGCGGCACAACGCTGACTCGGGACGCCACGTCGGCGATGGGGATCTCAGCAAGGTCTCGACCGTCAATCTGGATGCAACCGCCGTGCACATCCACGAGTTGCAGCAGAGAAAGCAGCAGCGTCGTCTTCCCGCTTCCAGACCCTCCGCAGATGGCGACCTTTTCACCGGGGCGGATCGAAAGACGAATGTCTTGGAGGGCTAATCGGGACCCGATCCCGCTGGCAGGGTGTCAGCACACAAAAGGTCTCAATCTGATAGGCCTGTGCTCTCGCTTTCTTACAGGTATCCCACACGGAGGTTGTGAATGTCGATGGCCCCCTTGGATGGCCACTCCGGGAGCAAGGCAGGCCCTCGGAGCATTCGAAGGTCGGACGGGCTCTCGTGCACAAACGTCCGGACGCGAGCCACCGACCCGATGCAGGTTTCCAACTGGGTCCAGTAGCGCATCACGAGTTTCAGGGACTGGCTGAAACCAAGGATCATGTTCAATGACACGCCAATGGTGCCGGGGCTAACCTGGGATGGGAGCTGTGTCCCCAACACGACCACCAGCACGGCGACGCCGGCAGTCACCAGATCCAACACCAAGGCTAGCCACTGTTGAATACAGGCCAGTACGTATGCCGGCTTTTGCAACTGGTCGACCAGCATGGCCCCGTGACGGGCCATCGTGGACTCCCAGCCGAGCGACTGGAGGACGGCGATGCCCTGGATGGTCTCCAGAAAATGCGTGAATAGCGGGGCGCGCGCCTCGATATCCAGCAGTCGGATCTGACGCGATGTGCGCAAATAGACAACCTGAATCAGATAGACAACGACCAGAAGGGCTGGCACCGCGATGCCGAGGTATTTGGACTTGATGCACAGGATGATGAGCTTTCCGAGGCACTGCGCCAGGCCTATTCATCGACATGTCAGCCTGTTAAGATCATGCCGTTCGGAGCGCACGTGGAGTTACTAATGCATGTATTCACGGCAATCATCGGCAGCTGCAGGTCGATCTGATCCATATCCTGACTGAATCTGCGGGCCGCAATTCGTCGTCAGCCTGGTCCAAGGTCCCCAGGGGCGATTGACACCTACCGGTTCGTGATCTCGCCCGTGTCGGCCTCGCGGAAAAAGGAGAAAGGAGCACTCGGCTCAGTCAGCATTCGTACGTGGCCGGGGATCTGCGGGAATACTGTACCCCATTACGGCACTGAGAAGCTGAGAATGCAATCGAATCCCGGTGTTCGTGATAATGTGGATCATGATAATCCTGCGGCATGGTCATCTCAGTGAGCGTCCTTGATGGATCTGGGAGGAAAGCGCTGGGGGAAATCCACTGGTACGCACCATGCCAGTGGAAATGTGGTCGCAATGGAGATAGCATTCAACGTGATGTATATTCCAAGATACATGCCTAACGACTGGTTGGGCTGACGGCTGTTGGCATCCGACCATTTCTCGAGCCAGAGCACTGCAGTCGGTCAGTGATGCGGTTCCCCTTGATTGTATGACAGGCAATACATACCGGAATAGTTGGAGGCGGCCGCATTAATCACCAGGAGGACAGCAAAAAGAAGGACCCATCTATGGCCTGCCGCTTGGGCATAGTATCGATAGACCGACCAGTCGCCCCTGCGCCGCGCCCAATCCGGCTCTGCCTTCGTCGCCTCTGCTTCGGGCGGATCACTGCCTCCCTGGGAGGATATTGTCCTGGAGAGGCTTGTCACGGACTCGGTGGGCGCACCGTCCTTGACAAGGTCTGCTAGGCGTGAACCAGCATGGGAGAGTTCTTTCGCCAGGGTCGGTGGGAGGTTGCTGAATGCGCCCTGATAGGCGATCCTTCCGCGGTCGAGGAACACGATTTCGTCGGCATATGACAGTAGGGACTCTAATATGTGTCACGATGGTCAGTTAGCTAGTGAGCCCCTCGGGAGAAATGGGACACGCACGGTTGTGCGTTGCCAGAACGACGGTGACCTGGGCGCGGTGGCAATAGCCCTCTGGCCCCAAGAGGCGGCGGGCAATCAGGGACAGTGTATGCGCGTCCAAACCGCTAAACACATCATCCAGAATCAACACTGGTTGGCGAGAGAATATCGCCCGGGCCAGTGCCTAATCCAATGCCGTCGTCCATCCTGTTAGCGAGCGCCGCTCTATTCTCGGGGACATTTGGATGACAACTCACGATCCTCGCCCGCTGTCCGCCACTCAATGATACGCCATTGCTCCCGGTGACGGTGTCATCTCCGTGCAGTAGCACGGCAAGGTCCAAGTCGAGGGCGCAGAGCCACAGTACTTGTTGGTACCAGGTGGGATCAAACGGGCCGAACCCGATGATGTTCTGCCGAATAGACTGGTTCATCATCCACGGAGCGGCCGGACAATATGCTGCGCTGGGGCGTTCACCGAGTATATGACCAGCTATCTGCCTTGTGGTGCCGACCACGCTGGCCAACAAGGCTGACTTGCCCGCTCCCACAGGCCCAACCACCATGGTGACAGACCGAAGCTTGAGCACGAGATCCAGCTCATGTAGAACGACCGGTCCTGAGGAGTCCCAGGCGAAGCTTGCCCCACGGCATCCGAAGGCCATCGATGACGGCTCTTTTGGCTCCTTTAGCTCCTTTGACTCCGAGGTTCGCGGGGAGGCTGGCTCAAGGGGCTGAGAGTCCTCCCGCAGTGGCCCGACGTCACAGAACTCCCGGATGCGTTCGAAGCAACCGAGACACTGCATGAACGAAGGAACAGCCTGCATGAAGATGATCAGCGGCGTGGTGAGGATGGAGATCAGGGAGAGCGCCGTGAAGGCGCGGTCTGCGAGCAGGGAACGATCAGGGTGCACCGCAGCCAGGATACTGTACACGGCGAAGGTGGCCATTGGGGCCAGTTCCGGGGGCATATCAGCTAGGAAGAGCTGCCAACACAGCACGCGCCGCAGCAGGCGCGATGTCTCCAGCTCCACCACCCGCAGCCGGTGGATCACACCCGTAGCCAGCTGGGGCAGTCCCAACATCTTCACGGGCTTCATATTCTCCAGAATGACCGTGGTTGTCTCCAACCGCTGTTGGATCCTTTCGACCCACTGTTTTTGCCGTGGGCCCACGAGCACGGAGACACGGGACATGGCAAGAAGACACCCTGTACACATGAGCATCAGCATCAGCATCAGCATCAGAATCAATGGGATGTTGGGACCATCCACAAAGGCGGCTCACCGAGAGCAACGACCACGGGTACTACGCACGCCACGGAGAGTTGACGTTGCAGGAGCCAGACGGCAATAGCGACTTCCAGAGGCGCCGCCCACAGTTCATGCACAAAACGCAGCCCAGTCACAATGCGGTCCACGTCGGTGCTCATCATGGTCAGTGGGGCGCGGTCTGCGAGCGCAGCCGGACTTTTGCGAACGGACTGCTCGTACAGGAGTTGAATCAACCCGGCCCGGACACGGGCGTGGAAACGGAGTGCCTGGCGCCAGTAGACCGCATTGGAAAGCTGCGAAACCATGAGCACAACCGGTCAAATCACAAGGTTCTACTGACCCACCGCTAAGCCCACGTATACCAGCACGAACGCTGCGATCAAGCCACGGGACTCGTCCGTCACGGCCTCCCCACCGTCGACCTCATTCAGCAAGCGCACCGCCGCAGTGATCAGAAACGGTTGGCAGAAGGTGAAGACGGAGACGCACAGCCGCGGCACGACGGCCGAGAGGAAGGATGCGCGGTAGGCCCAGAAGACGGCGCCACCGGCCTGGCGCAGGCGATGGACAGCGTCCGGACTCCGTAACTGCTCATCGATCGGAGGCAAGTCACGGACACTGAGCACGACCGAAAACCCGCGACGGAAGACCGTCCAGGTCCAGGCAAAGAGAGCCCGGGTCCAAAAGTCGCACCGCTGTTCGACCGTCGTTGGTTCCTTACGAAGCCATCGAGACTTCCACCACGACTCCGTGGCCAGACTCACCAGCGTCAGGATGGTCTTCAGAGTTCCGAGGACGGAGACGGCAGAGGCGCCTTTGACCAGCCATAGCGAGCGGGTTTGCGGCAGGCTCAAGAGAAGTTGGGCGCTTAGGTAGAGGAGCAGCACGACGGAGGGATCTATGCGATGCTGGTCCTCCCAGGCAGACATCCCGATTGCCACTGCCACGGCAATCATATTTACGATGGCGACTGGAAGGGCCCAGGCGGTATGCAGGCGAGCATCGCGCGCACGGAAGACCGTGTAGAGCACATGGACAGCCAGGAGCGCCAGAAAGACCACCTACTCCGGGAAATTAGGAACGAGAACAAGACATCGGCATCTCCGCTGCACGAGAGGGTTACAGACCATTTTCACCGCTCCGAGTCGACGAGACAGCAGTTGCCTCGGCGCGGCTCGACTGCACCACCACACCGTCGGCGCAATGAGCAGGAAAAATATACTAGGGGGAAGTCCGAAGGCGGCATCTTCAAAGGCCAATGTGAAGTCGAACGAGCGGCAATCGGGGGCCACTTGGGGGCCCCAGTTTCTGTCGCTCCCCAGCGGGCATACCATGGTGAATGACTAGGAAGCAGAGGACCTGGAGGAAGAGGGACGGGGGAGAGGGAGAAACAGAGAGAACAGGCAGGGATGAGCGACGATTCGGATTCAAAGCGGGAGCAACCCAATTGACACTCGTTTGATGAATGATTCTCCACCTCATATGCTTGCTGTCGATCTATTCCGTGCCCCTTGCAGCGTAGCAAGCCATCGGATCTCGAACCCGGCGTAAGGAACGCACCATTGGGATATCGGGGCGTCTTCATCTCTTCACTGCTGATAGCCAATTCAATTTAGGCAATCAAACCAAGTACTCGACAGCAGAGGAGTCAAAACATCGTGCCCTAATTCGGGCCATTTACGGGTCAATTGTCGGCCTATTTCATGCTGATTGCTCATTAAAAAAGGTTCCGCGGGATGTGAATTACGCATTGCTTTTCTTTTCTGGATCTTCAGGATCAAATAATAACCATTTCAGCTGGGCGGTACATTCTATCTTGGTTCAAGACTACAACACTCCCCTGGCAAGTGCTTCTCGGGAGTTAGGGCAAGGTCAACTGGTAGGGCAACAATGAGAACAACAACAACCCCCAGGCGCCACTCCAATCTAGCACGCGTCGGCGGTTTCGATGACGACAGGGTTTGGTGAGCGGGTGACACTTCCTCGGGGCATGGACGTCCTGGACTCGTCCTTACGAAAAGGATCGGTGGATTGGGCCGGAGCATGCGGGCAGAGGAGATAGAAGGCTAGGGATTCATCAGTGTGTCGTCCAGCGCAGAGAAAGGTTCATTCCTCCTACCGTAGATCCCGTCGTCGTCCATCCAGGTGCGCTCTACCTGCAATTGCGCGCCGTGTGCTACCGCAGCCATCTGTTCAGGGGACCATTTCCCGCTCGTGATGGCCCGGATCTTGGTGCCCGCTTGCAAGGACACCGGCGGTCGTTTGTCTTCCACATGGAAGACCAGCTCACGGACAGGCACGTAGGACACGTCCACCATCGCGTGTCTGGCATCATACTGCACGTGAACGGTCCAGTCCGCCGGCTGAAAGACCGGTCGTTGCAGCGCCCGATTGGCGTGGTCTAGCCCGTGGAGAATAAAGTCCCGCAGGGGTGGCTGCGCTGGATCGTACGCGGCCATCAGACGCTCTGGATCCTGGCACGCATCGCACGACACGAGGAATTGAAAGCCGAGTCCATTGCGTTGACAGGCCGCGGCTGCCTGTTGTAAGACCGCCTGAGCACCCACGGGTCCGCCGTTGGTCATGCTGTTTCCCATCCAGAGGAAGGTGACGAGCTTTCCCAGGGAGACACCTTGGGCAATCCAGTGGACACAGTCCTCATATGTCCCATGGAGCCCGCGGATCTCAATGGAGGCGGCGCCCGCAAACTCCTGCTCCAGGGCGTCCAGGCTGCCCGACAGCTCCTCGGCCGATACATCCAGGGCATAGTAGGAGACCGCACGGTGCTGCTGGTTCATGGCGTGGAGGAGCATGCGCGTCTTGTCGAGATCACTGCGGCCGTCAGCATTCCCGGTCCATATCTGGCAGAGCCGAGCTCACCTGCCCGCAGCCAAATTCAATAAGCACGGTCCCCGATGGGATCTGCGACACGATGGACGCAGACTGATGCTTGAGGATCTCTCGCTCCTTTCTGCCGGGATAATAGGGCGTGGACTGTGCCAGGGCGCCGAACAGCCGGAGGCCCTCGTCATCCCACAAGAGCAACGGGGGCAGCCGGGCGGGCTCTGCCTGGAGACCCTCTACGATCTCAGCTCGCAGGTCGCCTTCCCATGGCGCCCGACGAATATCCAGCATCCGCGCCGCTGGACTGCTCATGATGTGCTGCTGGCGGAAGGAATGAGGGTGTTGTCTGCGGTAGGTACTCGCCGTCCGGGACTTGCAAGGCTGTCCGTTGTCAATGATTATGAAGGGGGTGAATGGTCCAGAATGGAAGTCAATCAACCGCAATGGAATACTTCGGAGGGCAGGCCGCCGGAGAGCTGCAAAAGTCAGTCAGGGCATGCGGCGTCTGGCCTGCATAGTATTGCGAATTTGCCGAATCGCAGGTGTGGACGATTTATTTCTTATATATTTCGAACTCGACTGTAGTAATTTGTCATTTGTACTGTACCTAACACCATGTTTCTATGGCAGCCGGAGTGATTCTATGGGGCCGTAGTAATCCAAATACAGGCCGATGGCCCTCAGACTATTATGCATGGCTGCATGGTGAAACTGGAAAACCCGCAATATGCAGGCTCGAGGTAGTCCATGCAAGGGCGATGCGGAATGACGCGTTTTGCGCAGGTCTACATGGCAGCGACGATCATGTCAGATTCCGATATAGTGTATCATATTATGTTTGCTTCTGATAATGTAGATCATTCTCGATAGTCTGACGCCGCATCTGGCGGTCACATTGTCCACAGCAACAGGGCTGGCTGGCTGACTACAGACGGTAGGAGACCCAGACATTGGGCTCAACATACAGGCCCACCTGGTCTTTCACATCGTACGCGACTGGAACCAGCCCTCCAGGAATAGGAATGGACATGTACATGGGTTCCATCCCAACCCGGTCCGCCAAATAGCACTGGTCTCTCGCCTGCTGGGCAACTTGGTGCAGATCGATGCCCACCCAGGACTTCCACTGCTCGCGCGTGCCGGACACCACCATGCTGTTGGTCGCGATTTTCGCCACCTGTCCCCCGAGGCGGATGTGCTTGCGCAGCCACGGATCGAACGGCAGCCCCGAATCGGTCGTCCAGCTGAGGTATCGCTCCATGGGCACGTCGGGGAAGCGCAATTTCTGCGTCGGCCGGAGTGGGGCGACAAGGACCGAGAAGCCTGCGCTGAGGGCGGCGCGCTTCATGGTGTCGATGATCAGTTCAGCCAGCCCGGTCTGTCGATAGGCCGGCTGCACCGTGACTGACAGGGCGGACAGGGCATTGGGAGGAGGCCCACCCTCTTGACTCTGCTGGACCCCGGTGGCCAGAATGGCGCTGTATCCCTTGTCGGGCAGGGAGTCGAGCAGCTCCGGACGCCATCCCGTCGTGCCCATGGTCGACAGTTCCGGCCAGAAGAAGGGAATCGACCGTCCCAGGCCCGCGATGACCTCCTGGCCCTGGGGACCGATGCGGACGAACGCAAATTGAAACGGCGCCAGGGCGGACAATCGAGACAGGAGGCCGCAATATCGAGCGTATGCCGGGTCGTGATCCAGGAACTCGGGCCAGACGACGTTCAGAGGGTGTTGGGGATCCTCGAGAGCCTCCCAGAGGTCGGGCCGTTCGCTGGCCGTGTAGACCGCGTAAGGATCCATAAGGTTGACAGGCAGACGGACAGACAGACAGATAGACAGAGACAAGGTGGATGAACTGCTCTCACTCTCGGGCATCCAAGAAGAACCTGCTCGCTTTTGCTTCCATTCTCTTCTTCCTTTTGTCCTGCTCCGCTTTCCTTTGTTTTTCTTCCTTTTGTTTGCCTTTTATTGTGTAATCTGTTGGTGCGTTTAGAATGCAAGGAAAACGGGTCGGCATGCACGCAAGGGGGTAAATGCGACCTGTCAGCGGATGAGACTGACCTTCTCGAGCTGTCTTCTGACAGCTGGTCTTTTGTTCTTTTTTTTTTTTTTTTTTTTTCAGTTTGTTTTAAAAAGGAGAACCGGAGGCTCTTGTGGACGCCGGGGGGGTATAGAAGAAACCCTATTGTTCCACACTACGCCATGACGGATAGACAGGGCTACACTACGATGATACATTATCCGAACAGCAATTATGAGCATCGCCAGCGGACGGCCGTCCAGGAGCTGCCGGCAACCGGTCTAGACCTTCTCAGTAGCCCGATTCTCCCTTTGGCATGGGGCATCGTGGTCGGTGTCTACCAGAGCATCGATGTCGTGTCCCTCGCCTGCTACGCAGATGAGACATCTCGACGGTGCCAGATCGACCTATGCAGCGACAAGACACTGGCAACAGCCCTGGACAAAATCGTCGAAAGCCGTGAGCCAACGGATGACCTCTCTTCATGCCAGGCCGCGGTGCGAGTCCAAGGAAGGAACGGGGAGCATGTCGCCATGCCACACGAAGTAAGAATCATTCATCCACTCTCTGCCCTGTCTGATCCCGAGTACTGATGACAGGCTTAGGCACTGGAGCTCGTGGTCGACTCCACGACGGATCCGATGAGGGCCCAGCTGTACTACGCTCCGCGGTCTGCGACCACCATCCAGGCCGAAGGGATGCTGAGAGCCTTTTGTCGCGCCGTCCGCGAAGTAGCCACCCATCCCGAGGTGACGATCGGGGATCTCCAGCTCTGCGGCCCCTGGGACATCGAGCAGCTGCGGTCCTGGTGTCCCCCAGCGTCTGGGCGCGTGGAGGCGTGTGTCCACCGCCGCATCTTTGACCATGCCATGGCCCATCCCGAACGCCCGGCCGTGGTGGCCTGGGATGGAACCTGGTCGTATGCGGAGCTTGAGTACTGGTCCGCGCGCGTGGCAGCCGATCTGTTGGCCCGGGGCATCGGCCGGGGCAGCCTGGTACCCATCTGCCAGAGCAAGTCGCGCTGGGTGGTGGCGGCGCGGTTGGCCGTCGTGAGAATCGGCGCCGCGTATCTCCATCTCGATCCCACCCACCCACGGTCTCGGCTCCAAACATTCTGCCGGCTTACGGCGGCCGCGGTGGTGTTGACTGATGAGCATCACGCGGCCCTGGTCGAGCAGATCGGCCTCGAGGGCATTATCCTGGGCCCCGATCATCTGCCCCCGCAAACCGACGGATTCGCAGACGTTGCGGTGACTCCCGATGACACGCTCTATGCCGTGTGCACGTCCGGGTCGACCGGGACCCCAAAGGCAGTGCTCATAGAGCACGGCGCCTTCTGCACGGCCGCCAGCGCGTTGGGCCCGGCCCTGGGGCTCACGGCCACGTCGCGTGTGCTGCAGCTGGCGAGCCTGACCGTGGATACAAGCAACCGCGACGTGTTCATGACGCTGTTCCACGGCGGATGTGTCTGCCTGCCGCGGGACGATGAGACCTGGGACGATGTCGCCGCAAGTTTTCCTCGGTACCAGGTCAACTGGGTCAGCATGACCCCGTCCCTTGCGCATGTCTTGGATCCCTCGCGCGTCGGACCGGCCTTGCAAGCGCTCGTGCTGGCCGGGGAGCGGCCCACGGCCGCTGTCCTGCGTCGGTGGGCGCCGCATACCAACCTGATCAATGCCTACGGGTGCTCCGAGTGCGCCGCCGTGAGTGCCATGGAGCCCAACCTGCTGCCGTCGTCGGATCCACACAGTGTCCGTGGCCACCAGGGCCATGTGACGCTCTGGATCGTCGATCCGGACAATCCGCGGCGTCTGCAGCCTGCCGGTGCCGTTGGGGAGATTGTCATCGAGACGGCCAGTGTCGCCCGTGGCTATCTAGGGCTCCCCGACTCGGCGCAGGCAGTGTTTGCCGACACGAGTATGATGCCCTGGCGATCCCGCTTCCCTGTCCCAGCACCGGGCGTGAGATTCTACCGCACCGGCGATCTGGGCCAGCACACGGGCGACGGCCGGGTCCGGTGCTTAGGGCGCAAGGACCAACAGGTCAAGATCCGTGGCTATCGGGTGGAGCTCGAGGAGATTGAACAAGCAGCTCGAGCCATTCTTCCACAGCTACACGGGGCTGTCGACGACATTGTGGTCGACATGGTCCAACTGTCAGGAGGCACCGAATCGACTCTCGTGGCCTTCCTGAAGCACCGAGCCAGTTTGGGAGCACCGCACCCGGACGGCGGCGACGAGGCGCTGGACATTCGGCACGAGAATGTCGACTATGCCATTGAAAACCTGGTCCTGCTCGACGAGGCCCTCGCCTCTCGTCTGCCGTCGTATATGAAGCCGGCTCTCGTCCTTCCACTGGGCCAACTGCCGCGAACGAGGTCCGGCAAGCTCGATCGCCGCCGACTGTGCCAGCAGGCCGCCGACATCCCACCATCCGTCGTCGCCCGGTGTCGTGGCAGCAGCACCAGTACGGCCGTCAGTGTGCTGGGTCCGGTGGAACACGATCTGCAGCGGCTCTGGGCGGAGGTCCTGCCCGAAGCACCAGGCGGCCTCGGACGACAGGCACACTTCTTTCACCATGGCGGGCATTCAATCGCGGCCATTTCCCTGGTCAATCGTGCCCGGGATCACGGACTCTTCTTTACCTTCGCGGACGTCTTCGCGCATCCGGTTCTGGCGGATCTCGCTCAGGTCGTGCGGCGCCAGTCCCCGATGGTTGCGTCGCCTGTGGCCCCATTTGAGCTCCTCACGCTGGGGCCATCAACTCTGCAGAGCCTGGCCGTGGAATGCGGAGTGCCATCGTCCGAGATCGAGGACATTTATCCCGCCACGGCCGTGCAGGAGGGCCTCCTCGTCCACACGGCGCAGCGGGCGCATGACTACATCGATCAACGGGCATTTGAACTTCGCGCCGGTATCGATCTCTCACGCCTCGTCGGTGCTTGGGAAGCTGTCACGAGAGCGAATCCCATCCTCCGCACACGACTGAGCCCGCTGGGCCCCGACGCCCTGGTGCAGGTGGTGCTTCACTCGGCCATCAGCTGCCCGATCATTGAGGGGCCACTAGAGGACTATCTGGCACAGGACCAGGAGGTCCCCATGGGCCCAGGCACCGCATTAGCGCGCCTGGCACTGGTGCAGGGATCAGACCAGGCATTCTGCGTCCTGACCATGCATCACGCCATCTTCGACCGCTGGACTGTGCCACTCTTGCGACAGCAGGTCCAGGCAGCGTACGAGGGACATTCCCTGGGACCGCGCCCATTCAATCACTTTATTCGACACGTCCTCCAGAGCCGCTCCGCCGCCGAGGCTTTCTGGAGCGAGGCTCTCGCCTCGAGCGAGGCCGTGTCCTTTCCCTCGCCACCCGCGGGGACCGGGTGGACGCCCAGGGCAGCAACGTCCAGCGCCGGGCAGCTGGTTCCCCTGTTTTGGCAGAACGGCGCACGCGAGGTCCCCGTTGCGACGCGGATCCAGCTTGCATGGGCCCTGACGGCCGCCCTGTACACAGGCGCCACCGAGGTGGTGTTCGGCTTGACGGTGACCGGGCGTGACGCCGCGGTGCCCGGCATCGACCGGACCACCGGCCCCACGATTGCCACGATGCCCCTCGTGGTGGGATTGTCTCGCAGCGACACCGTCCGGGAGACCTTGCATCGCTTGCAAGGGCAGATCAGGGCGGCCAGCGAGTTTGCCCAACTAGGGCTGGCGCGCATTGCCCGGCTGGGACCCGCCGCCGCTCAGGCCTGTCGCTTCGATACATTACTGGCCGTGAACATGGCGGAACGCGCTCCGACTACAACGACGGAGGAAGAAATTCTTCGTCGTCCGATGCATCATCGTCGGGCATCGCCTCGAGAGTATGCCGTTGCCCTGGAATGCACGGTCAACGAAGACAGTGTTGCGGTGCAGGCGCAGTTTGACGACCGCACGGTGCTGCCATGCCAGATGGACCGCGTGCTGGGCCTGTTCTGCCACCTCTTGCAGGTTGTCAACGGGCAGCCCGATCTGTCGCTGGCCGACTTGCCTATCCTCCCCCCGTCCGACATGGCCGAGCTCCTGCGGTGGAACGGAGTCCTGCCCGAACCCGCCCCGACGAGCATCACCGAGCCGGTCCGGCAACACGCGCGTGCGAGTCCAGAGCGCCTAGCGGTGCATGCGTGGGATGGTGTCTGGAGCTACGGCGAGCTGAACGACCGAGCCATGCGACTCGCGCGCCGGGTGGCTGCGGCTGGCGTTGGTCCCGGTTCCATCGTCCCGATCTGCATGGAAAAGGGTCGCTGGGCCCCAGTTGCCATGCTGGCCATCCTGTTGGCCGGCGCCGCTTTCGTGACCCTGGAGCCCTCCCAGCCCGTGGCCTACCGCCAGTCCTTGTGTCGGCGGTGCCGGGCGCCTGCGGTGCTCACCACAAGACGGAGCGAGCCTTTGGTGTCGTCACTCGGCCTGCCTGCGGTGGTCCTGGTCGACGGCGAGGACCTGCTGGCCGAGGATGCCGACTGGGTCGATCGAAGCACAGCAGATGCCGCCGCCTACCTGGTTTTCACTTCCGGATCCACCGGGACGCCGAAAGGCATTGTCGTGTCGCACGCGGCCTTTTGCAGTGGCATCCAGGGCATGCGCACCGCCAGCATTCTGGGCGCCGACACGTGCACGCTGCAGCTGGCATCCTACGCCTTCGACGTCAGTGTGATCGAGCACCTGGCGACTCTGGTATCCGGCGGGTGTCTGGCAATTGCGTCCGGCACCCAGTGTCAGGATGACCTGGCGGGCGCCCTGCGCTACTTCCAGGCCAACACCCTGATCACCACGCCCACCGTGGCGCGTCTGCTGCACCAGCAGGCGGTTGACACGCTGCGGCACCTCATCCTGGGCGGAGAGCCCTTGACACTGGCCGATCGGGACTACTGGGCCCCTCGCCTGGCCCTGTCGCCGGCGTACGGACCAGCGGAGTGCGCCGGCCTGCCGCTCATCGAGTCGTCAATGGACGCGCAGGCAGACCCGCGCCGCATCGGGCGGTCGACCACCGCCGGGTGTTGGGTCGTGGACCCGGAATGCCCAGATCGGCTGCTTCCCATCGGGGCCGTGGGCGAACTTCTGCTGGAGGGGTCATCCCTGGCCCGGGGGTACCTGGACGACACGGCGCGTACGGCGGCCAGCTTCCTCGACGCACCGACCTGGCTGCGCTGGCTCCGGCCCTCAACGCGCCTGTATCGAACGGGCGATTTGGTGCAGTATGCCCCTGATGGCTCTCTGCTGTTCGTGGCGCGCAAGGACACGCAGGTCAAGTTGCGCGGTCAGCGCGTGGAGCTAGGCCACGTCGAGACGTACACCATGGCCAGCTTCCCCGGCATCCACCGCGCTGTGGCCGAGGTCATCGAGCCCACGGCCACTCACGGCGACCCCGTCCTCGCGGTCTTTGTGCAGTGCACAGCGGATCCAAGACCGGCTACTACGTCGTCGGAATCGGCGACACTAGAGGACCCGTCGGCCGCATTCAAGATGGCCGCTGCAGCCGCGTTCGCAGCCCTTGCGGCCCGGCTGCCCCGGTACATGGTTCCCCGTCTGTTCCTCCCAATTATGTCCATTCCGCGTGGATCGACGGGGAAGGTCGATCGCCGCGCCCTCCGTAGGCTTGGGGCTCGCCTGTCCCGTGCGGACTGGGAGGCGTATCAGAACCGCCCGGGCGCTAGGCAGGTGCCGACCACCGCGACGGAGCGCACCCTGCAGGAGTGCGTGTCGCAATTGCTGGATCTGTCCACCGACAGTGTGGGCATGAATGATGACTTTTTCCGGCTAGGTGGCGACTCCCTGCACGCCATGCGCCTGGTTGGCCTGCTGCGAGACCGCCACCTGGTCCTCCATGTCGCGGACGTCTTTGCCCATCCGATGTTGCAGGACCTCGCACGCAGGGCCACTGCTTCTCTCCCGAGTGCGAATGCCGATTCCACGCCCTTTGCTCTGGTCCATGGGTGTGACGCGCAGTCTATGCGCCGATCTGTGGCCGTGCGATGCGGTGTGTCATGCGCTGAGGTCGAAGATGTCTATCCGTGCACCCCGATGCAGGAAGGCCTGTTTGCCTTGAGCCTGAAGCATCCGGGTGCGTTCTGGACGCGGGCGGACTACCAGGTACCGGATGACCTCGATCTCGTCCGGTTGCAGGCAGCGTGGGCGAAGGTGTTGCAGGCACATCCCATCCTTCGCACCCGCATTGTCCGCCTCGAAGCGGACGGTGATTTGATGCAAGCAGTGCTGCGCGTGGATGTTCCAGGGATGGAGTCGCAGCCGGACCCGACGGTGACAGAGGGCGCACCGCTGTTGTGCTCGCGCTGGGATCCGAAGCGCCGTCAATTCCACCTGTTGATGCACCATGTCCTTTACGACGGCTTCTCCATGCGATTGCTCCACAACGCACTGCACAATGCCTACGAGGGGCCCACAACCACACCTGCCCTGTGCCCCTTCCGTCCCTTCGTGCAGCACATCCAGCGTATCCCATCGGTCCAGGTGGATGAGTTCTGGCGCAGTCAATTCCTGGGGTTCGCGGGGGTTGCGTTCCCTCCACTGCCGATGCCGCGATATATCCCCCAGCCGCGGTCCCGCCAGTCAGTCACCACCGCGTTCTCCTTGAACCATGCACTGGGGGCCACCTTGTCGACGGTTCTTCGCCTGGCCTGGGCCCTGACCGTGGCGCAGTATACCGGATCCACGGACCTGGTCTTTGGCCTCATTACGTCCGGCCGTGGTGCCTCGGTGGCCGGGATCAACGCGATGATCGGGCCCACGATCGCCACTATCCCTCTCCGCTTGCAGTGGCAGGCGAGCAGCCGTATTCGCCCGCTGTTGCGCACGCTGCTGAAGCAGACGACGGACATGATGCCCGTCGAGCAGGTTGGGTTGCCGCGGATTGCGCGCGTGAGTGAGGAGGCACGGCAGGCCTGTCAATTTCAGACGTTGCTGGTGGTTCAGCCCCCGGAGGACCAGTGTTCTCCGGATTTCCTCGAGCGCATCATTAAGACCCCAACCGATATCGCCCGCGCGGAGGATTCGCAGGTCGATACATACGGGCTCACCCTGGTGTGTGAACCCGACGCCGAGTCGCTGACGATCCGCGCCGCGTTCGACTCTGCGATGGTCCCGCAGGCGCAAATGTCTCGCATGTTGCGCCAATTCACCACGACGATTCATGCAATCAACGACGAACGGCTCTCCGCCGCTTCCCAGGCCCCGCTAAGCAACGAGGATATGGGCGACCTGGCCCGGTGGAATACTCTTCCGGACCGCGCGCCACGGACCATGGTCGACCTTTTGACCCCCCGGGCCTCCGAGCAGCCGCCGTCGCTGGCAGTGCACGCCTGGGACGGGGACTGGACGTACGACGAGCTGTGGCGCCAGGCGGAGGCCCTTGTCTTTCACTTGGCTTCTCTGATCCCACGGGATAGACAGGATAGACAATCCCGCGTGCCGATCCTGTTTGAGAAGTCCCGCTGGGTGCCGGTGGCCGTGCTGGCGGTCATTCGTGCTGGTGGCGCCTTTGCGCTCCTGGATGCCTCGCAACCCCAACGACGCCTCGCGGAGATCTGCCAGGACCTCGACGCCGACGTCATCCTTTGCTCTGCCGGGTGCTCCGCAGTCGCAGCATCCCTGACCCCGCGAGTCATAGTCTGCCCTACAAATGGCGCCACGACCGGGACGGCGAACCCAAATCAGGCCCTCCGCGCGTTGGGCGCCGTGGCGCCAAACGACGCGCTTTACGTGGTGTACACCTCGGGCTCGACCGGACGTCCGAAAGGCATCGTGATTGAGCATGGCGCCTTCACCGCCAGCCTGCGGGCTTATGTCGAGACGGTCAACATGTCCCCAGCCGTTCGCGGTTTGCAATTCGCCTCGTACGCCTTTGATGTCAGCGTGACCGACCTCCTGGCGCCGCTCGTGGCCGGTGGGTGCGTCTGCATTCCCTCGGACGACGACTGCCAGAACCGTCTGGCTGACGTCGCCACCAGCCTGCGCGCCAACTGGGCGGATTTCACGCCGTCCCTGCTGCGGACTCTCACTCCGGACGACGTGCCCACGCTGGCGACCATCGTTGTGGGCGGAGAATCCCTGACCCCCTCCGACATCTCCAAATGGAGCCCGCACAAGCGGCTGACGAACGTCTACGGCCCGGCAGAGTGCTGCGTGTTGGCCACCGTGCAACCCACAGTCTCGCCGGCCAGCGATCCCGCGAACATCGGGTGGCCCACCGGCGCCGCCTGTTGGATCGTGGACGCCGCCGATCCCGGTCGTCTGCTGCCTATTGGCGCCGCCGGTGAGATTCTCATCGAGGGGCCGATCCTAGGGCGTGGATATCTCCACCAGCCCGAGCGGACTGCTCAGTCATTCATCGCCAGTCCGTCCTGGATCCGGCAGTTCCGAGCCACTCCCCCTGCTCGCATGTATCGCACGGGGGATCTGGCGCGCTACAATCCGGATGGCTCGCTGCATTTCCTGGGCCGCGCCGATGCCCAGGTCAAGTTGCGGGGGCAGCGCATCGAACTCGCCGCGGTGGAGCACCACGTCGAGGCAGTGGTGCCCTGGGCGCAGCAGGTCGTGGCCGAGGTCGTCCGTCGCGGTGACACCGAGATATTGACAGCTTTCCTTCTCGCTGCCGGGGACGCGGTCCCTCATACAGCCGCCGCCGGCCGCTTTCTGGTTCCCACCCCCGAGCAGCTGTCCGAGATCAATCAAGCCAGGAACGAGCTCCTGGCAAGCCAGCCGCGATACATGGTTCCCGTGCGCTTTCTATGCATCCGAAAACTGCCCTTGACGACCACAGGCAAGGCAGACCGCCGTCGCCTGCGCGAGGAAGCGTCCCAGGTCTCGGCCGATGACCTGGCTCGTGTGTCGGCCGGATCGCAGACTCGTCCTCGACGCGCACCCGCCTCGAGGGACGAGGAGACTATCCAGCGGCTCTGTGGGCGCGTGCTCGGCCGTCCGGCCGACGAAATCGTTCTCGATGACTCCTTCTTCGACAACGGCGGAGACTCCATCGCGGCCATGAGGCTCACCGCGGTTTCGCAGCGAGAAGGCATGCGTCTGACGGTGCAGAGTATTCTGGAAACACGTCGGATATCCCGCCTGGTCGCCATGCCTTGTGAACCACCCCGTTCGGCGGCGGCTGCTCGAGCGTCTATCGCCCCGTTCACCCTCCTTCCTCCGTCCAGTCAGGAGGCCATCATTCAGGCCGCGGCTCGGCAGTGCAGCGTCGCGGTGGCCCAGGTCGAGGACGTCTACCCCTGCACGCCCATGCAAGAGGGCCTGATGGCCGGCACAAGCAAGGACCCGGCGGCCTATGTCGCTCAGATTGATCTGCCACTGCGCGCGGATGTGCAACCGGCACGGTTGCGGGAGGCATGGGACCGCACTGCCATCGCCCATCCGATCTTGCGCACCCGAATCGTGCAAATCGAGATGACCCTGTGGCAAGTCGTCGTCACGGAGGCCGGGGCGTGGGACCATGGCCCCGTCGATGGCATCCAGCGCTCCTGGGATGGTACGCTCGGCCGCTGTCTGGTGCATCTGCACCTGCTGACGAGCGCGTCGCCTGTCACTCTGCGGCTAACAATTCATCATGCGCTCTACGATGGCGTGTCGCTGCCGCTGCTTCTCCGCCAGGTCGGCGTCGCTTACAAGGGCCTGCCGATGACGACCTCGCCATTCAACCACTTTGTCGCTCATCTCCGGGAGACGACCGATGGTTCCAGGACGGCGGAATACTGGCGCGAGCAGTTCCGTGGCCTCAAGGCCGCCGTTTTCCCACCACTCCCGACGGCCCACTATACGCCGCAGGCCACCGCGCGGCTGGACCACACGGCCACTCTGCCGCCCATGCGCCAACGCAACTGCAGCCTGGCGACGCTGGTGCGTGCCGCCTGGGCTGTGGTCGCGGCACATTACACTGATGCTCCCGACGTCGTCATGGGCGTGACGCTAGTCGGCCGTAGCGCGCCGGTGCCGGGGATCGATACACTCACAGGGCCTACATTCGCCACCGTGCCCGTGCGTGTCCAGCTGGACCCGACCCAGTCGCTGGACCCCTGGCTACAGCAGATCCAGGACCAGTCGACTGCCATGATTCCGTTTGAGCATACCGGGCTGCATGAAATCCGCAAGCTGGGCACAGACGCGGCACGCGCCTGCCAATTCCAGACTCACATAGGCGTGCAGTTCCCCGATGACGACGGGGTCAACGATGACGATGCAGACTCCTCCTCCTCCCTCTTTATGCCGATGACTGCTGGCCGAGCGCCACCAAGCGTATTCGCCAGTTATGCCCTAGTCCTGATCTGCACCCCCTCCACCGACGGACGGTCGATGCACTTCGCCGCGCACTATGACCCGCGCGTAGTGACAATGGACGAGGCCCACCGTCTCGTCACGCAGAGCGCGAGCGTCCTGCACCAGCTGATTGACCGCGCCGTGCCCCGAGTCCAGGACCTCCAGATCCAGACACAGCACGAAGTCGCCCAGCTCCGTCACTGGAATGCGCAGGCGCCGTCGGTCGAGCGCCGCACTCTGGTCGATCTCATTGTGGCGCACGCGCACTCCCATCCATTCTCCCCCGCGCTAGAATTCGAGGGAGCCGAAACGTCGTATGTTGAGCTGTGTAACACGGCATCGCGGCTGGCGGTGCATCTCCGCTCACGTGGCGTGCGGTTGGACACCATCGTTCCGCTCTGCTTCCCCAAAGGTCCATGGACCGTGATCGCTATGCTGGCGGTGTTGATGGCCGGCGGTTGCTGTCTCCTGCTCGACGCCGGTCATCCCCGCGCGCGCCTGGCCGGCCTCGTGCGACAGGCGGGCAGCCGCCTGGTGCTGGCTCATCCGACGACGGCCAGACATTTCGGGGACGAACAGGGGACGGATGTGGAAGTCATCTCGCAAGCGTTTCTCGCATCGCTGCCTCATGTGGATCGGGAGGAAATACGCTCGTATAGCCGGATGGAGGGAGCAGCTTTCCTGGTCTTCACGTCGGGGAGCACCGGGCAGCCCAAGGGCATCCTGCTGGAGCACGCCCAGCTCGCCACAAGCATCCGGGACCATCAGGAGGGCATGCGACTGTGCCGCACCAGTCGGAGCCTGCACTTTGCCTCGTACGCCTTCGATGCCAGCATTTACGAGATCTGCAGTACGTTGGCGGTAGGCGGCTGCGTCTGCATCGTCTCCGAGCAGGACCGCCTGAACGACCTCGCCGGAGCCATGCGTCGGCACCGCGTCACCTGGGCAACCCTGACCAATACTACAGCGCGCATCGTGCATCCGGCGCAGGTGCCAGGCCTCCAGACACTGGTTCTTGGGGGCGAGGCCGTAACCCAAGACGTCGTCGATCGCTGGGCGGCGCATGTGGCGTTGGTGAACGGCTACGGGCCTGCCGAGGCCACCATCTGCGCCCTAGGGGACATCCCCCCTCAGGGCTGGCGTCCTGGTACAATCGGCCGGACGGTGGGTGCCGTGAGCTGGATCACCAGCCCGTCGAATCCGGCGCAACTGGCGGCCATCGGGGCCGTGGGAGAACTCCTCCTCGAGGGCCCGGTGCTGGCGCGCGGCTATCTCAACGACCCCGAAAAGACCGCCGCGGCCTTTCTGCAGGGCCTGCCCTGGATGGCGAGCTTTCGACCGGGTCAACAGGACACTCGCGTCTATCGCACCGGGGATCTGGTGCAGTACACCTCCGAGGGTCAGTTGCGGTACATGGGCCGCAAAGACACCCAGGTCAAACTCCGTGGCCAGCGCATTGAGCTGAACGACATCGAATGTCGCCTGTCTCGCTGGATGTCTCACGCGCGCGATATTGTGGTCGAGGTGGTTACGCCCAAGGAGGGAGTCCCGCTCCTGATGGCGTTTGTCTATTGCCCTGGGCCAGCCCCGGTTGACCCCTGCTCCACGGGCCTGTTCGCTCCACCGTCCGAGTCCTTTCGCCGCACGGCCAACGCCGCCCAGGTGGGCCTCCGGCAAACTGTACCGGACTATATGGTGCCGGCCGTGGTCGTGCCGCTGCGTCGACTGCCACTGACGCCGACCGGGAAGACCGATCGGCACCAGCTGCGAGAAGAGGCATCGGTGCTGTCTCGCGACGACGTCGCGCGCTATATGGCTGTGACGCAACCAACGCGGCCACCCACCACGGAGGCGGAGCAGATGCTTCAGGGAATCGTCGCCAGGGTTCTCGATCGGCCTGCGGACCAAGTCAGCATGGACGCCGACTTCGTCCAGCTTGGGGGGGACTCGGTGATTGCCATGAAAGCCGCCGCGCAGGCGGGCCAGCAGGGCCTTACACTCGCCGTCGCCGATCTGCTCCAAACCGACCGGCTGAGCGAGTTGGCAGCTCGACTCACGCAAAGCAAGCAGCTGCGGTCGCCATCCGCGCCCGAGGACCTCATAATACCGGGCTCGTACTTCGGCTTCCGCGCGCAGCCGGCTTTCATCGAGAGCGTGCAGCAGGAGCTTCCCCCGGCCTTCACGGCCAGCCATGAGATCGAAGACATTCTGCCGGCCACAGCAGGCCAGGTCGAGCGATTGCGCCTCCCTGTCTTCTACTTCATCCTGCAGGGCTCCGGTCGTCTGGACCCCGAGCGCCTGGCGACCGCCAGCCGGGCACTCATCCAGCGCCATCCCATCCTCCGCACCGTCTTCTTTCCCTACCGGAACCACGTTGTTCAGGTGGTCTTGCGCCATCTGCCCTCCCCAATTATGCCATGCACCCTTCCGAATATGTCACCCCCCGTCGTGGACCGGCACTGCGCCGACGACAGCCCCCCGACGCCGGTATTCGCGCAGCCAGCTATCCGGTTCATGGTGGTGAACAACCCTGGGCAGTTGACCAGTGGCCTCATCTTGCGCCTTTCCCATGCTCAGTTCGACGGCCTGTCCACGGGGCTCCTATGGGCCGACTTGGCCGCTCTTTACCACAACCAGGGCCTACCCGACCCCATACCTTATACGACGCACCTGCACCGCTGGTTGGCGGCGCCAACGCCAGCGGCGCTACATTTCTGGCGCAGTCTGCTGGCGGGGAGTCAGCCGACCGCCGTCTCCTGCAAAGCCCGCAATGAGAACACGCCGCCGGAGCAGTTCCTTCTGGCACATCAGACCATCAACGTCTCCGAGCTGCCCGCCGGAATCACCAGCGCGACCATGTCCAAGGCCGCCTGGGCGGTCACTCTAGCCCAGCACACCGGGGATATGGACGTTGTCTTTGGCCAGACCGTGAATGGGCGTCATGCTGCGACGGCCGACGCCGTGGGTCTCTGTACCAATCGGCTGCCGGTGCGCCTGTCGCTCACGGACCTGGGGATGACCCGGGATCTTCTCGACCGCGTGCACCAACAGCACATCCAGTCGCTGCCCTTCGATGCCCTGGAGCATGCCGACATCGTCCAGAAGTGCACCCCCTGGCCAGCCGATCAACCGGGGTACTCTGTCGTCACCCACCAGAATTTCGACCTCGAGAAACCGCTCTGTCTGGGCGGAGTGGACTGTTCCCTGCGCAACTGGACCCGGGATCTTCCTCGCCAGGGAATCGCCGTTGAATCAACTCCCTTGTCCGCGGGCCAATGGCGCCTGCGACTGACCACGTCGACGGGATTTCTCGACCAGGACGAAGCCGACGCCTTGTTGCGACAGTATGGGCGCAACCTGGTCCAATTGACCGAAGCCCCACCCACCACCCCCCTATCTGACTTCTTTTCACCTTCATGAACATAATTGAACCCCCATTACTCGCTTCAGATGCCTAGGTCCCATCCGCATAAGTTCCCCGGTTGTCCCACATATGTATATAAATGCTTCCTTTTCCTTCGTCATGTATGCCGTCTTTTCCTTGTCGAGCGATGTTCCTCCATTGCTGGACCTGATACTTACTCGTCCGCTCTCGATGCGGAATGTGCCCTTTTGCCTCTGTTGGTCCCCACCTCTCAATTTCACTGCTGCCTGCGAACGTGTTTGGCACCTAAGCGGTGCTGATAAACCACGTGACCTAAGAGGGTTATCGGAGAGGCGATTGCTCAGCCAATTTTATGAGTATTCTATATTTAAATGAATGAAAGTGCTGCAATCCTTGATGGTTTGAATTGTTCATATGATTGATGTAAAGTTAGTTGAGGAAAAGAAACGACGAAGTCCCACGGGGGTGGTCAACGCGGCAACTAGGGCAGCCCGTAATGACCATGATGGGCGATATGTCAAACCAGACGAACCACAAGCGCAAGGGTGCAACAGAGGAAATCCTCAGTTGTGCTGGATATTCCGATCCGTATCCCTATAGAAACATATATATAGTAGGTATCGTTGAATCGGATGAAGCAGGTCAAATAAGCGGCAAAAGGCTATGTTCCGTTTAACTTGAAAGCCATCGAATCCATCCTCTGCTCTCCTTCCCGCGTCGATCGATACATTGACTAGTATATATCAGCCGACACCAACACTCCAACAAAGTATCGATAACAACCACCACAAAAAAAAAAGTCTGACGTATACCGTCATACCTACAAATAAAGAACCCCCCAACCCTGATCCTAAATCATAATCACGCAGAAAACATACATACCTTCAGCGCCACACCCTCCACCCTCTTCTCGCCTTACCCTGGCATCCATCCAAGTCTTGGTAGCCAAGCAACCACACCAAGGCGAATGAACCTAATCCGAACACCGTCCAGGGTACTCCCGGAGCAATGTACAAGTAACACCTTACGAGCCAACCGCATGACCGACGAAGGACGAATAAAGTTATCAATCAAGTAAATAAGCTCCAACGACCGAGCCAGGAAAGGGTGGTTTGGTTGGGTTGGAAAGCAGGATTGGAATCCAAAACGCAAATAGCTTTTGCCCTCTACTTACGGAGTACGGATACTAGACGAGGATGAAGGATATGACGTATAGAGTCAGATGCGTGTAGTGGCTGTATTTTGCCTCCACATGGAATGCGTGCTCAATACTACCTATGCCTACGACTGCCTAGGGACCCAAAACCTGGTAAAGCCACATACATGCATGCCGCGTATGACTGGAGCCAAATAGGCACTGATGAGATGACCACACGAGCTGAACATTCTCGCCGACGTGTGAGGCACCTATCCGGCTTGCATAGCAGGGTCAATGGAGTTGGTGGGGATTGACATATCAAATGACGGTACGCCCGGACACCAAAGTCAATGGGCGGTGCAAGTTGCAGGCCTGCAATGGGCGCATGTGGTCTGTAGATCACGGTCTGCCACATCCCTAGGTTGGCCATTACCGGCCGGTTAAGATGCGTATGACCCGTCGACGGGTGAACTACGCGTCGATCTTCGCTTATCCCGAGGCTACTCAGAAACCATCCTGCTGACCTACGTTTCGGTGATTTTCACGGACCCGGAGGCCGTGATGGGAACCGCAGTGCGACAAATGGTTTAATCAAATTCCCGGTCTGAATGACTCCGAAATCCAAAACAATAAAAGTGTCTAGATATGCCAGGGTTTCGTTGAGACATTGTATACTACGGTAAAAATGGGAAGCAAAAAAAAACAGAGAGCGGTAGGTAGGTGGGTGATCAATGGTTAGGATGACACAACCAATGCAGTCAATGCATCGGGCACCTCCAGAATTCAGACAGATAACACAAAAACAATTCAAAAAGGACCAGCGCCAGTGTATTCGATCAACCAATTCCTTTGCCTTATCATGGGCGAGACTATGCCCGTTGTAGAGATTATCTCCAAATCTAAGCAACAACTGCATCCTGGATCTCACTGTAGATAGCACCGAGCTCTTCGCTGAGAAGCTTTTCGGCCTTGTCGACCAGGCCGTCAAAGCGGTCCTTGACGCTGGAGGCCTTGTGGCCACCATCGGCAACGATCTTGGAGTAGTTGGAAGAGCCACCGCCGTTCCAGGCAAGGAGCTAAAGAGATCAGTTAGAATCAATACGACCCAGAGAATCGAGATCGACGGAATTAAGCAACTTACGTTGGGGGTGTCGGAGGGAACATCGGTAAGAGTGCCCTCGGTGGCGATGGAGATGATGTCCTTCTTGAGCTTGGCAGGGGTGAGCTCGTCAACAGCGAAGGCAGAGTCCTTGGAAGGCTGGAGAGAGACGAAGTAGGCCAGAAGACCCGCGATGTGGGGCGAGGCCATCGAAGTGCCGGAAATGGTGTTGACGGCGTGGTTGCTGCCAATCCAGGTGGAGAGAATGTTAAGACCGGGAGCAAAGATGTCAGTGCACTTTCCGTAGTTGGAGAAGTAGGCACGTTCATCCTGGAGCGTCGAGGCGGCAACAGTCACGGCATTCTCGGCGGCAGCCGGGGAGTAGTTGCAGGCGTCAGCATTGTCATTGCCAGCGGCAACGGCGAAGTGCAAACCAGCCTCAACACCAGCGTTGACGGCATCCTCGAGAGTCTTCGACTTTCCACCACCAAGGCTCATGTTGGCAACGCTGCCCTTGAAGCCCTTGACCTTACCGTCCTTGGCCTCCTTGGCCCGCTTGAGGTGGGACTGAACAGCCCATTCGACACCCTGGACAACGTCGGACATGGTACCAGACCCGCTGGATCTCAGGACCTTGACGGCGAAGAGGTTGGCCTTCTTGGCAACACCGTACTTCTTGCCGGCGATGGTTCCAGAGCAGTGAGTGCCGTGGCCGTTACCATCGGCGTCCTCGTCGTTGGTAGGGATGGTCTTGCCCCAAGTGGCCCGGCCCTCGAAGTCAACGTGGTCGACATTGATACCAGTGTCAATGGTGTAAGCATCGACACCTTCACCGCCCTCCGACGCATACAAGTATTTGTTGAACGTGCCAAAGGAGAGGGATTCACGGTGAGAGATACGGGCCAAACCCCAGGGGGCGTTCTTCTCAGTCTCGGGCTCCTCACTCATGGTGAAGACCTCGGAGTCCTTCTCGATGTACTCGACCTATATTGAGAGATCAGCCAGGAAGCTCTCGACGGCAAGATGACGTGGTAGGAGGAGCATCGGACAAAGAGATGAGGTACTTACGTCGGGATGTCTCCGGACCTGCTCGATAACATCCTCGTGGAAGTGACCAGAGTAGCCCACCAGGGAGCCAGCAATGTCAAAAGTGTTCTTGAGACCCAGGTAGAGCTCATCTCCGAGGCCAAAGAGCGACCGCTTCTTCAGGTCAATCCGCTCGACCTGGGACTCGTGGATGTCCTGCACCCAGCTGTGGTGAGCAGAGGCCGAGGCAGAGTCGACATGCTTCTTGAAAACGACGATGTAGGAGTCGGGGACCTCCTGCGCATTGCTTGAGGACAGGATAGGGGCAGCGTCGTTGTGGATGGAGTCGACGGCAACGGGCGAGGCCGCCGTCAGCAACGGAAGGAGGGAAAGGCTCAGGAAGCCTTTCATGATGGGCAGGTGGAAGGACAGGGTCTAGGATTCACAAAGGATGGAGAAAGGGATGGAAATAATGTAGGGTCGATGAAGCTGGAGGAAGGAGAGATGAAAGAGAAAGATCGAAGGACGGGGGGAAGGATGGAGTTGAAGAAGGATAAGAGAGGACGGCCAGGGAGCACAGGCAAGGGCAGCTGAGGATGATGCAACCGGGTTACGGTAATTTTACAGCAGGTGACCGATGACACACCTCTGTCGATCCGCTCGGACGGTTAGCGCGGTGGGCAAGACTCTGGGGTATTGGATTTGGCGGTATGCGGCTAGGAAACCAGGCTCCTCCCGGAGATACGCCCGAGTAGGTGTAGGTACGGTATTGATGCCTGGCTGATAAGGGAGCTCCTAGCTACGGTGAAGCACGTAATCTGGGGGATGCTGGGAGCTCTCGCCCAAAGTACCTTCCGAGAGGATCCTATCCTATCTTCATAATGAGGCGAAGGGAAGTGGAGTCTGCATCCTGTGTGCATAGGATTGAGGACCCTAGGTTACTCACCTACAGGACACAGAGATGGACTGGTTGCTTCGGCAGCGTGCGGCAGCAACTAGTGACTCAACAATACCGACTCGGAGAGATTGGTATGATAGGAGACGACATCCTGGGAGGGCAGCAAGCTTTCGCCATCAACTGACCTCGGGCGGAGGGTTCGTGGGCGTACCTGCAGTCCCTGGCTGGCATGTCGCCAGCCACTGGAGTGCCTAGGCAACCCCCCAAGTCGCGTGCTTTGGGTCTTTGGGTCCGATGTTCGGCTGACTCTCCCAAAGTGGAGAACGCCGTACGGTTACGGTAACGGGGCGCCGTACCGCCCTTGACGATACGGACCGGGAGTGACCTTACTTTACGGCGTGTTCCAGCCGGCCCAGGAAGTCCCCTTAGATAAGGCCTTATCGATATCGCCCGCCGGCCAATCATCATGGGATCGGTGGGATTGCCGTCTCTGTCACCTGATAGCCGTGGCTTCTGCGCTGGAACTCGACCGATACTCCGATCCCCCCGCTCAAGGTACAGCCTCAAGTGACGTTGCCTTCGTCCACATTCAGGAAACATTCGGAGCCTGTGGAGGTAAGCTGCTGCGACATCTGAAAATATCATCCCCTGGATGGTGATTTCCGATTCCTTGGCACTGCTCTATCCCTATAATCGCGCAATTGCTGATCTCTTCTGAATCCCGCCAAAGCCCTTTTTCCCCTCCCGCTTGACCCTGTGCCATGCTAGACAGTTGTGTGGATTGAAGGCCGCTAGTCACCCCCCCAAACCGCATACCAATGCAGACCGCCTTCATTCCTACGCTAAGTGCAGGTTCATGGTGTCTGGTGGTCACTGGCCATCAGATAGGTAATCGGGGTTAAGATCCGGCGGCGCGATGAACCAAGCCAACGCTTCCGTCGACCTTTCGTCCCCTCTCTCGCCAGCCCAGCGGTCGCTCGCTGACCTAGTCCCGGTTATCGAGGAGCTCGAGTCCATCTGCGAGGGCAATGTGATAGACTCCCAACTTGCCCTCACGGCAACCGAGTGTCTGCATCGTCTCCGTCACACATTCATCGACAGCGATTACCCCAGACAAGCGAAAGAGAGCTTCCGGCATCTACATGGCTTCCAAACGGTACTGCACCTCCTTCGGAAGGTTTCGGACTTTTACGACCCCCACGGATCCTCAGAAGAGGAAAGAAAATTCCTCCTGTCCCTCCACAAAGATGCATTGGCGGTTTTGGCCGAGGCCTTGAAGGAGCATTTTGGAAACAAACGATATTTTGCCAATCGGATTGTAGGGGGAGGCCAATCTACACTGGAGGAGGTCTTTGCCATTTTGGCCAGAAAAGTAGACAGCGCCCAAGGTGATGCGGACCAGTTTTATGGTGGCATCTTCGCGGCAGTCTTGTGCCAGGAAACAGTTGCCCGTATATTCACAGCCCTGAGTGAGAAGTTTCAGACGGCCGACGAAGTATCCCAGACCGACATTAGAGCGGAAGTGGACCGATGTGTAGGAACCTCTGAAACCGTCGAAGTGCCGGAGTTTCTAGGCCCTTTGGTCCGAGTCTGGTTGATGCAGCCTTCATCCGATCCCGATCACAGAATACAGAGACTAGCTTTACCATCGTGTCTATGTCAACTCGCTCGTCAGTCTCAGCGGAACATCACAATCCTGCACGCCACTGGGATCTTATCTTTGATTCTTCCGATTCTGTTCGACGAGAACTACCCGGAATCCGTGAGGCTGCCTTACCAAGAACTCGCAGAACTACTTTGTTCTCAGGGGATTAGTAGCCTAGATGACGCGGTGTTCCTCTATCAGAAAGCACACGGTTGCCCGAAAGTGCTACGGTTCCTTGTCAGCGCCCTGAAGTCTTCGAAGGAACCCCCTTCAATTCAGTTCGACCTATCCCAGCATGGGTTTTGCTCATTGGAGTTCTCAACCCTGGGTCGCTCGTTTCCGCCTACAACTTCCTCTGGCTACACTCTTGCCGTATGGGCTCGCTTTGATCAATTTGATACGACGACACACACCACAATATTCGGAGCATTTGATGCGAGCCAAACATGTTTTGTACTGGCGTACTTGGAGAAGGACACCCGCAACTTCATTCTACAGACATCAATTAGAGGCTCCCGCCCCAGCGTTCGGTTCAAGTCCACGGCGTTCGAGCCAAATCGATGGTATCACATCTGCGTGGTACACAAAAAGCCAAGACCGCCATCGTACTCGCGTGCCTCACTTTTCATAGATGGTGAATTTGTTGAGCAGTTGAGAATTGAATACCCATCCCTGCCTGCCGTGAACGCTTCCAACCGGTCATCACGGGTTCAAGCGTTTTATGGCACCCCCCAGGACCTGGCGATGAAGCTTGGAAAGGGGGTTTCCTCATCTCGATGGTCTCTAGCGAATGCAATACTCTTTGACGAAGCATATAGCGATGACATGGTTTCTGTTTTCTACAATCTCGGTCCGCGCTACTATGGGAATTATCAGGATTGTCTGGGTTCTTTCCAGACCTACAAGGCGTCCGCAGCCTTGAATCTGCGTAATGAGCATCTTCATCCTGGCAAAGAAGAAACATCGGACATCGTCACTGCCATCAGGCGCAAAGCGAGTACTCTCATCCGGGAGGATTCCATTATACTCAATGTCTCCCCCCTAGCTGTGCTAGATGATGACGACGGCAACGCCATTGACGAATCGCGACTCATCAAATCTCTTTCGAAGCAAGCCGCCAAAAACTTGCACCACCTGACAAAGATGGGAGCAAACGCGGTGGCTGTCAACGGAGCCACTCCTGCTATCAACGATGCCTTGACTCAAGCCCATGGAATCGGAGTGTTGACTGGAGACCCTGTAGTTGCAGTACCTCACTCTCTCGATGATGCGAGTTGGCGCATCGGTGGCTGCGCGGCGGTGCAACTGAGCTTGATCCACTCAGCGAATTCTGCAGAGACATTGCTTTTAGCGGTCGAGGCATTTTACGAGGCTGTACAAGACAGCTGGCGAAACAGTGAAGCAATGGAAAAAGAAAACGGCTATGGAATTCTTGCTGCATTATTGCGTGAAAAATTAGGGCTATCTTCAGGGGGTCAAGTCACAAACTCCAGGAGCTCGAGCGTTTGCTCCTCCTACGAAGAGCGATCTGACCTCGCCTTAGATCTTCTTCGATTAACTCTCAAGTTTTTAGGATACGACTTTGAGCAGCCAAATCGCTCTATTATCACGAACCCACTGGCTTACAGAGTTTTGCTTGTTGACTTGGAAGTGTGGAGATTCGGAAACCATCCTCTCATTGAGTTATACTATTCTCAGTTTTGTATTTTTGCAAGCGAGAGTCAATTCCGTCGATCTAACTCAAAGCGCCTCGCTCGCATGCGTGAGTTCTTTTCCAGGCCTCTTCCACCCATGGTTTGACTGATGATCAATAGGTGTGAGTAAGAAGCTCCTCGAAACCTTGAAGGGGGAAGACTTTACATCAGAGGCTTTGATGCTTTTCACGTCCGCCTTTGGATCTTTGATGGAGAGCTGTCTGACGGCAGACTTACTTCGGTCCCTGTCCCTTTTTATCACGTATGCCATCCATAAACCTAAAGAACCAAGCAGACTCCAGAAGAAGAAAAGCCTACGCTTCAACAACCCCGGCATCCGACAACCGACAAATGCTGTTGAGCCTAAGTATGTTTCAAGCACAGTGATAGCGACGGAGATGCTTCGCATGTATTGTTCCCTTCTCTGTAACACACATGACTTTGGGCCAATAAAGAAGTTTGCCAGAGCTGTAACAAACAAGGTTCGTTCCAGAAAACTACTTATGAGTTATGATTGTGTAACGAGTCCTGACTTATTTGTAGTGGCTTTTATATCTCATGTGTGAGGATGAACCTGAGATTGTTGTCTTGGCCACCAAAATCATGGCCCGCTTGATTGTGGTCCATGGCAGCAGTTACAGCAAAAAGTTTACCGAAAAGACAGGGGGGTTCAACCTCATGCGACACTGTCTGAAAAGATGGTGGGACGCCCCGATTCTGTGGCCTATCTGTTTTTCTATTCTATTTGGCCTTGACGTAGGCAAGATAGATATTGATAAGCCGTTTGACCACACTACTCTGTCGGAACTATTCTATCCTGGGAGTCAGGCTCAGGTCATTATTCCCGAAATGTTTCCAGTCATCACGGAAATGATGCAGAGTGCCCTGAGAAAGGTTGTGCTTGTCAACTCCTTTTCAGAATTCGATAGCGAGGCCCCCGGTTCCCTTCAAGATAAAGTACAGAGCCCTAAACCTTTCATGTCATCTCATATACCTCTGGGGGCGACTGCTGGGGGCGTGTCTCTTTTAACCGCTGTGGTTGAATTCCTTGCTGAATTGCAGCTGAAGTCCGAGAACCTTCGCGAGTTTGCGACAAGACCCGGTTACGTGCAAAACCTACTCTCTGTTCTATTCCCAGTCGTCGTCGGTTCTGATACCGTGAGCGCTGAAGACGAGATAAGCTCTCATCCTCGCATCGGTGGCCCTGAACTTGATGACCCTAATTTCATGGTTCGCCCGCGTTCAAGAAGAGCAACCGAGGTGCGAACTACAACAGTCGAGCAGACTGGGTCCCATGATGAAAACGGCTCGCTAGGACGTGGCTCGTCATTCGTTCTTGTCTCCTCTGACAAGAAATGGCTTCCATCGTCAGCACGCATTCAACATGCTTTTACTTCCCCGAGAGTAGAGTTCAAAGGGGTCACTGATCATCCCCTGGTTTCCACCATACTAAGCCTCGTTTTATCTGTTTTCTCGGAGCAGTTGCTCGAACGAAAAGACTTTTCTGGCCTTGGTCTATATATGAAAACACCATCCGGGTTTCCGGAGTACCAGGCGTACTTTAACTCCTGGATGCTGAGGTCTCTTCTCTCCACTTTACAGGACGTTATATTCTCGAAACTTGAGTTGCTTTCTGAACCTCGCGTTTTGACGAATCTGGGACGATTTTCGACCCATCTAGGCGAAGCAGTATATGAGGGTTGGTTTGTTGATGGTGCTACTGCCACCCTTGAGTTTGCTGGAGCCGTCCTGGAATACCTTCAAAGACCCGATGTCTCGCGATTAAAGAGCATCAGACTTTGTAGCCAGGCAATTGCGACAATCAGATCTACGGTGTTTCGTGTCGTCCTACTCAAACTATCACAGGTTGAGGGTCCGGAGGCACTCTCCTTTCTGAACCGTTTGTCCTATTGGCAAGTTGTGCTTCTTTCTGCTGGGGAAACACAGCCCGACTATTTGAAGTTACTGTGCTATACCCTTTATATCAAGCTGATTGACAAGAGTGAAGACATACGGTTGACCGCAGCCAGTCTTTTCCGCATCTTGTTGGTGCAGAAGCCCGCTGAAATGTCGACCATTTTGAGTCAAACAGACCCATCTTTGCAAAGCCGACTTTCAAATGGCTTTGAAGCACTCGTTGGAATGGAAGATGCTGCCTTCCTACAGTGGGTGGATGATCACGAGGACGACCTCAATACGTTATTTTTTGGGGGGTTGTCCAAACAGTGGGCCTCCTTTGTCCAAGAGGAGAATGTGAAGATTGAGAACTCGGCGCGCTCTCGGTATCATAAGCGCCAAGACAAGCTGAAGGAGTGGAGTGAGATAGAGAAGGAGAATGAGGAAGTGATACGCAAGCACGAAGCTACATTCCCTCATTGGATATCGAACATATCGGCATCTGAGTTTCTGAAATACCAGCGAGCTCTTCAGGATCAGCAAGACAACTCGGTTTTCATGTGGGCAGCGCTGTCACATTTGATCTTAGATTTACGCCGCTTCAGTGGTGTTCTTGCCGATGACAAGGAGCGAAAATGGCGTCTTGATCAGACAGAAGGACGCAGCCGCATGCGACTTCGATTGGTCCCAGATGAATCAGGGGATCGACACGACTACCAGCCGAAGCGGAAAGCATCGGAACCTCCGGTGATCAAGGTCGATACGCAAGTTCCGGCGCCATCTGGTGGTGACGGCGTCGGTCTAACTCCTACTGTGCCCGCCGACCAAACCGAGAACAATCCTCAGGGAATAAGCCCTGATAGCAGAAGCGTGCTTGAAGAAAGCTTCGAGATGATCGATGACCCCAAGGCCGACCTTGAAGACTACGAAGACAGAAACAGAAAAGTTATGAGGAGTCTGCACCGCGGGGATCAGGTCGAAAATGTATGCAACATGTCTCGCATCATCGGATTGGAGGCATTTGAAGGGCTGTTGATCCTCGGCAAGAATAACATTTACATTCTTGACAACTTCTTCCAGAGATCTGATGGTGAGATCGTGAATGTTTGGCAAGCCCCCACAGATGAACGTGATCCCTACGTGGGGATGATCACCGGCAAAGAGTCAAATGAGCGCAAACCACGAGAGCATGAAACTAGGAGTTGGAAATGGTCAGACCTCGTCAGCGTTTCGAAGAGACGGTTCCTTTTCCGTGATGTGGCCCTCGAGATCTTCTTCACGGACGGTACCAGTTACTTGCTGACCCTCATATCATCACGGGCTCGGGACATTCTTTGCAGTCAGCTTGGCACAAAAGCGCCTCAGGTGACTGGAAGCGTTGGTCACTCTAGGCCAGAGGACGTTTGGAGATTTGAAACCCTTCGAAGCCAGGAAGATGCTCCGCAGTCGCTTGGATCCAAGGTCGCTAGTGTCTTTGGTCATTCACCAGTGCATCCAGCAACCCGCAAGTGGGCTAAGGGCGAGATTTCGAATTTCCACTATCTTATGCTTGTCAATACGTTGGCTGGCAGAACATTCAACGATTTGACACAGTACCCCGTTTTCCCTTGGGTGGTCGCTGATTATACGAGTGAGGAACTAGACTTGACAAATCCGTTAACCTTCCGTGACCTTTCCAAGCCTATGGGCTGCCAAAACCCGGAACGAGAGGCCGGGTTCAGGGAGCGGTACAAAGCATTTGCAGAAATGGGGGCTGATGATGCGCCTCCGTTCCACTACGGCACTCATTACTCTTCGGCGATGATTGTTAGCTCATATTTGATACGTCTTCAGCCATTTGTGAAATCCTACCTCCTGCTCCAGGGTGGCACCTTTGACCACGCCGACCGTCTCTTTTACTCTATCGGGAAAGCATGGGAATCCGCTTCTCGACAAAATATGTCCGATGTGAGGGAATTGATTCCCGAGTTTTTCTATCTTCCGGAGTTTCTCGTCAACTCGAATAAATACGAGTTCGGTTTCCTGCAGAACATGACAACTGCCATCGACTCCGTGGAACTCCCCCCTTGGGCCAAAGGAGACCCCAAAATATTCATTGCCAAGCATCGTGAAGCTCTAGAAAGTCCTCATGTCACGCAGAACCTACATCATTGGATTGATCTGGTGTTCGGATGCAAACAGAAAGGCGAGGCAGCCGTTGAGGCTGTCAATGTTTTCCATCATCTCTCATACCAGGGGGCCAAAGATGTCGACACAATCGATGACCCTGTCGAACGACTTGCTACAATTGGCATCATTCACAACTTCGGACAGACCCCCCATCAGATATTCAATCGACCACACCCACAGCGTGAGGACTTGCGGCAAAGGCCCCCCCGTCTGGATCGTCTTGCCGAGTCACTTACGCAGCTCCCTATCTCGCTTCTTGGTCAGTTTTCGGACTCTTTCTCCAGAAGCGAACGCGAGCTCTGTTTATTAACAGTATGACAGATATTGGAGAACAAGTATCCTCGCTATCAATGAAACATGACCGCCTTCTATGCGCTGCGGCATTGCGGCTAAACATTCCTCCCAGTTATGACAAGTACATGGAATGGGGTTTCTTCGACGGCAGCGTTAGATTCTACTCTGCGGACAACCGAAAAGTACGGGTTAACATCTCCTTTTTACTCTTTAAGAGCGACAGCTAACGATTTCTTGTTTAAGCTTCTGGGGCATCTTGAACACCTTCACATTGGCCAATTGTCCTGTGCAATCTTTGCGGACTCACGAACACTGGTCACGTCGGGAACGGACTGCACGGTTTCAACATGGAATTTCTCATCGACTAGCCGATCGGTAGATTTACAGCCAGCGGGATCTTTGTTCGGGCATCGTTCTCCCGTGACGACACTGGCCGTCTCACGATCATTCAGCACTCTCCTCTCGGCATCGACGGACGGACAGGTCATGCTGTGGGACCTGAACCAGCAATGTTTTGTCCGGGAGCTTCCCGGAAGCGGTCCTGTCAACGTGAGTTGACCAAGAACTTGAATCAGTCTAGTATCTCTTATTCGGCTAACAATGATGCAGTGTGCGCGGATCAACGACGTGACCGGCGAGATTATGATTTGCCGGAGAAACCGCATTAGCCTATATACGCTGAACGGTACTCTACTGCTAGAGCAGAACGTATGCGACTCTGTGGACGACCAAATCCTGTCCTGCGTCTTCTACGAAGGCGTCGACAATGAATGGCAGGAGCGAGAGCTTCTCTTCACGGGTCACAGGAGGGGAGTTGTTAATGTAGGTCCATCCCATGCTTGGCAGTAGCTCCGAAACTGACCGCGCTGTAGATCTGGAGTAAAATCATTCATGGCGGACGGTTTGAGCTGGAATTGATCCGGCAACTTCACCACATCGACAATAGTCGGGACAACGGCGCCAATATTCCCGTGGGCATTAGTTGCATTCTGGCCTTGCCACAGGTCGTCTATACGGGAGACGAAGCCGGCAGAGTGGTAAGTGAAAACTGAACGTCGGTTGTTTTTGGGCGTGGGAAACTGACCACACCCTGCAGTATGAATGGAGCTGTGTCCAACGACGTTGATCCTTATGTGTTGAGACCATCCGAAGGGGATGGATTGAAAATGAAGCTTCTGGAAGATCATGAATGAGCCGCATGATAAGAAACGCCAACGAAGTTACCTCTAGCGATGAGTCTTTTTTTTTTTTCTCTCTCTCTCTTTTTTCTTGGCCTCTTGACCCTGCCGAGCTCCGCTCCTGGCCTGACGCAGGACGACAGGCCGGGGAGAAGTGCCAGCACGCATGTATAGGCCTCTAGATCTAGAACGACCGGGGCGGCTAGAATTGCCGCAAACAGGAAAGGAAAAGTTCCGAAGGGGGGAGCAGGGGGCTGATTATTCATTGTTATTGTTATGATTCCTGAGCGTCTCCAGCTCCGACAGTAAGAATCAACAGCCGTAGTGCTCCGGTGAAAGAAAATCGGAATCTGATTAGTCGGCGGGCGAGTGGACCGTCACCCATGCGGTTGCCGGAGCACACTGCACCGACCGAACCACGGTTAATCAGGGGGGTTTGAGGGGAAGAGGGCGAAACCGAAATCGCGCGGGTTGGCGCAGACGGTGGGAGACCAGTGGAGGAGCAGAGACGGCCGGTTTGAGGCGTTTTAAGAAGATGTTGGGGAGAACAACAGGAGGCAGGTGTCTGCAGAAGCGGCGGCATAGCGTCATCGCCGCCCCACCATCCCACCTCGCCGGAGCCCCCTCTTCCACCGTCGCCACGTCGTATTTCTTTTCTATCCTCCTTCTTCTTCTTCTCCTTCCTCTCTTCTCTCCTCCGATCCTCCATCCGTTTTTGATATTGCTTTTTTTGTGATACCACCTCTTGCATTCACAATGTCTTCTTCTCTCGAACAGCTCAAGGCCGCTGGCACCGTAAGTCTTCTCTTCCCCGTGGACATCTCCATGTCGTGTCATGTTTGCTGACCTTCTTTTCCAGGTCGTCGTTTGCGACTCTGGTAAGTTTTTCTCTATCGCCACGCAGCCAATCGTCCCCCAAGAGGGCAGCTAGGTTGACCGCCGATCTTTACACAGGTGACTTTGCCAGTAAGTGTCCCCATCCATGCTACAGCTTCAGCTTCAATGCTGTTGAGGAACATCGGGTGTTAATCTTTTTTCACAGCCATTGGCAAGTACAAGCCCCAGGATGCCACCACCAACCCCTCCCTGATCCTCGCGGCTTCCAAGAAGCCCGAGTACGCCGCTCTCATCGACGAGGCCGTTGCCTACGGCAAGAAGCAGGTACGTTGCTGGCTGCAAGTCAATTTACAGGCCAAAATCTAACAATCGTGATAGACTGGTTCCCTTGACGCCCAGGTCGACGCCACCCTTGACCGTCTCCTGGTTGAGTTCGGCAAGAAGATCCTTGAGATCGTCCCCGGAAAGGTCTCGACCGAGGTCGATGCTCGCTTCTCTTTCGACACCCAGGCCTCGATTGACAAGGCTCTCCGCATCATCCAGGTATGGGATTCTGGCAACTGTCGGATGTCGTAGCGCATGTCACTAACCCCGATCTTCCCACAGCTCTACAAGGAAATCGGTATCCCTAAGGAGCGCATCCTGATCAAGATTGCCTCCACCTGGGAGGGTATCAAGGCCGCCGAGGTCCTCCAGAGAGACCACGGCATCAACACCAACCTGACCCTCATGTTCTCCAGCGTCCAGGCCATCGCCGCCGCCGAGGCCGGTGCTTTCCTCATCTCTCCCTTCGTTGGTCGTATCCTTGACTGGTACAAGGCCGCCCACAAGCGCGACTTCGCTCCCCAGGAGGACCCCGGTGTCAAGTCCGTGGAGAGCATCTTCAACTACTACAAGAAGCACGGCTACAAGACCATCGTCATGGGTGCTTCCTTCCGTAACGTTGGAGAGATCACCGAGCTGGCTGGCTGCGACTACCTGACCATCTCGGTATGTTACCATCGCCGTTCAAGATTTGATGTGCAGGGTGGAATGCTAATTTTCTTCTCTTCGTATAGCCCAACCTCCTTGAGGACCTCCACAACTCGACCGAGGCCGTCCCCAAGAAGCTGGACTCCGCCAACGCCGTCAACCAGGACATCCCCAAGCGCAGCTACATCAACGACGAGGCTCTGTTCCGCTTCGAGTTCAACGAGGAGGCCATGGCCACGGAGAAGCTCCGCGAGGGTATCTCCAAGTTCGCCGCCGACGCCGTCACCCTCAAGGACATCCTGAAGGCGAAGATCCAGGCGTAAATTGGGGAAAAATTGCCATGTTTTCATGAATAGTGTTGTGTGCGTTATATCCGGTCATGTGCACGTGTACAAATTGGCGACGTGAAACATAAAATTATAGCTTAGTAGATACGAATCACGAATTCATTATGATCGTTCCATCTTCATTTCTGGATGCTATCTAGGACTTCTGCGTATAGGGGGGGATATGGGTTCAATGCTCAGGAAGGTGATTCCGGATCTTGTATGACCCGAGACATACTCATAATGATCGGGTCCGGCATCGGGGATGGTCAATGTGTAAGAGTCTGGATAGAGGGTCGACAGCCACATCTACGTCAGCATTGCATTCTGTCCGGCCTGCATGTTCTTTTCCACATGACGGAAGATCTGGACTCGCGCTGCTTAGGAATCGCCGGAAGAAGCCCAGCGACACAAACCGCACGTCATCCCGACGACCCCGCCAAGTGGGGGGTAATTTTACACACCAGCGAGTACAGTTGGCCATCGAGCAGTAGCTACCTGGGTAGTAGCAGCTCTTCCATCGGCCTCCAGCTCTCGTATCGGTCAATACCACAGCGGCCGGAATTACCCCTCGTCCCTCCACCTCGCTCTTCTCCTCTTTTCCTCGCTCGCTCCCGCTCTTCCCTTCCATCTCCCCATCTCTCGCATCAATCGACTCGTTTCTATCCAAATCAACCCAAATATCCCCCCATAAAACCCGTCAAAATGGTTAAGGCTGGTACGTACATCTTGTTTGCCATTATCTGATGGCATCCGCCCCTGTTATTGGTGCTTCGCTCGAGGGGGTCCACGATCGACCGGTGGCTGGAGGACCTTGAGTGAGCAGATTTGAGCACCTTGTGAACGATCTCCTAAGCCGCCAGGGGTTTCTCGGCCTATCACGGCCTGCTCCCTTGGACTGTTGCTTGAGATCCCAGAGCTAGAAAAGAGGGGAACTGCTGGTCAGCGGTTCTGGCTGGCTTCTCGCTATTGTTGTTTTGCCGGTTTGAGCTTGGTGGCTTCGTTCGTCGTGATCAAGCTTTTCCAGCACCTCTGATTTATATTCTTCCGTCTTTTTCTGAACCCGTAACGAATGAGGGGCTGTCACGGCAAGCTAACAGAAGATGCCGTCCAGTTGCTGTCCTCCGTGGTGACTCCAAGGTCTCCGGCACCGTCACCTTCGAGCAGACCGATGCCAACGTCCCCACCACCGTCTCGTGGAACATCACCGGCAACGACGCCAACGCCGAGCGTGGCTTCCACGTTCACCAGTTCGGTGACAACACCAACGGCTGCACCTCTGCTGGCCCTCACTGTACGTGCAGAGCGACCCGTCCAATCCGCTAGCAGGGAAGACCCATTGCTGACCTACCGCTTCAGTCAACCCCTTCAGCAAGACCCACGGTGCTCCCGATGACGCCGACCGTCACGTCGGTGACCTTGGCAACTTCAAGACCGATGCTGAGGGCAACGCCGTCGGCTCCAAGCAGGACAAGCTGGTTAAGCTGATTGGCGCCGAGAGCGTTCTTGGCGTAAGTTCTCCTTTGGGTCTTCGGACACTGCATGTAGATTCCTGACGAGCTAACGTTGAACAGCGCACCCTGGTCGTTCACTCCGGCACTGACGACCTTGGCCGTGGTGGCAACGAGGAGTCCAAGAAGACCGGCAACGCTGGTACCCGCCCTGCTTGCGGTAAGTGTGATCCTCGGAAGGTCCCTGTGGTGAGAGAGACAACAAGGATGCTAATGAGGTCTTTCCAGGTGTCATCGGCATTGCTGCGTAAATTATTATCTCGTAATATTGCAATCTAGGACGTGGAAGTACCAGGTCAAAATGAAGCGACCAGATTGATTGATTGATTGATTGAGAGGAAGCATGACTGTTGACGTTGCGTTCCTGGAGGACCAACACGATGCGGGATGTTTTGACGCTGGGAAAAGCAGAACTAGAGAATGTATGGGACTGACGAATTCACTTGACGTTGTAATGTTTGATGGTGTCGATGTCGAATTGTCGATAGTAGTCGATAGTAATAAGAGATAGTATAGGCCCCCCACAAAGCAAGTCAGGTGTGCGGCTAGGCCCAAGCTCCCCTTTCCTTCCAACCACGTTGCTTCTGGCTTACTCCAACACCCTCCCTCGTCCCCATCGATCATCCGCATTCCTCCCCCCGTCTTTCTTTTCCGTCTGTTGCTTTTATCCCGTGCTGGTTCATCGTCGGTTCTGGTTCGTCCGGTTTTGTCAATCCTTTCCGATCGCTGTTCTTCCAATCGCTTTCCAGCATGGCGCCACTGGAAGCTCGCGTGAAATCTGTCCTGTCAGGCGACACCGTCGTCCTGTCGCATATCAACAACCCCGGACAGGAACGCATCCTCAGTTTGGCATATGTGTCCGCCCCGAGACTGCGCCGAGAAGGTGACGAAGTATGTCCTGGTGTTTACCATCCCATTTACGTTGTTGTACTTTCGCAATTCTATCGAGTGCATTGGTGGCCTTGAACTTGCTGGGGTTGTATTTCCCGAGGATCTTGATGCCTACTCACCCCTTTACTTTCTTCACCTCTATTCCCAACCCATGTGCAAAAGTTTTTTTCGTCTATGCAATAATGTCAGACGCAATTCAGCTAACTCCTCTGCTTTCCCACAGCCGTACGGTTTCCAATCCCGGGAATTTCTGCGAGAGCTCCTTGTCGGAAAAGTCGTCGAATTCCAAGTTCTTTACACCATCCCAACCGGCGCCAAACGTGACTACGGCACGATCAAACTCCCCAGTTTCGATGTCTTCCTGCCCGATATTTGCGTTCAAGAAGGATGGGTCCGCGTCCGTGAAGAGGCTGGCAAGCGGGCCGACGAATCCGAGCAGACTGCCGCCTTGCTGGAACGTCTCCGCGCACTAGAGGACCATGCCAAGTCTGAGGACAAGGGTGTTTGGGCTGGTGCCGAAAAGGGCCTCATTGAAACGAGTTACGAATTGTCAGACGGCAAGTCCATGGTCGATGAGTGGAAGGACAAGCCCCTCGAGGCCATTGTTGAGAGAGTTTTGAACGGCGACAGATTGGTTCTTCGTCTGCTGCTTTCTCCGCAAGAGCATCTGCAGGTGGTGGCTGCGGTCGCCGGTGTCCGGGCCCCGGCCGCCAAGCGGGTGACTGCCGATGGCAAGGAGCAGCCTGCCGAGCCGTTTGGAGATGAGGCTCACCAGTTCGTCGAGTCGAGGGTCCTGCAGCGCAAGGTGCAGGTGTCTTTGTTGGGTGTCACGCCCCAGGGCCAGCTGATTGCGACTGTCCTGCACCCGAATGGAAACATCGCCAAATTCCTCCTGGAGTCCGGCTTGGCCCGCTGCCACGACCTGCACACTCCTCTTCTCGGAGCCAACATGGCCATCTTCCGGCGCGCGGAGAAGGCGGCTAAGGATGCCCGGAAGGGTCTGTTCACGGGCCTTGTCGCTTCCAAGGGTCCTGCGGGCGGGGCCGTCGAGGACTACATTGTCAGTCGCGTGCTGAACGCCGACACCCTGTTCATCCGCAACAAGGCCGGCCAGGAAAAGAAGATCAGCCTCAGCAGCACTCGTCAGCCCAAGCCCTCCGACCCCAAGCAAGCCCCATTCGCCGCCGATGCGAAGGAGTTCTTGCGCAAGAAGGTCATCGGCAAGCACGTCAAGGTCACCATCAACGGCAAGAAGCCTGCTAACGAGGGATACGAGGAGCGGGAGGTGGCCACGATCATTCATGGCAACACCAATGTTTCGCTCGCTCTCGTCGAAGCCGGTCTCGCCTCTGTGATTCGTCACCGTCAGGATGACCAGGACCGGTCTCCGGACTATGACGACCTGCTGATCGCCGAGGCTGAAGCTCAGAAGGAGGCCAAGGGAATGTGGTCCCCCAAGCCCCCCAAGACGAAGCAGTACCAGGACTACTCGGAAAGTGTGCAGAAGGCCAAGATGGAGGTCTCCATTCTTCAGCGCCAGAAGCGTGTTCCTGCCGTCGTGGATTTCGTCAAGTCGGGATCGCGTTTCACGGTCCTCGTGCCGCGCGAAAACGCCAAGCTCACTCTGGTCCTGTCGGGAATCCGTGCCCCCCGATCTGCTCGCAACCCCGGTGAAGCCGGTGAGCCGTTCGGCAACGAGGCTCACGAGCTGGCCAACAAGCGCTGCATGCAGCGCGACGTCGAGATCGACGTCGAGACCATCGACAAGGTCGGCGGCTTCATCGGTACCCTGTATGTAAACAAGGAGAACTTCACCAAGACTCTTCTGGAGGAGGGTCTGGCTACCGTCCATGCCTACTCTGCGGAGCAGTCTGGAAATGCCACCGAGTACTTTGCTGCGGAGCAGAGGGCCAAGGAGGCCCGTAAGGGACTCTGGCACGACTGGGACCCCAGCAAGGACGTGGAGGAGGCTGAGGAAGAGCCTGTCGACGGTAACAGCGGGACTGAGACCGAGACTGCCTCTCGCCGCAAGGACTACCGTGATGTCGTGGTCACCTACGTTGACCCGACCAACGCCCGCGTCAAGCTTCAGCAGATCGGCACTGGCACCTCGGCCCTGACGGAACTGATGAACGCTTTCCGCTCCTTCCACCTGAACAAGGCCAACGAGACTCCTCTGCCCGGCCCTCCCAAGGCTGGCGAGTTCGTGGCCGCCAAGTTCACCGAGGACAACGAGTGGTACCGAGCCAAGGTGCGTCGCAACGACCGCGACAACAAGCAGGCCGAGGTTGTCTACATCGACTTTGGTAACTCCGAGGTGGTGCCCTGGTCCCGCCTGCGACCCTTGACCCAGCCCCAGTTCTCCGTGCAGAAGCTGCGTGCGCAAGCTGCCGATGCCGTGCTTTCTCTCGTCCAGTTCCCCGTGTCTGCCGACTACCTGGCCGACGCAGTTGGGTTCCTTGAGGAGCAGATCGGCAACCGCGAGTTGGTCGCCAACGTCGACTACGTTTCGCCCGAGGGAACCATGCATGTCACTCTGCTGGATCCCGCCGAGTCCAAGAACCTGGATCACAGCATCAACGCCGACGTCGTCCGAGAGGGATTTGCCATGGTGCCCAAGAAGCTGAAGGCCTGGGAACGCGCCGCGTCGGAGACGATCTCGCACCTGCGCACCCTCGAGGACGAGGCCAAGAGTGAGCGACGGGGCATGTGGGAGTACGGTGATCTGACCGAGGATTAAATCCCCGATCATCGTGATATGTAAGCTTAACGGAACTTGTCTGTACAGATATTTATCCCATATTTTGTATCTTGGACATTCTGGGTTTGGGCGATTTATGACGGGATCTTTGAGCATTGTCTAGGATGTATCATTTCTATTTTCTTCACATTCAACGTCTATCTTGTTTTGATTGAAGCAGGAATACCAAAAAGCCGATTGTCTTGCATCTGGACCGATGATTCTTTCTCTTTCGTACGGCGTAGTGGTCCCGTGATCAGAAATTGTGCACAAAATGTGCATGGCACGTATGCCTGCTGACATCAGCGAGTTATGCACGGGCCTCGGCGGGCGAATCGATCCATGGATTCCCCCCAACCTTTCATTGCATTGCATTGCATTCCATCCCATCCATCTCACTCGCCTCTCTTTGTCCGTCCACGTAGCCTGGATACTTGGTTTCATCTGCTCGTCCCCTCGTGTTCCTCCCCACAGGCCAATTCCCCAAGAGTCTCGGCACGATCTGATCTCGCAAACCAACTCCGCAACGGAGTAAAAAGAATCCGCCTGTGTAACCAACAATCGGCCCTTCCGCTCTTTCTCGGAAATTATTCTCTCGCTATTCCCTGACCCTAGGATTGCTTCCTGTGCGATACCGGCTCTTTTCCCCGCAAGAATCTCCTTGATATTAGCCGAATATGCCTCTGTGGCGGACGAAATCCAACCATAGCCAGACCCCCAGCGAGTCCGACCCCAAGAACGACCCGGTTGCGTCGGCTTCCCAGGCCGCGGGGACAGCATGGCTGGCCGGTCACCCCAACCATCTGACTGAGGAGCAAGAGAAGGGCCTGCAGGACTTCAAGAAACTGTGCCAAGACAATGGATACTACCAGGCCGACGCGGGGGAGGGAAAACCTAGCCATGAGGATGCGACGCTGCTGTATGTTTGACCGATACCTCTGCCATCGGGTTGGGAGCTGTGTTGGGCGGTTCCGCGGACTGCCGGTGTATACATGGAGGGGTTTGTTTACTGTGCTAATGCGACGGCGCACGGACTATAGGCGGTTCCTCCGCGCGCGCAAGTTCGATCTAGACGGCGCCTGGAACCAGTTCAAGGACACCGAGGACTGGCGCAAGGAGAATGCGATCGAGTCGCTGTATGAGAACATCGATGTGGATTCGTACGAGGCAGCGAGGCGGATGGTAAGCTTGCTTCTTGCGAATTGCGAATTACATCGCCGCGATCGATGGCTGACGGATTGATCTGCTAGTACCCCCAGTGGACGGGTCGTCGCGATAAGCGTGGCATCCCCATCTATGTGTTCGAGATCAAGCACTTGGATAACAAGAACATGGCCGAGTACATGTCCACCATGAACTCCTCCACCGCGACGGCGGAAACCCACCAATCCTCCAAGGTGCCGCAGCGCTTGCTGCGCCTGTTCGCTCTCTACGAGAACCTGCTGAACTTCGTCATGCCCATGTGCACCCGCTTGTCGCGACCAAACCCCGAAGCTCCCATTGTGACTTCGACCAACATCGTTGACGTGAGCGGCGTCGGTTTGAAGCAGTTCTGGAACTTGAAGGGACACATGCAGGATGCTAGTGTACTTGCGACGGCGCATTACCCTGAGACCCTGGATCGAATCTTTGTATGCCCTTTTCCTACTGCTCGTCAAATGGCCGCTCCCCGATCGAGTATTCTCTAATCTGACTCGCATTTTAAGATCATTGGCGCACCGGCTTTCTTCCCTACCGTCTGGGGCTGGATCAAGCGCTGGTTCGACCCGGGCACCACCTCTAAGATCTTCATCCTCTCCGCTGCCGAGGTCAAGCCTACTCTCACCTCATTCATGGACCCGGCCAGCATCCCCAAGCAATACGGCGGCGACCTCGACTGGAAATGGAATGACATGCCCAACCTGGACGAGCCTGCCCGCGAGCTCCTCAGCCCTCTGGAAACGCCCCCTGCCGAGGGAGAAACCAAGCCCTCGCTCCTAAAGGGACCGGTCCTATTCAAGGGCGACCACATCGAAGTCCTTGGCAAAGCCAACGGAGAAAGCCGCAAGTCGGACATCCCCGTGCCCAGTCCATCCGGCTCCGCCCCGCCCGCGGCCCCGGCTCAGGACGAAAAGACCGACCAGGAAAAGCCGCAATCGAATGATTCCCCCGCGGAGAAACCCGCAGAGACCACGGACGGCACCACGACGGAGAACGAAAAAGTGAGTGTGGACGACATCGGTGCGGAAAAGCTTGCTAATGGGGGTGTTACGGCTCCGACGCAGACGGTTTCTGCTTAGGGTATCTTTTTTTCTTTTTCCATTCTCTTTCTCTCGACCTTTTATTTTCCTCATATATATGTCCTCTCCTCTCTCTTCTTTTCTTCATTCGATGAAACCGGTATGGATATCCATCTTGGCTTTGGCTTTACTGGAAACACCATTCCATCCCCATCCATCTTAACTACTTACTTACCTACCCCTTTCCCTCTAAATACCTGATCTGCATGCATACGCATAAAAAAGAAGGAAAAGCCACGGCGAGTCCTTTGTTGGTTTATCTTATATATTCACCCCCTGTTTATTTCGGTTTTTACGTGTCTCTTTCTCTTTTTTTCCCTCCCGGTTGAACATTTAGAACTCCCGGTCTGCTTTATATATTTGCTTTTGTCTCTGTGATTCCATACCTCCCCTGCAACCTCTGGGGTGATATACATATACATACAGGCTTCCTAGATCAAGATCTATTAATTCATTAGACGTGGGCTGTTGTGTTTCTTGTGTCTTACTTGGTTCGTTAGTTGTTTCGTTTTAGGAGTAGTTTAGAGAGTATTGGCTCCATGTTCAAGAAGAGAACTCCTTCGATTTAGTAACCCAACCCGGGAGTATATATCCTATTACCAGTATTCATACGAACGGAGAGCAAGACGTTTATGTATTTGTTCACGTAATTCTTTATGTATTTATCCTACAACATTCAATCGCTTTGAAAAAATTACCCCAACAGGATCATAGATTGCTGAAAAGAAAGAGGAAAAAAGGGGTTGAGGATACATTAGCCGGTCCTCCAGAGCTGGTTGATTTGCTTTGATCGGACCTAGTACATTCCATTCGTTAGTAGAGTTCCAACACCGAAGAGGTTCGAGAAGGGAGGGCTTACCATCGGCGACAGAATTACCACACCCACGGTCAACGCCACAATGGTCAAAAGCAACTGCGCCTTGGAGAAGCTCTTGCCGAGGACGTCGAACGCTTGGCTGGGCGTGGCACGCGTGCCGTAGATGTCTCCGCCAAATGCGAAGATCAGGCTCGTACTCTCGAGCAAGGTGGGTTTGGAGAGCACGGTCGTGAGGCCGGCGACGTGGCGCGAGTGCGACAGGTACCATTTGCCGTCGAATTCGAGGGAGGGGTTGTATCGGAAGAGGCCTTCTTCGGCCTCGACGGGGGTCGGGTCGCGGGCGACGGGACGGCGAGGGTCCAGGACGGGACGGGGGATGCCGATGAGGGAGTTGGTGGCGGGGAGGGTGCAGAGGAGTTGGCGGGTGGTGATGCCCTGGCGGGTCTGGGTGACGGCCATGTGGGAGATGGGCTCGGGGATGACGAAGGCTTGCGAGACGACGTGGGGAAGGGGCAGGTCGGTGCTGGAGTAGTTGGATGCGGAGCCGAGGTCGCCACGGTCGTTGGAGATGGGGGATTCGTAGAGCTCCGAGACGATGAGCTGGTAGCCCTTGGCGTCGGAGGCGTCGGAGAGGTCGCCCCAGAAGGAGTAGGCGAACCAGTTCTCGGAGATGGTGGAGGCGATGGGCTGCGTGGTGTCGACGGCGTCTTGCGTGGTGGTGTACAGGATCCGGCCGGTGATGGCGTCCAGCAGGTAGAAGCTGGCCGAGTTCTTGCCCACGGCCGTCATGAGGGCCAGGTTCGGGTTCAAGTACTTGTAGAGGACCGATCGGTTACCCAGGACCTTGCCAATTGAGGCGACGGGGTCATGAGCAGGCCGAGCAGTCGCGTGAACGATCTTCTGGCCGGCTGCGGGCAGGAACTCCCAGACGGGGACCTTATTGTCCTCGGTGCTCCATCCAAGGACTCGACCATCATCGCTCAGGGTCACGAAAAAGCCCGGGCGATCCACCGATCTCACAGGCGCGCCGTTCTCCTGAATACCGATGGTGAAGGGGGCGACTTCATCGTTGACGATGGCAATGGAGCGGATCTTGGTGCTAGCTGGCGAGCGGTCGATGATGCCCCCGGAAGTGACATTCAACTTGACGGAACTACCATCGTCGGCGTAGACGGTGGCAAAGCCGGGCTGGGTGACGATTGCCTTGACATTCCAGGATTCCGCATCGACGGCCTTCACGCTCCACGAAACAGAGCCGTGGTTACCGGTGTCGAGGGCATAGACTCGCCCATTCTCGGTGGCGACGATGATGGGCTTGGAAAGCCCGAATCCGTCGAGGTTCGAGACTTCGTCAGTCAAGAAGCTGGTGAGAACGCGCTTGGGCAGCTCCTTCAGCCAGTCGGGGAGATACTGAAGGTCCTTGGCGTGACGCTTGACACGGTGCACGTATGCCCCGTAAAGGCTCTCATGGCCCTCGACTTCGAGCTGGTGGACGAGATCCTCCTTGCTGTCAGTTTCAGCCCATTGGGCAGCCAAAGCCCCGAACAGAGCCTCATATCGCGTCCATTCGGTCTGACCGTTGCGGATCAATTGCCAGTCGCCCGACGCCAAAACGGCTGCCGACCGGACGGCGACAGAGTCACCTTTCGCAACCACCTCAGAAGCCGCATAGACCGCTGGCTCGGTGGGGCGCGACTGCAACGGCCATCTGCCCAGGATTCCATGGGAAGCAGACGAAACAACGGAAGCCTCCGAGGGCGTGATGCGAGTGAAGTAAACATTGGCATCCTTGTTGCTGGTCGCGAAAACGGACCATCCGGGAAGGCGAGGGAGGCTGTAAGCCTTGGACACTGCGCCCGATTTCAGATCAACGTGGTAAACCTCAGCCCAGGAGCTGGAGTCGGTTTGGTAGTGAACCAGAAAATGGGACAGCGAGTTGAGCTTATTCGGAGCATGGACGGTGGCCGACCGGATTTCTTCGCCGCTCGTGTTATCGATGTTCAGCGAGCTCACCGACTTGGATCCGATCACATTGACCTTCAGCACCTTGCTTGCCTTATCAGTCCAGACAATCAAAGGAGCAGCCGTGTTGGAGCCCACGAAGAGGACGGCTTCCGGCCCGGTCACATCACCCTCCGAGTTCAGCGTCACCTGTTGCTTCTGCCGACCAGTCAATGGGTCCAGCGAAGTGACCTTGATTTTCGATCCCTTCAGCAGGCCCGATTGCAGCGAAATGTAGTAAACCTCGGTAGCGGAGGACGAGGCTTGGAAAGGAAGATCACCACTAGAACCAGCCGAAAACCGTCAGCAAAAATAGGGTAAAAAGAGAGAAGACCCATCTCCACGCAGGTCAAAAGCCATCGGAGCCGAACCTTTCATCTTTGTACTCCCACTTCACCTCTCCAGAGTCACCATCCAGCCTCCTAACAGTGCCAGACTTTCCGGCAAACAGCGCAATCGTGTCTTTCGTAGCCACCGCCGCACTGGCATCCTGCAGCTCCAACAGCTCCAGGTCAGCCACGGTCTCATGGGCAAACGAGTTCTCCCAGATCAATTTCCCATCCAGAGCACTCCACGACGAAAGGTAGTCACCGACGGCGCTGACCACGGCGTTCGTTCCGTCCGACGCACGCAGAAGACCCGAGGCGGCACCGTGATCGGCCCGCGAGACATTCTGTCTCCAGACGACGGAGCCATCGCGGGGATTGACGGCGCCGAGGAGCGACTTTTCCGACAGAGTGTAGAGCAGAGAGGCGTTGGAGGAGGTGGAGGGTTTCAGGAAGAAGGTCGACTGGGACGAGGGGGCGCCGAGCAATGCATGGTGGAAATCGACATGGTTGACCTCGTCGGGGTAGATGGCCCACGTCGAGGGCACGCACGAGGCGAGCAGAAGAAGCGCCGCCTGTAGCCGCATAGTTTAGGACCTCGAATGCAGATTGATCATGGAGGCGTGGGTTGGGTGGAGGATCGCAGCCGGGGAAGATGGTGATGCAGCTGTTAGTCTGGTGGAGCAGACCGCCTACTGCCCGCAGCCACTCACAGGCGTTTCTCAACTACAGTACTATGAAGATATCAGGTATCGGATTTTGATCTTATTTCTTTCTTCGTTGGTTTCCAAAGGAACTAGTTTTTACAATTTTGGCTAAAGTGCATCCCAACCCAGATCATATATACAAAGTGCAAGTCCAAATCTCAAGGGACTAGTAGTAAGTAGTAGTAGTCCCTTAGGCCTGGCCGAAACAGGCGGTGTTGGCCGCCTCCACCACTCGCTTTTCGCCCTCACTCATGTCGGGAGTGATCTCCCAGGGTTTGTTGCCCATACCCATGGCGCGCAGGCCCTCGGGGTTCACGGAGTCCCAGTCCAAGGCGCCCTTGAAACCCATTTCTCCGGGACCACCGGCACCCGGGAAATCCCAAGGAGGAGAGTAGTTCTGGGCTGCGCTGCGCTGCTTGAGCAGATACTCCACATTCATATCACACATGGGAGTGGCAGGGATGTAGAGCACGCTGGAGTCGCCCTGGCCGCGATGCTCCTTGTCCACCGAGTGCAAGGAGTCGCAGTGCCAGGCAACATAGTCACCGGGTTCAACCTCGGGGACAGACACCATGGTCGTCTCTAGATCTAGATGGGGATGCGTCACCGGGTTGTACTCCTGGCAGGTACCGGGGACAGCACCCGGGAAAGTCGCATCCATCAAAGGCTGCGACGACTGGGGATCAAAGAACGGGCGGAGAATGGTGTACGCGGTGCTGTGAGTCAGCATGGGACAAACGTGCAGGGAACCTTCGCCAGGCGCGGTGTTGGACATTGAGAGCCATCCCTGGAAGAATCTCAGCATCGAGCATGCTCCGGCGCCGTTGTACAGATCCATCTGCGCCGTAACGCGGTGCTTGACATCCCATGGATCGTACTCCTCCCATTTGCCCTCGAGGATCTTGGTGTACACTCGAGAGTATTCGGGATCTTCCCATCGCTCCAGCGAGCCACCGTCGATGTGTGGGCCCAGAGTGAACTTGGAGTCACCAGGCTCCCTGATACGAAGCCGGTCTGCATAGGTCAGAGGGTTTCTGGTGGAGATGGGCGTGCGTGGATCCGAAGAATGCCAAAGACGCTGCAGGAACCTTTGGGTGCCGAGCATGTTGGCATGGGCTCGTGCTTCCGCCTGCGGACGAGTCCAATACAGTTCATACACGGCCGGCGAATCGGGCGGGAAGGCTTTCACGCGCTCCTTGTTCGCAGCAACGTAGTCCTGGATGCGGTCCTTGTATTCACGAGCGACCTTCCGAGGCAAGACATTCCGGATCACCACGCTGCCGCGGTGACGGATCTCGGCGAGGACCTCGTCGGGCACCGTTCCGGATACAACATCTGCGTAGTTCACAGAAGGAATGATCTAAACATGGGTTAGTCACAGCGTGATCGTTGGGGACTATAAATCCAAAACAATTCCCTACTTACGTCGCTGCCTTTCGACTTGATCTTACCCACTTCCTCCTCCAGGCTCGGAAGAAGCCTCTTCCAGCTGTTTTTCAGAGCCTCTTCATTCTTGTAAAAGTACTCGGACTTCAGGTCCTTGAACCGAGGAGGCAAAGGCTCCGGCTTGTAGTCTGGCCTTAAACTGGGGAACACACTGGAGATATCCCCCGCAGCTTTCGTCGTCGGCGAGGCCGCCGTTGAAGCGGCGCGAACGGCCGGTTTCGAGAGGAATTTGGACATTGACATGATGGAATTATCCCAATTATTCTTGAGGAGTTGTCAAACATTCTCACCGGCCCTTCTCCAAGGCGCTGCGACTTTATATGTGTTGCTCAAGGGACGCTGGATCTATGCGGAGAAGTCGGGAAGCCCAATAGGGAAATCGGCCCGGTTTCCATAATAGGAAAGCTACCCGCTCACCAAAAAAGATCGCTAGAATCATGACGCAGCAGACGCGGTTCCTGAGCATTGAATTCGGCACTTGTTCCTGTTTCTTTCCTCCGTACGTGTGAACCGCATGGCCGGCTCCAGTGGTTCTCTGGGTAGCGAGAATCCATACTTCCAGGGCCGACCCTATAGCTGGTGTTAGATACATGAGCCAATCATTATCTCTGGATGCAGTGAGGCATTCAAAGGAAGATTGACGATCCAGATGAATCCACCGTCAGCCCGCGGGGTGGCTGAGCTGCATTTGCTGGTGGGGGAGACAAGCCAGCCAAGGTTGATGGTGGTCACCAGGTCTGACAGATCAGAGAGACAACTCATGGCGGTATATCCGTACTCCCTGCAATCTCCCTACAAACTCCGACGACCCTTTCGTACAGGATCCACGGACCCAGTCGGAGGTTCCATCGGCAATAGAAAACGGATCCCAGGATGTCGGGATATGTCCTTTGTATGCTGCGCCAAGCAAGGCCGGCCAATGGTCCAGATCCTCGAGGAGCATCCTGTCGCAGCCAGAGCTGATAAGAGAGCCAGTCGGCCCTGAACTCAGGTGTGATAGTATACGCAGTGCATACGAGCGTCGAGACGAGGGTCGGTCTTCTTTCCGTTCGGCCCACTTTCGAAGCTCATCCTCGGGTCAATGCAGCCCCGCGAATCTCCTCAATGATTGCCTCTTCCGGTTATTGGAGCCACGGCCTGCGTAACCTGCAGTCTCCCCGCGACGCTCTGATCACAGTCTGGGGGTGCCATAGTATGGACCCGGCTATAAAGGGGCCACGGAGCTGCCCAGCAGAGGCGGGTTGATCTCCTACCCATCCCACTGTCTCCCCACCATGTCGTTCTCCGTCAATGGAAGATCTGCAATCGTGACCGGCGCCGGTTCAGGTGCGTACATGATGACTAGAGCTCTACGGGATGCATACACCAAGCTAACCGAAACATGCAGGCATCAACCTGTCCTTCGCTAGACTGCTGCTCGAGAATGGATGCAACGTTCTCATCGCCGACCTGGCTCTTCGCCCCGAAGCAAAGGTAGTGGTCGACCGCTACTCGACCTCGGCCCCTCGAGCGGTCTTCCAGAAGACCGACGTGACCAGTTGGGAGCAATTGGAGAAGATGTTCGAGAGGGCCGAAAAGGAATTCGGAGAAATTGACGTGGTGTGTCCAGGAGCTGGGATCTACGAGCCGGTATGGCTGCTCCGCTGTTGATGCCCTCCAGAAACTACAATATCTGACCACGCACAGCACTGGACCAATTTCTGGCGTCCTCCCGGAACACCCGATAGTCGGGATGCGCAACACGGGGATCGATATGCCTTGTTGGATATCAACCTGACGCATCCCATCCGTACCACTCAGTTAGCGATTTCCCATTTCCTGCGTCACCGCACCAACGACCGGCGCAAACACATTGTGCATATTTCGAGCATCGCCGGCCAGAACCCCGCTCTGGCAGCGCCAATCTATGTAGCCACCAAACACGGCATCAATGGGCTGGTACGATCCATGGCCAAACTCGATCGGAAATTTGGGATTCGTGTCACCGCCGTAGCGCCCGGGGTGATCAAAACCCCCCTGTGGACGGATCACCCGGAGAAAATCAAGATCGTGGATGAGAACGCGGATGAATGGGTGACGGCCGACGAAGTAGCTCAAGTGATGCTCGCTCTTGTGCAACAAGACCGCGTTAGTGAGATCATTGGCGACCAATCGGGTCAGGGGCCCCAGTTCCTGGTCGGCGGAGGAACCGTGCTGGAGGTCTCCAAAACCGTGCGGTCAGTGAGTCCGTTCAACGATCCGGGACCCGCCGGTAGGGCTGGCAACACCGTGTCGGACATGAACGTGCTCGAGGACGAGGTATTTGGGTTGTTGACGCAGAAGGGATGGGGAGCGGCCAAACTATGAGACGGGGGCAGGGATGGGGGCAGGGATGGAGAGAGACGGTGTAGAAGTGGATACTCATGATTGCTGTTAGATAATGAGAAACGTTGCGACGTCTTGGCTTCTTTTGCGAATTAAAAGGGAGGGAATAACGGAAGTACAGAGGACCATTACTACAATAATAATGAGGACTGGGACCAGGAGGCGGAGGCCAGCGGCATAAATCGGGAACTCCGCCTTGCCACTTTAGAGATTAATTGTTCTCGTATCGCCTCCCCCAAAGCCGATCTTCCTGGCTGGCCTTATCTCCCTCCTCGTCTTTCTTTCCTCCCCTTTCCTCCCCCTTTCCCTTCCTTTGGCTTCCCTTTTCCTTCTTTCTATTTCTCTCTCCTCTCTCTCTTCCCCTCCTCTCCTTTCCACTCCTTCCTGGCTGCTTCGCTGGTTCGAGTGGCTATTATGTTAATCGCCGCCGTCGCAACTGGGCTCGGCTGATAACACTTTTTTTGGTCTCGTTGGTGACGTCGTGTGCCTCGACATCCCCCCACAATGCTGGACGATGAAGCGACCGTCGGGATTGGTCCCGCAGATGGAGTTCGCAGTGCTGCTCGAAGGTTTGTCTTTTTGCTTCCCCTGGCCCTTCGGGTTCGCTTTTCTGAGGTGGTCTTGTGACTAACGGAGGGGGATCTCGCAGGCGCGCAATCCGAGGAAAACGCGACTCTGGCCATGAAGGCCAGGCTAGTTGGATTAGCTGTGTGATTAATCTGGTCAATACAAGTGAGTCGTCACGATATCTGGCCTTTATCCGAATTTTGGCTGATACGATGGGGTTGCGTTAGTTATCGGCGCCGGTGTTCTTGCCATGCCGCTGGCTGTCTCCCATATGGGAATTGTCCTCGGAGTCTGCGTCGTTTTATGGTCGGGCGTGACGGCTGGATTTGGATTATACCTTCAGTCACGCTGTGCTCAATATTTGGATCGAGGGCAGGCTTCTTTCTTCGCTCTGTCCCAGATCACATACCCCAATGCCGCCGTCGTGTTCGATGCGGCAATCGCGATCAAATGTTTTGGCGTCGGAGTCAGCTATCTCATCATCATTGGCGATCTGATGCCGGGAGTCGTTCACGGCTTTTTTGGTGACTCCCCGGATTATGACTTTTTGGTCGATCGGCATTTTTGGGTGACGGCTTTCATGTACGCTGGCTTACCCCGGGTGATGAACAATCGGAGTATGCTAATGACTTTCTAGGCTGGTCGTCATCCCGCTTTCCTACCTCCGACGCTTGGATTCCCTTAAGTATACAAGTATTGCGGCGTTGGTTTCGATGGCCTACCTGGTGGTGTTGGTCGTTTATCATTTCGTGGTGGGAGACACATTGGCCGATAGAGGCCCTGTCCGAGTGGTTCACTGGGCAGGGTTGGTTCCAACCCTCAGCAGTCTCCCCGTTATCGTTTTCGCATTTACATGTCATCAAAACGTATGCCCCCAACGCCGACATTCAAAGCCCGCTTTCAGGATGACAGTCCGGCTAACACAAGAGATCAGATGTTTTCGATCTTGAACGAGATGGCCAATGCCAGCCACTTCAGGACAACCTCCGTCGTTTTTGCGAGCATTGGAAGCTCCGCTGCGACTTACATCCTCGTCGCAATTACTGGCTATCTATCCTATGGCGACAACATTGGCGGAAACATCGTGGGCATGTACTCTCCCGGACTTTGGGCCACGATCGGACGTGCGGCCATCGTCATGCTGGTCATGTTTTCATATCCTTTGCAATGCCACCCATGCCGCGCTTCCCTGGACGCAGTGCTGCGCTGGAGGCCCCAGCCATCATCGAATGGCAACGACGGGTCCCCTCATCGACACCCTCTGTTGGGCCCGCGGGGTAACCGACAGCCGGAGCCCATGAGCGATCTCCGTTTTTCCGTCATCACCACGACGATTCTCGTCTTGAGTTACATTGTCGCAATGACCGTGTCCTCGCTCCAGGCGGTGCTGGCCTACGTCGGTAGCACGGGTAGCACCAGCATCAGCTTCATTCTTCCGGGGTTGTTTTACTACAAGATCTCCGCTCCCGATTCTCCCACTCATCAGCGACTCATGAAGGAAGACGACGAAGCCGCAGAAGACATCTTTTCCGATGATGACGACAGCGATGATGACGACACCGGCGCTCAAAACCATCCCCTCTCCGATAGCGGCATCCTCCGACTTGGAATTCGCCACTGGCGCCGGTCCTTGCTGCGGAAACTCAGTCTCGCTCTCGCCATCTACGGTTTGGTCGTCATGATTGTGTGCTTGATCACCAATTCCCTCTTCATCGCTTCGCATTAAGCCGCCTTCTGAATCTAGACTCCATATATCGGACATAAACCCCAGATATATTATTACCTTGACAACCCACCCGAAAGACAACACGACAGACCCCCAATACGTTCCGCTTTCCCACCACCTCCATCACCATATTATCTTTCTCCACAGATTTCACTTTTAGACTGAACACAGAGTTCTATTGTTACGATCAGAGCATTTGAGATTCTTGAAATACCTCTATACCATTGTACTGGCGTTGGGGGAGATCTTCTTGTCTCGTTATTTGGTATCTTTCTGCTTTATCACCATTCATTATTTATTTCCTTTATTTTATTTTATCTGGCCCTGCTTTGGCATAAACCAGCTTCTTTTCTAGCCCGTCTTGGTCTTTCTCTCATAGTTTATTGACATTGATTGTGTTGGTTTTTATTTCTGTACTTAGGTTAAGTTAGGCGTTGGATTCTCGTTATGGTCTTTCTATCCTTGAGGTATTCGACTTGATATTATTGGAATAGATGCTTTCCGTCTGAATTGCTTCGCTTAAGAATTGCAGATTTAGATTAGGAATCCGGGTCTTAACTTTCTTTTGAATTACGAAGCGCTGTGCGAACCCTCAATTAAGTTTCTAAGGAACCGTAATTAGACTCAGCGCATGACATGAGTTCGAACTCAAATAATAAGCAGCGATAGTAATCAAGAGTGGACGATGTGTGATGATAAAGGCAGCGCTACAAGTAATGAAAAACACGAGAACAAAGAACCACGAAACGTATGAGACAACCAGGCCAGGAAAAAAGCACGATAGTAATCGGAGTCGAATGAAGAAAAAAAAGAAAAAGCAGAAAAGGAAGGATCTTATCAAAACGCCTCCCGGGCAAACCGTCTGTCAATCAAGTTTCGGGCCCCGTACCAAACGGACAAAGCACACTGGCCACTGGCTAGGGATTCCACATTCGCATGAGGCTGATTGATGTCGTATTTTCCTTCCGAATTTGGGTGGGAGATCGATATCCATTCACGATCCATTTATCTTCTCTGGACCTGCCAGTCCCGCAACTCTAGTTGTTCTGCTGGTTGTTCAAGATGCGCAGAATAGCCAGGAACAGGTTCAGAATATCCAGGTAGAGCGAGATCGAGGCAGCAATCTCCTCCTCGACGTGATAATGCCGCATGACCATCTGCGTATCGACCAGGATATACGCGGAGAACAGCAGCGCCGCGAGACCGCTGTAGATCAGCTCGGTGGTCTTGCTGTGCATCAGCATGGCCATGAGGCCGAACATGAACAGGAACAGCAGGCCGCCGAACAGGTAGGGGATCCAGCTGGTGAAGTCGTATTTGGTCTGGCAGGCGAAGAGGGTCAGGGCGACGAATATGCCCAGGGTCAGGATGAGGGCCTGCACGACGATGCGGGCGTCGTAGAACGAGGTGACGACGCTGACGGAGTAGGCTTCGAGGACGGTGAAGCCGGTCAGGAACAGGAGGTTCGCCGGGTAGCTTTTGCGCTTCCAGAAGGTGGCGAGCATGAAGCCGATGGCGCCGAAGACGGACACGAACATGAGCCATGGGTGCGATTGGATCCAGGTGCGGTAGCCGTCGCTGAAGAAGGAGATGGAGCTCATGATCGTCGTGAGCAGGAGCTGCGCCGTTCTGGGGTTATTTGGTTCTCGCGTTAGTTGCTTGGTCTTGGTTTATTGCGATTCAGAGTTTCGCGCCTTTAGGCAGTGAAACTGGCTATATATTGAGGACAGAGCACTTACAAAATCGCATAGACCTTCCGGATAAACTGCATACGGATGGGCAGGGTGCCCTCCGCAACCATACCGCCGAACTATACATTCGCATCAGCACATCTCACTCCTTATGGTGTCCCAGAAAGCACCTAGAGCCATGCAAAAAGCTACCACGAACCTTGAAGTCATCGGGAACATTGTCGTCCTCGCTGCGAGGTTGCGCGTAGTCGGCGGTTGCCTGATAAGAAGGCGGGGGCTGGGGGTATGCCCGCTCCTCAAAGGAGTCCCGTTGAGGAGCTGGCTCGTATCTGGTATTCGCAGCCATTCTGCTGTGGTGCACACTGCGCGTTCGTCAATCGGGATGAAACTCGAGTCTGAGGCGAGTCACTCACGGGTTTGGTGATGGAATGAAGGTAAATTGCCAGGGGAAGAAGGCGGCGTTGATGCGAGGCGCTTCTAGAAACGTGACGTCGGGTGAGATCACATGATGGTCCTGTCAGTTGGTGCCTGGCAATTAAGGCATGAATCATCCGAGGTGGTGAATACGAATACGAGCTGAAAGAAAGCCATGGACTGTCTAAAATGAATTCAATCGTTTATAAGTTTTTAGCCCCATTATAGTATTTATTCTAAGCCTCCCAAAATATGTACTCATAAGTAAGGTGTTCAAATATAGTCTCATGTCCCGAAATCTCTCTCAATATATCGCCAATCCATATATCCCAAAACTAATCTCTATCTGAAGATGTTCTAGGAGACCCGCGCGACGGGCCCTCCTCATCTATAACATCATTTGCATCTGTATAAGGCCTCGAATCTCCAGGGTAGTCATCGTCATCGCTGGAGTCATCAGGGCTCTCCCCGGGACCATGCGACACACTAGCAACAGCCATCTGATCCGGACGCTTTCGGCGCTCGAAATCTTGCGCGTGCGCTGAAGCCAGGATCGTTCCGACGCGCGACATTCCGCGAGCGCGCATCGAGGCGCCGGGAGTTGACGGAGTGCCGTGCTCAACGTCGGCCGGGGCGGACTGCGCCGTGGCGGTCTCTGGTTCGTGCAGCTGCAGTTCGGCGGTGTGGTCGGCTTCAGCCTGCGGAGAAGCTACCTCGTAGGGCAGAGGCACGTCCCTCGACGCTCGGAATAGAAGAACATTTGTGCAATGCTCATTCTCCACACGGAATATGGTCCAGACACCGCGCCGGCAGATCTCACTGAAGGAAACGGCAAAGCTCAAGACCGCCGAGTGCTGGATGTCGTGGGCGAATATGGCGTAGAAGATCCAGTTGAAACGCACGATGACATCGATGGCCATGGCGGCATAGTAAACCCAAGCTTTCCGGAAGGCTAAAGCGTCGCGCAAAAGCGGGTTCCTAGCGTACGGATTCCCTAAACTCCAGTCCATGGCCAAGTCCCAAACGGAGGTATAAACCGCATTCAGCAGGGCGAAGGTGATGAATGGGGCTTCGAACCGCGTGACCTTGTCAATGCGGTACATGCTCAGAGTGGCGTAGTAAAGCACGCCAAACATATATTTCCCAAAATTGAGCAGGTGAGGGAAGACGTTTTTCGTATCTGCATAACGACGGAGGCATTGTAGGGCACGCAGTATGGATGGAATGCAGGTGAAAAAACCTAATAGTCTGGAGTGGGACGAATTGCACTGTGGAGCATTCGACCAATGTTTGGCGTATAGACAGAAAAAGAGAGCAATGTTCTGGGATGAGTCAGTCACTGCTTCTTCAGCATGTCCTTGATCAACTTACGCCCATAGCATACGTTTGGGAGCAGTACATGTCTCCCAGGAAGAAATCTCGGAACTCGACAGGGTAGAATCCAGCAAGTGCAAGTCGCCACTAGTTCATTGTTAGCCACATGTTCTTAATAGAAGGGGAGTCATGACGAACGTTGGAATATGCCCACCACTTTCGACTTCGGTGGTATAGTACGCGGGCCGGCAGGAAAAGAACAATCACTGTAATGGCCACAAGCACAACTGGCCAGTAAACATACATGGCGTTGACCGATAGAAAGTTTAGCCACATAAATAATCCGAGTATAAACATGAAAAAGCAAGGTAACTGATTCAGAGTTAGAAAGGAACGGGACAAAAAGTTCGAAGGGAACGACCATACCTCCGATAATTGACGCCAATCTAGAGCGTGTCTAGTGTCATATTCAAAAACGAAAACATAATTTATCTTAGTCTTTGTCCAGACTAAACAATCTAAACAGAATAGTAAAAAGTGGAAGACGACAAGGAAATAGCCACCGTATATCTGCGAGACTTCTTAGCCTGAAACGCATAGGAGAATTACATGCATAAGGAGATGCAACTCACCTGCATCAGGTAGCTAGTGTGGGCCTGTACCTCAGGGTCCGAATGACGGAGATGCTGGGCAGCGTACACCAATGACTGAATGGCGAACAGAATTCCCGCCATCAGCAGAATGCCAGAGAGGAAAGTATTCGACGAATAGTCCCCGAACTTCGAGACAGTATGGCGAAGCTTTGATGCGGCCAGCTTTCGGTTGCCGCGTTCGAAATATCGCGCATACAGATCCTCGGTTGCGGACATCAGATTCTCAATCACCTCGCTCTGGACAAACCACGCCTTGTTGACCTTCTCCGACATGTACCGCATCGTCGGACGAGCGTTAGCAACCTTGTCGTACTTCTTGTTGATTTTTCGGAAAGCAGTTCTATTCAGGTAGGCATATGCCTTCAACAGCTCGATGCCGCGATAAAACTCTTGTAGGGCGTATTTCAATTTCCTCTTCGCAACGCGATACGGAACCTCCATATTCGACAGATCGTCCGGCCGGCGGCTAAAGTCCCTGCGGCTCTGGGAAACATTTTGATCTTGCGCCTGGAGTCCCGGGGTCGCCATCTCCGCCAACGCTTTGGAGTTCTTCCCGATACGACGCCCTGTGAACGCATCCTTCAATCGAGAGCCGCTGAACCCACCGAATCCGTTCGACGGAGCCGAGTCTCCATCCGGTACCCGGGACGATTTCGTGCCCAAGACTTCCTGGATCCGCTGGTCTCGCATGATGTGGAGTTGCTGGCGGAGGACGTGCAAGCGCTGAGTGGCCTCCTCTTCTTTCATCTGATAGAAGGACTCGATCTTGGAGAATTCGCCGTCCAGGAAGGCAAAGAACTCATCCTGCCGGTGTTCAATCTCCGACAGCTGCTGGGTTTCCTGGGCCCGCTTCTCCGGAGAGTCCCAATCGGGGTGCGAGAAGACTCGTTTGAGAAGCTGGGAGGTCCTCTTCGCCGACGGACTCGACACCGTGTTTCTCCTGTATCCCTTTCCAGAGGTCGACTGTCTCGCCAAGGGGCTTGCATTGGAGACGTCCGCGGGCACAGTTCGGGTACTCGCATTCCTGGACATGACCGGGGATGGCGACTGGGGAACGTGCAGATGGTGGTCGTCTCCGTCCGGCATGAACTCGTGCTCCTTGGGATCGAGCGCCGGGTCTGGCAGCTCGAGGGACGCCACATCGGACGAGGCGGGTTGGTGGGGTGGCGTTGCGATTATACTTCCATAACTTCCCACTGCGGCGGAGAACCGAGAGCCCGCGTTCCGCAACGGTTGGCGTTCATTTCGAGCACGAGGGGTAGGGATTGAACGGGAGGTGAGCGCGCCGCTTCGGGCTGGAGTCGAGGGATTGTTGATCGAGTCGGTGGCATCGGGTCTTCTATCGGAGGGGGTGCGATCGCGACCGCTGGGAGAAGCGAATGAGGCATCATCGGGACCGGAGATGACACGTCGAAGCGACGGATGGCTGGGATTTCGATTGGATTTTTGGATGGCCCGCGAGATGGCCTTTAGTTTCTTTTTCCCTGCCTGCAATCATGACGGGGGAGACGGTTAGCGGAGATGGAAGGGATATGGACATCGAGCTAAAGACGCCGGCGGAGTATAGAACGAGACGAGCGACGAGAACTGACCTTGTAGTCCAGGTACTTGGCACGCCATTCTGGAACTAGCTCCTGTTCCAATTCTCTGTAGAATGCCCAAGATTAGCCCTCATGCACACTGTGAAACCTGGCGGCGAAAACTGGGCGTGACTGACTTGGCGAATTTCATCCTGCGGAGGGAATGTGAGCGGGCATGATAGTAAGGAGAACAAAAGTGGCGGCCACGAGGGTATAGGTCGAAAAACCAATTAATCCCTCAGCGATCGAGCGGCCCAAACGAGCGAATCTTCCAGGAATTTTTTATGGTTCTTTCTCTAAGATCTGGTTCAGTCGAGTCTAGGCTGTTGCTGCTCCTCTCCTAGTTATAACCGCCGAGCAGCAGACAGCCGGAGGAGGTGGAGTCTAGGAACATCTGGTACCCAAGGGAAAAAAAGAAAAGGGCAAAAAAAAAAAAAAAAAAGGAAAAAGAAAAAAAGAAAATACAAAATGGAAAAAAAAAGGAAGCCAAGAAAAGCAAAAATCAAATAATGATCGGAGGAGAGCCCCTCTCACGCAACAAAGGAAAAAGTCGAAGGTCGGGTTCTGCCCAAGAGGCGAGCATCATCGATCGGTGTCATACACCGACGATCCGTCGACTGCAGGCAGTAAGGACCTTCGGACCTATCGAGCCAATAGTACCGGGTCGCCCTGCGCGGGTGCCCTCCTCACCGATGTTTTGATTGGGCCGGGAGGGAGCACGTGCTGGGCGCCCGACGCTCATTTGCACGTTCGGTTTGCCTTGCGCGTCGCCGCCTGCCCTGGTTGGCTGGCATGCCGGATTAACTTTCTTGCCGGCCGATGGCGGCTTGGCCTCGGCCAGTGGCGGGCGCGGAAAGCCACCCTTGGAGCGGGAGCCCCTTGTCAGTTGTCAGTCATCCACACAGTAGGAATAAATAGGAATAAACAAATCCATCCCCCAAAAAGCAAAAATAAATAAACACCCAATCCCGGCGCCGCTTCCCTCCTTATCTTCCCGGCTCGAGAGGTCGGGAAGGTTCAGCCCTACCCCCCTCGCGAACTCTTGCATCGGCGGGCAGACTTACATGCAGCCGGATTGCTCCGTGCCCCGTCGTCAGCCCTCTGAAATTCACGGATCATCCTGAATGTTGCTCTTGGGACCTCTCACATAACTGGCGCGTGCCAAGCCCCAAGGCATCCGACCCGCGAATGGCAGGGCGTCTCCTATTTGTTTGGGATCTGGCCTGAGGCCTCCGAGATTTATTGCCTGCACCCTGGCCCCGGCCCTCCCCACCCTGTGCGACCAGCCCTGGAGAAAAGACCACATGTGCATGGATGCAGGGTCTATCTATATACGAGACGCCCCTACGAGGTTCTGATACCAAGATACCAATAACCAATATCACGTCGTGTTGGAAGAACATCAGTTGGAAATTCAATTCAATTCAATTCAATTCATTGGAAATACAGTCGTCATCACATTGCATATCTCTCAAGCCCCAACCAGCATACCATCCGCAGGACATAGTTTACCAGCGGCTGAAGCTCTCGTGGCGCTCATAGCGGGAAGGGTCGTACTGATCAGCACCGTGACCCTGGACGTAGTGCTCGTCATACATCTGGTGCGCATTCTTCTTGGCGTGCTCGTGGGCCTTGATCTTGTCGACCTGGTCCATGCCCTTGGTCTCGGCGAGCTTGTCGACCTCGGCGCCGACAAGGCCGGCGAGGGCCTCCTTAGCGAAAGCGTGGCTGACGGGCTTGCCTGTTGCGACGAGAATGGTCAGAGGGACTGATGTCACGGAAAAAGCAAAGAGCCAAAAAAGCAAGATGTCAAGACATACCCTCCTTGCGCTGGTGGTCCTCCCAGGACTTCATACCGGCGAAAGACGCGGCACCGGCAATGAGCTCGTGAGAGAGGTGGCTCTCGTGGCGGCCCTCCTGGACGTCACGGTGAGCGTTCTCGGATTCACCTAAATACTAGTGGTCAGCCATTGGAATTCATTTGATTCTCGACCAGCTTATGGCTTGATACGAGAGAAGTGAGGCATATCAGAGACTAAAGGGGTCTCGTGACGGGCAACACCGGGAGGGAGGAAGGGAGAAAGCTGAACATACCCCAGCCCCAAGCCATGATGATTATAATATGAAGGTTTGGAAAAAAAAGAAAAAAGTTTAAGAGAGAGAAGAGAGTGTTTGGAGGAGAGTGTGGAAGTTGTTGATGAAGAAAGTCTCGAGAAGAGGGGATTGAGAGGCTTATTATAACCTCAAGATCCGAGGGAGGGGTACCTCAACCTCGAGTCTTCAAGCTATCGTTGCCCCTCCATACACTCACTTTGCCCCACCGTCTACTAATCTCGTGGAATTGTCTCTAGGACCTTCTGGGTAAAAGCGGTGCTAGCTATGCCCACCGAGTCTACGAGTGGATCGCCGGAAAAGCAGATCGAGTGGCCATCGTCGCTCGGAGACTGCCACGTTACCCAGAATAACCCCGAAAAGACGGAATGCCTTCGAAAGTGATCGCCGATTCAGAGTGTTTGGATATGGAGATGTTTCTCCAGCCGCGGCATCACCGAAGAGGGGAGGCCCCAGGATGATTAGCTTTACTGGCCGCCACTCGCTTCGTTGGTTCCAACATTTAGTCCTACGCGATGTCACAGCCACGGCCCAATCATGGTGGCATTTCAAGTCGTTCTGATGAGGGGAAGGAAGGAGGGAGGGTTGAAACCAATGGTGTATCACGACGGGCAAATAACGATGTCCGAGTGCTCGGGACTACGCAACTTCTCGTATCCGGAGTATGGAAGGGCGAAGAGAGCGAGAGAACGAGAGACCCATCCTGCGGGAATCGCTTGCCCGTCAAAAATGCGCTCAGATGATCGGTCTGTACGGTCGTATTGTGTAATGGTTTTGAGATTATTATTTATTAATTGACTCGAAATCGTGGGCGATGATCGTACGTACGTGTCCCGTACCTTCCAGGAGCAGTGCTGATCCGCTGGGATCCGCCGATGGGCGAATGGAGCCCTCAGCCTTACTCCATTTCGGCGGTGGATCTCGCCGCGAGGAAATGAGTGGACGACGCCCCATTCAGCCACAAGTGCTGTGGTGTGACGAGCCGACTCAGCCGAGCCACTTGGTCGCCAAGCTTCTCTTGTCCAAGGCTTGTCTACCGCCCTATAGCCCTACCGATACGCCAGGCGTGGTGATGGCGCTTTCGATCAATTTCCATCAATCGCCCTGGATCATTCGAAAGGATGTTCAGGAGACCACGACTGTGTTTTGGCTCGAGGCAAACGCAGTCAGCGTCCCTCTGGTCCCGAAGGGGATCTGTTTCATTTCCCTGGGCCAATGCTAATTCCGATCCTATTTTGGGCCATCCGAGTGGAGAGCGACGTCGGGTTATGTTTGGCTCTGCCCCCCTGAAACCCCCACCGCGAGGACCGGCGAAAGTGAGAAAGTAAACACTAAACAATAACAGTGACCATACTGCGTAAGGTACGAGTCTGGTCCCTAGGTAACGCCTTGGGCAGTGGACTCCATCGTGCTGGACCACTGCGACCTCAGACAGTGGCGGTGAGCAACGTTCAGGCAGCCATTTTCCCTTATCGGGGACGACTTGTGGCTGAAGCTGCAGTGGAGCAATAGCAAGTGGTCACTCTCCTGCCGTCCTCCATCTGCACGCTGTAAGGTCCGACGGTGGAGGTCTGCGTCTGACAGATCGAGTAAGCCTCTGCATTCCGGTCCCTTCTCCCGACTCCTTTGGGTTAGTCGACGGAGGAAAGGAGGCATTTATGACATAGCACTTCTATGTATAACTACTAGTGTAATCTCTGGGTGGAGACCAGGGAGAGTCCCCAGCGCTGCATTGCATTGCATCGTCACGGATCCATCCTCCGTATTCGACATGGTCCAATTTGGAAAGACGCATCGGTGGCTTGCCTCGGGCGCACCAGGGACCGGGTAGATTCCGACTCCCTACGTAATGGGCTCTGCAGTCTGTACACTTCACTCTTTGAAGTGGACGATCTCAAACAAACGCCATCATCGTGGGAGGCGTACCTACCTACTACGGAGTAGGGAGTAAGCTTTGTGCCAGGAGGTCTATAGTTACCCCCTGCATAGCAATGATTCATCCGTTCAACCCCTTAATGGCGGAGTCTGTGCAGCTTCCCTTTGCCCCAGCTTTGCATAGGGATGCGTTAGCACGCAGCTCCCTTGTTCAACCTTAAGCATCTTAAATCCACGACTGCATCATCTCAAGACTGGTCTTATCAGTGTTTCTCAAAGCGCCGTACGTTCTGCAGTTATACCATCAAGCCATCGAGATGTATCCAGGCATCTCCAGGATATTGGTCGTTAACCCAATCTCAGGGTGACACAGAACGCAATGCAAGGTCATGGTCGATAAACCAACCGAGAAGAAATGCATTTGCCATTTCAGGTGTTACTCCGGAGTAATACTACTGTTTCATGCACCTTTGATCATCAACGCGACTGGCTGTTCGGGTGGTTATCAGAAGGACCAGCGAATGTTTCCATCTTTGACTGCAAAAGTATCCGTCATGGTCTGGACCAGCACATTCCAATTTAATGCTAATACGTCACTGTGCTATTGGCATGTACGGGGCAGTATGGTGTTTCAGCTTGATTGTCGGTGATTCGGTGAGGTACTCTGACAGACTGGTAAGTATTTGGGAGTGATGGCCAGCCGGGTAGCATCCCTGTGGAACGGAGCAATGCGAGTTTCCTGGAAGCAATCGCCTGGACATAGTATTCAGAATACTTGGCCTTTCGTAGCGAATTCGTATGTAGCTGAAATACTCTCAGCTAGCTCAGAGATCTGATCTAAGAGCGTGTGCAATGAAGTGGTATAGTGGCATCTGTAGTGAGAATCGAGATATATGGATTCAATGTATCGGCCAAAATAAATGGCTGGAACGAGCCTGCCGAGCAACATTCAGGTGGAGGGTAGTAATAGACATTTGATGTGTTTGATTCGTTTTGTCGACCTGTAAAGCTACTATTGGCGCAGCTTCCAAAATATATAAGCTATGTCAGACATAGCCAGCTCTCATCAACAGGACAAAATATCAACAACATGCTGAGCAATCTGTGGTTTTAGATGAAAGACTGTATCATTGGTAAATGCCAAATTTACATTAAGACCTGAACAACATGGCCTACGAGAGAAAAAGATAGGAAGAGAAGAGAGCAGACCGAGGCAGCTGTAGATGCGGCGGGGACTAACCCGAATCGGCACGAATAAATTCCGCCCTCAGAATTCAATGCTTTGACAGTCGACCTTGAAAGATATCCCCGGCCTGATTTGACTCTCTCTACATCTCCAATCGGTCTCAAACACCACTACCAATCAAACTTTCCTCTTACTATCCTCTGCCAAACTTCAACCTTCCTCCGGAGCAGCTCTATCCATACCTCCGATCTAACTCTTACCCACTACATCAATTACACCTCAGCAACACCCTTACCAACCGACCACCAACAACTCCATTCACTCAACCACGAAAAACCCACCATGCCGACCAAAACGCCCTCCCAATCCGACTTCCCCTCACACCTCACCCTCACCCTGACCCCTCCCCCGCCATCCACATCCACATCCACATCCACCTCCTCAACACGCCCCCCTCCGAACGTCCTAATCCTCCTGCACGGCCTCGGCGACTCCGCCCCCGCATTCACCAATTTCGCGCGCGCCCTCAACCTCCCGGAGGCCCTCATCCTGACGCTCCAAGCCCCCTCCCGCCTCCCCCTCGACCTCCCGGGTTTCCACTGGGGCGACGACATCTCATTCGACACCAGCACGGGCGGACTAGACATGGACGCGGGGTTCGCGCGGGCCACAAAGACACTAGTGCACGAGGTGGTGCGGGACACGCTCGTGTCGAAATGCGGGTATGCGCTGCGTGAGATCCTGATCTTGGGGTTCGGACAGGGCGGGATGCTAGGGCTACTCGGGGCGAGGGAGCTGGCGGGGGAGCTGGCGGGGTGGTTTCGATCGGGGCGCCGTATCCGCTGTCTGGGAGTTCGGTGGGGGAGAAGAATCGGACGCCGGTGCTGGTGGTTGCGGGGAGGGAGTCTGTCGCTGTGAGTGAGGGCGCGGTGCGTAGGACGCAGGGCGTGTTTGAGTTTGTGGAGGTGAGGCGCTATGCGAGGAGGGATGATGGCATGCCGAGGAATCGGGAGGAGATGATGCCGGTGATGCAGTTCTTTGCGAGACGGTTGAGGAGCTGGAAGGGGGTTCCGGAGGGGAGTGTGGAGATTACGGCTACGTGAGTTTGGTTGAGGGGATATGGGATGTGTGGGAATGGTGGTAGTGTGGTGGTATATTGTACAGTACACATGGCATGGTCTAACGCTCCGATCTATGGTGGGAGTTTGGTTATTTCACATCCTCGAGGGCTTTGCGGGCCCGCTCGACGGTTTCGCGGGCTTGGGTCTCGGACGCTTCGTCGATGCGTCTTCCGCCTTCTTGCACCAGGGTGCGCAGTTCTTCCTCTGTCTCCCGCAGGGCTGTCCGGCCGTCCTCGCGGACTTCGTTCTCCCAGAATGTTCGGGCCCAGTCCCACTTGCGCTGCTGCCGTCGGAGAGAGTAGATCAATCCGACCGCGGCCACGGTGCAGGTTTCGTAGATCGAAGTAGATGGAAAGGAGACGTAGGTCAGCGCCGAGAGGACCGAGGTCAGCGACGTGGTTGTGATGCTGAAAGCCACCAGTCCCTGTGCCATCGCCTGTAGAGAAGGCACCTTGGTGTCCAGCAGCTGGTTCCGGCTGGTGGTGATCTGCGTGGGCCAGGGCACGTCGCTCGTGGGAGGAGATTGGGCGTCGGCTGTGCTGACAGGAGATGCATCCTTCGAGATTTCTGTGTCTGGTTTGGGTGCAGGGACATCATTCGTCTCCTGCTGGGGTGCATCGAGCAGGCCGGCCTGCTGGAATTTGCCCGCGGTCCAGATGACCTCCTTCTCTGCACGACGCAGGTAGTTTTTCTCCAAAATCTCCGACGTGATCATTCCGACGTCGTCGACGTGCCAGAAAAGTTTCCACCACGCAAGATCTCTCCATTGCTTGCTGGCGAACCCCTCTTCCAGCGAACTCCGCAGCTCAGAGTGGGCGTTTTCGGCCCACTCGGTCACCGAGCGATCCATTGTCCCTCGCACCAGATCCGAAACCGACTCTTCTTGCTGCTGCTGGGCTCTTATCGCTTGTTGTGCATCCACACCCGTCTCTGCGGCATCGACAAGGGAGGTGATCAGCGACCTCAAGGAGGGATCTAGAATATCTTTATCCGCTCGCAAGGCCGCCAGCCAGTCCACGACCGGCTGCACCCCGCTACCGTTCCAGCCCCGTTCATAAAGCGAGGCGTTCTGTACAGATTCACGGAATTTCCCCAGCGCATCTTCTGCCTGGTCGATGTCCACGAAGGCGACGCGATCGTTATGCTTCTTAGGATCGCTGGCCGCCAGCTCGATCGCGCCGTAAACGGAGCCAGTTTCCTTCTTGAGGTCCGAACGAGCGACCAGATTGCTATACGCAAGCAAGCCGTCCACGCCGCGGCCACACACGATGGCTCTATGCACGGGGTATCGCACCACGTTGTGGCGACCGGAGTGCGAGGTCTGGATGGTCACCGTGGGCACCAAGAACGTTTCCGCCGTGAACCGGGTGCCGGGCAGTTCTGTATCCGCGCCGAGGCTCGAGACCAGAATTTCGAGATTGCCTTGCTTGAGGATCGAGGAGGGGACCGAGATGGTGGGGAGGAGGTTGTTCGGAATGGACTCGGATACTTCGCCGTATCTGTCAATTGTCAGCAGCGTCCCGCGCGCGTTGCATGCATGAAAATAAAATACCGGATTAGTAGCCCCCGCGATGTATCTGCTTCGTAGGCATCGAGCGCATCCTCCCAGTTCTCTCTAGGATTCAGCGGATCGGCCAGTAACAGGCGAACCAGCCGGCGCGCAGAGCTGGCGTCATCCAAACCCAGCACTAGAAGAACAAATCAGCCCCATTGTCCTTTTCCACACGAATTAAAAGTAATGAGAAGAAGAAGGAGAAAGACCCACCGGCAACTCGAATAAGAGGCACCTCCGATTCCAACCCCCGCAACGCAAGTTGCAATCGACTCAGGTTGACCTGTTCCGTCGCAACATTCTTCACCTGGTTCAGAGCCTCGTACAGCTCTCTCAATCGAGGTGGCACCTGTCTGCCGGAATGGATCACGGTAGGCGTAGTTGAGGGACGAGGCGAAGCTGCCCACGACGACTGGCGATTTCCGTCGGAGATGTTGGCGGACCGACGCGTAGAGAGCGCTCGTCTAAAGGTTGCGCAGGACGGGCAGGGGAGGTCCGATGAGCTACCCTGGACACGCCGTAGGCTCCTTGATAAGGAGCCGCGCAATTTGGGAGGCATTGGCGGCAGGATGTGAGGGACTGGGGAGGCTGATGAAGGAGAGTGTGGGCGACTTGATCATTGCAGGGCGGAGAAATCGGCGACTTCCAATGTCTTGGCGCCGGCGACTGCGGAATTGCGCGTGGAGCGACGGCCGGCCTGGAGGGTTTGGCTACAACCCATCCTGGGGGTTACGGACTAAATAGACTAATTGGAAGGGGATCGGAATCGTAGGATCATGTATATATTCATTCATAACTACGGGGGCTCGTGCACGTTGGAAAATTCGCATGGGGTTTGGTCGGGTAAAGAAGCAGGCTTTCAATATGTCAAGATATTTCATGGTGTATCGATTCATCAGCTCATGTAGTTCAGGCGTCACGGACGCCTTTCGCGCGGCAAATACAGTGATAGCCTCCCTGTTTCCGGTCCTCAATACTCAAGACAGTGTCATTCCATCTGTTCACCCACAATACATGACCAGAGAGGGGTTTGGTCAATACGACTGCCCGGCTTCAGCTCTCTGTACGCTTGTAGAGTAAGATCGCATTCCAAAATCCGGAAAATACGTCGAGAAGCCAGGTTCGAACGCTAGAAAAATGCAAACTTGAGGCGGAGTTCTTCGGTGTCACTATCCTTATTAGTTTATGCTTCTCGCTCCTCCTTGGCAGCATCACGTTGCCGACGGCTTCTACCGGAGCCAGCCGACCTGTCATCCGTTAGTATACATTCATAGGTTTTTTTTTTCATCTCTTTCTGAATGTGGAAACTCACATGCTAATACGCCTAGCCACGGTGGCCAATCCAGCGTCGTTGTCGGCCTCGCGCTGAGCACGCTCGAGCGCAGCGTTCCTCTCCGCCTCACTCCGCCTGTACACCTCCTCGGAGCTCGGGGGCAAGCGTTCGTTCTGCAAGTCGACCTTACGGGCGTCCTCGAAATTGGTGATGGCTTGTTTGATACCCTCGGCTCCGAGCATCAAAGTACCCGCCGGAAGACGACCTCCAGCAGCGGTCTTGAGTTCCGTGACTCGCTCCGATTCTTCTCGCAACACCTGGAAGACACGAGATATACGACCGATGGCAAGGATCTTGTTCTTGATGGCCCGGCGCTTGAACTCGCTGCTCTCCGTGTCCATGGGAAGGGGAGGGGAGGAGGGGCCGGTGGCAGAGGTAGGAGTGTCGTCCTCGAGTTCCTCCTTGGAGCAGGTGTTCAGGATGGCCATGAGCATGTCGGTGATCTTCTCTCCGACGAAGGGAAGCGACCAGGTGAACACGTCCATGAAGTTCGGCAGCCAGTACGGGTGAGGAGTGCAGTTGAATTGACGAATGTTCATCACGTTGTTCTCGTATTTCAGGACGGCGGCTTTGTTGTTGTAAACATCCAGGTAGTTCGGAGCACTGAAGATAGTCATGACACTAGGGAACCCGGTCGTTCTGGTCTTTCGGTACATGCGGTATCCAGCGTCTTGCGCTTCGTGAGCTCGGATGATGGAAAGCAGGTTGTTCTTTTCCAGGAAAGCGCAGGCGGCGGGGTAGGAGAAGAAATAGGAGCATCCGCGAACGCTGTTGTGGACGAAGTAGTCACCGGTTTTCTCCTGTCCGAATTCCTCGAGAGGGTCGGCCCAAAGAATATCGCACATCAGCCCATGAGTCGGGGGCTCCCTGAAGCGGTCGATCTGGCCAAGGTGTCAGTCAACGATCGGCCATTGATACAGCACAGATGATGGAGCACCCACCGCCTTGATATCCTCTAGGGTGTGTAGCTCGGGACTCAATCCTCCGTGGATACAGAGGAATTGCTTGTTCATCACCGCAGCCAGCGGCAACGAGCAGAACGAATCGATGCAGGCTTCGTAGATACGGTCGCTGTACTTGTGCTTACACTCCAGCTTGAAGGTGAAGTAGTCGGTCAAATGCCTGCACTCGTGGTTGCCCCGCAGCAGCCACAAAGTGTTGGGGTACCAGATCTTCAAAGCCCAAAGGTAAAGTACACACTGCTCCGGTGTTAGATCGATTCTTTCCGCCACGCATCTTATACCGACCGATAACACTCACCTCGATACTGAAATAACCTCGATCCACATAATCACCCAGGAACAGATACCGTGTCTCGGACGGGTCACCGCCGACTTCGAAAAGCTTCATCAGATCATAGTATTGGCCGTGGACATCGCCACACACGGTGATGGGCGCATCCATCTCCAGCAGATTGGGTTCCGATCTCAGGATCTGCGATCCCGCCTGTATGATCCATAGCGCCTGGTCCTCCGTGAGACGACCTTCTCGATAGAAATGCTGTTTCAGAAATTGGAGATTCGGCTTGGAGGGGTCTTCGGGGGACCAGAACTGCTCGTCCGTCGGGGTGGTCAACGCCGGCGCTTGCACCTCTAGAAAATCGCAGGGCCGTTAGAAAAGTAGACGGGAACAAGAGAGCCACATGAAAAATCATCGCATACCCTTCACTACTCGCTCCATGGTGGACACCTGGGTGCCATCTTCCATGGTATGTAACGAGAAGTCGATCTCCGGGACCGGCTTCTTATCCGTCACCGCACGCGCGATTGTCCGATCCATCTTGGGCAGATTCGAGGGGGGGTGAAGGGTCAGATCTTGGATCTTGAAGAAAATCGCAAGAACTCGGGGCCCCTGTTGGATGGGAACAAGCGCGAGAGAAAGGGGGGAGGAGGTGGGTGGATAAGGAGGGCGAATAGGTGAGCGAGCGAGGAGGGACTGGACTGCGCGGAGACCAACTGCTACTAGCTTGTGGTGGTGGGGTTAAGCGCGGCGGGATTTCAGCGTTCACACACGAGAGACACGGGCGAACCGACAGGAGGTCGATGGAGATTGAGGAGAGCACAGGATTCACGATCGGGGAAGAGAGATCCGACGACGGTTATTCCCAGAATCGGAAATCAGGACCCTGGTCAGGCCTTCCAAGGAATCTGATGTTTAATTTAATTTTTTCTCCCCCTAAGAGGCTCTTGGAGTGGAGTGACCGAAAGAGAAAGGTCGAAAAAGATCGGGAGGTGGGTCGCGTGCAGAGATGACCGAGTCCTGCTGCTATGGCGTATGTAGACAGCAAGTGATGGCGAGGGAAGAGATGGCGAGAGAGGACGATGACAGTGTAAGCTTGTCGATGGTTCCGTCCAAATCGACACGCTCGACTCCGGGGTAGGCGTGCGTGCCTGACTTCTGCGGCAGCCAAATAGATTACCCGTTCCCCCGTATTCTCCTGGCGTAATCCTCCGTCTTCCGCCACTGATCGCATTCGCATTACTCTTCCAGCTTCTCTCCAGCCACCGTCTTTCTACTCTCCATCCCATCTATTCATCATCTCCGCCATGTATGAATCATATCGTCAGTCGACCCGGATCCCCCCTCCAATTCCCCATCCTAACGCTGCGTAGGTCCCCATCCTCTACTAGCGCAGGTCCCCTTGACCGTCTCGCCCTTTATCAATCTCCCCGCTACCGTCACTCTCCCCTATACTTATAAGTCCGTTCCCTCCACCCTCCCGCCGTCTGTGCTGGTCGATCCCGCCAATCCGGACGCCAGCACCCGCTACGTTGTCTCCGCTAGCGGCGAGCACGCCGCGTCGCCAGAGGAGATCCTCGCCTCCTGCAAATCCCTCGAGCAGCATCTCAACAAGACCCGCGGTGCTGCGGAGAAAGCCATCCGAGACTGGGAGGAGTCCATCACCCAACGTGAACTGGCCGAGAAGAGACGGGTTGCCCCGGGCTGGTTAGACCGCGACGAGAAGCTACTGCAGCCCAGCAAAATGGCGAATCCCGGATCGCAGAGTCAACCGGAGCAACAGAGTCTGTTGGACAGCGTGTCGGCTGATTCCGCAGCCTCGGGACTACCCTCCATGGTCCCGCGGGATGAGGGAGCGGAGCTAGACAGGGCGTTCGGGGGGTTGGATGTGAAATGAGCCCATTTGAGCGCGCATAATAACCACGTTGTAATCCATGTTCTTTCACCGTCGTGCTTAAGCCGAACAAACTTGCTGTTCTTGCTATGGAAATGATGGGTTATTCATAGGAACAGCTACTTGGTGATTGGCCGTTCCAGAGTCTATTTGGAGCTTATCTCCCGCCTACCTAGCGATGCTGCAGTGTCTGGACGATCCTGCGAGGAATCAGTCCAGTGCAGATTCCTGCAGCTGCGCTAGAACTGTCCTGTGGCACGTCACGAGAACTGACTGGGCCTGGCATGAGCCAGTACGGGGCATACCTCGTGCTGTAGGCCAGGTCGCGCACTATCGAGTTGATCAAGCTATTATTGGAGCTCTCTTGATCAACTATGTGCCGACACCTGCAGCATATTGGATAGCGTAGTACAACTACATTTAGCCTAATCAGATACAAACCCAAGATATTTAATGCCGGAATCGAATGCGTATAGTAGCACCCAACTATTAAAAATGCCCGCGTGGCGTCCAGGCAAAGCGGAACCCCCGCATGCTCCGCCGGACCCAAAGCAAGTCAAGTAGCTTCCGCCAAAGCTCCTCCCGCAAATTTCATCACCTTTCCGCAACCACCACCAATCCATCTTTTTCATCTTCTAGTCAACGCGACTATTCGAAAGTATGGAGCCTCTTCGAACAGCCCCTGAGACATCCTCTTTTGTTCCCCTCGCCGAGCATCAGTCCCGCACCCCTGCCTCCTTTCACTCCGGCCCCGCCGTCCTCCACTACCACAGCAAGCAATGCAAGCTGGTGGTCCTCGAAAATGACCTCGTCGCGTCCCCAGCTTTGAGTGCGATTCGAGGCTCGTCCACTGAAGTGAACGGTTCCGGCGACGGCGCTCCTGCCTCGCACGAGAACAACGCCGCGAATGGCGAAAGCGAAGGGAAAGAGATCGTCGTTGACGGTGTAGACGTCTGGGTGACGTCGGAGTAAGTCTTCCTCATCCCTCGAAGCCATCTGCGAGATAAAAGAACAAGTCGCTCACCTCAACTTAGCAAATTCCTGCTGTACAATACTTCCCTCTCCGCCGGCGTCTCTATCCCCTACCCCTCTATCTCCTTGCATGCAATCCAACGACTGCGCCTCCCCAGCTCCCCGGACACCGAAGTCCAGGGTCTTTACATGCAAATCGCGACCCCAGGCCCGGCAACCCAGGAAGATGACGAGGAAGAGAGCATGGTTATGACTCTTGTGCCGCCAAAAGACGCAGACTCAACCACCGAAGGTCAAAGTGACGATAAGCCCGAAGAGACGCCGACGCAGGCTCTATATGCAGCCGTTTCCGCCTGCGCGAACCTGCATCCGGATCCTATGGAGGAAGATGAGGAGGAAGAGGGTGAAGACTCGCTCTTTCAGTCCGGGCTCGTTTCCATGGGGAGTGGAAACGGAGGTTTGCCGCCGCCGATGGACGGCAGTTCCGGATGGATTACCGCCGAGAACATGCACGAGTATTTCGATGAAGATGGAAATTGGATCGCTGGTGGAGAGGAGCCGACATTGCCTCTTGGCCCTGGAGCAGGTACGATCAGAACACGAGATGAGGAAAATGATGGCCAGGAAGGGGACAACCAGGGCGAGGGGCAAGGAGATGATGAAACCAAGTGGAGGCGAACCGATTAATCTTCGCACACGAGCGACGAAGTTGAGCCGGTACTACGAAACAAATCTGCGATGTGATAACACAATAATGATAGACTTCAAAAAACGAATGGATTGGGATGCAAGTGATTCTATTCAAATATGCTGACTCTAACAACTTATGACGCTTCAGGTGTGTCAAGTTTTCATTCAGTCCTAATTACGCCTGCCTGCCTAGACTCCGGATATCAGTACAACTGTTCGCCTGCACAATGAAAAGGACCTAACAAGAAATAACAAGAAAGGAAACGACTATCGTCAGGGGGAGAGACAAATGAACGCCGAACTGAAGCCAAGGGCACCTGGGCCTGGACGAACCGAGGCCATTTCATCACATTAAAATTTGGTCAAATACTATAAAAAATCATTCTGCATCGGCTGCCTGAGCCAGCATGATCACCCTTCTTTTAAAAAGCCATCTCCATCATACAGACTTCCTGGTGTCGCAGCGCCAATCCCTAACCCGACTGTCTTCTTTATCGGGGTTGTGAATGCCGGTCGTGACATCTGTCGCCCCCTCGAAGGGTCTCGTTTGGGTGTCGGCGGTACTTCACCTTGTAGTTCTGCAGGTTCATTGACTAGGGAAACCGAGGGCTTTTGAGTCGATTGCCGTTGTTCTATGGCTCGATCTTCCCAGATGGGGACAATACGGCCCACGTGCGGCCAGGGTGTTTGATTGGCACCAGAAGAGAATTGTTGTGCTGTCGTCGACGATCGATTATTCCGTCGATCCATGTCCACCGCGATTCGACCTGCCGTGAACAACGGCGAGTCCACAGCACTTGAACTCTTTGCACGTTGCAACGAGTCGGCCGACTTGGTGATTGTCTCCCTTCGCATACTCTTGGTACGGGGCACTGGGTCCTCCGTACCACTGGAGGCATTCTCATCCAACGGCAAGGCGCGGAAACTATTGCGACCTGGCTTCGCAGACAGACTGCGCGGTCCCTTGACCGCTGACCGCCGAGGGCTACCGGGACTGGGTGAGCTTTCATAGATTGTAGGCGATGCGATATGATTTGGCACGGTCCAGAGCGGAGCGTGTTTGTCGGGTGACGGGGTGCGTGACATACTGCTTTCGGTGGTCGTAGGCAAAGAAGTGACGAGCTCGGGAAGCGTCTTGTCGTTGTCCGAGGCGCTTACCACGCTGTCCCCAGAGTCGTGGCGCGAATGCTTCCTTTTCTTGCTCGGGCTCCTGTACGAGGAGATAGGTCGACTCTCGGGGGCCTCTATCGTCCTAGGTCGGTCATTTGCGAGTTCGTGGTAACTGCTCCGGTTCATCGAGAGGGAGGAAACGCTGGAATTCAATAACGACATGTTAGATGTTGAGAGATCCGAAACCTCGGACCGACGCCTATCGCCGTTGTCTAGTTCTTCGGGCTCTTCCACCATGGGCGAGAATGCGGGTGCTCCAAATGTGATGGGAGGATGGATTGATATGCGGACACAGTTTTGCCGCCGATGACCCTTTCGTGGCCCACTGCCCCCTTTCATTGCGGATGGCAAAGGTGGTCTGGGGTGAGTGGCCGAGGTCTGCAGGTGGGCCTCTTGGATAGAGAAACTATTGGGTCGTCGGCTTGGTGCATTCGCACTGCCAATGAATCCGCTGACACTGTGGGCGCTGGCGATGAATGGATCGTGTTCTCGCTGAGGATTGCCATAGACGGAATGCCGTTGCATCTGACTGAAATGAGGAAGCAGGGCTGAGTTCCGAGGCGCGGGGTTCAGGGGAGGGATCTGATCCAGGTCTGCATACATGGATTCTCTTCTGGATTGACTGGTGGTGGTCGTGGACAAGGACTCGCTCCTCCGCGGCGCTGGGCCAACTTGGCCCGAGGAACAGCTTGGGCTTCGTGCAGTCAGACTGCGGCGAGGAGAGTGCCGATCTGGCTCTATCCTCTGGACCTCCCTCGCCGGGGAATTGGGAGGAAATATGAAAGGTGCTGGCACGATCGAACTGGGCGGGAGGAAGCTTCGTCGGTCATATTCCATGCGTCCGACATCATTGGCACTATAGGGTGCAAACGTGGGACAGGGGGGTAGAGCAGGTGAGACAAAATCACCATCGATTCCCACTGAGCCTCTGCGGCCATCGTCTAGAATCGAGCTGTCAGCTGTTTCGAGACTCAGCGAGGAGAGACCGATCGAGTCGTTCTTCGAGAGACGAAATCGATTCGGAGGATATGCACTGGGAGGCGGAGGGACTGGCTGCTCTGGCATCAGTCCGGCCGACTGAGCGGTAATGCTTCCTCCTCGTGCCCGCCCTTGCTCAAATCCTAGCAGGTTATCTTCTATCACCGGGAAAAGGCTGCCCGAGCGTTCTCTCTGATGCGCCCCGATCCATTGACCGGACATATGGCGTGTGCTTGAGTCCATGCTAGGGGACATTTCATCGTCTCGTTCCGGTGTATGTCGAGGAGTCCTCTCTGTCGGCAACTCGAACGCTCCATCAACCGCCGAGGTCGGCATATCGTCATCTTGTGCGCCGGCTGAATGCGGAGGGGGCGATGCTCTTTCCGTTGTTTCCTTCAGCGGCGCGAGTGAACTCAGTCTCCGAGGTCGTACGAAGCTCCTGGATCTTCGGGCAGACTGAGATCGCGACAGGGACTGCGAGAGAGATCGCCGAAGCCCGCGCGCCTTCTCCATGAAGTTAGGTGAAGCTTCGGAGTCGGCTGTCGACTGGACCAGACTTTCCCTCGACGCCAATAGACCCCATTCATTGGGCCTTCCGTATGGCAATTGGCCGTATTGTCTCAAGGCAGAGCCTTCTTCGCGCGACAACTCCGTCAAAGTCTCGGTAGGGAAGGTTTGCAGGCCGTGGACGTAGGGCCCGTCCCGGGAGTTGGCCACAGCGAGAGACAGGCGTTCCTGGCGAATCCTTACCCAGACGATGGTACCTACGACCGTCGTAACGATGAAAACGACGCCGCAGGAGACCGCAATGGCGACAACGGTAGTCAATGCCGGCATCGTGAACTGAGATCCCCTCTATACCTCTCTCTTTCCAGTTCCACAAGACCAGCAAGGTTCGAATGCGACGTGCACAGACGTGTCAACCCATCCACAGCAGGGGATGGTTTCCGCTCTTTCACTCCTTGCTGCAGGTTTCCGTTTGTCGAGGCCGATGCTGTCGTTTTCTTAGGCGTCAAAGATGTCCCCTTCGTCTGTCTGGGGAAAGCCTGGGGTTGATGCTGGGGAAGGGTTACGGACCTCCTGGCAGCACAAGGAAGCAAACCCACAAGACAGGAGGCGCAGGCGAAAGACAAAGAGCATAATGGGGTGGCTGGCTGGGACGGGGGAAGGGCGAATGCGTTTTGTTATGGGTGCCGAAGGCCAGTGGGAGCAGTGGAATGTGGACGCATTGCAGTCGGGGGCGCGAGGAATGTCAACGTCGGCTTGGTCCCTCTCTTGGAAAACATGGGTGCGACGTGATGATCCTTCTTCTGACAGGGAAGGACACAAACGGCCAGTATATTTGGGATTGTCGTGAGATCAAACTGATTGAGCGAGTCGCCCAGCGGGCACATGGAGGGTTCTGGTCCGAAGGCATGGTTAGGGTGGTGATGAGTTGCTTCGCTACCAAAAGGGAACGGCCAATCTAGCGAGACAAGGCTGGGTTGAATCAGATAAGTTGGTTTCTGGTATGCTATCCTTCCAAGAATCTTCTTCATATGAGGAAAGGTGATTGTCTGAAGGAACGGCCGTGCCCACTTTGGCTGCTCACCAGGCTATACTTGATCTAGGAGTCCAGCAATGTCACGTTGCGATCAGCAGCCGCATGGTACATATCAGTGTTCTCCTATCTGTGCTTTGCCATCCATCATCGTGGCTGTTTCTCTGCCGAGTCCATCGATACGCCCTACTTGATTGCTTGCTTGAAGCCTCCAACGGCCGATGCAGGGATGCCTGAGGGCTACGGCAGCGACGTCAGGCCACCTGCCAGTCACGGGACGCTGCAGTCACGGGCGCCGGAAGAACTCGATCTCCGGATCCACTGCGTTCCCCTCTTTCCCGAAAGAGTCAATCATCTTCGACCGGTCGTGGAGGAGATGAGGAAATGATATCAATTCGACAGGGGCATTTGCGCTCAGAATCAACATGCGACGTCGACGGGACTTGGTCCGTGTGAAGAGCGGTCCACCGCGGGTGCCTTAGTTTTGCACCGTGGAACCCGCAACTCCACGACTCCATCGTCCCGCATTTTGAATCCTGGGGGCGGCATAGCGTCATAGTCCATCGCGGTCGAGTCGCTGTCGACATGCGAAGTGCGAACCTTGTTGCTGGCTTCCAAGACCGATGACAGTGCTTTCGCCCAACCCCGCCATGCGCTAGGTGTATAGCTCACTAGGCTCTTTGGCCTGTCTGGTGGGCGTATATAAGGGCTGCCGACGGAGTTGAGCCCTGGGGTTTTCTCTTCTTTTCTACCTCCTCCCGCATCTCTTGCAGATCGTCCTGTTTGTCTTATCTCTTGGATATCTTCCCTATATAATACTTCGTTTTGTGCAATACCCTTTTTCATCATGGCGTCCAAACCTGTTAACGACCTGGCTCACTTTGTCCACAACAATACCACTGCCCCCGCGCACCCTAGCCTCCTCGGGATGTTCTCTCTGAAGGGCAAGACTGCTATTGTCACCGGTGCCGGTGCCGGTATTGGTCTGTCCGTCTCCCAGGGTCTTGCGGAAGCCGGCGCCAACGTTGCCATGCTGTGGAATACCAACGATAAGTGTCCTCAGCGGGCGTCGGAGGTTGCCTCTACGTATGGTGTTCAGAGTATGTTCATGTTTTTCTTTTCTTTCGTTCATTCGCTTTTTCATCAGTCCATTCTCCGAAGAAAATTACCCTAACTCTCAACAGCCAAGGCTTATCAGGTCGACATCACGAATGCCGAGGCTGTACAGAAGACTGTCGACCAGGTCGTGAAGGACTTCAACGGCCGCCTGGACGTCTTCATTGCCAACGCCGGTATCCCCTGGACCAAAGGCCCCATGGTCGATGGCCCCCTCGACCACCACACGAGCGTCGTTGACATCGACTTCAACGGTACCTTTTATTGCGCCCGGGCTGCAGCTGCGCACTGGAGAAGACAGAAGGAGGAGGGAACCGACCTGAACGGCAACAAGCTTAGCAACTTCACCTACGGCAGCTTCGTGGCTACTGCTTCCATGAGTGGACACATTGTCAATTTCCCTCAAATGCAGGCCACCTACAACGCCGCTAAATCCGCCGTCATCCATCTCTGTATGTGTGCCCTTCTCTTTTTTCTGTCGCTGGTGCGTTGCACCTTACCCTTTCCGTGAAACTTACGCCACTGGTGCTGACAGCCATGCAGGCAAGTCCCTCGCCGTCGAGTGGGTCAAGTTTGCCCGTGCCAACACCGTTTCCCCCGGTTACATCGCGACGGAGATCTCCAATTTCGTACCCAAGGAGGTCAAGGACCTCTGGCGCGATAAGATCCCCATGGGCCGCGAGGGTCAGCCCGAGGAGCTCAAGGGCGCCTACCTTTACCTGGCGTCGGATGCGTCCACCTACACCACGGGAGCCGATCTTGTGGTTGACGGAGGATACTGCGCTCCGTAAATTATTATCTAGAGTTTTCGGAAGGATGGTTTAAAAAATTTGGTTATTTGGGAGACCTATACACCGGACTGGATTCACAGATATTATTTTACTTCACCGAGCTCAATCACGATTAGACGAATAAATGAAAACATCCCCCTCCCTCACAATTTCTTTTCTTTCCTCAAGCCCAACACCGGAGGAAATAAGAAGCTCCATCTCAGGAACTTCGCGGGTGCCACGAATCCTTGCATGCCGAGTGGCTTGCAGCGTGCAGATTTCGAGGCGCCGAGTAGATAGCGGTGACCTCATCCATAATCTGACCTATCCAGCGGGGAGAAGGGGGTAGGAGCGCCCATTATACCCCAGGATGGTCATAAGTGGCGCCTCCTACCTGTCTTACGCAGTAGACTCCAGCCTGATCCCTGCCTTGCCTTGCCTTGTCCCGGTATCGTTCAGTCACACCGCTCCGACATCTCGAGCCCATTCGCACACTAGATCGAAATGTGTCGTTTTCTCACAGAGAAGTAGAAGTAGACGTAGAAGTTGAGGGCGAAGACTCAGGCGAGAACGTAAATAGCCATCGCACCGTCCTCTCCGCCAGCCGATCCTGCCAGGCGCCCAGACCGCGCCCCTCGTCGATTCGGTGCCGAAGCTGCCGTTCCCAGCCGGGCGTTGGCGGGGCCGTCGGCGAGAGCAGATGCGGGTGGATGAGCGAGGTGTCAGCGTTGAAGTAGGCGGATAGGGGGGATTGGATTCTTGTTTTTGGTTTGGGGTTGGTTCTTGATGGGGGTTGTTAGTAGATGGATTATGGATGGGTGGGATGGATGGTTTATGCCTGAGGGAGAGATGGTTAGGGCTGGACGTACCTGGGATCTTGGTTTTGGTTGTTGTCGTCTGACGTTGTTTTTAATTCGTTTTCTGGTTCAAATCCACTTTCTAGATCCTCTTCTCTATTGTCGAGGTCTAGTTGTGTGTAGTGGCCTCGTATTTGGGTCGTGTTCTTCCGAAAGATAGTTGTATTAGCATAGGTTCGTGAGAAGCGAGCCAGAGCATGGCGGATGCTTCGTCGGTAGAGGTATAGCATCAGGGAGGAGGAGAGGAGGATGCAGAGAGATGGATAGAGGGGGATGAGGATGGAGAGAGAGGCCATCGCTTCTTGCCTGGCGATGGCTCTTTCGCCTGGAGGTTGCGGGTTGAGGGGATGAGGTGCACAGATTGTGGTTGATCTGGAGTGTCACAGTAGTTTGTGTTTCGAGTCAGGTTGAGTGTGTATAGAGAAGTATCTGGCTTCCTGTCTACTCTAGATTGTGTGGATAAGAGTCTGTAGATGTCTGGATGGCCCACTCACTCTACTAGGTGAGTTCTGGACACCCATTCACTAACACTATCAAATAAACCCCAGAACAATAAACAGAAACCAAAAGATCTTTCCACAGAAAATCCAAGCCTGTATAATGTCCTATAGTGTATACCGAACCCGGAAACCAGGAATACTAATACCAAGTATACCCCCAACACCCAACATCCAACACAATCGACCCCCAACCACCATGACCCATTGTCTCTAATCCGACCCCGAACAACAACACAAGAAAGACCCAAGACCCAATAAACAAGAAAGAAAGAACAAAAAACCAGAAACAAAAAACACAACTGACCCAGCCCATGTCGTCACCTCCCCCTTCATTGATCTACCGACCGCGCCCAGTGACGGGGTCAGTCACGGTGCGCCGCCGGGTCATTTGACACAATGTCCATTCACTCATTCCCTCCCTCGCTCCTTCAGGAATCATCATCCACAACAAAGGCCAGGAACAATATAATGGCGGTGCTTCCTTTCATTCATCCCTCCTTTCTTTCTCTTTCTCTTTCTCTTTTTCTTTGTTTCTGCTCTGGTCGGAAGTCCTATACTACCTACCTACCTCCGTACTTAGCCGGCCTCTTAATCAGTCCGTTATGATCGCTGGATTGTCTTCTCTTGCTATACTGCTCAGACCTGATATACATATACCGACATAGAATGGACACGATAGATACAGACATCCTCTTTTTACCTGTTTTTCGATCGCATCTATATTTGCGACCTTACGAATCAGTCATCCGTTGATTCCCAGTGAGCCAGAATGGAAGGACACATGAACACAGATCCCACGCCGGAGGAGCTCGAATTAGTAAGTCATTCAGCGGTCTGCACGGTGCCATTCACAATCGGTCCGATGATCTAACCGCTGCACAGAACATCGCTCTGTCGGAATCCCTCGCCTGCAAAACCTGCGCCATCCAGCTTCCCAGAGCCACGTACCAGCGCCATCTGCAGTCGCAGATCTACGTGTCGACGCGCGATCCGCCATTCGTGCTCTCCCGAGCGGCGCTGAACGGCTTGAGTGCGTTCGGGCTGACGGCACCGGTTGCGTCCCCGGGAGAGGACCAGGGGTCGCTGGGCACTGTCGAGATGGATGACGATGGCGAGGATACGACGATCGCGCCACATGAGATACCGCCGCGGAAGCGACGACCGGGCTACCAGGCTCTGATGACGGGGTCGCAAAGGGAGACCTACGAGCGTCAGGTGAAGAAGTATGTGGCCGAGGTTCCGAATCGGGATGTTGCGATGGCGCGGTACCATGCCGATTACCATGTTCATTTGCACTGGCTGAGTCGACGGGGAGCGCTGTCGCTGTGCCGGGATGTGAAAGAGATGCATGAACTAAGGAAATGGCGGTGGAAAATGGCACAGCTAGACGTTCAGGCCGCGGAGGAGGCCGCCTCTCCGGCGGAGAACACCGGCTCGGGCGAAGATGCCACCGAGGACGGCACGCCCAAGAAGCCCCCGCGAAGGGTCACGGCGAGACGGTGGGGGTGGCCAGGCGATAGCCATCTGTTCATGATGTATCAGACTGCGTTGTGGCGGCAAAAGTGGATGGTTCGGCAGAAGCACCTCGACGAGGTGCGCATCAAATGGACCGCCATTATGGAAGAACGTCGGAGGCAGCGGAAATGCGTCAAGGTGAGATTATTCTGGGGACACGGATATAAGAATCTGCTGAGGGAAATAGAGTTGGAAGAGCCATGGGTTGGCGAGCACATCATCAGATAAGCCAGATACATACAGACAATGAAGGAACTTTTTCAATGGCGGATCAGTGAATGCCAGTAGATTCAAAGAATGACAGACAAGTCAATACATAGGTTCAGGAAAAGTTCAATCAAACCGAAAAATGAAAGTAATTGAAAAGATAAAAGAAAAATTCAAGCCCAAGTACTTCAACAAACCAATCCAACAATCAGGTATCAATAAGTGCAAATCAAAAGAACGCCGTATGTCATTCACATCCGCCAGGAAGTCGATAGACATGCATAGAAGATTCATAAAGATAGAAATAAAGATGAACAGACCGAATAAAGAAATCGATCATAGTTCTGAATGCATCAAACTACCAATCCGAGGCGGTCCAGGGACAGAATCCGCCATCATGAACTCAGTGCCCGCTGAGCAACCCGCAACTGCGAAAGGCATGCTTAAACCTTCTCTTCGGTTCCCGTCATGGAAACGTCCTGAGGCGGCTCGTGGATCGGCTCCTTGATATCAGCCGGGTACGTCTCGCTGCGCGATTCAGTCGGAGGAGCATCGCCCGGGTTCTTGCTATCGGGCCGTTTCCGACCCAATCTCTCGCACCAGTGCTCGGCACTCACTAGAGTGTCGTTAACTACTCCGCTAACCTGCCCCATCATGTCCAGGCCCTCTTGCGCCAGCACCAGTATCCGATGGGCACCGATCGTGGCATCGGACGCCGAGGCGGGAGAGTCGGGTGGCGGGTGCGATGTCGATGCAACCTGGAAGCGGTGCGGAAGCGACGTCAGATGACGACGGACTAGATTCCTGGCATTTTCTGGCAACGCTCCTCCCGCATACTTGGAGACCACGTTGACCACCTGCTTCAACGTCGACAGGACATCCTCTCGGACGGCCTGGATGCGCTGAGACAACAGCGAGGTGTCTTGGCCATTAGCGCCCGATCCCTCCGCGTTCTGCTGCTGGTCCCACTCTTTCAGGGCCCCTTGCAGAGCAACGATCGCTTTGCCTAGCCGACCATTAGCCCACCGTAGCCAGGTGAGGCAGTACTGCAGGCTTCGAAGCGATTCCTCGCTCATTGCCACGCCTAACCCGGACGTCGAGATAACCAGCCGACTCTGCCAGGTGGAGTTCTGCCGCGAAGAATCCTCTTGCCCTATCTCATCATAGCTGGGTGATTTCTGGTCGTCATATGGCGGCAGAGATTCGGACATCGTAGCGTCATCCAGACCCTTTTCGACGTCCATGTCCGCCGACGGTTTATCCCCGCCCACCTTGCGCCGTTTCGACCGCTTGGGATTCGACGAGTTCGACGCACGCCGCTGAAGAGCCCACCGAAGACCGCTTTCGACTCCCGTCTTTCGACCAACCGTGCCGACAGTGTTAGCCACGGGGGAGCCGATGTTGCGCTCGATAAACTCGGCACCGGACTTGAACCGAGACGAGTACGATTTAGAGGAGGCGTAGGCGGATACGGAACCGTTGATAGCGGAAGAGATAAGAGGATGAGTAGAAGTAAGCAATGAAAGGAGAGGCTCCGGTTGCGATTCGGAAGAGATAGACGAGTGCTGCGAGGAATTTCGGGGAGATTGTCCGTATTCTAGAACATTATTAGATCGATCGAGGAAGGGGGTAAAAATATAAAACAAAAGTAAAACAGAACGAAAATCACGGAAAAGGGATCGGGAAAAGGTGGAAAGGAATTAACTCACCCGTACGGAGACCCTCCAGAGCCTGAGCAGCCTCGATATCGTCCATCGATAAAACACTAGTGGCCCGGCGCGAACGATCTTCGGCCACGGTACTGTTGTCGATGTCCATCATGGAGGAAGGGACATGCTGAAAAGTCGGATAGACAGAAGGAGAGGAGGTAGAAGAAGTAGGAAGATTGGTAGCGACGGCCGTTTGAGGATTGTTCGGCGTCGGGGTGGTAGTGGCGTCTCGGACAGCAGAGAGGGAGGTGTTGGGGCCAGTAGTTGGGGCAGAGGCGCCGTCCGGACGAGGGTCCATGGCTGCCCAGAAGCCCAAATTGGCTAGTTTTGATCAAGAATCGACCCGTGAATGGAAAGCGAATCGGCTAGGTGGAATGGATTGACCTGGGGACGTGACGATCGGGATAGAGAAACGAAGCGAGGGAAGGCGAGGTTGTTTCTTCACGTGCAACGGGCAAAAATAAGGCGGGCGGGCAGCCAAGAAGGGAAGGAAGTGAATGCCGGCAATTCTGCGAGTTCCTCCACTTTCGCGGTCTCGCGCAGGGCAAGTTGACGCCGAGAGACAGCGAGGGGGGAGAATAGCCTTGTCACAGGTTGGGAGAGCAGCCGGCGTAGGCCTATCATGCAGCGCCGTTGATCGTCGGGGTTGGGGATTTCATATGAAAACGAAGAGTCACATGCGTAGCTCGGATAAACGCCGCCCGGAGAAACGACGAAACGATCGATGGATGATGGAATGATGAAAGACGAACGATGCAAGACGAGACGAAGGAATGGATCCGCCACGCCGCCGATGATTCGCTGCCTGACGGAGCGGGCGGCCATGCTGCCATGTGACTGGCCCCGACGGCGCTGACTCATCTACAGCTAAACCCAATACGGCGAGAAGCTGACATGTGACGGTGGAGCCCGGAGGACGGCCGGTTGACCGCCTACCCGTCCGGGCCTCCTTCGTGTGCATTTCCTGACTCAGAAATCGTGAGAATCGCTAAAATGCTAAATCATGACTAGTAACTAGTAACTGGCGGCACCCGAAATCTAGAGCCTATCGATCCTTAAGTCCCTCCAACCGATGGCCTCTTCCGGAACCAATCCGAGAGGAGCAAGCAAAAGGCATACATATCCGTAGTGTCCCAATCCAACTCATTCCACCGACATCGAATCATCCGGATCGTAATATCCTCCTAGGGCTTGCATCGGCGTTCCATACAACATCGCCTCGATTGCTTCATGTCCTTCGTATTCTCCTGCCTCCCCATCGTCTTCATCCTCTTCCGATGCATTTTGCGCGCTCAACCGAGCAACTGCCTTGGGATTGACGCGGTAGCATGACAAAACCTCGTAAACCACAGTCCGCGAGGGCAGGCTGTTTGCCTTCATCTGGCATAGAACCTCACCGAAGGCGTGGATCCAGAAGCTGCTGCTGGGGCGCTTCTTGTAAGTATACGAGGCGAGCAATTGCTGCCATGCATCGGGGTTGTGTTGCCAGGCATAAATCAAAGGATGTCCTCCACTGGCAGGGGGTGGAATGGTTCTCGCACGATCCGTGATGTCTGCTGTGGCAGCCGAGAACGAGCCGCCTTCTCCGAAGGAGCTCCCATACTGGCGATACAGCCCGTCGATTTCCCCGGCGACCGTTTCGAGAACGGCATGCAGTGGTCCGTCCCGGCCCTGCTGGTCTGCTTGTTTTCGCGCCTCGTTCCAAGGTTGCACGAGAGCTTCGTCCCTGCTGTACATGTTCTCATTCTCGGGGAATGCTTTCTCAAGCTGCCTCAAAACAGAATTCCGTTCCTTTTTGACCACCTGGAACTGCAGGTAGTCAATGATATTCGAAATTTTAGGCTTCCGATCGGGATTCTTATATGCAGGCAGCTCGCGGACCTTTGGGCTGATCTTCTTGCGATACTTCTGCCACGCTGCCTTCGACAGATGATCTCCGCTCTTGCGTCCATCAACTAGATGACTGAGCAGACAACTAAGTTCCATGGCGTCAGGCGAGTCGATGGACTGGTCGTACCCGAGTTTCTCGCGCTCGACGGTGCATCGACCTAGATTCGATAGCATCATGTTGAAGGTCATGGCACTTTGGAGAAACTCATCCCATGTGGAGATCTCCCTCATAGGGACAGCGTGATTCGTGACCCCGAAGTATTCCGGCGGTCTTTCTATTTCTGGCATGTCGGAGTTGCGGAAGCTTTTCACGATATTCTGATCCCAGCAAATCCATGGCGTATCGCCGTCGTAGTCTCCCCCCGAAAGCATATGGGCCAGAGGAATCTTTCCGGCTGTGGGGAAGACGATAACATCCTTGAAGTGACGGAGCTCCGACTTCCACACGGCTTTTCGCCGCTGAATGTCGGAAGGAAGGTGGGCAGGGAGACGCCCGACGAGAACATCTACGCCGTCCAGAAGATTGTCTTCAAATTGACCCTGTCCATCCCGCCAATTGGCCGAAAGCCCAAAATGAACCTCGTCCTCTTTGAGCACCCCATACGGATCTGCAATACAGAAGGCGTAGGTGGAGAGCGGCACCTCAATGTGAAGCTCCTCCATATGCCGGTCCAGCACTTTTCGAAGACACTTTCCAAGCCGGTGGCGGAGAGGATAGAAGCTTCGCGGCGTAAACCCCGCTTCCGTGAGACGGATCAGAGTTTCGGACTCATTCATCATCCATTGTTCCATGCGCCGAGCTTTATGGAGTAGCAGCTTCGAACCATCATCTGCTACAGGCTTGATTTTTTGGATTAGATTGCGGCAAAGAACAGGATTGTCGGACTGGACCACTTCGGCAAAATCCTTGTACACTGACTGGATGCTCAGCCGGGTGAGGTCGGCGATATGGTCGCTGACGTACCCGCCATGCTCTAAGATAGCCAGCAGTTGGATGTTCAGATGCACGGAATGCAATGGCTTGGACCATTTGACTACCTCAAAGGTCAGCTGCTCCTCGTCAATGGGGTCCTGCCACGTCTGCGGATGGGGTTTGATCTTCAATTGCGAGTCAGATATTTGGATCCAAACGTCATCATCTCCCGCCGAAACATGGGACTGATGCCTGTCCACCATCCACAAGCCTTTTGCGCCGGCGATTCGCCCTTGGAAACAACTAGGCGTGTTGTCGGTTAGACCCAGTGAGTCGCAGATCTGATTGGCCAGCGCCCTGGACATAAGAGCACAACCATCATTCATAACTGGGGATCCATCCCTGAGATGGAGAACCTGCGTTGGTTTCAAAGGCACGGTCGCGAAGGTCTTTGATAGCCCCAAAGAGAGCCGCTGGAAAAGCTTGCAATTGGTCTGACCTCGATTTGCCTCGAATGGCATATGCCACTCCAGGAGGGTATCGAGGTTCATTTCAGTGCGATTGGCACTTCCCTGTTCTCTAGGCGCAATGGGAGGCGAAAGGGGTGTGTGATCAAAATCGACCCCATCGATAGCAAAGAATTCAACTCTGAACCGGGGTTCGGCCATTTTGCGCTTCGATTTGACTTCTTCCAGATAGAACGCCTTCCATGTCCTTCCTAGACATTGATGGGAATTCTGCTGTAGCCACATGACCATGCTCTCCCGCAGAAGCGAGGGATGCGCAGGCATTCGTAAACGACGAGGAGGCCGTGCCGGTGCAGGCACCGTCAGGCTGAGGAATCGGTCGGACCCAAAGCGACGGTGGAACCGACATGTCCTCTCTGTTCTAAGAGGGTTTAACGTGAGATTTAGAATACCAGGCTCAGAGTCGCTACACCATTCTAAATCACCCGTAAGAGCCACATCTTCGGAGTGTTTGTCCGTTGTGAAATCACCCACGGCGGCATCCCAGGCCTTACTGGGTGACTTCTCCGGGAGGGGTTTATCTCCGCGTTGGTTGTGTGTCTCGATCCAGTTCCAGAAAGCTTCGCGTGACTTGAAAGGGACATTATTGCCAACCAACATGCGGTCGAGGGGAACGTTCCAAGCTCGACCTATTCTCTCCAGCTCATATCGGTATCGCAACGGCACAGAGGCAGAAAAGCAATGCTCATGCGAAAACGGCCCATCATTAAGTAGCTGACTCATTATATCCTGCTCAAAGGAATATCGGACGTCTGGCGGTGACTCCTCGATGAGAGGCTGTTGTGCTTCAAATGTCGTCCTCATCTCTTGGCTCAGCAAGTGCCCAACTACTGAGTCCTCATACACAGATTCCGAGTCTGGCATGGGCTCGGTGAGTTCCGTGCCGTTTGATACGAAGGAAGTGTCAAATCGATTCAGATAGAAAGTATCCACTGAAGTATTTGGAACTGTTGATGTGAAGCTAAACTCAGGTCCAGTCTTCGCAGGCGGTACTGCATCATATCGCCGATAATTGTCGGGAGCTGTCAACTTTTCAACGAACTTCGACGGCCCTTTTGCCGGGCTAGAGGTCTTGGGGGTTTTGGAGACATGCACGGGACTGTTCGCCGATATTTCGGAGCTGAATTCCAAGTTCTCAAATGTTGCATCCTGAAACCCATCAGCTAGCAATGGGGGCGAGCGTTTGACCGGAGAATTGGGAGCTGTATGGAAGACTTCGTCTTCCGATAACCTTCTCTTCCTAGACTCGAAGCATGGTGCTTCTTCCAAAAGTGGTTCATTGTCCCGGCAGTGGGACACAAAGGAGCCCCCGCCTAGCATATAAAGTTCATCATTGATCAAATTGACTAGGTATTTCAATCGCTCGTTCCTCTGTTCCTGGGAAACCGGCCAATAACCTTCTCCCATCAATAGATCTCTGTTTGACGGACCAGGTACTGCGCCTGCCGCATTGCTCATTCGATGACCGGCGTTAGTAGTTACCCGAGAGGCCACGACCCATTCCTCAAAGTTGTTCAGCAATTCGTTCAGATCGACACTGCGGGCGAAGTAGAGTCGCTTGATCTTATGATAGCTCTGCCATTGTAGAGAATTTTTATCCACCGAGACCGACGGCGAGTAGAATTGAGGATTCGGGATTTCCAACTCGAACTCATCGTTGAGCGAATCGATCAACTTATGTAGCTCCGGTCCGGTCCTCCGTTCAGGAGTGCGGGGAATGGGCATGTCGATCCGAATCGATTGACCGGCCTGTGCGGATAGACAAAATTGATAATAATATGGATAAGAATAATTGGACCCCAAGAATCCAACGAGAGGTAGAGAAGAGACCCTCACAGGGGAATCATGAACAGGTGGGAGAGAAAGGAAGGGAGGAGGATGGATTTAGCAATATGTTTGGGACTTTGGCAAGCAGTGGCCCGACGAACCACATCGGTGCATTTGACGCTGTCAGCGATAACCAGGTTCGACCCCGGCATGCACATACCCTTCCAATCAGTGCTGGAAGATCGCAGCCCTGCCCTTTCGTCCATGTACTTCTTTGTTCTGAGCTCTCCAACAGGCCTGGCCGATTGATTTTCCTCCTCAACCTGGGACCTGGTTGCCATGGTCAATCATGAAGGACCTCTGTTGCCGTGTAAACAAGCGCCCCGCCGCCAAGACCAGGAGAGCAGATCCCCTTGCCCCAGTGTGATTTCGAAGAGAGCTGTGATGGTTCATCGGTGAACACTCAATAAGCTTAGATTGATGGCCGTTGTGAGGCTTGACAGCTGGCAGGCCGGCCTCCGAGGATCCATAGGCTAATTTAGAAGCTTTAGCACTCTGGAATAATCGGGGGAACGGTACGGCCGTTCCGTTCCAAAGACCGGGAATCTAGGCACTGGTTGGAATCGCGACGAGGTCTGAGCAAAGATGCGACACCTGAATACGGTTGGACCTACTTTGACAGAGGCTGTCCCGTGATGCCACGTGCCATGAGTCCTTGAACTCAAACCGCGTGGTTTCTGGAGATTCTGTCGACTCTTTTTTGTTCGAGAAACACTCGGAAGAGTACGTTAAAAGCTAATGGTGCCGCCCAAAGCATACCGGCAATATTTAAGTTCTAATCAATAATTCATGTTGGACTGCCTCATGTGAATTGACTTTGTATGACTCTGACAACCTTCTCACTAACGTAAATGGTTCGCATGGTGCAGAAAGGTTAATAATCAGCTATGGACCCGTGACTAGATTCTACAATAAGAAACTCAACTCAAATGAGCCTTGACATTGACCACCCGACTGAAGATCCCTGCTTTCTCGACGATTTCGGCCAGGTTACCCCTCCGTAGGGTTGCAACTTGCAACGGTGCAGACGGGCGGGTGACATCATGGCAGGTATACCGACCTGCGGTCCACCGGTGACATCAGACGACCGAGAGTTGAGGAAGGGAAACCTTGCATTTCATACATGAGGCTAGAGATGGGCTGGTCCCTGAGCGAAGGGGGGCCGCTGACAGCCCCCGATCTTATCTTTGGCCGGGCGCTTATTGGACGTTATTTCACATGTACCTCCAACTTCGTGTCGAGGAAGAGGCTAAATGTGGTCGATGAAGGGGTCTAGACACTATCTTACGGGTTCAAATATCTGAACTACTGGGAAGAATTCAGGGAGGGTCGTGAAAATTCCAGATGTATTTTGAGTTCGCACAAACCCGTATGCTGTATGCTGATCATCTAACATCACCACAAGCGGTGACTCGGGATAAAATGGGATATAATGATAAAAGGGAAACAAGAAGAAAAAGAAAGAAAGAAGAAAGGTCTAAGAACGCCCTCAAGGCACGACTGAGAAGAGATGGGCGTATCCAGGTGTCTCCCCGGTGACAAGAAACCTCACAAAAAAACCACTGCGCCGAAAAAATGGTAAAATCAAAGATGGAGTCGTCTATCGGGACATGTAGAGAGAATCGCTCGACTCGGTGCGGGGGAATATCCTCGTGTACAGGGAGTCGCTCGATTCGGTACGCGGGAACTGGCGCTGGTGGGCCTTGGAAATGTAGCGGTCCTGGTACACTCCCCGGGCGGTGCCCCGAACGACGGATTCCAGGTATTCTCCGAATTGGGTCGGCTTGAATTCAGGATACAGCTCCTTCGAAGTGATGTAGCCGAGATATTTGGCGTACTCCGGGTTGTTGTCGCCGCGAATGCCCCAGGACAGTTGGTACTCGGCCAGGTATCGAGGGATGAACTTGACGGGGTCGTAAGGATAGGTCTCGCTGGACTGTCGAGCCGCCAGAACGCGGGTGTACACGGTTTCTTCGGGGATCTGCAGGAATGCGCTGGTCAGCCAATGCGGTGCCGGCAGAAAGCGCCGGTACAACTCACGTAGTTTCTCTGGATTTTCTCCTCGCTGATTTCCTCCAGCATGTCGTAAATCTGGTTTTGGGTGACCACGGTGTTGTAGGCCAGGACCATCTTATTTAACGTGCGGTCGTCGGAGATGATGAGAGCCACGTAGCGTCCAATGTCTCTCAAATCGGTCAAAGCAAGGGGGGTGTTGCCATCGCCGACAATCTCGTTGTTGGCGGAGGTCATGGCATAGTCGGCTCTGCCCGATTCGAGGCGAGGGTAGGAGAGTTGGTACCACCAGCCGACGTCGATGATGGTGTAGGGGAGTTGAAGTTGCTTGATGTGGTTGTAAACCGTCTCTTTCTGCAAATTCCCAACAAAAACACGTCGTTAGTCGGTCGATCGTAATTTTTTCGTTGGGATGATCATGCAACCTACCTCATCTCTTAGCCACATGATACCTCCTGGTGGTGCCACCGTGATGAAAGCACAGGGCACGAATCGCCGCACGCCGGCCTTCTTTGCCGCTTTGGCCAGGCTGATTTGATCCTGTTGCTCGGCCGGACCGACGCAACTGATCACGACATCAATGCCGGTGAGGACATCGGTGAGGGTTTCCTCGGAGCCTCGCAAATCGCACCGGCGAATCTGAACTCCTCGCTCCTGGAGAGAGACGATGGCGGGTTTCTGGACCGACCGAGGGCGAACCAGAGCGTGTACTTCCTGTAACGGATCGGGTTAGACAGGGATTTCCATCGGACGACAAAGAAAAAAAAAAGAGAGAGAGAGAATGGTGGGCGATTCGTACATAGGTTGGGTTCTCCAAGAGTCCGTTTGCGATAGAGCCGCCTGTCTCACCAGCGGCACCAACCAACAAAACCTTTGTTCGCGACATGATTTCTGGAAATTGGGCCGAAATTCGGGCGGTAGGGTAGGTTTTGCGAAGGATACTGGGGAAGGGAAGAGGAGAAAGAAGGGTGGTAAATAGTCGACGTAGATGGGTGGCGTGCAGAAGATATATGAAAGAAGGAGAACGAGCCAAAAAAGAAAAGGAAAAAAGAACCAAAAAAGAATAGGGCGAATTTGCCTTCCCTCCTTTTGTTTAAATGGGCTGAGTTTCCCAGCAAAAGGATCAAGGATCGGTCGAGGACGGCGACCCCAAGTAGTCGACTGTGGGTCGCCGGTGGATGTTAAGCTCCCAAACAGAGGCAACCCTTGGGGCATGAGTTGTCGCAGAAGGAGGGGGGCAGAAAGTACGTCATTCCCCAGCGACTGGCTATGTGACTCTAGGAATGTGATATACCGGGCGACCTTCACGCGATAGAATCGGGTGACGGTGGTCAATCTACTGCATTGACTCGTCTGCTCGTTTGCCTGACCCTAGAATGTATGCCTAGGGTGAGAGTGTTAACTGTCGGATCTCACGCCAGATCCTTTCCTCAGCATTTCGCAGCAGAACGGGCCGGTGGCTCGGGAATCGCGAGGGCCAATGGGCATTTACGTCATTTTGGCACGGCTTCCCGGGTCAGCGCAACACCACGCCAGGTTGGGTTTCTTCCATCACCTTCGTTCTCTCGCGGAGGTTGGGGTATTCTCATCATTTAATCGTCATCCTGACCTACCCTCCGGCAGCCATCGGTTGCGAGCCTCTGGATAAGGCACCCAGGTGGTATACAGGATAATAATACCGAGTATACTGGTCATCTTCACGGCTTTTCCGCGTCTGTTCTTCTTCTAGGTTCCTTAGACTCCCGGTCCCTCCTTTCGTGATCTCATTTCCCCCCGTGTGTTCACCCCGGCGTTTCGTCTCGACAACGGCCATGACCTAATTCTGGCGCATAATGCGGGGATCCCAGATTCAATTCCTTTCCCACTTTCCCAGAACCTTCCTCCCCGGAATTCCCAATTTCTGGCCAGGCAACGCACACATTTTCCTGCACTTTTCGGGCCCGTTGATTCGGCGGCCCCTAGTCTATGACTAAGGACCCCCACGTCAGAGATCTTCGGATCGGCGTGGCGGACTCCGACCGTGAGAGGCAAGGGCAAGTAGCCATGATGTCGACGCTGCCAATCGTCTCTTGGAAGCACGCGCGAGTGGGGGTCTGCAGGACGCTCGCCGGTGTGAATTGCGAACAATACTTGGCTTATACCGACTCTGCGACCTACTAGGCCACTACTCCGTAGGCTGCTACTGCGTAAGGAGGGAGCTGGAAGGGCTTACTAGAAACTGTCAAGCAGTCCGCAGGATGGCCTGACGCTAAACTGTGGCAGCGTCTGATCGCAGTCATATGTTGTTCCATCTGGCATCAACTGACCGGCACTTCCCAACGTGATTGACTCGTTGGGACTTCCTGTTCCTGCATTTGAAAGGATGGTGGCGACTAGCCTCTACTCCAGATATTCTATAGCCTCGATGTTTAGCACTAGCCGGCGGGCGGAGAACGGGAGCAACGAATCTTGAAAACGTCAATTGCATGATATAGGCAGTCATTTGACGAGACAATTTCGACGTATTCCATAAATAGGCCCAAGCTCCATGGATGTCACGCCGATAGAAATAATGGTCTATCCAGGTAAGATGCGGAAATAATCGACACAAATAACGAGAATGCGTTTCTGGATCATCCCTGTCTGGTGTGTACTTGACTATTGATTCGACTGCGCACTGAGGGGATCTAGGGGATCTACAATCCTCGACCACCGTTTCGATATTATTCATATCGCTCGAGACCAAAGTCCAAACGCAAGGATCAAATCCGCCCGGTGAATGGAGCCTGCGGCTCCCGTGGAATCCGGGGTCACAGGAAGGTGACTGGCAGCGACCTTGGAATGACCCCGAACGCTATCTGAATAGCTTCTTCGACATGGGCCAATAATGTTCCAACGCAGTAAGGCTTGACCAAAAGCATCGCCTTGAATATAATTCAACACAGGCTGCAATTATCCCAGTCACCGCGATAGCCCCGTGCTAAGACGTCCCAAGACCTCTAGGCTGCAGAATCTGAACCGGTCGGCCTCTGGAGTTGGAAAGAAACCATCTCCAACCCGGACGAGACCAATCCGAGAGGCAGGTTGTCCGAAGTGAAGGACACATTTGCAGCGGCCGTGCCAATGGCCATTCGCAGGCCCCTCGGTCCAATGACGACCAGCGAGAACAGTGGGTTCGCGCGGAGAAATCCCCAAGCGGCTTGGGCTAAGCGCCATTAAGCATGGCTCAACGAACTACCAACTTCCCACGGGCAAGTCCGGGGAGATTCTCAGACTCCAGAGTTCAGGGCCGCCATGCGCCTGCACCTCTGGCTGCACCTCTGGTCGCTGGCATGTGAGAAATGCTCTCCCTGGTGGCCTCGAGTGGCGCCTCAGCCAATAATCGGAAGAATGCGCCCGCTGTGCCGATGCAGGTCGCAGAGAATTTCGCGGCCACTACGACTCAGGGAGCCTAGTTCCCTTTCATCCTGGCTAAGTGGAATGTCGGTGTAGCATTTTTGGCCTCCCGTCAGCCCTCCGTGAGGCACGAATAGGGGCTTCATTATTGACTTGGATGCAACTATGCAACTATGCAGTGTGTACGCGAGTAATTCACCAAGTTTTGACAGAGTGAGAATTCTATGGTCAAGTCGACTTAGATTTTGGCCTTGTCTGAACCCCGCGAAAGGCTGGCACGTTACTCTGGAGTAGATCACTAGCTTTAAGGATCCAAACAGGAAGGTCAACCACTTCCCAAGGCGCTGGGCGTAGTCGATAATAATGAACCGGTGCCGATGAGGCCGATTTTAAATCACCTCATTCATTTGTATAATGTCGTGGGGTTTCTCGCGACAGTAAAAACGTGTCTCTTCTTTTTTTCTTCCGTATAACTAACCGGTGTCACGCTGTCAGGTGATGATGATGGGGAAAGACGGCCTTCCCTTCCGTTCTCTCTTTCTCTCCCTCTTCTTCTTTCACTCTCCTTCTATTCCATCAACAACACACAAACCCTTTTCTGCCAACAATCGCATCCAGCTCCATTTACGGAGCAATGGCTAGTTGCGTTTGGGCATCTCAAAGCTACTAAATCTCAAAAGGATCTGATACTGACTGCTTCCTGGCCATCAAACATTCGGTTGACCACTGCTCTCCCCGATTTGATAAGGGCTGGCGGCAATCTCCGACATTCGAGCCGTGCTAAGAACTTTTCTTTTTCTTCTCTGGCTTGTTCTGGAACGCCCTTTGACACGACCTAACCCCAAATCCGGTCCCCGACTCGCGATGAGTCAAGTCGAGAGGCAGTGACTAATTAAATAGCCCATTATCATCATGGGATGTCATTCCCCAGACCAAGGATCCGGCCAAACATTGTCGTACGCGGTGGCCTTGGTCACTGTAAAGCTGCCTAATGGCTCTTAATTGAGGGCCTTTCCAGTGATTTTCATGAAAACTCTTCACCTTGCTAACCACGTTTGTGTCAATGCTACCCCGAAACTAGGACTAATGGAGAATTATCAGACCTCGAGGATGGAGGATCGGAAAGTTCTCTTGGCTGGGATTGGCTCTCGGTGCCTGCTTTAGACGGGGATTGTCCCCTCCATAGCACTAGGGTTCTTGGGCATGTTTTTGTTAATGAGACTTGGGGTCCAGGTCACAACACATCTCAGACTCTCAACCCCCTTGTCATGCAGCAATCCGCTGTGTCTCCTCTTTATCTCAGAGGCTTCCACCTATCCACCGGGCTCTTCTACTTCGTTTCTCTAGCTCTGATCACCCTCCATTTTCTGTATTCGCAGTGGGAAGTCTTCTGGCTTTTTGATCTCTAACTCTAGGCGCCGGGGTAGCGGCAACCTGCGCGCATGGATGAGAAATCGGTGGCAAAAGAAGCCCAAAATGGCTCCGAGACAGAATCATTTTCTACGACAGATAACTACGAACAGGATCGAGAATGGATTAGACGCACTAATCCCCAGGGCATATCTTCTCACCAGTCAGGTGTTGACGTTCAGAGAGCCGAGCAAGAATTCTCGGAGTTGAATAGGCAGTTTTCTAGCATCTCTCACCAAGCTCACCGCGTATCAACACAAGTCTCGAGGAAATCCAAAGTGGTTGTAGAGAGCGAGGATGTGGAGAATTCAGCAACCTCGGCTGATACTGATGAACCATGGGATCTCGAGACTGCACTGCGCGGCAGCCAGACCGCTGCGATCGAGGCTGGTATCAAAAACAAACACATCGGTGAGTAGCCTCATATCTTGTTTGTAAATATGTTATTTACGCTGTTGTTAACCATGATTGCAGGTGTCATATGGGACAACCTTACGGTTCGTGGACTCGGGGGCATTAAAACCTACATCAAGACGTTTCCTGACGCGTTAATGGACTTTTTCAATGTCCCGGGTCTGATAATTGACTTGCTGGGTTTTGGGAAGAAAGGCCAAGAATTTGAAATCTTGAAGGATTTCAAAGGCGTTCTGCGTCCCGGGGAGATGGTGCTCGTGCTAGGGCGTCCCGGCTCGGGCTGTACGACATTTCTCAAGGCGATCACGAACCAGCGATTTGGGTATACAGGGGTGGATGGAGAGGTGTTATACGGTCCATTCGATGCCGAGTCGTTCTCCAAGAGGTTTCGAGGAGAGGCTGTCTACAACCAGGAGGACGACGTCCACCAGCCAACTCTCACCGTCAAGCAAACACTGGGTTTCGCATTGGACACAAAGACACCAGGCAAGCGACCACTCGGCGTGTCCAAGGCCGATTTCAAAGAAAGGGTGATAGAAATGCTGCTCAAGATGTTCAATATTGAACACACCGCCAATACCGTTGTGGGAAATCCGTTTATTCATGGCGTCTCGGGAGGAGAAAAGCGTCGGGTTAGCATAGCGGAAATGATGATCACGTCGGCAACAGTGTTGGCATGGGATAACAGCACCCGTGGCTTGGATGCTTCGACTGCTCTCGACTTTGCCAAATCCCTTCGGATCATGACCAATATTTACAAGATCACGACTTTTGTTTCGCTATATCAAGCCTCAGAGAATATATACAAGCAATTTGACAAAGTCCTCGTCATTGACAAGGGCCGCCAGGTTTTCTTTGGTCCAGCTGCTGAAGCAAGATCCTATTTCGAAGACCTTGGTTTCAAGGAGAAGCCTCGTCAAACTACTCCCGATTATCTGACCGGCTGTACGGACTTTTTTGAGCGAGAATTCAAGGAAGGTCGAAGCGCAGAAGATGTCCCCTCAACCCCAGATGCCCTCGCAGAGGCATTCAACAACTCCACGCACCATGGCAGTCTTGTGCAAGAAATGGATGCGTACCGAAGGCAGATTCAACAAGAAAAACACATATATGAAGAATTCGAGCTGGCCAACCAAGAAGCGAAGCGCAAGTTCACTCCAAAGTCTTCGGTGTATTCAGTCCCATTCTATCTGCAGATTTGGGCTCTCATGCAACGCCAGTTCTTGATCAAATGGCAGGATAAATTCGCGTTGACTGTCTCCTGGATAACGTCTACGGGGGTAGCTATTGTTTTAGGCACCGTTTGGCTGAAACAGCCCCAAACAAGCGCAGGTGCCTTTACCAGGGGTGGTCTTCTGTTTACTAGTCTGCTCTTCAACGGATTCCAGGCATTCTCTGAGCTTGCTTCCACCATGATGGGCCGGTCCATCGTCAATAAGCATCGCCAATTCACGTTTTACCGACCAAGTGCTCTGTTTATCGCTCAAATCCTGGTTGATGCTTCGTTTGCCATAGCGAGAATCCTTGTCTTCAGCATCATAGTGTACTTCATGTGTGGCTTGGCTTTGGATGCAGGAGCCTTTTTCATCTTCGTCCTGATAATATTCATCGGGTACATCGACATGACCGTCTTTTTCCGCACGATCGGTTGCATGTGTCCGGGTTTTGATCACGCTATCAATTTCGTCTCCGTGCTGATCACTTTGTTCGTGCTTACCTCGGGCTATTTGGTACAATGGGCAAGCGCACAGGTATGGCTGAGGTGGATTTATTTCATCAATCCATTCGGCCTCGGCTTCGCGGGTCTAATGGTCAACGAATTCAGCCGTCTGAACATGACGTGTACTCAAGAGTCCTTGGTACCAAGTGGACCGGGGTATAATGACATTGCTCATCAGGCATGTACGCTCGCTGGGGGTGAACCAGGCTCTGCTATTGTCCCAGGTGCTAGTTATATTGGAACCACGTTCAACTATATGAAAGGTGATCTCTGGCGGAATTTCGGTATCATGATAGCCCTCATTGTTGGGTTTCTTGGAACGAACTTGTACCTTGGAGAAGCAGTTCGCTTCGATGAAGGAGGCAGAACCGTCACCTTTTATCAGAAAGAAAACAAGCAGAGAAAAGCCCTGAACGATGACTTGATGAAGAACTGGGCCAGCCGGCGCTCAAAGGAGAAAGATGCGGTTGGAACCGAACTCGAAATCACATCCAAATCCGTGCTGACCTGGGAAGATGTCTGTTACGATGTTCCTGTGCCCTCTGGAACCAGGCGGCTCCTCAAATCTGTCTACGGATATGTCCAACCTGGAAAGCTAACAGCATTGATGGGAGCCTCAGGAGCAGGGAAGACGACGCTACTGGACGTTTTGGCAGCAAGAAAGAACATCGGGGTCATCAGCGGTGACATATTAGTGGACGGAGCACCGCCTGCCACGTCTTTTCAGCGAGGAACGTCTTATGCTGAGCAATTGGATGTTCATGAGTCGATGCAGACAGTAAGAGAGGCATTGCGTTTTTCTGCGGAGCTCCGTCAGCCCTATCAAACGCCGCAACCGGAGAAATTTGCATACGTCGAAGAGATCATCGCACTTCTTGAATTGGAAAATCTAGCAGATGCCATCATCGGGACGCCGGACACGGGTCTTTCAGTCGAAGAAAGGAAGCGGGTTACGATCGGAGTTGAGCTCGCCGCAAAGCCGGAATTACTCCTCTTTCTCGACGAACCGACCTCGGGCCTAGACAGCCAGTCTGCTTTTAACATTGTGCGGTTCTTGCGAAAACTTGCAGCCGCTGGCCAGGCCATTCTATGCACTATCCATCAACCAAACTCTGCACTCTTCGAAAATTTCGACCGCCTACTTTTGCTACAGAGAGGAGGCGAATGCGTGTACTTTGGCGATATTGGAGAAGACTCCCAAATCCTGCTAGATTACTTCCACCGCCATGGCGCAGATTGTCCTGCTGATACCAATCCGGCGGAATGGATGCTCGACGCAATTGGCGCCGGCCAGACTCGCCAGATTGGCGATCGCGACTGGGGTGAGATTTGGCGCACGTCCCCAGAGATGGAACAAGTGAAGCGAGAGATCATTGAGATTAAGGCCAGTCGCGCAGAGCAAGCTCGTCAGCATGATGGGTCTCAGATTGTGCACAAGGAATATGCAACGCCATTGTGGCATCAGATTAAGGTCGTCTGCAAGCGGACCAACATTGTCTTTTGGCGATCCAGTAAATATGGATTTACTCGCTTTTTCACTCATCTTAGTATCGCAGTGATTACCGGCCTTGCGTTCTTGCAGCTCGATGACTCCCGTGCTTCGTTGCAATATCGGATCTTCATCATCTTCAACGTGACCATCATTCCGATCATCATTATTCAACAAGTCGAGCCACGGTACGAAATGTCGCGATTAGTATTTTACCGAGAGTCCGCCTCGAAGACATACAAAGAGTTTGCCTTTGCCTTGTCCATGGTGGTAGCTGAGATTCCGTACTGCATTTTCTGCGCCGTCATCTTCTTCCTGCCTCTTTTCTACATCCCGGGATTTCAGTCCGCTTCCAGTCGTTCTGGCTATCAATTCTTCATGATCCTAATCACGGAACTTTTTGCCGTCACACTCGGCCAGGTGATTGCAGCATTGACTCCAAACAGTTTTATTGCCTCGCAAATCAACCCTCCTATCACGATCTTGTTCTCGTTGTTCTGTGGTGTTATGGTTCCAAAACCACAGATCCCAAAGTTTTGGCGAGTATGGCTCCATCAGCTCGATCCTTTCACACGCATTGTCGGTGGAATGGTAACCACCGAGCTCCATGACCGACCCGTCACCTGCAGTCCCGGTGAATATAACCACTTCGAGGCTCCTCCAAATCAGACCTGTGGGGAGTACATGCAGCCATTTTTCGACAAGGGCGGCGTGGGGTACCTGGCAGAGAATGCCACCCAGGCCTGCAAGTACTGTGCATTCAAGCTCGGGGATCAATTTTATCAAACCTTTGAGATGAAGTTTGATAATAGGTGGCGAGACCTGGGGATCTACACGGCCTATATCGGGTCGAATCTGATCATCATATTCTTGGCGGTAAGTCGACGATTGAACTTTCCACACGTTTCTCTGTTCGGTTTAATTAACTGTTTAACTAGGCACGCTATTTGGCGTACAACCGGAGATAAAAAGTTGCGAAGCCGTGGTTCAACCCGAGGCGGGGAGGATGTAGAGACTGATTGGTTGTAGCAGATGCTCTTTGGCATCCAAAAGTCAGGTAGGTAGAATGATGCACACCTTAGTGAAATATGAGATTATATGTCTATTGTACAAAAGTAAAAAGTGCCATCGAAAAATACTTCCGTCTGAGAGCTTCCAGATTGCTCATATCGGCAACATACCGGTAAATTGACCAGCCCCCTCAAGAGGACAGACCCAAGCTATACGACTTTCTGTGTAGATTTCCACCTGAGGTTTTCTCTGATCCAGAAGACTAACATCATCAAGAATTCCCGCCCGGAGGATTGTTATATCCTCGGGCTCTCCAGTGGGCTTCACTTTGTACCCGTAGAGCGGAGTGCCTAGAGAGATTATCAGCTTTCCTGAAGTCCTTGTGGTCAAATACTGGGCTCGATTCCACGCACCGCAATCCGAGCAGAAATAGTTTTTGATATGGTTGCCGCTGTCCGCAGTCTTCGCGATTTCTTTAGGAGTACCGGTGACTTTCAGATCGGCGGACTTGACAATAAAGCTGTAGGTGAACAGAGTTCCGGTGAGTTTGCGACAGCCAGAGCAGTGGCAGAGAGCCTGACGAGTCGTGGTTAGAAAGGATTACAAGATGAGACTAAGATATACTGACCGACGTGGTGAGGTCTCCACTGCACTCGACTCGGACTTTTCCACAAAAGCAGCCACCAGAAACCATTTTGAAGGGTTTGAAGATGTTGTTTCACTGCTCAAGTAGCCTCGAAGTGTACTGGATAGGTGACAATCCAACTTGGCGTACTTTTATATACGCGGGTTGATGGAGTCGTGAAGAACAGCTTACCAAGCGGTCCACGCCGCCCCCAACGGAAGGCATTTTGTTGTTCTGGACCCCAACGTCAATGTGTTGGGCTTTTAGGAATATTGGTCATCAATTTTGATAGCAAAGGTCATGATTAGAAAGAGCACATCGAGTAACCAGTTGACCTGACTGAAGAAGAATGCAATGGATGCTAATTTGTCCCCGGATTTTCTTCGCACATGACCGGTCAGCTGCCCCCCCCCCCCCCACGTCTTCTCCCTTGTCGATCTGCATCGCGTCCATGAGAATTTCCACCTATCATCACTCTTCCAATGCTCTCGCCAGCCATGGATGCCCTCGGATTTGGGCCGAGATATGCCGCGGTTGGACAACGCTTTCGAGATAGTGAGCTAGCCAACACTGGAGAGCGTCGAACGGCATTCCTTCCGGCTGCAATGGTTGATCCTATCATGACGCTCCATGCCCCTCATCTGGCCATCATGGCCAATACCTTGGCATAGTCGGTCCTATCACGCCTCCAAAAGACCCCCAAATGTACAAGCTCTGGCCCGAAGGAGGTGGATCAACCAAATGGCTTGGTAGCTCCTCCCGGCTTGATGAGAGCTTAATGATGGGAAAGACCATGCACAGATGCGCCCATCGGGTACTTCTTTCGGGGCTAACGCCTGTCGGCCGTGGTCACTCAAGAAGCGGTCGAAATTCTTTGTATCCGCTTCTCTGCTATAAAACGCTCGGTCGGCTGGGCTATCTGCTATCTCTCGTCACCACGTCCAGTCAGCTCGGGTTACACTTACGTTAATCTCAAGGAAAGAGCGACTTAACAGTAGGCAATGGGCAGCCCTCGCTTAGAGCCGTCTTCAGGCTCCAAGGCTGGCTCGACTGAGACGCCTACGGCTGTGCAGAGTGAAAGTCATCATATCGAAGCGGCATGGAAGGCACCAAAGCCCAAAGAGGGCGACACGGCGATGGCGCTCTTCCAGGTCTCGGACGAGCTCCATGAGCCTGTCGACCCTGCTGAAGCCAGGCGACTGCTTTGGAAGATTGATTTTATGATTCTACCGTATCTTGCGGTTTGTTATGCGTTTTTCTACATCGATAAGGTATGTGCTTTCCCGTTTACTTTGGCTACAGGCTCCTTGGGTTGACCGGTCTTGGGAGGTAATAGACAACGCTGAGCTACGCCGCTATTTTCGGGATTAATGAGGATCTCAATCTTCATGGTACACAGTACAGCTGGCTTAGCAGCATTTTCTACTTTGGTTTCCTGGCGTGGGCGTTTCCTACTAACTTTCTGATGCAACGCTTGCCTATTGGTATTTTGCTCCCTTATCGTGGATATAGAAACAAGTGCTAATCATTCGCAGGAAAATACCTGGGAGTCAACATTTTTATGTGGTAAGTGGGCAGTCCCGTCCTAGAATACGATAGATGATATTAACAAGTCCAACCAAAGGGGCGTGTTTCTCATGATCCAAGCAGCGTGCCATAATTTTGCTACGCTTGCTGTTCTCCGAGCCCTAGGAGGAGCAGCGGAGGCCTGCGCGGACCCTGCATTCATGCTCATCACGAGCATGTGGTATACACGACGCGAGCAACCAGTCCGAATTGGTTTGTGGTACACAGCAAATGGACTTGGAATCGCACTTGGTGGTCTGCTTGGTTATGGCATTGGCCATATCAAGGGTGCTCTTCCGTCGTGGAAATACGAATTTCTTGTCATGTAAGGCACTGGTCTACTCAATTTGGGATGACAACTTGCTGAGTCTACTGGTCTTTCATAGTGGTGCTCTCTGTTCGGTCTGGGGAATCGTGATGTTCATCTTCCTTCCTGACTCGCCCGTCTCTGCCCCTGGTCTCAGCCAGAGGGAGCGTCGAATCGCAGTCGAGAGACTACGAGACAACCAGACCGGTATCGAGAACAAGCATCTCAAGCCTCACCAGGTGCTGGAAGCATTCCTGGACTATAAGCTTTACTTCTTCTTCACTCTAGGTCTTGTCTGTAAGTAGCCATTTCCGAATTCCTGACTTGTATACTGATCACAATTTTTCCCAGGCAACATCCCCAATGGAGGTATCTCAAATTTTGGGACAATCATCATCCAAGGATTCGGATACTCTACTCTAGTAACTACTCTCATGCAGGTATATACACTCCTCACTATTTACATAACCCATCCACGCCAAAACGCCAACTAATCCTCCAAGATCCCCTACGGAGTCCTGATCGGACTCTCCGTGCTCGCCTGTGTCTACCTCAACGACCGCTTCGAGAACCGACGCTGCGTCTTCGTCTTGATCTTCCTGATCCCCAACATTGCAGGGACATTCGGGCTGCGCTTTGTACCCCAAGATCGACAAGTCGGTCGACTGATCTGCTACTACCTAACGGGTCCATACAACGCCGCCTTCGTCCTCATTCTGAGTATGCAAATTGCAAACACAGCAGGTACGTATCCCCGCCAGGCCTCAATCACCATAACTAACAACCCGACCAAAAATCAAGGCCACACTAAAAAAGTAGTCACCAACGCCGTCCTTTTCCTCGGCTACTGCACGGGCAATATCGCGGGCCCGTTCTTCTTCAAAGATTCGCAAAAGTAAGCCATTCCCTTCCGCATTCGAAAACCAGACAAGCAAGCTTGAAACGAGTGTCCTCAAGTCTAACGTATCCAGACCCACCTACGAACTCGGCATCTGGTCCATGATCGTATCACACTTGATCGAAGCCCTCATCATCAGCACCCTGGGGCTCTTACTCCGCTGGGAGAACAAGAAGCGAGATCGAATCCAGTCCCAGATGGAGGGTGGCTTGGAAGGACGAGATCTGGATTCCACGGCGTTTATGGATTTGACGGATCGTGAGAATTTAAAGTCTGTTTTCCCTTTTCCCCTCCCCTTCGTTGTAGATGCTAACTGTGGCTGGGCTTTAGTTTTCGGTATATTTATTAAGGAATCGGGGTGGGATATTGATTGTGATCGGCGGGTTATATTCCTGCGTGAGGCAGAGGTATAGAGCACAGATATACTATTCTGATAACGTGGACGGACTATCCAGGTTCGGAATTAAAAGATGGGTATCCTCCCTGCTATAGGTTATGCACTGTCTAAAACGTCTTATTCTGGCAAGTGTAACTGAACTAAATCTCGCGAGAAGCTAAAGTACAATGATAAGCCGTGACATCGGTCTCAACCTCAACCTTGGGTAAAGCACCTTGCCACAACCAAAAAAAAGCGTATAATGTATTAAGTAAAGGCATCCGTATGGAATAAGCAGATTTCGCTGACCAATGTTCATGTTCCCCAAACACCACCGATTCCTATTCCAAGATCAAAACTCCAATGCATGTAGAAAAAAGATCGAAAAAAGATACCATCCAAATCGACCCAAAGGAAAAATTCTAAGCCTTCTTCTTCTTCCGGATCAAATTCGCCTGGAGCACATTCACCCCGGACGATTGCTGCCCCGTCTCCTCCTTTGCAGCCGGCGCAGCAACACCAGCGCTAACAGTCTCAGCCTCAGCTTCAGCCTCAGCATCCCCAGTCCCCTTTCCAGACTCCGCACCCAGCTGCTCCGCCGCGTCGGGTTTCTTGCGCTTGCGAACCAGTCCGCTGTCCATGAGCGTGGTGGTCACGACCGGCGCCAGCGGCGCATTGCCGTTGGGGTTCCTGCCGACGACTTCGCGGCCGACCCAGAGCTGGTCGGCGACGGCGGCGACCTTCTCACTCCAGGCCCTGGTGCTGGCGATGGAGACCTCCTCGTTGTAGAAGTCCTGATCGAGAAGGTGGTTGATGGCGGTTTTGTAGTCTTCTTCGCCGAGCACGGCGTGGCCGCGGCCGGCCTCGGGCCAGTAGAAGGCGTCCGAGTCGGCGGGTTGGGTTGGTGGTGGGTTTGGGTTTGGGTTTGTCGGAGAGGTAGTAGGGACGGTCGATTGTGGTTGATCGGTCGTGGAGGTGGGTTTGTCGGATGATGTAGGGGAAGTAGGAGTGGGCGCACCACCACCGTCCTCCTCCTCCTCCTTCTTATCCATCGGCCGCTGCACCAATCTCGAGCTCGTCATCTGCACCGAATTCACCAGCCCCGGCGGATTAATCACCAACCACAGAAACCCAACCAATCGGCCGGCCGAGCACTCCTGTCGAAAAGACATCATCTCCCAGAACTGGTCCAGCGAGCGAACGCTCCTCCACTGTCCGGTGGCCTCCCGCTCCTTGTTCCCAGGGAGCTCGTCGTCCAAGTCGACCAGGAAGCGCGTCTTCGGGTCATCAGGAAACCGCGGGATGAGACAGCGCGGCGGCGCGTGGGGATTATCGCACAGCTGACGAAGCGGGTAGGAATTCAGCCAGCGGGGGCGGTCTCCGTCGTCGGATTTGGCACTGGGGGGAAAAAAGCTCCGGGTCTCGAAACGGTCGCAGCTCGGGACGATCAGGAACGCGGTGGCGGAGCTGCGCGAGGACTCCATGGTGCGGTCGAGGAGGCCCTTCTCGTGGGAGCGCGACTCGGGCTCGTATTCGCGCAGAATGGGGTCCACGACGCGACACCACCATTTTATGAGGCCGCGGTCGTCGAGGACGTGTTTCTCGGCGTTCTCGATGCTCCCCGGGAAGAGGTACTGGTTCTGGGCGCGGGCGAACAGTGACACGACGAGGCGGACACCCGGGCGCTGGCGGGTCTGTACGAGGAAGGAGAGGAAGGTGTTCGAGACGCGGCGCAGGAGCGAGATCTTGGGGGCGTTCCGGAGGAGGTGCAGGTGGCCCGTCGAGTCGGCCTTGGAGACGAAGATGGTGGTGAGGTGCGCGGTGCTGTAGACGAGGACCTCGATGCCGAAGACGATGAGCTCCGATGACGAGGAGGCAGCGGCGTTCTTGTCGGCGTCGGCGGCAATGGAGACCGTCAGGAAGTGATTCTCGCAGAAGGTAGACTCGGGCTCCTCGCCGGGAGGTGGCGCAAAGAGCGCTACACAGCGAGTCGGCACCGACGAGACATGGCGAATGGTCAGCTTCACGTCGGTGGGGAGTACTTTGGCCAAGAGGTCCCCTAGATCAACGTCGACGTTGGACATGACGGGCCGAGCGCAGGTGCTTGAGAGGTGAGAGTTGCATGTGGAGGAGGACGAGGAATTGGAGGATGGCTCGCGGGGGATTCCCCTTGAATTCACTTCTGGTCGTCGTCGTTTTTTCTTTTTCTTTGGGTTTTTTTTGGCGTTGCAAAATCCGGGGTATCACGTGCCGCGCCTCGAGTCTCGCCGCGTCGACGACCTTCAATTCCTCATTCTTTCAGGTGAATTCTTCCTATTCAACGGGCCATTGAGGTCAATTGGCCTCAAGGTTCTCTCTACTCGTTCTACAGGTGGCATGGGGATGTTGGTAGCCCCCCATCCGGCCGACTTGGAATGCGACGTATACTCATACAAATGACATCATCATCCACATCGCGACAGAAAATCACTGTCGCTGTAGGAATGGGAATAGTCCCTCGTCTGTGTACAGATTTAGAAATAATTAGACACCGCATCCAGGTCATCCGCATTCAACAGCGCCACCCCCTCCTGAAGAAGCGTCCGCCAGACCGCATTGCGAGTCCAGATGGGATAGTGAGGAGTCTCCCAGTACCTGACGCCGATTCCTCTTTTCTTGGCCGTCTGGATTTGGGACCGGAGGCTATTCAGCTGCTTCTCGCTCAGGATTGCATTGTCATCGCTGGAATTGAGCTTCCCAACCGCACGCTTAAAGCTTGTCGACGCGATGGGAGAAATCAAAGACGTGACACCCGCAAACTCAGGCCGATCCAGCGCATCCAAGGGCGCGTCGAAGAAGATATCCCGGTCCGCAACCGGGCCAACGAGATTCAACGGGGTGTTCCCTGTTCCGATCACGGTAATCGGTCCATGCGCAATGGTCTTGTTGCCTTTCAATGAGGTAAGGTAACCCTTTTCGCGAAGGGGCTGTAGAGCAGCAACCACGGCCTCGAGGGTCTTTGGCCCGGACGTCTTCAAATCAACGAAGAAGTACATGGTTTGAGACGTGTCCGTGTCGAAGACACCGCTGTTGTTGATGGTCAGCTAGGAAGTGAATCACTCCGATGATGCTACTCACTTGTACGTGGGTGACGTGACAAATGGTGTCTTGGGATTTTGGCGTTCAAGGACTTCCACCATGGGATTAACGTAGAGGGACTCAAAGGTCCGCTCTTCAGTCAAAGAAGACTCGTCGTGCCCGACCTACTAGGCGTTAGTTTCCATAGTCGCATTGATGCTGTAGATCTTACATAGAGGGTGCCGTTGTATAGCCACACATCGGCTTCGGTGGAGACGCATCCTCTCGAGAGGCCTTCAGAAAAATGTTAGTTATCGCCAAGGGGAGAGGCGAGACCTTGCCATACCGGTATAGAAAGGGATATCTCTCCAATAATCACTGCGTTATAGTTAGCGCTCCATAATCATACTGCATAGATGACTTTCAAAGAACCTCATCACTTACTTATGGGAATGCACGGGAATCTAGAGTGGCAGAATGAAGCTGTCAGCTGTGTTCGGCCATTTGCATAGTTGCCTGATTTAATGTTGTCTAACGGCGAAACCTACAGGCATGATCCCTCTCGTGAAATCAGTCGGATACCCATACTCACTTCCGCCATGAGTGTTCTTCAACACGTTTTGGAGCTCCGGCGGAATGGCCGCCACCAGATTCAGCAGGCTCGCGACGAGAAGCGACCGCGACGGGAACATCTTTGCAGGGGCAATCGAGGTGAAGACCTGCGAGGGAAAACAGTCAAGAATAACAACAAAGAATAAAAAAATACAGATAAGAATAATAAATAGAGGACGGATGTGTTAGGGAACGTAGGAGATGAAATGATGAAAGCCGAGAAACCGGGGACTTTTTGCCTGCCAAACAAAACGGGTGGATGCCCTCACGTGGCGGGATGCTGGTCAACGTCTCGTCGCCTCCGGTTGGGATAAAACTCGAGGGTAAAATTAATATGTAGACCAGTAAAATTAGAATGGAGATATTTTATCTCTGTCGATGTTCAGTCAGTGGTGGGGGAATAAAATGCTGGCTGCTCCATGGCTCTACAAGATGGATGTTCCTAGGGATATTCTCTACTCGAATACTGAGACAATCGTCGCAAAAAGAAAAGGAAAAAGAAAAGACCCTCCCAGATAGAATTTTTACGAACCATACGCGCAAAAACATCGTCTCAATTGCAAAACGCCTATCAGGTATCATGTAGACGAAAAAAATCATTACAAATCAAGCTATGTTCTTGAACCACACGAATGCACTCCACGTTCGACCAGCAGAGATGGAGTGAGCGCTCGCCAGAAAGAAAATGGTTAGACTTCTCGAATCGACGCTGGTCGGGAGTTGGCTTGGGAGTCCTGCGTGCTTGTGCGTCGAAGACTGAGATTTCCAATCCGTTGCACCAGGTTGCTTCCAACGGCATCCACCGCTCCCTTCGGTGCAAGTAATGTAGGGCCTTGGGCTGCAGCCTCCTGGACCTTGAACAGCTTAATCGCAGTTCCATTCCACACTCCCACTGTGCCGGGAGTTGCGCCCGACGCGGATCCAACGACCATTTCGCTCGAGAAAATAAATCCCCAAAGCAAGGACTCATACCAGCCCATCGAGAGGGCCGACCATTCGAATGAATGCACACGCACTGGGGCAGGCTCCGCTACGATGTTGTGGATGGCTGGGTCTTCCGCAAATGAAGGAAGGTTGTCGATCAGGGTACGGGCCTCTGGGCTTGAAGACGCCTGGAAAGCGGATTCGGGGATGTGCGGCGTGATGGCCGAGATCAGCGTCAGGATGGTGTGTAGTGGCAGCTCCGGCAACCAGGATTCGAGCTAGGGGTTGTCCCGTTAGTGATCTAGTGCATCGATAAGTGGTTAGATTAGATCAATACGTACCCATACTGCGGTCGGCGTGAAACCGTTGGGAGACGTAAGGAGTGCCGCCGACATGCTGCTCTGACTAGTCATACTGTTTTGCCGAGAAAAGGACGGCTGTCCAGCGGGCATTTTCCCTCGGGCCTTCTCAGACATGCCTCGGAGTTGCAAGGGAACGCTTTCGTCCACAACAGAAGACATAGACGGTCTTCGCGAGCTCTGGACAGATGGAGACGTGTGGGCTGGTGTCTTTTGTCCTTCTTGCTCGTCATCAGAATCGTCGTCTCCGCCTATAGCAAAGGGGCTATTTTCTTCGGGGATGCGACCCAACGGCGATCGCGCACCGGAGGAGGCGTGAGGGTCTTCTTCTGATGCCGACAGGACAGGGCTAGAAGCCTCGTTGGATCCATTCTCCGCCTTTCTCCTCTCATTCTGGCGTTCGATTTCTTGCTGTCCACTCTCGAGTGTAAATTCTCGGACTGCCTCAAAACGTCTTCGGTGCTTCAGGATTGCATAGACCAAGAAGGGGTTTTCTATTGAACGATTAGTTGGGGTTCCTGCACACAAAGAAATATCACATCTTCTTACTGGTGAACTGATGCTCCAAAATTGTATTGATGGATTCAAGCACCGAAGACAAAAGGGCGTGGTTTGACTCGTTCGCGAGCAGGAAACTAGGCGCGGACATCGACGAGAAGAGCTGCAATAGCTTCGAGCAGGCTGCTGGCGACAGATTCTCGACGTACGCTGCGACGTTGTTGATGATTGCGAGGAGTGCTGGGTAAACAGCATTTAGATTTCCTTTGCTCCCGGTGATCAAAGTGTGGACGGACTAGAACAGTCAGCGAGGCCATGTCAAAAGGGAAGAGACAAGACAAACCATAATAAGATAGTCGGCATAAGACCCTCTGAAACCAGGGATGCGAATGCTGGGAGGGAGGGTTTCCTGGGCCTCGAACTTGGTGTTCAAGCTCTTCCCAAAGTTGGGCTCAACGCTCATGGTCTGAAGAATGAATATGCACATTCGAACCATGCCTTGTTTGGATGGGTCGGACTTGTATTCTATAGCGTAAAATATGCAGAGGATAATGAAATCATGCGAGCGCTTCGAGTCGATGATAAACGACCTGAACCGTTTGTTGCACTGCAGGGCTTCCCAGAAGAGGATCAGCATCTCCGGCGCCCATTTAACAGTCTTCTGGCTACCAGGAAGGTAAGAATTCGTTGCTTGCATCTGCCAATTGTATGTGAGCGTCGGAAGTCACCAGGGTTTAGAATAGAAACCTACAGGCTGGTTCAGAATTCTCGTCATGCCGTCAACAAGGAATTGGAAATCCTGGGGCCTATGGAGTCTTCCAAAATAATGGCGGTAATAGTTCTTAGGCGGGCTGCCACGGCCATCCTCGGGAACAGGATATAACAGGAGAACAAGAAGAAACTGCAGGCAATAGATGACCAATATCTGCTTTGGATCTTTCCACACAACGTGGTCATATGGGACCCGCCAGGAGGCAGGATTGTATTTGACAGCCTACCAGTGCGAGTGAGCAAATGAACAAGCAAAGAAAAAGATCCAGATCTTCCCAGACATACCGTATTCAGCAGTGAGCAGAGCAAGGTCAGAACGGCTTGCTTGTCAGAGGCTGTCGCAATGTAGGTAATAGCTTTCACGCCTTGCACGGGCAGTAATCCTGCGCATTTATCAGCCAATGTCGTCGGGGGTCCAAGACGGGCAGAATTTACCAGAAGGCATATACATGGCCTTGCCTGTTATCGTAAGCAATAGCCGAAGAACCTCACATCGATTGTTCTCCAGTTCTTTACTAGAGCCCATGGAGGAATTGCACCCAACACCACTCTGCCAGATCGAGTAGGAGACCTTATTTGTCGCAGTCGGCAGCTTCGGGATGGTAAAGTCCGTGAAAAAGAGAAGATCCAACAGGGTGTCGATCAACTCTTCTGCCAACGGCTTCTTGTCCTCGTACTCATTGTCTCGAGGCGACGTCTGGTCGCGCATCTCTTCCGGCTGAGCTTCATCGAACAGCACCTCGGCTGCCACCTGAGCCTCCCTCGTCTTTCTCCTGCGACGGCCCCAGAAGAATTTCTCCTCCCATTCTTCCAGGTAATCGGCTTCGTAGATGAAGGGGAGGATGCGGGTGAGGATGCGAATGCAGTTGAGGGCGTCGCGGTCGGAAGCGAGTTCGGGATCCGGGAACGAAGGGTGGTTTTTCAGGATCATCAAGCGAGACGTCACCGACAATAAGAGCGTTTCAAAATTCGTAATGGCATGGTCGCGAGTCCGCCGAATATCGGCCGGGGTGAACAGGCTGAAGACGTCTTCGGTCGACTCTGGGAGCTCCCAGAACTGCAACACGGGGCATCAGCGGGGGTCCAGAACATCCTTCACACTGCAGATTCACGGGGAGCAAACAAACCCTCGCCCAGTAAGGATCATCGCCAGGAATATCTCGCTCCTCCGACAGACGGAAGATTCCCTGCTTGAAGACCAGCTTGGACTCCGAGGCACCCATGATAGCCACCAACAAACGGGATTCACGGGCCTATGTGCCTCATGCAGTAAGCGCTATCAGCGAGGAAAGAATGGCTCGAAGTTAGAGTGCAGCGTGGGGAGAGATTCGCATATGGGGACAGACTCCCGGTCGTCAGAGGCCGCGTGTTGGATGGGACTTGTGGTATGTTGGCGTTCTTGTTCTTGGGGTTCTTTGCGGGAACTACTGATTAGCCCGCGGAGAATCAGGATTCGCTGGGGAACTCCAGATGGCCGTGCCTTGCTCTACCCGGACGCTTGGTTCATGACGTTATTTGTTCCTGGCCTTATTCTATCGCTGGAATAAAGCTCGTTCTAGTGCGCTTACTGGATTATAGACTGACGTGACTGTAATTTCATTTCATTTCGAGCGGCGGCCTCCGGTCGCATGCTCCGTATACCGAGAAGAACGGAAAATCCTCGGAATGATATAATGCGGTCTAAATCTGAAACGCTTTGTCTAACAAAAAAATAACTGCGGTTGTCCACCTTTTTCCACGCCTAGTTGTAACCCTTCCCTAACAAGACCAAATCAAAGACTACCGTTACTCGCTGATAGTCGCCGGCTCCGCTCATATAACCATTTGTTGCTCAATCCCAAGCTCACACGCTTGCCACCGACAGGAGATGGGGTTGCCGGCGCAATACTGGACATAGTGGATTCCCCGAACAGCGAACTCCGCCCGAATGATGTTGACGACCCGAAGCTGGGTCTCCGCCCGTTGTCTCTTCCTCCGTTCGATACTGCTTTGTGGAATAGCGGACTGGGAGAGGGGGAGAAAGATGCGCCCGAAGACAGTCGACGTCCTGAAGGGCTGGTGCTTGCCGATAGGGGCGACGCAGCCTTGCTAGCAGAACTTGCGGTTCGCGACGCAGAAAGCCGATACTTCGGCGGGGTGATGTACGTGCTCCCCGGCGTCAGTGGCGATGTCGTAGAGGGATCAAGTCCAAGGAGAGAGCGCTGAGTGGGGGTGAGAGGAATATCGGAGAGATCGTCCTTTGATCGGACGAGAGGCGACAGAGCCAAAGCTATGTTTGACAAAAATAGGAGTTGAACGGCGACACGCAAGAAATTGAAAAATGCCGAGGGCTCAAGTGTGCTCAACAGCGAACTGGAGCTGCGAGGGAAGAAGAAACTTGAGTCAGGCAAATATCGCAGCACACCACGGGAGACCCTACTCACTAAGACTGGACAGTGTCGCCGTAGGCCCGCACCGCAACTAGAGCGATGGTATTCCAGACGATGCTTCTGATATTTTGGTCGCCAAATGTCCTCGCATTCTGACGCCGGACTATTTCATCCAGTTGAGGATGGCGCCACTTCCCAGGCGTCCGGGACTGATCGGCAGTCGGAGTGGGCGCAGAGACCGCTCTAGGGGTCGAGGGTAGAGGTGAAGACGCCATTGAGGTATCGTACAGAAGATGGCGCAAACGAAACAAGCGAAAAGAAAAAGAAAAGAAAAGACTGCATAGGGTAAGCGACGACAAGTTCCGGTAACAAGCCTGAGGAGGAGGGGGATAACGTACCTTGGAGAGGAAATTGATGCACTTACCTGAGAACGAATTGCAGAGCCGGCAGTAAAAGTCCCGCTAGACGGACATTGGCGTACAGACAGACCAATGTTAATGTACGATTAAAGTCCGGACGGGGCCATAGTCGCAGGACAGGGAGCTGCTGGAGGGTGGAGGAGGGACGATTGTTTTGATGGTCGATGCACCTGCGTTCTCAGGCAACCAGCCACAGGCGCCTTTGACGCGAAGTTTTCCTGCTAACTGCGGCGGGTTAGACGCGGAGCCAATCGGCGGCCCCACATGTCGGCAGCTCAGCCCTCCTCACGTCACTGTCGCTCGCTTCTTGGGACTTGGGAGACGTCGCCAACTAGGCTGTGCCTCTCATCTTGAATTTCTGCTCATTGTCTCTCTCACCCCCTTATGTTGCATGGTTGTCATCCTGCGCCGAAATACTAGCATTCAACCATGGCTTCGGAACCGTCGTTGTTCGCCAAGCTGGACACCTTAGTGTCGGATGTTCTGGCTGACTGGAACCTCTACACTACCCTCATCGCAGGCGCTATCGTGGCCTTTGTCGTCTTTTCCTTCGTGACCTCGAGCGATCCCGATATTCACCCATTCTTGCTTGCCCGTCAGTCGTCCGCCTTTCCCGTGCGCCAGCCCGGCGAGTCATCCAGCTACAGAAGTCTCGAGACTCCGCATGGCTTTCCTCTTCGTTCCGGCCTCAATGTGAAGGACGCCGGTGCGCCGAAATGGACCAGTGGAAGAAAAGGTGACTTGCGAGATATCTGGAAGGCTGCTGTGCGCGGGGCCGTCGATGAGACGGGCAAGATCTCGGGCAAACAAGGCAAAGTCTATACGGTGCTTGGGAGGAAAGCGATCGAGCACTCGTTGGATCAAGTGACTCAGGAGATTAATGTAATCGGACACCGTCTGCAAGATTCTGGTATCAAAACGGTTGCCGTCTGTCTGACAGACTCGGTCGAACTCTTGGCCGCTATCTTTGGTGAGATCCTCGGTCCGATTTGTCGAGTAGCTATCGATTACTGACATTGTGAACCAGCCGGCGCTTTCTACGGTTTCAAGACCATCATTGTCCCCCATAACCTTGACCCCGAATCTCTATCCGCTCTGCTGCAAAAATCCCAGGCTGAGGCTCTCATTGCCGAGGCCGGAGCTCTTGATCTGTCTTATGTGGCCAACAGCAACAGACAGCTTCACCATGTCATCTGGGTTGCAAAGCTGGGAAGCAGACATATGGACTGGAACGACGTGCCTGAAGATGTCAAGGGCAACTTGGAAGTGGCTGTCTGGCATGAGCTGGTTGAAGAGAAGAAGGATTTGGCTGGATTGGAAGTGCCTAGCTGGGATCCCAGTTCCCCCACGCCGTCCCTGACCACCATTTGGCCGTCGGCATCGGGACCCGGTGATTTCGTTGAATATCAGCCAGAGGTATGCCCTTAGACCCATCTACAATTATGACCTTGCTAACCAGAAATAATAGAACTTGGTCTCGGGTATCGCTGGCCTGACTTATTCATTGCCCCGAAACCAGCGCTTCGGTCCCAGTGATCTGGTGCTCTCCATTGATTCGCTTTCTCGCTCGTACCCCCTGTGCCAGATCATGGCTGCTCTGTATTCGAACGCATCGGTTGCCGTCAACTCGGTTGCTGGTGAAAGCGTTGATTTCGCGCTCGCCACCGTCGGAGTGTCTCCCACCGTCATTGTCGCCTCGTCCCGCACCATGGCCGACTATCACGACAAGTACATGGAACCCCATTCGGGAATCATTACTTCCCTGGCTCGTTGGTTCCACGTTCGAACTCTGGATTCTGGGGTCATGCCGTCGCATGGTCTGTTCAGTCAGCTTGCCACTGTCGGGCCGACCGCCGAACTGTCGCTTGATAAGCTTCGGCTGTTGTGCATCTCCCATCGGTTTGATGCGGACCGTGAAGTTCGCCTGACCACTGGCCAGCTGACTGATTTGAGGGTCTTCACTGGCGCTCGCACCGTCTATGCTTTGACTGGTCCCGGGATCGCCGGCGCTGTTGCCCAGACCAACATCTTTGACTATAGGCGGCTCCAGGGCTCGAGCCCATTTGGTTCTCCCTTGAGCAGTGTTGAGGTCCTGCTGACTGATGTGCCCGAGGACCAGGAACTCCAAGGCAAAGTAAGTTGCTTGTATCTTTGGTTTTCTCATGCCTTTTATCTTTGCTAATGGATGGCTGTGCTATAGATCACCGTGGCCGGTCCTGCCGTTATCTCCGGGAAGACGACTCTCCCCACGGAAGGCCGCATACGCGATGACAACACTTTGCAATTGGTTTAAATTTACTGCTCAAGTATAGTGGCTTTGGGCGTTGTTAGCGTTGAGTCTCACACTTGTCCGTCTCTTTCGGTTTTCTGCCTCTCAAGAAGCAAAACGTGAAATTTGATTTTATCTGTGACTAAAGACCAGAAATAGTTATTTTGGCGGCAACACTGAATATCGCACATGCTCTAGTACAACAGAAAGAAAGATTGCATCCATTTTCAAATTCAGATAAGATACAGCTCCGAGAATTCTAGGTGGTAATGTACAGTTCATAGACAATGCGGGGAAGTAAAAATAAAGCAATCGTTTAATCCTGGTGCAAGAGACGGCTCTGCGCCAGGCCAATCGTAGGCTGCTGCTGGGCCTTCTCGGTTGCCAGCTTCTTCTGGTTCGCGATCAACATGCCCAGCTCATTAATGCGCGTCTTCAGACCGGGGGCAATCGACCTGTCGTTCGAGATTCCGTGAACCTGCATAGCAAGCTTCATGCCGTTGTAGATGGGCACGTTTTCCTGCAGCATGTGGTCGACATTGACCCAGTCCTTAACCTCGCTGCTGAAGTTGCCCGCTTGCCAGCTTCCTAGCAGACGCTGAGCATAGGCACGAACATCGCGAGTCTCATCCTTCCCTCCGGTCACATTCAGGGCCCGAGCGGCACTGAGCTCCAGCAAGACACCGATCACCGCCGGCTTTCTCTTAGGATCCGTCGCCGGGTCCTGTACGAGGTGCTCAGGGGCCTCCATGAGCGAGGCAAACTGCTGCGCCAGCGCCAGCGCCTTGGAGACCGCGGGGTCCTGGAACTCGCCCACCTGAGCCTTCCGGTGAATTTCGAAAAACAGACGCTTGACGAATGCGGCGTTGGTCAGTCGCAGGTTGGTCCGCTCCGCCTGCTTGGCGCACTCGAGCACAATACCCAGAGCATCAGCCTGGCCGGCTTTGCGCACCACCCACTCCCACCGGTTGGCGTTGAGGCGGCGATGCGACATCCGGAGCCCAGACAGGAACGGCAGCAGGTTCTGCCAGTCCTGTGTCGTCTGCATCTGGGCGATCACGTCCACGGCTTCCTTGTTCGTCGGCCTCGATTGCGGGTCCATGGGTCGGAGCGTGAAGTTCTCGGTGTCGCTGATGGGGACGGTGACGGGTTCCTCGTCTAATCGATCGGCGTACTTCTGTCGGAAGATCGTCCTTCTTTGCGAGGTTCCCAGGCCGAATGGGATGAAGAGCTCTTCCCGGAAGCGGTTGAGGGCGGCGTCCAGGTCGGCGGAGGAGGTCTGGGTGAAGGTAGGAATGGCTGCATCGGCACGGTCAATATGCTGCACAAGATATATCGGTATGGACTAGAGAATGAGCCAGGTACCATTTCTCGAGTAGCTGCGCTTCTGCGTCAGAGAGCCGACGGATTGACGCAGAGAACTGGAACTCTGGCCGCGGAAGAGCCTGCCAATGGCGTTCTGCGCCATTCTGGAGGGATGAAAAGGGGGGTATCAATGTATAAAGCAAAGGACGAAAATTCTCGGAGCGTTGTCTCTCTACCGCGTAACCACAGTTCTGACCCCAGAAGTCCGAATCAAACGCGGAGCATCGCACGCTTCCTCTGCCGGCGGAAAAGTTGGTGAATCTCTCTCTTTGGGGCACCTCGCGGCTTGGCGGAAATTCTGCCGGGCCGGATCTTCCTCCGCCATCTCCAAACTTCTGTTCTGCTCTGCCCGGACTCGAGACCGTGCAGTTTCCGCCTCTAAACTCCCCCGCCCATTTTCCACGGTCATGGCGACCGTTTCCCCGATAATGCGGCAGCTGGGCTGCTTCAGATCGCTCCTGAAGCCTCAGTCCTTGACGCCGGTCCAGTTCAGTCGACCCATCTCGACTGCGTATTCTCCGAAGCCAGAGCCGGCGCCTCTTCCCACCAAGATCCCCAAGTCCCTGCTTTCGCAATTACCTCCGCGGATGCAGCCTAACTTCGGTACGCCCTTCTTTTTCTTCGTCATTTTTACCCTGTTTTTTTCCGTGCAATGTCCATGGCTAACTTCAATCTACAGGGCGCAAGAAGCTCAGGGCCTATCCTCCGCCTGCCAGCGCTCGTAAGGCGTGCAAAGACCCCGTGAACGCCGTCGCCGAAGCCCAATTGGCCAGCCTCGATCCCACCGGCGAACGCAAAGCCCTCTTCGACTACCGACGGAACCCTCGCAGCGTCAAGCCCGGCGACATCCTCCGCGTGACGTTCAAGAATGGCGACCCGTTCGCCGGCGTGTGTCTGAGCATCCGTCTGCGCGGCATCGACACGTCGTTCCTGCTGCGTAACGAGCTGACCCGAGTGGGCGTTGAGATGTGGGTGAAGGTGTTCAGTCCGAACGTGGAGAGCGTGGAGATTGTGCAGAGATCCGACAAGCGGAAGAGAAGGGCCAGGTTGTATTACATGAGGTACGTATCTCCCTAGTGGTCTGGTGAGGTTTTAGTTCGTGGATTGGCTAACCGTGACTTTTTTCGACCTTACAGACAGCCTAGACATGACATGCGCAGCGTCGAGAACATCGTGTCCAACTACCTCCGCCAGAAGTCCGCTCTTGCCGGTGGTCGTAACAACCGGAGGCGGTGATTGGAAGGTGATGCGCGGTTGGAGTTTTGCATTTGGCGATTGTATTAATAGCACATGTATATGGAATTTGACGTGGGATCGTTTATCTTTTGTACTCTGGATAGAAAACAATATAGGTCTTTTTACTATGTCCTGGTAGTCACTTTCCATCGGTCTAATCTTCTATGGAAGTTAATGGCAGAGCATTTCTACCTCAGGCACAAGACAAGGCCTTGCTGATGGCCTTGCCGATATGACTCGAACAGGAGTTACTGCTCGTCTGGCATACGGCAAAGATCAAGACGTCCACATCAAGTCAATATGTATCAGTGTGGTAGCACGACACCAAAAGGTCCATGGAGGCACTTCTTTTTTTTTATTAGTCAGGATGGTTTCACTTACCTACTTGCTACTCACACAACACCCCTTGCCTTTTATCTCACCAAGTAGGGTAGCCTCCCATTTGATATTCTGATTCTAGCAGACTAGAGTCTACAAGCCAGAAAGTCCTGGAGAACTCATACTCGATCACGATAGGCGCAGCTCAGAGTAGCGCATCTTCTTCCACTAGGCCTTGATCCAATTCCAGATGATAATAGCGCATCACTCCCCTGAAGTCGGTAATTCCTTTTACTTGGGCTGGACGACTTTATCCAAGGAAAAGGTTGATCAGAGGTGCCATCAAGGTCCAGGCAATTGGCGCAAACGAAACATTATCTGGGCACAGCTGAGCGACAGAAAATAGACGATTCCATCGGTATACTTGAGGATCTTGTTGAACTCAACTTAATGCAGTTCGTCCTCATAATAAACGCCAACACAGCAACTAATAATTTAACTTGGAGTTCTGGTGCCAGTGGACAGTACAACACTGACGGGCATCATGACACTGGCGGATACTGTGATGGTAGCGGTGGTGGAGGTGGTGGGGGGGGGATGTTGAACCGATCTCGTCGATGTAAATTTTGAAGAGTTGGTGGTGTTGTACCTGAACCCCAATAGTGTACCAACTAATGGATCAGACTCGACGTTTAGCAGCATACACATCTATATGAAACAGGGAGGACGTCCAGCATTTCTTCAGGAGAGTGGTTATTAAAGACAAAATTGGCCACGCATATTTGTCTTCTGTACCTTAAGACCAGATCACATTTATATATACCCCAGCATCTCGGTTTGAGGGTTCTCTGTTGCTCTGGAGTATACATATAAAATATGTATAAGTGGGGGCCTGCTAGACCGGATCGGGCCGGTTCTATCTACAGGCTATAGGACTAGGTATTCTATACGGAGTAAGCATGCCCCGTATACATAAACACGATACCATCTAGTAGCGACAAGAAAGAACCAGCCAACTCACTTTGGGTTTATGACTGAGCCGGTGTTAGTATTCGGCACGGCAGTGTCAGGCACCCTATTCTGGACCTAAATAACACCAACCAATCGAGAAAATCATTGATATCCTGTATTTTGGGCACTTTTGCACCCATTCGATAGTCAACATAAGCAGGAAACAAGCAATAAAAGCATCAATTAATCTCGGAAGCTACTGAGATTCTAAAAAAGTGCTTTTTTTGGACCAAAAAAGATGGGCCCGAACCGCGATTCGAACGCGGGGCCTCTCGCATTTAAGATATCGTATCCCACTGGTAATTTGTTAGCTGTTGGTTCTAACCGCTTTTTGATTAGGGTACTTACAAGCGAGAATCATACCACTAGCAAATCCGGGCAGTATGACTAAATCTTGCAAAAATGCGTTATTCGGTCTTGCATCAACTAATAGTAAAGAATATATTTAAGATTACAAGTTGAGATTACAATCACATCCAAAAATGTACCTATGCTTGGCTGGAATTCTCCACTAGGAGGTTGACCGCAGACGATTCTAATATAACACTCCCCATAGCGAAGATAAAGCTATCGTAATTACTCCTATGAATCAAAAAAATACGTTTAAAGAGGACATCTCGAATATAAAACCATAATAGTGCTTTTTGGCTTCTCTAGTCTGCCATATGCGCGGCATAGATCTAACAGAACTATTTCATGCTGGTTCTAAATCTAGCCTGGATGTCGTATGTATAGGCGTAAAGGAGCCGAGGGCTACCATGGCGATCTAAAAAGATCAAAAAGATGACGAAAGTACATGGATGAGTGCACCTGATGAATGAATTGGTTACATCTAGGTTACAAGTAAAAATAGGTCTTCCATAGTGTTACATACATCAAAACCATGAAACCGCAAGGATCTTTAAATAAGATAGTCGTCTTTGCATAGGGACACCGATAAGGAAATACTAGTTTAGCACCTCACTAGGTAAAAATAAATCAATGAACTGGTAGGGAGCTCAGTCCTAGGCAACGTATTTTCGGGCAGGAAAGACAACTTGCTCACGCCTTAGAACTTTCTGGGCCTTAATGATGTATTCGAACTGTTATTTATCTAGTTATCTCGGCCTAATGAGCTCTCCGCATCTTGCTGATTCTGGGAGCTGACCTCTAATCGCTGACAGGGATTCCGGCATTTTGGGCGGTTGTCATTGGATTGGTTGGTGCTGCGACTCGATAAAATACGTGGACTCGATAGACGCACATGCGTGGCATTCTTGAATTGCTCGAGATCGTTATAAACGAGCAGAATAGTGATGGAGGTAGGCGAGCAGCGAGCCTTGTATAGCTTCTATACTGCTCAATCGGGAGGGAAAAGAGATGAGACTCTGCGTTCATAAACTGAAAGCTTACAGATATTCGAGAGCACCTAAAAGAAAAAACAAAGACCAAAATGAATGAATGAATGAGTGAGTGGGTGAATGAGTGAATTGCATCTAAGTAGAAAAAGGTCTTCGCAGTTGGTGAATTGAAATAATCTTTTCAACTGTCCTATAGGGTTGGAGCAGGGAGGAAGCTTCCGTGGGAATTTGGGAAAGCTCATTTCACGAAGTCAATTATGTCTTGTGGTATTCACGCCCTCGTCGCCACATCCTCTCGAATCGTTCACATACAAACCATGTTGCTTCGGAGACGCCTGGGCTGTTCATTGAATACAACCAAATGACCTTACGAAGCAGCAACCTGAGAATATAATACTGGATGGAGAAGAAACAGCAGGTTATCTGATACCCTACCTAGCCCTAGCCTCTGCAAACCGATTCAAACTCCAGTTGTATTGCGAAAAAGTTGTGGGCTCTCTAGATGTCTCATCGAATGAGGCACAGTGCATCTATCTATAGTCGCCTTGCTCTCTCGTCACTCTGTGGGAAAATCCAGGGCCAGCTCAACAGCGAGCCAGCGAAATTTTCAAGTTTGCGGCAGCACTGAAGGGCACACACGGCATCAAGCCTTACTTCTGCAGCCCTGTCACCGTCGTCTTCCATATCCTACAAATATTTCATGAGGAGGAAAACGGTGCGGAGAAAATGACCCCCGAAACCCTTCGTCCTATTATCCAAGCTTTCCTCTTCCGCAAAGGCTTTTGGGATCCTACGGACATCAGTCGCCTAGAGTCAATTTGGGGACCCCTATCGAGGGGTATTCTATTGTTTCTGTCCGCGTTACGCCGAATCCCCCCGAAATCCGCGAGACGAAGACCTGCATTCTCAATATAGAGCTCCCAAGAGACAGACGTGGGGCCCTAGACAAGAACCAGCTTCTTGCAGTGGATCAATTGTATGCGAATTTGCTGTCGATGAAAAACCTCGAGAAAGACTCTGGAGCAGAGACGACATAATCACACCCTCATCTTTTCAATGCAAATAATGTGGGATTGGCTGATCCTCAAGACCTACAAGAGCTGTTTGCTTTGACGAAAGAGAACACACCTTTATCAGCAAATGTGATTCGAAGCAGATATGTGCACTAAGATCTGGAACCAGCGATATTGGTATTACGCTTCAGTGAATCAGATATTTCCTGAAACAGAAGAACATCCTGGGCACCATGGTACTTGATTGAAGCGCTTCAATAACGACAACTCCTTATCACCATAAATAGAATCTCCAGGACACAATCTGATGGACTTCTGTCTCCAATTGCAATTCGATGTTAGTTGAAATTCTTGGGCAGGGATTATCAGTGGATCATTTGACTTAATTCTCCCAATGGATCAATTTCAATGGCTACTATTTTGAATGAAGTATGCCAGCTTCTCTCCACATGATATCACCGCCCCACCGGTTCTTCGTAGCTTCCCAACCCCTCCTCCTGTTTGCCTTCCAAACATCTACATCAATCACGTCAAACGCCTTTCTCCAAACTCTAGGTATATCCCTGGCTTGTTATTCACCATGCCCAAGGTCTTCATTACCGGAATCACCGGCTACATCGGCGGCGACGCATTCTACCTGATCGAACAGAACCACCCCGACCTAGAGATCTCCGCCTTAGTTCGATCTACGGAGAAAGCCAACCCGATAGCAGAGAAATATCCTCAGGTCCGAATCGTCCTCGGCGGGCTAGACGACGCAGAAATCCTCGAGCGGGAAGCGGCCTGGGCAGACATTGTGATCCGTATGGATTCCCTATGCTTGACTGCCTGCCCCAATCTTCGCGAGAAAGATCTATTGGCTTACTTTTACCAGATACCGCGGATTCGTCAGACCACGCGGTCGCCGCCAATGCCATCGCCAAAGGCCTAGTGGAGGGCCACACTCCGCAGCGCCCGGGGTACTGGCTGCACACCGGAGGAACCGGGATCCTGACGTATTTCGACTCCGAAGTTCGCAAGGTCTCCGGCGAGCATGACGACAAGGTTTTTAATGACTGGGACGGGGTAGATGAGTTGGTGAATCTGCCTGCGGCTGCGTTTCACCGGAACATCGACGAGTTAGTGTTGAAGACGGGCACGCAGCATGCCGACTCCGTCAAGACGGCGATCGTCTGTCCTCCTACAATCTACGGACGCGGCCGGGGGCCGGGGTCTGGACGAGGACGACAAGTTTACGAGCTGGCATCGTTCATCATGAAGGAGAAGTATAGCCCGCAGATCGGAAAGGGCCTGGCGCGGTGGAACAATATCCACGTGCATGATTTAAGCCGATTGTTTGACGCGCTGCTTACTGCGGCTCTCGAAGGGTCTGGAGAGGATGGAGAGCTTTGGGGCGCGAAAGGGTACTTCCTCTGTGAGAATGGGGAGCATGTTTGGGGGGACTTGTCGCGATTCATCGGTCAGCAGGTGTTTGAGCTCGGATATCTTCCTCAGGAGCCGGCTTGTAGAGACTTGTCTTTAGATGAAGCGGTGAAGTCATCGGCGGGCTTTGAAGCGGCCAGTTGGGGCTGGAACTCGCGGGGATCGGCTCTGCGGGCTCGCAAGACGGTGGGCTGGCAACCGCAGGAGCGGAGTTTGCAGGACGAGGTGCCGGAGATCATTCGTTCGGAGGCAGCTCGTCTGGGAGTGTGATTGAAACCGGAGGATGTATGGAGTAGAAGATAGAGATCAGTAACGGTGGTGGTTTCAAAAGCCACGCGTTGGGATTACCCTTCCGGGCGATCCGCGCTGACCGACTCGCTCGCCGCCTTCCATTTCTTCCTTTCCTTTCCTTCGCTGCTCTTCTCTTCCTCTCTCCCTGTCACTCTATTCTCTTTCTCACGGCCTCAATTCCAGCCACCTCCGACGTGTCCGCCTATGCGTTCGAGTCTGCTCGATTCCGGACCGGCCATCGACGGCGGTTTCGCTGTCGTGGTGGGCTGGATCTGCCTGATCTGGTATACAACGGTGGTGGCTGTTTGCGTCTTGGGATACTACCAAATGTTTGTGACCACACCGTTGACATCTCACCGTTGAGACTCGCTACTGACGGCTTTTATCTCAGATGGCGCTATTTTCTACAACGACCCCGACCCTCTCATTCCGCCTCCGACGCCGATGCCCCTCACGTCACTGCCATTCGCCCCGTTAAAGGCCTCGAACCGAACTTGTATGAGTGTCTGGCCTCAACCTTTCGTCAAGATTACCCGCGCAACCGCTTGACCGTTTATTTCTGCATCTCCTCCCGCGATGATCCCGGCTATCCCACCCTTCAAAAGCTCATGGCGGATTTTCCGCATGCCGACGCGCGCGTCTACGTCGAGGATGAGGACCCTTTGCTCCAGCCCGACAATGCCTCCGCGTATAGCCTGGGGCCCAACCCGAAGATTCGGAACATGAGCCGAGCCTATCGTGAAGCCAAGGGTGACATCATCTGGATCATCGACTGCAACGTATGGGTGGGCAAGGGTGTTTGTGGGCGCATGATTGACCGACTGTGCGGTTTCGGGACTCAGGGCAAGAAGTACAAGTTCGTGCATCATTTGCCCGTGGTAGTGGACGTTACCGGGGATACCAATGGACAGGGAGAACAATCCGCGCTTTTGGAGTCGTCCAGCAGGGAGACCGAGGATATGCTCGAGGAAGCGCCCGCGGATACGCTTGCGATGGGCGGTGGCCGCCTGGAAGAGTTGTTTCTGTCGTCTGCGCATGCCAAGATGTACACTGCTATCAACACGGTTCTTATTGCGCCGTGCATCGTGGGCAAGTCCAACATGTTCCGGCGCTCTCATTTGGACTACCTGACGGCTCCTTCGCCGAAGGATCCCCATCGGCGCAATCCGGGGATCGACTACTTCTCCGACAATATCTGCGAAGACCACCTGATCGGCGATCTACTGTGGAAAAAGAAGGTTCGCGAAGAGAAGGAACAAGGCGAGCGTTTCGGCAAGCACGGCATGGTTTTTGGGGATTTGGCCTTCCAGCCCGTCGCCGACATGAGCGTGCAGGCATACATGGCGCGCCGCGTGCGTTGGTTGCGTGTCCGCAAATTTACGGTGCTTCTGGCGACCTGGGTCGAGCCGGGCACGGAGTCATTGCTATGTTCGTTGTACGGGGCCTGGGGAGTCACCACGTCTCTGGCGCAGTGGCTTCTAGAGAAGGGATATGACAATGCGACGCATTTGACGACGTGGACAGCCTTTTTCGCATGTTTCTGTGTGAGTATGGTTGCCTGGATCCTGGTCGACTGGACACTCTATATCAAACTCCATTCGGCCAAGACGGTCGAACTGGACGAGGATACCCCGGCCTTCGCGCGGCCTCCCCGCCCTGGCACCACCCGACGGACTTTCCGACAGTGGTTCGGGGCGTGGCTGGGACGAGAGTTCCTGGCGCTCCCGATCTGGCTGACAGCGTTCTACGGCGGTGTCACGGTGGTCTGGCGTGATCGACGATTCCGAGTAGGACTGGATATGAAGGTGCGCGAAATTGACGGCGACAAAACCGTTGGATCCAAAGGTAGCTCTTCCGGAAACAAAGTACGACGGGACTAGCAAGGGGGATTGAACGGGATAGACATGATAGATGACGAGCATGAACTAACTGAACTGACCATGAAACGAAGCATGTATATGTACCATAGCATATATCCTTAGCATTATATCAACATGAACCAAAGTAAAAAAAATCAACTTTTATCTAAATCCATATTAACCAGTTATTGTATAATCCCAATCATACCTCATAGAGCGAACCCCCAACCAGAGAGTCCAATATAAACATATAAACCACCCCATCATCTCCTTCATTTCTTCTCACTCTCCGCCTCTCCCTCCGCAACACCGCTCTCCAACTCCCCTCCCTTCTCCGAACTCAGCAGCCACTCCACCACCTGTCTCCCCTTCGACGGCGGCGCCGCCATCTCCCCCTCCTTCACCTCCACCTCCACCTCTCCCGAGTCCTCCTCCTGCTGCGCATCCCCTGCATTGTCCCCATTCACCTCCTCAGCCGACCAATCCGCCCTCTCGGCCAGGAACACGGCGTCCAGACCCGCGTCGTTCGTGATCGCGATGTCCGCGCCGGCTTCCACCAACGCCTTGACGCACTCCAGGTGCGTGTTCAGCGCCGCCCAGTGCAGGGCTGTGTTCCCGGAGTGATTCTTGTGGTTCAGGACGGCGGGCGCACTGGCCTGGGGTTGGGTTTGCGTGAGCGTGCTGAGCAGGTAGGTTAGGATTTCTGTTCGTCGCCAATTAGTATCCATCCTCTTATCTCTTCTCTGCTTTAACAACAATAACCCCTCTCCCCCAGAGCAATACCATAGGTGAATACAAGGAAAAAGGGGGGGAAAGGCAAATACCTAGATTCCCATTCGCAGCGGGATAATGCAGCAGACAGCATCCGGTGCCGCCCTCGGCCTCGGGCGCGGCATCAATCGTCGCGGCGATGATCTGCGCCGGAGAACATTGCAGCTGAGCGGCCAGTTCCGAGATGGTGGATTTCAGAGAGTCGAGGTCGCCGGCGCGGGCGTCGTAGATGAGATCGTCGACTGTGTCGGCGGGGATGGTGGGGAGGGACATTTTTGCTTTTTTTGCTGGGTCCTTTTTTGTGGTTTTGGAGGGGTGGTTGAGGGGGATTGAGGGTGTTACTGGAACTGTTGATTGAGGAGGACGTTAGTGACTTGATTTGATTATGGGTTGAGTTCTTAGGGTTGTGAAATCCCCGCGGTGTAGATGCCCCTCTTCTGGAATTTTTTATATCGGATGATATGGATCGGGTGATTGGGTAGGGGTTGATGCGGGGCTGGAGAACAATTGGGGCAGACAAGACAGGATCATACGCACGCAGACACACGACAAGGGCCACTCGACAACGAAAGAAAGACTTACCTGAAGATGCGATTGGGATGCAGAGAAAGTCCGCCGGCGGAGAAGTTTGATGCCCGGTCAGGTGACTTGTGGATCCGGGGAATCGATGGAGATGGAAAACAAGAATGAAGTTTGAATAATGAATAAGGATGAATAGGATTGCATTCTCCACTAGCTGGACGCAAGCACGTCAGTCTCGAAATAATGGATAATCAGGTATGATACATATACAAGCCCAGCTAGTCACGGTCTATATGCAACTGAATACAGTACAAACGCCAAAACGCAAGAGGTATCATAATCACAAGTAATAAACGACCATTCCTCCTAGTCAGTCCCGAACGAATAAAATCAATCCCTCAGCCAGGCGCGTCGCTTCTCCTCCTTCTTCTCCCGCCGCTTCTCCTTGAACATCTTCAGTTCTTTCTTGCTCAGCTTCTTCGCACTCCGCTCCGCCCGCAGACTCCGCCCGTCGTGCGTGTTGGCCGCCGCATCCACATCAAAGAATGCATACATCTGCCGTCGCGACTTATTCTCATCATTGTGCTGCTCCGGGTTCTGCGCGTCGGACTGCCACCGCCCCGTAAACCGATTGAACGCCCCGGTCATCTCATACGACTGCGCCGGGTCCGCCGCACCCGCCGCCGCCGGGTCCTCGGGCTCATACTGCTGCGCATACGGGGCCGTCGGATCGTAGTCCCCATGGATCGCGGGATTATACCCCCCAATGACAGGGGCCTTCTTGGCAGCGGAGGAAGACGGCTCGACGGCGTCGTCTACGCCGGGCTGCGGCTCCGAGGGCACGCGCGGGTTCTCCCATTGCGAGACGCCCGTGAAGCGATTGTAGAAGTAGTAGGCTTGGGCGGAGGGGTCCCAGACGGGTTGCCAGCCATCGTCGTCTCCGGGGGCGGCCTCGTCGGGGAGCGGCGGCGCTTCTTCGTCCGGTAGGGGAGGTTGTTGTTGTTCATCTTCTGGTTGTGATTCGGCATCTTCCTTGGACTGCTCCTGTGCTGATCCTGATTCTGATCCTTGTCCTTGTTCCGAGGTTGGTGTGGCGGACCTCGACCTCGACCTCGACTCTAGCTCCGACTCTGGTGCCTTGTCCGACTCTTCCTGGTCACTGATCTCTCCCTGTTCCTTGGGATCCTGGACCTGATGTGGGGTTTCTTCCTGAGTTGGGTGTGACGGAGGACCCGGAGATGGGCTGCCCGGAGCTTGTTGGGGAGGGGACATTTTGATTAGCACTTTTTTTTCTTCCTCGTTATCTTATGATTTTTTTGTTTTTTTCTTTCAGTTTTTTTGCTCCCCTGCTTTTTCTTTCTGTGTCTTCAATTCTTCAAGTTGAGGTCTTTGACTTTCCCCTCTCTGGTCAGGACCGAGGGCAGAGGCAGAGTCTTGATCAGGAGAAAGAGAGAAAGAGAGCGACGAGAAAGATGACCTTCGAGTCCGCGGTCTAGCCGCTTCGGGTATGGCTGGGTGCCCCCGGACTCAGGCACTAATGACATCGACAGGCCTGAGGCACCCATCGATGTCTCTGGAATAATCCATTTAATGAGAGACATCTCTACAGGTCTACTGATGTTCCCATCTGTCTTCTGCTGCAGATGATCACCAGAACAGACCCGAAATCCCTCCACTCCAGGAACAATCGAACCCATAAGCAACAGCCCATTATACAGTGCTTCTTTGATTCTCGATATCATCAATCATAACCCATCATCATAATCATTCCATCATCCTATCATACCTCTCCCCCCCAAACCAATCCCTAATTCTCACTCCCCTGCACAATCACCCCCTCCTCCAACAGCTTCTTCGTCGCCTCATCCGCCCACTCCCCGCACCGTCTCAGCGGCTCCGACGGATACAGCCTCTTCGCGCCCTGAAACTGCTTCTTCGGCACGGGAACGGTCTCACACACGGCCAAGAACCGCGGATAGTCGGCGACCGCCACGCGGCCCAGGAGCTGCTTCGTGAAGAACACGGGCTCCTCTTCCGGCGGCCCGGCCGCGCGGTGGTTGAAAGTCATGCCTTCCTGGATGTTGCCGATGACGTGGTACTTGTGGCCAGAGTGAGGGCCGGATTCGTGCGTCTCGACGAAGAGGAGTTGGTGGTCGCGCGGGAGGCCGCTTTCGGCGACGCGGTAGGTGAGGTAGGATGTCATTTGGGGTTGGGTTTTGGTTGGCCTAGGTGGAGGGGATTGGAGGACTTGTAGGGTGAGTGAATGGTGGGAGGGAGTGATTGGGGGAGAGGGTTTTTGTAGAAGGCCTTGGAGTCGGGGTTCACTAGGCAGATGCAGGCAGCCGCGGTGGTAGTTTAGCACTATGCATGGTAGGCTATATTATCTGTGGAGAGTATAGAGAACTTAAAATAAAATTGAATATAGTATTGCCGTACAGCTCATTTAAATTATAATCGATTGAATCATTGCCTTCAGTACAGTGCTCTAGCGTAGCCCTAACTTAGATGCGTCTACCATAACTATACCGAACAAATATATATATCAACCCCAACATTGACATTGACTTAGCGACTACGAGAGAGTACCAATCAAGCCGAGAGAACCCACTAAAAAACGAAAGAAAAGCACCGAAACAAAATTAATTCCAGTAAACTACCCAGACCTACACCTCCCATAATCCTCATCAAAGCCTCTCCACCACCGTCGAAACAACCCTGAAACCAGTCAAACTCCTCAACCGCAAAACAAGAGCGCCACACCAGCCAGAAAGGGCCTCACCCAGCGCCACCAATGAGGGCGTTGCCACCGACGAAACCGAGGCGGCGAGGGCCCAGATGGCGTCGATCACCCCTTGGATCCGGCGGCATGTTGATCCCGTCTAGGGATGGATGACTGTGCTCCGGTGCCTGCTTGTTTGGATGGGATGGAAACAGGAGCCGAGATGGCCTGGTATGATGGTGTGGATGGATATGGAATCGTAGTACTACTCTACGTGTAGATTGGGGGAGATCGAGGGCGATGCAAATGCGGGTGGTGCACGGAAATCGGTTGCAGTGCAGCCAGTCTGCAGCAGTAGTCGGGTTAAGGCGAGTGAACAGGCTGCAGAGATGGTGATATCGAGTGTCGGGATGAGGTGCTCGATGATGTAGTAGGTTGTTGGGCTTAAGTGTGTTCTATATATTTTGTGAATGCCATATTCCAATTTGTAGATACTGCTACTATAGTTCTATGCTATCTAGTATACAGTGATCAATGTATATCTCTCCCATTATGTAGGGATGTATATTACATGAGTATGCAAATATATATTGCCAACCTAGTAAGTATAGCACCTTCAAAGTATATTTGCAGAATGACGACTCACGGTATTCGTGACTACACTACGCCGTTAGCAGACTATGACCTCGTCATTTTCTCAAATCCAACGAGTACGAAAATCGAGCAATGTCTGGATCATACGGATGACTATTCATGCTACGCGGTATAAACCTACATCAGAAGCAACACACTGATGAAACCCTACACGACGAGGACATTGCACAGTTGCACCCAACCTGATTTGCCGGGGAAAAGACAGCCGGAAAACACAAGGATCGTCGCAACGAACAAAGGACTCGCCCAACTTGCACCTGGGTGAGGCTTAATGAAGCCAGTGGCGTCGGCGAACCATGGACATCACAGGGCCCAAGCGGTCGACGCAGCATATCCCCGAATCCGGATGACTCCTGCAGCTATTCCTGCGACTGACCGAGTCCTGCAGGTGCTGGACAGGATAGGCGAAGATAGGCGTCGGGCTCTGGTCCCTGCATTCGGAAATGAGACGATCAATAGTCGGCCAGACCCCTTGCCGGGTTGGTTCCTGTCCACATGGACCCTAGACACGGGCAGAGAGGGCGGCGGGAAAACCAATAAACCGTCAAGGGGGCTCTAACGGCTGGGCAGGAACAGGAGGAGGGTTGAGACATTGACGGCCCCTTGCAGGGAGGAGCGTGCGCTGCAATGTCCTGCAACCTTGGACGAGGCCCGGGGAAAATGCTCCGTGACACCTGCATACCACGAGCGATGGCTCGATGACCAGCACGATCGATGACTGAATCGACCAGTCAGGGAGAGGAAGCATGTGAGCAAGATAGATGACCAGCACGATTACCATTCTGGAGATCAAAGTTCCAAGTTGGAGGGTACGGAGCTGGCCAGTGGTTGTAGCGGAACCCTGGATAGCCAGGAGCATGAAGACCAAAACCTCATCTAAGACATACCTGGATGCAACCTAATTACTCGTATTGGCCGGTTCCTGCACCCCACATAGCCATCTTGCCGCAGGAAGGCAGGGAAGGAATGGGACAGCCGGCGAGAACTCCTACAGATGCGGCATGCCAGCGGTTTTCCGTCAATCAGAGACATCGTGAAGGGGCAGATCCATACCAAGGGCCCGACCTGATCAAGGAAGAGCCTTGCGTGTTGCATTCCAGAGTCATGGTTTAGCGAAAAACACAGGACGAGGCTAAGGACTCAGAGCAGGTCAGCAGCCTCCACCAAAGCCTATATAAGGAGGGTGAATGCTGGCCCTCAATCGATTCTTCTCATCATCACAAAAACCCTTCAATCGTTAGCAAGTCTTTCATTCTCTCTCTCTCTTCCAGTCTTCTTCAGACCAGTTCTATTCCAACTACTCCGAGTTTAATTCTCTCGTTCAAAACCAACCCCTCAGACGCAATGCAGTTCTCCATCACCACCGTTCTGGCTTTCGCCGCCACCGTCGCTGCTCTGCCCCCTGCTGTCGCCAACGGTAACGGCAACGGCATCGGAAACAAGGGCAACAGCCAGGTCCGCTTCCCTGTCCCTGACGACATCACCGTCAAGCAGGCCTCCGAGAAGTGCGGTGACCAGGCCGAGCTCTCCTGCTGCAACAAGGCCACCTACGCCGGTGACACCACCAACGTTGACGAGGGTATCCTTGCCGGTGCTCTCAGCAACCTGATCGGCGCTGGCTCCGGCAGCGAGGGTCTCGGTCTCTTCGACCAGTGCTCCAAGCTCCCTCTGCAGGGTATGTTCTTCTATCCTCTCTTGTCCGGATGGTCACTAATCCTTCTAGTCAACATCATTGCCATCGCTCTCAACGATCTGGTCAACCAGCAGTGCAAGCAGAACATTGCTTGCTGCCAGAACTCCCCCAGCGATGCCGTAAGCCCCTCATCATCCCTTCTCATTTTCTATTCACTAACAATATCCTCAGAGCGACGACCTCATCGGCCTTGGCCTTCCTTGCATTGCCCTTGGCTCCATCATCTAAGCTGCTCGCTTACTGGCTGTCCTTTTGGACGACAAAGCCCCGGTGACCCGCGGACGAGGCGATCGAAACAGGGTCTAGTGTACTATTTGAATTTGGATAGAATCGGATTCCTGTTGGCAATATTTGTATCATTACCTCTTGTGTCTTGTGGCACCCTCGGAGAAAGAAGACTGTTTTGCTATTCTTGATTTTGTCCTTAGTATAGCTTCGATGCTGATCTGCAGTGTCGGTGTCGCATAAGCTTTTAATCCATTAGACTTGCATAATTTGTTTCTTACATGAAGTTCCGAGTAGAATCAGCTCTGTTGTTCATTTCTTATCACATTAACCTAAATCCTGTAGAACACAGTCAATTGACTCTGATTCGACTCCTCTCATTCCTTCTTTCGTAGTACTTTGCTCCTGCCTACTGGCTCCCTAGTCAGCGGTAGGCGGATTTCTTTAATCTTTTAGTCCAGGACCGGCGTCAGTCACATCCTTCCTCATGTCCCAGCGCTTATCTGTTATAAGCCAGAACTTCAACATTCCCCAGCTGAGACTTTGCCCAGCTGAGATTTTGACCCATCTATCAAACCATCGCATAATATAATATCTTAATCTTGTCATATCGCAAAGCGTATTATTCTTCACATAGTAATCACCCTTCCCTCCATAACACAAAAGAAAACCATCCACAATACAAAAGAAACCCCTGAAATAATGTACAATCCCCCTCATCCATACCACAAAAACCATCCATTGAAAAGAATGACACCGAAAGAAACACCACCCAAGACGACCATCCCCCAAACCCATCACCAGAACCCCCGAACCACCCTCCACAGACCCCCCGAAATCGACCAAATGCACCAAACAAAAACCCCCGAACCCCAAACTCCATTCCTAGTAAAAAAGAGACTTCTTACCTGTGTTGCTGATGCTGAGTCCGTCGATCGACCGCCGCACTCGCAGCGGCAGTCCCATGCCCATGCCCATTCCTATCCCCATTCCGACTGCGCCCATCCGTCGGTGTTTCTTCGTTCGCGGTGTCGGGGACTTGCTTTCTTCTTCTTCGGCCTTGGGGTCACCTTCTGAGGATGGTGATGGGGATTGTTCGGACGGTGTGGCTGTAGGTGCCATGTCTGATGACGACGGTGACGAGGGCATCGAACTCGCAGAGGCACATTTCCGCAGCGGCGATTTCGGCGGAATCGGTAGCTTGAGCGTACTGAAGCGGTTTGTCGGCGGTTGCAGGAAATTTACCATCTCGATGAGAGACTTCCGTCCACTGCGCCGGAAGCTATCACGAAGAGACTTGGTCTTGCTCGTGAGCTCCTCCTCCTCCTCCTTTTCCTTTTCCTCTTCCCCCGTCCCTTTTTCCGCGTCCACCGGGTCCGCCTCCCTCGGTAAACACGGCAGCTGCTTCTCCCCCAGCGGTAGAATCCTCGCAGACCCAGTCCCTAGCCCTAGCTCCTCCTCCTCCGGTATATCCTCGATCACCCGGGACTTGATCTCCGGCAGGGAGCGGCTCCGCGTGAGCCCGGTTCTCTCGGCATCGGATCTGATCTGCCGCTCTAGGTCCTCGAGCCCGGCCTCGATGATCGAAGACGCAGAGCGGTCTCCGCCGAGCTCGAGGTCCTTCTCCTCGCTGCCGGACCGCGATACGCTTCTTGATCCTGATCCTGATCCGCTCAGCGTCTCGCCTGCTGTGGTGGTGGATGCGGCGCTGGACGAGACCAGCGTGCTTTCTGAATCGGACTCGGTGCTGTTCACGATGCGGATAGACGATCGTTTCGTCAGTTTGCTTGCGTTTGCGTTGTTGGGCTCAGGTGGTGATGGCGAGGATGGGTGATGGTGCTGCTTCTCGCTCTGTCGATATGTGTATGTGTATGTGTATGTTGGCGCGGTAGCACCAGAAGCCCCGTTCGAGGAGCTCGAGGTCGAGTCCGACTTCTCATTCAACGTCACCGCTGCATCTTTCGCGGGAACGGGTGGACGATCGTGCTCGTTGTCGTTCTCGTCTGGTTTCTCCGTCGAGGGCGTCTGTCTCTGTCTCTGTTTTCGTTGAAGACACGGAAACAGAAGAGTGGATAGCGCGCCCATTTCGTGCTTCAGCTTCAGCTGTAGCTTTGGTCGGGTCATTTGGAGACGCTGATGAGACAGGCCGAGTGGGGGTGGATGTGTACGCCGTTTAAGTACGGCTTGTCTCGATGCAGAGGCTTTTGTTTTGGGCCGGTTGAGATGGGAACCGGAGATTGGTGCGCTGGTTTGGGTTCTGATGCAGTTCGTGATGTGGATGTATGCGTATGCGTGTGTATGTAGGTGGGTGGGTTCTGGATAGACTGGTAAGTAGATGGGTGGTAGGAGATTTCTCGGTGTCTATCCTAATGATATGAGATAGAGGATGAGAGAGAGAGAGATTAGATAGATGGTGGCGTCAGTATACCCCTCCCTCCTCTCTCCCTTCTTTTCTCCTCCCTCGACTCCCTAAGTCCTGGTAGTGCCCATAAACTATAAACTAACTAGACTGTCTCCTGCCGCAAGGAAGCAGGTGGCGGATCAAGCAAGGCGAGTTTGCCGTTGGACTGGGAGCGCGCAGGTGGAGATTAGGGCTTTCTCCAGACCGCGTCGGTCGAGGTCGTTGGCCGCTGTGGATGGTGTAGATGTGAGTCGACGATCGTTATTTATCCAGCTTGCCAGAAGAACTATGGAGTGACTCAATACCCTCATGGTCTACGACACTCTACTGATGGACACTTCAATCCGGACCAATGCAAGCAAGCCTACTGTCGTGTCAAACGGTCGAACGTGTCTGCGTCTGACTTGCTCCTGTGCATTGACACTCGTGCAATCAAAAAATCCTACGCCGTAGTGTTCGCGAGACTGTCTTCTCCGACCACGGGACCTCCTGCCTAGGCATCATGCATGCATGCAAGGGACATCGTGACGATATTGCAGCGACCTTACCTTACAGGGGCAAGCAGCCAATCAGATCGAATCTACCAGCAAAACAGATCATGGGAGATAAAACATTTATTGGTAATTGGGAAAAAGTCAACAAACAATCCTCACAGCTTGCTTTGCGCAGTTGCCGTGTACAACGACCGGGTGCGCTGCATCGCCTCCAGGGCCTCTTTCTCGATGCGCGTCAGCAGCTGCCCACAGGTGGGAATATCGTGGATCAGCCCGATGACCTGACCGGCTGTCCAGACCTGCACGGATGTCTGTTAGCAAGGGACGTTTCTTGGGTTCAGGAGTGTCGTGGGCAACAGTGCAAGGTGGAATCGATAAAAAAACGAGCCCGAGAATCGGCACGATGACAACAAGAAAGAACAGAGGCAAGGAAGGAAGAAAACTTACTCCGAAATCAACATCCCCGTTCAAAAACACCTCCCTACCTCTCTTGCCACTCACAAACGGCGCGATCTCCGTAAACTCGCCGGTCTTGCTCTCCTTCTCAACCTTCAGCGCCTCCTGCGTGACCTTGTTCGCAAACAGCCGCGTCGTGTTCTTCCACCGCCTCAGCACCAGCGCCGTATCCGTCTCCTCCGCCTTCACAATCGCCTCCTTCACCTGCTGATGGATCGGCGCCTCGACCGTACACATGAACCTCGTGCCCATATTGATGCCCTCCGCGCCCAGCGCCAACGCCGCCGCCAGGCCCTGCCCGTCCGCGAACCCGCCCGACGCGATGAACGGCACCTTAAGCTCCTGGCGGGCACGGCTCAGCAGGATGAAGTTGGTGATGTCGTGCTCGCCGACGTGGCCCGCGCACTCGAAGCCGTCGATGGACAGGAAGTCGACGCCCAGCTTGACGGCGGACTTGGCGTGGCGGATGGTCGTGCATTTATGCAGGATGGTCGTGCCGGCCTTCTTGAGCTGGTGGATCACCGGCCCCGGGTTGTTGCCGGCCGTCTCGACGATCTTGACGCCCTCGTCGATGACGACCTGCGCGTAGGCGGCGTAGTCGGGCGGCACCAGCGCCGGCAGGAGCGTGATGTTCACGGCGAACGGCTTGGGTGTCATGGCGCGCGTCTTGCGGATCTCTTTGCGGAGGTCTTCGGGGGTGGGTTGTGTGAGGGCTGTGAGCTGTTTTCGTAGGATTCATTAGCCTCAACCCCTGTTTCTATCTATCACTGCTTTGTGTCTTCGAAGGGGAACGTACGATTCCGAGTCCGCCGGCGTTACTGACCGCCGCGGCGAGTTCGGCGTATCCGACCCATTGCATTCCACCCTGGACCACGGGGACTGGGTATGGTCAGTGAGATCTGGTCGATGGCAGGGGTATAGATCTGGGCCGAGGTACGGTACCTTCGATGCCCAGTTTGCGGGTCAACTCCGTGTTGAAGGGCATGGTGTAGGTCTATTCTCTTAGGTGTATAGTATATGTGTATATTTATGGGTATGGGTATTCATAAAATGAGAGAGAGAAGTGAGACAAAAGAGAGTAAGAGAGGGTGGGTATAAGAATGACCGGGGAAGGCAGATGAACAGAGAGCATCGCCTTAGCCGCGGTGGGGGATGGCCGAGCCGAGGTCCCGTGGCCGAGGACAACGGAGGTGATTACTATTCGGTTTTGCCTCCGTGTGTCCCGTTGGTTACGGTTGAAAGTTATTATGGTTGGTTGGAGAAGACTGAGGTAGAGAAATCTAAAAGTTGCAAGTGGTTCTGCACTTGTTGTCTGTTGGTTATGAGGATTCTTGGTTGTGGTTCTCCGCATGTGATCTGCTGTCTACGGGGAGATTCGAATGGGGCTGTCTGGAGTACGGAGTAGACAGAGTGATATTAGATATCAGACTGTATGCATTTTAAACGAAGCTCTTGGTCAGGAATATTGATTTCTGTGGATTAAAATAGGATAGTTCGCATTATGTATGGCGGAACAAATGGGATTGTTCGTGCCTCGACGCCTCGACGCCTTGACACCTTAACGCTCTGACTCCTTGATGCCTTAATACCTGAGAGCCTGACAGCCTGACAGCCTGACAACCTGATATCCCAGGCATCAACACTGACCGCCCAGACCCTAAGCCCTAACTGCCCAGAGCGGTCTAGATCCGAATCCCGATCTTCTCATGACGCTTCAGCAAAAGAAACTTTGCGATGGGAAGCGATTCTTAATCTCCAGCCGGCCCTTTCTCCTCGAACCCGCTTCACCATGCCGTCTCCCTTCCTCACCCCCGGCGCACAGACGCAGCTCGACACCCTCGCCCTCCTCCATCTCCGCCGCGACCAGACCATCCCGGCCCTGCTGCGCCTGCACGATGACGAAGACCAGGGCTACAGCGAAGGCAAGGTCGTCAACACGCGGTTTGGCTCGTTCCCGCACAGCACCCTGGCCGAGCAGCCGTGGGGGTCGCAGATCGTCGCATCCAAGGTCGACACGGGGTCGCGCGGCCGCAGGGACCCGTCGCAATTGAAGCGCAAAGCCGACGACTTGGACTCGTCCCCGGCGGGGAACAACGACGGCAACAACAACAAGAACAAGAAAGCCTCCCCGAAGGTCCCCGTCGCTGCGTCCAGCGGCTTCCTGCACGTGCTCGCGCCCACGCCCGAACTGTGGACCGCCTCCCTGCCCCATCGCACCCAGGTCGTCTACACCCCCGACTACAGCTACATTCTGCACCGACTGTGCGTGCGACCCGGGAGCACGATCATCGAGGCCGGCGCGGGGAGTGGCTCGTTCACGCACGCCTCCGTGCGCGCCGTTTTCAACGGATACCCCGGGGGGCCAGAGAGCACGGGCAACAGCACGGGCACGAATCCGACCAAGAAGCGCCGCCTCGGGAAGGTATGCAGTTTCGAGTTCCACGCGCAGCGCGCCGAGAAGATCCGATCGGAGGTGCAGCAGCACGGGCTGGACGGGCTCGTGGAGGTGACGCACCGCGACGTCTACGGGGACGGGTTCCTGCTGAACGAACCGCACAGCGGGGTCTCGCCCAAAGCCAACGCCGTATTCCTGGACCTGCCGGCGCCGTGGCATGCGCTGAAGCATCTGGTGCGCCACCCGGCGTCGGGCGGCGAGTCGCCGCTCGATCCGTCGGCGCCGGTGTATCTGTGCACGTTCTCGCCGTGCATGGAGCAGGTGCAGCGGACGATCAGCACGCTGCGGCAGCTGGGCTGGCTGTCGATATCGATGGTGGAGGTGGACAATCACCGGATCGACGTGAAGCGGGAGCGCAACGGGTTGGAGTTCGAGGGCGCGGCGCGCGGCGCCGTCGTGTTTCCGAAGTCGGTGGAGGAGGCTGTTGCGCGTATGCGCATGATCGAGGAGCGATCGCAGAGGTTCCGCGCCACCGTGGACCAGGAGAATGGGAACGAGGGCAGCGCGTCTGCGGACAAGAAAGAGGAGGAGGAGGAGCAGAAACCCGCGCCGGAACAACCCGCTGCGGTGGCGCCTCGAGAATCCGACCTCCCGTTCCACGAGCAGGGTCGCTTGGTGCATCGCTCCGAGACGGACTTGAAAACGCACACATCGTATCTCGTCTTCGCCGTCCTACCGCGCGAGTGGACGGAAGAGGACGAACAGAGATGTCGCGAGAAGTGGCCGTCGAACCAGGTGTTCGAGTCGGCTCAGCAAGGGCCCAAGGGCAAGAGGCAGCAGAAGCGCGACGAGAAAGAGCGGAAGATGCAGGAGAAGAAGAGCTCCGAGGCTCAGGAACCCTAGACCCAGTAGGCTTAAAGTATAGAGTCGTGCTGCATTTGGCTGGAATAAAACAAAAGCTTTCGTGTACTATATCTAATCTTATCTGACTGTCAATCAATCATTCAGTCGTTTGCATTGTTCCTCCTGAACTTCCAGTCTTCACACCGAGAATGAGGACTCTTGTCTGGGATATCAAGTCTTTGGACCCATTTGAAAGCTTGAGAGCTTCTCAGTCGTGCTATTTCTCTAGTATGTACCTTCCTGCCTGTACAAGCGCTCAGATTAAAACCCAAATCCTAAAAGTTGAATTGTAAACGAACACGTATTTGTTGGTTGGGTGTATTCATAACTGCATTGATTCATGAACCCATGTAAATCTACCTACATGCACAGGATATCTGGCGACCTAGTTATAAACCCGGCCATATATCGAAAGAAAATGAATAGTCTATGCGAAAAGAAAGAGATATATGAACAAGAGGGACTATAGATTGTTCTCTTTCTTGAACTTATCCCAGGCCTCGTTCAATGTCCCAAACACGGCACTGGAAATCATGCGCTGTTCGGTCGTGGCGTTGGTAGGAATCTGACAAGTTTGGTTAGCAACATTTCGATATTAATACATGGGGCCGACGTACCTTGTCCGGGTGCACCTTAGCAATCCCCTTCATATATTGCACCTTGACCTTGTTGGGCATGATCAATTCGGACATGTTGATCTTCTTCCATCCGGATTCGGGCCATAGCACCGTATCAAGACTGCCCAATAGAGCTCGAAGGTTATCCTGCTTTCCACCCTTCCAAGCAGCCAAACGGGCGTCGACCGACTCGGTGAGAGCGAATTTCTCTTCGTCGGCTTGTTCGGCGGCTTGGTTGGCGGCCCGGAGACGGCTGACAGCCGCCGAGTCCATGCCAGACGACGCGGATCCGCCCAGGTCGTCCAACGCAGACGGTTTCTTGGGAGCCGGAGCAGGGCGTCGTGCCGGTGCAGAAGGCTTCGCTGCCGGTTTGCTGATGCCCGCAGCCTTTTCGCACCGATTGCGACCTTGGATACTGGTGCTGCCGCCGTAGCCATTTTCGACCGCCTGTCGCCACGACTGTGCCGCATCGGCCCAGCGCTCCAGTTGCTCGAGGGCCTCCGCTTTGCGCATCAGAGCCTTGCCGAAGAAATCCTTCATGGGCTTGTTGGGTTCGCCGTTGCCAAGCTCGATGCTTTCCGCTTCTCCCTTAGAGGGTCCAATGACCTCCAAGATATTGTCGGCATCACCGATGGCGACCTTCGGCTCACCGATTTTCAGAGCGGTCATGGCCCGGTTGCTGCGAATAATAATGGTGAGGGGGTGTTTTTCCGGCAGCATGTTGAGGGCCATAGAGAACGACTCGTGGGCAGAGCCGTAGTCACCTTTTTTGTATGCTTCGGCACCCTTGTCTTTATGACGGTGGGTGGATGAGAGCGCCTCTTGTGACAAGGGGGGAACGGCCCGAGGGGGGAGAACCTTCGGTCGTGAAGGTAGGGTTTTGGCCGGAGTCGACGAGCGTGAAGGCTGCGCCGGCGAGGACGACGGCTTGGGTCGTTCGATACTCGATGGAGCAGGAGACTCAAACAAGTCCACGGCGGGCTCCGGAGCAGGTGACGGTGCGACGGGTCGTTTCCTCCGAGCAGGGGAAACATATGCCTGTGCGGACTGCTGCTCGACAGCGGTCTTGGACACGCGAGCTCGGGGGTCTCTTGACTCGCTTCTCGCCTGCTCTCGCAAGAAAGCCGGCTGTTGCGCCCGTCTGTCCCCGACAGGCGGGGACGGTTGGTTGCGGAAGCTCGCGCTGTCCGACCGAGGTGGAGGGCGCGCTTCATGCGACCTATCAGGTCTGCGTGATGCACGCGGATCGCCTCCGGATTCCAGAAGCAAAGCTTCGTTGGTGAATTCCGCAGGCTGCGGGCGAGAAGACTCGCCAGGAGGCTGGCGGCGGTTATTAGGGAATGGTTCCTCATGCATAGACGCATCTCTCAGCCACTTGGGTTGATTAGGATCTTGCTCCGTGTTGAATTCGTTGACAACTTGCTGGACCTTTTTACTACCCGATTTCCACAGGGAGTTGGCAGTCTTAAGCAAGTTGTTTCCGAAAACCGATGCGACCTGTGCCGGGTCCTTATCTGCGGACATGGGGCTGCGGTTGTTGCTGCGGCTTCGACCAGTATGGGCACGTTCTTGCTGCATCCATGACGGAGCGCTGCGATCTGATCGGGCACTCTGGTCTCTGCTCTGACCCGAATGCTCCGGATGAAGATCGTCGGCCGTGGGTCGATTCCTAGACCTCTGTCGAGATTCCTCATGCGCCTGGGTGAGCAGTAATCCAACAGCAGCCTGTATATCGGTACCCGTCGAGGTCATCCGTAGAGCCTGGGCCGATTTGTCTGCCGGGAAACCCATATCCACAAGCTCTGCGACGGCGCGATCCATCCCGCTCGACCCCTTGGAAGGCGGGGGCGGAGGACTATCGCGCACAGACGGGGGAGTTGGCGATTTGGCCGGGGGTTTTGGAGGAAGTTCTGACACGGGCTTGCCCAGCAAGCCAAGAAAATCGTCGTCGTCGTCGTTCATTGCAGCAGGCTGCGCTGCAGGTGCCTGCTGCTTGGGCTTCAGTTGGTTCAGGCCGAATGGATCGTCGTCATCCAGGAAGTCCATGCCACCCGCAGCTGTGGGCGCTGAGGCCGTTCCATTGGAAGCGAGCTGTGGAGAGTTTGTTCCGACCTGCGGCGAAGGAGATGGGCTCGGAACGGGGAAGTGGGAGGACTTGTCCACGGGGGCCGAGGCGTCAAAGGCAGCAAGAATATCATCTTCGTCGGGAGACTGCGGTTTCTGCTGGGCTGGCAGGGTTCCAAATCCACCTGAATTGCCACTCCCTCCCTTCTCGAAGCTGTCCCAGAACTGGGAGTTCTGTCCTCCGTACTGCGACTCATACCGAGACCGATTCTCTGCCTCCTTCTTGGCCCTCTCTTCTTGAAGTCTCCTCTGCTGCTCGATAAGAGGGACGTTTTTATTGGGATTTGACGAATTGAACGAGACAAGGTTTGCGAAGCTGTCTTTATCCGAAGTCGCAGCCTTGGTTGGCGCGTTGGACGGGGTAGACGAAGAGGAGAGGGGCGTAGAGCGGCCAGAGGGGTTAGCTGGCCTCACATTAGGAAAATAGGAGCCGGAGCTCATGGGTGGAGGTTTCTGAGGGCCATTGGATGAGCCGGCAGACCAATTCAGGCCACTGAGGTCATCCATAATGGTTGTAGATTCAAAAGAAGAAGTAGATAGGTGTCTGGGAGCATTGAATTAGGATAGAGGTCGCAGTGAAATGACGCAAGGATTCCATGGTTTTCCTCTCACCATCGACGGGCCACCAGGGCGGAAGGGGGATGAGCTTGTCCCGTGGAATGAAAGAAAGGGAAAGGTTTCCATCCACCGGGCAAACGAAGCAAGTGTAACGGCAAGCGGGACGGGAGATTCTCAGTCGGAGATGCGGCGGCGGATGGAATCGACTTCCCCTGGAGAAGGCGCGTGTGGCGCAGCGGGGATGATGCAGTCGTGGCGCAGCACATGACTGTGGCGGTGCATACTGACACGTGCTGCTGAGTCAGTGCTCCTCGGAGAATTGGTTAGTCAGCGCCCCAAAATAGAAAAAGAAAAAATAGAAAAACAAACCGCCCAAAAATCCCAATCTTGTTCTTGTTTAGTGGCCTTCCTTAGTACGATGCCTACTATCTCCCAAACTAACAACCAACAAGCTAACTCCTTGATTCCATGCCTAAATTGAACACCGTTGGCAATACCCACGCCACTGTGGACCTCTGTTTAGCCTGCGCAGTGCGCCCTCGCCGGAGAAAAAAATTAGCTGAGAACAGGATGCTCTAGCGTCAAGACCTCGAAATGTTAAGAGTCAAGAGTCAAGACTAACAAGCTTGACATTGGCCCAAAGGGCAAGATGCCACCTCGGCTCAAGCTGATGGGTCGAATCGCCACGGTGGATAGTCCCAGCCATGTCATTAATACTGTATCCACCCCGGCTGGCGGCCGGGCCATTGTCCAAAGTACCTGTCTTACTTGCCTGACTCGATCGCTCGACGAAGAAAAGGCTCGCTCCTACTCCGGAAGTACGAAAGGAGGAACCGCTGTCTCTCCGCCATGAAACCCTAACGAGGGTAGCTTACGGAGGGCTCTTCTTAGGCCGACCGGTGGATTCCGGTGGGGGTTTGTCCTCGAGTTAAAATCTTGTCCGGCGCACAGTCAGATCTGGATAGACCGGGGGTGGTCGTGTGGGATATGCATCCCTTCTTCGACTAGCGAACAATAGCTTAGATGATACACCTGGGACTCATACGGAGTGTTGGAGAACCCCTGCTCCGGACGCCTGAAAGTAATGAAAATTCAATTCAGTCTCGCAGAGTTCGGCGGGTCGATGGTTGACGGCGACTAGGATCAGTCCATCGCAAGGTCCGCGAGGGGGGCCTAGTGGCTTGTTGCGGCTTGATGAGACCAATATCATTTGTGGAGGGCAGGGTTAAGCGAGATATCAGATGAGCACTTGGGGATTCATCAACACATCCAGCCTCAGAAGCAAAAGCACAGGCCTCCGCGTCACAATCCGCCCGGTATTGCAAGGGTTCCTACAGTAGTCGACGCGTTTGGCATCCGACCGTATATATCATTTCTGCTCTGTTCGCCAACAGACCACAGATCGGGCTGACTCAGAAGGGCGAAACAGCTCTCGAGGCGCTCTGGGGCAGTCGCGACTCTCCAATCATCGCCGACAACGAGCTGTTGTTGACCAGGTTGGAACCAAAAATTCGGGGGAAACCCACGGAGATCACCGGGAATTGCCAAATCAATGCGATCAGCCTCGTGGCCTGTGATATCGATCAATCGATGAGGATGCTATCACCATCGGATGATCGGACGGACTACGGAGTCTCAAGGTTGCATCGCTGCCATGACATGACATGACTGGAGAATTCCAGACCTCGCTAGGATTCGAGCCGGCAGGATCGAGAGCAGCTAAACAAGAAAATATGAAATAAGAAAAAAATAAAATAAAAATAACACAGTTGGAGCTGATCTGCCTAACGCCTCGGTTGAGAACAGGCCACGCAGCCACTGCCGATAGCCAGCCAGGGCTTGTCAGACAGAAGTCCAGGGGCCCAGCCAGACGGCGGAGACTCGGAGAAATCGGGCTCTGTGAATTTCGGGGAATCGCAGGGAATCCCACAGGTAATAGTAATAGCACTGCTCTACTATTACTACGGAGCACTCCTATTGTCACCGCTATTATCTATAACTTATACCGTTTAAGTCTCAACCGGAGGAATGCGGCAGAGCGAAAGTTTAAACGTGAAACCCGCGCGACCCAGCAGCGTGGCCAGCACCGTGTCTCCCGCGTTAGTGCATGCGCCAGCGGACGTTTAGCATGGAGAGAGCCCGATGGAAGGAGGGGTTTCTTGTCAAGTCTCAAGATACGACGTACGGTGGCGGTGGTGGTGAACCCTCGACCTCCCATCCCCGACGAACTGAGCTCCTTTCCTCCGGTTGGAAGGCCTGAGCATGGGTTGCCGATGGTTTGCAGACAGCCTGCATGCAGCACCATACTCCATGCATCGGTGTCGACCGATCACCCGGACTGCAGCAGAGGTCAGAAAAGCCCAGAGAGGGGAAACGTAAGATTGTGTGATGCGGGCGTTGCATCCTGGCTTGACTCTGTCGGGGATCCTTCCTCGCCGTACGCCTCCAGGAGAGTCAAAAGTGGTCCCCTAAAGCTACTAGTCCTCCGTCCTGAGTCCTGACAGAAGGCCCGAAGTCCTCCACCGGCTCAAGTCAGTCAAGCCGGCCGGTGGGTCTTCGGGGGGAAAGCGAGAAGAGGATTCATCAGCATCACGCTTAGAGTTCGGCTCTCTCCACGAAGTCGGCTAATGCTGAGCACTATTTTAGTGAGTGTTTGGGCTGTTATTATTTTGTTGTGATAATATTATTCTTCTATTTCTTTTCTTGTGATGGAAATAATAATCAATACTAACAGAAATAAATGAGAAGGATCAGGCGAAATGGAAAGTGGAATCATCTTCCTGCCTTGGACTATCCCTATAGTAACTTAACCCTAAGAGCAGGGGTTCAACGGTGATTGGGTATCTGTCAGGTTGCGTATGCCCAATTGATCATTCTAATGCATGTGCTGCAGCTCTGGTTTGGATCCTGCTCGGGCGTATTTTTGCTTTTTCCCCCTCTTCTGGCTGATGGGGTCGGATTTTAAGTAATGCCCAGGTCTCCAACCTCGTACTATATAGGGTTGACCCAAGGTAACGAGCGACACTACGGACCGTCCAGTCCGCTTTGCAGAATCGGCATCCCAACACGACTCCGTATGCCGGACGGAGCAATGAATGAAATGCAAGAGAGAGCGCACGGAGGCAGGCCAATCACAAACCCATTCTGTTCGAGAAAGACGATCGAATAGGGGAAACAGGGTTCGTGGTTCAGTCATGCCTGCCTTGGGGAACAGGTCCGAAATTAGGTGACGAGCAGGGTCGGAGCAGGGCCTGTCTCCTTTCCCTTGGGAGCCGGACCGAACTCTTCTGAACCGTGAACACTGCACACTTTGGACAGGCCAGAAATCTAGATCCGCACCATCGGGGCAGCGTGGTGGAGCAGGGACAAGGGCAAAGGGCCGGAAATGGCTCTGTGCGCCAGTCTGTCCGTGCTTTTCTTTTTCTTTTTCTTTTCTTTTTTTTTATTTGCAGTATTTTTTATTTTGATTCCACTCCGGAGTGGACTCCCGACCTTCCTGTTCCCTCGATCTCGAGTCTCGAGCTGGCAATGGTGAATTGAGTTAACGCCGTGAAGTTAAACCCAGGGCTGGTTCCATTCCTGAGGTCGGTTGGGGTTACTCCATGGGATTCCTGATAATGGCATTCTCCTCCTTCTCCTCTTTCTCCGGTCCTTGTGCGAGTACTATGTGACTGAACATACAGAGCCCTCTGTACAATGAAGTCCTAGTCTCTGAGCGACCAGTTCCTATGAAACGGGGCTAATATCTGACGACCATCCGGCAGCACCGGGCAGGTACTTCCAGAGTACGCCGTGGAAGGGAGGAATTCGCCGCCCAGACGGAGGGTCGGGAAGTACCTTACAAGTACCCGCGGCCGCGGTAATTAATTTCCTGATATCAAATGAAGGCAGACTCCATCAGTCCCAAGCTCTCCACCTCCCGACTCCGAGCCTCGACTAGTCAAATACTACGGAATAGTGAAAATTAAGTGAGCCTACTAACTCGCCGCCGCCGTCTGCTCCAATGAGGCGCCCTGAATTTGGTTCCTCACCTTCCTAATGCCTCCTAATTCTGCCCCTAAGAGCCCTCGGCCGCCCCGCCCCGTATTGGCATTTCTTTCGTTTTTTTTTTTTTTTTTTTTTTTCTCACATAATCTCGAAGAGAGTGAAAATAAAAATAATAATAATAATGGAAATAAAAAATAAAACCAAAATAAAAATTCAACAACAATAATAAAAATAAAGCCGAACGAGCAGAGTGTTGCTTTCCCGCAACCGCCGCAGATCATCATCTTTTTTATTGTTCTTGCTTCCCTCCCACTGTTCCTCCCCCCCTCCCCGCCAACTCTCCTCTCCTCATTCTTCTTCTCTCCCTCTTTTTTTTTTTTTTTTCTTACTCCTCTCTCTTCCCCTTCTCCCTACATTCCTCAGTGTCATCTCTCGTCTGTTGTATCTCGGACCCTTCAACCCGATTTTCTCCTCTCTCCTTCTCATCCTCGCCTGGACATTCCTTTCGTCTTTCTCCATCCCCCTTCTCACCATGGGTCTCTTCAAGCGCAAGGACTCCAAAAACTCGATCCAGAGTGAGAAGGACGAACAAGAATCGTTCGCGTCCATCAACAGTGCTCGCACATCCAATGCCTCGTTGCGATCGCCCGGCTACAAAGGAAGTGGCATGCCCGCATCCATCCCCGAGCTGTCGATTGCCAAACCACCCGACCCAGCCCTAGACCCGGCAGCATACCTTCGCAGCATCCATGCCGTCCGAGACCGATCGAAGTACGTGCTGGTGAAGGCCAAGAGGAACAAACTCAAGCACTTCGACGTCGACATGAGCAAATTCCAGGCTACGGCATCCTACATCGTCTCCATCATCAAGGTGAGTTCCCCAACCAGCGCATCGTGTGATGTACATCGGCTGACCGGGTTTCCACGTGCAGCGCGACTATGCTCCCGACTACGAATCGATCCCTCCGCATGGCCGCTGGCAGCATTTCGACGTGGGTGGCCGGCCCCGTGTCAATCAGTTGCTGCAGTCCTGGCCCAGTACGATCGACGCGCAAGAACGAACTCGCCGGCTGATCGATCTCTTCGTCGTTTCCGTCCTCCTGGATGCCGGCGCCGGCACCAAATGGTCCTACAAATCCAAGGAGTCGAGCAAGGTCTACTCGCGTAGCGAGGGTCTTGCGGTGGCCACTCTCGAAATGTTCAAAAGCGGGCTTTTCAGCAGCGACCCAACCGAGCCGTGCCAGGTAGACGGAGCCGGGCTGAAAAAGGTCACGGTGGAAGTATTGGCAAAGGGAATGCAACACTCGGAAAACAACCCGCTCGCCGGTCTGGAAGGCCGCGCCGGACTCCTCACTCGTCTGTCGGAAGCCCTGAATAACCAGGACTTCTTCGGCGTGGACGCTCGTCCGGGAAATCTCCTTGGTAAGAAACCCGCCCAGTAGTTTAGTTGCAGAAGGCGCCGAAAACGTTGCTAACGAACTTCCTCCAGATCATCTTCTTTCTCACCCGTCAACATTAGCTTCGTCTGTGCCCATCGTCCCGATCACCACGCTATGGACCGTTCTGATGGACGGTCTGACCCCGATCTGGCCCTCTTCGCGAACCAAGATCGACGGTCTGTCTATTGGAGACGCTTGGCCTTGTTCGAGCCTACCGCCCTCGCCGCCCGCGCAGCCCTGGGAGAACATCGTCCCATTCCACAAGCTTACCCAGTGGCTGTGTTACTCGATCATGGTCCCCATGTCTAGATTGATGAAGATTCACTTCGCGGGTAGCGATCTGCTGACTGGTCTTCCCGAGTACCGAAATGGTGGTCTTCTCATCGATATGGGGCTGCTGACTCTCCGAGATGAGGATCTCCAACGAGGAATCGCTGCATACAAGCAAAACGCGCAGATCAAGGGTCAACCAAACATGGAGGTGGTTCCCCTCTTCTCGACCGACGACGACGTAGTAGTGGAATGGCGAGCGGTTACCGTGGGATTTCTGGATGACCTGCTAGAAGAAGTCAATGGTCAGTTAGGACTTCTAGGGGAGAACCAATTGACTCTTGCGCAGATGCTCGAGGCCGGCTCATGGAAGGTAAGGAATTCCCTTAAACCTGTCTCATTTAAGATCAAGGCTAACATTGTTGTAATAGGGCGGCCGCGAGATTGCCGAGGTCTCCAGACCCAACACGAAGGAACCCCCCATCATGATCCGCTCCGACGGCACCGTATTTTAATTTCTGCATACCCTGTTTGCTTTTCTTTTTTGGATACCTGACTCCACCAGCATTGCGTCGGTTTTAAGAGCTGGTGGTGGTCCTTTACGACCTCTTAATGACCGGATGTTTATACGCCTCCTCCCTTTTGTTGCATTCTCCTTTTCTGTCGACTGGTTCTATGGAGAAGCTATACAAACTTCAATTCCTCCCATTCATGTAGAGCTATTGTTATGAGATGATGATCTGTTCGTGTATACTTTTTATTATATTTTTGGGGGTTGTTTGGGGTGCGGCATCGGGATAAAAACCAAAAAGTATTGATGAATGGGAGACTCTCCAGCGACTCCTGCCTCTTGACATGGATTACTCCTGAACTGTGGTTGTGTCCTGTAGAGTATACCTAGGTAGGTAGTTGTTATAATAACTGGATAACTGGATAAGAATGACGGTGGATTAGATAATCTGCAGGCCTCGGATCGACAGGTCCCGTGCACACCCACGTGACAGCAATGACGAGGGTCACGAGAAGGCTGGTCGATCCCGGTCTCGTCGGTGCTTTAAACTCCTCATCTCCCAGCCATTGCTTGCTCCTGCGTGGTGCCTTGCCTCTGCACTCCTCTGCACATTGTTCCCCTCAATGGACTCACGATCTCTCTGCAGATGCTGATATCCACATCTCAGAGCTGCCGTCTCCCACTTTAGCTTCACAGCACCCGCATCTGCGGGGTACCGACAACCGGTAACTGCTACTCACCGGTCCATTTCCCTTCTCCAACACACCCCCGGCAATCATGGACGTGCGCAAGAAGAAGAGAAAGGTCCTCCTGATGGGGAAGAGCGGCTCGGGCAAATCCTCCATGCGGTCCATCATCTTCAGCAATTACGTCGCCAAAGATGTACGTCGGCTGGGGGCGACAATCGATGTGGAGCATAGCCATGTCAAATTCATGGGAAACCTCACGCTGAATCTGTGGGATTGTGGAGGGTAAGATATTGTGTTGCTCTCTCTATTGAGTCCCTCTTTCCGGGAAACTGACGTGAATCTCCCCCATACAGACAAGATGCCTTCATGGAGACCTATCTCGCTTCTCAACGCGGCAACATCTTCTCGGACGTTGCAGTGCTCATCTACGTCTTCGACATCGAATCGCGCGAGGTCGAGCGTGATCTCGATACCTACAATGCTATCATCAACGCCCTGAAAGAGTTCAGTCCGAACGCCTACGTCTTCTGCCTCGTCCACAAACTCGACCTCATCCAGGCCGAACACCGTCAACGCATCTACGAAGAACGCTCCGCCCTCATCCGCAGCCGCTCCGAGCACTTCTCCATCGACACCTTCGGCAGCAGTATCTGGGACCAGTCGCTTTACAAGGCCTGGGCCGGCATCGTCCACCGCCTCATCCCCAATCTCACCGTCATTGAGCGCTTCCTGCACGCCTTCGCCAAACGCATCAATGCCGAAGAAGTCATTCTCTTCGAGCGCTCCACCTTCCTCACCGTCACCTCGGTGGCCTCCGAAGTCGGCGACCTCAACCCCATCTACGATCGCCACGAGCGACTCTCCAACATCATGAAGGCGTTCAAGCACTGCGCTGCCCGCAATACCCATACCACCCCAGCGTCGGCCGGGTTTGTCGTCATGCACACGAAAACGCCGCAGTTCAACGTCTTCCTCGGCCGTTTCACCGACAACACGTACATCTTCATAGTCGTCCCACCTGGCGAGGCCGCATACAATTGCGCCGTCATGAACACCATGCTCGCCCGCGAAGGGTTCTCCAAAGCTGCGGCTACCGGCCAAGGCGATGGATTCCCTCTTCCGGCGCCAGATTCGCCAGATGGCGAAACGATCCTCAACTCCCACGGTTGACACCACTCCTTCACCCATTGCCAATGTATTAAAACCTGGGAGGAAGCTCAGGTGGAATCAGTCCCCCCCACTCCCCCTTAAGAAGCGAACGGTAAGACTGCAGATTAAATCCCTGCCTTACTTAACAAGTGGCTTCTATCTATCCTAACCTCTTCCATCACATCACCCACCTTCTATCCTTCCTTTCCCCAACCCAAAATGTCAGTTACCTGCGAGGACATCTAGCGAAAAATCGGCGTTCTTAAATTTGTGCTATAATATGTGCGTGTGTCGCTTATCATCCATCCATCTGCTTATGATCATCATTATTTCTCTTTTTTTTTCGGTCCAAGACATAATGTGACATGTTCATTCCTTTTTCTCCTTTTTTTCTTATCATTTTTGGCTTCCACCCCTTCATCCCGTTTCTTTTCTCTTCTTTCCTTTTGAGATACCCATGTGTGGTTTTCTGTCTGCTACCTACTTCCATCCATCCATCCATCACACCTCCCCACCAACCTGGTTACACAGCATGCATTGCATCCCTATCTACCAGATAGCATAGCATACAAACGAAGGGAAAGATATATGCATACTGAACTAGAACCAGTCTACCTAACGACATGCACTATGACTATGTTATACAATGAATAAACATACAAGAAAGGTCGTAGACCGAGCAATAAATGGGAGGCTAATTAATTCCATAGCAGAAGGGGGAAAGGGGGGAGAAAAATCTAAGTAACTGAACTATGTAAGAAAGGGAAAGAAAGACGACGCTTTACATCATTGTACATCTGGCATGCGAACGGCAATGTCGCCCGACTGAGTGATATATCGGACCCAGGGGAGAGAGGGGTATTGGAGCTAGGGAACGGGGTCCGTCGGTTAGATAGCGATCTAAAGAAAGAAAGGGGGAATGGGGAAACGTACCTTGGGTTCCGTGATCTTCAGATACCGTACTTGGATACCACTCGTTGTGAAGTAGGGGATCTCGAATTTGACGTTGATGGGCCGCTTCGCTTTGCCGGATCCTGTGCCTCCCATGCTACCTCCGAAGCCACCGGTCATGCCACCGCCGTGCTCGTCGTCGCCTTTGACGGAGGGGAGGCCGAGCTCGGCGCGCATGAGGAACTCCTTGCCGCCGCCGAACTGCTTGATCTTCCAGACGATGGCGGACTGTTCGGGGGCGTAGTGAACGGTTCCGATGTTGGTTCGGAAACGGGGCGAGTCGGCGTCTTCGGGCACGGGGACGACGATTTCGACGTTGTTGGCTGTGCTGCGGCGTTTGAATTGCGCCTTGGCCTGTGGGTGGAAGATGTGTTAGGCTTGAGGGATCCAGAGGGGATTCGTCCAAGAGATGGGAATTAGCTCACCTTTAACATGTATTCGACACGGGAGCCGGAGTGAGACTCTACGAGACACTCCACCCAGATCAACGGTTTCACCTGCGTGTTCAAACGATAGCTCATGAGTTCGAATTCACCGTCCGGCGGGATGAAGCTGATCGTTCGGTCATTCTCGAATCGGGAAAGTCGAACACACTGGTGGAATTTGACATCTTCCATCTCGACCGACTTGCCTCGCGTAGCACGGCCGGTCGTTTCAAACATGACTTTGTCGTTCAGCCCCAGACGAAGTTCCGGCATACCACTCAGGTAGCACTTCATCTTGACGGCACCCAGGATCTCTGATCGGAGAACATTGCCAGAGGTCGAGACAAGGAGGTTGAGCGATTCGACAACGTCCAGGAAGACTTCGTTCTTGCGGTAACGGATACCCTCGCTTCGCCAGGAAACCGCGTTGGTGACGGCGATGGGAGGTCGGGCTTGAACCTCCAGCTTATGCGACTCTTGCGTGATGTACCTAATTGAACGCCATTGTCAGTTCCTGTCGTCCTTCTGTCGTCTCGATGGATGATTCCAGCAGCCGTCTTACTCTTGCAATATCTTGCTCTCTGTCGTTTGTGGGTACCCGAAATCCATCATCTCGTCGAGCAATTCATAGATAATGACGAAGTTGTCGCGAATACTTTCCTCCTCCAACACCTTGAAGTACTCCGTGAAGACCTCCACGATCTTGTGAAGGAAAAGAAGGATCTCGGTCGCATTGGTGTTTTTCTTGGTCAACGCGAGGATATAGAGGTTACTGTGGCGGATGTAGAGGTACTAAAGGGAAGACCCCACGCAAGGTCAGCACGCGCACAGCACAATTCCCCTCATTCGAGCATTCGCCTCCTTATTCCCTCAACCAACCCAGTCTAGGGCGTGGCGCTCCAACGGAAAAAAAAAATAGGGAGTAGAGGCGAAGCGGACTGCGGGGAGCGGGTAGGCGGGGAGGAAGGTAAAACAAGCACGTATGCAAGCCGCCAAGCAGGTCGCGGAAGGCCAACGTACATTAATGCCCTCGTGGGAGAAGCAGGGCGGCACGGCGGAGCTTTCTTCTTCGGCGTCACTGAGGAGGATAGGGAACTTTTCGACGGCGGACATGGGGATGTCTCCGCGGTAGTTTCGGGCCAGAAGGGTCTATTTTGGCTGGTCAGCGGCCAGGGGAACTGCGGTGGGATTTACTTGACGTCGGGCGGAAGGACACCAACGTACCTTGCCCTTCAGGTCCAGGAAGAAGAGGGCGGAGGCCATCGCGGGAGATTGAGGAGGGTATCAGGGGGGAGGAGGAGACGAGAAGATGGGATCGGTCGGTGGAAAGCAGGTGGGTGTCAATTGTATGGCAGCAACGGGCTGGGCGAGATTGGATTGGAACGGGAGAGGCCAACGAAACACACTAGTCGGACATGCTGCTCGTGGGGGACGGAGGAATGGGCTGTACCCTGCGCATTAGCTTCAAGTCCACACGGGGGGTTCAGCGAAGGGGAATATCACTCACGAGAAGGAATCAAGCAAATGGAAGCCACTCGACGCAGACGAATGGAAGAGCAATGGAATGGACGAAGTTGTACTCCATTGATTCGGGAATTTGGAGGCGCCGCAAGTCACGATCTTGCCCGAACGGGTTAGCGCGAGAATCGGTGCCGCCATGCCCGATGCAGTCTAGCGCCACTCACGGGATGATATTTATTTCTGCTTTTTTTTCACTCGCTCTTCCCTTTTCTTTTTTCTTTCTCCCACGCTCCCAATAGACAGTGCAAGCCAGTACAAATTGCTTTGGTGATTTCTGGATTCGTCGGACTTTCTGTCTGATTGTCTCCAGTTTCTATTACTGTGAACTTGCGATACAGAGGTGCGGAGACTATGCATCGTAAAGAGGGTTCCATAAGAGCTGGCCGGGTATTTTGCGCTGTTACCCGGGCGGTGTCAGAGGAACCGTACATCCCTATCTTTAATCTTGAATATTTTGAAATATGAAATATGATTCTATCTTCAATTGGCAATGAGCCTTTCAGGTGGTATTTGCAGTCAATATAGAACAGGTCGTAGTAAAAGTACATATCCGGCGGATGAAAGAGAGAAGCCCCCAAGACATACAGAGAACAACATCCAAGAAAACGAAATGTCAGAAGAAGAAAGGAAATAACGCCTTGCAAATGCTCCCGCGGCCATTTCCCAGTGATCACACCCCTTCTCAGGCCGCGATCTTGAATCCCAGCGGTGCCAGTATCCGCTCCCGAGCCATCTGGTTGGCAACGTGCCCGCCTTTCTCCAGGGACACGGCTCCAATCACGGCGTACATCGTATGGGCAAGGACGAGCTCCAAGCCAGAGCTCTCAAGGTTGTTGGGCTAGAGAGAGAGTAGATGTGTTAGCATTGAACATACAGTCGAATTCCTATGAACACCCAAGAAAGGGAACCAGGAGAACAGTGTCTGCAACAGCCAGTCATTTCTCACCTTTCGGGGGCTCCATCTCAAGACTGTTCCCATCTCATATTTCTGCGCAAGGTCCGCAAGGTTCGACTTGGCCGTCAGGAAGTTCTTAGTGCTGGGCGAAAGGTTGTTCAAGTTTTCCAATGCGGGATGGGAAAAGGGTTGTCGGCCATGAGCATCGGGTTTGGCGGCGGCAACGTTTCCGGGGCTTTGCGCCAAAGCCAAAGAAGCCTGCAGCTGAACAATGCGTTTCCCTATTGACAACCAATGCCTCGATTAGTCCCTGTTGAAGTTGAAGTTGAAGGTGTAGGTGTAGGTGAAGGTCCCGCGGACCGCTCCTTGGGCCGCGGAGAACAGATATGCCACATACCCAGAAAAGCCAATCGGTCGTTGAAGCCTCGTCTACCCTGGTCAAAACTCTTATGCGTCACGGCAAGCCATTTGATCTCGTCGGAGAGGAGCTTCTCGCCGTCACTGCCCAGCATGCGGATGTAGAATTGGTCAAGGACCTTGGGATCGGAATTGACGGGGAATTCGCGTCTCTTCGAGTTGAGTCGCAAGCTAAAGGGGGCCTGCGCCCGAGGGGGGGTGTAGGACCATCGGGGCTTGTCTGCGGAGTCGAAGGACGTTTGCTCGGTGGACGTCGACAGTCCACGCTGGGGGAGGAGAAGGCCGGGTCTGGCGAAAGAGCGGCAGGCGGAACAGGACACAGTCCTGGCTGCTCGGGTCGAGAGCATCGAGGCCATGGTGTGTATGCAGAAGAAAAGCGAGAAGCCGCGGGAGGGGAAGAGAGAAGAAGGGGTAGAATCACCAGTCCGGGGCTTTTTTTGCGAAGGCCGCGGGTGGAATTGAAGATGGATGGATTTGGGAAGATTTCGGAGATGCGGCGCTAGTCCCGATCGGGTCGTAGCGCGGCCAGGCACGTCGGATTGCCTCAGGAAGCCAGGCTGCGTCTCGCCGTGTCGCTCTGCTGAATTGCGCATCTTGAATGTCTCCGGTGTGTAGTAGCTTCTTCTTCTTTTTTTTTAGGTGTTATTCATTGGCTCTGGGACATGAGCTCTTCCGCGGTATAGTCTATGAGATCGGCTTCAGCTATCTTCTACGCTGCACCGAACCTATAGCTGAACGTACGGACATGCTAGCATTGGTACCATTTGCTTCGCCCTCTTGACACCGAAAAATGATCTTTCTATTCTCTGGATACTCAAGAGACAGACAAGGCGCTAGATATCTGTTTGCTTTGGGAGAAATGGCTGAAGGTTTCCGTGGATAGACACAGGATCCCATACAAAGTGTGGCGGCGGACAGTTTGCTCAATTGAATGAGCAATTTTCGTGCCTAGGCTGTTGAGAGATTTGTGGAGTACCTGTTTGGCTCTTTTACTGGGTAGGTTTTGAGGTTTTGTACTACTCGGACCGTTGGAGAACGGGGCATCTCACCAAGAGGAAAAGAGTACATGGGAACAGAAACGTATAGTCTCTGCGGGGATATAGGAATTTCCCATCATGCCGCATAGTCCACGGCAACCAGCTTTGCAATGACCTTTCCATTGCATGATTATCCCTCTCCTAACCGTCTGTTGTTAGCCATATATCCTATAGGAATAGTTGCCGGCGTAAACGACCCCGACGATACCCGTGCTGATAATGGAGAAATTCCCGGTGTATACAGCCAAATGTTGCACCAAGGCATAGGCCAAGCCTTGGGGTTTGTTTCTATGGGGCGATCAACAGCGAAATGTGACGGATTGTCGGGAAATTACTCCTGCCTCCGGGTGGCTTCAAGCTGGTCCCGTTTGATGGAAGCCACACTGGTCCAAAAGGAAAAGCGGAAAATAAAGGGAAAGTGGGAATTTCGAAGGGAATGAGGGGACACAGCATAGAAAGTACTGAGGGGAATGCGTATCCTTTTCCAACGGTAGTAATTTCAGCTCGTCGCTCAGGCCCTTCAATCTTCCGTACAAAGCCATCCGACGGGCCGATGCTGGAGAAAAAAAGCAAAGAGCACATATCCATCTCCACATTGGCGCTATACAGGGGTGAACAGCAGCCAAGCTATCCATCAGGCAGTGTCTTATTGCGCCGGATCGAGTCATCGCGTCGGTTGTCGGCAGTTGTTAGGCCATCAATCAACCGATGTGCGAAGTCTTGCCACTAAACTCCGCGGTCTCTTTGGCAATTCCTGCAAGTCTAACGGGTCGTTTGATGATTGTTAGCAGTCTGGGTAGCTGCTTCCCGTTTATTGTCTTGCTTCCTACTGTCTCGCAATTCCGACTTAGCGAATCCACGTGTGGCATGCATTCTTGTAGAATTTACTGTACACCTCAATATTGGGGTATTGAGTCGTGCAAGGTCCCCCCTGAGTACTCTTTTGCAAGGCGTCGATTTGTTTGCTTTTAGGGCACCGCACTGGTGTCCTATAGGGAGTCACCCATACTAGGGCTTTCACTATGTCAGATAGCCATCAGCAACAGGTGATAGATTTGTATGTCGTAGATAGAAGATAAAAAAGGAATGGGAGATTTGACATACTGGTATCGATGGGGAGTTTTGCTTACATCGTACCTACTGCACTCGTTTCTCGACAATATGAGCCTCATTGTTCATTGTTTGCTCCCACGAAATAATGGCTTTCGGATTCCCCGGTAACTACCGCGCTCAGCGCCTGTGATGTCAAACGCGCCTCCCGGGTTTGGGGGTAAACTAGATCCACCGTGGCGCCAAAAATAGAGGGAAATGAGAAGGTCCCGGGAACAAGAGGCAAAAGGACGCTTTTGCCGTTTGCTCTCGTACGGGATCATTGCGGCTAGTAGCCTGTTCGCCTCGATTTACGCGGACAGAAAGCCGACCAACGACACGGTTTCAGCAACGCATTGTACTGCAATTAGCCGTAGAACTTCTCGTCTGAGACCCGCGGGTGTCACCTACTGCAGGAGCCTGCAGGTTTGAACAATTTCACTGGCTGGATAGACGGTCTGCAGCTAGGCGGATGCAAAGCCGTTAGACCTATCGAGATAGCCGTTTTGCGCTATCTGAAGGAGTGAGGTAATATCGTTACGGAGAGCCGACCAGTGCTGCAAGTCCGCTGTCCGACACTTGCCCCCAAATATCCGTCGGGTCCTTGCAGGGGATCCCGAAATTCCTTCTGGATGTGAAAATATCTACGAAGATCACGGTTAGAAGGTCGAAAGTGTCATATCCACGCGGCCCTTTCCCGTGGGATCAGACGTCTGGCGGTGTACAAGTTGCTCCCAGGTTGCTCCGGTTGTCGCTTTTAAAAAGCAGGCGTTAGCCCACCCATGGAGAGCCATTGCTTTCTTCTCCATTCCAGACTCGAGTGCCAGAACAAGAATACTTTCTTCTCTTGAACACTGAAAAAGAGCCGTCCTCAAGTTTCATTCGTTTCGCCTTTCGCATACTTCGTCTTTCATCTTCCATCACCCGGTATCTACCACACTAGTCAGCTCTCTTTAGCAAGGACAGAAATGGCTTGGGTCCTGAGCAATATGACTAGCACCTCACACCGCTTCGAATACATCCCCCAAGCACACCATGCCGGCAACGAAAAGCTCACTCAACTGAACACCTCACACGACCCACCTTCTCCAAAGCCAATGCCCCCCAACCCGCCTCCTAGTCCCGCTTAAATAATCCATTGATTGGAATGGATGCCGATTGGAGAATATATCTGAGACGGTAAGCTTTATCATTCGCTTTTGCTCTGGGCATGTCGCTTTTTGCGCAGGCATGGAGCTACCTAGTGGCTTAAATACCCAGGTATGATCAAAAGACGTTGGTTCACGACGGCTGACAGGCACAGGTTGACTCCAGATGCGACTCGATGAAAATCTGCACAATGAGAACCACCGAGGGAAGGCACCGAGGGAATGGACATCTCGGTCAGGAAACGGGATTTCGGTCTGGTCAGAGTGGCAGGCTGCGATTAAGTAATTAATAGAGTGCTTTTTGGGCGGTGATCTGGGAAAGGAGTTGGCGGTTGCAAATCAAGATTGTAAATTTCCAAGTTCAAAAATCATAGGTAGTTTCGGGAATAGAGATTTGACTTTCCTTGTGTCTCTGATAAACAATGAGTTAGTTGCTTCTGAGCCATCAGTCTGAGGCAGTTCATGCAGGAGATTTCAAACCCGAAACCCTTCGTGTAATCTTCCCTACCTGCTAAAAAGCTGCTTCATGGCGGCACTTCCTACATCCTGAATCCACTGAATTGGGTTTCGGGGACATGCCAGGATTCTGACAGAATATTGTTCAAAGCGCAAAGGCAAAATGGCGATCAGTCCAAAAAGAAATGCAGCCTTGATTGACCGGTATGGAGATAATATTGCACAAAGAACATGGTTTTAAGAAGGAAGAAAAACAGAACTCAAAGGTATGGCACAGGAAAATCAGTAAAAAGCAAGGAAAAGAGCGCTAGCAACACTCAAGCCGACCACGGTCCAGCCGGACCGGATGACCTGTTGGTTGGTGATTCCGCGACCCAGATCCCAGACCAAGTGACGGACGCCGTTCATGCAGTGGAAGGCAAAGGGGAAAGCCACCGTGCCCTTGAGGGCGACCTTGGCGGCGATGGGAAGAGCAGCGAAAGCGGCGACCAAGGAAGGCGATTCCAAGTGCCATCCAAGCAACGGGGCAGCGAGATAGGCGGTCGCGAAAAGGTACAGGCCTCCCGACAGAGCAACACCGGTGACACGGTTGAAAGCACTGGCGTACCAGGTGATCTGAGGACGATAGATGGTAAGGTGAGGGGCGACGGGACGGTTCAACCGCTGCTGCTCAAGGATCTTGGTAGGGTCGGAGGTGTTCGTGGTGGAGGCAGCGTGCCTATATGGTCTTGAGTTAGCAACCAAGCACTATTGAATACCCGGAATATAGCGGTTCTCCTCGCGAGGTGAGACCAGTCGTATGCATGACGTAGCAACCGATCGTCGCGAGAAACCCGGGCGAATCCAATCCCTATCTCCAACCGCAGATATCCAAAGACAGGAACTGACCTCGTCTGAATGTTCTTTCCAAGGGCGATGGCGGCGGGGGAGGCGGAGTTCATCATGGACCACCGCATGGCGTAGGGCTGCTGGACGGCAACTGCGACGACAATTAGCAGGGATTGTCAATTTAAATCAGGTCATAGAGGAAGTACATACGCCGTCGCAGCGACTGCTGGGCAACCTTCTGAGAGAACATGGTGTTTGTGTGTGAGAAAAGCGACCCCGTTCAACGATGCAAACAGCAAATCGACGCAAAAAGTCACCTCGAATTCCCGACGCTCGTAACGCTTCGGAATCACGGGACGGACAACCTCGGGCGAGCCCCCAGTCACGGGACTGCCATTCCGGGTGCAATTGGGGCCAATCAGAGTGGCCGTATTACCAGCCGGAAGATTCTTCTTCCATTCCCCTTCCGCTTGCCGATTCCGTTTTTTTTTCCCTTTCTTATTTGTGTCTTTCCTTTTTCCCTCTCTCCTTTCTTCTTCTTCTCTCTACGGGTCTCCGCCCACGTTGTCTACCACTTCCTTTGGGATGATGTTGACGTGTTAAGCAAAGCCTCACTGGTTTCGGCATTCTGTCGCGACCGCCGAGGTTTATGAGATACCGAAGAAGGAGCTTAACCCGTCGTTAATCGCCCGTTCTTTTCTGTCTATGGGATGGATGGGTTTCATATCAGGGTTACATACACGTATCTATCTTCGGATATCAATTGTAGAGTGCATTGGTGGTGTACGAGTAGTGCTGTCGTCACTAACCACGTTGGTACGCGGTGCTGCAATATCCATCAAAATCCGTCTGGGATGTTTGGTCGCTTGAGCAGGGCATGTATTGCCTGAATTGAGCTCAAGGCATCGAAACGGACTGGTTATCCAAGCCCTAAGGGGCTAAGACCGCGGGGGTTGTCCGATATTGCCGACTCCCTACAGCTCTTGGATGGAATATTCTGTCCTTTCGGAGCCTGCTGAGATTTGCCAATCGCTCTTTATTTTAAAGGAGTGCAGCAAATCATCCCTGCCATTCGATGGAATCGGTACGTGGCATTCTACTTCGGCCCGGGAGGCCAATGCTGTAGAACAAAGCTCCGACCCAGAGGCCGGCATTCATTCCGAGATGGACATTAGGCTAATAAGCTGGGGTGAGGGGAAGATCATCTTGCCATCTGAATCAACAATCAATCATCATCTCTCTCGATTTACCTTACCTCAATCATCAAAATTACTGTATTTCCTAGACACTTTCATCGTCGTGCATCTCTTGCCCGTTTTTCGTAATTGAATCATCAACATGGCTACTCAAACTGGACTGGACGTTCTCCGCAAAAGGACCATCGTGGACTGTGACACTATGGATGAACAGGGTACTGCCTAGCTAATATTCGTTGCTATCGTCAAATTAAGACATCATGCTAATTCCCACGTCGTAGTTGCTAAGAAGATGGGTCCGTTCCAGGACTGCACTTCCAACCAGGTAAGTACTTGTAGACGGCTGCGCTTAGAGGCTGGGATGATGACTGGCGTCTAACATGATCAGGCGATCGCATATGGCGAACTTAGCAAGCCAGAACATGCCGGTTTGATTTCCGCCTCGGTCGCAGACGCGAAAGCTCTGCTTTCTAGATTTCCAGGCCTGAGCGTCGAGGAGTTGGCTGTTGAAATTGCGGTATTCATCTTCCGACATTATGACCTCATTCGTTGCTATTGACTGCTGCGCAGATGGTTCAATTGGCCTTGAAAATTGCTCCCCATATCCGTGGACACGTTCATATCCAGACGAATCCCTACTACTCGTACTCAACCGAGAAGACCATTGTTAACGCTTTGAGTGAGATGTCACTGATATGCATATGGTTTGGTAGATGGGAGAAAGCACTAACCAGCTCACTCTGGTAGGGATCGTGCAACTCTTTCAACACTTCCAACCCGGTTTCGAGCAATCTCGAATCTGCATCAAAATCCCCAGCACATGGGAAGGAATGCTCGCCTGTCGAACTCTCGAAAAGGCCGGCGTACGGACTCTAGCCACCACGCTTTTCACAATGGCACAGGCCGTGTTGGCCGCCGAGGTGGGATGTACCTATGTTGCACCATACGTCAACCAATTGAAAGTTCACTTTGAGCCAGGGTATACCCTACCACGCCCCTCGTACTATACGGTGTCATACTTACATCCGTCCGTCCAGATTCACCGACCCAAACAAACTGCTTCCGCTCTGTGTCCTGATTCAGAAATACTACGAGTCCATCCAGGCTAAGACCCAGGTTCTACCTGCCAGTTTGACCTCGACGAATGATATTTTCGCCCTTGCCGGTGTGCAGCACCTTACCATTGCGCCGGGACTCCTGGAGGAGCTCTCGCAGCCGGGTTCTGTCCCTGTGATGCGGTCTTTGTTCGACACCGACGTTCCAGCTATTACCCCCGCCTCTACGCTGATATATCTCAATGATGAGCCTGCTTATCGACTTGCATTCACCCGAGACTTGCATGGAGCGAGCGAGGAGAAGCTGACGCAGGTATGTAGGGTGATGAGCGTTTTCTGGTTCCGTTGCTAATGCCATGACAGGCTGTCAATATTTTCTGCGATATGCAGGATAAGCTGGTGCAGGTTATGAAGGCTAATTTGTAGTAGCTAGGTATAGTCGCTAATTTGCTATGATATCGTGGAGAATTGAAGGTGGTTATTTGAGATGATATGTATTCGCTTGAACTACGAAGTATATATTGCAGCAATGTAGCGGCTGATCGGGCCTCGAATATTACGAGGCAACTCCCTGAAGTATATCATAAGGAATTACTGTCTTTATTTTCTGTGACGGACACGTAAACAAAAAAGCAACTCATTCTATAAAAATACCTGTGATAGAAAGCAACACCTGACCCATCCACAACACAACACCCGATCCAACCATACCCACAAAACACTAGAGATATGATCTGCACCAAGCAACCCCAGATTGATGTAGTCAAAATCTAGGCCGGTCTTCAAGAAAGAGGTGCTGTGGTCTAGTGGTAGGACGTTACGTTGTGGCCGTGCCAGCGCCGGTTCGATTCCGGCCAGCGCCAACTCTTTTCTGAACATCTTTCTCCTCAGGTGCTGTGGTCTAGTGGTAGGACGTTACGTTGTGGCCGTGCCAGCGCCGGTTCGATTCCGGCCAGCGCCAACTCTTTTCTGAACATCTTTCTCCTCAGGTGCTGTGGTCTAGTGGTAGGACGTCACGTTGTGGCCGTGCCAGCGCCGGTTCGATTCCGGCCAGCGCCAGATGTTCTCTTTTTTGCTTTTTGTTTTTGCTGCACAGCCTTTGTGTTCATTTTGTCTTGTTTTTGAGCATCGCTGGCCCATAGTGCTCGGTTGTCTTGGGGAGGGAGTTCTGCCGAGTGCTCACCCCCACTGGGAAGGCGGTGGGGAGCAACGGTACCAATTCGCCCTGGAGTGCGGCACACTATGTCTCTAAATCTTGGAACTCGGCACCAGGAACTTGCGAGCAGGCCGATCGCAGACGGGATGTGGGCTAGACCATTGAGGACTCTATTGTATGACAACCTGTTTGATGTTCATCACTGCCCGTTGTGGCAAGATGCTGTTTTATCGAGATGGGACTTGGCTGATGCATTCTTCTCCGTCTTTACTCCGCATGACAGGACGCCGGACAGCTATCCAACAGCACGGAGAAGCATGACTGCAGGCGTCATCTATGGCCTAGCGTGGTGCGGAGTTCCTGGGGCCAGGCGGCTTTTCTTCGGGCGTTGGGTGCGGAGTGGTGGCTGATTGAATGGAGATCGATGATATCATCGTTGATTGTGTGATGCGCGTAGAATTTTCCCTGACTGGTTCAGAGTGGCAACGAAATGGTCGGCCAAGTAACCCGTAATCTTGAGCATGGCTACTTGGAGAAAGAAACAAACTCGGTATTAATTAATTCGGGTACGAGTGCGGCTTCCGTGGACACCGAGAGCCCAGTGGACAAAGAGAATGGCCGACCAGACAACCAGGCAGCAGGAAAACGATAGACATCAAGTAACAGCAACTGCGATGGGCGCGCCAATGGGGTTGAATATGGGTACTGACCTCCATTCACTATCCAGAGTCCACCCACTGGAGCTCTAGAACTTTCGGATCGGTTCCTGAGCGACTTCGTTACTATCCGAGCTCCCCATGCGGAAGGCACATTCAATCCGATGCAATTGCAGCCCCTTGCGTAGATGAATTATTATTTATCGATGATTGCCAGTCCGGTACACAGCATCCTTACGGAGATTAAAAGCCACTGAGGCAAACCCTTGCAGGTGTATGATTTGCGACATTCCATATGTACTCCAGAAGTCCCTTGTTGACAAGCCGCCAGAAAGGCATTGCAGGAAAGAGACCCAGTGAAAAGCGACAAGCAAGTACTGTGTAATGCGTAAAGCTCTCAAGATCAGTATTGGAGTTGACAATGCCGAGCCCTCGGAACGAGGCCGACGATCCAGGTCACCGGGCATGCAACCGATGCAAAGTTCGGGGAGCCGAGAGTCGCAAATAATGCGTTGGCGCAACACCCACAGCTTTCCATCTAACCGCAATTGACCGAAAACAAACTCGCCGCACAAGCCAAGTCAACCCATCAAACCTGTTATGAAGCATGCCAAGTTGGAAGTGATGGAAAATCTCGCGAAGAAAAAGCGCGCTAAGTGTGGCAGTGTGGGGGTCGGTTCTCGATCCCCAACTCTCCAATCTCCAGGCTCCTCCGTACGCCTCCGTATGCAGTTCAGATGGATTTCGAAGGGTGGAAATCGCACGATGGAGCCAGGGACCCGTTGATACCCACCCCGACTGCATGTACCGATGACGCCGCCCAGACCTGAAGCGATAGCCCCGAGCCTCAGGTGTCTCGATTAAAGACATGCAATGCACGATGACGCTCGGGTCGTTGGCGTCGTACGCATGACTCGGCCTAGTTTCTGCTAGCATCTACAGCAAAGTTCGATAATCTCAAACTAGACCGGTTGTCCATAGAGCCGAACCGACGAACAGATACGAAGGAAACTCGGTTGCACGAAAGAACAGGAACATTTTTTGGCTTCCATAGAAACTCAGGTCGGATCCGATGTGCTTCACCGAGCAGTGAACATGACCATGGATCAGTTGTGCGTGGCTTCCGGACCGATGAAGGTAATGATGTCAAGCCAAGCGGCCAAGCAGCCAAGCAAAAAGAAAGCGGAAGGAAAAAAAGTCTTGATCACAAAATTTTTCTTGGGTGGCGCCTTAACCTTTCCGCGGCGATGGTGCTTAGTCCAACCACGGCTGGAAGGAGGAAAAATCTCCAGCACATTCAGCATCCCTTCATCCCCGGGTCGGACAAGCCAGCCAGTTGACTCAGGGTCCGAGTGAGGGACCGACGCTTGGGAACAGAGGGAGTGGGACTGAGGACGGTCGAATTGGAAATTGTTCTCCGACCGAGTTGCAGTGTTGAGCGTCGAGGGAGACGCTAAGATTAAGATAGTGGCACTCCTCGGGGCGGATCTACGTTCTTCTTCCATCCACGGCCACCCGAGTCGCCGGAATCGACGTAAAGAGTCCAGAGCGCGTTCCTTCATTGACGTCAGACCCGTTGGAGTGGAGCTTGCTAGGTCCAATGAGAACTCGTGGAGCTGTCAATTTCCAGGACAACGACGATATCTTTGATGAAGGAAATCGAGATCATGATGGGTTGGTGAAGAGTAGTCGGGATGGCAGTTCTCATTGCCACGGCATTCCCTGAAGGAGAGGGAGGGAAGGGAGGGAAGGGCAGCGCAGGAGTCAAGACAAACGCTGCACGTGCGCACGCATCGTCGAGTCCGAAAGCATCCACCAGTCCTTCTCCGAGTGGGTCGACCCTCAGTCGAAGTATACGTGGGTGGAGACCGACAAAACCGGTTTGCGAAGAATGACGAAAATATGGTCGACCAAACTCGACTTACTTATAATCAATTGAGAGAATCTTGGAAATTTTTTTTTTGTTTTACCCCAGGTCAAGTCTTCTGTCTCTTCCCCGCGCGACCATGACCGACGCCGCGCATCACGAAGTCCAAAATGCTCCAGCAGACGGCAACCCCGGGCGACCGTCCTCTTTGTCGGAAAAGGGCAGAGAGAGCCGGCGCAGCGGATCCGACGTTCTCGCTGGAGGTCTGGCGAAGGAAACCCTCGGTGAAACCAATGGCCCGTCCGAAAAACGCGAATTGAAGGAGCACGAATGCTACGACAAGCTGGGCTACTGCTGGCCTCGATGGAAGAAGTGGACATACCTGGCAGCTGTCGCCTTCGTCCAGGTGTCCATGAACTTCAACACCTCCGTTTTCCCCAACGCTGTCGCGCCCATCGCCGAAGCCTGGGGCGTTAGCGAGCAAAAGTCCCGAGTCGGACAGATGATCTACTTGGTGACGTATTCATTTGGGTGTGAACTGTGGGCACCATGGAGTGAGGAATTCGGCCGTTGGCCCATTCTGCAGCTCTCGATGTTTCTCATCAACATCTGGCAACTTCCTGCTGCTTTAGCCCCGAACTGGGGCTCTATCATCGTCGCCCGTGGTCTGGTATGTTCCCTCAACCTCCCTACCCTCCCCGGCCCACATTCCCCCAACCACATTCCAAGACATGTTGAAGGCACTGACACATTATAGGGTGGCGTCTCTACTGCAGGTGGTAGTGTGACTCTCGGTCTAGTTGCCGACATTTACGAGGCCGAAACACAACAGTTCCCCCTTGCTTTCATCGTCCTGTCTTCCTGCATTGGCACTAGTATTGGTGGAATCATCGGTGGGCCTATTGCGCGCTGTAAGTCTCCGCCCTAGAAGTCCCAATGAAGATTGAGTACTAACGCGCGGAAAATTAGTCCTCGGATGGCGTTGGTTCTTCTGGATCCAGCTCATTTTCGGAGGTGTCACTCAGGCCATCATCTTCTTCATGCCCGAAAGTCGTGCCACCATCCTGATCGACCGGGAAGCCAAGCGACGCCGCAAGACGGGCGAAGACCCCAACTGCTACGGTCCCAATGAGCTGAAGAAGCCTCGTGTTTCTCTGAAGGAAACCGGCACCATCTTGCTGCGACCCTTCCACATGTTGATCCGCGAACCCATCGTGCTCTGCCTCTCCCTTCTTTCCGGATTCTCCGACGCTCTTATCTTTATCTTCCTGGAGAGTTTCACCCTTGTGTACACGCAGGGCTGGGATTTCGGGATTCTCGCCAGAGCTTGGGCCTTTATTCCTATCAACCTGGCATACGTGATTACGTACTTCTCGTATTTCCCATGGTTCTGGCGTGATCAAAGCATCCGCAAACGCGAGGGTGATGACGCGCTTCCTCCGGAGCGCCGTCTCAAATGGCTTCTCTTCTTGGCCCCCTTCGAACCCATCGGTCTCATAGGCTTCGCTTGGACTTCGTTGGGTAACGCATACGGTGTCCACTGGATGGGAACTATGGTCTTCTCCACCATGGTCGGTATTGCCAATTATGCCATTTACTTCTCGTCGGTCGACTACATGATCGCCTCGTATGGTCCTTACTCCGCCTCTGCTTGCGGTGGTAACGCCTTCGCTCGTGACTTCCTGGCCGGTATCTCCGCCATGTTCGCCACGCCCATGTACTCCAACATCGGAGACAAGTTCCACGTCGAGTACGCCAGTACTGTTCTGGCGTGTCTGTCCTGCCTCGTCGTCATTCCCATCTACGTCTTCTATTGGTACGGACCGCAGGTGCGCGCCCGCAGTAAGTTCGCGGAGTCGCTTGCTGCCGAACGAAAGGAGAACAATGGCCGCCGAGTCAGCAAGCCCAGCATCGAGCCTTAGTTTTCCATATCCGTGGCTGGCCAAGGCTTGCCCGTCTACTCCTCACAATCTTCGGATACGGCATGGGCAGAACCCTCCCGCCAGTCTACTCGATCGGCGGGTCACTGGGCTCACCGAAGCTCTGTCTTACAGAAACAAGACCAGAGTCGCCCTTTGCCTCCTTTCCCGGTATTATCATACCGCGGGATTTACTTGATACATTATATTTTTGGAGTTTGGATATCAGAGCGCCTTAGATAGATACCCGCATACTTCGCCCTTCGTCCTCTGTTCCAAGACACGACATGGGAGACGAAAGGAGTTTTCTCTTCGGCATGGAACGAACCAGGATGTTTTGCTATGTCTTATGTCTTGTATGTACATATGTTATGATAGATGATTAAACTATTGCACATAACCGTCTATCCAGCGTAGATACAGACGCAGTAATCGCACTTTATCTAATTTTCGTGTAAGATAGGTAGGTAACACAGAAGAATGGCAAATGGGAACTCCCCATAAAGTCATCCCCAATTCGTAGCCCCTGCAGGCCAATTTTAGTATTGCCACAAGTGTGAAACCCCCAACATCCCCGAATAGTAATAACTCAACTACAAGCTCAACCCGTGTGCCACTTGTCCATTACGTCAAAACAAAACAAAAGCCTTCCGTTGCACAAGCTCCTAAGTCTTCGAGAAGGCCTAGTGCTTTGTTTTGCCTCCATCCTCCACACCTTTTCATCAGATCGGAAATGCCATGCGCGGTTATTTTCAATTTACCTTTAAACCTACAATTACCCTGTCGTTGTCCAAATCAAACCTCATCCCTGTCCCAATCCTCCACCCTCACCCAATATACATCGCATACTGCCCAACCCCCCCATCCCCCCACAACCTCAGCAGATCCTCATCCCTCAAACAAACCTGCACCGCAATCCCGCCCTCCCTGTCCCTCGGCATCGCATACACCAACCCCTCGACCGGAAACAGCCTCGGCCGTCTCACCGCCTCGGGCGCCCCCAGTCCCAAATGAAAATCCAACCCGTAGAGCCCGATCTTCGACCACGAGCTGAACATGAGGTTCGCGGAGGGGTTGAGGTTCGGGGCGAACGGCACGCGGCTTTTATCGGGGGTGCGGTGCAGGTGGGTGGCGAAGGCAAGGGCCGTGGCAGCGAGGTTGGATGGGTGGATGGATTCGCGGAGAGAGGAGGCTGTGTGGCCGAGGGGTTGGTGGTGGGTGGTTAGCTGGCGGAGGGGGGCGGTGCTGGGGGTTACGGTCATGAGGACGCCTGGGTAGAGGGGGGAGATGTCGAGGAAGGGGCGGAGGTCGATGGCGCGCAGGAGGGTGGATGAGGTGCTGGGTGCGAGGCGGGGGAGGCGTGCGCGCAGCACGGATTGCCAGATGAAGGCGCTGAGGGCGTCGTCGGTGGAGATGTAGGGGGTGAGGAGGGACTCGTTGGCGAGGGATTTGAGGCTGGTGAGGGAGGAGGAGGGGAAGTTGATGCAGGCCCAGGTGGCGTTGGGGATGGGGGGAGAGGGCTCCGATGCTGGGGGATGGGGCGGTTGGGAGGTGGGAAGGTGGGAGTCGGGGTCGTTGAGGAGGGGGATGATGTTGGACCGGGGCATGTTGCCGACGGAGAGCTCGTCGGGGGAGAATGGATCGTTGGCGCAGGCTTTGGATAGGAGGTGGATGATCTGGTTTTGGCCGGTTATGTCCATTGAGCGATGCTCGCCGGAAAAGGTTAGGATTAAACCGCCAGCGATGAAGGTGGCTTGGACCATGAAGACGGGACGTCCGTCGAGGAATTCAGTCTCGGCTGGTAAGGTGCTGATAGGGGCGAGGATGGATTCATCCAGCATGCCCAGGGGGAATCGAGCATCCCGGAGGCTATTCATGGACAGCGTCGAAGCGTCATCCCGGTAGTCTTTCACAACAAAGCGAGGGGTCTTTTCGAATGGCTTGATCTTGCACACCCCCGTGTTATCCTCTGCGCTGTCTTCGACAACCACTCGACCTGCCACCCAGGGAAAGCTCGCGGCCAGGCGCTCGAGACCGTGGGTGAGAGTGTCGACGATGGATGACTTGGTGGAAGCATCGGGGACAGAGTAGATACTGGAGATGTTGGTGTAGCTTTTGAGAGCGGGTATTTGACCGAAGATATCTAGAGGGAAGTCTGTCAGACTGGTATCGTTGGTTGTGCTGCTCATGTTGATCAGTTGGACAAGAAAAGACGATGTGAAGAAAGCAGTGACCGCAGGAGGATGTTCAGATGAGATTGGAATATGTGAGGGATTGAGATTCGAGACTCTGTGGGATGGAGGATATAGGAGACAGACCTGGCTTTTAAGCGACGGTTTGTGCAACTTGAGGTATATCCCAGACAGTCTCGTCAGGTCAGACAAAGGACTGCGTTTGGCATTTTGTGTTAGGGTTATGATGTGGTTGAAGAGTTAGTATAGAACTGAAGTTAGGAAGTGATGGCAAGAGAACGATGCAATGTTATGCTGGAGATAATTGCAAGAAAACTAAAGAAATGTCATTTAATTCTTCACTCGAGGGAAATAATCATGCATGTTTACCCTGTCCTGTCGAGTCCGGTGTCAAGGCCACACCAATTATAGCCTGAGAGTGATCTCTAGTGCATTTTGACTCCTGTGCTACTAATGTATCAGAGTGGTCTGGACTAAGCCAGACACTTATCGGCACATGACACCTACTGAAACAGCATCGAGTGCAATCCAGCCAAGAATAGACAAGCAGTCTATACCAAAGCAAGGACATTACTCGCCGGACGACCGACGGGGGAAAAACATCCACCACCATGCCCTGAAGCAGCAATCCAGCCAACCGCCTTATCCACCGGAAATTAGTGCACTACAATAGGCTTCTGCAGAAATAAGAATTGGTTACCCACCGAACAAGCAACTGGAGATGGGCGGGACCTGCCAAGAGTTGCTGACGACGGGCAGTGCGTACTTTCGCCGGGGCAATCCCGATAGGAGAAATGCCGTTAGCCAGGCACTCTATTTCCAACCACGCTAGACCTTAGCAATGGGCGGAGTCTGGTTGGCTGTCTGCCTTGGGATGGGAGAAATTAGGCAGAGAGAATGTTTAGGGCTGCGCATGCGAACTGTAGGTGTTTGTGGGGAGGGAACGGGGCATTGCGTAATGACTCAGAAGAGTGGATGGGCATTGAGATGGCTGAGGGTGACGGGATGAGCTATTTGGTAGAAGCCTAGAATTGGCCAAGCAGGAGTTGAAAATAATGGGAGAGAAAGGACAAATAAAAGGAGAGTTTTATTGAGTTCTTTAAGTGATTGATTGATTGATAAAGATCGAGATGGATCGGGCGGGAAGATTGCCGCATTGGGACGATACCGGAGGGGGACCAGGATGATATAATAGTCAGGACATACGGAGTAGTTAGGGGAATATCACTCAGAATAAGACGGTGTAGAAGATTAGAATTATGGACGTGACGATTGGCTTTTCCTCTGCCAGTCTACCAACTAAGCACGGTAATGAGTAATTCCCCCTTCACCATAGGCGTAGTCCGCCATAATCCATCGGGGCTCCTCGGAGCCGAAGTCGTCAGCGCATGTCGGGATCGCCTCTGCCGGAGTTGATTATATGATTCGCACAGCTTCATTTTGCTCAATCGCTCCCTCTGCCTTCCTCTTCCTCCCCGACTCGCTGGGACGAAGAATGGAATACCCTCGTTCTGCCCCCAGTCAGCTCCGAAAGAACACAGTGTCCCGTTGATCCCGGTCGCCGGTGCTATTGCGCCCTACAGCCACTACGAGTCCCGCTAACGAAAGTCGCCCTGCTCCTTACGTACCCGGCCTGATGCCGCTGACGCAGCCCCTGCGGTGCAGGGCCCATCCATCACCATCCTCACTCCTCCGTCGTTCCATCTTTTTTAGCTCTCGACCAGGGAGACCCGCGACTTGTCCTATTCCTCGTTTGCAACGGCGCGTTCTGCGCACCTCGACTGCCGGCCCCCTCCGCCATCATAAGAACGCCCTGCTGCCCGCCGATGTCCGCCCCGTTCCGTCTCCCTCGATCCTAACCACTTCTCCTGCTACCCCCTCGTCATCCGCCCTGATCCCATTGCCTCTCATGGCGACGACACAAACTAGAGACCACGGTAGCCACGGCGGCCATGGCCATCACCACCACCACCATCACGGCAACGTCTACCTGACCTCCGCCAACACGCACGATGCCGGCGTGCGGATCACGCGACTTGGCCTGGTTGCCAATCTCGCCATGGCCATTGGCAAATTCGTGGGCGGCTACGTCTTCCATTCGCAGGCCTTGATCGCCGACGCCTACCATGCCCTCACCGATCTCGTGTCGGATTTCCTGACGTTGGGAACGGTCGCCTGGTCGCTCAAACCGCCGACCGAGAGGTTTCCGAACGGCTACGGGAAGGTCGAGAGCATCGGCGCGCTGGGCGTGAGTGGACTGTTGCTGTGTGGTGGTGTCTTCATGGGTCTCAATTCCGGCCAAGTCTTACTGGATCAATTCTACCCCGAAGCCGCCGACGCCATCTCCCACATGGGAGTTCTGGGACATGGTCATTCGCACAGCCACGGCATTGGAGCAACTGGGCCTAGCATTCACGCCGCATGGCTTGCCGCGGGGTCCATCGTTGTTAAGGAATGGCTTTACCATGCTAGTGAGTACCTCTCTCTTTATTATCATTATTTTTTGTGGTTTTTCGACCAGGAAAGTTCTATTAGAGCACATGCTGACGGATTGACACCCTGATAGCCATGAAAGTGGCGAACGAACGGAAATCGTCCGTCCTGGCCTCTAACGCGATCCACCACCGTATCGACTCGCTCACGAGTATTGTCGCCTTGTTTACGATCGGCGGAACCTATTTGTTTCAAGACGCGTCGTGGCTCGATCCCGTCGGTGGACTGCTTATCTCGCTGATGGTTATCAAAGCCGGATGGGGGAACACTGCCACGTCGCTGCTGGAGTTGGCCGATACCGCCGTCGACGAGGACATCAAGGAGTCCGTGGCCAAGGCGGCGTCCAAGATGCTGGCGAAAATGAAGGACGGCGACGCGATCAAAGTGCGCGATGTCCAGGGTATGAAGTCGGGACAGAACTATCTGATGGACGTGGAACTGGCGGTGCCTGGCGCATGGCCGATCACCCGGTCGCGCGAGATCGAGGGATCCGTCCGAGCCGCCATCGGCGCGGGCGTTCGCGGCGTCAAGCGCGTGAAGGTGCGATTTGTGCCTCTGGAACACGAGGAGTTGACCTTCTCGGAGGAGTTCATCACGTCCGACGCGCAAGCCAACCCCGAACCCAAGGACGAGGACGTGGAGGCGGAATACGAGGCGCATGCGCACGAGCACGAGCACGAGCATAAGCATGAGCACGAACATGAAAATTCCACGCGCAAGAGGCGTTAAAATAGAGGGCTCCTTGTCTGGCATGATCGATTATTTTTTCTATTTTGTGATTTTCTATTCCCACCGATGTACAGGGTCTTCTCGAGGCTTCACCATGTGTTTATTGACCATCTATTTTTGACCATCGTGTATCTTCGGACCCTTCATCCGCGGGATCAATCATGTGATACCCCCGGAACGGAATGAATGAGGATTTGGTTTTTTTTACCTGGCGAGAAGATGGCCAATCCATCTTGAACACGGCCGCTGGGAGACATTTTCCCGGAATAAATGAAATGCGGAGAGAACGGAGTGGCGGCGGCAGAGTCTGGGGTTTTGGAGTCTGGCCCGTCTCTCGCAAACCAATGCCGAGCAGACGGACTGGACCGGATCTCGACTGGGACTGGCCCTTGTAAATGGAAGGCGGATTATTGGTACGAACTACGGGCTGCCGCTTCATGTACATACAGAATATATCTTCCTCCCACTGCGGAGGACCTAGATAGACAGCCACCACGAACAGAGGTCATCTGAGCATCCAAACAGCCGAGACCCTCTGCCAAGCGTTGATCTATGATCTTCGACATTAGTCTGGTGATGCCGACAGGCATCGGTCTAGGATAATTTTAGCGGCCGTCGTCGGCGGGCGTGCAGACTTCTAGAATGCGCTCGGGTGTTTACCCTGAAGACGCATCTAGACCCTCTTGCCTGGTAAAAAGGAAGAATAACAGACGAGGAGCCCAGATTAACCGGGTAAATTCCCGGCGGTGGGGGTCCTGTTGCTGAGTCATTGGTATTTGGTGTATTCAGGGTGTAATTCCCCTGTACTTGTGTGGCAAACTGCGTACGGTATTACCCGCAGCTGACATCACCGGACAGTCATCTTCTTCTCACTAAGAATTAATTAATTGATCACGGCCGATCACGATGTCTTGGTGTTAAGAAGATTTTTTTTCTTTTCTTTTTTAAAAGACCTTCGGTAATTTAGCTATCGTGCCCAGAGGCGTCCCCTAATCGTCAATCGCCCCCCAATCCATTTTTATTTCCCGAGCACAGGGATAAATAACTGATCGGTGTAGGACCAGCAATGATGACAGCTCCCACGCCCTCGTTGTGTATAAATCTCTGGACCTCCGTAGCGGTGGAACCCTTCCTTCCTTCCTCTCTTTTGACTTCAGTCTAATTCCGGTTTTGGGTCTGGTTCTTACTTCATCCCACCCTCTCGCCGTCCCTTTTATTCGGTCCTCCCTCCCTCGTGCTCCCGTTCTACTTCTTCCCACACAATCTTATCAGTGAACCACCTTATCGACGTCATTCCCATTGTTTCCCGCCACCCTCCAAAACATCTCGCCTTGCGACCATGCAAGGCCCATTGTACATTGGGTTCGACCTTTCGACCCAGCAATTGAAAGGTCTGGTGGTCAATTCCGACCTGAAGGTCGTCTACGTGTCGAAATTCGACTTCGACGCCGACTCCCGCGGCTTCCCCATTAAAAAGGGCGTGCTCACCAACGAGGCCGAGCACGAGGTGTTCGCCCCCGTGGCATTGTGGCTGCAGGCGCTGGACGGCGTGCTGGAGGGCCTGCGCAAGCAGGGTCTCGACTTTAGTCGCGTCAAGGGCATTAGCGGCGCCGGCCAGCAGCACGGAAGTGTATACTGGGGGGAGAACGCCGAGGTGCTGCTCAAGACCCTGGATGCGAACAAGTCCCTGGAGGAGCAGCTGAGTGGAGCCTTTTCGCACCCGTATAGCCCCAATTGGCAGGATTCCAGCACCCAGAAGGAATGTGATGAGTTCGACGCCTACCTGGGCGGCCAAGAGCAATTGGCGGATTCGACGGGAAGCAAGGCTCATCATGTAAGTTGTTCTTTTTTTTTTTTTTTTGCTTCCCCCCTGACCTGACCCCCCGACCCTTTTTTTTGATTTGTTCTCGTGATACTGGCGGTGAGCGGAGCACACTTGGATTGGGACCGTTGGCTGACCATTGTGGGGTGGCCGAACTCTAGAGATTCACAGGTCCCCAGATTCTCCGCTTCCAGCGAAAGTACCCCGACGTGTACAAGCAGACGTCACGCATCTCCCTGGTGTCCTCGTTTCTGGCATCCTTGCTGCTGGGCCGCATTGCCCCGCTGGATATCTCGGATGCGTGTGGTATGAATCTGTGGAATATTCAGCAGGCCGCGTATGATGATCGACTCCTGAAGCTCTGCTCCGGCCCCTTCGGCGTGGAAGATCTCAAGCGGAAGCTGGGGGATGTGCCTGAGGACGGCGGAATCCGCCTGGGTAAAATCGATCGGTATTTCGTCGAGCGATATGGATTCGCGCTGGACTGCACGGTGGTCCCGTCGACTGGCGACAACCCGGCCACGATCCTGGCCCTGCCTCTGAGACCGTCGGACGCGATGGTTTCGCTGGGAACTTCGACTACATTTCTCATGTCGACTCCCAGCTACAAGCCCGACCCGGCGACGCATTTCTTCGACCACCCGACCACGCCGGGCCTCTACATGTTCATGCTGTGCTACAAGAACGGCGGTCTGGCGCGCGAACTAATCCGCGATGCGATCAACGAGAAGTTGGGTGGCAATGCGTCCGATGTGTGGGCGAACTTCGACAAGTACACGTTGCAGAGCGCTCCATTGGGCCAGAAATCTGCATCCGACCCCATGAAACTGGGTCTATTCTTCCCCCGACCTGAGATCGTCCCGAATATTCACAAGGGACAGTGGCGATACACCTACGATCCTAAGGGCGGCAGCCTCCGTGAATCTAGCAGTGAATGGGACAAGCCTCTGGACGAGGCGCGCGCGATCGTCGAAAGCCAACTGCTCTCTCTGCGTCTGCGGTCCCGCGGTCTCACCCAGAGCCCCGGCGAGGGTATCCCCCCTCAACCCCGCCGAGTGTACCTTGTCGGTGGCGGATCCAAGAACAAAGCGATCGCCAAGCTGGCGGGCGAGATCCTCGGCGGCAGCGAGGGCATCTACAAGCTGGAGATCGGAGACAATGCCTGTGCGCTGGGCGCCGCATACAAGGCGGTCTGGGCGATTGAGCGATCGCGCGGACAGACCTTCGAAGACCTGATCGGCCAGCGATGGAGAGAAGAGGACTTCATCGAGAAGATCGCCGACGGGTACCAGCCGGGAGTGTTCGAACGGTATGGCAAGGCTGTCGAGGGATTCGAAAAGATGGAGGCTCAGGTCTTGAAGGAAGAGGCAGGCCGCAAGCGGTAAAAAGCCACGAGAGTACGGGTTATGAATCAGTCTACGATATCTAGTTATTTAATGCGGGTATGAGATGTACTTGGTTTCGGTTCGGTAGAAAGATATCATCTTTGCGTATCAGAATGACGGCATGCAACGGTCAGTGAATTGACTCATTGATATTCACTCACTTCCACATAACATCTATTCAATATCTCCCCTCTCCTTACAAACAGCAACTCTCCCAATCCAACAGCCCTCCAACCCTCCAAAATGACTCCACCAAACCCCCTAACCATCCCCATCACCCCATCCGAAATAGCCTACACCTCACCCCTCTACACCCCACCAGACGGATCCCCCCCAACCCGCTCAAAGCGAACAAACAGATCCTCACGCGATAGCCCTCCCGTTCTCGAACCCGACGGATTCATCGAAGAAGACCTCCGCGCAGGCGGCCCCTTTCTAACAGATCTGCCCGTCGAGTTCATTCCAATGTCGAACTATCATCCGTTTATGTTGAGTCGCGGGCTGTATGGCGCGGAGCTTCATCATTGCATTGCGAATATCTGTAGACGTGGGATGGGGAGCGTGGGGGTACTTGAAATCGAGTACTACGAGAGACGCAGCGTCTATGATGAATCTGGACAGATGAGGTTTACTTGCGTGATAAATACCCAGAAGGAAAGGGGTGATGAGAAGTGGATTGATGTTGCACGGGAAGTATATGCTGTTCTTCGTGGAAGGGAAGGCAGCAAAGAAGACGAACGGGAAGAGGGACGAGAACCCACTGATATTTCTGTCGAGATCATCGATCGCCAAAGACTAGGCCAGCGCCTTCAGTTGGAATCATGTACTCCTCAAGATGCCATCTACAGCCAATGGAACCAGGTCCGCAGCCAGATCGAGAGCCTCCCCACTAGAGGGATCAACACGATCAGCTGCTACTGTATTGGAACCGAGTCTGATCCCTCGAACTGCGTCCCAACCATCGTTCTAGGAGTTAACCATGCGGAGAATAGGGACTGGACGGCCGTCCGAGAGGATATAGTCGAGATCCTCACTCAGCATGGTCTTGATACGGTGGGTGTGCTGATTCGCAAAGACTCCGTTGGACTTCCTGATAGGTGGTTCGATGGTCCGGGACTCGAGAAGTTCGTGGCGGATGGAACATCACATATCGGGCAGAGCCTGAGTTCTAACAGGATGCCGTCCAAAAGGGGGACTTTGGGCGGATACGTCCAGTTGAGAAACCCTACCACGGGGGAGTGGGTCCCTTTCGCGCTCACTTGCTGTCGTTGCGTTTTACCAGCTGGGACAGGGGAGAGTGAGACCACAAAGGAACAACGTGAGTTCTCTTGCTTGGCTGAGAAAGGTGCTAAACTTGCTGCAGTTGTTGAGAAATGGAGAGATTCAGGGGTCCAGGTTGCGGATGAAGACGCGGCTAGTGTTTTGCTCGTTGATAGTCCTTCACAGAGCGAGTTCATAGCCAAGATCAAAAGTCTGGATAGTGAAATCGAGATGTGGAAAAATCTCGATATCTACAAACAGGTCCAGGCCGCCGAAGAAAACGAAGAGGTTATCAACCCCACGTCTGAGATTCGATATCAAAGGATCCAAGAGGCGATCACTCGCTGCCGCACAGAGCGTGATGACTTGGAAAGACTCTTCCAGCAAAAGTCATACATCCTTGGCCCTGTTTTCGCGGCATTTGGGTTGGTAAGGAAGCCTCTCGCAACCATCCTAGAGAAGGACCTGACAGCATCCTTATCTGTCGTTGACTGGGCACTTATCAAGATCGAGAACCGGACCCCCGGAACAAACAAGGTACATACATCAAGAGTATCCTCTTTTCAAGACCGCCGAGAGAGCCACCCTAACAGATTCCTAGTCTCGTGATCTGCGACTCCCCTTACAGGACCTGAGCTTCCTACTACATCCGTACGACTACTACAAATGCTCCATCCCGCCAGGAACGCGACTGATGAAACTCGGCCACGCTACCGGATGCACCCAGGGCAAGTACAACGCGCTCATGGTCGCGCACATCGCCACCGATCCCAAAACAGGAAAAGTCACTATCACCCATGAGCATAGCATTCTGAGCTCCAACACCCGGCAAGCCATCATGACCAGCGGCGATGCGGGAGCCCTGGTGTATGATATTATTGGGACGGTTCATGGCATGTGCTTCGGTGGGAATTTCATTGGAGACCATGCGTACTTTACTCACGCTGCTGATTTGATGTCTGATATTACAAGGACGGTGCCTGGATTACCGGAGATTCGGCTCCTGGGGGCGGAATTTTGATCTGATGCTAATCAGAAGGAAATATACCTAGGAGCGAGAGACAGGGACTCTCTGGGGCAGGGAATTGAGAAGAATAGGAGTCAATATTATAATATGGAAAGGTTGCCTAGAACAAAGAGCCCGTTCCTGCCGCTTCGGGCATGGCGCTCGTCCCCATTTTGGTTTAGCGTCCTCGCCATGCATCTGTAGTTGCTTTTACTGCACCCTTGAGGTCACTAAATCGAAAGAGCGATTTCTGTAGTGATTTGACAAGCAGGGAAGAACCTGCGTGGAGTGGGAAGATGGCTAGAATATCCTAAAAGACGCAGACAGCCTCAGTGTAGAATGTGCAAAAAGAGGGGATTTGGGGGGAGGGCTTGCGTCTGAGTGAATTACTGCTACCCCGCCTGCGTACTAGGGGCATTCGCTGTCAGGTGGCTAGCAAATATCCCATAGCGCAACAGGGATATCCTCATTGGACCGGAAAGTCAACTGGAGTTCGGAACTTGAGAAGATAGAAGAATTGAAGGTAGTAGATGGAACGGAACTCAAACATCCAATCAGTACTACACCGGATGGCTTTGGAATTATTCGAGAAGTGAGCATTTACACCCTCTTAAAACAGTTGCTGAAACTATGAGCTGCTAGCTAAGCCCTCGCCCAGTTCCCTAGTTCCCTTTCCCCCCAGAAGATAGTTGACGCCGATATAGCTGGGAAGTATGTAAATGCAAAATCACTGAGATAGTGGATGATGCCGTATATTGATCACAGATTTAAAGGTCCATTGACATAGCTTACGTATACTGCTACACGATATTAAATCTATTAGCCCGACAAAGAATAAGCTACTACTGCGTAGTAATTAAGATAGAGGATAATCTCTACGAAGATTGCTACTGTAGGTTTAGATAAAATAAAATCTTTTTTTATTTCCTCCTATGAGAATAGGCTCTAAAGTCTCCTGCTAGTTAGTACTTCCCCTCATTTATCAACTACCGTAAGTACATGCAGCTGTCTGACAGTATCTTAAGTTAAACTATAGCATGGTTATATTACTTGTAATGTTCTCTGGGTGTTTTTTAACCAGGTTTCTATATTTTTATGGTAGCCTTTAGTATAAAAGAGCCGCGGTGCATTGTATTTCACGTGGGGAGGAAGGAACATAGTATCATAGGATGTAGTCACCGCGTATACTGCAAATCAATAACGACGTCAGGGGTTGGCGGTGAGATTTTTTTTCTTGCGGAGTGGGGGCAATGGGCCGCCGTAGCACTTGTTAGCCCCGTTAGTCTCGTTAGCGCCTCGAGACAAAGGAAATCCAGCTCCATCGAACTACGCCGTTAGTCATGTTTCGTCGTCCCTCTGAATGAGATGTTTCTCCGCCGCCCGTGAATTTTGATCCCGACACCATCGATCTTGCCCTTTGCTGCTGTCCTCTCCCCTCCCCCCCCTCCCCCCTCCTTCTGACTTGCTTTCTGAGTCCGATCTTGACTCCGAAGGCAGCTCGGCGGGTCGAAGATGGAAGAACAGGTAAGACTCATCCTGTGCGCTTGAAAAAAATGCTACGGGCAAATTATGCAAAAAAAAGAAATCCACCCCCACCATGGATCTTCTCCCCTCGTGCTTGCCCCTCCCTTCTCCCTTCCTTGGCCCCTGGTGCCTGGCACTCAATTTAATCTCGGATTGAGGATGACTCGGTTCCTGACATGATTCCACTCGCCTCTAGGTAATTAATGCCATAGAAATCGCCTCGAATCCTTCCTCGGACCAAGCCCTCAAGGCCCAAGCCTTCGACTATGTGAACCAACTCCGCGCCGACCCCTCGGGATGGCAGGTCTGCCTCGCCCTCTTCACCAAGACTCCGCAGCACTCCGAGGTCATTCGCTTTGTGGCTCTCGAGGTCGTCAACAGTGCTGCCCAGGCCGGTCTGATTGACCCCCAGGCGCTGGGATACGTGCGGGACGGCTTGCTGGTCTACCTCCGCCAGGTGTACGGTCAAGAAAATGCCAACCCCGACCCTCCTACCATCCAGAACAAGATCGCCCAGACTGTGACCTTCCTCTTCTCGGCGTTGTACGGGAACGGCTGGGAGTCGTTCTTTGACGATCTCCTCGCCCTGACGCACAAGAGCCCCGCCAGCACGGCACGCGACAACCCGCTGGGAATTACCTTCTACCTTCGCGTGATCAACTCCATCCACGATGAGATCGGTGACGTCCTGGTGTCTCGTTCCCGCCACGAGCAGGACAAGGCCAATTCGCTGAAGGACCTGATTCGCATTCGGGACATGCAGAAGATCGCAAGCTCGTGGCAAGAGATCTTGTCGGAATGGCGGGACGGGAACGACCTGATCGTGGAGATGGCGCTAAAGGCCGTTGGCAGCTGGGTCAGCTGGATTGACATCGGCCTCGTGGTGAACCAGACCATGCTGGACCTGCTATTCCAGCAGCTGGGCCGGGCGCAAAAGGCGGAGCTGCGTGCGGGCGAAGAGAAGGTGCGAGACGCGGCCGTTGACGTCTTCACGGAGATCATCGGCAAGAAAATGAAGCCGGAGGATAAGATTGATATGATTATATTCCTGAATCTCGACGCGATTGTTGCCCAACTCTCCAACAGCCCCCCTCTCTACGACAACCGCTTCACCTTCAAGTACGACACCGACCTGGCCGAAACCGTGGCCAAACTCGTCAACATCAGCGTCGTCGATATCGTGCGGGCCTTGGAGCAGGATACGGTTGGTGCCGATTGCCGGGAGAAGGCCACCGGTCTGTTGCAGGTCTTCCTGCCACACATCCTGAGATACTTTTCCGACGAATACGACGAAGTCTGCTCCACCATCATCCCGTCCGTGAGCGACCTGCTCTCGTACCTGCGCAAGATCGCCAAGACCAACCCTGCCCTGGCCGCGCAGCACTCCTCCATCCTCCTCCCTATCCTAAAAGCGATCATTGCCAAGATGCGATACGACGAAACCTCCTCGTGGGGCGATGAGGACGACCAGACGGACGAGGCGGAGTTCCAGGAGCTCCGCAAGAGACTGGCGGTGCTCCAGCAGATCATTGCCACCGTGAACGAGCCGCTCTACATCGACGCGGTCTCCGAGGTTGTGGCCACGACGTTCGAGAATCTGCGCCAATCCGGCGCCCAACTCGACTGGCGGGATCTGGATCTTGCCTTGCATGAGATGTTCCTCTTCGGAGACATTGCCGTCAAGGCCGGCAGTCTCTACACCAAGGGCGCTCCTCACAATCCCGCTGCGGAGCGACTGATTGGCATGATGCTGCGGATGGTCGAGTCCGGTAGGTAGCAGCTGTTGCTTGTTAACATGGACAAAGCTCACCCAATTGCAGATATCCGGTCCTTTACCCACCCCGCAACGCAGCTGCAGTACATGGAAATCTGCGTCCGTTATAGCTCGTTCTTCCAGTATCATTCTCACCTCATCCCCGGCGTTCTGGAGAGCTTCCTCCAACTCGTGCACCACCCGATCAAGAAAGTCAAGACGCGGTCGTGGTACCTTTTCCAGCGCCTGGTGAAGCAGCTGCGGGCCAACCTCGGAAACGTGGCGCAAACCGTCGTGGAGGCTTTGGGCGATCTGCTGGTCATTCAAGCCGAGGTGTCGACGGATGGATCGGATGGCGACGAAATGTCCTCCGAGGACCACGAGGGCTCTGCCGACGCAGTCTTCACCAGCCAACTGTACTTGTTCGAGGCGGTCGGCATCATCTGCTCGACACCCGCCGTCCCGGCGGACAAGCAGGTTCTCTATGCGCAATCGGTGATGAACCCTGTCTTTCTCGACATGCAAAAGAACCTCGGCCCCGCTAAGTCGAACGATGAGCGAGCTTTGCTCCAGATCCACCATGATATCATGGCGCTGGGAACTCTGGCTCGCGGGTTCTCGGATTGGATGCCGGGCACCTCCACGCCGTCTGCGCTGCCGGCCGCCGAGGTTTCGGAAGCATTTGTCCAGGTGGCCGAAGCCACGCTCGTTTCTCTGGAGTCTTTGAAGATGTCTTTCAACGTTCGGACGGCCGCCCGGTTTGCCTTTTCTCGGTTGATCGGTGTCCTGGGAGCCCGGATCCTCCCGCAGTTGCCGCAGTGGATCGACGGATTGCTCACTCAGACCTCTTCTCGCGACGAGATGGCCCTTTTCCTACGTCTTCTGGACCAGGTCATCTTCGGGTTCAAGGGCGAGATCTATAACATCTTGGATGCTCTGTTGACGCCATTCCTGCAACGCGTCTTCTCCGGCATCGCCGATCCTACCACTGGCACTGACGACGAGATTCAACTGGCGGAGTTGAAACGGGAATACCTCAACTTTTTGCTGGCGGTCTTGAATAATGACTTGGGTGCCGTGATTATCAGTGAGAGTAAGTTTTTTGATCGATTATCTGGGCTAAGTAGGAAGCTAAATACTCCAGGAAACCAACCTATGTTCGACACCGTCATCACCACCATTGAACACTTCTCCAAGGATGTCGAGGACTATACGACGGCCAAGATGGCGTTCTCCCTACTCTCCAAGATGGGTAGCTCCTGGGGCGGACCTGATCTGACTCCCGATGCCGCCAACGGAGCCTCGTCGCAGCAAGTTGCCCTGCCTGGATTCGGGCAGTTCATGATCACGCGCATGTCGCCGCTCTGCTGGGCTCTTCCGGCCACTCCGTCCTTCAACCCCAAGGACGCGCAAGCCAAGCAGGTTCTCGCCGAAGCGGGCGGGCTGCAGCGTACGATCTACTGCAAGACGGGCATGGAGTATATTGAATATTTGCGGGACCGGGAGCTTCCCGGCATGGGGATGGGAGCGGAGCTTGTGGAGGAATTCTTGGGCGCACTGAGCCGGTTGGACACGAGGGGATTCCGGCAATTCTTCCCGGTAGGTTTATTGACTCGACTTTGAAAGGTTATGGCTAACATCTGTCTGTGCAGACCTTTATCCAGCGTTTGAGCGCATGAAATATCCATTTTTCTTTTTGAAAGTCTATATTATTTCTTTTCATGATATTCTTTTGCCCTCCCTTTTCTCGATCATTGCTCGCAGTTTCCCTTCGTCTTAGATATCCCCTCCCCACGGTTTGGTTTGATGACTGATGTCCTCATGTGCTCCATTACAACGATAGCCCAGTGCCTGTCTGTTTGAAGATCAGTAAAAAAACAAAAAGAATGAGAAAGACAAAAAAGAAAAAACAGTATATAGTGTGAGGCATTCTGCATGATCAGGCGTTGATTTCCATTCTTCTCCGGAGCATTCTTCCATCATCCATGCATGCCTTCATATTCATACGTTCAGTAGCGCGATGCAAGAGCGCAGCGGAAAGAAAAGCAACCATTTTTATTGAGAGTTTTATGCGTATTCTGAGCGGTGGAAGTCCAATGGCGGGAAATACTCACCGATTCGAGGTGAGAGAATGAGTAGGATGGACTTGAAGTCTACCTAGTCTTGGTTGAGGGAGGCAAGTGGAGTGAGAATCAGCGAGAGATGGGTTGGATTTCTCTTTTCTTTATATTGTTTTTTCCTTTTGGGTTGGTCTGGCGGTGACGATGACGATTAGTATTGGTATTGATATTCATTTGTTGTTGGATATGGACATACTCGGCTTTAGAATCGATTTCTTTGTTTAGATTTGGTTTCTCAGTAGTCATAGTATGGCTCCCTTTCGTTTTAGCCGTCCAGTACTTCAGGTCATCAGGATGGAGCAACAGTTAACATACGCCAACTGATAGATCATTAATTCAGTCATTCATCCTCCCCCATCTCCTCCACCACCACCACCACCACCACCTCCTCCATCACCACCTCCACCTCCACTGCTTCCACCGCCTCCTCCATCTCCTCCACCACTAGAGCCACCTCCTTCTCCTCCACCATAACCACCACCACCTCCATGACCAGAGTCACCAGCACTCGAACTCCCACACCCAGTCGCGCAATTCACCCCCGGATCCGTCGCCGGATCATACCCCGGATCAGCCCCAAACTGCCCAATACTGGCCAACCCAACGATACTCGCAAACTGAGCATCAACGCACTCCCCTCCTGCTCCAGCCCCATCATCAGAAAAAGGGGTATACGACGCATTATAGAAAATCTGAAAATTCCCCGTAAAGCGCGTACTATCCTCGCCTTCGAAGCCTTTGTATGCGCGGGTCTGGTTTGGTGGAGAGTTCTCTCCTGCCTTCTTCTTTTCCTTCTCCTTCTTTCCCTTGTTAGATGAGGAGGATGAGGTAGTAGAGGAAGAAGAGGTATTTATCTTTCGAAACCTCCCCCTCGTCCTAGATAAAACATCCTGCATCCTCATCCTCTCTCCCCTTACCTTCTCATACGCACTCCGTTGCTCGTAAGCCGACTTTCCTGCCCAGGTTGCGAGAAAGAAATGTGCGTTGGTCCCGAGCTCGAAGGAGTGGCTGTTTGGTTGGGCGCGGTGGACTCCCCCTGTTTTTACTCTAGGGATCGAATGGATGGATGGCGAGGATGGAGATGAAGAGCGCGGGGGTTGATGGATCCAGAGAGGGGAGTTTACGAAGGTAGAGGATCGCGCCATGCTGGTTGCTGTGCGGGTGAGGAGCCATGATGCGGTGAGGATGGAGAGGCGGTTTTGGAGCCAGGAGAGGGTTTGTTTGTCTTGGTTCTGGGTCATGGGCAAGGATGTTGTATTGTCGTTCTCGTTGTTGGTGTTGGTGTTGGTGGTGGCAGTATTTGCATCCTGAGTCTGACCATGCCCGTAACCATGAATCAACCCTCCCAATGAAAGATGATTATACTCCCCACCCAAAAGCACCGGATACAAACACCTCTCTCGACCTAAGTGCATCGAAACCAGAGACCACGAGTCGAACGGAAACGCCCAGACGTGCTTGGCCAGGTTGCAGCTTCCGCAGGGCGTCGGGCATCGAGCGTACCCTTCCGTACAGTCCCATGGGAAAAGCTCTTGGTGAGGGTAGAGGGGTTGAGGGAAGGATGCCCAGTCGGTGGAGTACTGGGTTAGAGTGTCGATGAGGTCTGAGGAGGGGGTGTGGGTGAGGTATTCGTCGATGTGGCCGGGTGGGATGTCGTATTTGGATTTTGGGGCTGGGGTGAGGGCTGGTTGGGTCGGTGGGGGAGGAGGGGTGTAGAAACTTATTAGGTAGAGGGGGTTGGGGGGTTGTTGGTGTTGGTGTTAGTGGTGATGGGAGGTCCGTTGACAAGAGGCGTGAAGAGAGCTGGATCAAGTAAGGAGGCGCAGAAGGAACTGCAGTTGTTCGTTACTGGGTTCCATGTGAGTGTGGTTGTTGAGGTCAGGAGCTGCGAGGTGATGCTGGAGAGGTAGGTTTTCACTCGAGGGGCGAGGAGGTGCTGCAGTTGCTCGAGGATGCGAGAGATGCGCGAGTCCAGTTCTTGCTGAGTGTCTGTTTCCAGGGCTGTGGGTGATTGACTAGCTTCTATCACGAGCTTGATGATTTTCTTCTCCCTGCTCTGCTCGGAATCAGCGAGACCGGAGAACGGCACTCCCACGACCTGCTTCATGATGGCGTTATATCGCTTGGGGCTATCGATTGGCCGTTGCGATTGCTGCCATATAGTTCTCTCTGGAGATCCATCAACCGCAAGTGCAGGCTGGTGTGTTCCATGCTGAAAGCTCTCATGGAAAACAGACATCTCTCTTAGGGTTATCAAGGCACCTGACTTGGTACTGCTTCCGATCAGCACACCCATTCTCCATTCAAAATAGCAAAGTGAACTCACCCCTCAACACCATTCTCAATGACCAACGGCCCAATCCGCAACGCCATATGCACTTCCCCAAACGGATTCTTGTCTGCGCGATGGCGGAAAAACGCCGGGATGTCGTCCTCTGCAGGGTGTCCTGCACCTGGATCCATGTCGTGCAAAGTCCCCGACACAACTCGATCCTCACGATTCGATCTATCTCCCCTTCCCACCCTAATCGACTTGACTCGCTCGATCACCCGCGCCAAAGACCCTCGCGGTTCCACCCCCACACTGGCGAGCAACCCGCGGTATTTCGCGTGCGCAACCATATCTGTCAGATCCAGCAGTGGACAACGAAGCTTGCCGGTCGTGATATGTCGATCGTCAAGGTTGAGAGGGAACAGATTGCGCGGACGGCCAAGCGCATCAGAGTGTTGGACTGTTGTGCACTGGCAGAGCCGTCTGCTGGTAGGTCCGTCGATGGCATGCAGGATCGAATGTTTGTGGACTTTGACGAGGGTGGGATCGCCGTAGTGGTGCGTCCAGTAGCAGTCGCAGCAGATGGTAAAGGGCTTTGGTGTGGGTGGTTGCTTGGTGAACATGCTGTCGTAGATGGTGGCGTTGCAGGCTGAGCAGCGCAGAGGATGGAATTCGGGCTGGGGGTGTTCGTTGATTGAAAGGGTTACTGGCTTTAGTGAGATTTTCGGATGAAATTAAATGGGAAGATGGACTTACGCTGTGGTATACGGGGCTTTGGCCCTGTCTTATCGCGAGGGGGTCGGTATTCGGTGATCTTGTCGATGTCCAGGAACCCTGGAGTTGGGTTAGCAGGTGAAGGAGCAATAGAAAGAAAAGACTCACCATCAGCCTGTAGTAGCATGCACGCACGAAAATCGAGGCCGTTCAATTTCGGAAGATCTAGCTCATCAGCATGAACTTCTCAGAAGTGTAAGTAGGAATAGTTACTTTTGATCTCATGCCTGACCTCCCCTCTAACCCTCATCGCATCTCTCTCTGCTTTGACATCAAGTAACGCCTGTTTCACCGCATTTTCGTATTGCTGAGCTTGTGTAACGAAGTTATTTTCTTCTTTTCGACGCCTCCTCTCTATTTCAATGTTAGCGCTATACCGTTTCCATATTATAGGCGACGAAAACAAACCACATCGAACCGCAAGATCTCTGCTCTCCCGACAAACCTGGTCGATGAACGTATCGAAGCCATAAACATGGTCATCCGTCTCGTCGGGGACTCTGACGTGTGAATTTTCAGAGCGTTGCCAGAATCGGAGTGTCTGGATGATATTCTGTAGTTCGTGTTTGACTCCTATCCAATAGAGTTTTTCTAGTTCGGCGAGAAGATGCGATTCTCCCGGTCCGATGAGATCCCAGGGGAGGTTGGGACCGGGGGTGATATCCTGAGGGAGCGGATGAGGCCGCGATGATTTGAATCGTGACATTGAGGTTTCTTGTTTATTTCATTTGTTTTCGGGGAGAGTTACTGGGAAGCTTAACCAGGGCATTAAGTACTGCGCAGTCTGCCACCCATAGATATCTGCCTGAACACACGGTCAGAAATTAGACTAGGTTGATAGTGAGGCGGATCGATGCGAATAGTTGCTGCGCTAAATCATCGTATTGACTTAAGGGGGCACAGAGATAAACAAGGTCATGAACCTGTATATATTGACTTGAACTCTGCGTCATAGTCCCGTTCTACGTCCAGGTGCATCTCGTATCGAAGCATGGGTCATCCCGACTAGCACCGATAGGGACTGGCTCCGCGGCTGTACGGATGTTTAGGATGAACTGTTCTCGTCAATTTTACCCCAATTCGATGAATGCCTCGGTAAAGGCTGCAGCTGGAGCCTTGACTAGATTATGTCTACCTAGATTTTAGATTACTAGCTAGAAGGAACTGATCACAGGGCATGGCTCAGGTACAGACCCTATCGTTATGCATCTGAAGGCTTCCGCCTCACCCGGAAAACCCCCTTTTTGCCCGTCATCTCGTATTCACCTCGAGTCATGGGGCGACGAGGATTAGTTCACTTGGTTGGCCAGTGCCTCTTATCTTGATCTCCCGTGTCAGATCACGCCGTCGTCCGAGTCCCCGCACCATTCATAACTCCGTATAGCCCTAACTTCTATACTCTCAACCATCCACCAAAATAAGGACACCGACAGATAAAACAATGACAACCTCATCACTCACCACCCTCCACCGCGCCGCTAACCTCCAAATCCTCCATATCAAATCCAACCCTTCCACAAGCTACGAAAGAACAAATCTCAAATCCGAAAGCCCCGCAATCCCCTCCCGTTCCCTCTTTGAATCGCTCTCAAATCCCACCTCAAGTCCAACCTCCCTCCCTACTATCAGCGAATGTGCCGTGCATCTAGAGCTTCTGCAAGTTTTCAACTCCCTCAAACTACGCGTACTAGCCTGTAACGAGCTCGACGACACCTTCGGAATCAAGCCGGACAAACGCACCGTGTATCGCAGACGATGGTCGAACGTACAGAGACGACATGTAATTGTTCCGCATAAGCTGCGCGATCTGGGGTTCGCAAGACGGCGGTTGGAGAAATGGCCGCATTATTTGGGTCTGGCGGTGACGCGGTTCAAAGTGTGGGTGAAGATGGTCGAGGATGGGGTGTTGGAGTCGTGTGATGGGGAATTGATGATTCTGCCTCCATTAGGTGAGTGGGATTATTACTTGGATATCTGGGTGTTAATAAATGGCAGATGTGCTCATGGTCTGGCATGCTTTTCTGTTGAATCCGAGCGACTTCGATGCTTACTGCGACAAGGACAAATTGGATCTTGTTCGAAAAATGCATTTTCCATGGAAATTAATTGTGAGTTCTTTATACTTCCGGATAGAGATGACTATTAACCAGTATCAGCACGCATCTATCGACCCCCACGAGTGGAAATACCACCTCCCAGAGCACCACACAGCCAAACTCCAATCCACCAACCTCGAACCCGACCTCCTCGAAACACTCATCCAAACCGCCAAGTCAAACACCGAAGTGTCCTCCCTCCTCTCCCGCTTCAGCTGCACAAAACGCGGCATTCTCGAGACTTTCAACATCATCAGAAAATATAACAAGGATAAACCACCCCTTCCACGACCCCAATCCTTCCTTGAGAATATCCACTCCAGCTTCCTGCAGTCTCAGACGCAGGAAAATAAATCCCTGATCGACCAGATCCAGCGCCAGGTGTCGTTCGTCGAGAAGATGGACGCGCAGCTGTGGATCCGGAGTCCGGCGGTGAAGGGGACTCTGGGTCGGGGTATTGAGCGATATGAGAAGTTCTTGCAGCTTTTAAAGCTGTATCCGAAGAAGAGCCTCGTACCGACGCTGGATGTTGATCTGGTCTGGCATACGCATCAGTGTAGTGCGGGACGGTATCGGGAGGCGATGCTAGAGAGGGTCGGGCGATTTGTGAATCATGATGATCGGGTGGGGAAGGGTGTTGTGAGGAATGGGATGCAGTATACGGCAGAGGTGTTTGGTTTGAGGTTTGGGCAGAAGTATGAGGTTTGTTTGTGTTGGGATTGCGAGGCCATTGTGGATGCGGTGGAGGGGATGCAGGCGGATGAAAACGAGGGGGATGTTCATGAGTTTGTGAAGAATGTTGCGGAGAAGGTGTTGTTTCATCGGGAGGTGGAGGTAGCAAGGAGAATGGGGAAGATGGTCCCTGTTCGGAGATTATCGTTTTAATGGGATATGGTTTGTATTTAGTAGGCATTTAGGGCTACAGCTGGTCAACGCTGCAGTACATAAACACTTGAGTTACGCACATATATATCCTTCAAGCGTAAAGCCTTCGGAATATAATGCAAATATACTAAACCCTTCACCTGAAAATATACAACAATTATCTCCGATGAGAAAACCGAGCTATACAATGCAATGCAATGTCCTCTCTCGCCGACTGTGTTCTCGGCACAGCCACAAAATCCTTGAATACCACTATGGGTTTTGCAACCTCTGTGTATACCTTGGTGGAAAGAAGGATTGTGCCCGGAATGCTGATACTGACGCAATTCGGCCATATTTGGCTGCTGATTGGTGTTAGCAATTGCCGACATAGCGTTCTGCTTCATGCCATTTTGGACAGCAAGAAAAGTGAGGCTTAAGCTCATAAGGGAGAAAGAGGAAGGAAGGAGGAATGTGACGCTGCAGTTAATAGTGTCGACTACTAAGAGGCGGCGTAGAAGAGAATTAGTGTTCAAAGAAGAATGTGAATAACTTGTATAAAATTTTATAGTTCTGAAAGATACGTTTACATCGTAGCTCCAGGCAGACTATCTACGAAGTTACTCGGCATGGAACTGCTAGCAAAAGGGACCAGGTGAGCTACTCAGCTCAAATTAGCGCAGGCTCCGATCAAATGATCAAATCAAAACATAGTCCTGATTTAGTATAAACACCTGCAATTCCAAGCAGCCTCACAGGTGACAGAAAGAATGTGCCGATCATACCATCACGTCGCCCCAACAAGCCCACTGGAATGAGTAAATAACAAACCATCGATACACGAACAGTAATCCTATCCCTTGCAAGCCGCTCCTACAAGCATAAGTAGCTGATGTTTCACTCCGAAATGTATCTCTCAAACCAGACCTCTCATACTCCCTCCATCCTCATTCCATACCTCCCCCATCATGAAGTCCACCTTCGCGTTCCGCGCGCTCTTCCTCATAGCCCAATACTCGCTTGCCACCGCCCAGCAAACCCTCAAGACCCTAAACATCGTCGCCCACCAAGACGATGACCTGCTCTTCCTGAGCCCCGACCTCCTGCACAACGTCCACGGCGGTGCCGGTCTTCGCACCATCTTCCTAACCGCCGGCGATGCTGGCAATGACTGGGCATACTGGAACGGCCGCCAGGCGGGCTCTCTAGCCGCCTACGCCCAGATGGCCGGGGTCGCTAACGAGTGGACCGAAAGCGACTCGGGTGCCCCAGACACCGACATCCCCGTGTACACACTGAACGGGCGATCCGACATCTCGCTCGCCTTCCTGCAGCTCCCTGACGGCGGCCTCGACGGCACGGGCTGGGAATCCACCCACCATGTCTCTCTCCTGCAGCTCTGGAACGGCGATCTCGAGTCCATTGAAACGCTCACCGGCTCGACATCCTACACCAAGGACAAGCTGCTATCTACGCTTGCGTGGCTGATCGAGGACTTCGATCCCCTGCGCATCAACACCATGGACTATGTGAACGATGTGAACATCGATTTCGACCATCCCGATCACTCGGTGACGGGCTTCTTTGCGGACAACGCGGAGCGCCAGTCTACGTCTAGCGCGGAGCTGGTTGGCTACTTGGGATATTCGACGAAGGATCGGACGCCGAATGTCGGCGGCGATGATCTTCAGCAGAAGCAGGATACGTTCTTTTTCTATGCTGGATATGACCCCGGTACTTGCAACAGTGTTCAGACGTGCTCGGGACGTCCCGAGTTGGAGTGGCTGTCGCGCAGTTATATACTCTAAGTTAGAGGTGAAGTGATAGTTCTGGGGGTTGGATGGTATGAAATGAGGGTCACGATATGATCAATCCTTAGTTTAGTTTAACGAGATGATTGTTGCTTTGATTTGATCTGCTTGGTTTAGTTATAGAATTTGTAGATGGCGATGGTAGATAGGGCTTACCCAAATAAGGAATCCGGGGCTGTCATATTCCTTTGGCTTCGGTTGCATTCCGTACCACTATAGTCAGATATACTCATCATATGATATAATGTGATGCATATGAGTCTTCACGTATCAGGATGTAGAAAAATTTGAGAACCAAGGGGTGAAACACTGTTCAATCAATCAATCAATCACAATTCTATTAACCCGATAGAGCCTATTTATTAAAGTCACAAGCCATGCGGGCGCTTTGCTGGTCGAAGCAGAATCTCGCATGCGTACGCCATAAGCACATAAATGCAGTAAACAAATAAAAAAGCAGAATACAACTAAAACAAGTAGCCGCAACACAGCCGCTGCGTCTACCGCGCCCCCGGGGGGCCTTCTATTCCTTCTTTTTGGGGGCAATGCCTAGTTAATGAAGCCATTATAGATGAATTCAATTATCGTTCGAATCAAATCGGAAACCACTACTACCTTCCGGGATGAGAGATCTTTACAGCCAGTCAGCGACTCACACGTCTGCTCTGATCCCTGTCAGCTTGAAAAGGGGGGAACAATTGGCCAAGAGCGCCTTTCTCGTCCACAGACCCCTCAGGCTGGCACAACCCGCTGTTTACTCGGGGACCAACCCCCATCGCGCGTGACATTGGCTGAAGTCCATTCTTAGTTCTTATAAAAGAGGGGGGTACCAGCGGAGACCTGACGATCTCCCGCCTTCTCATGCTGTTCGGACGTTGTCTCCTTGAACTACCACAACATGGCGTCACCCAAGAAGGCCGGTTGCCTCGACACCTTGTTTGGCCGGAGGAAGAAAGACCGAGCCACAGCAAAGGAGAAAAACACCCAAAACAGTTACAACACGCCTTCAACAGACGATCAGACGATATAGTCGCTGATACTCGAGAGGATACCCATGAAACCAATGATCGCAATCCCAGCAATCCCACTTCTGTTGATGATGGAGACGATGGGATACAACCTGTTGTTAGCATAACGCAGCAACCCAATCAACACCAGGATGCCCAATTAGGGTTGATTCACGCCACCCTTTGGAAAAATGCATACGACAATCTCAAAACAGACCCGGAAAAGGAGAAATATGTGAGAAAATACGAGGAGTTATTAGTCAACTATCTTACGAAATCCTCCTCGAATACCTTTGGAGAGAAACAAATGGAAGAGATCGTTGCCGGGGGATTGGAAAAAATCGACAAATACAAAAAAATCATCGTTCGTTCAGATAGTACGATCAGGGTTATCAAGCAAATAAAAGAAATTCTTGGTATTCCCCTGAAGAATATCCCGCAAACCACGTTGCCCTGGGCCGTGATTTCTTCAACCGTGGATGTAAGTGCTTTTCTGGTCAATGGGCTTGGATTAGACAATCTAACAATGCAATGATCACCAGATACTCCTCAAGCCAGTTGAAGTTGGAGCCAATATCTACAACGGGGTCGCGTCCGTTGTTTCCAAGATGGAATGGTATTCCAAATACACAGATCATCTGTTACGCGATGACAAAATCAGAATCAATGAAAAGGATCCATTGAAAGGAATCCGTGACGACATCGCAGGAAACATTACGAGTCTCTATCAGTCCTTGCTCTACTACCAGATAAGAAGTGTCTGCTTCTACTTCAAAAAACACCAACCCTTAGTATTGCTGCGTGGGATTGTGGACCTGGACAACTGGAGCGGTGATCTGCAAAGCATTGAAGAGGCAGAACAGGTTCTTACAAAAACCATCTCTCTCTATAACGATGAGCATTTGAAAAACAGATTGAAAGATCTAGAGCACCAGATGATAGATTGGAGGATGGATATCGAGACAGAAAATGAGTTCAAGAAGTTCCAGCACCGACTGCAGGCTATACGCCGTGTTGATCCGGAGGCCACCGTTAAAGGCATTCAAAGTCTCAAGGAGGAATCCATGAGCGAATTATATGCGTGGATCTTCAAGACTGATCAGTTCAAGGCATTTGTTAACTGGGAAGATGAGAACGCAACCAGAAGGCTGTGGATCAGCGGACAAGCAGGAACTGGAAAGACGATGCTCTTAATTGGCGCCATAGAAGAGCTGCAAAGTCGAACTCTTCTTGAAAGCCAGCGCCTGCGTACGGAGCTTCCGATCATAATATATTTCTTCTGCCAGTACACACATGTTGACCTGAACAATGGGGTTGCGGTTCTCCAAAGTCTGGTGTGGATGCTGCTTCGAAAACAGCCAAAGCTTATGTCTCATCTCGACGAGCAATTTTCTCACTCCGGGGATAAATTCATACAAGATCCGTATTCCTTTGCGACCTGGCGGGATATTCTCATCAACATGCTAAAAGATACTGGCCGTGTATTTCTCGTCATTGACGCTCTTGATGAATGCGAAAAGACAACCAGAGCACAGCTGGTCAAGTTCCTAAACGATGAATTATGGAACAAGGAACTGTCTCGCGTCAAATGTTTAATCACCAGTCGGCCGTTATCAGAAATCCCGGAAAGTACGAGTGAAACTGCCGTGAGAAATCACAGTCTCCTAAGGCTTGATGACGAAGACCTTTCGCCATCCATAGATAAATACATCGAGGAAAAGATGAGACGGCTCCAGAAGGATAAAGATGTCAATGGACAAGAGCAAAAAGAGGTTGTTCAAAGCATAGTCGGCCGGTTACGCGACCGAGCAAGCAACACATTTATCTGGGTCTCTCTGGTCTGTGAACAGTTCAAAGATGAGCCTTTGGTTCTTTGGGGAGAGGTCATGGATCAAATCCCAAGCGGGCTTGATGAAATGTATGATTATCTGCTCGGCCGGTTGAAACGGCAGATATACAGAGATATTCTTGCTATGACCATGCTTGCACGTCGACCGTTAACTCTGAGTGAGATCGAGTAACTCACAGGGTTAAAAAAAAGGGTCAATGCAGGAAAAGACTGTGTCATACAGTGCAGGTCGTTCCTGGCTATCCGGGGCGAAACTGTTTATTTGATCCACCAATCCGCTCAAGACTGGTTATCTGAGAATCACCGTCGACTTAGCGATGTGCCCCTCCAAGAACTTCACGGCTTTGTCTTTCAAAACTCATTGAATGGAATGAGTGAGATCCTGAAGGAAAATATATATGGGCTTTCCCATTGCGGAGTTTTGTCCGATGAGGTCACAGCTCCAGCAGATAATCCGCTATCACCAGTTCGCTACGCCTGCCAATACTGGGCATACCATCTGGAAGAAAGTGACGTTCTCCCAGCAACTGACATTCTTCATTTCCTGCAAGATCACATTCTTCACTGGCTAGAGGCCATGGCTTTAATGGGGTTGATGCCAGAGACAATTGGGGTTGTAGACATGTTACAATCACTGCCAGGAGTAAGTCATGATAAAAAGAAAGTTGGATGATATGTTTATTGACCACGAGGTTTAGGTCAGAGAAAATTCCGACCTCTCTGAATTTCTTTATGATGCGAAGCGATTCATCTTGACAAATTCACCAGCTGTGGGTATAGCGCCGCTCCAGCTCTACGTTTCCGCTCTTCTTTTTACGCCAGAGGCGAGTATAGTGCGGCGCACAAGAGAAATCCCTAACTGGATACTCAAGCCCCCAGTTGTAGAGAAGGAATGGGGGTCTTTGTTACAAACCCTCGAACACTCATCCGCAGTTAATGATGTGGCCTTCTCCCCAGACAATCAATTGATTGCCGGGGCAGATGACGATCTGATAAAGATCTGGGATACAGCAACAGGTGATCTGGAGAGGGAATTAAAACCCGAACCCCGGAGTTTATTTGGTTTTAGATCTGTGGCATTTTCTTCAGATGGCAGGATGTTGGTCACAGGGTCATCGGATGGCTCGGTGCTATTGTGGGATACAGACTCATGGCAAGAAACACAAATATTGCTCCACGAAGCGCGTGTCTAGGGAGCAGAATGCTACTGGAGACATGGTAGCACATCATGGCAGAACAACTGTTGTCCGGCGACGCCTACCCTACCCACTCGCGAACAAGCAGGCAATACCGCAGTATAGGTAGTTATTACATTTCTGCCTGATCCCGCCGGAAATATAAAGATCCCAAGGCATAATACCTCGGGAAAGATTATATTATTTATAGTTATACTTAACAGGGGGCTGCGCCCTAGTACAAGTTATAAAATAGCTTTTATAATATTAAACATACAGAGTAAGTTAGGTAAGTAAAGTTTTTCTTTAATATAAAAAGAGTTTTTATATTAGTTATTAAATCTATTATTATTTATGTAAGGATCCATATAGGAACCTTCCAAGGATACTTAGTCAGAACAGGTGCTTAGTCATAGCCTAGCAAACACATAATAAAAATATATTCTCGCGGGGTTCCCCTGAACCCTAGTAATAATACCTTAAACAAGATATACTATATATTTAAGATCCCTAGCCAATTATTTTCACATTATCTTACCTTTAAGATACTAAGATATTTAACTTTATAACTTTATTACTTATATCTAATTAAGGCAACCTGTTTGTAAGGGGCAGCCACGGAGGTTCTGTTCCGGGCACTTGGTTCCCTTAGATGGATATACTAAGGAGTTCGGGACGCCTGTAATATACCTGCGGACCGCCTGTTACACGCTAAGAGATACTAGGAGTTAAGGGATAAATATAAAATAAATAGAATTAATTACTTAATCTTCTAAGGATTAAACAGGTAATCTTTTTTAATAAAGGATTTCGCAAGAATTAATTCCTAAATATTTTAATAACCCTATAGATCTTTAATAGTCTAGTTATTCTGTGTTCTGTGCTAAAATAAATACTAATAATAAATATATTTTTTTTATAAGGTGGAATACCTTGATGTCTTAGGGGTGAGGCGGCGTGAAAGCAATTGGCTAGGGATCATAAATGTATGGTGTATTCTGCTTAAGGTGTTGTCGCTGGGATTCAGGGGAACCCCCGCGAGAACATGTTTTCATCGTGTGTTCACTAGGCTATGACTAAGCACCCGTTCTGACTAAGCATCCTTGGGAGGATCCCATATGGATCCTTACAATATTAAAATATTATTAATATTCTAGAGAAAGCTGTAGCTAAAAAATCTTTAGAAATTATTTTTATAAAATAAGATAAATCTTAAAGGATTATCTTAAAAAATAAAAAAAATCTAGAACTTTTATCTCTAAGAAATAATATTAAAATTAAAATTAATAATATTTATACTCTGGATTACACCGCGCTATACAGAAGCTAAGTTAATATTTAAATTAATTTATAAAAAAATTAGACCAGTAAATAAATAAATAATAATTATTTATAAAAATATTAATTTAATATATAAATAAATTTATAAGTAGATTAGACTGGCAAGCAGACAGAAAGTAATAACACCTTATAAATAAGCTTAATTAATACATAGAGTAATTATAAGAAGACTAAACATAGATTAAATACTAGAGATTTTAAGGCTTTAATATAGTAAGTATAACTTAAAAATGTCTTTATATAATATATAACTAATTTATAATATTTATTTAATTAAATTATTTCTCCGGAGGCTTGGAGTCTTAATAAAAAGGGCCTTATATAATATAAAAATATTTTATATATATCTTTAGATATTATACTGCGGCAGGAGCTACTATATATTTATTATAATAATTTTTTTATAAAATATTTTAAATAAAATAAAATATTAGACTTTATTTATTAGTGTTTTTAGTAGGATCTTATATTAAAAAATATAGCAGATTATATTACTAGCTATACTATTTATTAGTATAATAAGGTCCTATATTATTATAAGTATAGATAGTTAAATCCCCTACCAGTCCCAGAAAAACTATAATAATTAATAATATTTAATTTTATTATAGATTTATTACCAGCAGACTATAAGGGTTTTATCTGTGATATAATCCTAGTTTTAGTAAATAAATTTATTAAAATAATATAATATATCCTGGTATAAAATATTATTAATACTAAATAGTTAGCTAATATTTTTATAAAAAAGATTATTTATAAATATAGAGCGCTAAAAAAATTAATTAGTAATAAAGAATTATTATTTATAAATAAATATTAGAATAAATTCTATTAGATTTTCTAAATTAAATATTAAATAAGCATAATATTCTATCCTCAGACTAATAATTAAACAAAATAGTAAAATTAAATTATAAAAATATACTTATATTATTATATGAACTTTCAGTAAAATAACTGGGCAGATTAGCTATTATTTATAAAATTTACTTACAATAACTTAACCTATATCTCTCTAAACATATCCCTGAATCAGGCGCTAATAAGTTATACTTTTATAACATTCTAGCTATTTAATTATAAGGCAGAGATATAGTATAAATTAATTAAATAGTAGCAGAAATATATAAATAGCCTTAAAAAAAGGCTAAAGAAATATTTCTAATAGATAATTAAAATATAAAAAAAATACTATAATTATTATTATAAACTAGTAATATTTTAGATTAATAATAAGGTTCTACTTAGCAAAAAAAACTTATTAATATAAAGACTGTCTAAAAAATTAAATAATAAATATATCAGATTATTTAAAGTTATAAAATCTATTAAAAAATAAACTTACTAACTGCGCCTATCTAAATTATAAAAATAAGTTTATCTAATCTTTTATATTTTTTTTTAAAACTATAGACTTAGTAAACTAGTAATAAAATATTTATAATTTAAAAATTTATCAAGATTAATAACTAAAATAAGTAAAAAATAAAAAAGATTATTATATATTAAAATTAGTAAGAAAAAATTTAATATTTTATTAAATAATTTAGGTTTCCTAACTACAAAAATATATAAAAATCTATAAATAACTTAACAAATATCTTAGAAATTTTAAATATATATAAAAATTCAGGATTTTATTTTTTTTTTAAAAATAAAAATAATATTTTTTTTATAAGGTTTTTTATCTCTCTAATAAGAAGTAGACCTCTGGCAGTCTACCTATAAAATAATAATATATTCTTTTTTTTTATCCCACAGGATTAAAAGTTTTAATAATATACTAGAAACTATAAATTAATAATAAAATATAAAAAAAAATAGCCTAAAGGCCTATTTTTATTTAATATAAAAAAAAAAAAACTTCTTACCTTTATTAGGCTTTATCTAGCACCTTACTACCCCTAATCATAGATATTATTTTTTTATACTAAATTAAAATAAAATAGACCCAGCGCCTCCTACTATAGCTATATAAAATAAAATATATTATAATTTAAAAATTAATATATTTAAAATATTTTATTCTTAATATTCCAGTAATAGCGCTCAAAAAACTTTATAATTATAATAAACTATTTATATATTTTTATTAAGCCCTTATTTTTATAAGCAGCCTATATTTTACTTATTTTTTCCTATAAAAGAATAGGAACAAGCTTATAAGGATACTTTATAGCTATATAATATTTATATATTTTAATAATATATAATTAAATATATATTATCTGCGGTTTTAACCCTAGTATCTTTATATATTAAAAATATTAGGCTAAAATAAGCATGGCTTCGGGGGACTCCAGAATAAAATAAAATAATAATATAAAATAATCCTAATTTTTAAAAGAGGCTAAAAAAAGTTAAAAAAATAAATAATAATTAATTTAAAAAAACTTCTTATCCAGAACTTTAATAATACTTTTTTAAATATCTTACACGGAGCTAGAGATATTATTTTTTAATAATAATAAAAATATATTAAAATATTTTAAATCTTTATTAAAAAAAATAACAGAATAACTATCCTTAAAAAAACAGGATAAAAATAATATAAAATTTAAAAAAAAATCTTATATCTTTTAAAATTTTTATATTTTAATTATTCTTACCGCAGTATAAGTTCAAAAATATATAAAATCTACCTCCTTATTTAAATATCTTTTCCTTTATAAAATTAGATATATTAATAAAAATTATAGCCTATAAAAAAATTAGTATCCTATTTATTTTTTTATATAAGATAATAATATACTAAAACTAATAATCCCTTAGGCTTAAGAAATAGTTTATTATCCGAAAATAGCTCTAAGGCGCGGGCTAATAAATCCTTATTAATAATAAAATCTTTAATAACAGCCTGGGCAGTAGCAGCCTTAGCAGCATAGTAAATATTTTTAGTATATTATAAAAAATCTTATATAAACAAAAAATCTTCCTAATAAAAAAAATTATTTTATTAATTTTAATAATATCTTTATAAGTTAGCTACTTAGCAGTAATAATCTTATTTTTTTTATAAAAATAATAGCTAGCTAGCTTAGTAATATTTTTTAATTTTTTAAAAACTTATATACACTTAAAATTAGTCCTGTATTAACCTAGCCTATATATTATAAGATTTTTACCAGGATTTAAAAAAAAAAAAAAAAACTTATAAAAATAGCAGAGAAATCTTTTCCTAAAAAAAAAACAAAATAAATATATTTTTATCTTGTTAGAGTTATAATAATATTAAATAATAAAAAAAATAAAAAAACTAATTAAAAAACTAATTTTTATATAAATTAATATAAAATCTATTATTAGAGTAGCACAGAACCTTATAATTAATTTTTTTTAAATATAAAAAATAAATATAAGAATTTAAAAAAAAAGTTTAATTTTACTAAATTTATTTATATTATTTATATTTATAAAGGAGTATTAGGTAATCTTAGATATTTATGAAATATTTAATTATTTTAATTTTTATATAGTAAATTAATCTTTTATTAAATAATTAAAATTATAACAGCTACAGATAAATTATAAAAATAATTTTAAATATAAAATAATTTTTAAAATAAAATAAAATAATTTTATTTTATATAAGAATACTAAAGCAGAAGCATGGGATATTATATTAAATATTTAAAAATAATTATTTTATTAAAAAAATATATTTATTATTAGTACTTATTTTAGTATAAAATATAAAATAACTAGACTACCAGAGGTCCGCAGGGTTACTAAAGTATTTAGAAATTA